TTAAGTTTGAGCATATGTGCGCGACACAAGTGGTTTCCGTCTGGACGGACCTTTCTGCCCTGATGGGGATGTTCGGGGGGGTATTCTTTTTATAGGCAGTTTCTGGGTGCCCCTTGGCCGCCTGGGTGCTTGCCCCTACTGTAAGCGTCTATCAGCCGGGGGATTGGCCCTAATTTGGCCGCATGATCTGCTCCATCCTGGGGAAACTGGTCTGCGCCCCCGGGGGGCCCGCAAGGGGGTTCGCGTTCGCCCGATTCATGTATGGCAGCCTGTCACAGTCCGGGTTTCGCAAAGGGATAAGCTGCGCCGTTAGTCCCAACGCCTTCTACTGTTGAGTCAGCTCAGCCCAGCAGGGCCGCCGCAGGCCTTTACGACTGAACGCTCCCGGCCGCGTATGTAGTGTGGAGGGGCGAGCGGATACCAACTTCACAGAGGTGACAGCTACCGAGCTTGATTTCGCCAAGCTGTTTCGATGAGACAATACAATCACTCAAGCTGGCATTCCGGCAAGTCGCCTTCAGAGGATCCCGCCAGATGGCCACCCCGCCACCCCGCCACCCCGCCACCCCGCCACCCCGCCACCCCGCCACCCCGCCACCCCGCCACCCCGCCACCCCGCCACCCCGCCACCCCGCCACCCCGCCACCCCGCCACCCCGCCACCCCGCCACCCCGCCACCTACATCTCCATCCTTCTCCCTGGTTAAGTGTGCCCCCCTTAACTAATTTACTTATGCTAAACTACTCTAATTCTCTCTTGAGTCCCCAATCTCCCTTTCCATGTACACACAAATACTTGGTAAGAACCCGACACAAAACATCCACAGCTCTCATACTGAAGACACGTCACGGGAGCCACCACGAGCTACGCTTGCAGATCAACCCTCCTCTTCCTCCTCCTCCTTTTCTCGCCCACAGGAACCACCCGGCTCGGGCGGCCTGCTATGCACCATAGTTCCAAGCAAAACGGGTTTATGTATCCACCAAAGCATGCTTTAACATCCTGTCGAACCGTTTACTGTAGAACATCTTATCGAACCTTTTATTGTCATTAAAGTTTAGTCAACTTGCCTACACAATCGTTTTCGGATCCTCATCGTGAGACTCGACAATTTTCAGCTCCTTCAAGTACCGGTCAGACTCCTCTTGTTTTTTTGTTTGCCAGTGTTTCCATTGACGCGCAGGAATCTTCAGAGCAAACATCTCGTCGATCTCTTCAAAGGAACGCCCTGCAGTTTCAGGAAGGTAAAAGTAGAACACAAATATCGAAAGGAATGAGCACCATGTAAATATGAAATTGATTTTTGATCCCATGTTAGCCTCGTTTGCGTTAAACATATACGGTAACACAAACTGCCACATGCATTGCAAAGCATTGTTTGTTAGGTTTGCCAGCGCATACGTCTTTGCTCTCAAAAAAACGGACGACACCTCAGCCGCCAAAATGTAAGGAACCGCTCCCAACGCAATGTTGTACACGTAGTTGTACATTGCCATAAATCCTGAAGATGTTTTCATTGCCGGTATATTACTTTTGTCAATACCCGTGCTGGCAATCAACAGGTTGAGGATGGTTATGGCAATCATGCCCCCGATCATTAAAGGTCGGCGACCAAACCGGTCAATAATGAACCAGGAACTAATAACCCCAGAAATAGATAGAGCCTGCGCACCACATGATATTTGGAAAGATTTTTGGGTATCGTATCCCGCGTATTGATAGTAATAGGTTGAGTAGTTGCTGACATAAGAAACACCACTCATTGCCTGCATGAATAGGGCAAAGATCACAAGCAGAGTACGACGCAAGTCCTTAGCCTTAAAGCAGTCCAGATAAGTGCCCGCTTTAGCGGAAATCTCGCTTGCCTCCATGACGGTCACGTACATCATGGCATATTGTTTTTGTATAACACTTTCCTTTCGATACATCTTTGTTAAGGACTTAAGAGCTTGTTGACGTTTACCTTTGGAGAGAAACCAGTAAGCTGATTCTGGAATAGTCATAATCATAGCCATTGCAGTAATGGAAAAAATCCATTGGGGAATGAAGATGCCTCTGTAAGCCATTCGTGTAGTGTAAGTACTTGTTGTGTTATTGATGAGAACACAGATAAATGGACCAATACAGAGAGCAAGGGCAATTGTAGCGGCAAAGAATCCTCTTAATGCAAGAGGTGCACATTCAGAAACATAAACCGAACAGCAAGAAGAGATCATTCCCAAACAGAAGCTGTTGAAAAACTTTCCCACAAAAAACACTTCAATGGAAGTTGCGATGTATTCCAGTGTAATGAATGGCACGGTGAGCAAGACAGCACAAAACAAAGTGTTTCTTCTACCCACCTTATCAGCGAAAAATGAGCCTAACATCAAGCCCACTGCAAGAGCGCCAGTAGGAGCACCGGTTATGGCAGATTGCCATTTGGCTTCTAAAACATAGTCTCCTTCATAAGCAAAGCCAAAATCTTTCCTGAATTCCGGAATGCTGACAACCATGCCGCCGGCTTGGTTTTCATAGCCGACGAGGACCATCGACCACACACAAACAAACATGAAGTACACCGTCCAAGGGTAAGCCTTGGTTGCTTGCCACCTGGTAAGGTCGTGCTCCACTTTTTGCTGAGCTCTCGCCACCTGCATAAGGTGGTCAAACTCTTCCTCGCTTATAGCTGCTTGCGGATCTTCCTTATCCTTAGTCTTAAAAAACATGTTTCACTTCAATATAGAATTCCACGATTCTGAATCTTCAGTTGAACTTATAAAATTCGGCACAAGAGTTGTGTTATGTCTTACACTTGAGCTGATTTCCAGATCTTTATATAAACCTGCAGTTTTAGATCAGTGCCCATATGACGACTTCTATGGAAACTAGAAAAATTCTGGGGAAATTTTTTGTGGGGTACATCTCGCGATATTGAAATTCCGAAATCTGTGACTTTTTTTGGCCCAAAATGGAATGGGACAAAAATGTCGGACGAACTATAGACCCGAATTTAGCAGGAATCTCATGCAAAAGATCCTGCTTTTCAATAAATCCTCAATTGTAACGCCACATGCATTGTTTTTTTTATCGGCCTTTTCGTCAAAATACAATAGTACGACCCCGCAATCTGGGTAACCCTAATTTTCATCGTATATGTCGGAATATCATTGCACCGTTTATCAGCCTCTACTCTTTCAAAGTGGGGCACAACCTTATAGTTACTTCCCTGTCCACCCCATGTACATCAATATCGGTTCGACAAATATGTGGGGGACAATGTTTTAAAGTCAAAGTGGCTTAGTACCCCACCCCGTAATTTTTAGTAGCGGAATTAAACTCGTCCGAAATGAAAATTCGAAACCCACAACTTCGCCATTTTTAACTATAAAGCTGCTACTCAGTACTCACTTATTTCAAGTAGATTCAAAACACTCCTTTGAGTACTTAGCTAATTGAATAATGGTTGAGGTTAGAGGAGTTCGACTAGAGTCTAACGCTCTCGGACCAACCAATGGGTTAATCGCAACTAAAAGACCAGTCATTTCCTGGGAGATTTTTGGTAACGAGAAGAACTGGTATCAAGGTGCTTATCAAATCAAGATTAAATACGGGGACCAACCTTGCAGCACTTACGATGTTGTCAGCTCTGACAATAATCTGTTTGTGGAATGGCCAGGAAGAGACTTGAAGTCAAGAGAAGTAATAGCTATTTCGATTCGTGTTGCACCAAAATCTGATATTTCTTCTTTTTCTGAATGGAGTGCGCCCGCAGTCGCTCAAGTTGGAATTCTGGATAACTCCTGGAGGGCTCCATTTATTTCTATGGTTGGGCAGCCCAAGGATGAAAACGTCTCACCAGAAATACTATTCAGGAAGAATTTCGATTTATCGGGTAACAAAATCAAGTCTGCTAAGATCTATAGCACAGCTTTGGGGGTTTACGAAATTGAAGTCAATGGAAGGAAGGTTGGAAAAGACTACTTAGCACCTGGTTGGACAAGCTATGATCATCGTTTGCTCCATCAATTCTACGATATAACAGACTTGCTTGCACCGCATACTAATGCTATTGGTGCTAGAGTAGGGTCTGGATGGTATAGTGGAATGCTTGGTTTTGACGGTGGGGCCAGAAATATTTACGGAGACCGAAGAGCCATTAGTATCGAGATAGAGGTGGAATACGAAAATGGTGAGAAAGCTGTGATTCTCTCTGATGAAGCTTGGAAATCAAATTATGGCCCCATTAAAGATGCACAGTTGTACAATGGTGAGGTTTATGATGCAACTTGCGAGTTTCCAGGATGGTCTCTCCCGACCTTTGAAGATAAATCGTGGAACCCAGTTGAAATTATTCAATGCAGCTCCAAATCAATTGAGCCGCAAGCTTTTGGTTACATATGTGAAATTGACTCTCTGACACCAATCAATATTATCGAGACACCAAAAAAAAAGTTGATTGTTGATTTCGGTCAAAATGCGGTTGGTTTCGCTCGGATCAATAATGCCAAAGCTCCAAAAGGGCACACTATTACTTTAAGATTTGCTGAAGTTTTGGAGAATGGGGAGCTCGGCACTCGTCCCCTGAGGCTGGCAAAAGCTACAGACCAGTACACTTTCAAAGGTGATATAGATGGTGAGACATACGCTCCTAGATTTACATTTCATGGAGCAAGATACTGTCAGATTGACAACTGGTATGGAGAGTTTAGCCCAAACAATATTGAATTCGTTGTCATTGGAAATCTAATGGAGACAACTGGTGGTTTTGAGTGTTCGGACAAAATGCTCAACAGGCTCCACCAGAATGTTGTCCATAGCATGAGAGGCAATTTCCTAGCCATACCGATGGATTGCCCACAAAGAGATGAACGTCTCGGTTGGACAGGTGACATTGCCATATTCTGTCCAACAGCACTCTACTTATGTGATTGTTACTCGTTCCTGCAAAGCTGGCTAAAGGATTTGAAACTAGAACAGAAAGAGAAAGGTGGAGCTCCTGCTGTTGTGGTCCCAGATATTATACATGCTTTTGATACATTTTGGAATGGTAAGATAGCCGCTATTTGGCAGGATGCCTCGGTTATTGTACCTTATGAGCTTTACAGATCATCTGGAAACAAGCATATTTTACAAGCCCAATACGAAAGTATGGTTTCATGGATTGACTACATACCTAAAATTGAAGGAAAAGTCAGGTGGAATAAAATTGAGTTGCAGTTAGGAGATTGGCTGGATCCATCTGCACCACCAGAAAACCCCCTTCTTGCTTTGACGGATGCCTATCTGGTTGCTGATGCTTTTCTTTTCAAAATACTTACGATGACTTCGGAGACTGCTGAGATCTTGAAGTTGGAAAAAGATGCGGCTTATTACGCTGAGCTGGCTTCCAAAATGTCGTTCTGATTTCAATGAGGCTTATATTTCCTCGTCAGGGAAACTCACATCAAACACACAAACGGCATATGCTTTGGCTATCTGTTTTGGCCTGTACAAAAATGATGATCAAATATCCTACGCTGGTAACCAATTGTCCGAACTAGTTAGGCAAAGTGATTATAAAATCAGTACTGGATTTGCTGGAACTCCATTTGTCACTGAAGCTTTGACTATTACAGGACATCTAGAAGACGCCTACAAAATGATACTACAAAAAGAATGCCCTTCATGGCTCTATCCAGTTTCTGTGGGAGCAACAACAGTCTGGGAACGATGGGATAGTATGTTGCCTACAGGGCACATCAATCCTGGTGAAATGACCTCTTTCAATCATTACGCCTTGGGTTCAATTGCTAACTGGATGCATGAAAGAATGGGTGGTCTAAAACTGAAGGAACCAGGCTGGCGAGAGTTTTACCTTAGGCCTATGCCTGGATCTAACATCAGCTATTGTGAGACTTTCCACAAATCGCCTAGTGGCTTGATCAAGTCTGAATGGAAATTAGAAGCTGGTAAGTTTGTCTACAATGTGACTGTTCCCTTGAATTCAACTGCCCACATCACACTTCCTGACGGAACCACTCATTCTGTGGGCTCAGGATCGTGGTCTCTTACGTGCTCAGCTTGATAAGTTTCAGGTAGGAGCTTTTTATGCTGTTGATGAGCAAAGGGCCTATAGAATATTAGACTCTGTATAAGTTTTCCTTGTTAAGTGATGTTGTTCTTTGAACTTCCGCGTACTTTAATCATCTTGGTCAACTGTCCTCAATAGCAGTCGAGGTTCCATTCTCGTTGTCATCTTTCTGAGATTAGTCAAGTTCGAGCGGCGTTTCTGGAGGAGGAAAATACGTTCCAGCGGAAGATTTGTGAAGCTTTTCGAGATCGAAATTTCACTCTCCCGCAGTGACAATTTTCACCATGTTGATCGTCACGAACCAGTGTAATCCTGTATTGAACGCTCGAATGAGTGTAACAGCTAATCATGAGAGGAGAACCACTATAATTTCCATCCCAGCTTGATCTCAAATATTCTAAATCATTTCCTTTTTTTGAGCCGATCATCAAGCTCAGTAACGAGGCAATCCTTCGCTCTCAGACTGACATTTCGTTTGCGGCTGTTGAATCACATACAATATAAGAAGATCGATAGCTATTTCTGGCAGTACCACCAATGAGTCTCAAGCCAAGTTCACTCTTAGTTTCCCCCTGTAGGTCGCAAGATACTGAATCAACTTCAAAAAGCACTGAGAAGGTTACTTGTTGCATGAAACATAGGATATTTGACTTGTCTTCCTGTTGCTAACATGAGAATATATGAAAATTGAAGGAATCACTACATGACTGAGTAAAAGAGTATTTTTCGAAAACCAGTGACGAAGATGATTTTCAATACTTTACGCATTGCTTTGATCAATATCACCAAAGATGAATTTGACTTTCATGTATCTTGTAGCTACTCAAACCGGCATACGAAAGTGCTGCTCAGTATCAGGCTTTTCAATTTGCCCTCAGTATATGCCTGCTCAGTTATAAATTTAATGACCAAAAACCATCTTCTACTAGAGTTGGATGGATTTTATTAATGGTCCGAGAGACGGAGAAAACTGTCTTTTTTTGTTTTGGTAGTACAAATGGGGTGCGGGATTTTCAATCAGATCACCTGAAAACTTTTTGGGATCTGGCGGCTTGCATTTGCAAAATCCGGGGGTGGGGTAGATCTAGTCGGTAAATTATTTCTCCGCGCATTAAAAGTAAAAATATAATTCCCCCGAAGGTTAGGATCACCCAATTTTTGATAACGAAGCTTTATATACATCCACTAGCAGTTGGTATCCAGAACTTGAGCTCCCAGTAACCCATTATTGACAAAGATTCGACTAGCTGAAAAATCTAGCACTAAAGAATCCAGGAAAACTTCGTTGAGTACAGCTAAAGCTTACCTATAATGTCCACTTTCGACGTTGAAGACGTTCTCAAACAACTTACCACTAAGGAAAAGGTCCCAGCTGCTTTCTCTGAAGGACTTTTGGCATACGCAAGAGATCAAGAGACTGAATGTTCCTTTCATACGACTCAGTGATGGCCCTAATGGTGTCAGAGGTACCAAGTTTTTCAAATCTGAGCCCTCTGCTTGCTTCACGTCAGGTACCGGCATGGGATCTACATTCAATGTACAATTGCTGAAGAAGGTAGGAAGCATGATGGCTACTGAGGCAAAACACAAAGGCGCTCATGTCATACTGGGTCCAACTTGTAACATTCAAAGAGGACCGCTAGGTGGAAGAGGCTTCGAGTCTTTCAGTGAAGATCCGTTTCTTTCGGGTCTCTGCTCTGCAAGTTTAATCAATGGCATTCAAAGTAAAGGAATTGGAGCCACAATCAAGCATTATGTTTGTAACGATTTGGAGGATGAAAGGAATTCTGTTGACGCAATTGTTTCGGAGAGAGCTCTTAGGGAGATTTACCTGATGCCCTTTCAATTGGCCGTCAAATACTCACAGCCCAAATGTGTGATGAGCTCGTACAACAAAGTTAACGGAGAGCACGTTTCACAATCCAAAAAGCTGCTCACTGGTGTGCTGCGAGAGGAATGGGGTTGGAATGGTTTGGTTATGTCCGACTGGTTTGGTGTCTACTCGATCAAAAATTCTATTGATGCAGGTTTGGACCTGGAGTGTCCCGGCGTTCCAATCATGAGAAAAATGGATGCAGTGTTACACGCTATCAATGCCAGAGAGATCAGTATAGACGTGATTGATGAAAGAGTTAGAAACGTGCTGAACTTGGTGAAGTTTTCTATGCAAAGCGGCATTCCTGAAAATGCTCCTGAAGATTCTAAGAATAATGTTCCTGAGACCTCTGCTTTGCTCAAAAGGCTAGCCTCAGAAGCTATCGTGTTGCTGAAGAATAAGGATTCATTTTTGCCTTTGAAAAAGACGGATAAGATTGCTGTGATTGGCCCTAACGCTAAAGTTCCTAGAATCTTTGGTGGGGGCTCTGCTTCGATGAATCCTTATTATGCTACAAACATTTTTGATGGTATTGCTGATAAACTTACAGAGCCCCCACTCTATGCTGATGGTTGCTCAATTGAGAAAAACCTGCTCGATCTGGGCACCTTATCTACCTTCAACGGTTCCGAAGGGGTTTATTGCAAGGTTTACAACCTTCCTGCTGAATCGTCTGACCGTCTCATTGTTGATGAGTTTGCATTGAATTCTACGAGATTGATGTTATTTGATTACAAAAACGACAAACTAGACAACAACTTGTTCTATATGGATATTGAGGGCGAATTTACCGCCAAAGAGACTGGCACCTACGAGATAAGCGTTAGTTGTCTTGGAACCGCACAATTTTTCATTAACGGTAAATTGGAGATTGATGACAAAAATAATCAAGTCCTTGGATTTGCAGCCCTGGGTGCCTCTACCGCCCCCAAAACCAAGAGATTTGATATGAACAAGGGAGAGTCTTTCAAATACAAGATTGAGTTTGGTTCGGGTCCAACGTTCACTTTGGAGACCACTGATCTAGTTGCATCTAACGGAGGAGGAGCGCTCTATGTGTCCGCCATGAAGGTCGAGTCGGATAAGGATAGGATCAAAAAGGCTGTTGAAGTTGCATCACAAACTGATAAAGTTGTTCTCTGTGTTGGAACATCATCAGATTGGGAGAGTGAGGGATACGATAGACCAGTTATGGACCTTCCTGGTAGCCAGGATGAGCTCATCCAAGAAGTCCTTAAAGTCAACAATAATGTGGTGGTAGTCAATCTTTCCGGTACCCCAGTCACGATGCCATGGGTCGATGAGGTTCCGGCTATAATTCAGGGATGGTTCAATGGAAGTGAGAGTGGAAATGCAATTGCTGATGTTATCTTTGGTGATGTTAACCCGTCCGGTAAATTGAGTTTAACATTCCCTAAACGATGCCAAGATAATCCTGCATACCTTACCTTCAAATCCAACAAGGGAAAGGTTGTTTATGGTGAGGATACTTTCGTTGGATACAGATATTATGAGAAATGTGGAGTAGATCCCTTGTTTGCATTTGGATTTGGTCTTTCCTACACCACTTTTGCTTTTTCTTCCTTGTCAGTGAGAGTTAACGTCGACACTATTCTCGCATCTGTGGAGGTGAAAAACACAGGTACAATTGCAGGTGGCGAAGTCATCCAGCTTTACATCACTCCGCCAAGTGAAACAACGGAAGAGCGTCCTTTGAAGGAGCTTAAGGGCTTCAATAAAGTGTTCCTTGAATCTAATGAAGCTACTCGTGTCGAGATCCAGGTTCCGGTGAAATATGGATGCTCGTACTTTGATGGAGAGCGCAAGAAGTGGTTGATTGAAAAAGGAACTTATGGCGTACTTGTCGGAAATGCTTCAAACTCGAAAACTTTCTTAACTAGTTCGTTTGAAATTCAGGAATCGACTTACTGGAGCGGTCTGTGATCTACTTTACAATATATCTTTCAAAGATGATACATGTTTTGTTTTTAAAATGTACTTGTTGTTCTGACACTAGCTGAAAGACTAGTACTCTTGAGTTTGGTACAAACCAAAGTGATGTTCCCGAGCAGCAAACAATTTGACTAGGAAGAAAAACCAAAAAAAAGGCAAGTTGGAATTTCATATTTCTGTCATGCCAAGGAAAAAGTAATTTGAGAACTTATAGACTTCCTCGTGTCACATAGAGGTTGGTCAACTAGTACATTGATTTGGGTTGTCGGATATTTGAACTTCAAGGCAAGGCCACAAACTATTTCTATAGTTTGACTCGTAAAAACACCTGCAATCTGCAATCTTACCTAAATGTCTCTCGGCTTATCTATATTATTACCTCATATAGAAAGTCCGTTCCCCTTGGAGATAAAAAAAATTGCACTTGCTTGATTTTCTCCACGCTGAACAGACAATATCGAATTAAGTCCAGAAAACGAACTTGAGAAAAACATTTCGTGCAACTGACTTATCTGAGGTCTTCTTTGCTGATGCAAGTTTTGTAAGGTTTGGTCTCTATTTCAAAGCCCTCCTTACAAGTGCTCCGTGCAGTATATAAAAAACACGTCGTCTTGATAAAATTTTACCACATTTACAAAAATATCAATCCTAGAACATTTTTGATAGGTAACATCGAAAATTCACTGCCAATAATATATGTATGAACAACTTCTATAGCTAGTTTGCCATAATGCTAGATACCAACAAACATAAAAATATGTCTGCTGTCATGCTAATACTATCTAGAGACCTCCAAAAGCTTGTTTGCTCTTCAATTCATTATGTTGCACTGTTGGTGGAACATGTCACAGTACAAAGAATCTCAGCTATATGTATTATGCCCCAAAGCTGGAAAGTCACATATGAGCCAAAACCTTACAAAATTCACAAACTTGATTAGAAGATACTCTGTGATTTTGCATGCTGACTGATTCGTGTCGTGTGGTTGTTCTGGGTGACAAAACTTAGTTGTATCAAAATTCTCAAATATGTATAAATTAACTTAACGACTTTCTCAGAACGCTAACAAACGCGTCAATATCATCATCATCATTGTACAATGGGAAGGGTGCTACACGAATTGCTTTATCACGCTTATCAATCACAACCCCTTCAATTTCAAGTCTCTTAACTGCGTTCTTGAAAGTCTCCGATGAGTCAAATTCTATGGTTATCTGTGCGCCTCGTGATTCCGGGTCACTCGGGGTGATTATATTGATACCAGAAGGTATAGTTTTGAGTCCCCTTTCAAGCAGGCTAGTTAGTCGTATGGACTCCTTCCGAACGGCTTCCATACCGCCATATTCTTGAATCATTTTTAATGACTCAAGAAGACAGACATTGTCTAGCACGCTAGGATTAGAAACGTGCAGAGCCAAAGCCCCTTGCCGAAAGTTATCTTCATATGATAACCTCATTCTCGATTCCAGCTTCTGTCCCCACCACCCCTTAAGGTAATTTAGCTCCCAGTGCTGCGGATGGACGTACACTCCTCCAATTCCACCTGGACCTGCTCCTAAGTACTTGTAGCTACACCAACATGCAAAGTCCACTCCCCAATCATCAAGCTTTAATTGAAGGTTACCAACCGCATGCGCTAAATCCCAGCCAACAATTGCTCCTGAGTCATGTCCCAACTTAGTAATAGTTTTCATGTCAAATGTCTGTCCTGTATAAGAATGCACTCCTGGTAGCCATATTATAGCCGGTTTGTACTTTTCTATCATTAATGCAATGTCTTCTGTTCGAATGGTTTTCTCCTGATCCCGAGGACATACAAACTTTATGGTGTTTTCAGGATTAAGCCCCTTTGACGTAATGAACGATTTTATTGCAAAATAATCCGAAGGAAATGGATTTTCCTCCATCAGAACGACAAATCTGTTTTCTGTGGGTTGATAGAAGGAACTCAGCATCATGTGTATATTTGTAGTTAGGGAATTCATAGCTGCCACACTTCGATAATCAGACGCACCAACAATTAGTGCAAGATAGTGAGAGACTTCTTCGTCCAACGAAACCCACCCATTACGAATGTAATGAGTGCTGTGTCCCAAAGATCCTTTTGTGGCCCATATGCCAAGTTCGACGTCGAGGGCTTTTTTCAGAGACCTTGGCTGGAGGCCAATGGAGTTAGCACACAGGTAAACGCAGCTTTCGTTACCAGTTCCACCTGTGTCGCTTTTTGAAGGAATTAGATATTTGCTTTTCAGACTCATTATTAGTTTGTTAGTCTGGAAAGCGGGCTTTTTATCTGAATATAAATCAGTCGGTATACTATTCCGATGTTTGATACCGATATCTTTTTCCCGATCTTCGGATTTCCCGCTAATTTTCTTTTTTCGACTCATTTTTTGGCTATCAGTTAAAATCATTTGAATTGAAGATGAGCCCATATAATTGCTATAAAGGGTATATATACACTAGATGCCACCGATAAGAAGCTTGTGATACTTTTCATCTTTTATTCCCTGTAACCCGAGGACTATGGACACAAAACAAGATCGTATATTTCACTCTACTCAGTCCATTGAGGACGGGACACCATGTACTGATCGTGAAGATGGGTCGCATTTGAAGAAACAGCTTAAGGAGCGACACATCCAGCTCATTGCACTCTGTGGAATGATTGGTACTGGATTGTTTTTATCATCAGGAAATGTTTTGGCTACATCAGGACCCCTAGGTGCGCTTCTCAGTTATATGGTGATGGGGATATTTACATTGGGAATTGCATACACGAGTGGTGAAACTGCTGCTTTGTATCCTACTACAGGTGCATTTGTGAGACACGCTTCTAAGTACATTGAGCCTGCAGTAGGAGCTGCAACAGGTTGGAACTTTTGGTATACGATGTCAATATCCGCCCCTGCAGAGCTTTCAGCTGCCGCAACAGTTTGTCAGTACTGGACTGATCTGAATCTTGCAATATTCATTTCCATATTCATCGTTTTTGTCATCTCAATTAATATGGTGTCAGTTAAATTCTATGGAGAAAGCGAAGTGATTTTTGGGATGCTGAAGATATTTCTTATAGTTGGGATGATAATTGGCGGAATTGTATTGACTTGTGGCGGTGGCCCAGATCATCAATCTATCGGATTTAGATACTGGCATCATCCTGGTCCATTCAAGTCCTACATTTTGCAAGGATCATCAGGAAATTTTTTGGCATGGTGGAGTACATTAATTCAGGCGGCCTACGCCTATGGAAATATTCAAGTGGTTTTTATCGCTTCCTCGGAAACTTTAGATGCCAGACACCAAATATCAAAGGCCATGAAAAAGTTAGTTTTCCGAATCCTGTTTTTTTACATTGCTACCATCTTTGTGATTGGACTTCTCGTTTCTTCAGATAATACAGAAATCACATCAGGGACGGGTACAGCCGCATCTTCACCTTTTGTTATTGCTTTTGAGGATGCTGGTGTCAAGGTACTACCTTCTATTGTTAATGCTGTTGTTATGACCTCAGCTCTTTCGTCGGGATCTGCCTGTCTCTTCATTGCTTCGCGTACGCTATATGGCATGGCTTTAGACGGACAAGCCCCCAAATTCATTTTGAAGTGTAACAGGTTTGGTGTTCCTTACTTTGCAGTTCTTCTTTCCGCAAGTATGACACCTCTTGTTTATATGTGTGTCAGCACAGATGCATTTGAAGTTTTTGTCTGGTTTGTGAATATTACGACCCTTGCTGGACTTGTGGGCTGGGTCGTAGTCTGCGTTTCCTTTTTGAGATGCTTTTATGCCATGAAAAAGCAAAACATTTCAAGAGACGAGCTGGTTTTCAAATCTCCTTTTCAGCCATATGTTGCTTGGAGTTCGATGATATTTGTCATCCTTGTACTTTTGTTCTCTGGATTTGACATCTTTGTCCATGGTTATTTTAGCGTTTCTGGATTGATCACCTGTTACATCAACTTACCCATATTTGCCTTCCTTTGCATATTCTTCAAGATCACAATGAAAAGCAAGTTACTTCCGTTGGAAGAGCTGGACCTTTCAGAGATCTATATGGTTAGGAACGAAAAGGAACGAATTCTGGAGCTAAAACTTGCAGAGTCCAACAGACCGCTCTGGAGGAAAATTGTGGGATTCATTATATAATTCAGCTGTTTATTTATAATGGTGAAGTGCCAAACATGTTCATGGAAGGAAGTGAGCTCCAGTAATCAAAGTCCAATGAGCTACTGGATTCTGCATACTCTAGACTAAAAAGTGACTGTGATTTTGTGGCAAACGAATCCTGGGGCAGCTCTGTACTCTGATCATTCGAATGTATTAGTTGTTGAATGTTCAAAAGATCGGAAGATTCAATGGGATCTGATATGGTTGACATATCAATGTATTTATCTCTCAGAGATTGCACCTCTGACACAGTAAGCCTGTTGCTTTTGCGGCATGCAAACTTATAAATGGTTGAGATCTCTAACGCCCATTTATGATAAGATTTTCCTATTTCCCATTTATCGGCATAAGATGAAAGATAGTCTAAACAATAATCGTAATATACTTTGGAGTCACAAAATTCAGGATCGTAGTTTGGGAAGTAGTGAAGATATGATAACATACCAGCCGCAGTAAAAGCTGAAAATCCGTAAAATGGATTGCAGCAGTAATCTTCAGCTTTCAACGAGTGTAAAATTGTCGCTATACTCCTTGCACTATCGAAAACAACACGAGCGGAATTTCGCCACCACAAATATGGAGCACTGTCGCATATTTTTGGTGGATCCAAAGGACCAGATGGAACGGAAGATCTGCTGGGAATAAAAGGAATATAATCTCGATGAAGCATTAGTTTAGCCATTGATAGGAATAAATGCATAAGACAATAACAAGATCCTAGTCCCAAAGAAGCATATCCTAATATATTGGAGTCGCTGAGCGTTTCTCTCGGTCCTAAATTATCATTAAAAGATGATATTTTTTTCGTCAACATATTCCATTCGCTCTCTTCGTCCCAAGGAACTTTTAAGTACGTCCGTCTTCCGCCTTGCAAAATCCAAAATGAACTCTCTAACCATAATTCCCCACTGAAAATCAATAAAGAATAAATATTTGATTGCACATCAACGCTCAAGGTTTTTAAAGTAACTGGTGACTTACTACCTGACTCAAATAGCATATCAATATCCTCTAACGGTAATTGAAAATCTTGTAATTGAGCATGCAAAGAAACCCCTGATTTATCTTTCAATGAATTTGATAGGAACCTATGCGACCAAATTGCACGAGTGAACACTTCTTTTTCTGTAGTTCCTGAAATAGCCGCCATTTCTTTATTTTTCACCAAGTAGTATGAGATGCGTGATGCTATCCCTTCAATAAACCAAGCTTTTCTAGTGCTACCTAACTGCCAAAATATGAGAATCAAAATTAATGATAATTGAAGACATGATAGGTAATCCGATTTGCTGTTTGCTAGTTCAAGAACTTTTGCTTCCAATTGACTGAGAGCAATAGAGTCTATCTCAGCACCCGTATATTTACATGACAATAAGAATAGGGCCTCTTTAACGCCAGGATGAAGAAGTTGGTCAATTTTTGGGATTTTGAGAAACAAGAGTTCAGGATGGTGAAAATACACGCATGATATCTGTTTTTCTTGCATCTCAAATGTGTGGCTAGTTTTCAATGAGTTTCTTTCTGTTACTGCATGATGTCCAGTCAATTGTTTGACGACTCGAAATTCCTTAGTACTTGTTAGCCTGCACGCCAGTTGTAAACCCTTCTTCTTACATGACAAACAAGGGGATTGTCCTTCATGGACACACTTAATCTTTTTGGATCGGCATCTAGAACAAGCCCATGCTAGTCTCATGGTAGGTATATGATGCCAAAATTTACGAAAAAAATAATAGGTTTGCCTATCGATTTTTTAATTTCGGTATCGTTATCCCGAATTCGTAGCTGTACCTGGCTGAATAAAGAGAGATTGTGGAACATAGTTTTTTTTGTCATCCTGAAAATGTCATCAGTCACACCACAAGCTAGAAAACATGTCAATATGATGGTGGATAGTACCATCAGGAACTTAGAGAAGGAGGATCTGCAGGCGATTCTCAGAAACATTCTATCAATGCACCCATCCCTCACCGAGACGTTCAAACTCGAAGCTACCAAGCGACTCAAAGGTTTCAAAGACATGGAGTCTGTTTCTCTTTTTGAAAAAAAAGTGGGAAGCTCTGAATATCAGCTGAAAGAAGATGCTTTTGAAAAATACGAAAAAAGGATAAGAGGCTTAATTGGCATTGGTCTCGCCCCCGTGGCTCTTGACAAACTTCACAACATTGTTGAGCAGGTTTGTGGCATAACCTATGATGAGGAGACTGAGACTGGAGAAATCATAGTTGATAAGCTTGCGATTATTGACGGCGACATAGTACAGACTGTTACTGGATTGAAGGAAATGGGTGACCAACAAGATGATGTCTATTCTGTGGCTGATAAGTTATTAGCTGTTCTGAAAGTGTGCAAATCGACCTTTGAGGAAAAGAACAGTGAGTGTGAATTTCCATTTGATCGGGGTGAAAAGGTGTTAGTGGACTACTGTGCAGCACACGATTAAATACAAACCTGTCTTTTCGGGACAATATTCGGATAACTTTTTTTCTCGGTATAGATTTAAGGCAAAAGATTCCGATCTACTCGGAATAGATATTGTGAAATGGATACTTTTGCACATATAAATCAAAAGCAAAAGTTGGAGTACCTCAAATCAAAGTAGTTGGTCATGGAATTGAATGGTCAGACTGTTCCGAGAGTTTTTAATGGTTTATGGCAACTATCATCTCCAGCATGGGGGTCAGCTCCGAAATCAAAGATGAAGAAGCATTTTAAACAACTTCTTGAAAATAAATTCTGGGCCTTTGACATGGCTGATCATTACGGTGATGCGGAGTTGATCTTTTCAGAGCTACGTCAAACTTCTAGTCACACTTTTTGTGCCACCAAATGGTGTGTGTTCGATAACGAATTTGAGGTTAGTCCCGAAAATGTCAAAAAAGAAATTGACACTCGTATACGAAGGACGGGTGGTGTTGATCTCCTTCAATTCTATTGGCAAAATAAAGACGCAGAAAAACCAATGCTAGAAATTTGTAAGCTGATAGTTGAAGACAAAAGATGCAAATTGGGTCTTTGCAACTTTGACACATTGTTGATGAAAAAGGTTGTTGAGTCCGGCATCAAAGTATACACAAACCAAGTTCAGTTTAGTTTAATTGATATTCGCCCTAGGCTGAAAATGGGAAAGTTCTGTGATGAAAATGACATTAAATTGCTTGCATATGGCACTCTTTGTGGTGGATTATTGTCTGATAAATGGTTGGGCAAAGAGGAGCCAGATATTTATGGAGATGATTCCATTACTCCTAGTCAACGCAAATACTTTGACATGATTGAAAACTGGGGTGGGTGGGATCTCTTCCAGGAACTTCTAGCTGCTCTTAAAAAAATTTCAGCTAAGAGAGACGACCTTAGTATTTCAATTGTTGCGGCACGTTGGGTCTTAAAGCATTCTTTTGTCGGATCGATCATAATCGGAACAAGATTGGGCGTCAAAGATCACTCACTGGAAAACATTATTATTGATGACTATACTTGGGATATAAGCACAGAGGAAATGGGTTGCATTGACTCTATTCTGGAGAAAAGTCGAGCCTCTCACCTGATTGAACTCCTTGGAGACTGTGGAGATGAATACCGTTGAACCAAATACATAGGAAATTATGCGACGTTCAGCACTAATGTATTACCACTCCTGAAACATAAGTTTTTCGGTCCAACCTTCATCATGTACTCTTATGCCAGTGTTGTACTTTACACTTGAAAATCTTTTTAAACTGGAAAATGCACTTCTCCAGATTATCGTATTTCAGGATGCACGATTTTATCAAATTGACCCTGAGTGAAGCTTGGAAGAGCTCATAATCAATTACTATCTTTTGATTTCTTGCGATTTTTATTATTTGCTATGCGATATCAAGCAGAGTAAATGGTGCTGCAAGCGATATTCATACTAATAATTTATGCTATCCTCTTTTACGTGCCGGGCCTTCAACTTCGCTTTCAATTGATAGTCGTATTCAAGTAGTTTGTTTATAAAGACACTAAAATATATATATTCACCTGCTGCCACACAACCTGTTTTTGTTCTTTATTATCGAACAATAAACTTGTAGACCCTCACAAATTTATTTCTGGGGCAGTATGCATATTAAATTATTAACTAATTTTGGTAGCATGTTTTTCAGCGCAAAGCTGAAAGATTCAGTAATGAAAACTGGAAATCAAGACTTTTTATTACTCATTGTGAGCTTCTAGAAATGAATTTTGAACTTTCAGGTTCATTTAGCAACTGCTTTATAATTTTACAACACGATCTTTCTCCTAGACTTTAAGAGGTTGACACAAAAACTTCAAAAAATTAGCTTTAAATTATTCACGTGGTTGTTCTTCCAGAAACGGCCAAACAAGGCACAAACTCATTCACCAATACCAAAGCATGTGTCAATTTTGATGGAGATTATTCCGATAGCATTCTTGATAATGTGACCCTTACATATAAAGAGACTGAGGCTGCTAGGCTGAACAAGTTATCTCCAGGCCTGAATATTACAGCAGAAGATGTTTACTCTATGGCTGGCTGCTGTGTTTTTGAACTAGATGTTACTGGTACCTCAAAGTTTTGTAAAGCTTTATCTATGGAGTCTCTGATTGGTCTTGGATATGACAAGGATCTATCTTACTACTACTCTTGGTCAAGATTCAGTTGGAACTTTGTTCTTTTCTTTTTCGCATGACAATGACTTGCTGAGATATTTGACGGCTCCAGGACTGTATGATCATGAGGAAGAATTGCCTCTTGATGGAGTCGAATTTAGAAGATCCTTCAAGTCTTCGGAAATTGTTCCTATGGCTGATTACAGAGAGGTTAACTTGCTATAATGCAACAAGTCAAAATAATGACATATGTGAGACTTTTTCTAAACGACCAAGTTTTCCCGGTTCCGGATTGCACAACCGGGCCGGGCTACTCTTGTCCTCTGAATGAGTTCAGTGATATTATTGAAGGCTCAATTACTGATTAACCAACACTACCCGACGCCAACAGACTAGGTCTCGGTTTTGAAATATCTCACCTTTAACAGGTCGTTGATCCAAATTTAAAAATAGTGCTTTTTTATTTTGCTAAAATATAGACAATTCATTAACCTTAAAGTCTTGAAATTGAGAAACCCTCTATGGTTACCAATATACAATGACACAGGAGGATATGATATAGTTACTTAACGAGAAGAGCTAAGCTTCATTTCCATCAACGGACTCAATCTTCAAAGGACGTTCAGGGGATGGGGAAAGGATATAGCGAGCATCAATGAGCTTCACTTTAGGATTCACAGTGAGACCGAATCCTGGTTTATCAAGCTGGGAGATGTTCAAAAATCCTTTGGTTGGGACAGTCTCATCTGTGAACAAAGAGCCAAAAACTGGTAGCACAGAACTTGAGTCTGGCGAGTTGGCTAGGTACTCCTGGAAAGGTGTGTTTGATTGAGAAGCAACAAAGTGGTATGAGTAGGAACCTGAAGCATGTGGCACAACCGGAATATCATAAGCAGCAGCTTGTGCAGCAATCTTTAGAAGCTCAGTCATTCCTCCAACCCACATAACATCTGGCTGCAAAATATCCACATTTCTTCCTTCGATCAATTTTCTAAATCCATACTTGGAATATTCATGTTCTCCGGTGGTGAATTTCATTGTTGGGAAGGCCCGCTTAAGCAAAGCATAACCATCAAAGTCATCAGGATGAAGGGTCTCTTCCCACCAGTTGATATTCAAGTCTTGGGTAGCTTTGACAAGATCTATAACATAGGACACATTTAACGACATGTAACAATCAACCATAAGCGGGAAATCTGGTCCCACTGCCTTACGATGATTTCTCAAAAACTCCACATTCTTCCTAAGTCCTGGAAATCCATCATCAGGTCCGTATGGTAGTGCGACCTTTCCTCCCCAGAATCCCATCTCCTTTGCCGCTTTTGGATTACATCTGGTACAGTAAAAGTCAATTCTGTCGCGGGTTGCACCACCAATCATCTTGTAGACCGGCTCATTTCTGATCTTACCCAGGAGATCCCAAATTGCAAGGTCAACAACGGAAATGACAGCCAAGGTGATACCTTTTCTTCCATAAAACATGGAAGCTCTAAATAATTTATCCCAGATCAAATTGTAATTTCTGGGGTCCTCTCCAATAATAAATCTCTCAAAATGATTATGAACTAACCAGCATGCAATTGGTCCTCCAAATCCAGTTGCAAATCCTTTGGAACCGTCAGTGGACTCAATTTCCACGCAAAACGAGCCAAGAACGTTGATTCCCCAGCTGGTACGAGAAGCCTTGTATTCAGGGAACTTGGACATTGGATTGGCAATATAGTTGTCCACCAGCCAGTGTCCTTTTTCAACATTATGGTAGTCACCACCTATTCCCTTTCCTTCTGTAAGATAAGTGGTTATTTTCTTGATACGAGGAAATTCTGCGGCAGTCATTTTAATGCTTGTAATCTAGGACTAGTGATACGGAAATTTAAGCTGTTATATAGTTATTGAGTTGTTTTCAGAAATGCAAAATTGATTGTTTCATGGTCACCAGTTAGGAACTATTTCTGGTACTTGAAAATGATTGCACCCGGAAAAGGATTTAAAGAATGCTCCGAAAAAATTATGGGGAAACCTAACCCCACTATCCAATTTTGGAACTTTTTATCAATACGTTCGGGTCAATAAAGCTGTCGATAAAAAATAAAGAGTCTGCAGGGTGGGACACTTATTCCAGTACAGTTACATAATCTGTAAATAGTTCTAATAGTTTCTGTTCGTGTGCCCCCTTCAGCTCGCTGGTTGCACAGATATAATTGGTGTTGATAATGGGCTATTGACTATTGAAGAGGCTCCTATGCAATATTATTTTGAGTCAGGTATCCAAGTAAGTCTTCAAATGCAAAAGAGCTCGTGTCAAATTGGAAAGCGTCCAGAAGCATACTCTCCTCTTGGGTTCTGTTTGACCTTGACTGCGTCGAAGCTAAAAAGCCGTTTTTATCTATTATTGAATTTTGGCTATCGTGCAGCTTCCGGTTTTGAGAATCTTTCGTTAAAGATTTGTTCAAAATGAGAGAAAGTAGATGTGCATTGATCCTCATGTCAGCAATGGCCTGTGACGGAGGTATTTCATACTCATTTCCTTCTGGATAGTCCGTGTTTGTAGGTGCAGGGAGAGTATCAAAGCCGAAGCTTTGTAGCTGCCTCAAAATCCTATAGTATTTTTGAGCTCCCTGCCAATGCTTCCCGATTGCGAATAGTATTCCGGAAAACAACTTTAGTTTCAAGTTGAGGTTCTCCCGATCTGACTGGCTTTTTGCAGCCTGGTTAAAAATGCTGTCTGCTATCAAGACTCTAGCGCAAACCCATATACAAAAAGAATAGTGTGGTCCTAAGTTTTCAAGCATTTTCTCACCGTTCTTCTTTTCTTGCTCCATGATATTTTGAGCCAATAGTGCTACTCTTTCCACTGATTCAAGACATATTCGTCGCGAGCTTTCTGAGTGCTTGAAAGCGGAAGATTCAATATGCGGGTATCCATATGCGCTGTGCATCTTGATCAGTGCTATGTGGTATGAAGAATGCAAAAGAGCAAGACCTGCAATTTCTTCAAAGGTATTTTGTTCAGTACACAAAGTGCTTGAATCCAACAGGGAAGCGTACTTAGAGGGTAAATTGCTCTTCCAGTCCATCATTTCGGTTTCCAACATATGAAAGTGCACAAACCACTCACAAACATTTTGCTTGTCAGCTATATTTCGGGGGTGAGATATAAACGCATACATCTTTCTCATCATCTGTATTACATCAGTGAAGTAACTGAATGCATCAAAAGTTTCAGTTTCTGAGCCATTCTTGGCAAAAAGAAGTGGCTTGTAGTTCGGATCATCAATTTGACTCCACAACTTGGTTCCCAGAGGCCTAGAGAGCTTTTCTTCTGACTCGGGCACACACAATGGCGTGCCTGAAGAGAATGAATTCAGAAGATCAAGAACAACGATACCCCACCCTAGCCGAATCCTTACCTCCTTCTCATTGACAGTGACAGGGTCTTTCAAAATTTTGGCTCTTTTTGGTCGAATAACAAAAGGTAAAGAGTCCTTTGTAGTATCTGAAGATGTAGATCGAGAATTCGCATCGTTGGTAACCGAAATATTCAAGTGGATCATCCCAGTGGCAGACATGCCAATAATTGAAGACGATTCTGGAACAAAAGAATTTCCAAATGAATAATAAGCCATCAATGCTATCGTTTGAAGTTGAACAATTGAAGATATAGAGTAACATTCGAGAATGATCTTCTGTTTACACGTGAGAATCAATTGTTCAACTTCATCTTTGGTCATGGAAACATTCTTGCTTTCTTGTATGTATTGCATTGAATTTAGAACAATCCCGTAGATAATCAATGGTGGTTTGTCAACCGACAAATCTTGAGTGGCATTTGAAGCTTCAATGGCACGAATATATTGCTGTACACTTCTTCTTGCTTCTCGTGGATGAATAATAGGAAAGCTGGGATATACTTTGGCAAAGAATATATCAACGAGTTGTTTAAGTGTTCCAGGTCCTGGTAACCCATTGCTGAGAAACCTGATGTTACGGTCCATGTGTTGGTGTTTAGGCATCTGTGAGCTCATAGTTGTTTGGGATTGGCTTAAAGCAGCGTCCACAGATGTCACACTAGCTTGAAGAGAATCTGAACTCATCAAGTTTACCAAACTATGCCCCACATGATTTGTAGAATTGCCACCTTGCAGGCTTTCGAGCGCCGATTCGATAATTTTGAACTTCTTATGAAATGTTTGGCTTTCTTCCTCCAAAGAAGATATCCTCTTTAGTAGCTCTTTTCCATAACCAGGTTTAAGACCCGGTTTTTTGACGTAAGAATATACACACTCAAATCCATGACTTCGACAATGCGAACATACTTTTTGCGAATCGCATTTGAGCTTCTTTTCCCGGCAAACATCGCATGATTTTGACAACCGTTTACGGTTATTTTCATTGTCTTCAAAGAACTACCTCGTGAATGTTCATTTTTCGTTGATATGCCTCCAAACCCGATCTTTTTCCCAGAGCTAAAAGATCAGATTCCCCGGAAATTTTCTTTACCCCACAATATGTGGCTACGTAAGCGAAAAACTTCTCCATACATTAAGGGCTGGAAATTTAATGAGCGACACCTTGCACCAACTATATTCCATTCCTGACAGTAGGGCATATATATAGTGGGGATACTATGATCCTAAAAGGTTTTCTCGTATTCTCTAGCTTCTGAAAGCTTCCTGAATATGACCAATACTGTCTCAGGTACTCCTGAACCACCACAACCTGGAGTTTATACTCCAGTCCCTACATTTTTCAAGAAGGACCTTGTTACAATAGATTTTGAAACCCAGATTGCCCACGCTAAGTATTTGAGAGACAATGGTATCAAGGGTTTGGTTTTGATGGGAAGCACTGGTGAAGCAGCACATTTAACAAGAACAGAGAGAGTTTCAATAATTGAGGCCATCCATAAAAATCTACCTGGATTTCCAATTCTTGCAGGAGTGGCTCAAAACTGCTTGGAAGAAGTGCTCCACGAAATTGACGCAGTCAAAAAAGCTGGAGCATCCTACGCACTTGTCCTAAGTTCCAGCTATTATGGCCCAGGAATCAAACAAGCAGCTATTGAACAATTTTACACTGAGGTTGCAAATCAATCCAGTCTGCCCATTATGATATACGTTTATCCAGGAGTCACCAATAATATTGTGGTGGAGCCAGAAACTATAGTCAAGCTTTCGAAACATCCAAACATTGTTGGAACCAAGATATCACATGGAGACGTCGCACACCACACAATGATTGCAATGTCACCGGTCACTAAAGAGAACAATTTCTACACTTTCACTGGATTGGGGCAAATACTGCTTCCAGTTTTGATGGTGGGAGGAATGGGTACAGTTGATGCACTATCCGGAGCATTCCCAAAGCTATATGTCAAAATTTTCGAGCTATTTCAAGCTAAGCAGTATGAGCAAGCAGCAAAGCTTCAGTTTATTGCTACAAGAGCAGAAGAGTTGGTGGTTAGATTTGGTGTCGTGGGTATCAAGAAAATGATCAGTATCAAAGGGTTTGGAGAAACCTATCTTGGAAGAATGCCACTCAACCAGGACGTTGATCACAGTTACTGGTCACAGTTCAAACAGAATATCTCGGAAATTGTGGACGCAGAAAGTGTTTTGTAAAGTAGGTCAATCTATTACATGGCCATGTTTCGTTATCACAGTATAGCTGGCCGGGTTTCTGACTCCGAATAATGATTATTATTCATTACTGTAGATTTACAAACAAACCGCCATCGACCAGTATCTGGGCGCCTGTCACATATTCAGACAGGTCGCTGGCAAGAAATATTGCTGGTCCTGCCATATCTGATGGGACACCAAGTCTACCCAATGGGACTCTTCCTTCCATATAGGCCTTCTTTTGTGGATCTTGCAAGTCCTCCTCGTTCAATTGAGTTCTGATCGTTCCAGGGAGCAGGGCATTACACCTAATTTTGTGTTTACCAAGAGCGCACGCAGTTGACTGCATGAGCTACAGGATCGCGGCTTTCGTAGGCGTGTAATGGGCCTGCAATCCACCACCCACCAATGCACTAATGGAAGAAATTCCAATTATAGATCCACCCTTTCCTTGTTTGATCATCTGGGCTGCAGCAGCTTGTGTCGCGAAAAAGGCACCGTCGAGATTGATGCTCACAGTGTTTTTATAGAGATCGTAGTCAATTTTTGTGAACTCCATGAATTTGCAAACCCCAGCATTCGATACAAAAACGTTCAGCTCACCGAATTTGTTCACCGTTTGTTCAATAAGCTTAAGTGATGTTTCGGGATATCTTATATCGCCCTCAACTGCTAGCATGTCTGGAATCTCTTTTTTCAGACTTTGGATCTCGTTCTCTTGGCCGCTAAGGTAATTCACAGCGACTTTGGCTCCTTGCTGAGACATCCCCACAGCAATTGCTCTACCGATCCCTGTGGCAGCTCCTGTTATCGCAACAACTTTACCCTGGAGAATCATTTGATTTTTCAGAACCAATTAACCCCGTTGGTCTTAGTCCTAGATCAATTGTGTGATCTCTTTGCTGAACTGAGATTGTTGAAAAAAATCCAAATTATATATGTATTGATCTGAATTTCTAAATCGCTCGGAAAAATGTTCATGGTCATTTTAAAGGGCCGACATCTACGTGTTGCCTAAAGAGGGGAAGTTGGCGGGGTCATATTTTTTAATAAAAATCCGGGTTTTCGATCTCACAACAATAAAGTGGAAATATAGTTGGGATGGCGTACAAGAACAATTTAGTCCGTCTCGATCAATTTTATTATTGCACTGAACTCGCCAAACTTTGAACCCCTTCTCAGTCCTGTTCTAACAGTATGGAAAAAATAGATTTGATAGATGCTCATGTGCATCTTTACGATGAAGAGAACCTCAGCTCATTGAGGTGGATGGATAAATCACTTCCAATTAGTTGCGAGCACACAGTAACCGAGTATCGGGTACAGAACTGGAATCAGGGCACTAGTCGATTCAATTTCAAGGGCATTATCTATATTGAATCAGACGTCAAGACAGAGCTTTCAAGTGGCCTTGAAGGCTTTACTCCTGCAGTACGAGAATTGAAATTTGTAATTGAACAGTCAGTCAAGGAAGAAGGCTCGATTCTTGCTATAGTTCCTTGGGCACCGGTACCTTTAGGACCACAGATACTAGAACTGCACATCGATAAACTATTTGAAGATATCAATCCACGAAAAATCTCTTTAATCAAGGGTTTTCGATTTCTTTTGCAAGATAAGCCGGATGGAATCATGGTCTCAAAGAAGTTCATTGAGTCCATCAAGTGGATGGCTAAAAACAAGCTTGTCTTTGAGCTAGGAATTGATTTTCATCGTCGTGGAGATGGCCAGTATAGAGAGGTGTGTGTTTTGTTTGAAAGTGTGAAAAATGCTACTTTTGTCATAGATCATTTTGGGAAGCCCAATCTTGCACTTGATGGGTTTTCAGGCAACCTCGATGCATGGAAGCGCTCGATGAATAACATCCATGAGACAGCTGTGAAAAATAACAATGCAGTCTACATGAAACTCAGTGGTTTGTTTTCTGAACTTGACAAACATGCTGAGAATATCAGTTACGAAGAAATTGTGCAAAGAGCCACTCCCTACTTCGAATATGCGCTGCAGACATTTGGACCCGCTAGAGTTATTTGGGGAAGTGACTGGCCAGTATGCAAGCTTAATGGTGGAGAGACAGCCTTTCCATTATGGAGAAACTTAACCATGGACATTCTAAACAATCTTGAGGCATCTGACGACGAGAAACAACGAGTTTTTAGCATCAATGCCGTGGATGCCTACAATATTCATGTCAACTGAGAGAGTACTGCCAGTCAGATAATAAAACTTCTCGTCTTGGTAGTCTTAATATGCCAACTAGCAAGAACTTCTTAGGTGTCACCGTTTCTTTTCTGAGTCACCTGCCATATTGGTGTCTTTGAATGAATACATGTGAACTTTTGATCACCAAAACCACTAGGCTCCTCACACAGAGACCGCTTCCCTGTCTGTCGTTTGCGCTGCTCCCAACACTGAATTACGAGCACTTCACATTCATCCCTACACCAGCATAGTAGAAAGATTCGCAAGGATTTTTTCCGCGACAAGCTGTTCGTTGTAGTACACGTTAAACGGCGTCCCCAGTTAAACAAAGCAGGATTTATAGTGCAGTGTTTCCTTGTAAAGGCTCACAGATTGTGCCTGTTTGTTTTGGAGCACTATTCCTTGAGTTTTAGACAGTTCGCATTCCGATCTTAAATTTATTTTGGCAATGAATTCAAATAAAACATGTTCCCGTCTCATTTAATATGGTTAAATAAAATTTGCGTTCAGTTTCCCACCGAGCCGCGTCTGTATCGTACTACTGTCAGTTCTTTTAATGGTGCCATATTTTGACCCATTATTATTCAACTCTTACTAGCCAGACCTCAAGAGCGAACGCTGCATGCTACTTAAGAAAACAGGGGCATGGCAGAAAAGCCCGAAATTTGGGGATCCGTTCTGCTTTTTTTCTGCTCACGGCTGTGCAGAATGCTTTATCGTGCATTTTCAAGGGGTTTATCGTTAGTCACGTGACTTTTGAGATTACGCTTCGCTACTAATTTGCAGAGCTTCTAACTATTGCAAGGTTTTTAGATTATAGTGTCAGTGACCCCTATCTATAGACCATTATCTGCACAGCCAAACACTCCTCCGACTTCGCCTGCACGGTACGAGTTGATGATACTCTGGACCACAGCGTACACACCAGGACCCAAAATGTAGAACCCGAGCACAATCAGTCCGACATTGAGCACGACCTGGACCTTGTCCCAGAGGCCGCCACGCACATCCCGAACATGGAAATATGCGAGTCCCCAGTAGACGAAACCAAACCAGCAGTCAAATAGAGAGCTCATCAAAGAGAGCAAATCGCTGAAGAATGGAATCACCTCGGCAATCACAAACGCGACCACCCACGTTGCCGCCAACAGCCCCGCCCACACTGCCCATCCCACCACTGTATGGTCACGCCTGTGCTGGCTGTGCTTGTCATAAATACGGAAAAACACAAACCGTGCAGACACGCTGGCATACAGCAGACCCAGGAAGATAAGCGTCGGCACAGCAAACGAAAAAGCAATTTTCGTGTACACTGGAGCCAGCGATCCAAATGCCGGCGCCGTGATGTACGCGTCACCCACGTAAACGTACACGATCGTGCCTGTCAGCACGTATAGCACAATCTCTGCGATCGTGACTGCGTAGACCGCTTTGTTGAAATCTCTTGGATTCTTCATCTCTGCAATAAACGACGGGTACGTGATTTGTCCCACGAATGTGTACACAATATTCAGCACAGCGTTCATTCCCTGGACGTATGTCGTTCCTTCGGCTGGCCACAGCCGCCATGTTACGCCGGTGGTCCCATCCCAGCCGCCAGGGTGATCCTGTACACCGGCAAAAACCATGCTGAGCACTATAGCCACAAACATGGTTGCTGCCGAAAACCAGCCCATGAACGACAGCCCAGAAAATGTCCGTGGTAGGGAGAACACAAAGCAGATTACCGCCGCAACCACACAGAAATCCACAGTGCACACTGCGTGGTTGGTTATCGTGTTCAAGTACTTGGCTCCCGTCAGCACGTGCAGCCCCTGAATAAAGGTGTTGTTCAGAATAAAACACACCGCCGTAAACCACCAGGCCCACCGCTGCCCCCACAGCAGGTGCTGTCCTATGTCGCAGATGTCCTGGACCTGTGGGTGCTTCAAGCAGAACCGCCATAGCGTAAGCGAAGTGTAGAGCACGCACAACGACACAAACACCGTGCACAGGATTCCTGGCACCACTCCAAGCACAGAAAACGACCAGGGAAAGCTCATCACTGCAAGACAAACATACTCCGAGAACAGCAGGGCCGCCGTCTTCTCCCATGAGCACGTTCTGTACTGGATCCGTGCCCCCTCTTGATCCGCAAGCTCTAACTTCAAAAACTCCTCGAGACTCGTCGCACTGGTCGTGGAGGCAGCCTCATTATCGAGACTGGCGTCTACCTTTGTGATTGGTTCCTTATAAGACATTTGAAACGAAATACATTTGACAGGCTTGAAATTTAGTTTGGCTTGCTGTGGCTTACGCCACAAGAGCGATTGACAAGGATTGGGAAAAAGAAAAGTTCAAATCATTTATCAAATTTTAGCCACACTAGATGGAAGTAGCCGAGGTATGACGCGGAGGATAAACATGTAACCGTGTAGTTGGTCTGTTTACGGCTCGCAGGACCGCCCAACTCACGGCTTGCGTTCAATTCGCTTTCCATGGTTCTAGATTTTTATCAAAGCCTGGTGTAGCCACAGACATTCTCAAGTTGTCTGTTCTCAACCAATGGTTGAATAGAATACCGCAAGATGGTAGCAGGATGGCTAGAGACAGATTTCAAACGTAAAAAAACATGCACTTGTTGAAACTTTGCCGCAGAGGTTGAGAGGGATGGTATTGAATGGCTTAAAACTGAGTCACGTCCATCTCGTAGATCTCATGATGATCGTTTGCAATGTAGTGCCCTCATCAGCTGCTCAAAACTTACTCTTGAGCTTTGAACATACCTAATTTTTGTCCACGGTAAAAGTTTTGGCTTATCGGCCGCTACTGAATTTGGTCTCCACAATACTGCCACAGTTGCATATCATAAAAACTTAGAGCCAAATTTACTGGAATCATAGATGGTCGAATCGAGTCTACGTAAGAAAGCATCTTTCAGTTGCGATCGGTGCAAACAGAAAAAGCGCAGGTGTGTGCGCCAAGGGGACGGCAACATCGTGGTTTCGCTAGATGTCGCGCAGGCCTGTACTGAATGCATCAAATCAAACAGTATTTGTCATACAAGTTTAATTAATCGGAAACAGTATGCCTCAAGATACAAGTGCCAACTTCTAGGAAACTCAAACATCAGTTCTGACAAAACAGGTCCTATTGAAAGCATTCTACTTCAGACTTTGAAGAAGCTTGTCCCCAACATAGAACTTGAATCTGACGCAGACGTTATCGGTCTTGCAAAAGCAGTAGGAGTGAACGTTGATGGTATCATGCAACAAAAACTCGCAACACAGTCATTCTTAGTGGACAGTTTGGGCCATGTTGATATTCAACAGGAACAAATCGTTAAAGATGATAACGGTGATCCGCGCCTGCTTGGTTCGCTGGGCACTCCTGCAATCCATCACAACATATTAGAGCTAATCCAAAAACCAAGAAATCCCGAATTTAGGTCACAAGCAGCCTCAAATATGCTGGAATCTCCTCAAGTATCTCTGAGCTCGAACTTTTCAATTTCCGGACTAATTGATAAAGCCGGAGCGGTTCGCTACGCAGATATATTTTTCGAAAACGTCAACAATGTCTTTATATGTGTCTGCAGATCAGAGTATGAAGAACTTGTGCAGAAATCATGGCAAGGTGAGACTCTGTCTTCGATTCAAAGTTTCCTCGTGCTGCTGGTTTGGTTACTTGGTAAACTGTTCATTATAGAGAAAGAGCTCGACACCAATGACAGGCTTATGAGTATTTATAAAGCATTTCGCGATCACATAGTTGGACAGATTAGTGTTAAGTGCAGCATAATCGGAATCAGAGTGCTCGTGCTGATAGCCATCGTCTCAGAAAGTGTCGAGGAAAGAAATTTAGCCTGCAACTTGTTTAAAATAGCCGCGGTTCAAGCAACATCAGTTGGAATTCACAGAGATGTCTTTCATCAAGAAGTTCCTAGGCTACAAAAGGAATATTCTGAACTGTGGTGGACGATATTTAACAATGAAGTGCGCTTGAGCAATATAATGGGACGATCAAGCTCTATTGATTTAGATGATGTTACGATAAGTGCTAACTTTAAATCACATCAGCTAACAAGCAACGTTTGTTTTTACGAATCATCCAAATTGCACCAAATTTTGTATCAGTTTCTCAAATTTAAGGCTTGCAACCTCCAGAACTCGTTGATCCTGAGTTCTCCCGACGCAATAGAGAAAGCTGTGCAACTAAGACAAAAACTTCTAACTTGGAGAAGAAGTCTTCCCGAAAATTTGGGAGATATTTTCAATTCTAAGCTTGGAGAACTGTCGTATCCCCAAATATTCCTGCACCTGGAATATCACTATTGCTACATCAATGTGGGGGTTCCCTTCTTATTATTGATACTGCGAGCAGTCAACAGTGGAAAAACCATTCAGATCTCGAAAGACGATCCGATTCTTCAGCTTGCTGTTTCTTCCATCAACTGTTCCAAACAGCTCTATAACATTGTTGAGTACGAATTTGAGAACAAACTATTCAATGGATCGGTTCATACCGACCTCTACATACTATATCATGGGGTTTTAGTGCTCACGATAGCATCGATACTACTAAAGTCTGACAAGTGCGGAAACATTGTGGACACAGAACTGCTCGACAGAACATTTGGTATCAGCTTCGATAAATTGTGGGAAGTCCTAGGAAAAATAAGGAAGCTCAACGACAATCTAAAAGCCTACTGTTTTGGATCTGCTGCTATGGCCTGGAATTTGATTGATTCACTCTTGCAAGACCTAGAGAGCTTTCTAAATAGAGAATGTGATGACTGGGGTAGCATGTTGCAAATTGAACAGAACTTTTACGACCCATTGAGCATGTTCAACATCAGCACAGATGGACTTTTAGAATTTTTGAGTACACCGGCAAACGAAGGATTTGACTTTAGGGTAGCCGATGTTGTTAGGTAATCAAATTTCAATTTCACCTCTAGCTATTTTGTAGAACAGGTCTTTAAGTACAATCTTGGCATCCTCTGGATCATCAATGACATTGGATTCAAAGAAGTTGTATCTTCCCCGGGGTCCCAGACTGTGAATCTTATTATAAAGCTCTGTCGCTGCATCAGATGTCACTCTTTTAATTCCTGCTGTTTGAAGTGCAAAAGCATCTACGACCCACTGCTTTTGTTCCTCTTTGGAAGGAAGACTATTAGCATTGGACCAGACCCCTGCAATCGCTACTGCACTCACCTCGCTAATGAGAAAAAACAATGGCGTTCTTGGGATTCCGATGTGACAGAGCGTAGGGTCACCAATGGAAAAAGTGTATAGATACAAATTTCTAACATTGTTGTGCTGAGTGGCTTCTTCACCATCGGTACTCACCTTGACATAGTCCTTTCCTTCATTTTCAGGTATACTAAGGAACGGGTAGTGTGTATGGTAACCTGTTGCCAAAATGATGTGGTCAAAGCTTTCCACTTGACCATCGATAAACTCAACTGAGTCTTCCAGAAACTGTTTAATTTTTGGGTGAAGGCGTATCTGGAAAGTAGGGTCGGTCAGCACGTCAGAGATCCACTTTTTACCGGCTTCATTATTCTTTAATGCTTGGCCTGGAATTGTGTTGGTTGATACATGCACTTCTTTGCAGACAGGTATAAGATATTGTAGAATATCGACGGCACTGATGCTACTTCCAACAATCAGCACTTTTTTATTCTTAAGATCGGATGGATTTCTGTAAGACTTGGCATGACTAACATTATTATGCTTCGTTGCAAAGTCGCGTAAGCCCTCTATTTTTGGGAAGTGAGGGATATTGAATTTTCCTACGGCAACGACAACGGCATCGAAAGTTTCTTGATACCACTTATCAACGTTATCCTTGCTTTCCACCACCTGCAAGATCCATTTTTCAGTCACTGGGTCTTTGTAGACTTTTTCAACGGAGGTGTTGAATTGTATATATTTCTCTAAATCGTTGATTTTTGCAAAACTCTCCAAGTAACGAAGCACATGATCGTGCGTGACAAAAGGTGCATATACTCCATCTTTCTCACTACCAGATGGTGGACCCGAGGTAAATCTCATTAATTCACCCGGAATATTAGTAAAGAGACCATCATAAATGCCGCTTTTGTTCCACCTTAGGCCTTGCACTGGCTTGGACTCAATTGGAGACTCCTTAGACGTCGAATCCAAACTTGCTGGTGGACATCTTGTTGGCCTGACCTCTGAAGGCCTGTAGTATTCGTTTACCCCGGAAGGAAATGCCTCGTCTTTCTCTTTGCTATAATTCCAAACACCCCCGATCGAGTTATTTTGTTCGAAAACTGTTATCTCTGAAAATGCTCCATTAGCCGGCAGTGGATGGCGGTCTCTTTCCTTATCAATAGTCGAAGATCCGTCACTAGCAGTGTGTAATAGCTCATTCAATGTAACCAATCCACCTGCTCCGGCACCGATTATGGCAACTTTCTTCACCGATAATGTCATTTGTCAGCATAGCTTTTCCATAGATACAGTTATATATTTGTGGCTCGTAGCGGAACTGAACCAAAATAATTCCGCATTATTATAAAACTGCTAATCAAAAAAGAACAAACACAATCACGTGGCTACACATGATCCGCCCCATATTTTAACTCACTGGGGGTAATTTTATATTCTGGTGCATCGTCCCAAAAGCTGGCCAAGATCTCGCGATTCTGGGTCCCGTAAGGTGTCCTTCCATGGTAGCATGTATAATTGTTGATGAATACGATATCTCCCTTTTGAAATGGGTGTTCGTAGCAGCACTCAATCGACTGCTCTAACAGATAATCCAAGTATTCCAACGGAATAAGTGATCCGTCGTCATAGGTGATAGCAGGCTCGGCAGAGCTGCCATTTTTCTCCAAATCAAGCTTGTACTTGGCGTAGTAGCCCGGTAACGAACTGAAAAGAATTGGGTTGCCAGAATAAGGGTCCCTTCTCACAGGTTGTGTGTGCTCATGTAACTTTAGACCATTATCCTTGGTAAACTCAAACTCGTCAACAACATACTCTTTACAGATGAGGCCTGCCTTAGCTTTCTGTTTCTCAAGATCGTCATCTTCTTCGATCAAACTTCCAAAGGAATGTGTGGCCTTCCAGGAATAAACTGATCCGTTTGCAAGTTTTTGTTCATATGGCCAGGTTTGTGTAAGATAAACACCTTTCTTGACCATCTGCTCAATAAACTCCGGATACTTCTCAACCAACTTGTCGAAAAGCTCCGTCGCATGGGTGATTGTTTCATGCCCCCCAGTTTCCGAAGGTTCTTTTGCAAAAAAAGTTAAAACCGACGGGTACCGTTTAAATCTCGAGAATTCCTGATGGGCATAAAGTCTACTGAGACCGGTTGACTTGTTCACCGTGGTGACATTCTCAGCAATTGTTATGCGTGGGTGAGCAACTCCATTTTGTTCGTAAGGAATCCATTGGGATCCCTTTGCAACTGAGCCAATGAATACTGCAAATCTCTTTGGGCAATCGGAGCCAAAACCTTGGATCACCAAGGCGCCATGTTTTCTGATAAGTGTCTTAAAGAAATCGTGCTTTTCGGCCAGCTCTTCTACAAAGGCTGCAAATTCACTGTAGACTGATTTGTCCTCAGATGGGTCTACTGGAAACTCTGCTTGTAAAACCAAGGGAAATTCCTCTCCTCTGATGTACCGAGCCCGGTGGTTTGTCTTTTTGGAGAGTTTGTAGGTCCTTCCTCCATAAACACCAACAGCCTGTGGCAGCGCATGCTGCAAAATACCTTCTGTAACAGTCATCTTGACTAGAACCACATATTTGATTTAGGGCACATTAAATATTAAAAATCCAGATCTAGCTGCGGAATATGCAACTTTTACTTCCGCAAGATGCCACAGCTGATAAGCACTCCGAGAAAAAATTAATTCAAGCACACAATATATAAAGATGACACCTGGATACGGTTTGATGAACGATGGAGAAGACCATGGATCATAAGGAATCTGTTACTAGTGAGGTGTCTGAACCCGACTCTCATCTAGTTGCCAAAATCAAAAATGCGGACGTCACGTTGAAGTTCATGGAAGAACACGATGCTATGGTTGGAGAGCTCTCCCCAGACCAGGCAAAAGCATTGTATCGCAAGCTTTTACGTAGAGTGCTTGTTATTGTTTTCATCATCAACTTGCTAATGTTTTTCGATAAGAACGCTATGTCGTTTTCGAAACTCTTGGGAATGTGGAAAGAGACACACCTGACTCAAAAACAATATAGTAACGTCAACTCTCTTTTCTACGCAGGTTACTTGGTTGGACAAATACCTGGCCATCTTATCATGCAGAGAGTAAACCTGAGATTCTTCATGCTCGCTCAATTGTTATGTTGGGTGATACTTATGTTCAGTCAATTGGCAGCCAAGGACTACCCTGCTATTGCAGCTATCAGATTTCTTCTAGGTGTGACAGAAAGCGTGGTTACGCCATGTATTGAACATACTCTTGCAATGTTTTTCACTTTGAAAGAACAGGAAGTTATTAATCCGATTTTCTGGATCGGCACGGTTGGCGTTGGTATTCCGACAGGCTTTATTGCTTATGGTGTTAACCATTACAAGGGAGATGTTATTAGCAGGTGGAAGATCTACTGGATCATCAACGGTGGACTAACACTTTTGTTGGCAATTTGGGTTGCTTTTGACTATCCGGACAACCCTGCGACGTATAAAGCCTTTTCCATAGAGGAGAGAGTCCATATTGTCAGACGCATCAAAAAGCAGTCGAGATCGTCAATTGAAGAGAAACATTTCAAGATGTATCAGTTTGCGGAAGCTATAAGAGACCCGGTCACTTGGCTTTTCGGCTTGTACGCATTTACGAGCATGCTTGCTAATAACATGAATTTCCAACAGCAAGTTATCTCAACGTCGTTGGGTGTGTCCAATTTGAACTCTACTTTGATTACGGTTGCTCAAGCGGGCTACAGTACAGTAGCATTCTTGATCGGATCATATCTGCTTTCGAAGTTCAAAAACTCGCTTTGTTATCTGTCTGTTATATCGAATGTTCCAGCTATCGTCGGAGGCATCATGGCCGTGGCACTTCCTTGGTCCAACAAAATTGGCATCCTTGCAGGTTGCATCATTGTGCACACAGATGGATTTGCCTACATCCTTGGGCTCTGCTGGTCTCAGTCCTCCTCAGCAGGTTATACGAAAAGGTTGACCAGAACAACGGTGTTCATGATCGGCTATGGCGTGGCCAATATAGTTGCTCCCCAGATGTGGACTACCGGGCCGAGATATTATGCAGCATGGATAGTTCAATTGGTTGTTGCCTGGTTCTTCAGCTCTGTACTTCTGATCTGTATAAGAGTTATTCTGTCGCGCAGAAACAAAAAGAGATTAGCTCAGTTGGAGTTCGATGAGGATGGAAACATAATCAGCAAGAAAAATGCGTTTGTTGAGGAAGCAGGAGATGACCGCAGAAAAGTCGATGTCTCGATGCTGGATTTGACGGACCTGGAAAACGAGGAATTTATATATCCTTTATAGGGTGTTAATCGTGCCTGGGGTTTTGCAGGTACACAGGATATCTAAAAAATCAATTAGCAGAGTCTATATTATCAGCTTTAAGTGAGTTTTTCTGTCATTAGTTAGGACTTGTAGTGTCGCCAATACTAGTCGGCTCACTTTTGTTACGCAATTGGCGAATCAGGCTCATATTCAGAATATAAATACGGACCAAGAGGCCCCTAGAAAAAGTCTTTTTCGTCCGTAGGCAATCCCAGAGCTTCTCTTTGGGACTTTGACTCGGGATCAAAGTAGGGCAAGTCAGCAAGAGAGGTGACTCTGGTTCCGTGACGTGGCTGTCTTCCTTCGTGGTCCCAAGTCGACCTGTGCTGAGACACTCTGTTATCCCAGATGGCAGATGTGCCGTAACCCTCCTTGGATGGGGTCCATCTAAACCGAACCTGTATGTCGGCATTCTTCTCATAAACATCAAAGAGATAGTTGAGGATCAAATTAGACTCAACAGACGAAAGTCCAACAATTCTCTTTGTCATCGTGCGGTTAACGTACAGTGCCTTCCATCCTGTTGCAGGGTGAGTTCTAACCAAAGGATGAACACGCTCGATTCTTTTTGGACCAGAAAATGGATTCTTTTTGTCAAGGTATCCATGCGCAGAAACGTACACGGCCTGCTTTCCATCCAGGAATTTCTTGAAGTTTTCAGAAAGCTTGTCATACGCCGCGTATCCTGAAGACCATAGAGTGTCACCACCAACATCTGGGATTGCGTCCAGATGCAGGTGAGTGATACCAGCAGGACGTTTTTCGTGAACGAGGTCTGTGTGCCAAACTTGGGCACCTCTGGTACTATTCTTGGTGGCATCCCAGTTGCCTAGGTTAATATTCTTGTAGGTGAAGTTGGATCCAAGCGACCTTTGGAAATAATCCTGCCAGATGACAGTGATGCCAGGCAAGCCATTGACTTGAGAAGCTTGGGGGTGTCTCTCGACTCGTCCCCAGTACTCGCCAAGCTCCAACTGCTTTTGAGGGGACAGCTTCTGGTCTCTAAAGAAAACAACAACTCTCTCAGCAACTACCAAGGCCAACTCGTCTTTTTGCTGGTCTGTCAGGTCCTCAAGCTGTAAACCAACGATCTCAGTACCGATATGGTTAGTCAAATGAATGACCTCCTTCGCAGCACCCAAAAGGGCTTTTTTCTCAGGGTCAGCATTCTTGGCACGCTCAATGTATTCGTAATCGTCGTCCCGGATTGCAGCAGCCTCGTCGACATAAACTGGAATAAGAGACTTGTCTGGTCTTGAAGGGTAGCCCTTAGAGATGTCAATGCCAGCATCAACCAAACGCTTCCTGGTAGAGTCAGGCAAAATGGTCAATCCGTCTGGGTCTGGGCCAAAATGCTGGTTGTCACCAGGAACAGTACCCACGAAGATGTTGTCGGAAGATCGAATCAAGCTTTCAATTTCCTTGTCGATTGGAAGAGCATGAAGATTTTGGGTGGCAGTTGAAGTCATAGTTGGCAATGCAGAAAGCAGCCAAAAATGCGGCCTTTTATAGGCCGCTGAAAAGTGGTTGCAAGGTTAAGGTGACAACCGTTCACCTGATTGAAAGCAACAAAGCTCCGGATGTGTGGCTCCAAAACTATAGCTGCAGAGCCACCCATTGGCGGTGTGAGTGTGGTCATTATAAATGCGTATAGTGATGGAGTGGGAGATTGGCTGATGGCCCAATCAAGTGCTATTGTGGCTCAGGAACATTACATTGCTGAAGTGAAGAGACTTTCGAGTCAGATAATTTCATATATGGTGTCCTGGTTTTTGTGTGGATGAAAATTCGATTGCTAGTTTTTGTGTATTATGAGGGCCGGTCGACGGCAATTGACTAAACTCCGGATGAAATATTCGACTCGTACAATAGCAGACTAGAATGTGATCCCAACGTACACAAAGGTCCAGTCTCTTGCTACGATCATAGCTTTTCAGCGTAGACAAGTTTGGGATCGTGGAAAGATGCTTCTCAGAACTTACTTATGGAATTACCTAGAGCCAAAGCGATCCTAAAATTGCCAAGAACGATCATAAGTCAATTAGACACCTATTCAAATGAAAAATCAACTGAGACCGTGGGACAGAAAAGGAAAGAAAGACAGGAAGAATATGGCGGCAGAGGTACAAGTTGATAAGCTCAGCTGGTGTCAACCAATTCCATAGCATAGGCTCTCGACTCCTGGATGTAATGTTCAAGAATCAGACAGACAAGGTGGATGGACTACTCATGACGAAAAAGCCTTTAGAAGAACATACTAATAGGACATATTTGAGTGTGCTTACTAATCTGAGCACGAAGTGTTCATAACCTTTCTGAAATTAACTCCTCTTTCTCGACTTTTCGAAGCTTATTGTCAAACAGTCCGAAATATTTTGACCGAAACCGTTTTGAATTTTCTTGGCAGGAAGGCAATCCAATTTTTCTTTCTATTGTAACATTCTGCATTAATTAGTAATTCTGACCTTGCGGTGGCAACATTTTCCAATTTATATAAAGCTTGCGGGTATCTCCCTTCTATTTCCATCGATCGGCTAGTGAAATGTCTGTGCTTATTACCGGTGCTAACGGATTCATTGCTTCCCACATCGTCGACACCCTGCTAAACTCTGGTTATACGGTCATTGGTACTGCCAGAGCTGAGTCCAAGTTCGAGCCACTTCTCAGCGAATTCAAGAAAAAGTACCCCAATGCTAACCTCTCCTATGAGGTTGTGTCCGACATCACTGCTGAGGGTGCTTTTGACGATTTGTTGAAGAAGCACCCCGATGTCAAGTACGTGCTCCACACTGCCTCGCCTTTCTCTTTCGGTTACGACAAATCTTTTGAGGAGGCCTACTTCAAGCCTGCTGTTGATGGCACTAAAAACGTTCTCAAGTCGATTAAAAAATACGCTCCTCAGGTCACCAACGTGGTCGTCACTTCCTCGTTTGCCGCAATCATGAGATTCACCCCCGACTACGTCAAGTACACGAACCAGGACTGGAACCCAATGAAACTTGAAGAATGCAAAAACGAGATGGAGGCATACTGCGCTTCCAAAACTCATGCGGAGAAGGCTGCATGGGACTTTGTTAAGAACGAGAAGCCAAATTTCAAGCTCACAACCGTCTGTCCGCCATACGTCTTTGGTCCACAAGTTTTCGACTCTGTTGTCACCAAGACTCTGAACACATCCAATGAACTGATCAACAGGATCGTCAAGACACCCCCAACCGACGAGCTGGTCAGTGAGCCTTCTGGCTTGGCAGTTGACGTCAGAGATGTTGCAAAGTTCCACCAACTAGCTTTCGAGAAGGAGTCGGCTGTAGGAACTCGGCTGTTTGTCGTTGCAGGCCACTTCACAGGACAGACCATCCTGAATATCCTCAACAAGCACTTCCCGAACGAAAAGCTTGCTGTGGGTGCTCCAGAAAAAGACAACGCAACTGAACTGATTGGCTACGATATTGACAACGTGCTTGAATCTGTTGGCGGCTACGAGTTTACATCATTGGAGAAATCGATTGTCGACGCTGCATCACAGTATTTGAAGAAGTTTGGCAGCTTCAAACAGATAGAGTAACCGTTTATATGATTAACTAGTAACTTTTTTTCACAGGAAATCCTCTTTTCTTATTAATTTCGTCAATCGCCTTTCTGGCCTCTGTCACATTTCCAAGGGCCGTAGGCATGTCTGAGTGCAAACAAAGCATGAATGGGGTCTCACCGAAATTGAATTTGATTTTTTCTCCGGAAACGCATGAGAGTTCATCCGTCTCGGCCACTTCCACCAGGTCGTTGTATATGATAGATGGGTTTTTAGCTCTGGAGAGGGCAGGAGGGACAAGTTTTCCGTCAGCAGACCAATCAACGTCAAGGTACAGCTCTTGGATGAGATCGACGCCCATCTCCTTGGCGACTTTCTCGTAGTGAGCGTTTTTGGCTCCGACCACGGGAACTTTGAAAATCTGTGCTGCCCGTAAAACCGCTCTCATCACCTCCTCGTCGCGCTCCACGTAGAAGTAGAGTTCTCCATGCGGCTTGATGTGGTTAAGTGGCATGCCCTCGGCATCCAAAAACGCCTTTAGAGCGCCTGTCTGGTACATGACCAAGTTGAAGATTTCGTCTGGTGGAATGGCAAACCTCCGTCTTCCGAAACCAAGCAGGTCAGGCAGCCCTGGATGCGAGCCGACCTTGACGTCGTATTTCTTGGCAAGCTTGACCATCTTGGCCATGATGTTGAAGTCGCCCGCGTGGAATCCGCACGCGATGTTGGCGACGTCGATTAACGGCATAAGCTCCTCATCGGGGCCCATTTTCCATTTTCCAAAGCCTTCTCCCATGTCACAGACAATTTCATACTTGTCCATGTACTTATTGTTCACCTCGGGTGATCCCGAAAGAGCTTCTGGTATTATGGCCATAGTTGGAGAGTATCACAGGGAGTGGTACGAGAATGAGTATTTCAATGCTCAGCGAATTTCGATAAGCCAAAATAGCGGCTACCCAAAATGTATATTAACTGTGCTTTTGCGCTATAACGTGTGTCGGCCCGCTTTGGTGCAAGATAAGGCAGGGCGGTCGAGAAGCGCATAAAACCTGCATGCTTGAAATTTGGGCCGCATGTGCTGCACTGCTTCAGCCTCACGCCACTGGTTTTTTTCCTCGAAATCAAGTATATATTTGTTTAAGCTAATTAACGGTACTAATATTCACGACGGCCTCCTCTTTGTTCTCAGCCTCCGCCCTGCAGCTTGCTACCTGGCTTAGAACCTGCTCAGAGTAGAGCACAGGGGTCCGCTTTCTTGTAAACATGTTCTTAAAGAGAGTCTTGATACCGTTCCAACTTTCCACCACAGGGTACACTGTGACGATACTGACAGAGAAGAACACCCATAAAAAGGTGACCACAATATAGCCGCGGAAAAATGTCTTTGTGAAAATGTAGTGGCTGCCGTACAGAGGCATTGGGAAGAGCACCAAAAAGAAGAGGACAAAGAAGACAGCCAAACCTATACCGTAGTTTCTTTTGCGTTTCATCATGGCGTCTTCTTCCTGTTCTTTGGTGAGGACAATCTCTGTGAGGTCTTCCCCACTCAGAACGTTCGTCAAGCCTTGCTCTTTGTCGAACTCAGAGTCGTCGACCTGTTTGATCTCGGTCTTCCATTTATTCCAGTCGAAGTCTGCTGGCTTCAAGTATGTGAACAGCGGCACAAACACGATTGGGACAAAGATGGCGGCAGTGTTACCAGCAGCCAAAGCCCGATAAGTAGACAAAGTGGTAATGGTCACGGATTTCGATGCTGAATAACTGTATCCAATCCAGATAGCCAGCGAAATACACGTAGAGAGCGTACTGCTAGCGACAAATGCAAAGGTCGAGAGTTTCTTCCAGAAAAGCGTGCAGATCATCGGAATAACGCAGACATTGACAATAATACCGGAGGCAGTGGTGATGAACGACACGTCGAAGTTGGCCTGGCCAAGTCCAATAGCCAGTCCAATAGCCACGGCACTGAAAATAATGACACTCAGGTGCGTGACCAAGACAAGTCTTTTGCCGTCTGCTTTTGGATTGATGTAAGACTTGTAAATGTCGTACGTGAGCAATGAAGACACAGCCACGGTTTCGGAAGAGTAAGCGGCGGTGATTGCCATGAACACCATCAACAAAATGGCTATGGCACCGCCTTTACCCATAATCGCGTACGCAGAAATTGGTAGAACCAGACCGTTGGACAGCTGTTGCTCCGTGAGTCCGCCTGGCACCGGGAAGTTGCTGGTTTGTTCGAGAGCACGACATGCCAGACCCATGGTGGTTGCCAAAGCATATGGCAAAGTGAACCAGCACAGACCGCCGAGAGTGTATCCCGTTAGGGCTCCAGCTGGGTTGGCAGCAATGGCTTTCTGGAACAGTTGAGAGTCGACTGCAGCTGCCCATCCGGCTCCAAGCAAAATAAGTCCAAAGAGACCGCTGTTCACCGACGTAAACGTCAGATACGAGCCGTCCAGATTCTCGGCCACAGGGTACGTCTTGGCTGCCTCGTTCAGAAGCTCCCAGACTTTTTCTGGCGATCCTAAAACGTCAGACGTCGCGTAGACCTTGAACATAAACGTCATCATGATCACATAGATGATCACCACGTGAGTCCAGTCAGTTAAGAAGGTGGCCTTAATACCACCGATCAAAGTGTAGACAATAACGAAGACCGGCAAAAGCACACAGGTGGCCTCTTTGCTCGTTCCTGTCATATTGGAAAACACAGAAGCACCGTTGATGAGAAGGTTTGCCGTATAGACCACCTGCTGAGCAAGAGAGTAGAAGCACATCGTCAAATGGCCAACGGTTCCAAATCTGACCTTGATGATTTCCTGGAAAGTGTGAGCATTAGGTGCCTTTCTCTTCAGCTCAATGGCCATAGTGGCAAAGATGATGATCTGGACGCATGCACCTCCTCCGTACCACCAAGCGGCAGATATTCCGAGACTGTACGTCGTGGTTGTGGAAAGAAGCAGGGTGGAAGCGATGGTCCAACTGGAAACCACTGCGCTGGCTATGAGTCCAGACTTAATGGAACGCTTGGCGGTCGACAGCATTTCTGAGTCCTGGACCTCATTCATGTAGCGTGAGAGTAGCCACGAAATCAGTGCCATGGTGACGGCAAAAACCGCACCCACGCCAATCACGATTCCGTAACCGACTCCCTGAGAGAAGATGATGAACTGTCCGTTGGAAGCGTCGATACTCATTTTGATGGTTTCAAGAACAACTACATGTTGCTAAATATATGTTGGCGGCGATAAGTGAAACTGTGATTTTCCTGATGCTCCTAAAAAATGATTATGCATGTTCTTATGCGCGAGCGATTAGTTCCTAGATAAGACGATAATCGTGCATACTGCATGTACTTCTTTGTTCCTTTCACAGGGTACAATCTCGCCGTCTAGCGTAAGGGCATGCGGCTGCTGACCATTTGCTGATCACGTTGCCGCCAGCAGCGAGCCGACGGGTCGTATCATCCGCTCTACGCCCAGATACATAGCCGCTAAGGGACGATGGTTTTGATAAGATATGGCGAAACTTTATTTGCTCCAAAGTCAGTCATCACGTATTGCAAACCATATGTCCAGCTTCAAGAATATCAGACGGGTGCTCATTGCCAACAGGGGCGAAATTGCTGTGCGGATCATCAAAACTTGCAACAAGTACCAGCTGACGGCCGTTGCCATCTACTCTAAAGAAGATCTTGAGTCACTTCATGTGAGTTTATCGGATGAGGCTTACTTGTTGAGCGGAGTTGGAGCCAGCGCATACACCAACATCCCAGAGATTATCGAGCTGGCCACGAAGCACAATATCGACGTTGTTATTCCTGGCTATGGCTTTCTTTCTGAGAACTCAGAGTTTGCAGCAGAGCTGGCCAAGAACGGCATTCTTTTTGCCGGTCCTTCTTCAGAGTCGGTCGAACAGTTTGGTTTAAAGCATCTGGCTCGTGATATTGCAATCAAGGCAGACGTGCCTGTGGTTCCTGGAACCAGTCTGATCAGCGACAGCCAGGAGCTAGTTTCTGAATGTAACAAAATCGGGTATCCTGTGATCTTGAAGGCCACAGCAGGAGGAGGAGGAATGGGTCTTAAGGTCTGCTACAACGAAAGCGAACTTGTGGCTAACTTCGCTGAGGTCACTTCCAGAGGCACGTCTCTTTTCTCCAATGCCGGTGTTTTTGTCGAAAAGTACATCGAGAAAGGTCGCCATATCGAAGTCCAAATGTTTGGTAACGGTCTGGGTGATGTGGTCACCTACGGAGAAAGAGAGTGCTCTATCCAGAGAAGACACCAAAAAGTCATTGAAGAGTGTCCCTCGCCGTTTGTGTCGGATCTTGGTAGCAAGCACAACCTGCGCGAACGTCTGAGCCTGGCAGCAAAACGTCTGGCCTCTACCATCAAGTACAAGTCTGCCGGCACAGTCGAGTTCTTGGTGGACGACACGACCGGCGACTTCTACTTTCTGGAGGTCAACACCCGGTTGCAGGTGGAACACGGAATTACAGAAATGGTGTATGGCGTCGATTTGGTTTATTTCATGCTGTTGCAAGCAGAATACGAAAGCAACTCGTCTGGGATTCCCGTTGAAATTTTGAAAGCCAATTTGAAATACGACAAAAACGGCGTCGAGATCCCCAACGGCCATTCGATAGAAGTCCGTGTGTACGCGGAAAATCCAGTTCGCAACTTTGCTCCGTGTCCCGGAATTTTGCATAATGTCTCGTTGCCGGAAGACGGCACTTACGGGGAATACCAGGTGCGAATTGACCACTGGATTGAGACCGGTAGCAAGGTGTCGCCTTACTTTGACCCGCTTCTGGCCAAGGTGATGGTCTGGTCTCCAGTCCGGACGAGTGACAACATGATCAGAGTTCTGAAAGATATCAAAATCCAGGGCCCAGTAAACAACGTGGAGTATTGTGTTCATATTCTGGACAGCCCCGAGTTCCGCTCAGGAAATACGCTGACCAGCTTTTTATCAGGATTTGTCTTCAAGCCGCATTTAATTGAGTTCGAAAGCGGAGGAGCATACACCACCATCCAGGACCTTCCTGGAAGACGTAAGGTCAGGTTTGGAGTGCCTATTGGTGGTCCAGTTGACCCGCTGGCTTTGCAAATAGCAAACGTCATTGTTGGTAACCATTTGCACTGCGAAGCTCTCGAAATCAACCTCAAGGGTCCGGCTATCCGTTTCCATGCTCCAGCAGTGGTTGCCCTTGCTGGTGGCAGATTTAAAGTCACACTTGATGACAAGGATGTTCCTATGTATACAGAGTTGTTCATCCCGGCGGGCAGTCTCCTTGAAATAGAAGAGCCCCTAGGCTCTGCCGCAAAATGCTATTTGGCAATCAAAGACGGCTTCCCTGGAGTTGCCAACTACCTTGGCTCCAAGGGCTGTCTGCCAAGTTTGCAACTTGGTGGCCACCAGGGAAGAATTATTCTCCCAGGAGATTGTCTTGATATCTCAGAACGAGAGCCATTCGAGGTCTTCAAGACCGGCTACCAATTCCCTGAGTCGCTCATTCCTGACTACGAAAGACTCACGAACGTCGTCCGTGTTATTGGCGGTCCTCATGACACGCCAGATATTGTCTCTGAAGAAGGAATGGAGCAACTCTACTCCATTCCATACTCTGTTAATTTCAACTCCAACAGAGGTGCGACCCGTCTGGACGGCCCAGAAATGAAGTTTAGCAGGCCTTCGGGTGGTGACGGCGGTGGCCACCCAAGTAACGTGCTAGAATATCCTTATCCTACCTGTGGTTTGTCTGCTGTTGGGTCTGTGATGACTCTTTACGGGCCGGATGGAGCCACTGCCTCTGGATTTGTCTGCATTTTTGCTCCTGCGGAGGCAGACTTTTGGAAGTTCGGCCAGGCTGCCATCAACAGCAAAATTCACTTTACTCCTATCACGTACAACGATGCTATCAAACTCATGAAGCAGCGGAATGAGTATCTGGAGGAGATTTCCAAACGTCCTAGCAGCTCGTCCATAAAGTTCAACGACGAGCTTCCTGAGTACGAGCCACTAGATAGTAAGGTTGGCAAGTTCTTGTACAGACGACAATTGTCAGAAACCTTGCCAGAGGTTTGCTTTAGACAGGCAGGAGAAAGAATGATTGTGATCGACTTTGGTAACTTGGAATTCGATCTCTTCAAAAACGGCCGCCAGCACGTGATGGAGACGGAAATCAGAAAACAGCTGCCAGGAATGTTTGAGAGCATAGAGTGCTGTACAGGAGCCATGGGAGTCCTGTTTGATCCAATGGAAGTGGACAGAGCTGATCTGTTGGAGAAACTGATCAAACTGGAAGCTTCTATCCCGCAGATTGACAAGCTGAAGATTCCATCAAGAACATTTAGACTGCCTGTCGCCTTTGAACATTCGGCCCTCGACCACTGTTTGGAGAGGTATATGCACTCTCAACGCTCCCATGCCACGTACTTGCCAAAAAATACCGACTATCTCATGAAAGCAAACCTTATCAAGGACATGGAGCAGTTTAAGAGCTGCATTATAGGCAAGCCCGAAATGGTGGTTGCAATTACGTTCCTATGTGCTAACGTGCTGATGGCCACTGTGGATCCTCGATGCAGACTTTCTGCCTCGAAGTACAACCCTACACGTACGTCGACTCCTAGCGGAACGATTTCTACCGGGTCTGTGTTGCAATCCATCTATCCCCAGGAATCCCCTGGAGGATATATGATGTGGGGTATGACGCTGCCAAACTGGTACTGGGATACGTTCTGCAGAATCCACGAGAACCCATGGCCTTTTAGAGTGTTTGACCAGGTGGTTTTCTATGAGGTTGACGAGGAAGAGCTGCAAAGAATGAACAATCTACTGCTCACGAAAAAAATGAAGATCGAGCCTACCGAGGGTGTTTTCGATTTCGTGGAGTACAGGAGTTTCCTTGACTCGATTGACGACGAGCTCAAAGATTTGAAAAAACGCAAGCTTCAGGCTTTTGAAGAGTGCAATCGTGAGGAACAGGCTGACTTTGAGCTGTGGCAGCAAGAAAAGGCTGCTGCTGCTGCCTCCAAATCAAAATCCGACGACATTAGCAACGTTCCTGGAGCAATCAAGATCACGTCGCATATGCCATCCAACGTTTTCAAAATCAAGTGCAAGGCCGGAGACGTTGTTGCTAAAGAAGATCCGCTTGTGATTCTGGAAGCCATGAAGATGGAAATTCCTGTGCATATCAAGGACAAGTCTAGTTTCCAAAAATATGAGGTTCTGGGAGTTATTGTCGAGGAGGGAGATATCGTCAACCCCGGCGATGTTCTTATGATCATCAAGGGTGTGGAGTCGGTTATCTAATCAGTCCCGCAATTGCAAACGAAGAAATATCTTAACTGCCACAAATGTAGGAGGGCCAAATTTGCCGGACATGAGCCATAGTTTGGGCTCAAGTAGTGAGTATGAAGTAGGCTTTTCTAAATTCCAGCAGAACCAGCTCCCAATTCCAAAATCTAGTTTTTTAATTTTGGCTCAATGACAATGTCTACTTCTTCGACCTCCTCATCTTCGTAGATATAGTGTATTGTTTCACTAACTTGGGACCGTTTATCCGGCGAAAAGTAGCTGGTGACAATGTACACTGCGAACGACGAGAAAAACCCATAGAAGTAAGACATGTACCATAGCTCCAAGATACCAGCATTTAAAGAAACGTTCCCGACCTCCGATGCCAGGCCTGGGAGACACGGCACATTTCCAACCAGAAACGCGAGCGCAGCACGCCAGTTGAATCCCTTGTAGTAACTGTACCTACCGTTTGGATCATACAAGGCAGGGACGTCCAGGTGCTGCTTTTTTATGACCCAGTAATCGGCTATGATTATGCCAGTAATAGGAGCCAAAAAGCTGGAAAGACCAGAAATAAAAGTCACCAGCTGAGCTGCCGAGTTTTCTATTTTCCAGGCCTGCAGAACCCAGCCGGAAATGATTGTAATAATCACTGCTCCCCGACGGATATTAATGTACTCGGGGAACAGCGAGACAAGGTCGTTGGCTCCAGTTATGACGTTGGCGGAAAGATTTGTGCCAATTTGGGAAACACACCAAGCAGCGCACACAAAGAATGAAGCAGCACGGCCTTTGGAGCCAGTAGCCGTCCAGTGCTCGGCAAACTCTGTTGGAGACCAGATGTAGGACCCGTACACCATTTTACCGGCGGAAGAGGCCACCAGAGACATCATGGTCACAAACGTGGCCCAGGCGGGCAGCACCACGACCTGCGCGTACTGTGCCTTGGAACGGTCGTTCATGTATCTGGTGAAGTCGGCTATGTTGGTAGCCATGGTGGCCCAGCCGGCGACATTGGAGTTGAGCAGTTTTACGTACAGCCACGAGCGTTCTGCTCCGTGAACTGTGTATTCCTGGTTCCAGATGTCTCCTGAGTTGCCGGCGATTTTGGCCATTCCTGCGGCCGTGCCCACCAGACAGGCAGTGGCTATGATGGTTTTCAGGATAAAGAACCATCTGAGCTTATGAGGGGGGATGAGTAGAAATGGGAATTGCAGCGACCAAAAAACAAAATGGCCAATCATTTGTGGCGAGGTGATGCCCATGGTAGCCGGAATTTTATTGGGGATCCGGGCAAAAGATGGCCATATCGCCGTTATACACGCGGTCATTGCCAACGAGCCAGAAAAAGTCTGGGTCGAATGCCAGAAAATTGCCGTGATGCACCGGGTGACAACTGCGAATTTCGAAAAATGATAGCCGAAGGAGGAGCGCACAGCAACGGGGAAAGGAACGTGGAGAGCGGCCCCAATAGCCCCGTTAAAAATCAGCGGCAATCCGATAAGCACCATGCCTACCAGGGAAGTGCTCAGACCTGTTTTCCAAGTCATCCCCATGAGCAACGAGTTAGAGGGATTTTCAACGGTTTGCATAGATAAGTAATCCGAGGCCCAGAAGCCGATAATCATATATACGTTCCAGGTACGTCTTTCTAGCGGAGTGACGTCGTTGTCGACGTTTGTGTTGACGCCATCAGGTGCACACGAAGACTTCTGCTTGGGCAGACGCCATTTCTTCAACGTCAGCTTCATGAAGAAAGGGGTAAATTTTTTAGGTGGCATCTGAGATAAGTATCGCATTTTTTAGCCAAACGTCGCGAAAATTAAGGCACAAATAGAAAGCCGCATAGCAGCACTAAGAGACAATCCTTGCTGGACGGGAATTATGCTAGTTGGTCCCGTTTTGAGAAGTTGGTTTGGGACAATAAGGGGCTTATTTTCGGCCAATTGCTTCCACATTACATGAATGCTAAATAGCCGCCGTTGCTCTGATCTCACAGTTATCTGGCTACCAATCTTCCAAATAGTTGGGAAGCCAGTTTGATTCTCCAGACAAGAACTCTCGGATGAGGCGCGGTTGTGGATCACAACAGTGTCTGCAGAGCATGGTTTGGAAACAACATGACAGTCTTTTGGTGAACAGGGAATTCCGCAGGATAGAACGAAGCACACTGAGGATGAGAAGGAAATATCGTATCTATACGGTCTGCTACGGTTGGTATCATTTGACAGAAAAATACAGATGTGGCTGGAGTGTGGAGAGAGAAACGCACTAGATCTGCTGAATGTGTAGGTTTGATCTCTGAAAGCGGATTGAAACGTCTCATGGTTGCACTTATTTCAACAGCGTGAAAAAACTGCGTATACGTCTCTGGGCCTAGTTGCCCTAAACATAGTAAATTTTCATTTTTTTTTTATGGCCTCGCAGAAACCGGCATCAGCCACACGTCAGGTGTACACGGTGTACACGGACGGCGCATGCAGCTTCAACCACGACCCATCGCGTGCGAAGGCTGGGTACGGCGTGTTTTTTGGGGATGACGACCCGCGCAACACGGCCGCGCCATTGGTGGGGCCTGTCCAGACAAACAATCGCGCAGAGCTGAGTGCCATCAAGCAGGCTCTGGAGACCATACTCGAGGAGTTTGAGTTTGGCAACGGCGAGCAGTACCAGATTCTCACGGACTCAGAGTACTGCGTGAAATGTATTTTGGTGTGGTCAAAGACGTGGCAGAAGAATGGCTGGAAAAACTCGAAAAAACAACCCGTGGCTAACCGCGACCTGATCGAGGCGATCCTTGGCCTGATAGACCGGATTAATGAGGAATACTCTCGACATGGTTTTGGCAGACTGACCGTGGACTGGGTGCGTGGGCACGCCAATAATCACGGCAACGAGATGGCGGACGCCTTGGCCCGTGAGGGGGCCAGCATGGAATGGAAGTAGCGTCGGGTACAACTATAGTTGTGAAATGCGGCTGATTCGCACGGAACGACAGGATAATCTTGGGGACACCTTCATTACTGGTTTCCAAGACGCGACGACTCCGTTGACGAATTGATTTCTTCACTGGCCAGACACTTCCACTGCCACGACAAGCCAAAAATTGCTGCTGGACGCCGGTCCATATTCCGGGCGTAAATTAGCTTCACGATTGATCGTCTGGGAACCTTCTGAGCATGTTCTGATGCGTACGACTCCTGTTGCACAGCATTGGAAAGCTCACCTTTGAAGATCGGCGAATAAAGATAAATTAGAACCCTCGTGTGAAGTACGCCTAAAAATCAACGGCCGCTTGCTCGCGGGTAACCAGGTCAATGATCTGTACTACATGCTCTATATCTGGTTGATATAATTAAATAGACAGTTAGGCCATATCGGGCACCTGGTATATTCCCCGTACAAATTCTCTTGCCCAGAAAAGCTAATTTGACGACGACGTGACCGTCAGAAAAGATTTGCACGAGTTCCGCACCGTTGAATCACGATCAATAATATATCTTTGGAACACACTTCAACTACAGACTGCATAGCCGTGCAGTGCAGATAAAAAAATAAAAAAAAAATACCCTCATGTTTCTTCGACGATGCGCTATCCCCACCCTGCATGCCCGCGCGGTCTCAACCTCAGTGGGGTGTCCAATTCACCATCATGATGTCGATTTTCATGGAGACCCCGTGGTAAATGTCTACACGGACGGCTCGTGCCGGAACAACCAAAACTCTGAGCTCGCGCAGGCGGGTGCTGCTGTGTTCTTTGGCAGTAATGATCCGCGCAACTATGGTTTCCTGCTTACCGGAAAACCTACCAACAATAGGGCGGAGCTACTGTCCGTGCACGAGGCCACGCGGATCATTCTTGATGACCTAAAAGAACACACCCATACAAAATTCCAGATCATGACAGACTCCAAGTACGTGATAGGGTGTCTGACAGAATGGTACCCCCGATGGCAGTCCAATGGGTGGCGAACCAGAAAGGGCAAATCTGTCGCGAACCAGGACGAAATCCGAGCGATTATGGTCAACGTGCGCGAAATCAATACGCAGTACGCAAATATTGGATGGGGGCCGCTGTGCTTCAAGCACGTTTACGGACACAGCGGAATTTATGGCAACGAGATAGCCGACAAACTAGCAACCGCTATTAGCGGAAGTGTCTCGGCAGTATCCGCAGCCCCCGTGCCAGACACACTCTAGAGTTTAGCCTTCCCTGTTTGTGTGTACACATGAATATGAAAATATTTAGGATTGAGCACCACGTTACTCCTTTAGACCCTCGATCTTGATTCTGGTTGCCTTGTTCATGTAAGCATTGTAGGTGATTTTCGTGACTTCTGATTGCGGGAACTTGAGGAAGGGGATGTCGCTGCACGACGAGGCCATCAGGTAGCCGTAGAACACCCTGATGACCGTCTCGTCCGCGATGACCAGCACGTCGTTCGTTAGGCGCTCGATCTCCATGATCAGCGGCTCCAGCTTCAACGCCAGGTCGTGGTAGCAGTCTGCCCTTGGGTACCGGTGGTGGTACGGATCGAGCTGGTGTCTCTGATAGTCGTCGGGAAACTTTTCCTTTAGCTCCTCGTCTGTGAGTCCGTGAGCATCGCCAGGGTTCAGCTGCGTCATTTCGGGGCGGTGCGTCACTGAGAGCCCGACATCCTTGAACACCTGCGCCAGTTGTGTAGTGCGCAGTCTCACAGACGTCCACACCTGCAAGTCTGCAGGCAGACTGTCGTGGCCTTGTTCCCGGTAATGTTTCACCATCGTGTCGAACAGCTTGTGCGCGTAATCCTGGCCCTTGGCGTCCAGGGGCGGGTCGCTCTTGAAATCGAGCTTGTTGTTGGAGCATCTCGCAAAATAAATAGACCCTTTCTTGATTTTTGAGTTCATCAGATAGAATATTATTTTCGTCGTGAGGAAGTCGTGCTTCGACTTGTTCACCAGCAGCTTCTCACCAAAGTTGATAAACTTGATGTACGTGAGCTCCTCCTCGTCCATCTCCTCATACGAGTGAGCAACCACGCTAACCCTCTTCCTGTAGTCCGCAATCGCCTCCTCGGCGTCCCAGTTGATGTAGTCTGGCGATTTTGCCGCGTCAGCTATGTTGGTCTCCAGCAGTTTCGGGTCGTCGATCAGGCTCTCGATAAAAATCACCTTCACGCTGTGCTGCTGTAGCACACGTGCGAGCTCTCGCCTCTGTGAGCTCACGCCGTTGACTGCGTCGTAAATGGCGATTTGGCCCATGTCGTTCTGGAAAAAATTGAGCACGTCTCGTACAGCCAGGTCGGTCAGTTCCTGGCGCACCCGTTTCGCCTCCTCGCTTTCCGGCTTCGGGTCGAAAAAGTCAAACGGCACGTGCTTTGTCTTCTCTCTTCTGATGTCGCCCAGGTGGAACAAATTGGCCCGCACTCCCAGCCATCGCAAATACCTGCACAGACTGATGGACAAGTTGGTTTTACCGCGCGCAGGCGGCCCCACCAAAACGATGCAAATACATCCCGCATGATACAGCTTCCCAGAATCTGTGGAATAAAGTTGGGCGGGGGACACGTGGAAGCGCGACACTGTCTTGTGAATCTCGTCTATGTCCTCATGGACGTGGGGTGGGACATGTCGCTCGCTTTTGTTGTCTGCGCCGTTTTCGTCGCCTCTCGACGAGGTCGGAAGCCACCTGTTCTGCTTGCGTGCAGAATAATTGCCCGGAATCTTGGGCTCTTCAATTTCAGCCAGGTCTTCGGACATTTAATAGCAAGAACGTAGCCGGCTAAAGGATGAATATTTTCCTTTCGACCTACATATTTTTCCCCATAATTTTTATTGTAGAGAAATCACTAGCCACTTATCTTCTCAGCCACATGGGGCCTTCCCCCGCGCTACAGACGGATCTTGGTCGAAGTGCCGGACCCGGAGTAAAGCAGCTCGACGGCAAACGCACCAAGACGGACGCGCATAACGGCTGACGTGTCGATCTCCAGCTGCCCGTTCAGTGCCTTGCGTAAAATATCGGCACCTATCCCGCTCGTCGCATACGTCACTGGAATCCGGGGTGTCCTGTACAGTCCCGGTGGAACAACTATTCGTTGCTCCTTGCTGATGTAACCCAGAATGGTTTTGTCGTGGCTTGCCTGCGCCTCGATCAAGTCGACCACCACCTCGCTGTTCGCCACTGGGTTGAACACCGTCAGCTCGATTTCCGATGACATAATGTGCATTGTCGAGTCGATAAGAAAAATACTCTCGTGCGACACGGGGTGCGGCAAATTTTCCTGTCGCGAAATCTGGGGTAGCCGCATGGGGACCCGGATGCCGGCCACGAAGGCGGCCAACTGCGAATCCTGGCGGCCAATAAGCTCAATCGTCGGATGTAGTCCCGATAGGTATGTCCCCAGCATGCGTTCGAGCCGGGATTTGTCGATATCCGTGTCGAGTTGCATGATGAGCTTGGCACTGGTGTTGCTGTAGTTTTCGGGCGATAGATGGACCGGACCCGGTTCGATCCGGCCAACTATTGATCCATTATACTGCAAGTCAAACCTGAGTCCCTCCAGGGTGCTGTCAAGGTTTACGTTGGTGGAAACAGCAGCGTTGATCACCATGGCGCAGTGCTTAGCCGAAGATTCAAGCAGCACAAGCTCATTGAGCCGGACGCCTAGACTCCTGAAAAGCTGGTCGTTAGGAACACCAGGCACAGCATATTCTAGTTCTGTGCTCAGACCACTGATTGTGGTGGTCATAAACTCCGAAACTACCTGGATATCTAGCACCGGGCGAATTGGTATTTTGACCGAGGTGCCTGAGGCCACATTTTGAACCAGGTCTCTGATGAGGTTGGAATCTTCCGGCTTGAGTACTGCCTCGTCAAGCGAAACACCGAAGGTCTGCTTTTTACAGTGCAACTTCGAGGCCTGCCAGTTTCGCATCTCCAGAGTCGTTATGTTTGGACCACAGTGCACCTCTCCCTTCACAAATGGTATGTCAATATCCGACACAGTAATGCTTTCAGAAATGTTGTACTTGATCGAAACATCCGACGACACCAGCAATGCATCTCCCTGTGCACGCACCCCCAGGTATTCAATGTCGACAGCGTCAATACCACCGCCAAGCTCGTCAATTTGTCCAATAGCTAGCGCAGCATCGATTTCAAGATCGTCAAAAATGTCTCGCATCCAGTGAGGTTGCGTGCTTAGCGGCTTCGCCCTGACAATTATCGGAACCTCTAGGTTGCTTGAAAAGTTTGTCAACAGTTTGCTGATTGCAGAGCCATCTCCACAGTCAAGCAGGAGGTCCTCATCCAGAGGATGGACAGTAAATTCCGTGGGTATCAGAATCGGATCGTGGAAGCCAAACTTGCCGGTTCTAATGGTGGCAACTGAAGAAACTTTGCTGCAACCTGCCATCAGCACTTCCCAGCTCATTGCGTCCGCTGTGTAGTCCACCAAACCCACGCTTGATAGTCTCACAACCGTAAAACCAGTGACCTGCCTACCATCAGCATTGATCTCAAGATTTTCCGGAACGGCGTCCTTCATCACGCTTCGAATTATACGGCCCCCGTCCAGTTCTAGGGCCAAAGCTCCAGCCACCGTGTGTTGTCCCATTGAGTGTCCATTGACATCAATACCGCACACAACAGAACAGCTAAAGACCACCTTCTCGGGCCCGCGACTGATGGGATTTATAAGCCGTGCCATCTCCTTTGTGGGCTTTATAAGCGCAACCGCCTCGATAGTCTGAGGCTGTCTTAATCTCACAGTCAAAGGTTTCAGCAGCTCCACACTGGAAATACACAACTTCTCTTTTTTTATGCACACATTCATATCAAATGGACCGTCAGGTGATATTTGGACCGCATTCAATCCGCTTAATAGCCGGCCCCATGTTCGACGATATAAATTAACTTGATCATAATCAAATTCCAAATCTCCTCGAATCACCACTTCAAACCCATCGTCGGTAACATTCGCCACCCGCACATTTGTAAGATCCAGTCGCGCGGCATCCAAAAAGACCTGCCCCGTGCTCTTTATCAGCTTATACCCACCAATCGCCATAAAAAGCAACAGGACGCACACCAAGCCAATTGTACGGGGATGTTGCAGTCGCCGTCTCTCTGGCCTTTTATTGCTTATCTCTGGGAGCGGAGCATCGTAGGGTTCTGGCGCCTGCTGAATTAAGGGGGTTTCCTCGTCAATCATACTTTTTCTGTCACCTCCACACATTTTTTATCTCTGGATTTACGTAATCTATAAATTTATAGTTTGGGCTCGAGCAAGGCCTCATCCATGAACTTCTCCGGGATGTGGGCGTTGGGGGCCCCTGTAAGCGGCACCTGCGACTTCCATTCGCCGACGTTGTCGATGGTATTGGTTAACTTGTACTCCTTTTTGAGCTCGTCCAAAATAGCAGTGATGAATTGCTCTTTGTGGTTAAAGTCAGGAATCAGAGTGAAGGAGTCAAAAATGGACTCCAGAACGTCTTTGGTAATCTCGGTGTCCTCTGTGATCTTACTCTCTATCAGTTCACTTAGCTGGTTGGTGTTCAGGTCCACAGAGTCGTACTCAGGCATATCAAATACCAAGTTCGAAATAGTGCTTGTGAGTCGGCTTACCAAAGACTGCTTTGGAACAACCTGGCTTTGCAAGTGCACAACAAGCTTCCCGTGCTGCGACGAGTCCAAGATCTTGTTATGGTAGTAATCAATAAGCTCCTGGCGTTTAATTGTTCTCAACGTCTCAACATCCAACTCTCTTTTGTCGAAGTCGTAGAAACCAGATGCAATAGAGTCCCAAAACCTACTTCTCTCCTCTGAGAGATTCTTCACTTTCTGTAGCTTCTTTGTAATCACTGCATTCACATGCTTTTCAAACTCCTTGTCGTCCATGGAAGACAATTTGTGTCCTATTTTCACCAGAAATCTCGACATTCTATCAAGCAAGTAGCCAGTACTTTTTTCACTTTGAATCAAGAGTCGCAGCCCAAACGTAGTTCTGGTCTGTCTGATTCCTGAAAAGACGACGTAGCCAAGCTGCTCTTTGGTCCTTAGACGGTCAAAGAATGGCTCGTGAATTATTTGTGAAACTAGCTCAGCTAGCACTCTGTCGCGCTGATCCGTGATGTAGCCCAGCTGGTAAAATGTTTCCACGCACGAGTTGACGTTTTCTTCGTCAACATTCTTCTTCACAAAATGGTATTCTTCGCCAGCAGGAAGATCCAACGAACGGCCCCTGGTGAACTGCGATTCTGTAAATGAAAGGGCCTTGGTCAGTTTGGAAGCCACCAGCTGGTTGATGTGCAAGGCTTCCTGCCTGCTGTAATTTCCAATCACAAACATTTCAACAAAACAGATACCAAACAAGTTGGACACAAAACTCTTCAGCGAGTGAAATGTCGCGGCATCAAAACAGTCTATCTGGTCGTCTATCATCCAGGAGTCTTCGTTGATCAGAGCAGAGAGCATTGGACCGATCTGACGGAAAGGCACAGAGTAGCCAAAGTTTTTCAGGTTCCGCAACATTTTCTCTTTGATAATGTTGAACCGCTCCTCTCTTGACTCGTTCCACACAGATTCGTCATTGGTGAATTTTAGCAATGTGTTGGTGACCCTGTCGAGAAGATTGTCGAGCTTATGAGAGTATCCGCTGATGGACAAACTGAGGCCGGACCTTGCCAGACCAATTTCGTGGTGCAGACCTGCGATGCTTGCAAGGTATGACATGCTATTAAGCTCGTCATCAAGCATTTCAACAAAAAGGGAGAGCAGGACCGAATTCAACGGGGTAGAGGTGGATCCAGGAAGGTTAAATTTGAGCGTGACGCTGGATCTTGGTCCACCGAGTTTCGTGTTGACCTTGTACCAGACTCGCGAGTCAGAAGTGTTGCAGATTAGTTTTGGATAAACAATTTCTTTGGACTCGTCTTTTGGAGGCTCGACCAGGGAGAATTTGGTTGGGAGGAAGATGTTGCGCTCCGGTAAACTGTACTCTGAGGGAGCAGAACCACTGTAGATATCAACCAAACTTTGTAAAAGCTGGGGCTCGATCTTGGATGGCAGATACTCTGTACCATACCATTTTTCTGTCAACACGGACTCGCCTTCTAGACACTCCCTAGCTATCAGCATTGCGCGAAAGTTGTCTGGTCTCAAGTACGAGAGTATATTGCTAATTGCCTCAGGATCGTATTTTCTGACGATCATGGTGCTCAGAAGCTTTTCGGAAGGAATTGTTGAACGAGGCGGAATCTGTTTGATTTTCTGCAACGGGTCCTGGCCCTGGGTGTCATAGTATTCCAATCCATGGAGAGAGCCGGTCAGTCTGCTTGCTGATTGACTTGCTCCTGTTTTTTGCATGAATTTGAAGCTAGTGGTGCTCTGGTCATGCAATTCCTGGAATATCCATTTCTGCGGACCTTCTATATTCAGCAGACGGATATATTTGAACACATGCTGCAACACCTGAGTATAATTTTTCAGGCCCTCAGGAGTGAGATCCACGTTGACGATGAATGCGGAATATCCTGCGGAAATCGTTTCGTGGCCGCAACTCAGATTATTGGCCCATCCTTGACGTTTGAAATGGAACAATAGGGACCCCTCAGACTCGTGGCCAATAAGATGCGAAAGGTACTTTGCTGGCTTTGAGTCCCAGTTCGGTCTCGTGTCAGGAATGGGGAACGAAAGCTGCAAAGACCGCAGTTCCATAATGGGCTTTGCACGGATCAGATAGCCGTTGTATGTATCTGTGTCGAACGGAGAGTTTCTATAAATTGGAGGGGTCACGTTCTTGTTAGCAATGTCCGAGAACATGTCGACGGTCCATTTGGTCATAGTTTCGAGAGATTCATTCGAAATAATGACTAATCTCATGATATTGGAGGAATAGTACTTTTTGTGGAATTTCAGGAGCTCTGCTCTGACATCCAAACCCCTTTTGACAGGATCTTCGCCCAAGGTAACCTTGTTACCCGTAGAAAAACCACTATACGGATGCTCCCTGTTAGTGAGCGACTTGTTAAGCTGGTGCAATCTCCAAATGTCAGCCTGTAGGTTTTTCTTGTTTTCAGAGTCCACCGCGTTGATCTCTCTGTCCTTGCAATTCGGGTCGAAAAGCGGCGAGATGAAGAACTGCGAGAACCTGTCAAGAGCCCCGTGCATCGCGTCGTTGGCCACCTCGAAATAATAATTTGTGTGCTCCGACGACGTGAAGGCATTGCTGAAGCCAGAGTTTTTAGATAAATAGGAGCTGTACTCGTTTTCCGAAGGGTATTTAGAAGTGCCCATGAACAACAAATGCTCGCAAAAATGAGCCAATCCAGGCAACTCCGGAGGGTCCTGGAACGCGCCAACGTTCACGTCCAGCGCAGCAGCCGACTTGTCTGTGGTAGGGTCAGAGATCACCAGCGACACCAGTCCGTTCGGCAGCTCGATCAGACGGTACTGGCGGTCGTCGATGTCTGGTTTCTCAAGGTTTTGACTCAATACTCTATATTGAGACATGTGGCGCAGAGAACGATTTATTTGAGCCCCAGCAAGACGACTTAAACAGAGTGTAAATCTTGAGAGCATAAAAAGTAACAGAAATTTTTGGCACCAACCAGGGTTGGGCAAAATACGCGAGTGATATTTACAGGGCAAGCTATAATGAGCCTCCTTAGACGGAATCGTCATCAAACATAAATCTGGAAAGTAGCGGGTTGGAGGGAGCTGTCGCGCAATATTTCTGGTCTCCCTCTGGCCTTGAAGCATCGGTGTTACCCGCGAGCATGCTCTGGATCGAAAGAGCTACAGAATGCAGGGTGTGCGCGGGGGTCCAGCCGTCGTACAAGATATTGAGACAGATGTGTCCATTGGAGTAAATGTGGGGGTGGATCGGGATCGGATGCGATCGCACAAATTGCACCTGCGGGGGAGCGAAAGGGTAATCTTTATCGAGTATAAATCGCAGACGGATGGTGTCTGGATAGAGCGGGTTGTCTGGGACCCTCATGTCCACGTACTGGACGTTGAGGTTGTCAGAGGGGAAAAGCTGCAACGTGGGGTTGGACTGGAAAAGTTTTAGCTCTTTCAGGAGCCGCGAGGAGGGATTGGGCATTGCGTAGAAAAACGGCGCAAATTGTTCTTGATCCTTAAAAACTGCTCACGTCAGCGAGAACTCTCCCGTTTCGGAAAAGATCCCAGTCACGTGCACCCAGTCACGTGCAGCGCATCCCGAGGTTCTGTGCAAAGAATGGCCTCGAAAGCACTCTGTCGCAGGACCTGCAGGAGTAAACTTCTATAAGTAGCAGGTGGCCAGGTCCGTACCAGCGGGACGTTATTCTTTCAGAAGACGTTATTCGACTTGTCCAAAAGACAGTAGTCCAGTATCTAACGCCCTGCCCTCTGCACACCACCACTCAGCAGCCTGGGTCTGGCCCTTGGCTGACCTCGGCCTTTTTTTTTTCGACTTTCTAGACCCTGTTACCCGCCCTTCTAAAAATAACTTCCGCATTTAGAACATTGTCTCGGGTGATACAATAACAGGAAAAACGAAATATAAATAATATACACAACTCTTCATTCCCCATTTTTCCTTCATGAAGTCGTTCATTGTGCCACTCGTTTTTGTTCTAGCTAACATCGCACCGGCTCTTGCCACTCCTCCAGCATGTCTGTTGGCATGTGCTGCCGAGGTTGTGAAGAGCTCCTCCCAGTGTTCGTCGTTGAATCAGATTGCTTGTGTTTGCAGCAATGAATCCTCTGAGATGTCCTCATGTTTGGAATCCAAGTGCGGTGGCGATGCGGACAGCGCTGCAAGCTCTTTCTCGAGCGTTTGCAAATCCGTCGGCGCCAGCGTCAGCTCCAGCAGCAAGGCCTCTTCATCAAGTACCGTAAGCTCCTCGAGCAAGGCGTCCAGCAGTGCTGCTTCGTCTTCTTCGTCCGTTGTTTCTTCCGTTGTTTCTTCTTCTGCCACGGCTGCTTCATCGGCTGTCCCATCCACTTCGGCATCCAGCTCCGTTTCCGTTGCCGAGCAGTCCAGCTTTTCCACCACCTTGGCCACTTCTTCCGTTTCCTCTTCTTCTGCAGCAGCTCCATCGTCGTCCATTGACGTGCAGGTCTCTGCAGGCGCCCCGGCTCTCGTTGCCAATGCCGCCGGCCTCGGCCTCGGTGTCTTGATCGGTCTTCTTTAGATACCCATATATTCTAGGCCACATAAATTAAATACTTTTACACCTCGAACCATATATGTTACTATAATAATTGTTTGTTTATTTTTGCGAAGCGCTCGTTATTGATGCTCGATATCCTTCCTTTAAAGCAGTACCAGGATAACTATCAAGCCATACTGGACGGCAATCCACTGCCTTACGGCAATCTCCGTGGGAAGGTGCTTGATAGCGAGAAATTCTGGAGAGATTACGGTGACTACGAGCCTGTCCTGCGACAACACGTTCCGGAAAAATACCACAAGTACTTCTCCACGCCCACGAAACCGCACGCGCACCAATCTTTTGACGACTCGGTTGAGGTGGGCCGGTCCTACAACCTAAGTCCCGTGAAAAAACGCGAGCCCTCTTACGGTTTGAAGGACTCAGAAAAACTCGCAGACGACGTGTTCGACGCCGACAAGAAGATGTACGTTTCGAGAAGCGACGATGACGACCCCAGTAGGTCGCTTTTCCAGCAAACTTACAAGGTTTTGAGCTACGATCGCAGCGCGCAGGGCGAAAAACTAAATTCACTTGTGAGGAAGATTAGCACGGAGTTTGATGAGGTCAAGGACGAAAACAGAATCCTGCGGCGCGAAAACACTGAGCTCCGCGCAAAAATCAGACAATTACAGGACGAGAACCACCGTATAACATCGACAAGCCAGCTCGTGAAGAAGAAGTTTGACAAGTACTATATGGAAACGATGAAGCTGCGAGAGGCTTTGGCGGAGCTGAAAAATTCAGCTACCTCTGCTGCAACGGCGCCAGCGCCAGAACCCCACAATCCATCTCCAGCCAAGTCTGAACGGCCAGCTACGCCCGAAAAAGTGGTTTCTGCAGACACCATAGACGATCAGCTGGCATCCAACGAGGAGAAAATGAAGCGGCTCGCTCTCACAACGCAGGAAGAGCTGGAAAAACTCGAGGCTGAGAACTCGAGGCTGCTCAAACAGAAGCAAGTTCTGAAACACAATGCCGACGTTCTCACAGTGATTACCGTTGGCGATGGTGTCGTCAAGGTGGAGCAAAAGAGACCCAAGGCCCCTAAGATGGATCCAGGTGAGCCCAAAACACCACAGGTCCAGATTAAACATCTGAAAAGGGACAGCACGCCGCCAAAAGCCTCGGCATCGTGTCCTGTCTGCTCGCCAGCAGGAAAAGCGGACTTCGACTCAGACGAGCTTAGTGACGACAGCGTGCCGCTGGACGATACCATGATCTACAAAAAGACGCACAAGAGCAACCTGCTCAATATAGGACGCAAGCACTCCTAACTCGTGGTGGTTCATTAAGGTCGATCTATGTATAATACATTACTTCTTTTTGCCCTTCTTTTTGCTTTTCTTCTTGCCTCCGGTCTCAGCCTGCTCCACCACAGGAGCTGCTGCTGGAGCAGGTGCGGTCTCCTCTTTGAACTCAACATTACTCATAACACTAGAGAAACCATCCAGATGTACGGTTTTTTTCTCTTTCTCGACCTTCGTCATGGAGCTGCCTCTAGGCCCAAGAACATTAATCATCCTGCTGAATTCCTTTGCTTTGTGGGTCTTGAAGTTCAAACAGATGCCGGTTTGGGGATTGTAAGTCTTGATTTTGATCAGCGCTTTGGCCGGCTTGCCGACCTTGGCCGACTTCGCCCTCGAGTGTGTGTATGTTATCGACACAGTTGTGTCCTCCGGGCTCGCCTGGAGCAGCTCGAGCGATTTTTGGATAAACTGGTCGCTCTGTTTAATTAGTGTCATGGACAACTATGTGAAAAAGTCGAAAGCCAGATTTTGACTTTCTACACTGCCTTGAAAAAAAAAGCAGCTGCTACAGCCACCAATATGTAGCTAACGGGCGATTTCATTAGTAGCGTTCTCCATTATCCTATATACGTTCCCGCAGTCTTGCTGGTGCCAAGTGCAGGGGAAGTTCCTATATTATCGATTCGTCGCTCATACTCTGTGGGGTCCATGACGCTGGGCTGGTCGTCGTCAAGCGACGTCTTCTCGCTATTACCCCCGAGATAGGGAGGTGGGTCAGATTCCGGAGTTCCCACACGTTTCTTGGATTTTTCGAGATACGGCTTGGGTCCGAAAAATGTTTCCTCGTCTGAAGGATACTCTGGAGGCAGCTGTTCTCCCTGGTCTAGAAGAATATCGTTCTTGATCAATTTAGGGGAGTATAGCGGTGGTGCGCCGATGGTGCCCTCGTTCTGGCTCTCGCAGAAGCCCAATTTCTTCACGTTGGCTTCGATGAAAACAAACCCAATCTGACCCAGGTTCACCGAGACCGTGCAGGGCCCGCCAACCGCACCGATACATGGATAGAGCTCTGTTTTCAGGTTCTGAACGGCCTCGATGATTTTCTTCCCATTGTGCGTCACATAGACAGTACCGTTCGAGGCCTTGTAGCCAATTCCTATCACGTCTCCTTCCAGCAGCTGAGGCAAAATAACAGGCAAGTCGGGATCGTTGGGGAACGGCCTGTTGCTCAAACGCAGACACCCATCTGTCTGTACAGCCAGCGAATAAGGATGGAGTCCTGGCAGCAGAAAGTTCGGATACGGCTTTGTGCAAAGACCAACAGAAATCATGCAGCGGCGATGGTCGAAGTCGTATAGCTTGGCCTCGAAATAGACTGTGTCGTTCTTGCGGTTTCTGATCGGCACTGGCAGGTTCAAAATGGCGCTACTCTGCTCAGAGCCTACGAAAGATATTTCTGTGAGATCCTCAACGTAAAAAGGCACTTTCTTGAACTGTGCCCGCGCATAATCTGGTCTCTTGGGCTGCAACAATGCGGTCGTCTCGGACGCCTCCTCAGCCTCTGAATGGCACAAGGACTGGCTAATCTCCGATATCTGATCGTAGTATGTCTCGAAATAGAAGCTGCTGATGCCGCGGTCTCTAATTAGTAAATAGGTTGTGTCAATTTCGCCCGGGGTGTTATTAAAGCGCAGAATAGGAGGCTTTTCCTCGAAAAACTGTCTAGCCAGAGCAAAGCGTAATCTGTCCACCTCGTTCAAAGACTGAAATAGAGCCTGGTTGCGGTAGTTTGCCGGGTTATACTTCAAGACGTCGCAGATCACGTTGTTCTCGTCATGGCGAGCTCCAAGCAGCGAATCTCTAAAGAATAAGTAGTATATGAGAGTGACAAGCGCACAAATAAGCATCAGTGAGACAAGCGCACAAAACACTATTAGGTAGGTCAGCTCGGCCTGACCCAGCCCAGATGACCCGCTCATAATTTATCAGCAGTTGTTCCTAACTTTAATTTATGGGGAAGAATTGAATATCTAGGTCCATCTACAGAAAGGTTACCCTACATTTTTTTTTTCTCACATCTTGTCTAATACATTCTTACACTGATCTAGATCCCTTACAAAAGCATCTCCAGCGGGTTTTCCACGATGGTCTTCAGAGCCCTGATGAACTCACCTCCCTTGGCACCGTCCACGGTTCTGTGGTCGAACGTTCCCGTGATGTTAATCACGTCGTCGAACGCAAAGCCGTGTGGACTGGCCTTATCAGGCACTGCCTTCTTCTCAACAGTGCCGATGGCCAGAATAGCCGATTGTGGAGGGTTGAGGATCGACGTGAACAGCGTGACAGCAGGGTTCATTCCCAGATTGGAGATCGTGATGGTTCCACCCTGGAACTCTTCTGGAGACAGCTTGTTTTCCTTGGCTCTCTTGCCGAGGTCCTTGACCTCCTTGGAGATGGTCTCGAGGCCCTTGGCGTGTGCATTTTTGACAATTGGAGTGATCAATCCCGTAGGAGTGGCCACAGCAACCGAAACGTCAACGTTTGAGAACTGTCTAATGATTCCTTCCTTCTCCATGTAATAGGCGTTGACCTCAGGCACTCTCTCACAGGCTTTGGCGATGGCCTTGATCAGCAGGTCGTTGACCGAAAGCTTGTATCTGTCGTTGGCAGCAGCGTTCAGAGAGGCTCTGAGCTTGAGCAACTTCGACACAGACATTGACGAGGAAACAATGTAGTCGGGGGACGTTTGCTTCGACTCGGTCAGCCTCTTGGAGATGACCTTTCTCATGGTAGTCAATGGAATATCTTGGTATGTGGCTGCTGCTGGGGCAGCTGGGGCGGCAGAAGCTTCTGGAGCTGCTGGCTTGTAGTTTTCGACATCCTTGGCCACAATTCGTCCGTTTGGACCAGTACCTTTGATCTCCTTGAGGGAAATGCCTTTCTCCAAAGCAATAGTTTTGGCTAGTGGCGAGGCAAAGATTCTGCCGGATGGAGTAGGAGATGACTTTTTGGCTGGCTGGGATTCCTTTGGTGCCTCCTTTGGCGTTTCCTTTGGTTCCTCCTTAGGAGCAGGGGCTTTTTCCTTGGCTGGCTCGCCTGCGGCTGGAGCACCTGCATCACCGGCGTCTGCAGCGGTGAAATCCTCAAAGGCAGCAACGTCGCCGCTGTCCTCGACGTAGACGGCGACCGGCTTTCCCACAGGAATGTCCTGAGTTCCGTCTGGAACAAGGATTTTAGCCAGGAACCCCTCTTCCTGGAACTCAAAGTCCATCGACGCCTTATCGGTTTCGACCTCTGCAATGGACTCACCAGGCTGCAAAGCATCTCCAACCTTTTTGTGCCACTTCACGAGGTTTCCTTGGGTCATGGTTGGCGACAAGGCCGGCATGGTGATGACGGTGTGCTCTGGGAATTTGGAGGAGTAGTATCTTGCTAGGGCCGCAAATCTCAGCATTGGGGCTCTAGAGAGCCTGACTGCAGGACGCGAAGCTAATCTAAGCGTGGCAATGGCAGACATTTTATAGCTGGTAGGTGATGTTATGAGCAATTGCCTCGAATTAGGATTAATCAAATTCAATCAGCTGCTGTTTTTTTTCCTCGCCGTAAAAAGTCGTCCTTCGCGGATCGGTCTTTTCCTTTGCCTTTTGCAAGCGTCGATCGACTTGGCGGGGTCGATTGTTTTTTTTTTTTCGCACATTTTTTCATCTCTTGGAACAATTCTCATCATGAACGCCGGCCTGAACCTTTCTGAAGAGTCCAAAGAGAGATTATCCAAAATTCTTGACACCACCAAGACCATCGCCCACTACGGATGGATCCCTTTTATCATTTACCTGGGCTGGCAATCCACCTCCAACAGACCAAACCTCATTAACTTGCTTTCTCCCTTGCCAACTGCCTGAGTGAATATATTGTTTATGCAACTACGCTGCCTGTCTATAGATGTGTATCTAACATGTCACAGATCGTTTGGAACGTTTTCGTATATGGAAGCCCCACCACGTTGTAGTAGTCTCCGTTTATGCCTTTCATCATCAAAGCTCCCGAGCCCTGGATTTTGAATCCGCCCGCCACCTGGTGGCCTTCGCCGCACTCGCTGTATTTCCTTATAAAGTCGTTGCTCACGGACTTTTCCATAACTATCTCTGTTATTTCCGTGAACGTCTTGATCTTGCACTTGTCGGGCTTTCTTTGTGTGCTGGCGTCACTCAGCAACACCACGACTCCAGAGAAAACGCGAACGGGCTTCTCCGAGTCGCGCATCCTGCAAATTGCCCGATAATTCTCTTCTTGTGTTTTTGGCTTCTCATATATCACACCTTCGTTTTCGACAACTGTGTCGGCAGAAAGCAGCAACACGTTATCTGTTTTGTTCTCTTTCTTCAATTGATCCCAAACAGCCAGACATTTGCCTTTGGCAGTCTCTACAACGTACTCTTCTACCGTGTAATCTAGCTTCGACAGATTTTCCTCAAACTGAGACGGCCTGATTACAGGATCGAACCCCAGCATTTCTAAGATCTCCCGACGACGAGGAGACGTGGAGCAAAGATAGAAAGAGTACTTTGAGATCTTCTCGTAAACAGGATGCTCGAATTTAGTAGCCATCGTAATAACCTTGATTTCGCTATTTGCTAAAAATTATACAACCTTACACCCTCCCTATAGAGCACTAAGATCGTAATCGATATTATGCTGCTTGAGTTTCTGGAGTCTTTTCTGGTTCTGATCCTGATACTTCTTTTGCAGTTTTTCCCACCGGGCCTTGGATTTAGGCCTGTCGTTCTTGAGTTGCGCGATCTTGCTCCACGGCACGGGCTTGTACTTGGAGTTGGCTCCCTGGAACAGGTTCTCGTGCACCTTTTCAGCCGGAACAACGGCACATTGGAGCAGATGTTCAAACAGCAGGTAGTTGTTCATGGTTTCCGCAGCAATCTTGGCCACTTCTGCGTGCTCGAACTCGATAAATGCGTAATGTTTCGACTTTCCCGTCTTTTTGTTTCTCGAAAGTCTCAGCCTGACAATTTCTCCAAACTGGCTGAAGTACTTCTTCAGCTCCTTCTCCTCAAATCCATGAGGCAGTCTGCCCACATATATCACACCGTGCTTGGACTTGCTGCTAGGTTTCGAGGAGTTCTTCTTAGCGGTCTCAACAGGTTTCGTCACGGTGTGCACCGTGTGCTTGGTCTTAGTTACGTTATCCTGTTCTTTGCTTTCCTCATAGTCAGCAGACTCAAAGCCCTGGAGCTCCTCAGCGTCGTCAGAGCTGTCACTGTCACTAGGAAGCTCAATTTCATCGTTTTCCAGTTCAGACTTGACTTCTTCTTTCTTTTTCTCTGGTTTTGACTCCTCTATCAGCTCCTGACTAACCTTTTTAGTACGGGTCCTAGTCAGAATTGGCGAGCGCGAGGGAGCCTTCTTGGAAGGTGGGATCGACACAGCTTTACGGGCCATTATAATTCCTAAAAAAATATCTACTAAAAATTTTTTTGATCTGAGATTAGTGGTGTACGGATGGAGGGAGAGGTTTTTGTTGGGCGAGCCAGCCTAGTTTCTCAATCGAACAACCCCACAGAGACCATTCAAAAGGACCCCTTTCGCTAGGCAACTTGCTAATATGAGCAAAGAACAGTTCTTGGGTTCCGATATGCGGAATTTGTCGCTTGTTACAAATTCATCAGACACGATTTTTTTAACCTGATTAAGTAACTTATACGAGTACCAGATAAGAAAAAAAAAACGGACCAAAATACTTTCAAAAATTGTATCATGTCCAAAGTCTTCACAGCTGAAGAGGTCGCCCAACACAACACCAGAGATGACTTGTATATCGTCTACAAAGGTAAAGTGTACGACTGCAGCCAATACTTGGACGAACATCCAGGAGGAGAAGAGGTGATCATGGACTGCGCCGGAACCGATGCTACAGAACCATTCGAAGATATTGGACATTCGGAAGACGCCCACGAGATATTGGCTAGCCTTGAAGTGGGAGAGCTCAAAGGTGGCGTCCCTGCCAAGCCAGTTGTGTCTGCTGCATCTTCGTCATCATCCGACAGTTCTTCATTGCCTCTTGTTGCCTTAGCCGGCCTTATTCTTGCCGTCGGAGCCTTTTTGTTCCTTAGAACGTGATTACATGGTTGGGTATGTTGGAGGCAAAGTCATAAGACGCCTATAGTTTGTTGAGCAGATTATAGGTTTAATAAATTAATTTCTATATCAACTGATCTTCATGGTCAACAATGATTCGCGGACTTGCGGGATCGGGCACTGGCTTTGCTGAAAGACCCGTTCACGAGCCGGATCGTGCCTTTTCTCGCTTGTTCTTACTAATTCCCAGCTTTTTATTCGTCGAGATCTAGCGGTTACCCGGACACGTTGGCACAAACTCGTTTAGCGAGTTCAAGGCGACCACTTGCAACTCCCCAAGCTCCAGGTATCTGTCCTACTCATACACGCTCACCTTTCGTTTCTGTTCAGATCTTGAGCTGTCCAATAGCTGCTTTTTGCGGAGTTCCCTGCACCTCCCAACCATGGCTTAGACAGACCCGTCGATCGACCATTTCTGGGCTCCAAACAATCTTGTGCAATGCAGAAGATGCATTTCTTGATAGAAACAAGCCGGCACTGTTCTCGCACCATGTTATCAGAAAATCCTTTGCTATCCAATCACAAGTTATATGGCAATACCACTTTCTGGCCAAATACCTGGCTCAATGTTTAACCGAAGCCAGCTACAATAATTGGCTGTGTAATATTTTTTTTTTTGTACTATTTATATCTTCAACATCACAAGTGCTTCCCGATGCTTCCCTCGCTTCTGACTTTTTTCGCGTTACTGGTTGGGATTTTTGGTTTGGAGGATGAACATGTGCTGGAAAACGACAGAGCATTTCAGACGTGTGCGTATGTGGCCAACTATGAGAATTCGAGGTTGTTTTTCATCTCGCAGCATTTCAGTCCTGAAATCACAGTCAAGTTCCAAAACCTGCCGGGTGCGACGGTCGACACGCTTCTGATTTCCGGCAGCGATTTGGAGCGGGTGAAACTTGATCCATTGCCAATGGTCAAGGTTTGCGACGAGAGCGCCATTAAGAAGAAGCTGTGCACGTATCCGTCTCTTGACCAGCTGAAATTACGCATGACCCTCGACGAACTGATCGACAGTGAAGAGTTCGAGTTTCCGATTGAACATTACAAGCTCATTCCATCTGAGCTGCCGGACAATAAGCACAAGTTCGAGATTAAAAATACGGCCATTTACTGTGTGGTATTCACGGCTCATGATATTCCTGCCGACGTGGGAAATTTGCGTGTTGTTGTCGATTGGAAACAGAGCTTTGGTAATCTGTTGGTGTCCGACTATCACTACCTGTACTGGGACTTTACGCTTTTCTTGTCCTACGTGATGCTTCTTGCCCTTTTTGCCGCATACTTGTACCGCAAAGTGCGTCTGGACAAAACCAATGCCATTTTATCGAACTCCATTTGGTTCAAACAGTTCACCATCCAGGTTAAGCTTTTATTTTACATTGCCGGTACTGCCTTCGGTTTTTTCAGCTCTGTCATAATCTACTCGCAGCTCAACAAGTACGGTTACGGTTACTACGGCAGTCTGAGTATGATCCTCATGAACGCTTGCATGCTCACTTTCAGCGCGACTTTCACGGTATGGATCGTGTACAACTGCCTGATTATCTCCTCGGGGTTCCTATTCTTTAGCAATATGAAGAGCCCGAAGAAGCTGAGAATTTTCAGAACCCTATGTGCGTTCCTCTTTCTTCAGCTTCTTCTCTTTGCTGTCGAAGAGTCTTCGGTGTATTCTATTCTTGGAGGCAGGGCCTCTTTTCTCAGTGACTTTATTTTCGTGCAACTGGTTGTCGTGTACTTTCTCTGTTGCTACTACGCATGGCGAACGTACAAGCAGCTCACCAACCAGAGCCTGCGTACAAAGATCCTGCTCACGTTTGCTCTGCTCACAATTATGAGCCTGGCTGAACTAATTTTGAGAGGAAGAGTGCTTTACGACTACGTGAACGAGCTCTTCCTCGAAATGGCGAATGTCACCACCACGGCCTACACTCTTAATTACCTCATTACCATCGCTCTTGTGCTGATATGGAAAGACACGAACCTGCAAAATGGCGAGTTTTTGGTGAAATAGACCTCAAACGTATAGTAATTGATAAAGCCTCCAAAGAGTGAGAACGTAGCGTGCTGTCCAATCATAGTGCCCGTATTCTTTCGCGAACACTTCAGTTCCATAAAATAGCCTGACTTTGCTGAGTTGGGCATTCCAACAGCAAGTGCAGCTAGTTCTGCTATCGTAGCAGTGCCTTAAGGAATTCGCCGGCCCAGCAGCCGTAACCACAACTCTCTGGGAGTGGCATCAAGGACGACAGCCACCACCGCCGTCAGATATCATAGTTTTCTTTGGCCAGCTCAGCCTCCAGAGCCGCACTACATAGTGGACCGCCATGTCTTGGGACCTCACGAACCCCGTGGTACCGTTCCGCTTATCGACACTGGTGGTGGTGTACGGATGTAATTGGTAGATCTCGTTCCTGTCGTATACCGAAAAAATTAACTGCAATTTTTTGTATAAACAGTCAATCACAATCGGATCATTTCTCATACATTCTTTTGGCGTTTTTGAAAAGATGGAGTTTCTGACGAACCATTATTCGACTGTGAACTCAACTACATTGATTGATGCCATCAAGGGGTTCGACTATGTTACCCTGAAATCGGCTGTTCAATCTCTTTGGCAACAGACTCCCTGGTGGCAGATAGTTGCCATCATCCTGGCTTTCGTTGTGGCCTACGACCAGATTGCATACCAGATATACAAGGGATCAATTGCTGGTCCGCGTTTCAAATTCTGGCCCGTGATTGGCCCATTTTTGGAGTCCTTGGACCCTAAGTTTGAGGAGTACCAGAGCAAATGGGCTTCCGGACCCTTGTCCTGTGTTTCGATTTTCCACAAGTTTGTTGTGATTGCTTCCACCAGGGACCTTGCTAGAAAGATCTTCCAGTCGCCAAAGTACGTCAAGCCGTGTGTTGTTGATGTTGCCGTGAAAATTTTGAGACCATCCAACTGGGTTTTCATGGACGGTAAGGAACACTCGGAATATAGAAAGGGGCTGAACGGGCTGTTTACGAAAAGCTCTCTGGAGCTGTACCTCCCAGACCAAGAGAAAATCATGGACAAGTACATCAATCTGTTTGCAGACATGACCAAAGACGAGCCAACTGTGTTCTTCCCAGTGTTCAGAGAGGTGATGTGTGCGATTTCTCTGAAGACGTTTTGCGGCGATTACATTACCAATGCTCAAATCAAGGAAATTGCTGACAATTACTATCTGATTACCGCGGCCTTGGAGCTTGTCAACTTCCCTATCATCATTCCTTACACCAAAACGTGGTACGGAAAGAAAATCGCTGATATGACGATGAAAGTCTTCGAAGAGTGCGCACAGATGGCCAAGGACCATATCGATGCCGGTGGAAAGCCAAAGTGTGTTATGGATGCCTGGGTGAAGGTCATGAAGGAGGCCAGAGACAGCAAAGACAAACAATCTTTGGATGCCAAGATATTGATTAGGGAGTTTTCCAACAAAGAGATCTCCGAAGCCGTGTTCACCTTCCTGTTTGCTTCCCAGGACGCCTCTTCCTCTCTTTGCTGCTGGCTCTTTCAAATTGTGGCTGATAGACCAGACGTTCTGAAGAAAATTAGAGAAGAGCAGCTCAGAATTAGAAATGGAAACCCATACGAGCCTCTTACCGGTAAGCTGATTGACGAGATGAAGTACACCAACATGGTTGTCAGAGAGACGTTGAGATACAGACCACCGGTGCTTATGGTTCCTCACGTTGTGAAAGAGGCCTATCCTGTCAGCGAAAATTACACTATTCCTAAGGGAGCCATGGTGGTGCCAACATTGTACCCTGCTTTGCACGACCCAGAGGCCTACGAGAATCCTGATGAGTTTGTGCCGGAGAGATGGGAAGAAGGTTCGCCTGCGTGGGCCGCCACGAAGAACTGGCTTGTCTTTGGTACCGGTGTGCATAGATGTCTGGGACAAACTTACGTGCTCATGACGTTTACTGCTTTCATCGGAAAGGCTGCTATGTTCCTGGACTTTGACCACAAGGTCACGGAATTGAGCGAGCAGATCAAGGTGTTTGCCACCATATTCCCCAAAGACGACGTGATCATGCAATTCAGACGCAGAGACCCTACCGTGGTTGAGTAGTTGCCCTATTTATGTACCATTTTTACTATCTACTACACACATCCTTACACCGGTAACGCCCCTGATCAGATAAGTTGTGTATTCTTGTTTTTTTTTTTCAATCCCCGGCTCCCGACTGCATTTCACGTGACCTTTCGTCACCAGCCTTTTGCACCGCCACCCGCAGCGCTCAAAGCCCGCCAATAAAACCGGCTCATATAATAAGCGACACCTAAAAACGATCGGGCACTAGCCTCAGTGTGGCTTCTTTCGCGGAGAAGCAGATCTAAGAGAGCTAAAAAGTTTTATATTTGCAAATCTGCACCTTTCTAGTGCTATCCATGGCTTCTGTCACTCTTCAACAGGCGTTCGCACAGGTTGCAGTCGCCTTGCAATCCGAATCCGGATTCAAGGCCTATTCGGTTGATCCGGTGGAGAAATCTTCGCAAATCGAGTCCCTGTCGGCTAACGACTGTCTCCAGTTCATCGAGGACTCCCAGGCCACTGTGCTGGGACTGCATTCTGATGACTTGCTCAAGCAATTGCCTATCATATCCCACTCCACGCAGAAATTCATCATCAATTCTCCAATCACTAATGACGACTACTCTGTTGTTTTGGCATTCAAGGACCTTGGAATACCTATCTTGATTTCTTCCAACCCACAAGAAGCGCTTGACTTTTTCATCCTTTCATATCTGGTTTCGAAATTCACAGATGGTGCCGTGCTCCACTTTTATTTGTCCCAGTCTCAGAGCCTCAAGTCGTACCCTGAGTCCAGTATTGTCAAGGTGTACGCCAGCTTTCAGGGCCAGGATCTCGAGTCTGCCTTTGGTGCTCTCAAAGAGCTCACTGGTCACTCCTATTCGGAATTTGAGTTTTTGAACTCCTCCTGGTTCTCCAGATACGACCAGATCTTGCTGTTGCTGGGCAACCAGAACGTTCTAAGTTCTGCTCTTCCGTCTGGAGTCGGCCTCATTTCCGTCAAAGTCTACAGACCATTCAACGTTGCCAAGCTTGCCAAACTGGTCTCGTCATACTCCCGCGTGCTGCAAATTCTGGAGCAGAGTTCTGTGCAGCTGGACTTCCAGCCGCTTCTGCTGGATATTCTGGACTTGTTGCCCCAGTTTTCGTCTGTCATATCCAGCCAGTTGCTGAAGGTCGACTCGTCGAACGTCGACGACGTGCTTAGTGACCTGTTCGCCAATTCTGAGCTCGACGAGCCGGTGCAGAACATGACTTTGGGAAAACCTTTCAAATCTGTCTCTGCCACCGTTTCGCGCTCCTCTTCACTCTCTGAAGATATCTATGTCAGATTGTTGCGCCAGGCCGTTCCTAATCTTTCTGTGCTGAACAACACAGTGCTGAATCCGTCTCCAGAATTTGCTTTTGGAAAGTTCCTGTACGAGGAGGAGCAGAGAAACAAACTAATCAATCTTATTGAGGACAGTTTGGGCGAGTTTGCTGGATCTTCTCTTAGTGACAAGCTTGCCGCATGGCTGATCAAAGCCAAGGAGGGAGACGAGGTCGATGGCACAGAGCTGGCTGCTGAGCTGGCCCAGTCCAAGGCACCTGTCGTCAGAGACATTCTAGCCCTGAAGGAGTATCTGACCGTGAAGACGAGCTGGCTGATAGGTTCGGACAAGTGGTGTTTTGACCAAGGACTCTCAACACTGCACCAAGTGCTCAAGACCAACAAGAGAGTCAAGCTGCTGATCATAGACTCGGATTCGTCGCTGAACAGAAAACAGGGCAAAAAAAATGCAGGGTTGTATGCGATGAACTACGGCAACTCGTACGTTGCGTCGGTGGCTCTGTACTCGTCGTACTCGCAAACGCTAACTGCGCTTTTGGAGGCCAACAAGTTTGGCAACGGTCCGGCCATTGTGCTGGCGTACTTGCCGCACTACGAAGACCATCTCGAGATCCTTAAGGACACCAAGAGCTCTGTCGATACTGGTTACTGGCCGCTTTACAGATACAATCCGTTCCTGGAAAACGAAGAGGACCAGTTCCAGCTGGACTCGTCCTTCATCAGGAACGAGCTCAAGGAGTTCCTTGACAGAGAAAACAGGCTCACAATGCTGGCTGCCAAGAGCCCGAAACTCGACTTCAACCTCAAATCGTACAACAACATGGTGGAGAAGAAGATGAACGAGAAGTCCAAGGACGCGTTCAGCAAGATGCTTGAGAACCTCAGCGGCGAGCCATTGACGATCGCATTTGCGTCTGACGGAGGCAACGCCGAGAACCTGGCCAAGAAGATGGGCAGAAGAGGAGCCGCCAAGGGCCTCAAGATCAAGCTTCTGGCCATGGACGATTTCTCCTTGGACGACCTGGCCATGGAGACCAATGTTATTTTTATCACGTCCACGTCTGGACAGGGAGAGTTCCCAACCAACGGTAAGCTGTTCTGGGAGGCTCTCAAATCCAGCACACTTGACCTTGCCAACCTCAAATTTTCTGTGTTTGGTCTGGGAGACTCGAAGTACTGGCCAAGGAAGGAGGACGCTCATTACTACAACAAGCCGGCTCAGGATCTGTTCAAGAAATTGACTCTGCTGGGCGCCAACGTTCTAGCAGACTTGGGGCTCGGAGACGATCAGGACGCCGACGGCTACAACACCGGCTATAACGCCTGGGAGCCAAAGGTTTGGGAGGCCCTGGGTGTGTCTGTGGAGAATGGGGATGAGCCTCCGCCAATAACGAACGAGGACATTAAGATCAACTCCAACTTCCTCAGAGGAACCATTGCAGAAGGGTTGCAGGATGCCAGCACTGGCGCCATTTCTGCGTCCGACCAGCAATTGACCAAGTTCCACGGTATCTATATGCAGGACGACAGAGACGTGAGAGAGCAACGCAAGAAGGAAGGCCTCGAGCCTGCGTACGCATTCATGGCGCGTGTGCGTCTTCCGGGAGGCGTTGCTACGCCGGACCAGTGGCTCAAAATCGACGAGCTGTCGAGCTCGAACGGCAACGGCACCTTCAAGATCACCACCAGAGCCACGTTCCAGCTGCATGGCGTGATCAAGTCGAAATTGAAGCCTACCATCAAAGGCATCAACACGGCTCTGATGGACACGCTTGCTGCGTGCGGTGATGTCAACAGAAACGTCATGTGTTCTGCTCTGCCTTCGAACCAGCACCTGCACTCACAGCTGGTGGAGACGTCCAAAATTATTTCCAAGCATCTGCTACCATCCACCACCGCCTACCACGAGCTGTGGCTCGACGATCTGGATCTCGAAAGAGGCATTGAGGGCGGCCCTAGAAAGATCAAGGTGGGTGGCGACTCTATTCAGGACGTAGAGCCACTGTACGGCCCTACATACCTGCCAAGAAAGTTCAAGGTTGTGCTGACTCTGCCTCCATACAACGACGTGGACGTCTATGCGCACGACATTGGGCTGATTGCCATTGTGGAAAACAACAATATCATCGGCTACAACGTGCTGGTGGGTGGTGGAATGGGAACCACGCACAACAACACCAAGACGTATCCAAGAACGGGCTCGATGTTTGGTTTCTGTCCGGTGGAAGACATCCACATTGTGTGCGAAAAAGTGATGATTGTCCAGAGAGACAACGGTGACAGAAAAAATAGAAAGCACGCGAGATTGAAGTACACGATCGACGACATGGGCGTTGACGTGTACAAGAGCAAGGTCGAGCAGCTGTGGGGCAAGAAGTTCGACGCTCCGAAACCGTTCAAGATCGACTCCAACATCGACTATTTTGGCTGGTGCAAGGATGAGGTCGGCCTCAACCACTACACCTGCTTCATCGAGAACGGAAGAATCGAGGACACAGTGGAGGCCCCTCAGAAGACCGGACTGAGCAAGATCGCGCGCTACATGAAAGAGCACGATTTTGGCGAGTTCAGACTGACGGGAAACCAGCACATTTTACTGTCGAATGTCCCTGACCAGCACCTGAGCACACTCAAGGAGATAATGAAGGAGCATAAGCTGGACAAGACTAACTTCTCTGCGCTGAGGCTCTCGTCGTCGTCCTGTGTGGCCCTGCCAACGTGTGGTCTGGCTATGGCTGAGGCCGAGAGATACCTGCCTGTGCTCATTTCGAAGCTGGAGGCAGAACTTGAGAACCTTGGTCTGAGAAACGACTCTATTGTAATGAGAATGACGGGATGTCCTAACGGATGTGCCAGACCATGGCTTGCGGAAGTTGCACTTGTTGGAAAGGCTCCTGGCTCCTACAACATGATGCTTGGTGGAGGATACAAGGGAGAACGTCTGAACAAGCTGTACAGAACCAACGTGGACGAGCAGCAGGTGCTCGACATTCTGGTGCCAATGTTTAGAAGATGGTCGCTAGAGAGATACGAAGGAGAGCATTTCGGAGACTTTGTGATCCGTGCCGGGTATATCAAGCCAACCACCGAAGGCAAGACTTTCTGGGACGATCTGCCAGAAGACCTTTAGGATAAATTATTAAATATATATTCAGAAATTGGATGCGGTAAATATTATAAAGCGGATGCAGATGACGGATTTTCTAGCTGTCGCAGGACTTTCAGCAGGGTCAGCTGGTCCAGAGGCATCTCGCGCTCGAGTTCCAGGATGTTGCGGATTTTGATGTCCCAGAACTTGCGCAGGATCTTGTTCAGTCTGTTCTTCACCTTGAGGCTGATTTCCTCGGCCTGTCTGTCTCCTGCCTGTCGCAGCAGCCGTTCTCTGCGTGCTGTTTCTCGTTTGAACCGCTGAATCAGCCGCTGCTTATGCACTTTCGATAACCGGGGCGGCCCTGAAGAAGCCATCGGATGGTTATATTGATGTTTATATCAAGGTTTATTTTTATTTATCTTTTCTTTCCCTTGCACTACCAAACGTAGTGGCGAAAAAAAACGGATTCGAATCCAACACTAGTATTCAAAATGGTTTTGGAGGCATGCATGATAGTCATTGACAACTCCGAGTATATGAGAAATGGCGACTACCCTACATCGCGGTACCAGGCACAGTTGCACACGGTGGAATTGATTTTCAGACGCAAAACCAACGCCAATCCAGAGAGCACCGTAGGACTGATGACCATGGCTGGGGAGTCGCCGCGGGTGGTCAGCAACCTCACCACAGAGTACGGAAAAGTGCTCAGTGGACTGCATCAGAGCCGGATAGAGGGACAGAGCAAGCTTGTGGACGGTATACAGGTGGCGTGTTTGGCATTGAAAAATCGACAAAACAAGGCACAGAAACAGCGTGTGATTGTGTTTGTGGGGTCGCCAATCACGGACAGCGAGGCTGATCTGGATAAGCTGGCTAAGCGGCTGAAAAAGAACGGCATATCTATTGATTTCATCAATTTCGGAGAGCAACAGATCAACACTGAGAAGCTCGAGAGGTTCATTTCGCTGGCCAATAGCAATGACTCGTCGCATCTGGTCACTGTTCCTCCTGGCCCCAATCTTCTGTACGAACAGGTGGACCGGTCTGCTCTGTTCCAGGAAGAGGGGGGCGCTTCTGGAGGCATGGGTATGGGAGACGAGTTTGGCTTCGACGACCCCAACATGGACCCCGAGCTGGCATTGGCGATCAGGTTGTCGCTCGAAGAGGAGCGTGCCAGACAGGAAAGAGAACAGGCGCCAGCCGAGAGCAATCTGGAAGCAGTGAAAGAGGAACCAAAGGGCGACGATAAGATGGATGAATCTAACTAATGAGAAAAAATTAAAGCCGCATAGTGTTGCTTTAGCGCGTAGAGTGAGGATAAAATAGAACAAGATCCGCCTTTTTCTTGGTCTTTTGGATCTCGTACTTCACTTTGCTTTCATCTTCAGCCCATAAGATGCTGGATGCTGGTTATAAACGAAACTCGTCCAGTAACAAATTCGATCAGGCTAGTCCTAGGTAAGTTTTGGTAGCGGTATCCACAAGCTAACATAGCAAGACACGACAATGTCAGATCGGCACTCTCTCCAACAAAGGAAAACCCCAAGAGCTCATCTTCGAAGAGTCAGTATATTGGCTACCAACAAGCGCTGCAGCAAGAATATTCCTATCTTATTTCTATGCAGAACAAGTGCTTATTTGCGGTCCCCTTGACCAAGGAAACGTTTTTGGAGGCGTACAGCAAGGGCAAGTGGAACCTATCGACCGTGCCATGTCCATCGTGCTATGCAAACACTACGCTTTTGAGACCTCCAGAGGCGTACAACGAGGCGAAACGACTAAAAGCTGTCGATTCGTACTCGGGCCTGCCCCATTGGGACAACACGCAAAGATTCAATTCACTGCTAACCAAAACCATGAACATGTTTGAATGCAATGGAGCTTCCATCAGCCTGATCGACACAAGGTACCAAGTTGTCAAATTCCAGCACAACCTGGGTTTCAAAGAGTGTGCCAGAACTGTCTCCATCGATGCTCATGCCATTCTTTCTGCTGGATTCTTTGCTCTAACCGATGCCTCCCAAGATTGGAGAACCGTCAGCAATCCGCTGGTCAAAGGTCCGCCAGGTATAAGGTACTATGTTGCTGTTCCTCTGACCACTGCTTCCAAGGATGTCATTGGCACGTTTGCCATTTTTGACGCTTTTCCAAGGACGAAAATCGAGGAAAACACCATTTCTATTATGCAACAGATCGCGGCAGAGATCATGGAGTATCTGGATGAAGTGCATGTCTCTGTGGCTGACACCAGCACCACGGTTCATTGCAGCTCTGTAACCTCGCCGACGTCTGCAGAAAACACAAAAATCATGCTGAAGAAGTATGGCAGAGCCACTAGCAGTGACGTTTTAGGGTCCATCTACGAGAGGGACGGGTCAGGAAGTCGGTATCAGCAGCACAGTCATCTGAGATTCAGCAAATACAGCACGCCTCTGGGAGACTTGATTGATCTGAATGTCTGGAGAAGTCTTTTAGGGTGCATGAATGCAGTTTCTGCTTCCAAAATGCTCTCGCACATTCTCATTGAGAGGCTGGGCTTCAACTGTGTTTACGTGATGAACATCAGAGTCACGGAGCTATTCAGAATCAACTCTGACCTGTTTCCCAAGGAAAACGAGATTGAGAGCGAGACATACAAGTTCAAAGACATGCTGCAATCAGTCAGTGACGAGAACATCAATGTGAAGCTTCTGGGCGGAGAAGGGTATCCGGAGAACTTGAATGTGGCCACTTTCCAGCCCAACTTTCATTACAAGGCGTTCAAGTCGGACTTTGGAATCATATACGACTCCAGGGACAGCAAGGCCAAGTACCACTCCGGGATTTGCATGCCGTTCTTCCGTAAGACGCCCAAGCTGGTTCGGAGACGCAAAATGAGTAAAAGCCAGCGAGCCTCGGCAAAGAACCGCGATGAGACGTTGCAGTTGTACCACAAGTCTGGGGGCTGTCTGATCACATGTTTCAGTACTGCGAATAAAGATCTGAATGATAGGGAAATTGGTTACATTTACGGCTGTGCTTCGATTCTCCGCAGACTCTACTTTATGAGCTAGTCGACATAGGGATAATAATATACATGTTTTTCTTTTAGAGGTTTGTGGCGAGATCGCGGAGCTTGATCTTGTTTGGGTTCTTCGGGTCGGCAACTATGATGTTGTTGAGAATGAGGTATCGAATGAGCGGGTCGTCTTTATTGTCCACCTCCAGCAGTTTCGAGTTGCCGGTGCTTGTGATGGAGTTGTTGAGCAGAATTTCCAGCAGTTTGAGGAATTTCTGTTTTCTCTCGTCCAGCTCTTCTTCCGTGAAAAGTGCCTCGAATTCTTTCCGCAGGATATAATCCACGATAAGTTTTTTCGATATTTCGATTAGTTTTGTAGATCTGTCGACCAATTTTGCCTGTTTCTGTAAATACGCGTCTTTAATGTTGTCTCCAACTGTGTGGCTCAACAGCAGTTGTTTCTTGTCCATCTCTTGCTGTATGCGCTCGTTTAGTTCAGTCTTCAGAATATCAAACACGGCATTAGTGTTTGCCATGTCGTCTGCGCGGCTCTGAAGCTCGTTATTGGTGCTGGCCATTTGCGCGAGCGACGTGTTGATGGCTTCCAATTGCGTGCTCAGATTATTTTGCGCCAATGAAAGCCCGATCAGGTCGTTCCGCGGTGGACGGAACGGGACCTTGTCTAGCGTGTCAGTCAACGCTATCTGAGACACTTTTGACGAGTCGCTCGTGTTCTGCTGCCTCAACATCTCCAGCTGCTTCTCGGCAGCCATGAGTAGTCGTTTTTTGAGTGCTATTTGGCTCTCCAGGTTTTTTTTGTATGTTGTGTCGTACTCGGGTGTCAGCTCAATGTCAGACATGAGAAATAAATATTTTGGACAACATTTTGGATACCCCATGTTAACACCGCTGGACTGTATTGCATCAACTGTGGAATCAGATTTGAAGTTCAAATGCACAAGCAGCTTGACCCTGGCTGCTCATTATTGTACCGATTCAAGTCAAATGCCCGTATACACAAAGCATTCGACCCATAGTTTTCAGCTCCCCAAGTATCTCATTGCACGTAGTTAAGATTCGTCGCGTCGAAAATATTTATCTATGGACGCTAAACAGAACGATAAAGAGGTCTCGCTCTATTTGGGAAACCTAGATCCCAAAGTCGACGAGACACTCCTGTACGAGCTTTTTGTTCAATTTGCGCCTGTCAAGAGCATCCGTTTGCCGAAAGATAAGGTGTTACGCAGACACCAGGGCTACGGATTTGTTGAATTCTTCAATGTCAAGGACTGTGAATACGTGCTCAATATATGCTCAGGGCTCAGTCTCTACGGTAAGGTGCTTCGTGTGAAGAAGCTGATCGGGGGTCAGACAGAGGCTCCCGAGTTAGACGAAGATATAGGGCCGGTGGTCTACGTTGGTAACTTGGACAAGCTAGTGGATTCTGGAAGTATCAGTGCTACTTTTGCTAATTTCGGAACGTTCCGTAAGCCACCGCAGGTCGTTGCTGGAGAAAAGAGCAACCATGCATTCATATATTACACAGACTTCGAGTCCAGCGACGAGGCTATCAAGGAGATGAATGGCAAGATAATCATGAACAGGCCCATCAAGATGGACTACGCCTACAAGAAGGACTCCAAGGAGAAGCATGGAGACCGTACAGAGCGTCTTTTATATGAAAAGGCCAGGGAGAATAATTTCGAGCTTGAACAGTTGAAAAAACGGTGATCACTCGAAAAAAGGTTTAATTTTTTTCAAATGAGTGAAATAGATCCAAAGCTTCTCCAACAGTTAGACGAGCCTTCTAGGCAAGAGGTCGCCGCATTCATCCAGCAGGAGTCCTCCAAAATGAAGATCCAGAGCTCGGTGACCAGTTTCACCGACAAATGCTTCAAAAAATGCGTTTCTACGATCGACAACGGGAACTTGAGCAACTACGAGGCCAACTGCATGAACGACTGTCTGAACCGTTTTCTGGACACCAATATCAAGATTGTTGAGATGTAAGTGATGCAACATGCTGTACTAACTAACCTCTAGACTCCAAAAGTTACAGAAGTGATTATGTCCCTGTATAAGGTAATGAATAGATTGCTGAACTGTGTATGAAGCGGGAGAAAGTGGATGTTATCGATGGGACGGAGTGATTGCGCTTCCTCCACGTGAATTGCTGTACATTATTCTACGTGGTTGGCCTATCGACAAGGCGCTAGGTTGTGGGTTTGTGTAGGTTTTCATCTGCTCGAAGACGACCTCTTCTGATCTTCTTGCAGCGGAAACTTTGTTCGTCAAGTCTCTACCTTTCCTACCAGTCTGTACCACATTATTATTATTTACTCCTAAAAAAATTACTGTATTATATTTTATGGGTACGTACTCCTTTGCGAATTCTAACGTTAGACAAATCGATTAAGCGCGGCCTCAACGACAGAATATACGACAAGCGGAAGGCGGCAGCTCTGGAGTTGGAACGCGTAGTGCGCGACTCACTAAGCACGGGCGATACAGAGAAGATTGTTACCATCATTAAACAACTGAGAAACGAGTATGCGTACGCCGTGCATCAGCCGAATGCGAGATACGGAGGTCTGATTGGCCTGGCAGCTGTCGCCATTGCTTTGGGTCAGAATGAGGTCCCAAAATACTTGGAAAGCATCATGCATCCTGTCCTTGCCTGCTTTGGAGATCAGGACTCCATGGTACGCTACTTTGCGTGCGAGGCACTTTACAACATTGCCAAGGTGGCCAAGGGGGAAATCCTGGTGTACTTCAATGAAATATTCGACGTGTTGTGCAAATTGGTGGCAGACGTGGAGATGAGCGTGAAGAACGCAGCAGATATATTGGACAGACTCATCAAGGATATCACCAGTGAAAAGGCCGCTACGTATGTGTCCGTACTTGCGAAACCTGTGGAGCCGCCTTCCGCTAAGGTGGTAGATCAAAAAGGGAAAACACTGCAGGTTTACGAACCACAGCTGCCAAAGGCATTCTCGCTGGAGAAATTCATCCCGTTGTTGAAAGAGCGCATGTATGCAACAAACCCCTATACGAGGATGTTTCTTGTTTCGTGGCTCCGACTTTTGGACTCGATTCCGGGCCTGAACCTGATTTCTTACCTGCCTTCGTTCCTTGATGCTCTTTTGTCTTACCTCAGTGCCACGTTGGAAGACGTTCGCGTGGTGACGGAAAACTTCCTCAAACTACTGCTCCATGAGATCCAAAAAGTGTCGGAGATCAAGAAATTGGTTTCTCAGGAAAAGGCAGACGACAGCAAGGAAAAGGACCTGTATATTCCTGGCCAGGATATCGTCATTGATTATCCAAAGATCATCGATCTACTCATCACCTCGCTCGACTCCACGGAGGAACTGATTCAGCTAGTTGCTCTGCAGTGGCTTGTGGCTCTGTTGGACATTTCTCCAGAGTCGTTCATTGTGTTCATGGCCAAATTGCTCGCTGTGCTGCTCTCCACCATCTCACATTCGAACAAGCAGCTCCGAGATATTTCCGTTCTTCTCAACTCGAAGCTGATGGAGCTGGCAGCCAATAACCATTACGACATAAATTACACGCTCATTGTGAATCAATTGACACTGCAGTTTCTGAATGACAAGGAGAGCACGCGACTTGCCTCTCTTGACTGGCTGATCATGCTGCACGAAAAGGACCCAATCAAGTTCCTTGAGCATTCGGACAACACCTTTGTCACGCTGCTGAAAGCCATGAACGACCAATCGGACAAGGTGATCAATAAGGATCTCGAACTGCTGTCCAAGATCTCCAACCAGACCGACGACAGATATTTCCAGTCGTTCATGGTGGATTTGCTAAATCTCTTCAAAAGAGACCGTAAACTGCTGGAAACCCGCGCAGACTTTATCATCAGGACAGTGTGTAAGTCCCTCGATGCTGAGCGGATCTACAAATCGCTATCCAAGGTTTTGAGCGAGGAGGAGTCAAACCTCGGCTTTCTATCCATTATGATCCAGATTCTCAACAACAACCTCATCATAGCTCCCGAACTGACGGCTCTGCGCCAAAAGCTGATTCGCGGAGACGATTTCGATCTGTTCAAAACACTGTTTAAGTGCTGGTCCTTGAATTCTGCCTCTGTGCTGTGTCTGACGCTTTTGACCTCCAACTACAAACTTAGCTACAAGATCGTGCTTGATTTGGCCAACTACGAGGTCTCGCTAAACCTGCTGATCCAGCTTGATCTGCTGATTCAGCTTCTCGAATCGCCAGTGTTTGCACGGCTGCGTCTGGACCTACTCAACCCGCAGAAGAATAAATATTTGTTCAAGTGTCTGTATGGACTGCTGATGCTGCTACCTCAGTCGAACTCATTCCGCACCTTGCAAAATAGACTCAATTCTATCACTCCAATTGTCCATCTCCAATTCGAGGACGACCACGACGAGAAGCCGTCACGAGACGACGCAGAGTTGCTGGGCTATTTTGACGGATCTCAACAAAGACTCAACAACCTGAAGTCGAGCCAGTCCTTGGATATCAACTCGAATTTCAGCAACCAGCTCATAATCAAAGACTCAGGAACGGAGCTTTCGAATTTGGTCAACGAAGAGGCCACCACCGTGCATGCGCCAAAGAAATTGGACTACATTACCAAATTTTCCGGAAGACTGAAGAATAACAAATAGATGTATATACCTCAATTCAAAGGGTCCCTGAAATGCGCTAAGTTGTTTCCTTTGCGCAGCTGTCGCAAACTAAGCTTTTCCCGCTGCGCCTCAACCACTGGACGATGGTAGCCAGGAGCATGGAACTCCCGATCTTTAACCACCAAAGACATGGTTCGTTCTCCGTCGCCAACTTCTCGGTCACGCCGAGGAAAGTTTTGTCTGTAGTAGCGGGCAAACGAACGGCTCCCCAATATGCGTCCATCGGGCAATTCTATTCCATTTGGCAGGACTTTCACTGTCGTGTACTCACTTTCATCAAAGTCGTAAAATCTCGCTATCACTTGTCTCTCTGCGCGCGTTTCGTAAGGGATGACACAATGGCCCTTGCTCTGGAGATGCTGTCGTATGCTGACCAGGTTTTTTCCCACAAATCCGCACTTCAAACACTCTTTATCGATTATTGCTTTATCTCCAAGATATTGCAGAAGACCACTTAGATCAACAAGATGATCCTGTTCAGGAATAAATAAACCATGAGCAGTGGACATGTGAGCCACGTTAGCCTCTTCATCAATGCTCTGGACGCTACAGTAGAAACAATTGGTCAAAATAACAGGCTCTTCCTCTTGCTCCTCTTCCGTGTAGTCGTCCTCAGAAGCGCTAGTCTCCGAGTCTGAAGCCGTGCTCGTATAGTCATAATCGCTCACTGTCGGCTCGGAGATGAGATCATCGATCGTGCATTCGGACTGTGCCTCGCTGTGGATCGATCCGAGAGAGAACTCACTTGCTCTCGAGACCACTGATGCGGCCGGCGATTGCGCGCGTCGATCGACGCTGCTATTTGCCAGTATGTCTTTTCGAGTCCGTCTCTTCAGGTCCTTTTTCGTGGGCTGGCGACGCCCAGTGCGGTGTTTTCGATGAACATGGAATCCAAATTCGTCCTGGTCGCTGTTGATCGCCTCCTGGCGCTGCTGGAGAGCTACCTTAGACTGGAAGACAACAGAATCGATCGGACCGAGTCCAGCCACGCGTCTCAAGAGGTTATATCTGTGCCATTCGGTCTTCATATGGATTCTCTGGACGTCTGCCGTGGGCAGGCGAATCTGGCACGAGTTGCACGTGAAGTTGCCGGGCCGGTTGAAAGTAAGACTCATAGCTGAAGATTCGAACTTTTTTTTAGCTATCATGATTATATAATCGCTTCTTTAGGCCAGACACGTTTGTAAAGAGCCATGGCAACCACGTCCTGGGCGTTCAGCTTGCCGTCGAATGTGGCCTTAAAGTAGCCATGTGTACCAAGAGACTCTTTGATCAGGCCAGAACGTCCCATTTTCGTGAACAGCGGAATATGCTGGTAGTGCTGAACATCTTGAGAGTTGAAGAACATGTACCTGACGGTGACGACCGACTTGTGGATTTTGAAGACTTCTCCAGTAAGAACAATTCTCTTGGCAAGGATACGGGTGTAGTCTGTGTTGAGGAATGTTCCCTGTGCAATGAATCTGGTTCCGGATTCTGTTTTTTTGAAGAAAATTGCGGGACAGTTGGTGAAGCTTACTGGTAGCACAGCAGTAGCTACCGAGATGGACCCTTTGTGCAGGAAACGGAGGAACTTCGCCACATTGTTGGGGTTGTTTGTCGCCTGGCTGAAAAGCGGGTTTATTTGCACGCGTCTGGGTCCGTACTGAACAATCATGGTATCCTTGGACTTGATCGGCTCCTCGTAGTCTTCCCAAGTTTGTGCTGAAAAATGGCACACAGACAGTTTGTGCTCGTTCGGCAATAGCGAGTACACAGCAAACGGTTTTCTGGCAGGGTCTGTGACGCGCTCCACGATGTGCGACGGCACCAAAATGTACATTTTGCATTTCTGTCCGGCTTTCACAACCACCTCTGCTCTGGCCTGTTTGAGAATCCGATTTTTGGTACTTTTGTAATTTTTAACTCTCAGATACCGGCTCCAGTTTTCAGGCGTTCTATCGTCTATCTCGTCGTAGTCCCATTCGGCCGAGGCCAGCGATTTTTCGCCACGGTAGCGGGCCAGCCTCTTGACGGCAGACTCCTCGGGATGGAGTTCGAATTCGTCTGGAAATTCCAGCTCCTCGCGTTCTCTTCTCTTGTATGCCTCCAGCTGTTTAGCCTCTTCCTCTTGTTCCAGGTCCATGTGGGAGTCGGCGTCCTCGTTCATGCCGTCGCTCTCCATGTCGGATTCCTGATCCTCAGAGTTACTTTCCAGACCTCTCTCCTCGATCAGCTCTTCCAGTTCTTCATCGTGCATCCATCTGGCCTGATACTCGGATATGCCCTTTGGCAACCTTTTTTCTGGTTTCTGCTCTTCCCCGTTGTCCTCGACATCCATGGCCCAATCGTCCTCGTCACTGATCATATCCTCGTCATCCAGGTCGTCGGCTTCCTGGAGAGGATCCAGTGACTCGCGTTCGGGTCCTGGCACAAACACGCCTGGTTCTTTTCCAAGAAGCTCGATCTGACTCACCGGAAAATCGCCTAGATCCGGTAAGTACACTAGTCTATCAGGATGGAATCCAATACCTCTGACTGTGCCTTCTATAATCAAGTGGCCTTCCATCAACCCCTCGGCTTCCCAGGCAACGCTGTCGGCAACCATGTATCCCCTGCTATCTCTCCATGTGATCTGTTTTGGCTTCTTCTGGCAGAGAGATCTCAAAAGATTAAGTGATTCCATCTGCGTTTCCAACGCAAATAATTTTTCAGTATGTGGGAAGAAATGCTTAAAGAAAGACGTCAGCGACTTAAGAACGTCCTGCTGAAGATTCTTCTTTGGATAGGCACTCACCAAATCCGGCACAACACCATAAACACTGGAAATACCTTGGTTTTCTGCCGCGCGAATGATCTGCTCGCCAATCTCAGGATTCACCTCCTCGGTAGCACTCAAACCAAACACAACAAAGTCGGCAACCTTGGCACAATCAAGAACATCAATGACGTTATTCATGTCTGGAATAATCACTTTCAGGCCTGCCTTGAATCTCTGGACCCTCACAGAGGTGACACCCGAGGTGTCTTTGATTTGCAACCCTTCCTCACCAACCGATCCGAGAATCTTGTTTGCCATATCCACTCCAGAAACATTACTCGTCAAAGGAATAATTGTCACAATTCTCTCGACATTACCATGATCAAACAAGGAACGTTCCTCAAGCGTCTTGGCAATTTTATTATGCTTCAATTGATTAGCTAGGTTTTTTCTTTCCAATTTGCTAGGCACATGAACACGTTTGTTGTTGGTCTTAGCTTTCTCAACTTTACCTTTGCTAGCAGCCTTTAGCGCACGTTTGGATGCATGGCCGCTCTTAAACGCCTTGTTCGGTTTCTTCAACGTTGGCCTGTGTCCGGCCATACTATATAAATTTATTTTAGATCCTAAAAATTTGATAAAAATATTTTGTGCTGAGGTAAGCGCTCGGTGCAGAGATGATGTGCTCCCGGAGGTTAACACTTATCAAGCCAGCATGCTTGTTTTTTTTTTCGCGGGCATGAATTTTTGTGAGGTCACGTGCTCAAACACAGGTCTCATACTCTGACTGTGAAAAATTTTTGGATACATTTTATTTTCTATATATCGTTAGTGAATAGGTAAGTCTAAGGATCACAAATAGAACGACAGCGGAAGGATATAGGTTGAAGAAAGTCAGCAAAACCATCGCTATTATTGTCCATCAAGTAAACATCGAAGGTCGCCATTTAGTGTTGCATTCTATCGCCTTTGACCACCCTCCAAGAGAATCTTTCTGAATCCCAATTTTGGCTAATATCATCTCGACCTTCCATTGTCGTTCTAAGAAGTCTCTTTGTCTCTAACATCCAGTCAATATGGCCCACGAGAACGTCTGGTACTCCCACCCAAGAAACTACGGTAAAGGATCAAGACAGTGCAGAGTCTGCGCTTCCCACAATGGTTTGATCAGAAAGTACGGATTGAACATCTGCAGACAATGTTTCAGAGAGAAGGCTCGTGACATTGGTTTCAACAAATTGCGTTAAGTCACTAAACTGCTCCAGCAGTGTATAGTTAATGTTAAAGTGTTCATAGCATAGTATGCTGAAAAAAAAGGTGTAGAGATGTATGTTTATTTAAATCTCGTTGCTTTTAAACTCTATCTAACCATGTCTTCTTACTTTGCACTCGGTTCCACCGGTTTATGCGGAAACTTCTTCGTTAACATTGCCGCCAACTCGCCGAATGTTGCCCGCATTTATACTCTCGGTCGTCGTGAACCAAAAGTCACGACGGACAGCTCCAAGCTCATTGCCACTGTCGAGCCTGATACCGACAAATGGCCTGCTTTGATCAGGAATCTTGATATTCCCCAGCATTCCACCTACTATTCATCGTTTGGAACGACCAGAAAGGCTGCAGGCAGTGCTGAGAACTTCATAAAGATCGACGAAGGCATCAATGTTGCTGCTGCCACTGCTGCGAAGGAATCCGGCAAATTTGACACTGCCGTGTTGGTGTCGAGCATTGGTGCCAATTCGTCCTCACGGTTCCTGTACATGGCCACCAAGGGCCGTATCGAGGAGAAGATCAAGGAATTGAAGTTCAAACGTACGATTATTCTGAGACCAGGTCCTCTGCTCGGTGAAAGAGAGCATGCTCATAGCTTGCTTGAGAGCGTTTCCAGAAAAGTGGGGGGCGTTGTGAGAGGCACAATATTCGAAGGGCTTCTTGCACATCCTATCAAGGGCGAGGAAGTTGCAAAAGTGGCCTTCTACTTGAGTCAGAAACCCATTGAAGAAGACAATAAGGTCATTGTTGTGGAAAGCAACGAGATGCTCAGGATTATTCGGGATAATGGTTTATAGTTGAAAATAGGTAATGATTAATGCAGACTCAGATTCATTCGAGCTACCATGAAAATTCTACATTTAATTATGATCAAATATTAATATCCAATAATTATAAATAATCAATAGCTCATTCATGTACCGACATCCCCAGATCACGCCCTATAAAAGCTCTTTCGAGTTCGAGCAGCTGAAGAAGTGGTTCTACAGCGCTGATCACAAGTTGAGAGCCAGGGCTGTTCAAAAGGTTGCCGCGTACGCTACCAAAGGAAGTCTTCCTCATTCGTTAGAGTCCACCTCGTTGCTTACCAGTTCGGCCTTGCTGGATGAGCAACTGTGCAGTATTAATGCCGATCCCATGCCTATCAGGCTGAGTTACGCGATGTCTCTGATCAAGTTCTGCAACGGTCTTCTGGATCCGATCCAGAAATCCACCTATGCTATGAGTCTCAATAAACTCGCAGAGATACTGCAGCTTCCTACATATTTCGTGGAGATCCGACACGCCGGAACTCATGAAATGCTCCCGTCTTTGGAAATGCTCCGATTCGGTGCGCAAAGTGCTCTGGAATGGCTAGAAATTAATTACTGGAACGAGGTCTTGGAAAGCACGTCTTCCGAGCCGCCTCAGGAGAAGACCGACCAGGAAGTAGACGCGTTGACCGACAGCTTCAAAGTACTGCGGAAAATCCGCAGAGAAGACATCCATAAGGTGTACAAGTTTGGAGACTCGACGGAAACGGGAACAAAATACTGGAAAGCGATGAAGGCGCTGAAAAGCGTCAAGGAAGACGTGTTATTAAACTATATGGTGTACCAGAACTGCTTGGTGCTGAAAACACCGCTCAATGAGAAAAAAGTGAACGGTATCAGATTGCTTTACAAGCCGATCCTGGAAGAACTTGGTTACGACGTGGTACTGGGGCTGTTCCAAACTTTTCTGGCTGCTGACACTAAAGATGAGCTCTTTTCCGCGCAGCGCACACAGTGGTTGCAGTACTTTCTCTCAAACGGCCTTACATTCAGCAGGAACTCCATCTACAGCAAGTTCCTCAACACTCAATCGGTAGGGGTGATTTTTGCGCTGCTAACAAAACATCCGCTAGAGTCCACAGCCACACTTCTAGAAACACTGAGTCAACACAAACAGCTTTTGGAGCACACAAAGCTTACAATGAAGGTGAACGATCAAATAAAATTCATGCGCACATTCTATATATCGGATCTTTCGTCGCAACCAGCGTTGAAGAAACAAAAGTCTGAGTCGCTGTTCCTTTTCGAAAAACATGAGCTCTGGGAACCAAAGCCTTTTGGTCAGTCTTGAATGTCAGCATCAGAATTGAGGTCTGTTGTCTTTGGCTATTTCTAGCAGCCCGCGATGAGAGTATGTCTTTGCGAGACGACCCTTGATAACGAATTCGTCGACGAATTCTGCGCCCATTTGCTCTCCGTACTGGCAGTGAATGAACCCAATCACATAGAGCAAAATGGTTGGTCTCGTGTGCTGTTCGAGCTTGACCACCTGTTGATCTTCAGATAATCTATCCAGCTTGAAATCGGTCTCAAATGCTCGTAAAAACTGGTCTATAAACTCCCTGCGGTTGTGCACGTTGGACATGCGTCGCAAAGTTCTTGGGAAGTCAAAAAGGTCATCTGCTGGGCTTGCTTGTTCGACATTCAGCGCCTCGTTAAATAAGTACATGTATATCCTTTTTCTTAATATCAGTCTCCCCAATATTTGTATATTTTCGAGGTCTATGCGCACGTCGCTGCCACCTACTCCTTGGAGCCGTGTCTTGAGACGAGCGTGGTCTCTGAAGTAAATGCAGTAATATAGTAGATAGTCGTCTAGCATGTACTCACTGGGTATTATCTGTCGCAGCAGTTTGATTCTTGACTCCGCTTTGCGTCGAAACTGCATATTATGGTGAAACTTGGTTCTCAAAGACGGCACAGGCTGACGGACCTGCAGCGCAAACGACGGCACTAGTGTTTGGTAGAAGCGTCGAAGCATTAAAATTATTTATTTTACATCCGGCTGTGCTAAAATCTTTTTATATTCTAATGCCTCCTAAAACTTCGTCTGCAAAGAAAAGCTCCACTGAGAGCGAGCTTCCCAAGACCAAGCTGCCCAAGCTCCCGACGGAGTTTATTTTACGGCCGTCACATGCGGGACTGAAAAATACGGCGGCCGTTTACGTCTCTCCCCAGATACTCACCATCACAGGGTGGTCTGCAGGGAATTTTGTCAAAATCACGCGAGGACTCTCGGACGTCACTCTATTGTTGCAAACTTGGAAACCAGAAGAAGAGGATTTGTATGATTTGAACGTCATTTTGATGTCACCCGAGTATTTGCAATTGACCCATTTTTTGCTCGGAGAAAGAGTGGAGCTGAAAAAAGCAACTTCGCAACCACCTTATGCCTCGGAAGTTCATGTAAGCATCCAAGAGAATACGGATGAGACTACTATACGGTCAAAGCTCATTGATATTGGCCTGGTGTACGAAAACCTGACCACATCTGATTTCCAAGTTACTCAAATAGTCAATGTGGATGTAGTGACAGACTCGTTCGATCAACTATCTTTGCAGGACCAGAGAAGAAAGAAGACATTGCGACCATTTCTGCTGCACCATAAAACCACCAAATTTGAGTTTCACACGGTCCAACAGCTGCAGCCTCTGCCTGCCCCATACAGCTACTCCAAGATTGGTGGTCTAGGCAAACAGATCGAGACTCTCAAACGAACCATAGACATTCCTTTATTTCGGCCCGATATATTTCAGCGATTTGGGATCGATCCTCCTCGTGGAGTCCTTCTCCATGGAAGCTCAGGCACCGGCAAGTCTTTGCTGCTCAAGAGCGTCGCGTTCGAGTCGCAGGGATGTCATGTGATCAATATCAGCGGCCCGGCGATAGTGTCGAAATACCTCGGTGGAACAGAGGAAAAGCTGCGGGAGTACTTTAAAGAGGCCATGAAGTACCAACCGGCTATCATTTTGATTGACGAGATCGACTCGCTTACGCCCAGCCGCAATAGCGAGGACGTTTCTGAGGTTGACACTCGTGTTACGGCCACTCTTTTGATGGCTTTGGATAGCATTGACGGGGCAGTTGTTGTGATTGGAGCTACCAACAGGATCAACTCCATTGACGCCAGTCTGAGACGGCCAGGCCGGTTCGACCAGGAAATCGAGATTCCTATTCCCGATGCCGACAGTCGGTACGACATTCTCTCGACACAGTTCGCAGCAATGAGGGGCCAACATGAACTCACGGACAGCCAGATAAGAGCCATTGCAAATACTACACACGGATACGTTGGAGCAGACCTGGTCTCCCTTTGCCGAGAATCAATTCTCAAGTGCGTTTCTCGTGGAATTACCACCCATCAAGAAAACCAAAAAGTTTCCTTTGCAGACGTAGAGGAGTCAAAGAGCGAGATCCAGCCGAGCGCTATGCGGGAGATTGTTTTGGAGATGCCAAAAGTGAGCTGGGACGATATCGGTGGTCAGGAGGTGCTGAAACGAAAGCTCAAGGAAATGGTCCAGCTTCCGTTGACGGCAGCAAACACATTTAGACGACTGGGAATCTCGGCTCCCAAGGGACTCCTTCTTTATGGCCCGCCAGGGTGTTCCAAGACTCTGACCGCCAAGGCTCTTGCGTCAGAATCTGGGCTGAATTTTTTGGCCATCAAGGGGCCGGAAGTGTTCAACAAGTATGTTGGTGAGTCTGAGAGAAAAATTAGAGAGATCTTCCATAAGGCCAGAACGTCTGCTCCATCAATTATCTTTATTGATGAAATTGACGCCCTGGCTACAAACAGAGACAGCGAAGACGCCGGAAACGTTTCTAGACAGGTGCTAAACTCGATGCTCAATGAGATAGACGGTGTGGAAGAGCTCAAGGGCGTGATAATTATTGGTGCTACCAACAGGCCAGACTCAATAGATCCTGCTCTTCTGCGTCCTGGACGACTTGACAGACACGTCTATGTTGCACCGCCTGACAGACACGCTCGGAAGCAGATCTTGGAGAAAAACACAGTCCACTTTAACCTTCCGAATCGCGTTTTGCTAATCGAGAAGCTGAGTGACTTGACTGAGGGATTCTCTGGCTCTGAGACCGTGCTGCTATGTCAAGAGGCCGGTCTAGCTGCCATTATGGAAAATAACGATTGCCAGCAGGTTGAGGAACGTCATTTCATGACTGCTCTTAACGACATTAGCAAAAACATCACTCCAGAGATGCTCGAGTACTACGCAGAGTTTGGAGAAAGATATAGGGCTGTGTAAGAAAAAAAATAAGAACTCTAATAAAGCATGTCGATGAACGTCAACAAGGCCGTGACCATGGCTGTGTTTGCAGCCGCCGGAGTTTACATGGGGATGAAGTTCTTTGAGCCAATAGTCATTGAACAGCTTCGCAAGGACGGAAACCTGCGCACTGATATAGACGTTCCGCAGTACGACGAAGACGGAAACAAGCTTCTGGATCAGGGCAAACAGGTGACCTGGGAAGCGATCCGCAAGGAGAGTCAGGCAGAACAGCAACTTCCAGACAGTTCTGTTTCGAAGCCGGTGAATTAAGTGGCATTTTTTCACATGCATTGCTCAGTCGCTGAAGGTGGTGCTCCAGTTAAGTCATCCTTCTGACATAAGCAAAAAAATTTTAAAAATATGGGTAAGCTCAAGAAGAGGTCCAGAAGTGCCAAACTGGCTGCTCAACGCAAGCCCGGGGCTTCCAAGGACGACAAGGAGTTTCAGAAAATTGCGCCGTTGTTAGATAAGTTGAAGTCGGATGCCGTGAACGACCGTTCCATGGCTGTCGGGGCCATAAATACCTTGTGCGATACTGACCCAGAGATTCGCAAATTGTTCTTGAAAAATGACCTTGTTCGCACGGTATTGACCAGACTTGTGCACGACTCTAGTGATGAGGTGGTTGTGGAATCGTTTGGACTTTTGCGTAACCTGATCATTGAGGAAGGGTATGATTTGAGCGTCTTTTTATGGAGATCGGACATTTGGACGGTTCTCAAGGACGCTTTCAAAAAAGCGAGCGTTTCCATCGAGCATGTAAAGGATGACAAAGTTTCGGCGGAACAGCGCGGCCTGCTGTTCGACTACATTGAGAATATAATAGCTTGTCTGGGGTCTCTTTGCCTTGAGATCTCCACAGATATGTTTCATTCAGACGTTCTACCGAAACTCGTCTCCAACGACATCCTTAAGTTCATTATCGTGCTTATTGAGCGCAATTATACAAAAAAGGTGACGTTGTCAGCTCTGGAATTCCTGTACGACCTGTCTACGATCTCTGCCCCATTTATCGAAGCGTTTTCTCAAGATGAAAATATCAAGCAGATTCTCTCAGGACTCAATTTGTCAAACGATTTGTCCAAGGTGTACCTTATTGGCTTGCATTTCCAGACTCTGGAGTTTTCAAATGGGCTCGACGACAACCAGACCATACAGGTTGCTGATAATTTGCTTGCCGTCGCGAATAAGGTATCAGAGGAGAACTCCCGGGCCGAAAGCAGCATCAAGGTCTACGAACTGGTCCTTGATATTTTTGCCACAATTGCCGAAATTAAGGGCCAGGAAGAGCCTGTGAATACCAAGATTTCGGGTATGATCGAGTCACACGTGGTTCCCTTCCTAAGAGTGGTATTCGAACTTGCCAACGTCAAAGTGCTTCAATGCTTGACGAATATCTTGTGTTTTTACAGGAATGAAGCGCCGGAGAGTGTAGTTGAGCTGGTGAATTCCATCAGACCAGCCGTATTGCAGCAGCTTTCACAGAAGCTTGAGGAGCCAGATTTGGAAACCATCAATCTGTATCTCGGATATTTGGAAGTTTCCTCTGAGATCACGTCTGCAGACAAGCTTAGACCGCTTGCAGAGGTGCTGTTGAAATTTGCATTCCAATTGGGTGAAATTACTCCCGTTTCGGCCCAGATCACAGGCCATCTCTTGCACATCTTGACTAAAATTGGCAAGCATTCCGACGATTTGGAGCTGACTACTAGCATCACTAAATTCATTGTGGACAAGAACTTCGTGGAACCTATAACATACTACAACTCGACCAGATTGGGAGAGCTGCGCAAAAAACACCAGTATCTGATCGAGACGGTTCTTGTGGATTCGACTAATTCCATATTCGATCTCTTCGACGACGACTATCCGTACAACAAGCCTATTTACCACGAAGGTGGACTTCACCAACTTCTCAAAGATAATTTGCCTTACTACAAAAAAATATACAAGGCTATAGACAAAAACAGCGAGCCTCAGCTAAAAGTCCTATACGAAGAAGCATTTCAGAATTTGGAAAGATTTATTCAGTACAAAGAGGGCGAGGCTAAATAGACTTTTAATGACGTTAGTTGTTTGTATTAGTGCCCATCTATTCAGATGACTAGGATTTGATCATTTGTCTGGATTGGCGTACCGTTTGGTCTGCTCCCTGATCTTTTTTTCGTATGCAACACGGTCCTTGGTATAAAGTCTCCAAGCAGGTTCCTGTGCAGGAGAATCAGGGTTTGGTGTATTAAGTAGTTCCTGGACACCCAGCAATATTTGTTTCAGGGAGATGGCAGGCCGCCAATCTTGTTCTTCGTTCAATATCGACAGACACACTGTACCCGATGGATAGACATTTGGATGATAAAAACCAGCTGGAAATTTGACTTTTGGAGGCTTGGCAGGGTACTCTTCAGGGAATATGATGGTAAGCGGGTAAGTGGCGTTGTCCCAGAGTGTATTTGATTTTCCAGGGATTCCAGCCGTCCAGTTGAGCAGATCTAGTGATCCATCAGGAGCCTTCATGGGCTTCGCATAAAAACCAAACGGATGGTCTTTTCTCCAGTTTTTTCTGTTGTTAGTTGCCGGCAACAAATGTACTTACCTTTCCTGTTGTATGCGCTCAGTTCGGAGGTTTCTTTCAGCCATGCTTAATTTAATTTATTTATTTTCTAGTTGGCAGTGTAAAAATACTCTGTCATTTTAAACACTGCTCGTCTATCTATTTAGGCAAGATTAAGACTACCTTGGAACGCTCTTATTAACCATAAATGAGCGAGAAAAAGTCCGAAACACATTACTCAGACGACGACCTCGACGATCTGGATGACTTGCTTGATGACTTCGACGACGAAATTCTGAGTAAGCCGCCCGGAGCAACGCTGAAGCAAGATCAGGAGCTCACGATCGCACCGGACGAAGAGCCTAATTTGGATGATAAGGAGCTGTTCGGCAAACTGTTGCAGGAAATAGGTTCCCAGGACCCCGATCTCTCGAAGAACCTTGGCAGTTTTCTGGACGATATTGGCAAACAGAACACCGGGCCGTCGTCTCCTCAGCCGGCTACGAAGAACAATTTCCAGGACGTGATTTCAGAAACGATAAACCGGCTCAAAGAGAGCGGAGAGCAGGTAGACAAATCCATAAAGCAAGAAGACGGGAATGACGAACTGATTACTAATTTGCTCAAGTCGCTTGATCTTAATTTAGATCTTAAAGGTTTAGACGGGCAAAATGGGGGAGTCGAGGACGTTGGCAATTTATTGGTCGAGATGTTGGAAAAATTGTCGTCCAAGAATGTCTTGTACGAGCCATTAAACGACCTATACCAGAAATTCCCTGCGTGGCTCGAACAACCTGAAAATCAACAGGACGAGAATTTCTCCAAGTATCAGCAACAATACGCCGTGATCAGGGAAATCATCAGCACATTCGACCTTCCCGACCACGAGGATAAGAAGAACAAAGATATCATCAACATAAAATTGGAGGAGTTACAGGAATTAGGAATGCCCCCAAAGGAATTACTTAACGACGACCTAAAGTTCTTGAATTTCGGAGGAAACTCCGAACTGGAGCTAGATGACAACGATATCCCAGAGGATATTAACAAAGAACTGGAAGACACTTGCAAACAAACATAGTCTTGAAAAGTTTCTAAACCCTTAGAAACACCCCAAGACTATTGCAAGTGCCATCAGGACAAATCAGACATCCAAGGAAGTTAGGGCGGTCACGAATGCACCAGGAGAGATTTTTGGGTTCGCCCCTCCTGTGGGTGTGCATCTACCGAGGAAACTGCGAATGTTTATGGTAACTTTTCATCATTTTGTCCCAATGGCACCTGCAACAGAATGGTGCGTTGCATCAAATGGCAGACTTCCAAGTACATAAGACTTGATCATAAACTGCTGGTCAGAAATGTAAATTACTGGCAAGTAAAAAGCTCCACAAATACTCGCAAAAACGAGTAAGAGTAACGGGAAAGAAAAATGAATCACTTGCAAAAGTGACCCATATTCAGACCCTAGAGCGTTTCTAAACCCTGTCGTCATCGTCGCAATAAGATTGGGAAAGAAGAACTCGGTTTTCATCACTAAGCAGTCATGATAGTCTCATACCATTTGATGCAACTCTTCTACTGAAGAAACACTTTGCAAGGAAAATATTTCACAAAATTTTTTTTCTTTTATAGCTAGGTTTTTTTTTTCTAGATCCTTCGTTATGTAGCCCTGGCACGGCACCGGGTAAGTCAATCAAAGGAAAGCCTGATCTCCTTGAACCTTTCGTCGACCGCCCGCTGTTCGTTCATGTACTTTAATGTCCGATCAAAGTGTTTGTACGTTGATTCAAGGCTGGACTTGTCGGTGGTAGGCTCTTTGCTTGCGGTCTTGAAGTTGCCATCAATCAGTTCAATCAGTCCGTTTAGGTATTTCACGGTAACGACATCGTTACCATGAATGAAGTAGTATAGTGATTGGTTAAGAATCTCAATGAATAACTCCAATGAGGCTCTAGCGTCCAGAATATTGTCCGCAACCCGAAGTGCTTTTTGCAGACACTCAAGTACTCTTTTTTCGTCTTTTTTCAAAGAAATGTGCGTTGTTGTAGATTCGTCCACTTCCTGGGTAACCCACCAAAGATGTGAAGCAAGATACACGGCCCGGCATTGGTCTGTTTTTTTGAGTAGTTTGGATCCGTAGAGAGCGCATTTGGTGATCAATTTGTCGAAGTTTTCCATGTTTAGCTCGATCATCTTGGTGGACTCCATCAGTTTGTTGATAATTGTGATGAGACTCTGGTATTGCGCACGGGAATCCACCAGGCTTTGTTCGTAAAGCACAAATGATTCGATGAAGAAGTCGTACGATACATCCACAAGCGACACTTCGTCCGCAAGTTGTGCAGTCACCAAATTGAGGTTTAGTCTCAGGCTTGGATTGATATTTAGCTCATTCATCTCGCTGATAACACTCGTGATGAACTGGAAAAAGTGCGAGATTCTAGCTCTGTCTTCTCTGGTTTCAACTTTCTTCAACAAATGAAGCTTTCTCACAAGTTTGAGAACAATGAATACAAGTGTAGGATAAGTGTACTTCACCTTTGACTTCCCTAGACTTAAGTACTTCCTTGATAATCCCAGCAGCTCGAAATGCTTGAACGGATCAATGTGGTAGATTAAATGCAAGAATTTGGCCAGCTTCTCTTGCTGGAGAGTGACTTCAAGTGAATCTTGTTCTTCATCCGGCGACGAGTCCAAACCAAAGATGGATTGGTTCTGTGCTGTTTTCTGAGTCAAACCTAGATCCTTGGCAGTAGGGTCATCGTCAGCGGTGATCAGGTTCTTCAAAATTTCTAAGATCTTGTTGACTTCTTCTTCCGTCGTCAGTTTGACATCATTAACCAGTAAACAATCAATAATATCGAGACTGGCCGATTTTCTCACAACTGGTTTCTGCAATGAGAAAAATTCCAGATAACTGGAATCAAGTTTGAGGATAGATTTGATGCTAGAATATCCGGACATTGGCACCAGAAGCAGAGATTTCCAGTGGCTTTGTGCCGAAGAGTCGCCTGTTCCCGCTTCCCCAAATTTTTCGGCAGCATATTTGTAAACGCAATTGACGTTGTCAAAGTTTTCAGGATAGTAAGTAATGGAAAGACGGCATATTCCTTCGAGTATCAAGCAGAAATCCTCACTCGACAAGTCCGGTTTCAGCTCATTCAGTTTATTGATAAAATCGATAAACTTATCAAAAATGTCTGTGAGATTTAGATCTTTGAACTGCTCAAGGAAGTCGGCGTCGGATTCCCGCTGTTTGAAATCTATCAATCTATCAATCAAACTGATGAGAATAGTTTTCAAGCTAACCTGATCATTCAAGCTGAGTGTGGCGTTGAAGAAATTTTCCAAAGTGGCCAAGTGGAATTCATCTGGAAACACCTGAATAATGACATCCAATAAATACTCTTGGGCAATGACATCACGACATTGAATGATCTGTTCCAGCAAGACTGGCAAAATGTTTTCCTTGTAATATGTCTTATCAATATTTTCCAGTTGAGACAGACGTACCAGGTTTGAGCCCACCAAAATCTGAAGCTCTTTGCGCTCCATAGTTCTCTTATTGCGCTCAGAAGAATGTCCTTGATGTTGCAGTCTGACCCAGAGCTTGTTCATTTCCACAAAATTCGTGATAATGAATTGAATTGAGTCATTGAGATCGCCAGTGGATTCCTCCTTGTCCGAAACAAACTCTGTAGGCAGTAAATCCTTTGTCCTCTGCGAAAGATAGTAACGTAAAAACAAACCACGAATCGGATGCTGCACACCACGACACATCTCCATCATGTCCTTCATGATCTCCTTGAGCGGAGCATCTGGAATCGACATATACACTGTTCCCACTGTTATCATCAAGTACAATCTGGGTATGATATTGCCAGCATATTGGACCAATTCATATAAATCTGCCAGGTGATTATTTGGATGGTTAGTTTTCAGGTGCTCGGCCAAGATTTCCAGCCCATCAAAGACCATAATGTACAGTTCGTAGTACTGCTTTGGAGAAAGCACACCTGTGCGCAATTCGTTGAGAAAGGTCGAAGCGTGCTTGAGGGCGTCCATGAACTTGTTCTTTGTGGCCAGACACTTTTTCATGAGCGAGATCTGCTGACGAATCACTGTCGTCGCATCGTCGAGCGCTTTCTGCTGCTCCTGGAGGCTCACTGCCACATTTTTCGCAACCATTACGGATTGCACTTAAATAATTTTAACAACTTCCTATCGCTTTTAAGCGTATTTTACAGTATCGCTACTATCTGGTGTACGGGTGGTATTAAATTTCTTTCAGCTTTATTTTGGAGTCGTTCTGATGAAATGTGTAGGACACAAATGACGCTCTGGGTTCTTGATCAAGTACTGCTGGTGGTACTCTTCAGCGTCCCAAAATGTTTTAATTGGCTCAATTGCAGTAACAATCTTGTCGTTAGGGTACCACTTTTTCTGCGCGTACTCCAGAGCCTCCTTGGCTATTTTTTCTTGCTCTTCGCTGTGAGTAAAGATGGCAGAACGATACTGGGTGCCGATATCCGGGCCCTGAGCGTCAACAGTCGTTGGGTCGTGCATCACGAAGAAAAAGTCCACTAGTGTTCTGTACGACACCTTGGACGGCTCGAAGGAAACTTGTAAAGTCTCTGCATGATTAGTCGATCCGGTGCAAACCAGTTTGTAGTCGGGGTTTGAGGCAGTTCCGTTGCCGTAACCAACCTTTGTATCAATGATCTGGTCTTTGAAGTGCTTCTTGTAAAGATACTCGACACCCCAGAAACAGCCGGCAGCAACGCTCAGAACTTGGCTGGAAGGCGTGGTCTTCAGAGTCTTGGAGATGGCGGACATGGAAAAAAATAGAGGATAAATTTATTGTGGCTCGCATATTTATTATGAGTTCGGTTAAAACGTATACGGCCTACGCATTTGAGACTCTGTACTCAAAGTTGCACAAAACAGAGCCAATTTCGTTTTCCAAGTGGAAGCTTACTCTGGAAAACGACTCGAATGTGGTGACCGAAAAGTGCCCCTTATTTGTTACGTGGAACATAAAGCAGAGAAATGACAAGGTTTTGCGTGGATGTATTGGCAACTTTAGCGATCTAACGCTGCCTGCTGGTGTTCGTGAATACGCTCTAATTGCTGCTCTAGAGGACCCTAGATTTGAGCCTATAACTCTACGGGAATTACCACAGCTCTCGTGTTCTGTCACGCTGCTCAAGAACTTTGAGACCGGCAAAGATGCTCTTGACTGGGAATTGGGCAAACATGGAATCAAAATACTGGTCAATGGTAAAAAGTCTGCCACATTCTTGCCCGAAGTTGCCACAGAGCAAGGATGGACGAAAGAGGAGACTCTACAACACCTTGTTCAGAAAGCGGGTTACTATCAGACCAACTGGAAAGAGGCAGACATACATCTTACTAGGTACGAAGGGATTAAGGAGACTTTGGACTATGACACTTTCATGAGTTTACGGGAGAAACTGCAATGATCATATGGTTATAAATTTGGCAGGTGCTATTGGCTTTTTTCGTTTGATTTGTGGTGCACGGGTGATGGCTAAAAAAAAATTTTTAGAAAATATAAAATTTTTTTATCTAGGATAAGAACCTCATAGGAGAATATGTCTGACGAAGTGAGTATAGCGACTTGTCTTGTTGAAGCTTTGAAGCTAACCCGATAGGTCATCTGGCAGGTCATCAACCAGCAGTTCTGTGCATTCAAGATCAAAACGACCAAAGATCAGAACTTTTGCAGAAACGAATATAATGTTAGCGGCTTGTGCAACCGTCAATCATGTCCACTGGCAAATGCCCGATACGCAACAGTGAAGAACGTGGATGGAAAACTGTATTTATACATCAAGACTGCAGAAAGAGCGCACACACCAAAGTATCTATGGGAAAGAATCAAGCTGAGCAAAGACTACAAAAAGGCATTGAAGCAAGTGGATGACCATTTGCTCTACTGGAACAAATTTCTTATACACAAGTGCAAGCAGAGACTCACCCGGCTGACGCAAGTTGCTATCACAGAAAGAAGATTGGCTCTTCGAGAGGACGAGAGACACTATGTTGGAGTGAAGCCAAAAGTCAAGAGGAGAGAACAAACAAGAGAGCGCAAGGCTTTGGCTGCCGCACGTATCGAGAAGGCAATTGAGAAGGAGTTGCTTGAACGTCTAAAGTCTGGTGCATATGGAGATCACCCTCTGAATGTTGATTCCAAGATATGGAAGAAGGTGCTAGGCAAGGTCGAGGAGCACGAGGAGGAAGAGTCAGATTTCGACTCGAACGACGAAATTGAGCTGGAGACCGACGAAGAAGATGAATCGGATGTTGGAGAGGTGGAATACGTCGAGGCAGAGGACGATGAGGACGAGATGGTCGACATGGAAGATCTGCAAAAATGGTTGCAAGATGGCTCGGACGCGTCGTCGAGCGATTCTGAAGACGAGGATGAGGACCAGGATGAGCCTCAGAAAAAGAGAAAGAGGCCTCGTATTGAGATTGAATACGAGGAGGAACCTATGACCAATATAGCGGCATGAACAGTATAGTAAGAAGATGGCATAATAGAAGGATCGACTTGGCGTACTAATTAAATAATTTGGCAGGTTTTTTTTTTTGTCCAACGCGTATGGAGACTAGTCTTTTTGAAAATCTGCGGCTTCCGTCGGTCCCGCTTCCAATAAGCAACACAACCCACACATATCGGTCGCCTGTGCCAGTGAAAGTGCTGGAGTCGCCCAGTGAGCCAGTCATCTTGGGAGTCGACGAGGCTGGAAGAGGCCCTGTTTTAGGACCCATGGTTTATGGAATCGCGTACTGTTTGAAAGATTATTCCAGCGATCTCAAGTCAGTGTATGGATTTGCAGACTCCAAGACCCTCACGGTGGAAAGAAGAGACCAGCTGATGAAATCCATCATCGAGGCAGACGGAGATTTGTGTCAGAACGTCGGATGGGCCACCACGACGATGACTGCGAGAGACATTTCGAGCGAAATGCTCAAGCCACGGGCCATTGGAAATATCAACCTCAACGAGCAAGCACATGACGCGACGATTAAGCTGATTCAAGGAGTTTTGGACCAAAAGGTCAATCTAAAAGAAGTGTACGTTGACACTGTTGGCCCGCCTGACTCGTACCAGCGCAAACTGAGCAGTAGATTCCCAGGAATAAAAGTGACTGTTACCAAGAAGGCCGATAGTCTGTTCCCTATCGTGTCGACGGCATCAATTGTGGCTAAGGTGACCAGGGACTGCAGTTTGTACCATCTAGCTGGCGGAGCAGATTGGGGGTCTGGTTACCCTTCCGATCCGCGCACGTCACACTGGCTCAACTCGAACGTACATCCCGTGTTTGGATGGAACTCCATGGTGCGCTTTTCATGGCAGACTTCTCGCGACGCTTTGGCTAAAAGCGGCGCTGTTCCGATGGTCTGGGAGGACGAATTGCAGACAAGCGACGATTTTGCAAACGTTGCCAGTATGATGAGCAAGCCTGCTGGCGGGAAGTCATATTTTGTAAGCGATGTGACAGGCGAATGAATTATGGTCTGTGAGCAACTTGTAGGTCAACGTTCTCGTCCAAATACGTGCGTAGCTGGTTGAAAAGAAAGTATATCTGTTTGAATTTTTCCTCCATCTCTGCCAGTTGGAGGAATTTGGCGTGCATCTGCTGTTTCTTGAGCAGAATTTGTTCGGCGTAGCGTTTCTGGTCCTCAAGCTGTTGCTTGTTCAGCTCGATACATTTGTGAGACAGAGCTTCCAGAATGTTCAGAAGATCCTCCTCTGAGTCATCAACAGTGTTGCGCAACTCTTGGTTGTATTTTTTCCTGCTTATCAGAAGTTCTGCCAGTTGCTGATTCTCCAGCCTGAGTTCTTTGACTCGCCTAGTTTTCGGCGAAGGCGAATCCAGTTGCGTTTTGTCAATGGGTTTTAAATTGCGGTACTTGAATCTGCTTTCGTCCTCTGTTGGAAACAGACCCTGGTAATTAGCATTCAGTGAGGCGGAGATCTGATCTGTCTGTTTCCATATATCCTGTTTTATCTTGGCGTTCTCATTCAGCACTTCCGCCAGATCGTCCACCAGACGGTACAGGGCTCCATAATTCTCTGTGTTGATGACGTTTATCTCCTGGTTATACGAGGGCTGTCCCGATTTGCCGTCAGGAGCGAGATCTTCAGGAGGCATGCTTAAAAAAAAAATTAAATATATTCGGGCTAAATAAATTATTTCTTATTTCAGAGCGAAACTAGCGACCGAAGTACTTTCTCTCTAGTGGTCTGGTGACATTGTAGGCGATGAAGGCGAAACCGAAGGCAAGCTCGAATCCAATCTCTGCACCGAACTCTCCGATTTTTCTTCCAATGACACCGGCGTACCAGGTCTGGTCCATGCCGACGGCAGTACCTGCAGCACCGCAACAGAAAGCGAACGCACCCGCGTATCCTGGGTTGAGAAGCTTCTTGTTGTTGTAAATCTCCATGTTGTAGCCGCTGAAGCCTTTCAGGTAGAAGAAGTGCTCGGAAAGGGAGATGGCGTCGTAGATAGCCAGGTAGTATCCAATGATGTTCATGAAGTTCTCAACAACAGACTCAAAGTGGTAGTATGCCGGGATACAAATGGCCAGGGTAAGACAGTTTCCGACAACGGTCCAAACGACTCTTGGCACCTTGGCCAAAGGCGACCAGAAAGCCTGGGCTCCTAGAGCGATGGAGTACATATTTGGCAGGTTGTTGCAGACGGTCGAGAGAGCAAGCAGCACACACAAAAATTCTCCAAACCTGTGAAGCGAGTGCTCCACGAGAATGGCGTACACCAGTCCACCAACCGAGTACTCGCTGTACAAATCGGCGTAGGTCTGGTTGGTCTTGATACCGGTGACGGCAGCAGCACCCAGAATCATGGTGAAAATCAGAGGAAAACATAGACCACCGAGCACAGAGAAAAAGATTCTGTACGGGTTGGAGTTTGGCTTCATGTAGGTAGTGTAGTCGGCAGCGTATGTGGTCCATCCGGCAGCGAATCCGAAAATGGTACCTCCAAAGGAGAGTACGCTACCGGCGAAAGTTTCGCCGGAGCCCCAGTTGGTGTAAGTTCCGTCGTCGTTAGGAATGCCTGCCACAAAGACATCGTCGATGGACAGTCTGGCGATGATGGCGATGAAAACGACAACGTTAGGGATCCAGGACCATTTCTCGTACGCGTGGATGACATTGTAGCCGAAAAAGGTGACGATAATGGTCAGGATGATGATGATCAAACATCCGGCCCACGCTGGTAGAGCATGGTTGTTGACGATGTTGAGCAGCTGGGCAGAAGCCATAATGTTCACTGCACCCCAACCAACACACGCAACGACGTTGATGAAGGCAAAAATCCGCATCGCAAGATCTCCAACAAGATACCTGGAAAGCACCATCTGTCTGAGACCAAACTTGGCTCCGTGGATGGAGAAGAAGGCCACCGGAATGGCACCAAGGATATTGAAGAAAATAATGACCAGAACAGAGGTTCCAAAGTCAAGACCAAAAACACCGTAGGACAAACATCCAATGTTGAAGGTGGCAATCACCATGTTGGCAGAGAGCCACATGGACGCACAGGTCCAAAGAGAGCTTTGGGTTTTTTCTTGCACGGGAATCATTTCAATGCCTCTTGTCTCACCATGAAACATACTCATGATGTTGGCGTAGAAGCCAGAGAGTCTGGTCTTCTCCACCTCGGAGGTCTCTTGGACGAAAGGCTCGTCGCTCAGCGACTCGTCGATCTTCTTCTCAGGGTCTGGGGCCATTTTGTGCTGATTGAACGGGCAGATAATGTTCGTTTATATAGAAAATTTTTTACCCACGATGACATGCGGCCTGACAATGGGAGCTGCGCAGCGAACAATCCCGAAAGCCCTACGGCCCTCCTTTATCTAATATCTGTCTAACAAAAATCTGCAGCCGCAGCGTTATCTACAAGGCTGCACACGCGGCGAACAACAAGGGTCCGCGGCACGCCTCGGACGGCACTTCCCGTGCTGGTGCACGGGTGTGGATAATGATGCGAGCCTCGGCAAGCGGGTAGCAAAAAATACGGTGCAGAGATGTGGATACCGTTTTATATTCACTTTATTTGCATGTCTTTGAAAGAGAGCATAGACAAGGCCACGTCGGCCGAGCTGACCGAGGACGATTTCGGGCTATTGCTGGACGTCGTCGACATCGTTAAGAGCGACGCCGACACAAACATCGAGGAGTCTGTCGACATCATTAAAACCAAGCTGGAGTCCAACAACGCCAACGTTATTCTGCGCAGTGTGTCGCTGTTGGACTTTTTGGCGGAGAACTGCGGCGCCATGATGCGCGGCCAGATTGCCAAGCGGTCATTTGTCAACAATTACCTTGTCAAGCTGGTGAACGACCCGAAAATGCACAATTCCATCAAGTACGCAGTCATCAAGGAGATCTACAAGCTAAGCAAGAGTTTCAAGGGCGATGAGTCACTCCGTGCGATGGAGGACAGTTTCAAAGAGCTGCAGAAGAAGTATCTGTATTTGTGCCAGCAGGCGGTTTCTGAGGTTGACGGCACTCCGAAGCCTGCTAGTGGCGAGGAGGACGAGGAGCTTAGAAAGGCGATTGAGATGTCGCTGAGGGAGACGGGCCCGCCGTTCAGCGAACGCCAGAGCACTACTGTGGCTGAGCAGGCGTTCAACGTGCCTGCTGCGGCGCCAGAACACGCGCAAGCCCCAGCCCCAGCCCCAGTTCCTGCTCCAGAAAAGGTGCGTGCTCTGTATGATCTGCAGTCAAACGACGACGATACGCTCTCGTTTAAGAAGGATGACATCATCGTCGTTGTTGAGAAGGTCAACGACGACTGGATTCGAGGCTGTCTGAACGGGAATTTGGGCATTGTGCCTGTGAACTACGTCGAAAAGGTGCCGCAGGCGACAGAGCGCGAATTAGCTGAGCTGGTGACGCTTCTGGATAACTCGTTCAACGTGGAGGTGCTGCTGTCAAAACTGATCGATCTGAAGACGCGAGTGGCCTCGCAGCCAATCTCCAGCCAGGAGTTCGAAAGCATATTGATTAGAGACCAGATTCCGGGCAAGCTCGACCAGCTTAGCCATACAAGAGAGACTCTGCGCCAAATATTGGATCTGTACAAGCTGAAGGTGCTGGAGCTGCAAAGTATGCAGAGAAACGTCGATGCGAGTGTGGAGCTGTACCACCAGCTGCTGAGAGAGGCGAAAAATAGCCAGCCGCTGCCGTCCCCGAACCCGACCACGTTCGGGTTCAATCCCCAACAGAGCCAGTACCAGATACAATCTCCGCCTTTTTAGAGAAGCTGATTCCGTATTGACTAGCCAATTGCTCAACCGACACGAGATTCTGTACGCGGAACCTCTTCACGTCGTCGAGGATGTCGTTTTTCGAGACAAAAATGGCGCCCAACCGTTCCACAACTGCGCCACCATCGCTTAGAACCACTTTTTTACTCTCACTCAAGATCTGCAGTTTGTATAGCACAAGAACCACGATCGACAGTTTGTACTCGCTAAACTCAGAAACGTACGACGGCTCGGGCGTGGTGAGAATCTCTGAGTACACCACAGAAAGCTGTTCCCAGAGTCCGTGCAGCACAATGCTTGCACACTGCTCAAATTGCAACGATGCCAAGATAGCAGCCAGTGTCTGCATTTTGAACTGCTGCACACACACGTATTTGACGCGAGAGTATATTTTGAGCTGTGCGACGCTCAGCCGCGGCAAATGGACCGGCCGGGCAAGATCGGGAGCCAGATCCACCACACAGATCTCTCCAGGCGGCCACTCACGTTTTAAAATGTCCGCCACCAGATCTGCCAGCGACTCGTGGTGTAGCTGCTCGATCATAAATAAAGCTGATTATTTTTTAATATTATTTACTCCCCAGACCGATCTTATTTTTTCAAAAAAACATACGCCAATACAGCTGGCATTTGTTGTCCTCGAGTTGCATGTCTTTTGAAGCGTACGAAGACGTGACAGGGCTGCGGTTTGCGTGGAATGCGCTGCCGCAGTCTCCGAACGACCTCAAAAACTACGTCGTGCCGTTCTCTTGTCTGTACCAGCCGCTCAGACCTATGGAGAATCCACTCTTGTTAAACGGGCCTCCGATTTCCTGTCGTGCGTGCCGGGCTCTGCTGAACCCGTACTGCCAGCCTGACCTGCAGAGCAGGACGTGGACTTGCTCGCTATGTCGGCTGCGCAACCAGTTTGCTCACGAGCTCGCCGACCTGCCGTTCGAGGCTCGTCCCGAGGCTGTCAATTACGAGTACATATTGCCGCCGCTGGCCACCCAGCAGCCTTATGTGTTCCTTTTTGTCGTAGATCTGTGCCTGGAGCCAGAAAACCTTGCTGCTTTGAAGGAAAGCCTGTTGGTGGCAATGAACTTGATTCCCCCAGATGCCCTGGTGGGCTTTATCACGTTTGGAAAAAATGTCAACGTCCACGAGATCGGCCATCAGGACTCGAACTCGAGCTACTGTTTCAATGGGCTGAAAAGCTACAATGCAGATCAAATAGAGAAAACTCTGGGCGTGCTTTCTGGAGACCTCAAGGCCGCCAGGAGACCCGTCCAGCATCAGCCTGAAATGCCGCTAAACCCTGCCAGCAGGTTTATCCAGCAGCTGGCCATGTGCGAGTTTCAACTCACCACTTTAATCGAGTCTCTAACCCCAGATTCGTTCCCTGTGGAGAAATACCACAGGAACCAGCGTGCCACGGGAGCTGCCTTGAACGTGGCCACCAACCTGCTCTCGTCCACATTTGCCAAGTCTGGTGCCCGCCTAATGCTGTTTACCGGAGGTCCCTGCACCTACGGCCCGGGAAAAATTGTGGAAACCGCATTGAAAAATCCAATCAGATCGCATAGCGATCTCCAAAAAGATCCGGCCATGCTCAAGCAATACAAAAAAGCGGCAAAGTTCTACGAAGAGCTCGCAGCCATTGCGTCCAAAGCAGGTCACACAGTCGACATATTTGTCGGCTCCTACGACCAGGTCGGCCTTGCCGAAATGGAGTGTCTCATGCACCGAACGGGAGGCACGGCGATCCAGAGCGACGGGTTCTCGACAGCCATTTTCAAACAGTCCCTGCAACGATTTTTCAACCGCACCCCTGCAGGCACCCTTGAGTTCGGCCTCAACGCCACGCTCGAGATCAAAACCACAAATAACCTCAAGCTCAGTGGTATCGTCGGTCACGTGACCGCGCTCAAGCACAAGACGCCGTTTGTGGCGGACAAGGAGGTTGGCGTGGGCGGAACGGACACGTGGAAACTCGGCGGAGTCTCTGTGCATTCCACGTACGGCGTGTATTTCGAGCCTGTCGTTGAGGTTAGCCAACCGTTCGGGATCATACAATTTATCACCAGCTACCAGCACTCGGACGGCACGCGTAGACTGCACGTGACCACCAGTCACAAGCCAAGTCTGCAACCGGGGCAGAATTTGATTGATTTTTTCGACCAGGAGGCTGCCGCTGTGCTGGTTGCTCGTGAGGCACTGTACAAGGTGCTGAGAGACAACTCCACGGACGCCATTCGGTGGTGCGACAAGATATTGGTGGATCTGTGTTCCAAGTTTGGAACCTACAAAGTGGGCGATCCGCGCTCGTTGGTGCTGTCTCAGAATTTGAACCTCTTTCCGCAGTTCATGTACCACCTGAGACGGTCCAATTTCATCCAAATCTTCAACTCGTCTCCGGACGAAACGGCGTTCTACAGACACTGTTTCCTGACTGAGGAGTGCATGAATTCGCTCATCATGATTCAGCCGACGTTGACATCGTTTGAGATCGAGAAAGAGCCAGAGCCGGTGTTGTTGGATTCGCTGTCGATTAGACCAGACAGGATCCTGCTCCTGGACACGTTTTTCCATCTATTAATTTTCCATGGCTCCCAAATAGCAGAGTGGAGAAGACAGGGGTACCAAGACCTGCCAGACTACGAATACTTCAAAGAGTTCCTGAATCAGCCTCGCGTGGAAGCTGCAGATATCCTTGTTGACCGGTTCCCACTGCCGCGATTTATCGACACCGAGGAAGGCGGGTCGCAGGCGAGGTTTTTGATGTCGAAGTTGAACCCAACGACGTCGTACAAAAACGGCGACGACTTGCACATTCTGGCGAACGGCCAGACGGACAGCGGCGCCGTGATCCTCACCGACGACGTGAGCTTACAAACGTTCATGGAACACGTCAACAACGCGGTGGTGAAGCCGACCTAGATACAAAATTCAGCAAGCTGAAACTTTGTAAGTGTATATCAAAAATTATGAGACCCACACTCCTCCAAAGGGAAGAGCTGGCGAGCCTGCCAGCAGCAGGTATGTGCAAAGCACACTGGACAGGCCCGATCACAAGGACTTCATGATCTCCTGTGATCTCCCAAGGTAAGTATGAAAAAATATTTTTTGGGGACGGGGCCGTTTATATAGTGCTGTGTCGCCGGGTAATCTTTGGGGCAAAAAAACCAAATACGCATTTTCCAAAAATGAAAATAAAATAAATATTGTCTTATGCCTTCGTTCAGAGAGGACAATTTCCTGATAGTCCAGCCGGGCTCGCAGAATACGCTTGTGCGATTTGGGATTGAGGATGTACTTAGTCCACCTGCGTACAGTATTCCTACGAAAGTATACAAAAATGCACAGGACACGGCATACTACACCATCAAGCCTCAGGACGAGTCGCTCGCTGTGTATCCCATTGTGAAAGGCGAGATTGTCGATGTTCACGGGCTAAATTTTCTGTTCAAGTGTATTGCTCGCTCGATTCTTAAAGACCAGCCGGTGTTGCTCCTCAACAGCATCGCCTTCACGCTTGTGCAGACCTCCAACAGATGGTCGAACGAGACGATCGAGATGATCACAAAGTACGTTTTTGAAACTCTGCAGTTCGGGGCCTTCTCCATCGTTCCTGCCTCTCTGTGCTCGATGTTCTCTTACGGGTCTCTGTCCAATGCTTGTGTTGTTGACATTGGCTACGAGAAAACCGAGATCACGCCCATCCTCGACTACCAGGTGTACACTCCGGGAATCAAAATCATCGACAAGGGCGGAAACAGTATAAACGATAGATTGGGCAAGATTCTGCCAGACTTGACGAGCGATCAGGTGGAAATGCTGAAGCGGTCAGCGATTTTTGAAGTTTTGAGTGAGGAGGATGCCAAAAATTCGTTCTTCGGCGCGGAGCAGCTGGTGGAGAAAAAAGAGGAGGACGACGGTGTACTGGACGTGGCGGCAATTGTGACGAGCGACAAGCCGACCCGGGAAATCCTGGCGGAGAAGGAGAAGGAGAAGCGCAAGAGCGGCAAGGCCGCTACAGAATCAAAGCCAAACAGCGAGCTTGAGACTAACACGTTTGTGGATAGCGAAGGCAATGTTGTGAGCGTGGGTAAGGAGCGGTTCCAAGGCTGCACAGACCTGATCGAGAGCATTGGAGCGGCTATCCACCGCACATTGTCGAAAATCACAGATCTTAAAAGGGCGCAGGAATGCTACGACAACTTGATCCTAGTAGGCCAGACGAGCAAAATCATCGGATTCAAGGAGGCGCTCGTGGTGCACCTGTACCGCAATTTTGTTGTCGGACAGGGTGCAATGTCTGCCCAAAGCGGAGCGTTCCGCGACACAAACAACATGATTCAGGACCTGAACCTAATCCAGGTGCCGAAACACGTCAAGCTACTGAGTCGGCCGGACTACTTTACCGAGTGGAAAAAGACCGGGTTCGAGGACTGCTCGTTTCTGGGCGCACAGATACTCGCGAAGCAGGTGTTCAACTCGCACGCTGTCGGGGGCTCCTTCCTGCGCGAGGACTACATGGAAAAAGGCCCGATTGGTATTTGACACAACAGGTTGTAGTATACATACACTAATAGGACTCAATCCCCCCGCAGTCTCCTGGCAAGATGGATGTCTTTCTGCATGATGGTGACTCGCTTCGCGTGGAGCGCGCACAGGTTGGTATCCTCAAAAAGATGCACAAGATACGCCTCGACGGCTTCCTGCAACGCCAGCACTGCGACCGACTGCCATCTGTAGGTGCTTGTTCCGAACTCGTCCTGGACGATTTCTCTGACGAGTCTAGCAAAGGGTAGTTTCCTGATAAGCAGCTCTGTGGACTTCTGGAACCTTCTGATCTCGCGCAAGGCCACAGTTCCGGGCTTGAATCTTTTTTTCTGCGTTTTGATTTCTGTCGGGTCGCCTGGCTGGTTTCTCGCGAGCCCAGAGCTCAACGTCGAGCCCGCCTTGACCTTTGGCGTCTCAGAGCTTTTAGACGGTGTTTTCTTGATACTGGCTGGCGAATTCTTGAAGCTTGTGCTGGAGCCCATCTTGGGCGTCTTTGGCGTTGTCGACACCGGCTTGTGCTTATTTAACCTGGCCATTGAAACAATGCCCTAAAGTTTATCAGGACAATTTTTTGATTACCCCTTTGGAAATAATTAAGTGCAGTGGCTGGTCTCAAAAAATATTTAAAAAATTAATAAATTTCTTCAATATGTTTTCACCTACATAATACAAATAAATGCACAGGAAATGAACAGTCCTATTTCTCGGCGACCTCTGAGCCCTGGGAGAAGTTTGAGAATGCATCTCCCGCCTCCTCTGTGGTCTCTTTCTTGGTCTCCTTCGGTTTAGGAGCGGTCTTAGAAGCTGTTTTGGGAGAGCCCTTCACCTTCTTCTTTGGCTTTGGTGGTTCCTGGGTCATAAACTTGAGGAACCGTTTTCCCAGACCCTCCTTGCCCTTCTTAGATGGCTTTTCGTCCGCAGCAGCATGTTTCTCGACTGCAGCTGGCTGGCTGGCAGCCACATCTGCCGTTGGCTCCTCTGGCTCCTCCGGCTCCTCTTGCTGTTCCTTCTTAGGCTTCACCAGCTTCGGCTCGTCGTCCTCGGTAAACCCATAATCCACTGCTTCCTTCTTTGGCTCTTCCACCTCCACTGCCGGCGGCTCAGGAATCGACGCGTCGTCGAGCTCGAATTTGGAATGGTCGATCGTCTCCTCGTCGGAAACGTCGCTGCTGATTTCCCTCTGCAGATGCTCCGGCAGGCTCGAGTTGATGTTCTTCTCCTGCTCCTTGTGGGACGTTTTGAGATCCTTCAACTCGGCAACGAGATCCTTTCTCTGGGCCTCAAGTTGGTCCTTCTGGTTCGTGAGTTTCGATCTTGTCTCCAAATACTCGTCGTACTCTCGTTTTTTCTGCTCGTACTGCTTCTCGGCCTCCTCGTGCACCCGGTCGCTCTCAGAAGCCACTTTCTCCGACTCGCTCGATGCCGCCGCAACCGCAGCCTCGGCCTCGGCGATTTTGGCGGTGATCTTCTCCAGTTTCTTCAAAGTCGACTCCAACTTCGCACTAGCAGTCTCGTAGCGGCCCTTGTGCTCTGCCAAAAACGCATCGGCCTCCTCGCGCTTCGCCTTGAGCTCGTTCCACAAAGCAGTCTCCTTCTCGCTCTCCTCCACGAGCGGAGCCACCTCTTGGTCCTTCTCGGCCTGGATTGCATCCAGCTCGGCCTGCCTCTCGGCGTCTTTGGCATCCTTCACCTTCTGGAGCTCCGCCAGCTTCTCGTTGCGCTCGGCGTCCACCTCCTGCTTACTCTTCTCCTCCTGCTCGATCTGCTCACGGAACTGCTGCTCCTTGGCGTCCAGAGCGGCCTGCTGGTCGGCCTTCATCTGCGCCTGCTGCTCTTTCAGCTTGTCCTTTTCTTCCTGGAGCTTCTCACGACGCGAGGCCTTTCCGGCCTCGCGTTTCTGCTTGGCATCGAGCTTGGCCTGTTTCTGAGCAGCAAAAAACTCTGCCTGCGCCCGCTTCAGCTCTGCTTTGCGCTGCTGTGCAGCCAAGTTCGCCAGACGCTGCTGCTCCACCTTGTCGTCCAGATCGGACAGGATCGGACTCACGACCGACGACGCCATGCGGTTGATCTCGTCAATGCTCAGCAAAAGTCCACCGCCAACGTCGATCTTGCCGCCCGTCTCGCTCTTGCGCTTCTCAAAGTTCGCCTGCGCAACCTGCAGGGCCTTGATGTTCCACTCCCGGTTACCGAAAAGATTGTCCTGCACAGCCTTGTTGTCGATTCTGTCGAGCGTGGCATTGGCGTTGCTGATGGCCTTGATGAGCACGCGGTTGTCAATGAGTGAGTTGCGCGCCAGCGTCGCGCGCTCCTCCGCCGCATAGTCCCGTCTTGGGTCGAAACTGAGCGACGCCAGAGCACCAACCGACGCAAACTTCTCGTTGTTCAGGTTGTCGCTCGCCGTTGGAATGCCGTACAGTCCGTCCCTGTTCGGGTTGAGTCTGGACGACATGCTCTTGAGCGCGCTCTCCTTGGCGGAGTACGTGATCTTGGAAATGTCCACCGCGCCGTTGGCACTGGTGTACGCCTTGGCCGTGGTGAGGCCGGAGCGGAAGTCCTGGTCTGGGTTGACTCTGGAGTTCATGGTCTTGGTGGCCGAGTCGGTGGCCTTATTGAGGATGCGGCCGATGTCGATCACCTTGCTGGCCTCATACGCGCCGCGCACGGTGGTGCCCGGGGTTGAGGAGGCATGCAGGTTGCTCATGGTGGTGCGGCCGGAGCGCACGTCGTCAAAGTCGTACACGTCTTGGAGGGCGGACTTGCCGGTGGCGGGCGCAGGCTTGCGCAGCACAGACGATGCCGCGTCCTGCGACAGCTCTGCATCGCCGCCATCTACGTCCTCCTCGTAGAACGGGTACTTTTGGGACTTGGCACTGATGGCTGCGTATTCCGCTTCCGGTGCAAAGTTGTTGCGCTTCCATGCCCTTGGCGCAGAGTCTGTCTTTGCAATTAGAGCGGCAGTGGCGGCCTCTGCGGACAATTCTCTCTTGTAAGGGTGCACAGAGAGATCGGAAGAGGAGGCCAGCAGGGCAGCGGTGTCTGAAGCTGAAGGGTCAACGCCAAGATTGACCTTGGCTGGGTTGTTGTAGATTCCGTACTTCAATTTGGCTCTGTAGATAGCCTCCTCGCTGAGCGGCTGTCCATTGGTCTGGTAGACGCTCTGGCGAGTCGATTTACTCGTGATGGAGGGGGCACTGTCCTGATACGACAGCATTGAACAAAGGTTATCGGGGAGAGATGAAATTTGCGTGGTTGCTCTTTTAGAGGGGCTGTGGCGGTGCAGGTTGAGGCTTGTAGGGACGGGGAGGCGGGCAGGACGAAGGAGATGCTACAACAAGAGGTATACGGGCAAGAGATGGGTACGATAGTGTGCTGCTAAGGTGGAGAGGGGCCGCTTGTGGACCATGGATGAGGATGTTGTGTGGATGGGGGGCCTCCACTGGGGCTGTAGTGGGCCTGTGGCGTAGTCGCCGCTGTAGTTGCCCCTTTAGGAAAAGTGGACTGCATGTTTCGGGAAGGTCAAACAAAGTGCACACGGGTACCATGGCCGGGTAACAGGCCACGCTGGGTGATAATGTGTCACTTACTGCGCCACCACGCCGCAAGCAGTCATGTCGCTGCGCGTAGCCTGACAAATCTGATAAGAAAATTATATAAAGCATGGCAAATGCCCGATCCGGTCACAAAACATAGCTTCTTGTTGTTTTCATGGACACACCCGACTGGAAATTCAGGCATTCCACGCGGTAAGAAGAGCATAGGGCATGGATTCCAGAGACACTCCCACTCCTTTGATGGAGCTAGTATCCGCTTTCGGATACTCAGACCTAGAAATCGTTGAACAAAGAAAAGAGTCGCTCGTGTCGGATCTGAAGGAGATCGATTTCAACGCGGGCGACTTCTTGCACGAGATCCAGTACGATGACCTCAACTACTCCGACGTCGAATACGACGTCGATATTGATTTCGAGTGTTCAAGGTTGTCAAACACACCTGAAACATCGCAGCAGAGATGCGCTCCGGACGAAGAGGACATGCCGGAGCTCACCATCGACCCGTCAAAAGTCGATCTCAGTGGCTCGAGCCACGCAAACAACTTCTCGCTAGCGTCCATCTATCAGCCTGTATATTCCAACCTATTGCCTTCTTCACCAGTTGGTCTTGGCCGATTTGACACGTCTTACTCTGCTTTCCCAGACGACTTCCTTACCGAGTCCCCGCCGGAGACACCCATCTCCTACCGCGGCTCGCCTGCCATGGACACTTCGCCTGTGGAGGCCAAAACAGAGTACCTGGACGCCAGTGACGACAATTCGGCGTCGGCACTCCACTCTAAGTCCAGAATCACGCTCAAAATCCCTGTCAAGCTGCCTCATCGCCCGCTCACCCAGCCGGGCGGCAAGCTTGTATGCGAGGTGGAGAACTGCGGCAAGCAGTTCAAAAACCGTGCTCTTTTGTCACGTCACATCAACTGTGTCCATCTTCATCTCGAGCGGTACGTATGTGAGTTCTGCCACCGCAAGTTCACCAGGTCGGACCACATGAAGATCCATGTTGGCAGAATGCACCAGAACAAGAACGGCGACTCGAGAAAACGCAGCACGAGCAAGACTCGCCGCAAGAGATAATTGACCTTTGCATATTCCTGTTCGCCGTCGCACCCGCATCTTTGCATATCCAAGCCCATTGCTGTTTCAATTCGTCATTGCAGACCCGGCCGTCTGCTTCACGTCATCTTTGCTAGAACGCGCGATCGCATCCATTCCATGCGGGCAACATATACTTTATAATCTAATACTTTAGCATACGCAGGACATGTCTGTACTAACTCGCAGAACGCCTTGTTCCATTGGTTTATCCTTTGATTCTTTCGATTCTCACATGGTAGTTTTCTATCAAGCCCATTGTATTGATCACATCGCCATTCATCCCTAGGTACATGTACTGATTTCAACTTCACTAACAGCTAGCTTCTTGTCACTATTAAACCAGTATTATCATTTATTCATTCTATTATTTTCAGTATTTGGTGAGTATACATTTTAGCCGAAGCAAAGTATTAGTTCATTTGGTCATATTGCAACGCCAGCTCGTGCAATTTGCGGTCCAGAGCATGGAGGAAATGATACGTGAAGTAGAGAGGCTCGTCATTGGGGAACCCAAACGGCGACTTTTTGCCCAGCCAAAAGTCGGAGCCCGTGTTCAGGTCTGTCAGAGAGAGGAACTGGCTCCAGTCCTGGAATGAGTACTTGAAGTCGGGTTTTATGTTGGACAAAAATGTGGATTTGCGCAACTCGATGATTATTTGCTGTATCTGGCTCATTTTGGAGAGCAGCGGATCGTTTTTCTTGCGGAAGCGAGGCTTTAGTGATTCATGCGCGGCGAGGTTAAAATCTTTGCGGAGAGCAGCTCGTTCGCTGTGCTCGGGATGGTGATAGCTGGAGTCATTATAACTGGCCAGCTCGGTAGCAAATGAGGAGGCAGAAAGGTACTCCTTGGTGCTGAAGATGTCGAGGTTGGAAGCTTCTTTTAGGTTCTGTAGGTGATGGAGGATGGCCTCGTGGGAATCTGATTCGTCCGAGTGCGACACGTTTGTCTTGCGCAGCATACTGAGATTCTGTATTGTCTCGAGCGAGCTGAAAATGAAATCTCCAATGTTCATAACTAGGATGGTCATAACCGGGATTGCGGCAATCGCCCACACACAGAAAAATGAACGGCCGCCGCTCGTGGTCGGGGCTGGGACGCCGTATCCGATCGTGACAAAGCACAGGAATGCAAAGTAGCAGCTGAGATGATACGCCCAGCCTTCGTACACGGTGAACATCAACGAGCCCAGGAGCCAGAACGCCGTCCACGAAGTGAGGATTGTCAGTGTGCTGAAGACGCGCTCATATCGCATTGCTTTTCTACTGGCATTTTTCATGCGGTTAAAACTCTCCTGATTCGAGAGGTTTGGCGGCGCATTTTTCAGCTCGAGACCGCGGAACATTTGTAGACGGTGCCAGTAGAACGTGGAGGCAGACGAGAACATGACCAGTTCCCTGATGGTGGAGATTATCAGCCCGAACGCGACCAGGCCGACAATACACCAGAGCAGAGTGAGTGTCTGTGCACCGCTGGTCTGTGGAACAAAGTCACCGAGCCCGATGGTGAGAATTGTGGTTATCGAAAAATACAGGGCTTCGCCGTACGACACGTGCAGCAGCGCCGTGAACATGCCAGCCCCCCACATCATCCAGGTCACAAAGAACATGGTCTGCAAGATGAGCGTGTTCTGCACGCCGTCAATGTTGAACACCGGCGGGTACTTCTTCAGCAGCACGCCGAGTATGTTGAGACTGAGCAGCACAAAGTTGGCAAAATGCAGCAGCACTGTGAACACCGCAAACCAGAACCCGTAAGAATAGGAATACCTCACATAATGCTCGTGGCGAAGAAATTCCACATGGTAGATGGCTACCAGGAGCATGAGCATGATGCTGGCCACAAACCAGCCTGCGATGGAGACTATCTGGGCGTAGTGGTAGTTCATTTTTCTGCGGTAGTTGAGCAGCAGGCAAATATTCGCCGCCACCCCGCACACCATGGAGATCGTGTTCACCGTGTAGCACCAGCTTTCGTCCGCGCCTGCAGGCTTGCCCGTGGCCTTGTCCTCCTTCCAATTGCAAATCACGGCTGCCACTGAAAGCAGGTTCGACAGCGGGCCAAGACAGCCGCAAATCAGCGGGAAGTACGACGAAAGCACAAACCAAACCACAAACGTCGGTTGTCCAGGCCGCACTTCCAGGTTTGCCACGTTCCAGTCCGCGTTGTTAAGAAGGCTGTCGTAGTACTCTTGTATCCGGGAAGTCATGCGTGCGATAGGAGCAGGCTCCTCCATGGTGCTTTCTGTCAGCGAGCGGAAAGCCGAGTCAACAAACCCGTCCTCTTGGAGCGATTCTTGTGCACCCTGAACTCCGCTCATTGGTCCGGGACACTATAAATTAGCATGTTTTAAAAAATTAATTAATTTTTCTCTAAGTGGTAGCGTTGCGGATATTCACCAGGTGCTGGGAATTTTCAAGAAACTCCAATTCTTGCTCAATGAAGTCACAGTAGTCCAGAGACGTCACGCCGGCAACACGCAGATAGTTGAGATCGATGGCCTTGTCGCAGAAGTGTTTTTTGATGAACTGCCATTGACGTAACTCGTAGTCAAAGTCGAGGCCAGACTGGTCGCTGTACATGCGAACCCGTTTGCGCGCGCCGCCGTTCGTCACAAACAACAAGTCGTCCTTGCGCAGACTCACGGGGTCCAGTTTCGGGAAGTTCGAGTGCACAAACATCGGCCGGCTATTCGTCTTGTTGAACCAGCCAGTGAACGTTCGCGCAGGGTCGTACACCACGTCTCCGGCCCACCAGTCGCGCAGGCGACCGATAAACGACGCCTGACGTCGCTCGTGCTCCTTTTCGCGAGCTGAAAACCAGTCTTTGTACGCTGCTACCAATTTGTAGTCCACCACCGGATCGTACTGAATCATGCCGACTCCCGTGTAGTGCTCCTCGGGCTGGAGTTGCCAGTAGCCAATGACATCCACAGCCTTGCGCACATGGTAGAAGGGCAGTCCAAAATGCTGCGCTGCGGCCACAAATGTCTCCTTGTCGCCCTCGCCAGCCCCTCCCTGCGAGAACAACGGATAGTACTGCTGCGGTCCGTAGTAGTTGTAGTATAGCGCCAACAGCAGCGCGCGGAGATGCGTGCGCTTGTCCACGGCGATCTGGCCCGACTCGCTCGAGGGGTCCGGGAGTGCGCCAGCGCGGTCGTGCAACGGCATGCTCGAGAACGCGTGACCAGTATCACGTGCATAGTATTTGTTTGGCGTCACGTCGTCGATGTTGTTGCGCACCTGTTCGTTGCCGAGCTCGCGGTCGACAACTTTGTAGTACGTTGGATGAGTGACGCGGCGCCAGAAGTCGGGCCACGTGACCATTCCGTGCGAAGTAAACGGCTCGGACACGAAAATCGCGTCTGGGTTGGCTACCGGAACGTTATCTGAGTCCAGAAACAGCACCTGTTCAAAAGAGGACACCAGCAGAGCCAGGATTTTGTACTGGTAGCCTCTGATCGTGTATTTGTGTTTGCGAAACTCGGGCACGCGCTCTGTGAGCAGCACACACTTGGCGTTGAGGTCGGGCAGCACTTTTTCGCAGAGCATTTCTTCGTACTCGGCTTCCGTGGGGAAGATTAGTTCGACGGGCAATTTCGAGCCCGTGGCGCGCAAGTTCTCGATCCCGAGCAGCGATAGCCACGAAAACTTGCCGCCGCCAACAAACACAATGCCTCTCCCCTCGTAGAGGCCCTCCGGATATGACGCGGGCAGGTCTCTGACCACATTTCTGTGCGACACGGCCAGATCGGCCACCATTTCGGGCGGTACCTTGAGGCAGTTCAGCAGGTACTCCTCGCTGAGCAGCGGAACGCCAACGGTGTCGTGCATGGCGACGTTCACCGCCTTGTACGCGCCGTACTCGCGTTTTACCAGCACTTCCAGTGGCATGCCCGAGCCGACAGCCACGCCCGGTGTGAGCTCGAACCCGGTCCTGGGCTTGTTGGCGAGAATTGTGGCCCAGATGTCCTTGAAATATTTCTGGAACTGCGTGTCTGTTTTGGCAACCCCCACGTAGCGCGCCGGCTGCAGCCCTTGAGAGTTGCGCAGCTCACTCAGGCTATGTTCGTACTCCAAGAGTTCGTCCAGGCCCGCCTCGCCGGCCCGCAGCCCAGAAAAAGGCCGGCTCAGGCTGGAAGACCGCAGATGTTGCTCGTAATAACTGAGTCCTCGGCGACTCCGGCGGGGCAGCAGCAGCCAGGACACCAACGTCAGAACCACGGCCACCAGGGCCCTGAAAACCCCGCGCCGTCGCAGAAGCCGAACATAGGACCCCATTATCACTTGTTTATTCCGAATTTGTCAACTTTGTTTCCGCACCCGTGCACCCGCCTGCCGCCCAAAAAACGTTCGCGACATTTGAGACCTCACTTATTCTTTGCTTATGGAAGTCCCTACACGTAGACGTCGGCAATCTTCCGTGGGCAAGATCAATCTCGGAGACAACTCGGTGCCGTCGCTGCGCACCATGCACTCTGACAAGGACGTCAAGACAACGGCCCAGCTGCATAAACAACAGCTGAACAAAGCCACAGACTCCAGCGACGATCTTGCCGTTCTAGACAAAATCTGGGTCTCTGTCAAGATCCTGAGCTACAGACACCCGTGGCTGCCGCCGCTGGTGGTTTTGGTTGCCACGCAGCTGGCCTACTGGTTCTCCAACAACTACACTTCGTCCAACCCTCTGCACATGTTTATGACCATGTCGTACCGTGTTCCGGGCACAAACCCGCCGCTGTATGAGAAGGGATGGAAAGACTTTGCGTTTGTTGGGTACATGATGGTCTTTTTCACGTTTTTCAGAGAGTTTCTGATGCAGATCGTGCTGCGGCCGCTGGCGCTGCACTTTGGCATCCGCAGGGAGTCCAAGATCAGACGGTTCACGGAGCAGACATACTCGATGTGCTACTACGGCGTGAGCGGCCCGCTGGGGCTGTACGTGATGAAACAAACGCCGATGTGGTACTTCAACACCAGGGCGTTCTACGAAAACTACCCGCACCTGGCGAATTTCTACCTGTTCAAGTTCTACTATCTGGCACAGGCGGCGTTCTGGGCGCAGCAGAGCGTGGTGCTGATCTTGCAGCTGGAAAAGCCCCGCAAGGACTTCAAGGAGCTTGTGTTCCACCATGTCGTGACAATGCTGCTGATTGGCCTGTCGTACAGGTTCAACTTCACCTGGATGGGAATTGCCGTGTACATCACGATGGACATTTCGGACTTCTTCCTGGCCACGTCCAAGACACTCAACTACCTGGACTCGGTGATCGTGGGCCCGTTTTTCTTCCTGTTTGTGGGTGTCTGGATCTACCTCAGACACTGGCTCAACTTCCGGATTCTGTGGTCGGTGCTCACCGAGTTCCGCACCGTGGGGCCGTTCACTCTCAACTTCGCCACGCAGCAGTACAAGTGCTGGATCTCGCAGCCGATCGTGTTTGTGCTGATCTTCGCGCTCCAGCTCGTCAACCTGTACTGGCTGATGCTCATTCTGAGAATCATGTACCGGTACGTGTTTCTGAACGTGGCCGAGGACGAGCGGTCCGAGTCCGAGTCCGAGTCCGACGACAAAAAGAACAACTAGCTACACCATATTCACAAAGGCCTTCCTATATACACGGCACTCAGGCCTCAAAGCTAATCTGCGACATGGGCTGCTCAGCGCTGGCACCGTGCTTTTCCTTGTACCTGCGCACGCGCTCGAGTCTTGTGCGGTAGCCGCGCTCCGCAGCCTTTGCCAACACCCCACATATCAAGTTTGTAGCCCTAATAGAGTCGTCGTTGGCTGGAATTGCGTACGTGACCAGCGCCGGGTCGCAGTCGGTGTCCACGATGCCGACGCTCGGAATCCGCGACTGCGCCGCCTCGCCCAGCGCGGTCCGGCTGTCCCGCGCGCTCAGCGTCACCACCAGGTCCGGCTTCAGCACGCACCGCGCCTCGAAGTCCGTCAGGCTTCTGCCCGACGGAAGGTCCGCCATGTCCACCTCCACGCGCGGTTTAGCGTTCTGCAGACTGTTGGTGATCGTGCCCGGCACCCACTTGCTTGCAACGTACACCCCGTTGCACCGCTGCGCCGCCGCCCGCACAGACCGCAGCTGGCCCTCTCTCAGCCCGAGAAATAGCACCGTGCCGCCGTTTTCAACCACACCTTCCACCACCTTGGCTGCCCGTCTCAGGTGCGTCACCGTCTGCTCCAGATCGATGATGTGCAGGTCGTTGTAGACACCGTAGATGTATGGCTGTGTCGAGTGCTTCCAGAGTTTCGTGAAGTGGCCCAGGTGGGCGCCGGCGGCCAGCAGTTTCTGGACGGTGACCTGGTTGGCCGACGGCGGGTTGGTGATCAGCTCGTGCGGCCGGTAGACGCCCTTGACCTCTGCCCCCAGCTCGCCCAGCACCTTGTCGTGGTACTTCTGGCGCACCACGAGCTCTGGCTCCGAGTACGGGTCGCGCTGGGGCGTGGGCACGAGGTTCGGGTATTCGGCGATCATCGACCGCGGCGACGCAAACTCGTCGTGCTGCGAGCGTCCCAGAAACGCCTTAAATAGCTCTCTGAACTTGCGCACCGCCAGCTCGTCTCTGTTGAGCGTCGGCAGCGGCGTCGAGTTGAGCAGCTCCTCGACCTCTGCTCTCGACATGTGCTTGAGGTCCTTGATGACGTTGGGGCCAAGATTGTCGGCGGCAACCTCGCCAGCTTCCACAGGGGCCGTGCTCTTGACGGCCGAGTTGCGTCTTGCCACGGTGGTGGACAGAAGACGCCGGAAGTGCACACTCATGTTGGTGAAAATTTTGAAGAAAAAGCATCCATACACGGGAAAAATAAATATTGAAAAATACAAACATGCTAGTGCGCTACACGAGAGTGGCACGGGCGCTGGCGCGCGGACTTGCTACCAAGCCGGAGATCACTGCCGAGTCGGACTTTGCGTTCCGCAAGTCGCACATCGCAGGCCTCCCCACAGCCGAGCAGGACTCCCGGTTTTACCCCGTCTACGGGGACCTGGTTGCTGGAGATGGGGCCGTGGAGCGTGTGGCCAGCTTTGTGAGCCGGTTCCGCCCCGTGTTCGACGCGCGGCCGGAGCTGCGTGTCATTGGGGACGCCAAGTTCATTTTGAACGGCAAGATCGCCAGTATTCGCCGCGCTGGGAAGGGCAGCATGTTTCTCGATCTGGTGCAGGACGGGCACAAAGTGCAGGTGGTGGCGAACCACAAGATGATGGGGCTCACAAACGGCGAGTTTGCGGACTGGCACGGCCAGTTCAAGCCAGGCGACTACGTCTCGTGCACGGGCCATCCAGGAACCACCAACACGGGCGAGCTGTCGCTGAAAGCGAGCGAGCGGCTGCGGCTCGCCGCGCCGGCGCTGCATCCGGTCCCGCCCGCTTTCAGGGACCCGGGCAAGGTGTATAGCAACCGTGTGGTCGATTACCTCGCGAACGGGCGGTCGCGCGAGGTGATGATGGCGCGCGCACGGCTGGTATCGACGCTGCGGCGATTTTTGGAAGAGCACGGGTTCATGGAGTTTGCGACGCCGATCCTGGGCTCGGGCAACTCCGGCGCCAACGCTACGCCATTTACGACAACCAGCGTCCACGTCAAAAACAATAGAGACGAGCCGGTGCAGCTCAGCATGCGCGTGGCTCCCGAGCTCTGGCTGAAAAAACTGGTCATTTCTGGCTTCGACAAAGTGTACGAGATTGGTCCGGTGTTCCGTAATGAGGGCGTGGATGCGACACATAACCCAGAGTTCACCTCGTGCGAGTTTTACGCAACTTTCACGAGTCTGACACAGACAATGGAGTTTACCGAGAAGCTGTTCCAGAGACTCATAGACGAGCTGAGCACGCTCGCAATTTGCCGAGATAGGTGCAGCTGGCTGCAGCAGAGCCTGTCACGTAACGGCGGCGAGTTTAAAAAAATTGATTGCCTGCAGCAGCTGCCTCTCGAAACCGGCAGACCGTTACCAGACTTGTCCAGCGAGGCACTGGTTCAGTATTTCCAGGAGCTTGGTTTGCCATTGCCAAAGGTGAGGTCGCCTCAGAAGCTGCTGGACGAACTCATCTCGGTGTATTTGGAGCCGCTGTGCCGAAAAGAACCAACGTTCCTTTACAACCTGCCAGAGGTGCTGTCTCCGCTGGCGAAATCTGCAACCAGAAATAATTTTAGTGTTTCAAACAGATTCGAGCTGTACATCAATGGCACAGAAATCATCAATGCATACGAGGAGGAAAATAACCCGTTTAAACAGGCAGCCAAGTTTGCACAGCAGCTCAGCGCACGCTCCCAGCACAACGACACAGACGCCATTCTGCCAGACTCGGCATACGTGGAGGCCATGGAATGGGGGCTGCCGCCGACGACGGGGTGGGGAATGGGGATCGAGCGCGCAGTGATGTTTTTCACTGCGTGCGAGCGCATCGACCAGGTGCTGCCTTTTGGCAAGCTCCCAGATGTCTTGAAGCAGTAATTGGCGGTGCGCGGTAAACGCCTGCTCGCGGCGTCTCCCGTAGGCTGACATAAGCACAGAAGATAGCAGTGTTCCGCCTCGCACCGGCGCACGGCAACAGGCACCTCGGGGAATCCCGAAAAGGCAGGTAAACGAAAAACACAATAGCGGGCCCCAGTGCCAGCATAGATTAGCTGCAGCACACGCCAATCACGGCCCTCAGCGGACAATAGGCCCGGCCACATCAAAAAAATGGAATCCTGTCTACTTGAAATTTTTTCACCCACTTTTGCGATAATGCGCACGCGTGCAGGCTGTTATCAGCATGGAGTGTGCACCCTTGGAATATGTATATATTAACTAGAATTGGCTCTCTTTCTGATCCAAGCATGTCTGTGTCTCGAGTTGCCCGTCGCATTGTGCACAAGTTCTCCACTAAGGAAGGACTACTTGGAGATTACGATTATGCCTATCTGTTCACCCCACGTTTGCCATTTATGAAGGGCGCAGAAAAAGTCCAGCCTTTCTTTGGTCTTGACGACGAGATCCCCGTCGTGCTGGGCTTTCTGCTCGGCCTCCAGCACGCCCTGTCGATGCTGGCCGGTGTCGCCTCACCGCCAATCATCATTGGCGCTCTCGCCAACCTGAATGCAGACCAACAGCAATATCTGGTCTCGTGCTCGCTCATCATCTCCGGTGTGCTGTCTGCGATTCAGATCACCCGTTTCAAGATCCCGTACACGCCCTACTACATTGGTACCGGTCTGGTTTCCGTTGTGGGCACGTCGTTCGCCACCATTAGCATTGTCAGCAAGGCTTTTCCAATCATGTATAACGCGGGAGTCTGTCCGGTGGACAGCGACGGCACGCAGTTGCCATGTCCGGACGGATACGGTGCCATTCTCGGCACGGCAGCCGTGTGTGGTTTGCTTGAAGTGCTGCTCTCGTTCCTGCCTCCATCATTGCTGCAGCGTATATTCCCCGCCATCGTGACTGGCCCTGTTGTGCTGCTCATTGGTGTGTCGCTGATCCAGTCCGGATTTGAGGACTTTGTGGGTGGCTCTGGCTGCATGGACGCCACCAACAGCTGTGCCAAGGGCTACAACTGGGGTTCTGCGCAGTTCATCGGGCTCGGGTTCCTGGTGTATCTCACCATCATCCTGTGCGAGAAATGGGGGTCCCCCATCATGAAGTCCTGCGCCGTGATTGTTGGTCTGTTGGTTGGCTGCATAGTCGCCGCCGCATGCGGCTACTTCTCGCACGACTCTATCGATGCCGCCCCGGCTGCCACCTTCATGTGGGTGCACACGTTTAAGCTGTCCGTGTATGGCCCCGCCGTGCTGCCCTTCCTAGCCTGCTATATCGTGCTCATGATGGAGGCCATCGGCGACATCACCGCCACGTGCGACGTGTCCCGCACCGACATCGAGGGCCCCTACTACGAATCGCGCATCCAGGGCGGTGTCCTCGCAGACGGAATCAACGGCATCATCGCCGCGCTGATGACCATGACGCCGATGTCCACCTTTGCGCAGAACAACGGTGTCATCTCCATCACCAAGTGCGCCTCCAGAACCGTTGGTTACTGGTGCTGTTTTTTCCTGGTTGTGATGGGGGTTTTCTCGAAATTCGCCGCCGCGCTCGTCGCCATTCCTAAAGCCGTGCTTGGCGGCATGACCACCTTCCTGTTCACGTCCGTGGCCGTTTCCGGTCTTAAAATCATCGCCACCACCCCCTTCACCAGAAGAGACCGCTTTGTGCTCACGTGCTCGCTCATGTTCGGCTTCGGCGCCACGCTGCTCGCCGACTGGTTCGACAACGTCTTCACGTATGACGGCGACAACCACGCGCTCTCCGGCTTTTTCGACGCCATTGTTCTCGTCATGGAGACCGGCTTCGCCGTCACCGGCTTCATTGGCGTCATTCTCAACCTCTTCCTGCCGCAGGAGCCAGACAACATCGATGCCGCGTCCGAGCTCATCGAGGAGCACGTGATCGAAAACGACGACGGCCGCGTCGAGGAAGGCTCGTCCCAGGAGAAAAAGGCAGCTAAATAGATATAATACTCTCGTTACTTCGTATGCACTGGCCTTCTGAGGCTCTTTTTTACGTTGCTCCGATGCCGTCTGCTCTTCAGATGGATCGCGTACTGCTCCCCGACAAACAGCGTCGGTCGTCCCGTTTCGTCCACACACGTCTCGCAGTAGTGGTGCTGCCAGTTTGTCTCGTCCTTCCCAGCCTCCCCAGGCACCACCAGCACTCCCGACAGCGTCTCTGGCACCGTCAGTGCCTGCACAGGCGGGGAGCCGGTCAAAAATCGGCGGCAAACGTCCACTCCGCGCCGTGCCACGTCCTGCTCCCAGTTTCCAAGTTCTGTAGCGTCCAGCACCACCACCTGGCCGCCGTTCGGCCAGCCAAACTGCTCCTCGCGCCCCAGCTCGCGCGTCAGCGTCCTGGAAATCCATTTCACCTGCCGGCGCGCATACCGCCGCGTGTTGCGCTTCATGTCCTCTATGCAACCAGCCAGCCGTCCAGGGCCTTCTTCCAGGTACGGCAGGAATTCCTTGTACCCAATGACCTGCCAGACACCGCGATCAAGCGCCATCTTGCGCTCCATCTGCGCACGGAACGCGTGCATCGCGCGGATCTCGTCCAGCGCGCCCTGCTGCAACATTTTGTCCACGCGGGAATCGAGCCGCTCGTCCAGCACGTCCTGCCGCGCATACAGCCAGAAAAACAGCATCTGGTAGCGGAGCGCCGATGTTGTCTGCTGCTGCTGCGACCGGTACAGATCAGACGTGCGCTGCTTGGTGGAGAAGTAGATCTCGAGCGCGCGGCGCACGCGACGATGGTCGTTCGGATGGAACTTCTGCGCCACGACGGGGTCTTTCTGCTGCAGAGTGCGAAATACGTCGTCGGGTGGGCCGTCCAGAATCGCGCGCTCAGCCTCGGTCAGCGGCTCGGCCGTGGCGGTATCCAGGGTCTTGTTTAGAAAAAGCAGGCTCTGAAGATAATAGTGCGTGCCACCGACCAAGATGGCGGTTTTCCCGCGCTTGTGAATATCTGCTATTGCTGCCATGGCCTCCTGTTTGAACCTGTGAATGTAGTACTCCGTATCCCAGGGCACGTGGTCCATCACATGGTGCGGTACACCTTTTCGCTCGGCCACGGGGTGTTTGTTGGTGATCTGGTCGAGGCCGCGGTACATTTGCATGGAGTCGGCATTCACAATCTCGCCGTCAACTGCGCGCGCAAGCTCAACGGCAAACTGCGACTTGCCCACGCCGGTCGTGCCAATGACTGATATGACCTTGCAGCTCATCCGGAGCATATATTTTATTTTTTTTCGTTTTTTATGTAATCGCCACGACAAATTTTTTTTTAATTTCGACATGTTGAAAAGTACGGCACAGAGCACCGGATTGTTCCGTTTCTTCACCACCTCGCGTGCTTTGGCAGCTCCTAAAGTCAAGAGGACGCCCGAACAGCTGCGTGCGCTGCAGAAACGGGCGGAGAAAAGAGAGGCTGCCGTGGCGAGAAACGCCAGACGCCCCGCCGTCGAAAACCCTCTGTACATGCCTGTTCCCACGGCGTTGCGGTATCTGCGAGCAGCAGAAGTTGGCCGTCCCACAAACGAGGCCGTGATAACCCTCCAGGCGCGGGTCGTCTCGAAAAAGGGCGTGGCGCCCCTGCAAGGCAGCATCAAGTTCGCACGGCCGATCACAGATACGCAAATCCTTGTCTTCACGTCCGACGAGGCAATGCAGCAGAAGGCTCTTGCGGCAGGCGCGAGACTGGCTGGCGGCAAAGAGCTTGTCGACAAGATCGCGGCCGGCGAAATCGACCTTTCTGTCTTCGACAGAGCCGTCGCAACCCCGGATATGGTTTCTGCGCTGCGGCCCGTGGCCAGAAATCTGGGGCCCAAGGGACTCATGCCGGCGCCCAAGCGGGGCACTGTGGTGGACGATGTGGCGAAATACATCGAGGACAATATCTCACTGCAGCCATTCAGACAGAGAAACGACCACATTGCGCTCACAATTGGCAGATGCGACTTTTCCGACGAGGACCTCCTAAAAAACGTGATTGCGGTGTCGGAGGCCGTCAAGGCGGCAGTTGCGGCATCGCAGAGCAAGTCGCCCACCATTCTGGGCCAGACAGTGCTTTCCACCACCCACGGTCCAGGCATCGTGATAGACTTTTAGCATGTATATATCTGACTGCGTCGATCGGCGCGACGCACTAAATATTAAAAAATGTCTATTTATTTTGTCATGTCTTTTGTTTCTGGCGACAACGTCGCAATAAGACGGCAGATCTTCAATTCGATCCTGCTGCTCTGTGCTTTTGTCGGCCTGCCTCTGTGGTATGTCACCACGTCTGTGCACCGCGCGGAGCTTCCTGCTGCCCAGATATACAGCCTGTCGTCCCAGCTGTCGTCGTTCGTCAGTTACGAGATCCCCGTGTACGTGGAGGTTGCCGCAACTGCCTCAGGCGTGGTTGCCGAAGCACAGCAGCATTTGGACGCATTGGTGAAGTCCTACGACCTTCCAATCTCGTGGAACATTGTCCTCAGACAGGGCCCTGGAGGACCCAGCGACTACAAGGTGGAGCTTGTGATGGATGAGGAGGCGGATAAAGTGTACGTCTCCCCGTTCGAGGACCGCAAAATCAAGCTATACACGTCACCTACGGTGATCAGCAACAACAAAATTGCAGACCTAGTTGCGCGCACCTTGGTGCAGGACGTGTTTGCAGACGAGATCGAGATGTTCGCGCGCTACGACCAGCCGGCATCGGCAATAAAAATGCCCTACTCGCCCAAATACCACGTCACTCTGTCGCTGTTACAGGGTGGCAACGACCCCATCGCCTGGAACATCGAGCAGGCCGCTCCTCTGTTCGAGAACTACCTGCACAGTCTGTCACCGTACGCGAACTTCACGCTTGATTCGCAGGTCCAGCATTACGAAAAACTCTCCGACAATACAGCATTGCGGTACGACGACGACCACAAGGCGTTTCTGCTCAAAGAGGCCGACACGTCCACATTTATCGACTACTCAGAGTGGGGCCTCGACCAGAACACAAAGTCGGTGCCGGTGATCAACTTTGTGGCATACGTTCCTGCGGCGGCCGTGCGGCCTATTCTGATTGAAAATTCGGTGTCAAATTCCTTCATCGTGCCTCAATGGGGAGGCGCAGCAATCCTGAACACCGATAAGCAGGTGCTCGAGTACGACGACCTGCTGCCCGTGATGGAGATCTTTGCTTCGCAGCTGTTCCAGCTGGTGGGGGCGCCTTCCAAGCCGAAGTCGCCAACAATCAGAACCGACATCCTCACCAGAGTCCAATCGTTGCACAACATGCACAAGTCGATCGACAACCTCATCTCTCTGTGCAAGCTGTGTCAGCAATTACCTAATATAAGTGTTCCTGACAGCACGCGTGAACAAGTGGAACAGGCCATACAGACAATAATAGAAGCTGCAGCCGCAGCCAAAAACGGCAATTGGGGCTTTGCCAACTCTCTGGCAGCCAAGGCTTATGTGCTATCGGACAAGGCCTTCTTCCAAAAGGATATGGTACAGCAGATGTATTTCCCGGAGGAGCACAAGATGGCCGTGTACACTCCGTTGCTTGGACCCTTTGCCACGATAATGTTGCTGGGTCTTATTCGGCTGGTCAACGAGGAACGTGGGAATGCGAAACCCAAAGAGGCGTAAAATAGTCGTTGCGCTGATTGTGTCCAGGTTTTGTTTCAAGCCGCAGGTCCGCGTAAAAGAAAAAAAAAAAAACCTGTCCCAGGCGGCCTAAGCGAAACAATTATATAAATTTTCCAGTCTGCTAGTGTATTTGATATCCAAATGTTATTATCGACGGTCCGCCAGCGGGCGCGTCTCAACTCCACGTATCTTGTACGTGCAGCTGTTATTCTTCTTGTTTTCGTTGGGCTGGCAAATGTCTTCTGGATCAAGAGTTCTTCCGCTCCGAAACCACAAGAAGTTCATCAGGCGATCGACACAGAGAACACAAAACACGAAAACGCCACGATTCTGAGTCTGTGTCGGAACGAGGATCTGAACGGGATCATCACGTCAATCCAAAATCTGGAGGACCGTTTCAACCGCAATTTCAAGTATGACTGGGTGTTCCTCAACAATGTCCCCTTTTCGGAGGAATTCAAGACAAAGGTTTCCAGCATGGTGTCTGGCGAGGCGAAATTTGGCCTCATTCCTGAGGAGCACTGGTCGTACCCTTCGTTTATAGATCAGGAAAAAGCCAAGCAGGAGCGCGAGCGGCTGGCCAGCATGGGAATCATTTACGCCGATTCTGAGAGTTATAGACATATGTGCCGGTTCAACTCGGGCTTTTTTTACAAGCACCCGCTCTTGCAGCAGTACAAATACTACTGGCGCGTGGAGCCGGACGTGGATTTCTACTGTGACGTCGACTACGACCCGTTCAGGCTGATGCGCGAACAGCAGAAAATATACGGCTTCACCATCTCGATCTACGAGTTCAGAGCCACGATAGCTTCGCTGTGGGACACGGTGAGGGCGTTTCTGAGTATGAATCCGGAGGCACAGCACTCCAACTCTCTCGTGGACTTCATCTCGGACGACAGCGGCGTCTCGTACAACTTGTGCCACTTCTGGTCGAATTTCGAGATCGCAGACATGGATTTCTGGCGATCCCAGTTGTACGAGGACTTTTTCAACTATCTGGACGCTTCGGGAGGCTTTTTCTACGAGCGCTGGGGAGACGCGCCTGTGCACTCGATCGCCGTGTCGCTGTTTGTCGACCGCGACAAGATCCACTTCTTCGACGACATAGGGTACAACCACGGAGTGTACTCGATGTGTCCGCTGGACGACAAAGTGTGGATCAACAACCGATGCAGCTGCAACAAGGACTCGGACTTCACGTTCCGCGGCTATTCGTGCGGCCAGCGGTACTACAAGGTCACGAATCGCGCGCTGCCTCCGAACTGGAAAGCTTATGCGGATCTATAGCTTTTTTTAGCAATCGCCAAGAACCTAGCACGAAGCCGCACACTGATTCTCCATCGTAGCAGAAGGTGCTTTTTTTTCCACCCTCCTCGACACGCCGCACGTGCACCAGGAACACAACCTTCTAAGCCCGCGTTCCTGGCGTGCTGGCCGGTCCAAGGCGATCTGTCGCCCCAAGCCAAGCCTCGCCGGATTGTTTTCGTTCGCTAAGAAATTTCGCCCGTACACGATATTTACTGCGTTCACAAGCCACTATAGTTGATATATTATATCTCGAGAACCAGGCACTTGTTTTTATGAGACTTCGAATGCTGCGTTCCCCACGATTGCGGTTTTTCACCCTGGGCTCTGTGCTGGCAGTCCTGCTGATCACGCTCGGCACAGTGGACCGGACGCAGCGGTTCCAGACGTCTATTAAGGACCTCACCAAACACATGGAGGCTTACAACGGCACGCCTGTGCCGTTGGATCAGACGGTGCCGGTGCCGGAGCCGGAAACAACCAACGAGCCTGCCAAGGAGCAGCAGAACGACAAAGACGACAGCGGCGAGTCCCCGCTGGTCACCGACCTCGAAGTCACTGGCGAACTGCACAGCAGTGAGGTGCAAGCGTCTGAGCCCGTCCAGCAGATCCCAAGAAACCCACTGGAAGGCACCAAGCTCGACAACCCCGAGAAACGCAACCCCGACAAGGCGCCGCTGCCGCCCGGATACCGAGGATCGATGACCAACGAGTACAAGCCGTACGAGCAGATCCGAGTGGTGAAGGAGAAGTTCGGCAACCCTGCCAAGCAGAACGCCACGATGCTGACGCTCGTACGCAACGAAGAGCTGTACGAGATGCTGCAGTCGATTCAGCAGCTGGAGAGCCGGTTCAACAGGAATTTTCAGTACGACTGGGTTTTTCTCAACGACAAGCCGTTCACACACGAGTTCATCGAGCAGACCTCGGCAATGGTGTCGGGGACGGCGCGGTACGGAATCATCCCGTACGAGCACTGGTCGTATCCGGACCACATTGACGTGCAGAAGGCCAAGGAGATCAGAGAGTCCAGAGAGTATGCGAACGTGGCGTACGGTTCGAGCGAGAGCTACCGCCACATGTGCCGTTTCAACTCGCTCTTCTTCTACAAACACCCGATTATGGACGATTACCAGTACTACTGGCGCGTGGAGCCGTCGATCGAGTACGGATGCGATATCCTGACCGATCCGTTCAAGTACATGGTGGAAAATAAAGTCAACTACGGGTTCACGCTGACGCTCACCGAGTTTCCCAAGACGATTCCGACGCTGTGGAAGACGAGTTTGGACTACTTCCTGCGGCCCGAGGTGGCGGAGCAAATACCGTCAGACGAGGAAAACCTGCTCTCCTTCATCTCGGGCGACAACGGCCGCACGTACAACCTGTGCCACTTCTGGTCGAATTTCGAGATCGCCAACCTGGACTTTTTCCGCAGCCCCATGTACGAGGGCTATGTGCAGCACCTGGACCGTGCGGGCGGCTTTTTCTACGAGCGGTGGGGAGACGCTCCCGTGCACACGATAGCGGTGGCCAAGATGATGCGGGCGAGCGAGACCCATCTGTTCACCGAGATTTCATACAAACACACCGTGGCGGGCTCGTGTCCGCTGGACGACGCGTTCAGACGCCGGGCGCGGTGCACGTGCGACCCGGGGCTGGACTGGTCGATCACGTCCGGTTCGAGCTGCAACCTGCACTATATGGACGTTGCGCACCAGCCACACATGGCAGACTACGAAAAATACAGAAACCTTGTGGCTGAGCGGGAAGAGCAGCAGCAGCAGCGCAAGAAGGAGGAGATGGAGCGTAGAAAAGAGGCGGCCAAGCAGCGGGCAGAGGAGAGACGCCAGCGGGCAGAGGAGAGAAGACAGCGCAAGCAGAAGGAGAAGGAGGAGCGGCTGCGCGCTGCCAAAGCTCCGGCTGCCAGCTAACATGGCCTTTGACTCGACACGTTGTATATACTTGCATGCCCGCTTGCCTAAATAGACTGAAATATACTATGCCCAATGCACCTCAGTAAAGACGATCTATGTCGCGTGCTTTTTCGCATAATTTTTCGCGTTGCAGCGGCCGCTTACCCTCTTTTAGGTGTCAAAAAAATTCTTAAACTGCTATCTGTTAACAAAATGGCACGCGCAAACGCTAGACTGATTAGGTTTGGAATCTTCGCCTTGGTGCTGGTGTTCTGCGGCTACATCCTGACCAAGGGATCGTCGTCGTCGTACACCATTTCCCCAGGCCTTGCGCCAGCGGCCGGCTCGACCGGGTCGACCGCTAACGACGCCTTGTCGAGTATCGCCCAGCCGGCCCAGCCGGCCCAGCCAACGGCCGAAAAGGATGTTGACAGTGCCGTTAGCAAGCCCAAGGAGACTTCTGACGTTGCTGCTCCTGCTCTCGGTGGCAAAGAAAGAGCAACCTTTGTTTCTCTGGCCAGAAATCAGGATCTTTGGGAGCTGGTGGGCTCGATCAGAGAAATTGAAGACAGATTCAACTCGAAATTCCATTACGACTGGGTTTTCCTGAACGACGGCGAGTTCAGCGAGGAGTTCAAGAAAGTCACCTCCTCCTTCTGCTCTGGAAAGACCAAGTACGGACAGATCTCCAAGGAACAATGGAGCTTCCCTCCTTGGATTGACACCGACAAGGCCGCACAGGTGCGTGAGGAAATGCGTGAGAAGAAAATCATCTATGGTGACTCCATCTCATACAGACACATGTGTCGGTACGAGTCTGGATTTTTCTTCAGACACCCTCTGCTGGAGGAGTACGACTACTACTGGAGAGTTGAGCCGGGTATCAAGATCTACTGCGATGTCGACTACGACGTTTTCAAGTTCATGAGAGAAAACAAGAAATCGTACGGCTGGACCATCTCGCTGCCAGAATACAAGGAGACCATTCCTACGCTGTGGAAGACCACCAAGGAGTTCATCAAGGAAAACCCTCAATACATTGCCCACGATAACCTGATGGAGTGGATCTCAGAGGACGGCGGAAGTAGCTACAACGGCTGCCACTTCTGGTCCAACTTCGAGGTCGGTTCTCTCGACTTCTGGAGAAGTGAAGCATATCTCAAATATTTCGAGTATCTCGACAAGGCTGGCGGCTTCTTCTACGAGAGATGGGGAGACGCACCGGTGCACTCGATTGCCGTCGCTCTGTTCATGCCAAAGGACCAGGTGCACTTCTTCAACGATATCGGCTACTACCACGTTCCGTTCCACAATTGTCCTATCGATGAGACGATCCGGAAAGAGAAGAAATGCATGTGTGCTCCTACTGACGATTTCACATTCAGGCCGTACAGCTGCACGTCCAAGTTCTACAATCTCATGGGACTCAAGAAGCCGGACGGCTGGGAGAAGTATGCTTCTTAGATGGTGCACGGGTGGCCCTCTTTTTTTCTTAAGGCTTACGTAAACTGCGAAACGATGGTTTTCTACATTTTATATTTTAGCAGTATTGACTAGTGCGTTACCCTTGTCAAATGTCGGAGACTAGTGATGCTACGCCGCGCGAGCCTGCCGAATTGGCGAAGACGTTGCTGGTGCTCGAGGAGGGGGCCAGGGACTGTCTACAGTCCAAAGATTACATCTCGTTTTTGACAATCCTGGACGTTTACATAGGTGAACCCAATCTGTACAGCGAACAGGAACGCGAGCAGATACTTCAAAAGCTGCTGGACATTTTCACCCGTCACCATGAAATTCTGTATGAAATTGGCTGGGATCTGCCTGTGCTTCTTCTCAAATTCTGCCACGTGGATCACATGCCACGTCCGTTGGTCGAAGTCAAGTCGCTCGTGTACATTATGAAGATTTTCGACACATTGGCACATTATGGCAATCCGAAGGAGCTACTATTGACCGGGTGCGAAATCATACGCGACCTCAGACTCGACCTAGATGCGGCCGAGACCGAACCAAGCGAGACTGCCAACCCGTCGCTCATTGTGAGACCCCATGAAGGAATCCGTACGATCAAGTTCCACCTGATGCTGGAGCTGGTGAATACCAGTTTACGCCGCAATCAGACCATATATCCATCAAAGTTCCTGGGAATGGTTGTTTCTGCCTTGGTGAACTTTATGAAGAATCCAGACCAGCCTATGACCGATCTCTCCGTCGCACGTCGCGTCTACACGTTCACTAGAGATTACATCCCGCCGGACATCCCAAACACAAATACGGACTCGATACAGGACCTGACAAAGCTGGTTGATCAGGAAAATTACCTCCAGCGGAAACTGCTGCTGCTGCTTTTGTCTGTGGCGGCCGAAACAGCCTCTGCTACGTTGGCTTTGGAACTGCTTTCGGCAGTGTATCCGAATGTCCGACCAATGAAAGATGGTGACCATGTTCTCTCGCTCGAGTTTCTGGGACGCTTTGTGAGTCTGTCAATGTGTATGGATGTGGAGCTGGATAAGTCTTTCGGCGAGGAAATCTGCAAGGCAGAAAAAGTGTTTGAAAATGCTGCAATAAGCGAGAACGAGGATATTTTCAAACTTGTTATTGAGAACTACAACTCGACAGAGTTCAGACAAAAAGACCCGGAGACAATTCCCGTTTCTGCCGTCGCTTCTATTGTGCTCTACACGTTTAGTCGGTTTGTGGAGGGAACGCAATACAAAACTCCGTTGCCGTCGTTTTTGCAACTGGTCAAGCTACAATTGTGCATCCTGGTCCCGTATCTGATGAGCACCACCAATGTGCACGGAGGAGCCATTGTAAGTCTGGTGATCTTAAGCATGTCGGTGCTCGAGAAGGAAGGGTTTGAGTACACCAAGGAAGAGAAAACTCTTATTCTGGGCTATCTTCAAAGTCTGTCTTCTCTGTGTCTTGAGTTCTCTGACCCCAACATCCGCAAACTGTTCTACTCGCTAACAATGAAAGTGCTGATCAACCTGAAAGAGCAAGACGCTTACGACTTTGTGATCGACACCCTGGAGAACTGCTCTGCGGAGTCTGTGAGAACGTCCATGATTGGAATTCTCAAAGACCTCTTTCTCCGCACAAAACCAGCTCCGGTGGAAAAGCAAATGGAAAATCTGCAGCTCTCTGCTCCTTCGTTGCCACCTCGCGAGTTTAAATACATCACATTCACACAGGAGCGCGGGAACAAGATTCTGCAGCTGCTGGACACCGCAATAGAGGAAACGTTTGCGGAGGAAACTGTGGACCCGGTCATATGCAATACGTTACTGGCGTACATCAACCTGATCCTGTCGGTCAAAAAGTTCAACAAGGGCGATATTCAAGAGCGTGTCAGCACCATCAGGAGCCGCCTGTCAAAACTGGACTCGTCGCACCAACAGCTCGTCTACTTGATCGAGTTCAGCATCGACAAGGCTGCAGAATTCTATAAAATATAATTATTCTGTTTATAGCCACTAATAGTTAGTACCACTGCTCAGATAAGTGATGAATGTTGGAACAGATAGTCTCTTCATGCGCTTCAGAGTGAGCTGAGAAAAGGTATCATCATAACAGGTGTACTTACATAAAAGAAAATATGCTAACAATTTTTCTCCAGCACTAAATTTTCTGAAAAAAAAAAAAGAGTACACTCCGGGTAATGGCGCAGGTTACGCAGGAGGATTTCAGCTGGCTTCTGAGCCGACCCAAATCCGCGTATCAGCTTCTAGATGTCGATACCAATGTACAGTCACAGGACCTGCGACGCGCATATCGGAAAAAGGCGCTAGTATTGCATCCCGATAAAAATCAGTCCCCAGATGCAGAAGAGCAGTTTAGAGAGATCTTGGTCAGTTACCGAATACTGGAGGAGCCAGAGTGGCGCAAGCGGTATGATGAGCATCTGACAGTAGAATTGGAACGGCAAAGGGCAAGGGCACAGCAATCAGCACATCAAAAGTCGTTAAAAGAGCAGCTATTATATGAAGAGTCTAAATACAGGCAAAATCAATCCACTGCCAAGTACCGACAGACAAAGATCGAGCAGCTGAGGCGCGAGACGGAGCAGCTGCGTCGAACAAAAATGAAAGAAACAGCCAGCACCGCCCTGAACATCGAGACGGACAGGTCACGATTTCCGTGCAAAGTTCGTGTGCGATGGAAAAGCAAACCTCAAATAACAGACCTTGTGAGCGTTGAGGTGGTTCAGCAGCTAATGGAGGTTTTCGGAGAAGTCCTCTCTGTGCAAATGAATTCCAGCACGGATGCTATTGTCACGTATAAAACGTGGCTGTCGGCAGTGCTGGCAGCTACGCACGATTATTCGCAGGTTTCGGACCTCTGGGACGAGTCGGGTCTGAAACGGATGGCAAGCCTGCTGCGTTCGGCCAAACTGGAGGAGTTCGATGATGCCGGAGACGGAAAACTGAATTTTGATGAATATGCAGGCCTTAGCATATACAAGCTAAGCAAGCTTGTTCGCTAATCGCTGTCTATCACAATGGTTTCCGGAGACCGTGCCTTATCTTTCACTGCAGGGAAATTCTTGTTTTTATCCTTGCGCTTTTTCGCACTCCGCAACGACTGTCCTTGACCTGCAAAATGAGGTTTGTTTGGTGTTTCCTGTTTCTGCTCAAATCCGTCCTCATACACCTTCACCGGGAACCCGAAAAACAGGTATCCATCCGGTAAGTGTAACGGTTTCACAGGACCGTTTAGGTCGATATCCGCTGTATTTATAGAAGGTTCTGCTTCCTTTGCTATTTTTCTGCCTGACAATTTGACACCGTCCCCTTGGAACTTCTGTGTGCTTTTATTAGCTTCTCGAATAATCTCACCGTAATTTATTTGCTGTGCCATAGAGCCTGTGCCTTTCAGAGATGGCTGCGACAAAGCTTTGGTTTTGTTCTTTTTCTCCTGCTCCTCTTTCAGAGCCTTGTAATCCGGCTCCACGTACCCAACGGGCGGGGCAAAATCCGTCTCCAAATCGGTTTCAATAACGCAAATTCCGTGCGATGGGCTTTCTGGCTTGACCTCTAGTATTTTGATTTTGTATATCTGGTCGTTGTAGTCTAGCTGGATTATATCTCCAACTGTCAATGTGGTAAATTTCCTTAGTGCGTTTTCCAGGACGGCTTTGGGGTCACTGATGTCCAGAAAGTCGACGCTTTGGGGCTCCAGCATCACAAAGCTTCCTTGGGGAAGGTCTGCGGTTTTGATGTTGACCAGTGATCCCGGCTCGGCATCAATGGTGTCGAGCATCCATTGTGGCAAATAACAGCGGCCCTCTTCAGCTGTGAATTCCAGCACCCCACTGTGGGTAGATTTCCCGGAGCTTTCTGAAGTAATGGTGAAGAGCATGGGATATCTAATATGTAGCATTGTCAGTTTGTGAAGTGCTGATTGGGGTAGAAAGATTTTGCCCCCGTAGTTGGCGTCGTCTTTTCTGCTTACATCAGGCATCATTGCGATGGGATAGCAGCGAAAGTAGTCATCGAAACCCTGCAACATTGGCAGTGTTGGCTCGCCAAAGCCAAATCCAAATCCAGAAAACTGCGTTAGAGTAGCATTCACCCTACTTACCATTAGGAGACCGATGAAATATATTTATTAAAAGGAATATTTTTTAGGTGTTTATTTACTCTATTTATTCCTGCTAAATGGAGGACGAGGACTTTTTACTTGACGACACAGACGCATTGCGCGATTTGATAGATGACGAGAGTGAGACAGATGAGGCCATAGTGTTCTCTGACGATGAAATCATTCCTGAAGACGACGATCCCGATGACGAGGATTTCGAGGTAGAGCAAGATAATTTCGGGTTCAGCGACGAGGAGCTAGACGAGGAAGATATCGACGAGGACTTTGAGTTCCGCAATGCACTTCGAGAAGCCAGGAATTTCAAGCCCAAGCCGGCAAAGGGCAAGAAGACTCGCGGGTTGGCTGCGATGAGACGGAGGATGCGCAGAGAGGAGCTTTCACCAGAGGTGAAGCAGCTTCTCTCTGAAGCCAACGAAGCCTTTGTGCGCAATGATCTCCAAACTGCACAGAACTTGTATCTGGAAGTGGTGAAGCTCGACAAAAATAATTTCAGTGCTTACAAGACGTTGGGAGAGATATACAGACTTCAGGGAAATTACAACAAATGCTCCAACTTCTGGCTATTGGCCGCTCATCTTCACTCATGGGACTTTGAGTTCTGGCGCACTTTGGCAGAATTGTCTGTAGAGCTCGAACATACCCGGCAGGCCGTCTACTGCTACTCAAAGGCTATATCTGCCAGCAATGGCAAGGACTATGACTCGATCTTTGCGAGGGCTTGTCTGTATCGCGAGCGTGGTCAGTTCAAGCGAGCTAGCGATAGTCTGCACAAGCTACGGGCCATCATGCCTCAAGAGCCCAAGATATACCGTGAACTGGCGAAAATATATGTTGAGGAAAATCGCGTCAATGATGCAATCAGCATGTACACCAGGATTTTCGAGGAGAATGTCAAATTTCGCCGCGGAGAAAAGACCGAGCTGAAGACCATTGCGTTTGACTGGTCTGAGCTGAACATTCTGCTGGAGCTCTACGGGAAGAAAGCGGCCTGGAACGTTGCAATCAAAACACTCAAGCAGGCCTCGAGATGGATCCAACGCCGGGAGTCGCAGATATTTTGGGACGATCTGCCATCTGTGGATGTCGAATTTGATGATCGCCGATTTGATAACCAGAAATTCCAGGCCTTAAAAACAGAAGAAAAAGATAAAGAGTACTCTCTTCCCATTGATATTCGAGTTCAGCTGGGACTATTCAGATTAAACTCAAAAAATACCGACGAAGCGCTCAGACATTTTGAATATGTTCTGAGAGAGAACATTCAAGAAACTGCTGATCTGTTTCTGCGCATTGGCTCCGAGCTGGAAACTTTTGGTTTATATCACGAAGCATTGCGATATTTCTATCCTGTGTCAGGGGTTTACGAGAATAATCCTGCTGAGCTGGTCCTGAGTATTGCCAAATGTCTTCGAGAGACAGAAGATTTCGAAAACGCAAAGGAGGCTTATACCCGTCTTTTGGAGCACGATCCAGATAACGTCGAAATTAAGGTGGCCTTGGCCGAGGTCTACTTTTATCTTGACGACATACAGAGTATGAGCAAGTTGTATAAGGAGGCCAGAGAGCAGCGCAGCAAAGAACGGGCCAGTGCGCGCAACAACCTGCTGAAAGATTCTGAGGACGAACAGGAAGAACGGGACGAAGAGATGAGCGACGAGCAGAGTGCAAGAGACTCTGAACAACTTGCGTTAATTGCTGAATACCCGTCTTCACGGAGATTGAAGAAAAAGAAGGTTCTTCCTTTGGATCCCGAGCTTCTGCATAAGAAGGAGCTGAAATCGACCACTCGCATCAACGAGCAGTACGTGCGCGCAAACAGGCTGCTCGAGCGACTGGAGGACGACGCCCAGTCTCTGGGACACGAGAGACACGCGATTGCGTCGATGTGGATAGATCTCGTTTCTGAGCTTATCGAGGTTTTCTCTACATACCGCTGCTTTTTTTCCTCCGACAAGGCGAAGAAGTTCAACAGCGGGCTGCGTCGTAGAACAGAAAAACTGAGCATCGATCAGAAATTGTCGCGACTTCCTTATCTGCAGGACGAGATAATTTTGTCGAAGGAGATGGACTCGGGAAGGATTCCTATTCCTCAGAATGAATTCAAGGGCATTTCGTTTGAAAAGTGGTTTGACTTGTTTATGAAGTACTCTCTGATGATTTCCGAGTACGAGGGAAATGTGGAGGATGCGCTTTCAATCCACGAAATAGCGCGCCACATCAACGTTTTCAAGAAAAAGGAGCTCACGATTACGCTTCTTGGTCTTTCTGTTGGTTTTATCACCAACGAGGTCTCCGTCATAATGAATCATTTGCGTATGCTGATGAACGACTACCAGTTTTCTGTGCCCGCATTGAAGACCTTCTTGGCCGCCTGCAAGCCCACAGAGTTGTTTTACCATCCATACGTGGACGCCCCAAATCAGAAATATATTCTTCGTCAGATCAAGACTCACGATTCGCTCAAAGAAAAACGCGATATTTCAGGAATGGCAGCTATCACCAATACCAATGTTGATACGGAGAAGTTTCATCCGCTTCTGAATTACATCTACTCCACCTTCCTGTATATGAACAAATCGTATACCGCTGCATTGACGTACAGTCTGAAAATATACAGAGACTACTACAACGATCCGTCGCTGGTGTTTCTGATGGGCCTTGCAAACCTCCACCGCTCGATGCAGCGACAGACGATCAACAAGAATTTTCAGATAATCCAGGGTCTGACTTTCATGCTGGAGTACGCACAATTGCGCAGGGCTGGAGGCGGCTACGAGATGGAGATTAATTACAACCTCGGTCGCACCTTCAACCTTCTTGGGCTGAACACACTGGCTCTTCAGTTCTACGAACAGGTGCTATTGCTTGATGAGCCTGATGACGCGTATAATTTGAAATACGAGGCAGCCTATAATAGCTACCTGATTTATTGCTACAATGGAAATTTCAAACTGGCGGAAGAATTAATGGATAAATATTTGTGCGTATAATAATTTGTATTATTATTTTAAATCAAATATTTCAATGGAGTCTATCAGCGCCGCACTTCACTCGTATATCCGAGGCTACGACAAAGATAGGCTTTCTAGAGAGCTCGAGCGAGCGGAGGATCCCGTAGATATAGGGCTGGTTAGGTTTCAGGCGTCAGACTATCTCCAACAACTCGAATGTTGCAATCTGTTATGGGTAATTAGGGGGCTAATTACCGAGCTTTCAGCGTCTTTGGGCGGTGAGGTGGTATTTGACAGTGCTGTGAGCAACTATAAGAAATTGCTGGCTAAGGTCAAGGACTTAAAGGAGATGATAGCCGGCGAGGCCATAATATTGACGGAAATCAACAAGCAAGCAGAGGCCTTTGGGGTGCAATTAAAGCAGGAGATGGTCTCGCTTTCTTCAAACTATATCAGTTTCACAAATGATTCCCTGCGGTATAAAAACGAACACAATGATCTGAGTTTCCTCGATTATCTTAGTTGGAGCTACGAATTTTGCACCTTGACGGAGGACGAGTTTATGCACTATTTTGGTTTCAATAAGCTTTTTGGCAGAATATTATCTGCGAACATGGGTCGGGCAAACAAGCTGTCGTATGATGGAGAACAGATAGTTCTTGAATTCGGCAACCAGACAACGTTTTCTGGGTTTCTTCAGAGCGTCGAAAATACTATTAATTTCTTCAACCTCTTTATGGACCACAACAGAAACGCTGAAAAGAATCATCTTGGAGCCATCAAATTGAACGTGTCTAAACTCCTTATGGCAGCACTAAAGCAGCGTATGTTTGACTCTGAGAACATATACTCGTTGATCTTGAGCAAATACGGGGCCGGCGACCGCAAGACAATTGGCCAGTTGCAGGTCATATCCGAGCTCTTAACTCAAGATGGGTGGTCAAGAGATGGTTCCTGTGATCTCGAGTTCTGGATTGACGATCTTGTCAGCTACTGGGTGGAGACGCTGGTTGACAAGAAAATTGATGAAATAAAAGAAATGGCCATCAGTGGCGAACTCCGAAACCTTGAAAAGGAAGAGCTATGTGAGAAAGATGCAGAACCAGCAAACGAAGAGGACTGGAACGACGAATGGGACAAGGACTGGGATGAAAACTCAGAAACACCAGAAAGCGCAAATGAGGTCGCAGACGAAGACGGCTGGGACGCATGGAATGAGGACTGGAAGGACGACAAAAATGATCTAGGCGTCAAGTCCATCTCAACAAACAGCAAGTCGTCGAATGTCTCCGCCACAGTGAAATACTCCAGCGTTTGCAGTTGGGTGAAAAATTTGGTGGCAGATTATTACAACAACTACGAGCAGCTTAGGCTGAAAGCTCAGTCTGTGGAAAATGCAGAGCATTTGTTCAAGCTGAATATCAAGAAGCTTGTGATGTGTTATTTCATGGTGGTGAGCGAGTCGTACAGTGGCTGGGTCTCGTTTTACACAGATTACTCCAAAGTCATTGACGATCTAGCTGTCAAGTACTCTGTGAACCTAGAGTCCTGCTACGCCTTAAGACAGAGGTTCCGTATTCAGCACGTTCAGCAATACCTTGAGGCAATATTCAAAGCTATCCGTCCGCACGAGGATGTTTTGTTCCATGACAACAGCTACGAGAACAGTGTCCGTGAGCGCCACTCTAAGAGTCTGCTGCGTGAGCTGGACCAGATTTTTGGTGAAATCAATAAAGATTACGTGAACGGAACGGGAGTGAACAACGTTCTAGTGCACGAGGTGGCCAGCTCGATCGTCACCCAGGTCAGTGGTTATTTGAGTCAGATGCTTGTTTCGCGCACCAGCATCGACTCTGACGAGTCCCAGATTCTCTCTGATACGCTGGCCGGCTTTTTGCGTCTCCTGGTGCCTTCTGAGCTGCCAGAGCTGCGGAAGCTGCAGAGCTACCAGAAACTAGAGCAGGTAAAGCTGGTGCTAGACTCTGGACTGCGCGAGATCCTGGACAGCTTCTACGACGCTAAATTCTTCGAGCTGGCCACAAGCGAGCTGATAGGACTGGTCAAGAGCCTGTTCGTGGACTCTTCGCTGCGCCAGAGCGTAATTGACGAAATTCTAGAAATGAGAAGTAATTGAATATAAATATATATGCTCACCAGTCGAGCTCGCCGAGCGACTCGGGGTTCGAACCCTGGCACTCAATTTTGGAGCACAGCTCCTCCAGCTCCTGGGCCTCGCTGGAATTCTGCTTGCCCCCGATGCTGGCCGGGTTGATCTCCTTTCCTTCCTTCTGTTCGAGCTCAAAGTGTCTTTTGACCATGTCTTTCACCAGGCCCTGGTAGTGTAAGACTCCGCGCTCCTTGAGAGGGTGGAGGTATCCCGTGGAATAAATACCCTGGTTCAGGTTTTTCTGGGTCTGGACGCACAGATTGAAGTCCTCGATCTCGACCTGTTGCAAGAAGTCGACAAAGTCTTTTTTCTTGTCTTCTGCGAGTCCCTTCTTGGTATAGACGTCATACTGCAAAATAGTTCTCGATGGCGCAATTGGCAGCACTCTGATGGTGTAGAACGCTGGAGAGTAACAGTTCACACCGTTGGTAGGGAACAGATAGCACCACAGACCGTTGAAAGTTCCTCCCGGGTTCTCTCTGGTCTTGACGGTCTTCTTTTTTTCCTGCTTCTTTCTTCCAAAGCCAAACCAGGACGATTCGGTGTCTGGGTCCTCCTCCTCAACCTCTTCAACTTCGTCCTCGACGATCTTCGCATAATGGCGACAGTAATTGCCCTTAGGAACAACCTTGTAGGTTTCCATCTTGAAGGCAGAATTGAGGCCGGGGTGAGCGGTCGGACAGTGGTAGCACTCCTGGTAGCCGTCCATCAGGGTCTTCCAGTTGAACTCGCCGTCCAGCTCGTACGACATGTGGTACTCGTAGTCGTCAAAGTCGTACTCGGCCATTTCCTGGTCGAGTCCTGCGAAAAATTCCTCGAATGGAGTGTACTGGTCGGTGTTGTCGAAGTTAATGAAAACCAGGCCCTCCTTCGTGGTATGGCTTCTGATCTCAAACAGGGAATTGGCCTTGGGGTCAAAGCCCTCGACCTCGTTGAAGTGTGGTGCCTTGGTCAGTAGGCCGTCAGTGTTGTAGGACCAGCCGTGGTACTTGCAACCAAGCACAATTGACGATCCCTGCTGCTTTCTGACCACAGGATAAGCCCTGTGTCTGCAGACGTTGTGGAAGGCCTTGATTTCGCCGGCTTTGGTCTTGATCAGGAAGAAGTTCCAGCCCATAAAGCTGTAGGAAAAGTAGTCGCCTGCTTTTTTGAAGCGCTGCTGGTGGGTGACAAAAAGCCAGGACCTTGCAAAAATGGCTTTTTTTTCGTAATCGAATACTTTCTGTGAGGTCCACCAGGAGGCAGGCAGAGTGTGCTCTCCTGGGAGAAGCTTCTCGTCAGCGGTGTCTTGTGGAGGTGGAGCTGGTTTGGCAACTGCGGCAGACATTGACAACAGCAAAGAGCAAGGGCTGGCTGTTTTATAGACGTGCGGAATTTGCACCCGTATCAGGAACCAAAGATAAGAGAAATGTAATTCTTTTTTCGGAAATTATTTCAGCTGATAGCACGGAAATTTATTTACAACAACGACTTGCAATACTAATTCCGGCAAGATCTTTCACCTTCTATCTCTATAACTCATCCTTTATACCTGCTTTCGCTGGAAATAGAACCGTGTACTGGATGAACAGGTCGCCATACTCGTCCACACTGTTAGCCACGGGCATTCCGCGACCGCGGATCCTCTCGACCTCGCCGCTCCGCACCATTTCGCCTGGCGCACGCTTTAGCAGCACCGTGTTATCATAATCATCAAGAAACGGAATTGTGCGCTCCCATCCGCCCCATAATGCCTCTTTCAACGTCAGAATTTCCGTCCTGTATAGATTATTTCCGACGCGTCGATAGCCCAAATTGCCGGCACTGCTTTCCACAATCTTGACCCGTAGATCGCCCGCATCCCACTCGGGCGATTTGTCAGACTCTCCCCGGTACACCTCAACATGGTTGCGGGGCGTTCCTGGCTGCAAATGGAAGTTATATTTGCGGTCGCCACGAACAACTCCTTGGCCATGGCATTTTTTGCAGTGATGGGTAATTTGATTTCCAGACCCCTGGCATTGCGGACACGGACTCTCAAAACGCTGGAACATTCCAGGTCCGAGCTGTCTCTTAACTACCACACGGCCGCGGCCGTTACATTGCGAACACGTATGGGTCTTTCCGTCCTGGGATCCCGACCCAGAACACTTGTCGCATATATTTTGCATCTGCAATGAAAAATCCGTGTCAAGCCCGTTGTAAAACTCCTTCAGTGTGAATGTTAGCTCTGTTGAGGTGTCTGCGCCTCGCGGTCTACCACGGCGCTGCTGATGGCCGCCAAAGAAATTGGCAAACATGTCGAACGGATCATGATGCTGCTGCTGATGGCCGCCCCCCTGGAGACCCTCGTGGCCAAAATTGTCGTACGCAGCACGCTTTTCCTTGTCCATAAGCACCTCGTATGCTTCGCCGATCTCCATGAACCTGGTTTGCGCCGAGTCGTCACCGGGATTTTTGTCTGGGTGGTATTTCTTTGAGAGCTCTCTATACGCTTGTTTGATTTCCTTGTCACCAGCATCCTTCGAAACTCCGAGAACCTGAACGTTAGTCGTACTAAGCCTCGCCACTTACCTCGTAGTAGTCCCTCTTGGCCATCACAACAATGGCAAGAAGAAATAGCGAGAGAATCCCCCATAAGCGCATTTTCTGTATTTCTATAACACGTCAATCCATTATAAATATTTTTTTCTCGATATTCGTTTCTCCGGGCTGTGCTCTGTAATAAGCGCACAAGATTTTACTATTTGATCTAGCTATCGTCAGATGCGGTCGATGCCCCCACCTCGATACTCGAGGTACAGAACAGCGAAAAGAATCTGGCGATCTATCATCAATTTGCTATCCACAGGCTATGTCTCGGACTCCTCAGCTTTTCTCAATTTGCGACACAACACCACCAAACCTAACCACAAAACAAAGATCCGCAAGTCCAGATGGACCAAGAAGCCAACTTCGCGAATGAAGCTTTCTAACAGACTCTCCAACAGAGTCATCCAGGAACTCACCAATGAAGAAAATAGCGGCGAGCTTATTAGTAACATGTGGTCCTGGAGCTCTCTGTGGCTCTCACTCTTCTCCTTTTGGAAGTCTCCCGACGTTGGTTCCGCTCGCAAACAGTCGCGGTCCGGCGTCGGCAACTTCAACGTCAATCTCTCCATCTAAACATTGAACTTGAGCCATTCCCAGTCCCCGGCAAATGTCTCGCCCATTTGCATATTATCCGACTTGAAACTGTCTGTGCGGATCGGCTGGGGAGCAACTTTTACCGTTGAGTTGTGCTCTCCCAGTTCCACTGCGGCACGCTTACGCTTGTTGCGCTCGGTGGCTTTCGGTCCAGACGCGGTATTGTTGAGAGGACGAATGACACCGTGCAACTTGAAAAAGAGGCCGCAGGCGTTACACAAAAGCCTGTTGTCCGACGTTTTACGCCACAAAGGAGTCGTAGACGTGAAACAGTTTTCGCAAATCGGTTGCTGAGAGCTCTTTGCAGAGGCCGGCGTCACCGTAGGCACAGACCTCGTGCTTGCCGTCGTCAACGTAGGCGACAATTTGTCGTAAACTGGTCTGTCGCGACGATCTAATGAAACTTCCAGAGTGTTGATGTAATTGGCCAAGCTGTAGTCCGACGAGGTCTTCTCCTCTTTGATAGAACTCAAAGGCTTTTCCTTGTCAGACTGCGCGAAATTGGTCATCTCCATCATCTCGGACATGTTGTCGTCGAATTTCAAGAAATGGTCCACGTTGAAGTCGTCATTTTGCCTTCCTTGGGAAGACGTCTGCGGAAGAGTCACGCCAGACTGGCTATGGTGCGTCTGCGAGAACTGGAACGGCTGAGCGGCAGCGGTCGAAAATATTGAATTAGTATTAGAAGACAGTGAATGGCTGGTCTCTGGTGAAAAGTAGTCGTTAATGTCCATGCGATCTTTGGAATCTATTGTAATCGGGTCGGTTATGGAGAATGTTGGTTCGTGTTCCGTCGAGGATATCGATGAACGGAACGGTTCAGTGGCAGAGCGGACGTCGGGGTTGACCCCGTACTCCTCTTTTGAAATTCTGCGAATGTGCTCGATGTAGTCGAATTCCGGGTTTTCAGGCGTCTCGGCACTCAGTAACGATTCCGGCAAATGCGGCTTTGTCAGGGATAAATTGTTGCTCGATTGCGAGTCTGAATATTTGTGAGTGTTGCGGACCACAGAGGTCTTGGTGATTTTGCTGGTTGAGTCGGAATTCCTCCGACGCTTAACGTTCTCGATACTGTTGAGTCTCCAGGACAGGTTCAGAATGCGCTTGTTGTTAGGCAAGAGTGTATTTTTGTTGTTGAACATGCGCCATATTTGCAGCGAAGTGTTGCATTGCTCACTGAACTCCCTTTCAATCTCCTTTTTCAGAAGCTTGACATGGGAATCTGATTTCTGAGCCGGAACATTTGTGTATTGCATTTGCTGTGGGCGAAAACGGCGAAAGCGGGTCAAAATGTGAACTTCGATTCGTCCACCGGCAGTTTGGGGTGGTGTGTGTACTAATACGTGACTTGAACGTGAACTTTCGTTTCGGTTTTTGAAAACACTATCAGTTTTGGATTTGAGGCTTTTTATAAGAAGCCTCCGCCAGAGGATGTTGCATTGCAATACTCATAATCGTCTGCACAGGAGCTGCAGATTTTCTGTCTGCAGATTTTCTGTTTCGATTGTCGGGGTAAAACAAATATGCACAGTGTGCGGATGGCCAATTATTCTGGCGCACGGATTATTGTTGTGCTGAACAAAAGATAAGGCAATTGGGAAATTACGATTGTATGAATCTTATAACCCTTCGGTCTGATTGGCCTATCGTGCGCTAAGCTGGCTCTTGTACTACCGACCTATTGTGTACAGAGCTTATCGAGGGCCACAAAACAGGGCGGTGCAGCCACCCCTGTGATTGTTCTCGGTAAAAAAAAAATACACATTTATCACGTCGCTCCTGGCTGGCCCGTTGGCCTGTATTTCTTTTTGCCCAACTACTGTAGCAAATTTCTTATCAGATCGTAACTCATCCACTGCACAGCCATCGACGGGCAGATCTTCCAGATGTTTGCTGGCAGCCCTTTGTACAGTCCTTTGTACCCTTCCTTGCGCACGATTTGCACCAACGCATCCACTGTCGACTTGTACTGGAATCCCATTTCTCCACCCCCCAGCGTCGCCACTTGGAACCTCCTACGCAAAACGTCCATCGGATAAATTATAGTCTGCCCCACCCCGCCGCTGATGGCCCCAAGAGTGAGCGCGATGGCAGGGTTTTTGCGGTGTTGTTCCGGCACCAGCTCCTTCATGCTCTCGTACATTGTGAAGTTAAGAGCCGTGTAGGGCGCCACACCCCACGAGGTCGGCATAATTCCTCGGTAAAGCGCAGGTATACCTCCCTCGTTGCGATAAATATTCACGAGACTCTGCCACATCCCGGGCGGCTTCTCGATCGGGGCGCGGCTCTTAAGGTTTCTGAGCTGCGCCGTCTGGACAGAGAGCCTCGTCTTCACCAGATCCATCGGATACGACACCAAAACCGACAAAAATCCGGCAACCGTCCCGGCCACCAGTCTGCTTTCTGTGCTGAGACTGCCGTCTGGCCGGGCTAGAAACCGCTTCATGCGTTGGTACGACGCGTACTGTACAGCAGAGTAGGGAAACACGCGAATGCAGTTGATGCCATTTCCTCGATACAGCCCCCTGTATCCTTCCTCTCGCCATATCTGATGCACCGAGCCGAAAACACCTTGGTACGAATTTGTTGATCCCTGGACCTGCTGCAAAACCTTGACACGCTCTATAGGCGATACCGCAGTCCGTGATAGTGCTCCCGCTATGCCTCCGGATACCAGCGAGAGAGCCGGTTCCGGCAGCGAGAACGCAGAAGTTTTGTTTTCCATTTGAGAATTGTCAAGATTTTTTCAGATTCGACTTTACCGTATCGGAAAATATTTCACCCTCGACCCAGGCGGGGCAAATACTGTTTACATGACGAGTGCTACGTAAAAGACATTCCATCAAAAATTTGTGCTAAACATTGCGAAAACTTATCAATTACGTCCATATCGTACGGGCGTCAAAAAAGCCTGACTGTTGTGTCATGTGACTGCAGTCGGGTGACCGCACTCGAAAGCGCAACAGCCACAACACGCAAAGATTCACGGAGGGAGTCCAAAGGGACACTGGATGCCATCTGACCTATGCGCTCACAATTGTACCACCGTTCACCTTTTTTCCCGTCTTCGAGATGGCCTGCAGCACTGTATCGTAGTCTAGGTCGCTAACCACGTCGACCGTCTGTTTCTCGAGGGAGATCTCAACATTCTTTACTCCTGGCAGCCGCGTGAGCACACGATTGATCGCATTAGAGCAGCCAGAGCAGGCCATTGTGACATCGAACTTGTAGTGTTTGGCAGACATTGAAGAAATTGATGGAATAATTAATTATATGGCAATTTTCGGTTTTTTATATTTCTGCGCAATAATCTCTCAATTACTAATATCACGAGTGGAGGCAGGCGTGTGATATATAAGCTGTCCTGCTGGACGATAGTTTGTAGACATAAGGAGGAATGCAGAAACCTGATACTGTGATGGGACTCGAAGTCTTACTACTTCAGCTCTATTGAGGCTTTTCCTTCTCATTGACCACTCTTTGGTGCTACGACGCAGAAGTTTTTATCCCATCACCAGTCTGCCACTACAGCACAAAAACTAATGTTCAAAAGTCAATGACCGAAGGAATCAGGAGTCATCCACCGGAGATACACTTTCGATTATTCTTCGTCCACTATATTCGGCCGGTCCGTGTCCCAGACCCCAGAAGCCGGAACGCGGGTGAGGCAAGCCAGTAATGGAGTCCAGGCCGGTTTCCGGACGAACTATGCACCGTCGCAGGCCATTTCGTCCTGCCCAATACACAGTAGACGTGAGGAAATTTGAAGATGTAGAAAAAAATTTTTAAGGTCGATAGTCCCACCCTGCTCCGTGTGCACACCCCTGCCCTGCCAACCATATTCTGCTTGTAAACTGGATCCCTCCTTCGCCGAATTTTCTTTTAAGTCAAACATTGTTTGGTACGACCAAAATTTGCGCTCGCTGGATCTTCAACAAAGGCCTGCTCAAGTAATTTTGATCCTTCTTCATTGCTAACGGCCGTTCCTTGAACAACCTTGTGTTTATTATGACCTCCCGTTACAACGTGCTGTCAATAGGGGCTCATCCCAACCTGGCCTTCTACAACTGGCGGTTGTTTAGCTCCAAAACGTGTGATCTCACGGTGGTCAGCCCCTCTGCAAAATCAAATAAAACCTTCCAGTGGAATTCTTTGCAGTTTGGCAATTCCAGGTACTCGCTGTCAACGGTATACGAGTCTCTCGATTTGTATTTATCCAACACAGACCTCTCCCGAGCCAAGATCGACTACATATTCGTGTCTGCCACGTCATTGCAGGATCTGGCTTTGGTGTTTGGCAAACTGGCCAAGGTGGTTGTGGCACAGCTTTCCGTCGGTTCGGTTCCAGCAATTATCGTCGAGTCCACCAATTTTGTCAACTTGGAGCCATTTGTCAAGCTGTCAATGCAACTCGACGCAGACGTTCCAGTGCTATCCATAATGTCTGACTACGATATCCGGCTGGTGGGAAATAATAACTACCAGGTCTACAAAAGCAAAAAAGAAAGTGACTTGCTATACGTAGGCCGCAGCGGTACGGAGAATGAATACACGAAAACCGACATCAAACTTATCAAAGAGATATCGGACCTCTTTGAGAGTGCCGGAATTGACGTCTACAAGCTCAGCACCCCGGTGGAGTTCCTGTCGTACCAATGGAAATTTGCACTTCCCAAAATAACTATTGAGCCCTTGTCCATATTATTTGAAAAGCCTTTTCCAGATCAGCTCCAAGAACAAATTTTGGCAAAACCCTTGATCTCGGGGCTGATCAAGGAGATCATCAGTGTCATTAAGACCATGGGATGCAAGCTTTTCAAAAGCTATGACAGCGAATCCTCCATGCTCCAACGACTGGGCCAATTATACCCGGTCGTTGACCTCAGCCCCGATTATTCGGAGGCCCCAAAACTGTTTTATGACTTCTACAACCAGAATGAAATCTACCTGGACCTTCTAGTTTTGCAGCCGATTCTCATTGCAGATGACTTCCACATCAAGACTCCATACTTGGAATTCTTGTACGCGATGATGACACAAGCATGCACCAGCAATGTTTCGACCTTGGAGAACCCAACATCGATATTCTGGTTGCGCAAAAACGCTGAAAATATCAGACATCTGAAACTGCAGCAGGACGAGCTTTCAGTGAAAAACGCCTTGAAGGAGAAAGAGATTGCGGAGTCGGAAAGAAGGCTGGCCCAGCCTGCAATCCACTCTGCCGCGGCTCATCCATCTCCTCCAGCCTCCCAATCAGACAATAATGCATTCAACTTTGAAAATAAGGAGTACAGCCAGCCTAATAACCAAAGATCATACCCTACGAATTCCCAACCTGCTGTGGCATCCAACGGCCAATATGTAAATGAAGCTGTTGCTCCGGACCAGAATATGGAAACTGATCTTGAAGAGCTTTCCGAAATGGCCCGTGCGTATGTGATTTCCGACCAGACGCAAAACCCTCAAGTACCAGCAGGCGGCTACCAGCCAAAACCTATTCCAAACATTTTTGCCCAACAGCGGGAAGCTCAGCAAGTCCAGCCACAGGCCCAGCCTGCGCAACAGTACCAACAGTATTTCCCTCCGCAGCAGCAGTATCAACAGTACTACCCGCAGCAGTATCCAGTCCAATCTGTTCAACCTGCTCCCCCACCTCAAGCGCAACAGCAGTATCCTGCTCCACCGGCAGGCACAGAGTACTACAATGGATCGTCTTCTCCATCTTACCTTCCCCAGCAAGCGCTTCCTCACGGGCTCCCTTCTCAAGGATTGCCGGGGCAGCAGCAAGTTGTGGGGCAAAAGGCACCTGCTGCACCTGGAAGAAGGCAACATGTACCAATGTCTTATACACAGGACAACTTATCGATGATATCTGGAATGAATGGCCACCAATCTACGTACGAGGGACAGGATTACTACGGGCAAATGGCCAGGCAGCAGAGCAGACAATTTAAACCTACATCCAGAAAAAACCGCAAGTCCACAAACTTACTTAATGGTGTCGCACTTGGAAACGACACCAGAGGTATGCCATCAAGACAATCCATGATGCTCGGACCCTCTCAAAGTTCTGGCATGAACAATATGCAGCAACCATACCCTATGAGGCAAAGCTCCTCGGGCACTTTGAACCAACTGACGAGGAGAAGTCAGACATCTAACGGACTAGGGATCAACGGGCCATACAAGCAGCCAAAACCGCAGCAGCCACAGACTGCTCCACCTCAAAAACAACCTCAGCCTTTTGCTCCGCCGGAGTTTGCACAAGCACCTGCTGCCATTACTACGGAGTCTACAGCGCATCGCGGGTCTGGCTCTGGTTCCGGCTCTGTGTCTGGTTCCGGCTCCGAATCCAGTTTGCCTGCTTCGTCTCAGGCAAACAACCTGGTTCCGGTCCCAGAAGCGACACCAGCTCCAAACACACCAGCATATATTCCTCCGGCTAGGTCCGAACCAAAAGTTACCGAGAAAAAGAAGAAGAAGAGGGGTTTTTTCGGCAGGAAGAAGTGATACATTATGTAATTCCTAGGTTATATTATTTATACTTGGCAGTGCATCTCGTAATTTAATTGAAACTTGTAGAAGTTGAATAAGCTTCATGTCAAGTGCTCGGCTGTCAAGGTTTTGGGTCTGGCGGGGCCCGAAAGCTTTTTACCGGTTTTCCTCATTCCAGTCCAAGACGTCAGCTGTGTCTGAGCCTTTGGGATACCCATATTTTTGCAAGAAATTCCGCTCTGAGATTGATTTGTTCAAAAAGTATTTCGCATCCGATTCCAATGGCAATCTGGACTTGTTCAGAAACTTGCACAGATACAATAAGAATGTGCCAAATAAAGAGCGTCTCTCACTGTTTGTCACCACATTGAAACGCAACAAGCAGTTTTACGACTACTTGATGCAACAATTGAATCCCTCCAAAACATCGGATGATCCTGTATCACCTCCCGCGGAATCAGGGCAGCCAGAAACTATTGGCTCTCTTTTGACGAAAGTTAAGGAGGTCCCAAAGGCTGAGCCAGAGCAAAGACCTGTAGCCGTTAAGAAGAAGAAAAATAATGCCTCCTTCAAGGATCTCCTAAGTTCTATCAACAAGATCCAGAAAAAAGATTCCTATCACCACCATGAGCTTCCCAGAATGACAAATTTTACCCCAATGCCCTCGTACCGCCCTTTCATTATGAGCGTAGATCAGGGTCCTTCTGAAGCTCCTACCGAGTTGGAGTCGTTTTTACAAGAGGCAAAGCATCAGAATGACATGACGCAGGAACAATTATTCAAAAGCGTACAAAATTATGAGTGGGCTAGACAGCAGACTTCCAAGGACCAACGTTCTTTTGAGGCTGGCAATTTCTTTACCCCTGTGCTTGTTCCAAATACTTTTGTTCCAAGCAGTCTCTTTGCAGGACAAAACAACTCAAATATAGAGTTATTCCCTTCCCTGACGTCAGAAAAACAGATGCCCAAGGGATATGAGTTCATGATACTGCATGAAAATGGAAAAACAGAGAAAGTGCGAGAGTATGATCCTCACGATTTGGAACCTCACAAGCCCAACGTTTCGCGACTATTATCCCAACTACGGTCACCAGAAGCTTACGTCAGACATATCAATAAGCTGATAGCTCAAAATTGGCATCTCCTAGAGGGAGATTTAGATAAACTTGTATTCTTCAGGAAGAAATCCACCAAGTTCTATCTATGGGTAAGAAACAGTCTGGCGGTGGTTGGTTTAGGCTTTCTCGGTATCCTTGGCCTAAGCTATTTCGTGGATTCCGACGAGATCACACAGCTCGCAGACTTCAAGGACGCCAGGAAAAACAAAGACATTACAATGACATGATATCCCCAATGCCTGTTTATATCGATCTACATAGCAGATTTTTTCACCACATTGAACATCAACGCGGTCAAACTGCCTCTATCCCCATTCCAGTTTCTCAAAAGTTTCACCGTCTTGGGATCGCGCAAATCTGGAACACTCCAGCCGGTCTCGTAAACGTGGACTTCTTGTTTCCTGCGGATTTCGAGCAGATCTTGTCTTTTTGATGCGGGTCTGCCTGGTCTTCTTTGTGCTCGGAGCTCTTCCAGCTCTTCATCATCGCGCGAAATGAACTCCTCAATGAATTTCTGGAGCTCTTCAAGACTAAATTGCGTCTTGGAACTATATTCCTCGTTTTCTGTGATGATTTGTTGGAAATATGTGACAATCTGCAGCTCGTTAGACTTTTTCTCCTGCTGGGCAAGCTTTCGTTTTGCTAGATTCTCCTCTCGGAGAGTTGCACGCGATAAAAGTTTGGCTCTGCGGCCTTTGGGATGCAGAAGCTTTGCATTCTTGAGCTTCTTGTTGACGCTGGCGAGACTTTTAGGCATTTTCAGTTCGATAAAAAAAAAGTTTAGAGATAAAAAAAGATCCCGGCACAGCCTTGAGTGACATTCCGTCCGGGTAAAAATAAACACGACTTAAAATTTTGCGAAGATAGAAATTTGTTTTAACGAAGCGAAATGGTCCAACGTTACACCGAGGAAGAATTGCTTGCTCTACAGTCTCACGGTGTGCTTCCTACTGGCATTGATCTTACTTCATTTGTCCAGCTGATTGATGACGTTCGGGAAGCCCTGAGAGAAGTCGATGACCAAGGGCTAAGAAGAAAATCGTTCACAGGCTTCAAGAAGAGACAGCCAAAGGAGTTGAAACAGACCGACGAGGAGGGTTGGACCTCATTTGTTACTCCAAAGCCAAAGAAAAATGCCCCTCAAGAAGACAAACAGGAAATCAAGCAGCACACAATGAAAGTCAAGACCAGCAGTTCCAAGATCTCTTCTGGCAAAGCCAGCGTGGATACTCGGGACACTATTGCCATTACTCAGGTGTCCAAGTTCAATGCGTTTGATGCTTTGAACGCTGAGGACGAAGCTATTGAAAGCGATGAGGAGTGATAATATAAGATTAATGTACGTTATGAACCGATTAGAAACAATCGTAATCTTATGCAGTGAGCGGGCCGTTTCCGTTTTGGACCGTTTGAGCGTCTGCATACTCGTTTTCTGAGTCGTCGCTAAGGTCTAAGTCGCTGATGCAATATGCAAGACCGCTTTTCGTTTGTCCGAAGTTGGGAGCCGATGTCTTGGTTATGCTGTATTTGTACAAGCTCTCTCTACTGGACGGGCTAGCACTGTTGCCAGAAATGATTGAGCGCAGGTCTCGTAGATGAGTTGAATTCAAGTTCATTTTGGACGACGTGTTGGAGCGAGCAGTGGAGTACTGGAAGAGCGAACCGTTGCCAGCAGATCCTGCAGCTGACCGGGGCAGAGAGTCGTAAGGAAGAACAATTGACGAGGAAGAATGGTTAAGAATCGAGTCTGTGGCGGTGGTGTTTTGGCTGAGGAGCATTTTGGGAGGCGTTCTGATGACGACAGGCGATTTTTCGGGGCTAGCTTCCTCGTATCCTGCTGCATGGAGCCATGTCTTGAGCTCTGGATTTGCGATAAGCTGGGCAATCAGCTCACGCGACGAGAGGCCCAAACTTGTCTCTTTGACGGCCGTGTCGTCCTGGGTGATGGCTGGGAACTCTTTGTACCACAGTCCCGCCTCAACCAAGGCATGTGTTTTGGAGGCAGCGGTCTGTGACAGCTCTTGCAAATTATACACTCTTGCAATTTCAGCGATTATCAGCCAGTTGAGCGAGAATTTGAAATCCTCAGGGGAAGCGAACCACTCCGAGATAAAGTTGAGGTAGTTGACCACAAAGTTTGTTTTCATTGTGTGTACCAGCTGTATAAGTGTTTTGTAGATCTGAGCGTTTAGATCAATAGTCGAATTGGTTGCAATGGTTCCAATAAGATTCAATAGTAGCAGCAGGGCATTGTCCGTTTTGTTGCTAATGCAGCTTTCATAGTTTGGTCTAGAAAACAGTTTAGAGTCGGCCTCAAACGAGTAGAATTTATCAATCAGCTGGAACCACTTCACTTGAACCCCCACCTTTGCTTCCGGACTAACAAAAGATGGCACATTTTTGAAATCTATTGTGTAAAACAAGAAATTGAATACGCTGATCCGATATGGAGATCTTTTATAATCAATAAGACTGTCTCCATGCACGCTCTGAAAAATTCCTTCGATATTAGAGATAAAGATATCCGAGATCTCCACAAATTCGGACGCCTGAGTGAAACTTTCATTCGTGTTCATGATCTGGTAGTAGATTTTTTGAACCTCTTCCAACATGTCATTGATCTGGTCATTGTAATAGATGTGAGTTCCTAAGCTGCGAACAATCTCAATGTATCCATTGTTGAGCGACGTGGGATGTCTGGAAATCACAGCTTCTCTTTGGAACCTCAAAATATCGCTCAGTATTTCCTTCACCGGCAATCCAACCATGTTGACGTCCTCCGATGAGAGGAGATTCGATATCAAGTATGCAATGGTTTCTCTCTGCGCTGGGTCTTTGCTCGTGTTCAGATCCAAAATGAACATGGACACGATTCTATATCTGAGCTCGATATGGGTTTTTTTAGCACACGCTTCAATGAGTCTGTTGAACCAGCTGACTTCTCTGGGATGTTCAATGATGTATTTAACGAGCGCCTTTGTGGTCAGGTCCACTTGCTTTTTGGCATTTGTGTCAAAAAATGACTTCAAAGCGTTGATTGCAAGCTCTTCTATAGATTTTTTTTTGTCCCGGTTTTCGGGGCCCGTCAAGGTTTTCATCAGCCGCAAAGAATTGTCTCCCTTGTCCGTTTTGTCTAGAATCACGATGATACACTTTTCAATGAGCTTGGCGTTCTCAAAGTTGCTAACATTGGGATCGACGTATTTAGATACAACTGTAGTCGAGTCCAAAGATAATTTGGACCATTCGTAATCACGCGAGTTAGCTCCGAGGCTAATGAAGTTGGAAACGAGACGCAAAAAGTTCCTCAGCAAATCCACGCTGCTCGACAGAATCTGTTTCTGGTTCTGCTGGATTTTGTTGCAGAAATTGCTAAAGATTGATAGTCCTAGTTCGCATGTAGACAGATCTTTAATTCGAACAACTTGGGATAATATGTCAATTATATGACTTGCCATGATCCCCAAGTCGTCGGAACATTTGGTGATGAGTTCCTGTAAAATGAACAAAGTCACCTTAATATGACCAATGCGATTATGAGACACGTCCAATTTGGTCTTCTTGTTGAGAAAGATGGCCACTTTTTCGAGCTTCGTTCTTCTAGTCGAGGCATAGTACAAAAGATAGCTGAGCTCCGCGTTGTTCGGTTTTGTCTCATTAAGCGGCAGCTTCTTGGAAGGATAGCATTGGAGAATGAGCTTCTGATGCTTTGGGCGAAAATTTGGCAATAACGGCATGCTCCATAAACACAAAAGTTTGAATTGAAAAAGCCAGGAAATCCTTTTTTGCTGAACCGCGCCCTGCTGGCAGCGAAATAAATATGTAATAATTAAAATTGTGCTTTAATTTTTCTTTAAATGGCCCCCATATACGTGAAGGGAGGAGTTTGGACCAATGTTGAGGACGCCATTCTCAAAGCTGCGATTTCGAAGTATGGGCTAAATCAATGGGCTCGTGTGAGCTCCTTACTGGAGAAGAAAACAGCCAAACAATGTAAGATGAGATGGCAAGAATGGCTCGATCCAAGAATCAAAAAGCTCGAATGGACCAAAGAGGAAGACCAAAAATTGCTCGAGCTTGTTCGACTCCGCCCAAACCAGTGGAACAGTATTAGCATGCTGATGAATAGAACCGCAAACCAGTGTATCGAAAGATACCAACAGCTGTTGGATGATAATCTGGACGACTCCGACTTACGGCTTACAGGAAACATGCAACAGGCCGCTTTGGGCGCAGATTCCTTAAACTTAAACCCCGAGTCGAAACCTGCGCGTCCTGACTTTGAGGATATGGACGATGACGAGCGTGAAATGCTTAGCGAGGCCCGTGCGAGACTGGCCAACACGCAGGGCAAAAAGGCGAAAAGAAAGGCGCGGGAGAGGATGCTTGCTGAAAGTCGACGTGTTGCAATTGTTCAGAAACGTCGAGAGCTGAAGCAGGCAGGCATCAACTCCAAGTTCCGCACCAAGAAGAAGTTTGCTACGCAAATGGATTACAATAACGATGTTGCATTTGCCAGGGAGCCGGAAGAGGGCAGGTTTGATACCAGCGAGGAGAAATTGCAAAATCTCAGAGCACGACACGAATTTGATGACAAAGCAGAGCGCAACCAAGCTCCAAATCTGGAGCACGACAAACTAGATAAGAAGCGACGGAGACAGGCCAAAGAGGCTCGCACGACATTTCAAGGAGCAGCTCAGAGTTACGACGACGACCTTGAGTTTAAGAAGAGGAAACTGGAGCTCAGTGCACCAGAGGAGGACCAACAAGTTGTGGATATTGACGCGAAGATCAAGGATGCAACCAAGGATCTAAATCGTGCAACGCATGAAAAGTCTATTTTATTTACCAAAGCTGACGAGGAGCAAGAGGAGGAAAGCGATCCATTGGAGCCAAAAGAATCGCTGAGTAGCAAGCTGGCCAAGCTCCCTGCCCCGCTGAATGACTTTGAGATTGTGGACAGCGACAGCGAGCAGGAGGAGCCGGCGCCACAGCCGGAACCCAAAATAGAAACTGTGCCGGTGCGGGATGTTCCTAATGCGGAAACAGCTAATAAAATCTCCGATTTGAAGCTCCCTGCTCCTGATCGCAAAAGCTTGTTGGAATTGGCCAAACAGTCATCCGGGGTGGACAGACTGGTTCTGGAGGAGATGGTCCGTCTTGTGGAAGGCGAGGTGTCTGGAGTGGAAACCCCAGAAATTGTGGAAGCAGCTATAGAAGCTGAATTATCAGCGCTCGATTACAATAAGTACGTTGCAGCGGTGGAAAACAGTTCTGCCACAGACAATGCAGAGCAGCTACTAAAGAACATCAGACAAGTTTCGGAACAGTCAGGTCAGCTGGAGAAAAAGTTTGCGGCCTTAACTAACGGTTATCTCCGCAACCAGGCTGCCCTCTGCAAAGACATAGCCAACAAGTACGGGGTGCTCAGTGACTTGGACAGAGAGTGTGTTGTGTACGAGCAGGTGAAGGGGCTTGAGGAGCGTGCAATCGAATATAGATCCTCAAGCTTGCAAGAATCAATAGACAGAATGACCGTTGCCATTGGCGACGCCCAGCAACGTTTACGTAACAGAGCATAATAGAAACTTTTTTTTTCGTAGAATTGCCGACGTTTCTCGCACGACACAATTAAAATTTCCCGCGAAATATTCTTCCAGAACGGCACTACGAGTGCAGACCCGCTGGGAAATGCCGTTTTTGGACATTAAAACGGTCATCCCATGCTCCCTTAAATACATTAAATATAAATAAGGAGAACATAATTCGCCCAGCCTTTAACTCAAGATGGTTGCGCTGTTATCTCCATATAGTCAGGACTCGTACACGAGTCCTCTTCTCTGCTCAACGCCATCCTTGCAATGTCTTCTGCTCAGCAAGCAGGCCACTAGTTTCCGGTCCCACCGGTCTCCCAGTTCTCTGGACTCGCTCTCTTCCAACACCACCAATAGCACCTCCAGCACTTCCACCAGCAATGACTCGCTGGAAGAGTTTTCCACTGACGAGTGGCAACTGGACTCAGACACAGAGTATGACATGAACAGTTCTATATCACTCAAGTCCAGCTGCGTGCGCAGCGAGTGCCACGAGCACCCTCTGGAGGAGGACGATGGGGGCATTGTGAATCTGAAAATGCCTGCCAGACAGCCCATCCTGCCTCCGCAGCCTTCCAAAACCACCAAACTGCTCAAAGCAATAAAAAGTTTCAGGAGGTTGCCTAGCACCTCGGGGCTCCTCCAGTTTAACGAACGAATGACAGACGACATATTGCCAAAAACCAAAGCTCCAGAGCCAGTGTCGATCCCTTTGCAAACCTTCAGTGTTGAATCGCGCTTGATGAAAACACAAAAATCATATACCCCCGCCTCGCCAATTCGTGCCCGCGAGCCACGGATCAACTCTAATTTCCTTAGGGTCTATGCCCTGGATTACTGCTGCAAGAATGCTGGATATCTGCAGCTCTCCGACTACGAGATCGATCTTTACTACCAAGAGTACTACGAGTCTGGCATGGAATCCTTCGACGAATACCTAGACGAGGCAGGATACGAGCTGAGCCCTGTGCTGCGTCAGCGGCTCAAACTGGGTGTGCTCGCAAAACAAAAGCTGTGGAATGGCGTCATCCTGCCTCCGCGCAACGACCCGATCTGCCATGTACGCGAAAAATACGTCTCGTGCGATAAACGAGCAAACGCCTTAGTGCGCACGTCTGGCAAGTTTGTGCCCTGGCTCAACTTGCAAGACTTCGATTCGAACAACAAAAAATGTGTGCGCCCGAACGGCCACACTGCCAATCTGACTCAGTTCACCGTCAAGGGATGGTGCAACGAGAGATGGCTCGCTAAGACCTCCTAATTTGCATCACGTATTACATAATGCCTTGGAATATATTGCTTATTTTATTCTTTCAACTTTGTCCAGTGTGCCATGTTTAGAGTATTTCGTCGTTGTCATTCGACGCTCGGCTTTGTGTTTGACATCGACGGCGTGCTTCTCAAGGGCCAGAATGCCATCCCTGCGGCAACAGATACCCTCAACACGTTGCAGGCCCAAAAGATACCCTTTATCTTACTCACCAACGGGGGCGGCGTGTTGGAGTCGGCCAGGTGTGAATTTATCTCGCAGAAGCTGAAACTGCGCTCGCCCCTGCTGTCGCGGCAAATTGTGCAGTCCCACACGCCGCTGCGCACTCTCGTCAACAAGCACCGCCGGGTCCTGGTGGTGGGTGGTCCAGCCGACTCGGCCCGAGGGGTCGCCCAGGAATATGGGTTCCGCGAGGTGCTAAGGCCCATCGACCTGATCAGAGCCAATCCGAAAATCTGGCCGTTCCACAAATATACCAAGCAGGAGATCGACGAGTGGTCGTTAGAGCCAGAAATCAGCAAGGTGGATGTCAATGGAGAGAACGAGCCAATCGACTCCATTATGGTCTTTAACGACCCGCGCGACATGGGCTCTGATTTCCAGATCATCATGGACTTGTTGAATTCAGAGGGTGGGCTGTTGGGGACACGGCGGACTTACTCGTCGTCCACGCCGTCGGTGCCTATCATTTTCTCCAACAATGACCTGCTGTGGGCCACCGATTTTAAGCTGCCCCGGTTCGGCCAGGGAGCTTTCAAAATCATGATCCAAGCATTGTACCAGCATACAAATAACGGCCAGCAGTTGCAACAGCTCACTTTGGGAAAACCGTACAAGGTGACATACCAGTATGCTCATCATGTACTGATAGACTACTATGAGAATCTCCAGAACGCGGATTTCGAAAGGCCTCCTTGCCTGCCACAGTTGAACGTCGCACCAGCAAAATCACCTTTCGACAGGGTATTCATGGTTGGAGACAACCCGGAATCAGACATCCTGGGAGGCAACTCGTACAACTGGGACACTATTCTGGTGAGGACGGGCGTTTACAAAGACGGGGATTTTGAGCAAAACCCAAAACTGGCAAAACCAACTTTCGGAACCTTCGATAACGTCCGGGATGGTGTGTTCGCTGCCCTAGAAAAATACGCATGATATCAAATACATTAACTCATCTAATTAAGCGGGCTCGGCCTCTATGATCTAGACCTTGGATGCGACAGTCTGTTCGCTTTGAAGCTTCAAAGCGTTTCTCTCGTAGCTCTTCTCCTTGCAGCTTTGGAGACCTTTGCACTTGTGACTCTCTAGCAATCTGTGCTTGGAGCAGAACTTTCCGTTGCAAAAAGAGCAGTCGCCCACCATCCGCAGCGGCGCAGAGTTGCACGATTCAAAGCTGCACTTGTTGCTCTTCTTGCTGGACTTTCTTCTCACCTTGGTCTTGGGCTGCTCGACAACAGTTGACTCATCATCGGACAGAGCAGATGACGACTCGTCGATGCAAGTCAGATACACAGTGGAATTCGAGTTCTGTGTGATTCCATAGGACTCCAACGACTTGGAAAGCTCCATCTTCTTTCCGGAATACCAGACCTTGACTTTCGATTTGTTAACCCCAGAATCTGGAGGTAGGGCCACCACGGCAGCCACCTTGAGGTCCCCCACAGTGGAATTATCCGGAACGGTGACCTGGAACGCTTGGTCGTTGGACGATTTGACAGTAACCTTCATTTGCTAACACACTAATGGGAAAGAAATTGTTGTATGAACATAGGTTCTAAATATTTTGCCACCCTTTCTTTTTTAAAAACATAGCCACTAATAGTGGCGCATCTGCTGCCGGGATCTGACTCAGAGGGTGTGATAAGAAGAACATAATTTTTTGGCCCTCCGCTTTCCGGTGTACGGGTGCGCTTACCAATTTTCTGGCCCCTCGTTAAAATCAATTTTGGAAAATTTTAATAGCAACTGCGACATGTCTGGATTCCAAAGAACAGAGGAAAAGCAAGAGTCCTTCACTTCTACGCCGACGTTCAAGATCCTACTAAATGCAGGAATCTTCATTGTAAGTATCTTCTTCTCATATTCTCGCTAACTCGCAGGCCGGCGTCGCACTTATACAATCGCCCGTCATGGACATGTTGGTCCCTCAGTTCTAACGGAGGGCCCGGAGCGATTTATCTGTGAATAGTCATGCACAATGCAACAAATAGATGGTCTGAATGGCGTGTATGTTGTGTAACTTTAAAAGGATGTCTAATCTTCTTGCAAGTCCGTAGTCCGAAAGCCACACCGTGCGCTAGCCCGCAGAGCTCAGATAGCACATGAAGCAAAGAGTTTACAAAACTTTGGTCGTCAATACCACCTTTCCAGCGTGTTATAGTACATAGAATCTGTACACGGTGCACTTCGTTGTGCGTCAGCAACGGGCTTTATCTGGAGGAAAAGACAACAAACAAAGCGTGCAAAATACCTGGGAACCAAGCAAAGCAACACAGGACAATGTTAATGAGCAACTGCATGCCCACGCCCCTCTCCAAGAACACAGCAAGCGGAGGAAGCAAGATAGCTGAGATTAGACGCGATTGCTAAATGTCACTTACCCAAAATGATGGCAACGATCTTAGAAGAATCCATTTTCTATCGAAATCGAAATGATATAGTTCTATTCGTTGTTAAAGAGAGAATTAAATTTAAAAACCTGCTAAGAATACCGCAACGTTCTAATAATCCAAAATATTTCCCAAGACGGGAAAAAAACAATCCCTATTGGGCGGAAATGGGGATGTCATAAGATTAAACTTTTCACCACAAATGCGTCTATTTGGGCAGTTTGTCTTCTCCTAATACGCCGATTATGTCGTGTAATGACGTTCGCACATGAGTCTCATGGTATCCTTCCTCGATGAGGTATTTTTGGCCCTCGTCGAGCTTACATAAAACCTCGCAGGAGTATCCGGTCACCAGCAATCCTGGAGGCCGGCTTTCCACAGCCTTCAAAACATCGATCAAATCTCCCAATCTGGTGCGGATCAGACGCTGGTCTGGACACGAGGCTCTTTCCACCACACACACGGGCAGATCTGTGGGCCATTTTCTGTCATATAGCAACGGCAGAATATCGACCATCTTTCCCAGCGACATCAAAAACACCACTGTTCTGTTCGACTGGAAAGCCGGCAAATCGGGCAACTTCCCCTTTTTCCCCGTGCCTGTACAAACCAAAACCTGGTCGGAGACGTCTCTGTGGGTAGTAGGCACGGTGGCAACAACCGGTGCTACCAGCGCCGACGTGAGGCCCGGCATCACAACAGGCTTATAGCCGTGCGAAGCAAAGAAATTGTACTCCTCGCCGCCGCGACCGAAAATGTACGGATCTCCCTGTTTGAGACGGACAATGTGTTTTCCCCGTTGGAGGTTTTCGATCCCGATGTTGAGCAGCTCCTGCTGTGCGTTTTCGGCATTGCCGGGGAATTTTCTGGCGATGAAAATCTCCGTTTTCTTAGGAATAATGTCTATGATCTGCTGCGGCACCAGCTTGTCGGCCAGGATAAGATCTGCATTGTAGATCTCGTGCAAGGCGCCCACCGTCAGCATCGACAGCGATCCCGGTCCCGATCCGACCAGAGAAATGCGGCCCTTTTTAGTATCGTCCTGTCGTTCCACCACAGGCATATTTGCGTAAGCATCGGTCAGATCAGCAATGGATATGTCTGCGAGCTTGCTGAGGGGATAGTACTCAATTATCTGCGAAAGCCATCTAGGTCTTTTGGCATCCTTGACGTCATCCAGAATATCCTCATCCTCGCTGTCAATGAATTGGATCCTGCGCTTCAAATTGCCGATGTTGGTAACGATCCGGTCCAAGTTTTCAGGCAGCTTCTGAACAATCTCTCTTTTTAGCCGGTTCGCCAGCTTGCAGCTCTGGTGCGTGGTTGTCACTCCTAGCTGGAAATCGCCCTTCTTGTATGTAGATAACATTGTGAACGACGAAAGTTCAGACGAGTTGATGGTGTTGATCGGAATTCTCAATTTCTTGCACCGCTCAAAGAGTTGCCGCTTGATTGGGTGGTCGCTCTTCATCGTGACAAAAACCCGGTCGACAACGTTATCGACTTCGCAGCGACCAAACGTCTCCAGATCCCGAACCTCGACCTTCTTCTGCACAACTTCAAGCTCCTGCTGGTTGAAGAGCGCATTGTTCAAAGCCTGCACTGCCAAGTTCTCGTTGACGAGGATCGGCTTGGCCCCAGACGCGATGATGTTGGTGATGCGGCTGATGACCACGCGCGACAGATTTTCTGAGTCGTCGATGATCAGGTGGTGCTCGCCAGAGCATTCGTGAGCACACAGAAACTTCATTTCTTGCAAGGAGAACGTTTAGGGGATTGATTTTTTTTTTTATACAATTTGCACGTGTCACGTGACCATATCAGCGGAGAATAATGAGACGGGGAATGAAATGTGCGTTGATAGGTGCTGGCGGAGGATAATCTGTGGGCATGGAGCAATGGCGAGGATGATAGGATGGCAAAGCCAGCTTTGTAGGTTGTGTCCATAGTGTTGATGTTCATATTGAGAAACTGTGACGCACATCTCTACATCTTCTCCTGATTTATTTATTTATGTCAAATTTTTATTTTTCAAACTATGGCTCCTAAAAGACCGTTGGGCTTTGGAAAAAGCTCCAAGGCGAAGAAGAGCAAGAATGAACCAGAGCCCGAGGAGGCTCCAGTGACCAACGAGCTAACTGTGGAGCTTCCGCAAGAGGTGGATGCTGACGATCCTCTGCGCCAACTCGAAGGATTATGGCTTACGTGGATAAGATCAGATAAAGACAATGAGTTGATCTTGAACGGCATAGTTCACGAATGTGACCGTCTGCTGAGGAACTGTAAACAGAACGGTGGGAACGAGGACATTGAACTGACTCCCTTGTTTTATGCCATTTACGGCAGGTCTCTAGCCGGTCTGGCCCAGTTCAACGTAGAAGAGAGCGAAACTAGCGTTACCGAGTACTTTGATAATGCCATTGAGCGGATCGAGGATGGTATGGACAAATTTCCCGGAGAGGAGGTGCTTTTATTTGCCAAAGCGCAAATCATCATGGATAGAATACCTTTGGAGTATATTTCACAGATGGACATGGAATCAACCAAGACGAAGTTCCCAGATATAGTTGAGATGCTGGACGAGGCCACAAAATTGCTTGAGTTGGGCACGAAGACGGCGGAGTCGAAACAAAATTACAGCATTTTCAATGGTAGCACAGTGCTAGATATATTAGACTCGCTTGACGACTTGCTCGATATTGTGGACAACTTTGGCCGCAGCTACGAAGAAGGCCTGGATAGCGACGCGGAGGAGTCAGACGAGGAGGACATTTTGCCCGAAACTCAGTTACCCTCATCGCATCCGTTGTACGAAATTAGGAACACGGACAAATACGACAATATCTGGCGTGAGGCCATGCAGGAAAGCCTCAGTCTTTTGGACAAGAACGAGAAGCCCGACGCGGCCATTAGACGCAAACTTGTGAAAAAGCTTGGACAGTCCTACTTGATGGAAGCAGAGGAGCCTATATCCATATTTACGACGCTGGAATATGACTCCGACGCCGAGGAGCAGGAAATCAACGGACTTTCGGCAACTGCCGCCAAGGGCGTGGCACAGAAGCTGGTTCGCACGGCTATAGAGTATCTGGAAGGGGCCTGGGATGAGGAGGACCCGCAAACCTGGGTAGATCTTGCGGAAGCAGAGATCTCAATGGGTAACCTCTTCGAAGTTGGTGGAAGCGACCAGGAGGAGTGGTACGCACGTGCAGAAAACAAGCTCGTGCGGGCCAACAATGCCACGCACGGAAAGTACGAGGAGGTGCTGGAAAACCTGAGAGGTAAATAATTCACCAGCTGGAATGTAAGTGAAGCAAAAAACATAAGTAGGGTGCACGACATTTATTGTAGGAATGTAATATGGACTAGCGTTAAGGTTTGGGGCATGAGTGCCATTTTGGCATGCTTAACAGCAAGCGTCGTTTCAGGTTAGTGCCTAACACTGATTAATAGTGAAATTGTGCGGAAACAGCCCAATTAGTCCGGGCAGAACGCGTCGATGTTTATACACTTCTGTATTGGGCAAAAGTAAATATTTTCGCCAATGGAATCAGCTTACCCGATGCAGAAACCGACAAGATTGAATATGGAAACAGACTAAGATGGAACAATAAATGAAACATTGAGGTGCAGATCAAGAAGGTTGCAACAATCGCATTTCAAGGATTATTGAGCAATATAGCTGTAACCCAAGCATGGAAAATTATGGTACCTATTGTCAAGGAAGCAAACCGGAAAACTAAGCCAAAATTATCTTCAAGGCGCTTTCATATTTCTAATACGATACATCGATTTTTACATGCTCTCTGACCTTCCATACCATCTACATTAATCTATCTTGCAAAAGCACTGTCATGAACATGGACATGGAGGTTGACTCTCCCAATTACAACCAGTCGGATACTAGCGCAGAGGCCCAGCTCCAGGACTCTCCGTTGCTAAATGCGTCTGTCAGATCCCGGCCTCTGCGGCCTGCAACCCACCAGCGCACGAACTCGCTCAAGAGACCACTCACGATGTCGCCCAAAGTGGACTCCCCCACTTGCTCTGTGCTGGCGGCTGACTTCTCATCCAATTTCCATGTCAATCCCGGCCATCTCGCCAATCCTAAGAAGATTCTTCTACCAAGCATGATGGGGGAGGAGAACAAGGAGAATGCGAAAAAAGTGCTCTACCGCAAGGGGAAAAGACTGCCGGCGTTCAAGTCCGACTCCCTCGCGTCCTCATTCTACCACCACCGCTCGAACTCGTCTTCGTCGCTAGTCGTTGGCTCCCAGTCGTCCATCTTCCATAACCGTTCAAAGTCTCAGGTGGACACCTCTACACCGATCGCTATACCTCCGCCTACGCAGGTGTCTCCAGAAACACAGTCTATCATCGGAAACAGCAGGCTCAAGAAGAGCTTTTCGCTCATCAACCCCCAATACCATAGCTTCAACCCGACGGAATCGTCCTCGTCGAGCGAATACGAAGAGTCCGATCGCGAGGATGAGTTCGGCCGCAGCGAGATCGGGTCTCCGTTGCAGCAAAAGAACAGGTCGCACAGCAGATCGCGCATAGAGCTCAATTGTGACATCAAAAACAGGCTCCAGCGCGCCACATCGATGATCCAGCCTTCTGGGCCGGCTCCTAAACCCAAACTTTTCAAACTGTCCACGTCCAGTTTCGATGGAGACACGGGCGCTCTTTCTGCCGGGACCAACCAACTGACTAACACAATCCACGAGCTGAACTTTGGCACAGATGGGTTTCCACTCGAAAGCAGGCGTATTGACAATTTGCATCTGGACGAGTCTCTGTTCGATTTTGGTCCAGGAAATTCGGTTCTGTCCAAAAGTCCGGTTTCGACCTTTTTCGTGGACAACTGCGCGCTTCCGCGCATCAATGTTGACCAGTTCCACGAGATCCTGGTGAGTTTCAAAGAAGAAGACAAGCAGACGGGGAAAAACAAGTATCGAGAGTACTTTGACGAGCTCATGGTTGTGGACTGTCGATTTGAGTACGAATTCAAAGGAGGCCACATCGACTGCGCGCTGAACGTGTCGTCGAAAAAAGAGCTGGAGGAGCTCTTGCTGGGCCAATCGGTGATCAAAAAGACCCCGATGGAGCATACAGCCGAATGTCGCAAGCTGCTAATTTTCCACTGTGAGTTTTCTTCGCACAGAGGCCCGCTCATGGCCAACTTGCTCCGAACTTGGGACAGGTACCTGAACAAGGAGTACTATCCGCATCTCTACTATCCGGACATTGTCATCCTGGAAGGCGGCTACAAGAAATTCTTTGAGAAATTCAATGGAGTGCACTGCTATCCGCTAAATTATATTGAGATGCACGATCCTCAGTTCAAAGACGAATGCGAAAATGGACTGTACAAGCTGCGCAAAGACTCGAAGCTCAGCCTCAACCGCAAGTCCTCGTTCCAGGACAGGCCAGGCTCACTGTCGTTGCGCAAGAGCTACACGTCGACGTCCGTGCTGAGCTTTGCCGAGTCGACCAAGAGCAGCACCAGCATCTTCAGTTTTTCCGAGTCCAAGACAGAAATCAGCGAGCTGGGCGGCGACGGGGAGCTCGGTGGTTTTGGCAGCAGCATTGATCTCGACGACTTGTGCGATGAGTCGCCAATTTCGAAAAAAACCACCATGCTGAAAACGTCTCCTGTCTCCAAGCCCAAATACGAGGAATTCAGAAAACCACAGAGCCCGCAGAAACTGTTCAAGCTGCCCAACCTGCCGCATCGCAAGACCCTGCATTTCCGGTCCAAAACAGTGGGCTCGCTCACTTCTACGCCCCCTCATTTCCCCCATTTCTCCGACCTGACGCGACGGTTCGAAAAGCACGTCGACACGCCGATCATCAAGAAATAGACATTGCATAACGGAATGTATCCGACTTATTCTTTGTAGCTGTGGCGGAGCTTGGCCTCCCGGCATTCTCTTCCTCCCAGCGGAATGGGGCCAAACCTGTCCAACGGCCAGATTAAATATGTCGCTTTGCCTATCACGAGCCCCGTGCTCACGGGCCCGTATGTGTTCGAATCTATCGAGTGCACGTTGTCACCCTCGACCCAAATATGGTTCACCGGCACCAGCACGCGCGACCGTGTGTCGGGGTACCGCGGTACCACCAGATCTCCCTGCTTGGCCTTTATTCGCTTTGTGTAGATTTTTTCAGGGTCTATGGGCGACCGTAGAAAAACAACGTCGTCAACCTCCAGATTATTGATGTTTGTGACCCCCCACTTCCACAAGAGCACGTGGTTTCGAGTATTGGGCGATTCTGGTGGGTTGAAGGTGGGCTTCATTGACATTCCCTCGATCTTTCCTATATAAGCGACATGTTCTGTCACCACGTAGACCACGGGAACCCAGGACAGAAAAGTCAGACACATCCTTAGCGAGTACTTTGCAAGCGGCATGTGCTGTTTGAATGCCGACATTGTAGAACCGTTGGTGACACTCCCGGCACCACAAGAACAAAATAAATATTATTTTTCGCTGGAAAAATCCCTAATTAAGATCATTACTAATATGCCAACTGCCGTGGAAAACGAATTTGAGGTAAGTTAACACCCCATCAAAGCGCCAATGCTAACAACAGGCTGTCTATGCCGTCCCGTTGCACTGCGAATCCTGTGTGAAGTCCGTGACCGAGGCCCTGAAGCCCGTTCACGGCATCTCCAAGCTGGACGTGGACTTGGAAGCCCAAAAAATCACCGTCAAGGGCCATGCTGCGCCTTCCAAAATCATTGAAGCAATCCAGAAGACTGGAAAGGACGCCATTATCCGCGGGACCGGCAAGCCAAACTCTGCCGCCGTCGCCATCCTAGAGTCGTTTGATGAAGCCGATAAGCAGGCCCCTGTCAAGGGCCTTGCCCGTATGGTGGCCACCAGCCCAGACGAAATGTATGTTGATCTTACGCTTAGTGGCGTAAAGAAAGGGACGTATTATCCAAGTATTCGAGAGAGCGGTAACATTTTCAAGGGAGCCCTGACAACAGGAAAATCGATATACGACTTCCCGCCTATCGAGGCAAAAACCAGGGACGGTGAGCTTTACAAGTGTCAAGAATTTGTCAAGGTGCCTTTGGGAATCTCGGGACTGATTGGCCGCTCGCTTGTTGTTTCGCATGAGCCAAAGAACGTCTTTTGGGAGAGCCTGTGCGGAGTCATCGCGCGCAGCGCAGGTGCTTGGGAAAATGACAAATATGTGTGCTCCTGCACTGGCAAGACGATCTGGCAGGAACGCGTTGACGCTGTGGGTCGCGGAATCTCGAATTAACGTAGGAATGAATGATTTACTTAGTATAGAAACGCATATTACACTGTCACGCTGTCGTCAATAAGGTCATCCTCCGTTAATTCGTCCATCAGCTCTTTCTCGTTGGCGGCCCTGTTTTTTGGGTTATTGGAGCTTGCTTTTTTCGCCTCGAGCTCGTTCAGCATGTCGTCGTAGTCCGCGCTGTAGTCGTCATCCAGTGGTCTTTTCGCACTGCCTTTTTTTACGACGTCATTATCCTTCACCAGTTTCATTTCTGGAGCCTCAGCAAGATCCAATTCGTAGTCCTTGTCCCGTTCCTGTTCTGGAATACACTGCAAGATCACGAGAGAAAATAGGATGAAAAATATTATGTAGCCGATTAGCTTTCTTTGTGGAGTAGTGAAGTAGTTGCGTGGGAGCATATCGACACCATGACGCTTCGGCGTCATTGAATAAGGGCGCGGAAGATCATATTTTTTGCCGTACCCTTGCATTGCTGAGAAGCTGAGAATATTAGACAGAAAAACGATAGGTTATGGAGCCCTCCATATAAAAGACAAATTACACCTGATAAATTTTCACTCGTATTTTATCCTGCTCTCTACATTTGGACGCTTCATCTATAAGGATACAGATCAACTGTCCAAAGCAACTCTACATGATGAATATTTTTGAAATGGGAATCTCTCTGACCTCGTTAAACAAACAATGGAGATAAAACATATATTTCGTTTCTGACTAGAGCTGCTGGGACAGGTCGATCTAATCCTCCTTTCTCGCCGAGGTCGCAGGACTTGTGTTTCCGCTCTCGTCGGCCTTGTTTTGATATGCCTCGTGAAGCCCCTTTATCTGTTTTTTCAGGTTCTCCACATCAATTTCTTTCTTCTTCAAAACTTGCTTTAGTTCCTCGTATTCCACAGTGGAAACACCTTTTTTTCCCCCTTTGCCAACAGCCGTGGCTTGAATCAGCTTTTCCTTATTTTTGACCATGCTCTTTAGAAGAATGATGTTAAAGTAGATAGCAATGCCTAGGAAAAGAGTACCAGCGGTCAAGTACATGTTGCGTTGAGAGTAGAATTTGCGCACCCGCACCTCGCTCCAGGTAGCACCAGCAATCATTGTAGGCACTGGTGGAACATTCCCGGAGGCTGGCATGCCTGGATGATACTCTTTGGGTATTTTTGGAACGGCGGTTCTGAGAGCATCCATGAACATCATGCCAAGCACTGATGCCCCAAATACCAATCCTACCTTGACATTGGGATTTTGTAGTAACTTATAAGCCAGGTTGACAAAACCGTCTTGGACCTTGTGGGGCAAAGGCATAACCAGAATCGTCATTAACGTCATTTCAGTGACCAATAGGCCAAACACAATCATCATCTGCAATGACATGTTGAATATCTAAGTGGTGAAGGCTGTCAAATATGTGAGATTGAGGCTGAAATGAATTGAAACGACACAAAATCAAAGCCTGATCTAGCAATACAAGAAATAACACTCGCACCTCTACACCAAATTTTATCTAAAGCTTTTTATTTTATCTTCATTCAACTTATTTCAAAAATGAACGCTGAACAAAACAGGTTCGAACAGAGCACTTCTGTCCATTCCTGAGCTTTCAGAAACGGTAAGAAAAGCAAAAAGAATTTTGCGAGACAATGTCTCATTTTTTAGCAAGCTGTTGCAGCGCAGTAATTGTAAATCTCCTGATGCTGAGCTTGTTGTTGGGGTGGAGGCATATGTTGCGACGCATAGAATCCACTTGCAGCGGTAGAACCGCTATAGCAAACACCAGTACTCATCAGTGGAGGCACCATCTGCTGCTGATGATAGCTCAAAGGATAATAGCGTTGAGTAGCAGCCATCAACATTCCAGGCTGTTTATAAGCGGCTCTAGAAGTAGGTTGCGGCTGGAATGAGAAATAGTCACCTGCCGCAGGAATGGGAGCGCTAAACAACGAGTTGTTGTATTGTAATTGATAAGGATTTTCAAACACTTGCTGTTGTTGCACAGGTTGTTGATAATCGTTATAGTAAGGAGAAGAGTTCAAAGGCGTACTCATTGGAGAGAACTGCGAATTTGAAGAGAACAAAGAACTTGACGGAGATTTGTACTCGTAAGGGGTACCAGCATGGTACGAGGATGGGGCGTCCATTACTGATGGTGACATAAATGGATCACTGTAAGGGCTTTGAACTGGCGTAGCCTGGAACTTGTTGCACCAGGTCTTCCAGCATTCCTCGATACAAGAAAATCCATCCTCGTAATGCAATCTCCATTTGATAGAGCTGAGCCAATCTCTCTCTAGTTTGTTGATACATTCCAAAGAGAGACCAGTAGCGTCGGACCATGACTTGTTCCGGAAAGTATTGTCATCATTGAATTTATTGGCCAGAACCAAAGAAATTGTGAGGTTTTCAAACACTTCGGAATCCATGGTGATCGGGTCTTCTCTGCCCTCCATCCTTTCCGACAGATAAAGCAAAGCAAGAACAATTGTAGACTTCGGCAACCTAGTAGCAGACAAAACAGATTTCACATTGTTATGGAACAACGGAGTAGGATTATCAGTTCTTTTCATCAAACCATAACTTAGCCAACAAACAAATTTGACCATTTGATCAAGTTCGTAGTCCAAAACAGACGACACTCCACCGGTTGCATTTGAAACAGACTGATCTTGAACGGGAGGAGGCATCTGATATAGTTGTTGTTGGAAATATTCAGTTGGCGGGGCATAATATCCAGCCATGCTGTAACCTCCGGAATAGGACATAGAATGTTGGTGGCGATACTGTTGCTGCGGCACAGAAGTGTTCATTAAATACTGTTGACCTTGCGGTTGAAATGACGCATGGCGCTGGTGATATTGCGGTAACACTCCCGTGTACGATTGTTGAAGGTAATTTTTTCCCGATGCAAACATTTTTGAAAAGGGACAAGACGATGACTTAATTAAAAGGTCGTCCTGACAAGCGGATAGTCCAAACAAGTATGATTCAAAAGAATCAAGGATAAATTAACTTGAGAGTAACTTAATATCTCAAGAATTTATTCTGAATTTGAGGTTTTCTTGTTTGAGAAATCCTTGTTTTTTGTGATCTGTTCGTTGTTGACGCTGGTAAAACAAAAGGAGCGGCGAACTGATGTTCAAAATTAGACTCCCTTGCGGTCTCCAACTGGTAAAATGATCACTTAAAGGTTTGGGTTTGCTGTAATGAGAACAAGTAAACCTTTTGCCCACAAAATTTTTTTACTGGCTGACTCTTTTCCTTTTATAAGTTAGAAAAACTTTTCCTGTGCAAACCGCATGCAGGCGGTATTAGCAGAAAACCGACTAGGCGCAAAATTTTTTCTGCGATAGCAACAGCCCCCTTAGCAATTCAGATAGTGATGTGTCAGCATCGTGCCGCCCAATTGAGCGCGCAATATGATCGGTAGTGTGTGGCATTCAATTTGCCCATCTACCTTTGTACACGAGATTTGTTCACCGCATAATCCTTGCACCAGATATTTCATTAAATTATCCCTATAAAACACATTAACCACCGAAACCGTACAAGGTTCTACCCTGTCTCTTCAAAGCGTAAACCACGTCCAGAGATGTGACGGTCTTTCTCTTGGCGTGCTCAGTGTAGGTAACAGCATCTCTAATCACGTTTTCAAGGAACGATTTGAGCACAGCTCTCACTTCTTCATAAATCAAAGCGGAGATTCTCTTGACACCACCTCTTCTGGCAAGTCTTCTGATGGCTGGCTTAGTGATACCTTGGATGTTATCTCTTAGAATCTTTCTGTGTCTCTTAGCGCCACCTTTTCCTAGACCTTTTCCTCCTTTTCCTCTGCCGGACATTTTGTAATAATAGATTTGAGTAGTTTGCCACAGAAGGATATGAGTATATTTATATACAGTGAGCAGGATATGAGGAAACCACAAAAGACCGAAAAACTAGCCAATCATATTGTATATCTTAGCTGGTCCCAAATTTCCTCACGCGCTGTGTAAAAAATAAACTCATATTTTGCTGCATGTTGCCATTCGGAGGCTGATCATCTCAGTTTTGGCACAAAAACTATACGCCAGCTCGCTCGCGAAGCGAAAAAAAATTAGGACACTAGTTTACGCACTTGAATGAGTAAACGTGTGTATGCACATCAGCGTAAAAACATGTCCGCCGGCGTGGACGATAATTTCTTATAAATACGTGCGCATCCGCACTCACCACGTTAAGTCAGTTTTTAAACGCATTTAATTTAAAATGGCCAGAACTAAACAAACAGCAAGAAAGTCCACTGGTGGAAAGGCCCCAAGAAAGCAACTTGCTTCCAAGGCTGCAAGAAAGTCCGCCCCAGCTACTGGTGGTGTCAAGAAGCCACACAGATATAAGCCAGGTACTGTTGCCCTGAGAGAAATCAGAAGATTCCAAAAATCTACTGAATTGCTTATCAGAAAATTGCCATTCCAAAGATTGGTCAGAGAAATTGCACAGGACTTCAAGACCGACTTGAGATTCCAGTCTTCTGCTATTGGTGCTCTGCAAGAGTCTGTTGAGGCTTACTTGGTCTCCTTGTTCGAGGACACCAACTTGTGCGCCATTCACGCCAAGAGAGTCACCATTCAAAAGAAAGATATCCAACTTGCAAGAAGACTCAGAGGCGAGAGATCTTAAGTATTTTTGTCTGGGTTATAATGTGCGAGGTTTAGGTGTAACATATCGATTGGGTTTATACTTTTAATGATATCTTCGGGTTGAACGTTATTTATGGTTTTGGTTTCTGTACTTTCACTCCTTGCACCAAATGCCAGGTATGTAAATTCGAAAAACACAACAATATATTTTAGTATATAATGGATCCTTTCAGCGACAGCGGCGAACTGTATCACCTTAGACAGCAATTCTATGCTGCCAAGTACAATGATCTGGCAAATACCAACTTGGAGGAACTGATTTTCTCCAATGAGGAGAATAAATATAGAGCATACCAGCTTCAAATTAGATCGCTATTGGCATTAGGAAAATATGACAGTGCAATATCCGAGATAGCTAAGATTTCAGTCGACGAACCACTAGCATCCGAGTTCGAAGCCTTGCAAGCTTACACTGAATTTTTGAAGAATGGAAAGAATAAATCAGAAGACTTGGAAAGCCTCGTCTCTTCCCATAGCGACAACGAAACGATTAACCTGCTTGGCGGACTTTATTACGTGACCTTAGAAGACTTCGATTCCGCAATTTCTTTATTATCTTCTTCGCAAGGGTTTGAGAATATATCATTGCTTGTTTATGTTCATCTGTTGTTGAACAAGACCAAAGAAGCAGCAAAGATCCTATCTAACTTCAGCCAAATTTCCCAGGACAGCGTTGTATTTACGCTCTCTCAGTCGTGGTACGACCTGATCAACTTCGACGAGTCGTTGAAGTCTGCTTATTATTTCTACGATGAGCTTTCCTCCAACGAGAACACCGCTAGCACCAAAAATCTGATTTGCTTGTTCATCTCCAACATGAAACTCTTACATTTTCCAGAGGCACAGGATGTTTTGAACAAGATTGCTGAGCTGGGGGACGAAGGGGTCAAGGAATGGAAGACAGACCTGCTGATCAATAGAATTGCATTCGAGATTCTTCAAGGTAACGAGTACACGGAATTGCTTGCCGAGTTAAAGAAGACAAACCCTACTTGCGGTTATCTGGAGGATTTGAAGGAGAAAAACCAGGTATTCGACTCAATTGTCGAAAAATATGCTGTTTAATATAAATGTAATCAAAATGCATTGATCATTATCTATTTAAGAGGCATGGCTTTCTCTTTCCAGCTCCTCATCTGGAATTTCCTCAAGAGTGATCTTTCTTGGTTTCCTAAACTTTTCAGAATCCTTCAGTTTTGGAACTTTGATCTCCAGCATACCTAAATGAAATTTAGCACTGATGGCTTCTTCTTTCACGTCAGGAACTGAAGGGAGCTTGATCACTCGTTCAAACGAGCCAAACCGCTGCTCAGAAACTTTCAGTATCTTGGAATTATCCACCGTGGAGTCGTCAGACAAATACTTGTTTTTCACCTCACCTTTTATGACCAGCTCCGAAGACGTAGGGTGGAATTCAATATCGACAAACTCTTTGGACACACCTGGTAAAGCCAAGGCAATAATGTAATTATCAGGGAAGTCATAAACATTGACAGCGGGGGAAAATGGTAGATTCGTCTTCAACTGCGGTGCAGAGATTTGAAGGGGGTCGATCTTTGGTTCGTTATGTTTAGCGTGCATATTGAGCGTAGTCGAGTTCCTTCTTTTTAGTTTTGGTTCCTTTGGAGAAGCTTGTGAAACTTGTTGCTGTTGTTCTGCGGCCGGTAGTGTGGTTATTTTGCCTGTGGCAGCAGCGGCAGCATCTTTGTTGGTAACTTCATCCCTACCCATTTGCGAGTTCTGTTTGACAACAGGAGGGATATCTCTCCTACTAGGTCTGGCAAGTTTTCTTGTGAAATAAGGGCCAATCAAGTCTTCTAGCCTATACTGAACGCTCTCATCGTCATTGGAACTTTCATCTTCAGCCGCATCCGGGTCCTCTTCATATTCCTCGTATGGGTAATACACCGGCACCTGCGGATATCCTCTTCTGAACCCGGATCCAAATACATATTGAGGCTCTCTGTAGTACGTTGACCTAGTGGGTTGTGGCCTGTAGCCCTGCTCGCTGAGAATATCCCGTAGATATTGTTGAATAATCTGGTCCATGCTCATAAATTGTTGATAGCAATAATAAGGAGATAATTCTCAAGCTTATATTATATTTCCTCCCCCATATTTTCCAGAAAGTGCTAGATAAATTAATTAACACACTAAATAGATTTTGTTCCCATAGATTGGCGAACATGTCCGTCTCAGATGAGCCGATGTCATTCGAGCTCGTTAGCAAGCTCGTCAACAATGGAGAGCTCGATAAACTATCAAGATCGCCAGAAGTTATGGATAAGTACAATGCCCACAAACAGTATCTAAGAGATAAAGGAATAGATATGGTGACATATATTCTTTCGCACGAATTGCATTGGGTCCCCGAAGATACACCTCTGGATACTCCTTCGCGCGAGCTGCTGGATACTGTTGTGAAACCGGAGGGCAAATGCCCATTTGCTAATACGAATGATATGACCATAATTCAAAATTCGTATCCTTATCATTTAGAATCTGGCATTGAACACCTTTGTGTATGGGTGAAATTTCCTCTGCCACCGGACCCCAACTCTGCAATCGGGGACATATCACCCAAGGATAAAAGCTTGATAGAGAAGTACATCAACGAGACGTTTTGCAACTGGCTGAACATACCTAGAGATCACATTGTATGGTTCAAAAATTGGACGAAATTACAAAGCGTGAAGTCTGTCCCCCATATCCACGTAATTATAAAGGACATGGATAGACAGGCACTGGATAGAGTATTGAACACGGGCGGGAAGGCTATAAACTATGGAAGCTCTGACTGTAAACTATAATGGTGCATCGGGAAATATTTAATAAAACGGGTTCTCATCCATTTTCATGGCCTTTTTCTGTAAAATATCCAACCTGTCTCCCTTTCTGATCACAAAGTTCTTTTCATGCTGGATAACATACATGCCAAAACAGCTCTTAAAAGGATTCGCCTCGTCCACACGTCTATATTTTGACATCGTCTTGCTAATGGTGCCTTTTTTGTCCATGGTTCCGCTAGAAATATCAATGTTCGGAATTGTACATCTGATGCACTTCAATGCGCCAGTAAAACCAATGCGCGAGTTGTTGCCCACGATATCAAACTTGTGATAGAAGTCCTCTGCAAAAGGCTTGTCGACATCTCTAATAATCAAGTTGGGACGGAACGCTGCCATCTGCAAGTATTTTCCAGTCTCCCCGGCATTTCGTTTCACCTCTTGGTAACTCTCTTGAGAAGTCATCAGCATGGGATAATAATCATGAAATAGTGTATTTCTGTCAACGTTTTTTGGTGCTCCCACCTTGCAGGCTTTGCCGTTGGGAGAATAAACCAATACTGCGTCACTGGGTAATCCCATACTGGTGATAAATTCCGAAGTCAGAGCTCTATCCAAGACATAGCCCTGTAACGTGGCCAGCCACAAACTGATCGGCTTAAGTTTGGTGCCAAAGGAGCTGTGCTGTTCCACATAGTCGTCTGTCACATCCATTGGAAGATAAAACACAGCCTTACTATTTGTAGCTGTGCTATCGTATTCGAACTTGAACTTCCCGTTGTCAAGCGAAACGCGGACCGACGAAAGCTTAGGGATGTCTTTCAGCAATATTGGCATATAACACTCCTTTTTCGTGTCGTAGTTACATATAACATATTGTCTGTCGTGTTTGAGTCCATAATGATCCACTTCCCACTCGTCCACTTTTAATCCGCTTGATACGGCTTTTATTGGATATATCAAAAGATAATCCACAGTTCCACCATACCTTCCCCGGATATCCATTCCGAGCAAGCACCTGCTATACCAGAGTAGCGCACCGTTCACACGCTGGCAGGTATTATACAGATATCTCAGGGAAGTACGCAACCGGGTTCTCTGATACGACTCCAGATATTGTTCAAGCTGAGAACTAAAACACTCAACTGTCAGGACAGCAGCTATGATGGACAGAAAGATAGTAACCGCAGTAGTAAAGTATGCCATTGCGGTGGAAGACAAAAAGTTAGATAGGAGACCAGGGGATTTTTTTCCCCTGATAAGATCACCATAACGCGATTATCTAAGCGACGATCCCAAGGAAAAAATATTTATGTTTTGTTTATGGGCTTTATAGTACCTGGTGTGATATTGAAACTTGACGTTAAGTCGTCGTCACGACGGCAGAACCGTGGAGTGAAACGAATATTTGTGAATGAGGATAGACAGAAAGAATTCAACTCCGGCTATAAGTGCAAGCGTACGTTGGCTTCGATGATAGTACCTTCAAAAGGCAATGATTGCCAACGAAAGATACAGCAACCACGCAAAACTGAGCATATAACTCACTTACCTACAGAAATACTGCTGGAGATTTTTGTAGAGTCGGAAAACCTTGATAGATTGAAACAGGTGAACCGCCTTTTTCACACACTTATTGAGCAGAATTATGACAATTTGGCATACCAGACTATAAAGCGCAAGTATTACACATCGATACGGACCGCAGAGCGAAAACGATCATTTATCAAACGACGTGTCAGTAATGATATAGACCATGACCATGACAGACACGCTTTACGCACTGAATTAGAACGAGCTAGGGCCCAACTGCCCGACGGGGAACCTACTTCCTATGTATCTGCGTACCAGGTCAACATATTGGACGAGGAATGTTTCAAGAGTACAATCTTGAGATCCAAGATTTTTGACATGCTGTCTCCAGATCTGGTTCTATCTAGCGAGCATATCTTAAGGATACCACAGGAATTGGAGAAGCTCAAAAGAGCTGGCGAAAATGCTCTCAAGTCCAAGCTTATAGAGCTGCACAAAAACACCGCGATCGCCTTTCCGTACTTGGATGGAGACAATGATCACGATATAGATTACATTCACAGCAATTACAAAGACAAACTCATAATGATACGGCATCTGGTAGAGCGCGACACCCCATTCAGCACACCGATCTACCAAATGGTCAACTTAATAATATATTTGAATAATGCCTATAAACGATCTGGCTTTGAAAACGAAATTATAGACACTAAGGTATATCAGCGACTCATTGATCGCAATAGGCCGGCCAAGTCAAAACTCACCGATCCCAGCGTCATTGTCAACTGTTTGAAGTTCAACGAGCACAATCTCCTGAAGTTGATAATCAAGGAGTATGATGTCACCAAATTGGCTTCTGACCTCGAGGTGTGGAATTTTATCCTGGAGTCGAAGAACTATAGCTATTTCCACCAGCTTGAAAAGCTAGGGCTTCAACCGACCTCAGGAGTTATTAAGATCTTCAACTAGTAGTTATACTGCTGCAGCTGCGGCTGCTGCGTGGTTTGTTCAAACACCGGGGAGACACTGGCAGCGTTTCCAGTAAAATCGTTGAACCAGGCGTGCTGGAGAGCTTGACGAGCGCTAAGTCGAAGCTCGGGTCTCATCTGAAGCAATCCTTGCAACAGGTTCAATGCGAGGTTGTCCATATTTGGAATCAGTGTGTGCAGATCTTGAGGGATGAAAACGTTGAAATTGGATCTATAGTTCGGATAATTGGTGACACCTGGCCATGTCCTCTCGTTTGGTGTACCCATGATTCTGAAGATCTTGAGCAATTGGTCCTCGTTCGAGGAGCCAGGGAAGAGAGGTTTACCGGTAAACATTTCTGCCATGATGCACCCTGCGGACCACATATCGATCGACGTGGAGTAACTGCGAGATCCGAGCAACACATCTGGGGCGCGATACCACAGAGTGACAACCTCGTTAGAGAAGGTGTTGACTGGAATGCCATAAGCTCTGGCCAAACCAAAGTCTCCCAACTTCAGTTCGCCCTTGCTGCTGATAAGAAGGTTTTGAGGCTTCAAGTCGCGGTGAAGCACCCTGTTGTCGTGACAAAACATAATTCCTCGGAGCAGCTGGAACATGAAGGACTTGACCACATGCGGCTCCAAAGCACCACTCTTATTGTAACCGTTAGTGTCCATGTATTTTTTCAAATCCTTATCAAGGTATTCAAACACCAAGGTCAGCTTATTTTCCGTGTGTATGACGTCGTATAGGGTGATAATATTCTCGTGTCTCAGTTCTTTCATGATGGAAATCTCTCTTATAGCTGTAGATGGCGTGCCTTCTTCGCTGTCCAGATTGATTTCTTTCAGCGCCACAAACGTGCCCAGCGCACGGTTCCGTCCTTTGAAGACTGTGGCGTATGTGCCCTCTCCTAGTTTCTCCAGCTGTTGAAATTGGGAGGCAGAAGCAGACATATCTAAATTAAGTGCGTACTGTAATTTTCTGGATATGACACCTTTTCGTAAAAAAATCAGCCGACGATCGGCCAGGTCGATCGACGAAATTTTTCACTCTCAGGTATATCGATCTACAATGACTGATTTACAGACTTCTCCCCGGCGCAACACCGAGGCGACGTTGTCTGCACGCGAGATTCCCAATATTCGCGACAATCCATCTGTCCTGGGTCCGGAATGGTGTGGTATTTTCGAAATCCCAGTGACTTTCGAGGCCTCGCACTTCGAGCAGGCCATGAGTAATCTGTTGAAAAATCCTAATATCAACTCTACAGTCATTCTCAGAGCAGATGTGCTAAAGAATTACAAATACACGTACATAGACGGGTCCGAGGAGCCGTTTTTGGACAAATACATTGCAGAAGACCCGGAATCCATTTCCATCGCCAGCGACAACCCGGAGGAGCCAATAAGGTCCCGGTACCTCGACGACATAGAGATCAAAAGTGTGCCTATCACTAAGGAATTTAGGCCGAAAGTGGAGATGGTGAGAAGAATAATACCTCGCAACCCGTCCAAAGATTATGTGATCAACCAAACGTGCCTGATGATGGAAGATAGCGAAGGCTCCATTTTGATAGTTTACACCCCACATATCAGCAAGCCCGAGGAAACTCCGTTTTATCTGCCCCCAGTGCGGTCCATCGGACTGCTTTATTCTCACGGAAACCTCTCGATCCACTATCTTCCGTTTGGATCTCTCGAGGAGCTAAGAACTATGAAGCCTATAGAAAGGCCGATCCGAATCGCATACAGACTGATGAGCACTGCCCAACGGCACTCCGACGGTGTCGTCAAGGGATACGAGAAGCGGGTCAATCACGATCTGATTGTGTCCAAGGTGGCGTTTCAAGATAGATATATTAGTCTGAAGCAGAAATATGCAAAAGCTCTGGTGGACGACTGGCGAGAAAACACGGATCCGCGCAAGCATGTATTTGAGGATATCGCCATTGCCGCTTTTCTGATTGAGTTCTGGAGCATAATATACCCGGACAAGGAGCTATTTGAGTTTAGAGATCTTGGCTGTGGAAACGGCCTTTTAGTGTATCTGCTTACCATGGAAGGCTATACAGGAATAGGAATTGACGCAAGAGCACGCAAATCTTGGAAAATGTACCCTCCGGAGGTGCAGAGCAAACTGAAGGAGCAGGTTATCATCCCCAGCGTGCTTCTGAGGCCGCATCCTGCTGCCAGAGCACATTATTTTTCCGACAACGGTAGGGCCTTCAAGATGCCTGTGGACAAAAAATTACCCGAGGAGCTGGGGCTCACAGAGAAACACCAGCTGGTGGAGGTGTTTACAGCGGGCGATCTGCTTAGCTCGCCGCAAGTCAACGCGGCCGAGTTCCCTAAAAATACATTTATCATTGGCAATCACTCGGACGAGCTCACCACGTGGATTCCGCTGCTCGGGTACCCATTTATGGTTATCCCATGCTGCTCATATAACCTGAACGGCGAAAAAGTTCGGTATCCAGCCATCAAGAGCATTGCTCAGGCTAGCTCTGTCACCTCGTACACCTCTACCTCCAGATACGCCACGCTTGTGGATCACGTGGAGTACATTGCTACCATTTTTGGGTGGCAGGTAGAGCGCGAGATGCTCAGAATTCCATCTACCAGAAATGCAGCGCTGATTGGCTACCGGCCCAACAACTTTCTACCCAAGTCGATCTACGAGATCATCGCCATGGAAGGCGGTGCAGACAGATGGGTGGAAAATACGCTCTCGCTGATGAAACGGCCTCCTCGGAATCATTAAATATACAGCTTCTATATGTCTATTTCTTCGCGTGTCTGCGCTTTCTTTTGAATCCAATCAACCTTTTGACATCGTTCGGAAGGCCACTCTTGCTGGTTTCGGGTGCAGTTTGGGCGTCTGTCTTTCTGCGCTTCGAGTCTTTTGGTCTGCCGTTGGCGCCTTTTTTGTCTCCACCTTCTCTCTGACGTTTTCTGTCTCTACCACTATCCTGGCCCTCGCCGTCTTTCCTATGACTTTTGGCTTTGCTATGGGCAATTTGCTCGTGGCGACGCTTCACCACCTTGGCGTTCTCAATAGCAAACTCCACAATCAACCGACGCTTGGCTATCGTGCCCTCGCTCTCCGCCACCTTCTTTTGCTCCTCTGTCAGCCCAACTAGGATGTCCTCGCGACTCACCTCGTGAGCATTCAGCCACCGCAGAGCCATCAAAGCGTGCTTGTGGTCTCGGAACTCCAAGAACCCATATCCTCTGGATCTGCCCAGAACACCTGAACCCTTCACCTCGTTGATGATTTTGGCCTGTTTCACCACACCAGTCTGCTTTTTGCGCTTCTTGTCCTCGGGCTTGACTCCAAGCTTCTCCTCAATAAACTCCTTGTGTCTTTGCGATCTCGCAAGCTCTTCCTTGTTCAGCGGTTGTCTCTTTCCCTCCTTGACCTCGGACGCAAACTGGACAATGGCCTTGCGTCCTAAGGCCTTCAGAGCTTTCTCATTCATGGCACGAGGAAGGTTTCTGATAGCCAATCTCGTCAGCGACAGATGCAACGATGGATTTTTGTTCAGCTGCTGCACACGCAGATTGTACGATTTTTCACGAACATCCAGATCTGTCTTGCTGATCAGCGAGGCCAACCTCGAGCCCGACGTGATTCGTCCCTCGTTCAGCAGGAAAAGATTACGCTTGTCTTTCTCCGTTGGAACGCGGCCTAGAAGCTCTTTCCGCGCAAGAGCGTTGCGCTCGGCCATTCTGGCAGCAGAGTCGCGGTCCACGGTGGCAGTGATCTGCAAAACCCGGCCTTCGTAGACATACAAAGGAGAAACGTCGTCTGGAATGAGCATCGAGTTCGGATTCACCTCTGGCGCATTCAAAAGACAGTCCTCATAGTCTTCTTCGCGCCGGAACGCCACGAATGCGGATCCTTTTGCCAACTGGGTGTCCTTGTCCATGACAGGAAGAGCATATTTAATTGGACCGAACTTGGAAAAATGCTCCTCTAAAGATTCTCTCGTTGCGTCGTAGGGAACGTTACGCACGAAAATGGAAAAGTTCTCCTGTTTGTTTGGACGGGGCCTTTTGAAATTGAGGTCCTCGCCGTCAGAGTCCGATTCGTCGTCCTCAGAGTCGTCTGCCTTATTTTCTTCCTTTTCTTCCTTTTCTTCGTCGTCTTCTTCTTCTTCTTCGTCCTCACTCTTTTCATCCTCGTCCTCCTCATCTTCCTCTCCCTCCGCGCTCTTCTCCTTTCGGAACTCCTCCCACTTGCTCTTATCTATAGCAAAATCAACAGCCACCTCACGGCCCTGCAACTTCAGCCCCACCGTCTCCTTCACAGCCTTCTCGGCTGCAGCGTGCTTCATCATCGTCACAAACCCAAAACCAGACATCTTGCCATCCTTTTTCTTAGGAATATGTGCCTCCTTGACTTTACCGAATTTCAAAAATACCTTCACCAGCTCGTTCGGGTCCTTGACGGACCACGGCAGATTGCGCACAATCAGCTTGGCACTTTTTTTCAGTGCAATTTCCTGTGACTTGAATTTTGCATCCTCCACAGGCTTGGCCTGTTTATCGTTCTTGTCCTTTCTCTGTCTCCGTTTGGCAATAGACACTCTCAGCAGCTTGTTCATGAACTTGGCCTTCTTGGTCTCCTTCAAGGCACTTAGCGCATCCTCGTCTGTCACAAACGAAACAAATCCAAACCCTCTGCTCTTGCCCTCTGTGTCAGTGACAATCACGGAGTGTCGCACTGGGGCATATTGGGAAAAAAACTCATTCAGTTGTTCCTTTGTAGCTTCAACAGGGATCGACTGCACAAACAGTGTTCTGCGGTCCAGCTGGTCTTCGCCCTCGGCGGCAGGTTGCTTATCTGTCATCTGAACAGTACAAGATCGGCTACCCTTTATCTATGTGAATCCTTAAAATTTTTTTGAAATTTTTTTATGCACCCGAAAGCTTTCCTCAGTTGAAAAATAAAATCGCGTTTGTTTATCATGAAGCAAACGGGCATTCTTTCGAATAATTATATTCCGCCCCTGCCACCGCGAATGGTGGCCAAGGAACTTGCGAAACTCAACACGGACTCGCTGTTCAATTTGGTAGAGCTGTGGCTCAAGATGAGCGCGACCCAGCCAAAACTGTCCAAAGATCAAAGAGCCCAGGGACTCACCCAGAAACAGCTCCTAGAGTACTGCAATGATACTCTCAAGGCATTGAAAGACCAGAAGGCCCCCAAACGGAAATTGATTGATCGCCTTCTTGTTGACTACTACCCGTCAGGCCTAAATGCTCTGCAATTGGCGCAGATAGACATACAAATGATGGTCGATAAACCAAACAATTACAGCTGGGTTTCGTCCACGGCTAAAATCGTGAAAGAAAAAGACGACGACGATACAAACAGGGCCATTGACGATTTCATCTTCTCGCTAGATTCGCAGGCATTTCTGGACCGCCTCATCACGAACTTGTCTAACCTTTATCTAACCCATATCTACATCTCTAGACACCCAAACTTTCCGCTTATCCTGATCAGAATCCAGATGTACGAGTACGTCCACTTCAAAAAAACCCGGACTGCTAACTCTGCCGTCGCAAACAAAAACCAGCCAGATATACTTTCTCGAACGCCATATTACCTGGCTATACCGATGAGCTCGCCTAATTTGATCCACTCTGCCGCCAATGAGGAGGACCTTGTTTCCAAAATTATCCTCCAGTCCGTGGAAATGACTCTCTCGTCCACGCTTCGTCAAATCCAACTGTTTCCCAATCCGGACCCGCCTGTGCGAACGCTGGAGGCCGTCCACGTCCTCAAGGGTGTCTCACGATTTGGACAGTCGCTGGCTAGCTGGACGCCGTATGCCGATGGAACAGTGGATATCAACCCTTTGGGAACAATAGAAGATCATCTTAGTGTTAATCCGTCGAGACTGGCTATGGGAGAAGATAAAAATAGTCTTGTTGCCTCGCTCAAGTTTAAAGGATCAACAGCACCAATTGAATCGAAAATCCTATACGACACCAACAAGCCGCCACAGAAAACTCGTAGCCTCAACGACGAGCAGTTGACACACTCGAAATATGCCTCTTTGGTCCCCGTTCAGTACGGAGAGTTTATTCTTGAGGACACCCTTCCAGGGGCCCTGGAAGCTCCGAAAATCAAACTTAGACTGCTTGGCAACGATATTTTTGCAGGCCTGCACCAGCTGGCTGTTGACGGTGTAATAGAAACAAAGAACGTGCCAAGCTGGCTGACTGGCTCAGAAAACTCGACAATCGGCCGTGTCAAGGACGGCGTATTCCAGCCTTCAGCGTCTTCCAGTTAGACGTTCGATGTAGTCATCTGCCAAATGGATATGCACTGTGTTGTCTGCCAAACTTTTGATAAGCCTGATCATATCAGCATCCTTCCGTTTGAAAGCTTCTTCGATCGCACCTTTGTGGTCATCACAGCTAAGATAGCATTTGATTTTTGTTTTGTACGGCATGTTTGTACAATGTCCTAAATACAGCGACGCGTGTCGTTTGTCGCCGACTTTCAATGACTCCGTGTAAAATGGTTCGTACCCTATAGGTGACTGCCTCTGTGTGGCGAAGTCGTATAGCTCGCGTCTTTTTTCTGGAAGCTGGATGTATGTTTTGAGCACTTTGTAGTAGAACTGTTTGTCTGATATTTTAAGATCTTTTTGTAATTTAACTGCTTTCTTGAAATCGGCCCTGAGTAGTAGTACTTCCAAGAGCTCTAAATGCGAAGAAGTCTTAGTGTCCAGGCCAGACTCTATAGGGCCTATGATGTCAAGGTTCTTTGCCTCATCTTTGAGCCACTTGGACTCTGTTTTCATGTACTTCGATCTCTGCAGCGTATGAGAAGCTTTGTTCAACAGTTGTTTTTGCCTGTCAATTTCGGTTTCCTTCGCGAGATTCTGCAGAGTCACCATTGCCAATCCAAATATCGAGTCTTCCTTGTAGAAGTAGTCATTCAAAAGCTGAAGATCCCGGGATGCCAGCTGGGTGATAAAAAGCCCCGAAGCAATCTTTTTCCTGTTGAGCATTTTCAGCAAGTCGGGCACTGAAACCTTATTTAGCAAGGTCACTAGGATGTATAGAATAGAGTCTGTGTCCATGCTTTCTTCTGCCTTGTTGAGCGCATAGCTGTCCTGGCCCATTTCAAGCAGCATCGGCACTGCCAGACTGACATCTTTCTCCAGACTCAGCAGCTTTGTAGCCAGCTCTGCACGGCCTTCGACGTAGGCAGCTTGGGCGATCTGTGCAAAAGAAACAGTCTCGTCCTGGAATCTTTTGAGTAATTCCTGCAGCAGTTCGTCATTGTTACGGTTTGATTTGCGGATCTTGGCACACGCCCAATTGATGTAGATATTGTCTTTTGGTAAGCTCATGAAATCTGCTATTTTCAGAGAGAGGTAATGTAATTTGCGCAAAAGAAGCAGATCTATGAGTCTATCCAGCCCCAGCTCTATGAATTGGTTGTATGTGAGAAAGATTCCGATTTCCGGCTGTCTGATTATGTTGAGGATTCGCAGGTTGTTGCACGTCTCGACAAATTCGTCCGAGTTGTACATGTCCAAAGTGGTTTTACCAAACGTAGCTGCTCGCAGAAGTTTCTTTTGCCAGTACGGATCGAACTCTTCAGAGGCGGCTCGGATGCAGTGGTCAACCGCGTCAGCAAGATTGTCCCCTATGATTTCCAGGTTTTCGTTGGCTTTTGGCGACCGCTGGTCGATCTGTTCAATGGCATCCAGCAAAATCGCACTTGCCGAAGTAGAGCCTATCTTGAACGTCTCGAGTGTGTAGTTGCTGACTCTGGAGACAAATTGAAGATTGGAGTTGTCCAGATACAGAAATCCATCCACCTCAGGCCGCACGATCGCCGGCGAGTCCAGATAGAAAGTGATGGACTCGTAAGAAGGCCCGATCAAAAGCATTTCGTCTTCATAGCTCACCACCACAGCATCGTTTCCGCACCATTCAAGCTGCAATGGCACGCCTGACTCGCATTTGAACACGTTCAAGGTGGTTGTGAAGTCGCTCGTCACTATCAGCACACTCCCATCGCCGTACAGTGCCACAAAGTCTCCATTCGGTGAGGCAGAAATCAGACTGTACGGCCCTTGTTCATTCTGCTTGGTGTCCTTTATGCGCTGGTCTATAAGGAGGACCCCCTCCTGAGTGGAAATAACAAGTTTTAGAGGAGTGTGGTAGACAGGAGGGATGATAGTCCATCCAACAATGGATCCTTCCACTATTGGGAACTCGTTCACATCATCGTTGCCATAAGCAAAGCTCTTAAACCCGTCAATAGTGCGGACAACAAGCCCATTATTCCAGAACCGGACATCGATAACCTCAGATCCCACATCGTACTCTTCAAACTCTCCGTCATAATCTGTATACACACGGTACCTCCCGTGGCGAAAAACCACCACCAGCTCGCACCGTCCTGTCCATCCGAGACTGGCAATGTCGCCAGCTTTTGTGTTCCAGAGAATGGAGGCAAGTAGAGATCCAGATCCCGAGTAGATCTCTATCGCTGTTCCCATGGTACGCCTGAACACAGCAATTACTGCCGCATAAGGCCCAATTGCCACCATGCTATCTTTCACACTCACATCCTCCCATTTCAGGGCAAAGAGTGGGCGGCTGCGGTAAAAAACCGTCTCCAATCGTTCCCAGCCCAAACTTGGAGAAGCCATTAAAATATAATAAATAAATTAAACTAGATATTTTTTTACTTTTCCATGACTGAGGAAGTATCGCCGTATGTCACGTTGATCTCCAACGATGGGTTCCAATTCCAGATTTCCCGAGACGCTGCAATGGTCAGCGGCACGCTCAAAGGTATGCTGAACACATCGTTCCAGGAATCTTCAACCAATACAATCAGACTACACGAACTGGACGCAGTCCTACTTGAGAAAGTGTGTGAATACTTGTATTACAACCTCAAATATAAAGAATCGGTCGACGTGCCGGAGTTCGACATCCCCACCGAGATGGCACTGGAACTGCTTGTGGCCGCCGATTTTCTGGATGTCTAATCACACCCTCCTGTTGAATTGCGAATAGAGCGACGGATCATAGGCAGATGGAGTACTATAGAAATCTGTGCTGGTGGTAGGCTTCGAAGGCAGTGGTGGCGCTGCCGCCGACGGACTGGAAAATGATCCTGCTGGAGAAGAAAACGAAGAGGCAAAACTGCCTGGCTGGCCGTAGTGTCCAGCAGGCGCCTGGTTCTGCAAGCTGAACCGTTCAAATTGCTGCCGCAACAAGTCCTGGTCTCGCTGCGGACCGTTTGTCTCTATCTGGTGAACAAGCTTATCTGCCTCGTTGCTACGTTCACTCACCAGTTTTTCCAGTGCAAATCGCAAATTCGAGGTGAAAGTGAGCAACCGTTCATAGAAGGCTTCGCCTTCAGCAACGCCGCCTTTGTATGTATTCCACTGCTCAATCGAATTGAGAAACCGCGCGTTAACCGCCTGCGTAGTGCTCTTTGACGACTCGCGCTTCTTGAGTCTGAATTTTACTGTATGGTCGTCCAACACCTCGTTCATTGCTTTCTTCAGATCATTGATCAATGGAGCCTGTTTTTCAACTGTCAAAGCTATTCTTTCCTGATATGGCCGGAACTTCGCCAGCTCGGCGTTGAAGATATCTTCTATTTGGGTCGTATTCCGATTCATGATCAACGACTTCGAGATATCGTCATTGTGAGCTTTTTCCTTCAAATCCTCGTAGGTGTTGGATCTTTCTTTCTGAAGATACCTCAGCTTTTGCAGCTTGTCGTCGACCTTGGTCAGTTTTTCTCTCGATCCGGCCACATTCACTGGCTCGTCGTCCATATCCAGCAAAGATTCGGGCTCCTTGGCAGTTTTGTTGTATTCACGGAGCACCTCCGCACTGGTTATACCTTTGCTCAAAATTTCAATGTCTGGCTTGATCTTGTTGTAAATCGCACTAATCTTCTTATCGGTGTCGCTAGCATCGAGCAGAGACTTTTTTGCGCGTGCAAGATCCTGCTTCAGATTCATCAGGGCAGCAGGGTACTGTTCCTGGACCCACGCTGTGCCATGTTTGGCTTTGTTAGAGTCATATTTTTGAGCTTCCTGAGCAACAAGCCTGTCACAAGTATCAACATTGCTTTGCACCTGTGCTCTGAGATTTGCGGATCTTGAAGTGTCCACTGATTCGTTCATGATGGCCGCTGCTCCTTGTACCACTCGTGCATCAATGGTGTCTGAATTAACTTCACTGCTTTCATTGCCGTTTGTTTCCTCCAGCAATAAACGAAGGTCGACAAGCGACTTTGGAAGCTGTAGGAATTCGAGCGTGGAGTTGAGCTCAAGGTCAGCCAGCTCACATTTCTCGCTTTCGGCCCTAAGTAGCTTGGCAACCTCTTCAGAATACATGCTCGACTGCTCGTGAACTTTCAACGGAACTATTCTGTCGAACAAGTCCTTGCCCACAATCTCTGAGATTTTCTGGTCACCAAGAACAACTGCTTTAGCACTATCCATAGGTTTAATTTCCGGTAAAGTGGATGCGTTTGGAACCATGTCGTGGTAGATGAAATCGTTATCCTTTTCCAGCAGTTCGTACTCTGACCTCACTAACTTGGCATGTTCTTTGAGTTTATCCTTAAAAGTAGGGTCAAAGGTAGAGCTGTATCCGCTATGTTTCTTTATCGTCTCTTCAGCCAGCTTCATGTAGGCAATGGCCTGGCCATACTTGTTTGAGCTTTTGAGTAGCTGAGACTGTTGGAAGTTTGCGTAGGACAGATAGTAGAGTTCTTTCAGTTTGGTGTATTGGTGCCAGTTGTATTGCATGGTCTTGACGTTTTGAATCAGCTCGGATGCTGAGCCGTAAAGTTTGGCGGTGGATTTGGCCAAGCGGGCCAAAAGCGACTGTTTGGGCTCTGCTGTGGTCTCGATGTATCGCAATAGGAAAACTTCTTGTGCCTGGGCAAGCATCAGTTTTGCAAGGGCCTGCATGCTCTGAACACTAAGGTCGTCGGACGGAGCGTGCAAAAAGCTCTCCTGGATGTACTGATAAACTCCGGCAGCTTTTTGGAACCATTCGTAGCCGACCTTCAACTCATCTGCCGTGGCCGCCAGATGTGACATTATTCCTGCCAAATTGAATAAAACACTTGCCTTTTCAAATGCCAGCGAATGCTGCTTGTGCGAAACGGAAGGAACAAAGGCGTCATACCAGCAGAACTCAATTCCCAGTGACTCCACAGCAATTCTTAGCTCTAACATCTCAAGCTGACCATAATATCTATAGTATAAATCCCTGCCAATTGGGTCCTCGTCGCAGTGGATAAGGTCTGTTCTTAGTTTGTTGAAAGTGGCAATTTCGTGCTCGAAATCGCTGGCATTCCCATAAATACGGCCGATGTAAGTGCTCAAAGGATTTGTCCAGTCAACAGGTTTTGTCTTTTTCAAGGGAATAGAAATAAACTTGGGCATTGCGTTGAACTTTTATGGCCCTCGAGTTCAGAAATAAATAATTGTGCAATTAAACTGGGGAGGGAAATTAATCAGATAATTTTAAACCTATTAATTGATTTAGTTTCTTAGTATGTCTTCTGCTTTCAAAACGGTTGCGGAAGAAGTGGACAAGCTGGCCAGCAATGACTCGCTGGAGCACATATTGGCCGATTCCAACTCATTGTTGGACGGCCTGCGCAGACTCAGAAACGACGTGGAGAACGATCAAGATGATATGACAATGATAAAAACCCAGTTCAAGAGCTGGAATGAAAACACGCTGAAGCACGAAAAATCCATCAACAAAGCAATCAAGGGTTACAGCTCCAAAGTCGACAAAGTGCTCAACTTCAACCTATCTAATGTCTACACCTATCAAACGGTGGATGTCAAATCAAACCCGCGTTCGCGCAAATTGGTGGACCGGGCAATTGTGATGGACTTGCTGCGCAATGGCCACTTTGACGTTTTGGAGCACATTGAAAGGGAACGCGGCATCAAGATACCGCAGGAGCTGGTGGACAGGTTCAAGCAGCTTAATGAAATCCTAATCAGTTTCAGAGAACACGACGATCTACGGCCAGCAATCACTTGGGCCGCACAACACTCCGATGAGTTGAAATCCATAGGTTCAGATTTGGAGTTTAACCTGCACAAGCTGCAATTCATCAAGCTTTACAATCAGAGCAGAAATAACGAGCCGTTCGAAGCTTACAAATACGCAAGGGACAATTTCCCCAATTTCGGAACCACGCATTTAGACACCATTTCGAAACTGCTATTCACAATCATGTACTCCTCATCGACGCCTGAATGTGGATTTGAGAATTATCTCACGGACGGGGATCTATCAAACGAGACCTTTTACAATCAAATCTGTCAGGATTACTGCTCTTTGATCGGACTTTCTTCAAATTCGCCTCTCTACAACACACTGCTCACCAGCTACATCGCCTTGCCCAGCTTCATCAAGTACCATAGGATCTCCAAAAGCTCGGGAAATCTTAATTGGACCACCACCAACGAGCTGCCATTCGAGATCAACCTGCCTCCATCGTTGCAGTTCCACTCCATCTTCATCTGTCCGGTGTCCAAGGAAGAAACAACTTCGGAAAACCCCCCTATGGTGCTCCCGTGCCATCATATCATTTCCAAAGACAGTCTCATCAAGCTGAGTCGCAACAGTGTAGCGAACTTCAAATGCCCTTACTGTCCGCGAACAACCACAATTGCCCAGGCTGTGCAGGCTAGATTTGTTAATTTGTGAAAAGAAAAAATTTATTCCGCTATGCCTAATCGAAGAGCCCGCAAGAAAAGACGGACAGAGGACTTTTCCAGCTCTTCAGCATCTGAAAGCGATAGTGACTCCGTAAGCGTGACCAGTGTACAGGAAGAACAACCAGATGCTCCCGAAACATATACCATAGATGGCCTGGACACGCACGAGGTGTCTGACAGCACGCGGCTCAGACTCCAACAGCTGAACGCAGACAGGTTGACCAGCATAGAGCAAACCCTTTCTGGGAACCTAAAACTTGACATAAACGGAGTACGCCAGATAGATGATGCGCGTGAGCAGCTACAGAACGAGTATCTGAAAAAACTGCTTGTCACGTATTCTGAGGACCTGGATGCGCTTCGTCAGAAAAGTGATTTCAAGGAAAACTCACTCAAAACCCTCGCCCGTCTCCTCAAAGAGAGCGGAAACATTTTTGATGACGCAACTCTCAAGTCGCTAGTTGAGTGATGTATATGATAATGTCTAATTTTAATTCATTAGTGTGCAAGATCTGGGCTTAGCCGGTCTAAGTGGAATAGTCAGGCTGTGCAAGCCACGATTAAAATTACCCCATCGGTTTTCGAATTCTATTGTTTAAAAATAGAATCTACATAGAGGTAGAGTGAGCAACAGAACATTGTTTCCTTTCTGGGCCCTCCGACTGGAACTTCTTGCCCTCAGCCTTAAATTATTAAGAAAAAGAGTGTATTGTCATCTATCAGGGTCTCCGAAGCAAATCACTAGTTTTTTTCTGAGACTTAAAAAAAGTTGACACAATGAAAGTTGCTATACTGTTTTCCTTGGCTTCGAGTGTCTGTGTTCTGGGAGACCCACAGTACGTCAAACTGGAGGCGTCTGTTCTGCGTGGAGCCACCTACAAGGAATCACAGAAGGGGGCCAAGCCGTTCATGTTGGAAAAGAGGGCTGATGACGGCTCGGTCACGATGGAATTGCAGAACGCACAGTCTTTTTACCAAGTCGAGATCGAAATAGGGTCTGATAAGCAGAAGGTGGGGGTGTTGATTGATACCGGTTCCTCGGATTTGTGGGTGACGAACTCGAATAACACTTACTGTTCGTCTTCCAGCAGTAAAAAAATGAAACGGGACGGATCTCGCAATGTGCTCCGAAAAGGACGCGATCTTTCCGACCTGTACAATTTCAACTCTCCAAACGAAGACAACAATGCAAAAGCACTCCTGAGTGGCTGGGGAGATCTGACCACAGCAGAGACTGTAACCCAGGATGAGACGCAGACGGCGCTCGCTGCGCAGGCCACCGTTGACTGCTCGCAATACGGAACTTTCGATCCTTCAACGTCGGATTCGTTCCACAACAACGGCACCAAATTTGAGATTTCGTACGCGGACAGCACTTTTGCCCGTGGAACCTGGGGCTACGATGATGTCACTTTCAGTGGTGTCACTGTCAACGATCTCTCGTTGGCCGTGGCAGATGAAACAGATTCTGCGACTGGTGTTTTTGGTATCGGATTCAGAGAACTGGAAACCACGTACTCAGGAGGTGGACCAGAGCATTACATCTACGACAACTTGCCTTACAAACTGGTCGACCAGGGACTCATCGGTAGAGCCTCCTATTCCATCTACATGAACTCAAGTGATTCCAGCACTGCCTCCATTCTCTTTGGAGCAGTGGACCAAAGCAAGTATACCGGAGATCTTGGCTTGCTTCCTATCATCAACACGGTTGCTTCCTACGGTTACGAAAAGCCCATTAAGCTTCAAATCACCCTGTCTGCTATAACGCTCACCAACTCTAAAGGGCAGCAAGTCAGTATTGGTTCAGGAGCTGCTGCTGCACTTCTTGATACCGGAACGACTTTGACGTATGCTCCAAACGAGGTTGTCGAGAAACTTGCTGAAACCCTGGACTTCGTGTACAGCAGCTCTGTCGGGGCCTACGTGGCAAGATGCGACGACGTCGAGAGCTACGCTGTCAACTTCGACTTCCAGGGTAAAGTGATTGAAGCTCCTTTGAGTTCCTTCCTGATTGCTCTACAAACAAACTCGGGAGTAGTGTCCTCCTACTGCGCATTGGGTATTTTCTCCTCGGGAGACGAAACTATCACCCTCGGCGACAGTTTTATGCGGAACGCCTACATTGTGGCCGACCTCGAGGGATATCAAATCGCCATAGGTAATGTGAACCTGAATCCTGGAGACGAACAAATTGAGATCATCTCAGGTGACTCCATTCCTTCTGCTTCTTCGGTTTCCGACTACTCGAATACCTGGGGCGCCTCTGCCACTGCTTTGGATACTGACAGGACTACTACTCTGGGATCGGTGACTGCTGTGAGCGATGAAAAAGTGACGTCGACCAAGAAGGTTTCGAATGTTGAGACAAGCACTTCGTCCGGGTCCGGGTCGGTTTCGGAGTCGTCTGGGTCCAGCTCGAACTCTAACAACAGCCCAAGGACAGTAGGTTTTAGTTTGTGTGCGGTTTTGTGCGCATTGGTGATTTCTATACTAGCTGTTTGTTAGATCCAAAGTTCTAGGGGGCTTTAGTCTTCATTTATGTTTATTTTTAATTGTACCGTGTGTAATTGTTTTTCCGACGGGTCTACTTAAATGCGAGATCTCGTTTAGCGTCGTTTATTTGTCGTTCGTATAGTGACAAAAAACAGGAAAAAAAACTCTAAGCTGGATAAAACCTATATTTTGATAAACATGAGCAGCGAAATCAAGCTAGCACCAAAGGATTACGAGAAGGACAAGGAGTTTGCCAAGGCGCTGCATGGCAAGGACGCTGCGAATGCTAAAGGAATGAGTGCTTGGGTGAAGAAAGACAAGGAAGCTCAAAAAATCGCTATGGAAGGGTATTTCAAGCACTGGGACGGCAAAACCGACGAGGAGACCGAGAAGTCGAGACTCCAGGACTACTCAACACTGACCAAGCACTACTACAACTTGGTGACGGATTTCTACGAGTATGGATGGGGATCCTCGTTCCACTTTTCCAGGTACTACAAGGGAGAGCCATTTAGACAGGCTTGTGCTAGACACGAGCATTATCTGGCATTGAAAATGGGCATCACCGAGAACATGAAGGTGCTGGACGTCGGATGCGGAGTCGGGGGCCCTGCTAGAGAGATCACCAGGTTCACTGATTGTGAGATCGTTGGACTGAATAATAACGACTACCAAATCGAGAGAGCCAACAACTACGCGAAAAAACTGAAATTGGACCACAAACTGTCTTTCGTGAAGGGAGACTTTATGCAGATGGACTTTGAGCCAGAGACCTTTGATGCTGTCTACTCAATTGAGGCCACCGTCCATGCTCCTGTGCTTGAAGGGGTGTATGGCCAGATCTACAAGGTGTTGAAGCCTGGTGGAGTTTTCGGAGTTTACGAGTGGGTGATGACCGACGAGTACGACGAGACCAACGAGGAGCACCGTAAGATTGCCTACGGAATCGAGGTTGGTGACGGTATTCCTAAAATGTACAAAAGAGAGGTTGCCGAGAAGGCTTTGAAAAATGTCGGATTTGAGATCGAATACACTAGGGATCTTGCCGACGCCGGGGACGAGATCCCATGGTACTACCCATTGAGTGGAGACTTCAAGTATGTGCAGACGTTAGGTGATCTTTGGACGTTTTTCAGAACCTCGACCTTGGGCAGAAAAATCACCACCGGCTCTGTTGGTCTTATGGAAAAGTTGGGCATTGCTCCTAAGGGTTCTGTGAAAGTCACTGAGGCTCTTGAGGACGCTGCTGTCTACCTCGTTGAAGGAGGAAAAAGAAAGTTGTTCACTCCTATGATGTTGTATATTGTGAGAAAGCCATTAGATGCTAAATAAATACATTCATTTTATACTTGTGCTTCTGAAAAGCAAATACCTTAAGAATATGCCTTTATATATGGTTCTCAACTATGAGTCTATCAGATAAACAAGTCCCCAGGCGCAGCCAGCAGCAAACGAGCCAATGGCAACCATCTGGAGACCTTCCGATACCCTTATGTAATTAGGCGTGTCATCGCCCATGGAAACGATTGTTTTGAAATACCCAAACCAGAATAGCGTGAAAATCATCACCAACACGGATATTATTAACCCTGTGCCGACTGTGCTCGTGAAGAAGTATGGGATTAATGGGATGAAACCTCCAAAGAAATATCCAGACCCAATTGTTAATGCGCTCATCAATTGACGTCCGTCGGCAGGTTCCTCCAACCCGCGACCATATCTGATCACAAAGTCAATCATCGTCTTGGGGTCAGCCTCCAAGTCCCGGACAAATGATTGGATGGTTTCCTCAGAAGCACCCATTTCGATCATGACGTCTCCAACTTCACCAGCTATAGAGTCTGGGTTCTCGAAAAACAGCTGTTTTTCCTTTTTCACCTGGGACTTGTAGTATTCCGATTCTGAACGGGCAGCTAGGTAGCCTCCGAGACCCATCGAAATGGCACCGGACACCAGTTCTGCCATACCTCCAGTGATGACAAGTTTAGAGTCTCCGAGGGAGGACAGACCAGCAGTCAGGGCAAACGGAACTGTCAGTCCGTCACTGAGACCAATGATCAGATCGCTCATTGCTCTTGGGTCCACTTTGCCAAACATGCCTGCGTCCTGAGAACTAGTGGAGTCATCGCCTTTGAGTTGCAGCTTTGGAGAGCCTGGCGTACGCGGCTGGGACTCCGGGTCACCGTCCGAAAGAGAACCGTAGTTATTGTTATTGGTGCTTGTCATGAGCGGGCCGCTTTGGTTAGAAGAGGAGCCAAAAAGTGACACAAGGGCTCTCTTGAGGGCGACTATACTCATATCTGGCTGTTATTTATGTATGATTGCTGATTTGTGGTGTAAGATTGGTTAGTATCGACCAAGCCGTCTGCCTCAAAAGATACTAGTAATGTGTAGGACTAAATAGCGTCACCGTAGAGACTGTAACAAGCCTGTATGAGTTGCGCGGTTAGCAGTTAATATTTAGCTGAAGTTTGAATTCTTTTGCAAGGTCGTCTGAAATACACGCCAGGAACCTGCTATTATATTAGCAAATGGGATGGTAGTGGCAATTGAGTGGAAGTTGATTGCGCTCACTGATGAAAGAGCTCAAAGCACGCTGTATCACTGAAGAAATCACGCAGTAGTAGTGTGGACAGAGAGATCGTCAATATATAAAACTCTTAAATTTTTAAAGCACCTTTTAAAAATATGTGTGGTCGTGTGCTACCCACTTGGTCCATTACTGTAGAGCGCTAACTGCAGGCCCTTGGTGTCAGAATGTAGCAAATCAGAGGCCGATAAATTGTCATCATGAAATTTCCAACGGTCATTGCTAATCAAGTGATGCTTTCTAGACACATACAAATTTGTTTTGACAGATTTTCGCCAACTCGAGAAAGTACATTGCATTGTGTGAAACCCACAAGCGAGGCTGAACATGTGTCAGAACGTCATCATTTCAGTGTAATTAATAATACTAAAGGATAAAATTTTATGGTTTCTAACGTGACGCAAGGACCACTCTTATTCTGTTGTCCAAAGTGCACACCCCAGTTGACACATTGCATGAACGCAACCCAAATTTTGTGATCGCGTTGATCTTCCTACATACTCCCAATCGACGCGTCTGTAGTCCCTTGGTATTTTTTTAATTTATTTTTATTTTTTTCAAGTTTTCTGATCTTGACCAAAAATCTTTGTCATGGTGTTATTGGTAACCCTGGTCGTTATTGCCATGGCAGTATGCCAGGCCGCTGCTAAGACACATACCTTATTCTTCGAGACAAAGTGGATCACAGCCAATCCGGACGGTGTGAGGGACCGCCAAGTGATCTCGTTTAACGGAAGTTGGCCTTTGCCCACAATTGAGGTCAACAAGGGCGACTCCGTGGAATTCCATCTCATCAACGGGCTCGACGTCTCAACATCTTTGCATTTCCATGGTCTACTTCAGAATGGCTCCAACCATATGGACGGGCCTGTTGCCGTCACACAATGTCCGATACCTCCTGGTGAGTCTTTTGTTTACGAGTTCACGGTGGATCAAGTAGGAACGTATTGGTACCACAGCCACAGTGGCTCGCAGTACAGCGATGGACTGCGTGGGCTGTTTATTGTCCATGATGAGGAGGTGGAATCCAACTACAAGTTTGACAAGGAGCTCGTTTTGTCCTTGAGTGATTGGTACCATGACCCAAGTGAGGTCTTGATCCAGAGACAGCTTTCTCTATATAATCCCACAGGAGCCGAGCCAATTCCTCAAAACACGCTCATAAACGACACCAAAAACATCACTTTCGAGGTGGAGCCCGACACGACGTATCTGATCAGAATTGCGAATATTGGAATCATGTCGTCACAGTACCTGTTTTTTGAAGATCACGACGTCGATATCATTGAGGTGGATGGTGTGTATGTTCATCCTGCCAGGGCGTCCATGATATACTTGGCAGTGGGACAAAGAATGAGTATTTTGCTGAAAACCAAGTCGTCTGCATCCAAAAACTTCGGCATTGTCCATGCGCTGGATATTTCCATGTTGGACGCCTTGCCGGCTGATCTGCAGTACGTTTCTGTCAACCAGATGGTTTACGACAAGAGCCTCCCTGATGCAACTTTGAAGAAAGAGTGGCTGGACATCGATTCATATGCTCCGTTCGACGACTTCGAGCTGCGTCCTTTAGACAACATGCCTCTTCTTCCAGACCCAGACCATCGCATAGATGTTGTTCTGCACATGGAGAACCTGGGAGACGGTGTCAACTATGCATTTTTCAACAACTACACCTACGTTGCTCCTAAAGTGCCGACTCTGCTCACGGCACTCAGTGCCCCTAAGGAGTACGTTTCCAACGCGAAAATATACGGATCCAACACGAACTCGTTTCTGCTAAGCTACGGCGACGTTGTGGAGCTTGTGGTCAATAACGAAGACGACAACAAGCATCCGTTCCACCTGCACGGCCATCAATTCCAGACCATAGTTAGATCGGAACCATACGACGATCCCCACCATTACGACCCGGACGCAGAAACAAAACTACCAGAAATCCCCGTTCGCAGAGACACAATGATTGTGGAAGGTAATGGTCACATGGTGCTGCGGTTTGAGGCCAATAACCCAGGTATCTGGTTCTTTCACTGCCATTTGGACTTCCATCTTGAACAAGGTCTTGCTTTGACTCTCATTGAAGCTCCGTTGGAGCTTCAGGAACAGTTTGCATCGAAAGAGCTACCCGAATACTTTTTGCATGCTTGCAAAGCTTCCGAGACACCTTATAAAGGCAATGCTGCTGCCAACACCAAGCATTGGTTGGACCTGACCGGTGAAAACGTGCAACCGCCACCATTACCGGACGGGTTCACGTTTAAGGGCTATGTCGCGCTGGCTGCATGTACAGCCATTGCGCTCTACGGCCTCAAATGTATTTATTCCTACGGTATGGGCGACCTGAACAGGTCCGAGAACGTGGCCGCAGAGGAGCGCAAAATGGTCCGCAAACTTATGCTGAAGCTGAACCAGGAGCAGCGGGAAATGCTCAGCTCGTCGCCCTCAACAGTGAAAAAAAGAGAGGAGATGCGCCAGATGATCGAGGAGCTCGAGGAGCTCGATAAACGGTTCCGCGAGCTCGAGTAGGGCTGCGGTGCACGGGTGTGTACATAATTTAAAAATCGCCATAGGCTACGAGCGCGTGCCGGGCGTGAAAGTGCGGCCTGTAATAGTTTGTTCTGTAATGTCTGTTGAGGTGGAAAACGATCTGATCAAGTTCTCGTACGGCAAGGCACATGCCTGTGTTGCGAAAAAAGGCTGCACTTTGGTCTCCTTTGTGGTGGATAGTGATGAATACTTGTATCTCTCGGAAGCTGCCAATTTGTCGAGCAAGAGCCCGACGCCCGTGAGGGGCGGCATGCCGCTGATTTTCCCGGCATTTGGCAAGTCGTATCTGGAGAGCCTGAAGACGGTCCAGCAGCACGGGTTTGTGCGCAACATGGCTTGGGACTTCGTCATAGCGGAGGTTTTGACAGAGTGCACGGTAGCACGGTTTCGGCTAAGCCATCGGCAGTGCGAGAAGGAGCAGCAGTACAAAAACTGGTGCGAATTTTATGGCCAGCCCATAAAGTTTGAGCTGACGATGGTTTTCGAGCTATTTCCAGACCGCATCACGGTGAACACGGGCCTAGTCAACGAAAACGTGTCTGAGCTCGAGTTTCAATTTTTGTACCACACCTATTTTCGAGTGCCCTGTGTTCGCGACATGTATATCACGGGCTTGAAGGGGGCCAAATATCTGGACAGACTGCAGACCCGATACGGGCTGGATGGCAGTCCTATGCTCAAAGTGGAGGAGCAGACAGACAAACTGTACGAGTTGGGCGAGAACAACCGGGAAATCGACATCTTGTCGGGCAACTACAACGTGAGACTGACTGCGTCGGACAATTTGAAGGACCTGGTGGTTTGGAACCCGTGGGAAGAAAATGCGGCCAAGATGAAGGACTTTGAGCCGAAATCCAGCTACCGCAACATGTGCTGCGTCGAGTTCGGCACAATTGGGGGCACAACGGTCACCCAAGGCCAACGGTGGCAGTGCCAGCACACAATCACCATCATTTAGGCGCACTGGAGGGGAATACTAAAATATCATCATCTATGTATTGAACTATTTTTCCTCGCTCGGCTGCTCCTGCGCCTTGTCGTCAGAGGCGGCCTCCTCCTCGTCTGAGCTGCTCAGCTGGTCCAGATCGGTAGGAGTGTTCAGCGAGGGGAAGTCGCCGCCGCTCTCGGCCGCAAGCTTGGCAAAGTCGATCGACTCGTCGCCGAAGGCATTGCCCAGGTCGCCCATCGAGTTCTGCAGGTCGTCATCTTTCTCGTCCTGCTCGTCCTCGTCAACCCACTTGTCGAAATCGGTCTTTATGTAGTGTTGCTTCACCTTCAGCTTTGTCAGTCTAGGCCAGAACTCGGCATTGAGCTTCTTCTTGTACAGAACAAAGAAGATGTGGGATCCCGTGATCTGGTACTTCGACTTCTTTTCGTCAATCTCGTCGTAGAACTCAATGTCCAGCTTATAGTGTTTGTCGCCCGACTTGCCTTCGAACTTCAACTCGGTGGCACTCAGCGTGATCTCTGGCTTCTCCACATCGGCCACATTGATTGTCAAATAGAGCAAGTTTTTGTCTGGAATCGAGTCGTGGGATCTTTGAGCCCAAAGAACTGATGTTAGCGTGGCCAAGCTGTGATTACTTACCTTCAGGTGGAATTGTCGACATGACAGATCGTAATTAAGTGTTAAAAGTGGTAGGTTTTAATACTCTAGTGTTATTTTTCTAGAAAAATTCGGCTGTCGTCCCGTCTGGGGACGCCTGCTGCACAGCCCGGATCACGGGGATGGTTTCAGACTTGGATTACATTACATACACTCTATCTTCTTCCTCTCAGCATGCTCCGCGGATAGATCTTGCGGCGTGTCTGGGTGTTTGGAGGAGGCGTGGTGGATGGCGCAGCCGAAAACACCGAGGAAGGGTCCACGTTGGCAGAGCTGGAGGCCCCCGTGAAGTCGAAGTTTGGCGTGGCAGACCTGGACGGGTTGAACCCGCCAAACGAGGACGGTGTCTGGCTCTGGGGCTGTGCTTGACCAAAATGCGTTCCGTCCAGGTTGAAGATCTTGTTCTGAGGCTGCGGCGTCGACCCGCCGAACACAGACTGTCCTGCGCTTGGATTTGTGAGCGAGCCCGAGACGCCAAATCCGGGCTGTGCAGGCACAGGCGCGGTTGGCTGGCCGAAAGCAGACGAGCCAGATCCCGCAGAATTGAGCGAGCCGTTCGTGCTGTTGGCTGGCTTGCCGAATGAAAATCCCTGCGACGTGCCAAAAGAGAACGCCGGTGCCGGCTGAGCAGGCTGAGCAGCGGGAGCAGCCGGTTTTGATGCGGCACCGAACGAGAAGCCAGACGTGGACGACGAAGGGGTTGAGGCCGGCGCCCCAGAGCCAAATACTGAGCCAGGAGCTGTGGCGGACTGCGACGGCTGGGAGCCAAACGAGAACGCTGGTTTGGTTGCGGCGAAACTGAACGGCTTGGACTCTGTGGGTTTCTGTTCCTCCTTGTCGGCCTGTTGGGCACCTGACGAGTTGCTGGAGAAATTGAATGTCGGCTTGGCAGTTTCTGCCGATTGAGTTGCCTGTTCTGTTGGTTTTGAGCCAAACGAGAAGGAAGGCGTGCCAGTATTAGCTGGCTCATCCTTGTTCTGTGTCGTTTCAGCGGGCTTCGCACCGAACGAAAAAGCCGCTGTTTCTGGCTTTTTTGCCGGTTCTTCTAGCTTAGCTGGCTCTGATTTAGTCGAATCTGAATTGGATGGCTCCGACTTAGAGCCGAACGAAAAAGTAGGAGCAGCTGGCTTGTCAGACTCTTCAGCCGGCTTGGAGAACGAGAAAGTTGGGGTCTGTGCTTTTGTGCCGAATGAGAATGCCGAGGAAGGCGTAGACTTGGCCTCCTCCTGGCTCTTTGCCTCTGCTTTCTCCTCTGCGGCCGGCTTGGTCTGGCTTCCAAAGGAGAAAGACGGCAGAGCACGTTTTTCAGCAGAGTCCGCGGGTTTAGCACCAAACGAAAATGCCGAGCTTGGCTTCGACTCTGCATGATCTTTTTCCTCAGGTTTCTGTACAGGTCCCTGTTCAGGCTTGGAAAACGAGAACAGCGGTTTTTGGGAGTCTGTGCTAAAGGAGAACGCAGGAGCCGGATTGGAAGACTCGGATGGTTTCGACCCAAACGTAAACTTCTTTCTTTTTACCTCTTCTTCTTCGTTTTTCCCCGCTGTGCTTGGAAGCGACACAGAGGGAGCAGACGAGCCATTCGAAAGCGAGAACGAAGGGACGTCTAGCTTTGAGTCCGCAGACTTCGGCAGAGCGTCTGCCTGCTGAAGCGAGAACGTCGGTGAGTCTGTCTGTTTCTTGTCCGTAAATGTGAATGCTGAGGTTGGTTTCAATGGAGCAGACTCCGAGGGTTGCTCTGGCTTCTTCTCGGGCACGAACTTTGGCTTTGTTGCTGTGTCAAACGAGGTCTCCAGCTTCTCAGGAGCAAACTGCGCGTCTTTCTTTGGTGCAAACTTTATTTTCTCGGTCAAGGGCTTAATCTCCACCTTCTTGACCTCTGGCTCGTCTTCCTCGTCGTCGTCGTAGTCGAGCACAGCTTTGAAAATGCCGTGTTGGTTGAGCCGTTCTTTGGGAATTTTCTGCACCGACGTCGTCTTGGTTGCAAGTTCAGGGGCATGCTCAATGGTCTCGACTGAGGTATCGACATACTTGGAGCGGGAAGACACGTTGGATGACGTGTGCACCAGGTTTCTGGTGTGATCACGCAAGTAGGCCATTCTGGACTTGCGGTACTTGTCCTGCTGCATTCTCCGTTTGAGCACTATTAGCTGGGCGCGTTCTATGGGGTCGATTGAGAAGGACGCTGATGGCCTCTTGGACTGTTTTGCCGGGGGTTGGCTGGCTGACGCGGAAACCTTGCGCTTTGCGGCCGCTGGCGGCACTGGCGAGCGCGCGGTGCCGTTGAGCACGGTCTCGTCGCCTAGGCTTGTGGACTCTGCCTTGAGGCTGTCGTCTGCATCGCGTAGTCTCGAAGACAGCATGCTGTTTTCACGTTTGATGGACTCGTAGTACTGCTCCAGCTGGCGGGCGGTGATTGGCGACGACTGGGAGCGGAACGAGTCGTGGTTGAGACTGAGATTAGGGACAATGCTGGTGTTGGGTCTCGATGGCTGTGACCCGGAGGTGTCGACGCTGGAGTCTTTGGGCCGCTGGAAGATGTTGAGAATGCTGCTTGTGATTTTCTTGAGCTTTGACGGCCGCGCAGACGGGTCTGGCGTCGCCGAAAAGACCCTTTTCAGCGAATACTCCATGTTTTGTTTCAGGTCGCTAAAAATCCGATATCCCGTGCAACTGCCTGTTTTTTCCGGTTAATGCTTCAGTATGTCGCGGTGCTAGTCGCTGGCGCAATAAGAGAGGCTGGTTATATGCAGCAGCGGCAGGCTTGTCAGGGTGTGCTGGGCCGTTAGACAAGATAGTTTTGCTAAATAAAAAAATAAGTGGGCCGGGTAAAACAGTTTTTCACGCTCAACAGTATGGAGGACGTCAAAACTATAGTGGAGACGCTGAGATCGGACCCGCAGCGAGGACTGCAGGAGCTTGAGTGCCGTTTGGAGAGTCGACGGGCGTCAGAAGGCGACATGGTTCTCGGTCCAGATGCAGCAGTCAGGCCCGAGAACTGGCAGGTGGTGGTTGACGAGCTTCTGGAAATGCTCGTCGTGCCAGAGAAGCAGTGGACCTGGTTCCGTCCTACAGAACCGCGTGAACAGAAAACCTTACGCCAGCACAAACAGGTGCAACTACACGCATTGCGGCAGGTACTCCAATCCGTCTCCGAGTACGACCGGCACAAGCTGCTGGACAGAGTTTCGCTCTACTATGACGAGCGCGTCCCGTGGTCGTCAAAGGAGTCTGCGCAGGCTGTGCAGGATATTCTGCGCCGAGTCGAGCCGTCCAAAGACGAGATCTTCGTGATTATGGATGAATACGTGCCGATGTTACGCGAATTTGGAAAGGTCAGCCAGCACCGCACAAAAGTGTCTGCTAGCGGGTACAGAAAGTCTCAAAATGCTGCCGACGGGTCTGTAGACACGCCGCTTGTGGGCCGTGCACCTGTGGGCGAGGACGACCGGATTAGAACGAAGTACATGTCGAGGATCGGCAGTCTGGCCTTTTTGGTGGACTTTCTCCAAGGCAGTGACATAGAGGCCCGCTGGAACGTGATTTTTCTGCTCCTGCTGCACTATCTTGACGACCATGACGTGCATGTGAAGAGCGCTGCGTGCAAGGTGCTCCAGACGGTGGTGGCAAAGGTGACCTCTCGGCCGAGTACGAAAAACATTATCGCGCGAAGCAACGTAGCAGGGCTGCTGTTGGACACGATTGCGCCGTGTCTGCTGGCGTTGCCGACGCTGACGGCGCCAGAGGAGTCGCGGACGGTGCTACCGACGGCGTATGCGACGACGATTGCCGTGCTGACGGCCTCGACGGGCGGGCTGGAGGAGCTTGAGAGGCAAATGGCGTGGCTGCTTGTGGAGTACGCGCTGCCTGGCGTGGGGCGGGCGGGAGAGTATCCGGAGGTGTGCAGGGCGTTGCTGGAGGTAGTGGCAACGGAGCTGCTGCCGAGAATGGGGGCGTTCGCCGCCGTGGTGGCGAAGCAGACGTGCTACGGCGTGCTCGAGCTGCTGCGAAACCCGTACACCGCGTTTTCGCCAGCGACGATCGACGCGGCGGTCGCGATGCTGGAGCAACTGGCGGCGCAGGGACGCGGGCTGGCGAGCGTGCGCTACGACGTGCTGGCGTGTCTTCTGAAGGTGGCACAGCGGCTGCACAAGTACGAGGTGCGCGACGCGGACGAGGTGCGAGCGAAAATCGCCCGCTTTGTTTTGCAGCTCGAGCTGACACAACAAGAAAGAGACCGCGTACAAAAATTTCTTCTCCAAACGACACAGTGAAGACAAGACGGATGCCCAAGTTTCTGACGCAATCGCGCGACGCGCTGCGGGAGAAGTACGTGGAGATCAACCGGCGCGAGAAGAGCCGGCTGGTGGATGCGATGCGGCACAAGGCGCAGTCGGAGTGGTCGTACGAGGCCGGCGCGCGCAACGGGGACCGCAACCGGTACAGTGACGTGCTGCCGTTCGATAAGAACCGGGTGCGGCTGGGCAGCGCAGACAACGACTATATCAATGCGTCGTGGATCGAGCTGACCTGTGGCGACAGCGTGGGGCGGTACATAGCGACCCAGGGCCCGACAGCGGCGACGTGGAGGCATTTCTGGCAGATGTGCTTTGAGCAGTGTGTGGAGGAGGTGGTGATTGTGATGCTGACGCCACTGTTTGAAGGCGGGCGTGAAAAATGCTACAAGTACTGGTCGGAAAATGATTTCCGCGCCGGGGACTGGCTGGTGCTGGAATTTGGCGGCATGCGCGAAAGCGAGAGCGGGCATTTCACGGTGCGGCACTGGACGCTGCGGGATGAGGCGAGCGGGGCACTGAAGCCGGTGACTCAGTACCAGTTCCACGAGTGGGCGGATTTCAGCGCGCCCGAGCAGGCGACGTCGCTGGTGGAGCTGAGCAGCAGCGTGCACTCGCACAACACAAGAGACCCGATTGTGGTGCACTGCTCGGCCGGCGTGGGGCGGTCTGGCACGTTCATTGCGGTGGACTACTTTCTGCAGCACTGCACAGCGGCGCTGACGGCGCCGGGCACCGACGACGCGCGCGAGGACTTGATCACGCCGGTGAACAACCACGAAGTGCGGGACCCTGTGCTGGAGATCGTGCTGGAGCTGCGCAGCCAGCGCGTGCTGATGGTGCAGCAGTTCGAGCAGTTTGCCTTCATCTACGACTGTCTGCGGCGGTACTACATCGGCAGATACCTCAACAAAACGTGAGCGGAAAAACGAGATAATATTACTGTAGACATTGCGTAGTATGGACAGAGCATCACACGGTGGTGCTGTTGGACTTGAGCTCTCTGAGCAGCTGGATCTTGCGTCTTCTCGCGTTGATGAACCAATTAGAGAGCTGCTGGTTGGTGAGGCCTGTCTTTGCGACGAGCTCCATTTTTTCCTTCGAGTTGGGGTACGGATGTTCGAGGTTATCGTTCAACCAGTTGAGCAGGATAACCGTTGTCTTTTTGGGCAGGTTGGAGCGCTTTTTCTTGGAGTACTTGGCCCCACAGTCGGAATCGGACGATGGGCACACCGGGGCGTTGTACTCTGAGTCGGAGCGGGCCGCTGCGGATGGCTGGCCCGGGCTAGCGGGCTCTGTGAGCGAGCGTCTTGGGAAAGAGAGGTGTGGCAGCGAGCGGTGCGTGACCAGGGGCGGTGGCAGCTGGTACTCGAGCACAGAGGAGAACGAGCTGGATCTCGAGGAGAGCGGCGAGTAAGGAAATTGCTGCACAGGGCTAGGCAGAATTGGCATGGCGGATGGGTCGTAGTTTTGGAGCGGGAATTTGTTGATGGAGTCGAGGACCGAGGAGTCCAGGATCCGCTTGATGGAGGGCAATTGTACACGGAGAGCCGGGAGCGAGTCGTATGGCGAGGATGGCGGAGTGAGCCGCTGGGGGTCAGCGTACTGTTTATTGATGAGACTGGACACTTCCATAGTTTTTCAGAGAGTGGAAAAATGCCAGGACACTTGCTTAATATATGGAGCACGTCTTTGTGAACAATAGGTTCGGTAGCTGCGTGAATAATAGCACCAAAAAGGCGATTCAGGAGACAGGTCTATCACTTTCAGCCAAAAAAAATGTGACTACGACGCATAAAACAATGGTCTGCAACCTGGAAATTCTATGCGACCGAGCGAAATAGCTGTATTGGGACAATTCAATGTGCCGCTTACTGTTCGGTTTTATAAGTTGCCAGACGCACAGCTAAAATTTTGTGGTTCTGCCGACGGAAGTTCCTCGAAAATGTAAAAACACCGCCTTACTGCGGTTGCGTTTCAAACCCCTCTGTCCACCATCGCCCGCCGTAAACAGCAACCTTCTTTGCCGCGCTCGCGTGTCCCGAGCCTCTCTGTCTGCGCCTGCCATTCCCGCGTATTCACGTTTGGCACAGTCGCGCCCACCTGTCTCGCGTACCGATCGGCTTTTCCGCGGTGTATGCACAGTGGGCTGGCCCAACGGTGGCACAAACGATCTTCGCGAGGCCGCGTTGTGGCAAACTTGACTTGTATTGTGACGTGGAGGTCGGCCGGAGTTCCCGTCGGCTCGGCTTAGCCGACGGCATGCGACTGCGGTTGAATCGAGCGTTCGAGCATGCAGCTGTCAACAGCACACAATGCGTTTTTTTTACAAACGGTGTATAACAGACAGCGCCATAAAACCGCCGCAGCCTTCGGACCTACCGACGCGATGCAATTAGAAATTCCCCCCGTAAGCAAACCGGAATGTCCTTTTCGGTTTTCAGCCGACCGCCCGATTGCACACTATCCAAGATGCATATGCATGCTGCATCCCCCCCCAACACCGTTTGACAGGTATTTTGGTGAAACGCACCCCGCTGCCAGCAGCCAGCAGCCAATCATCAGCAAACATTTATGTCACTCAATAACTCACACCCAATCCGGAATTTGACCGCCGCCCAAACTACACAGCAATTCGAGTATCCCTCAAGATCCTCTTAATTACCCTCTATATATGCACTTAGGAATTTTCCACCAACGCCTCGTGTTACAGATTTGTAGTCACGGTAACAGTCTTGGCATTTATCAATAGCGTTGGAGGAAGTCCGTTACACCAGGTGTCAAGACCGGTCACGTAGTCCAGGCAGCTCTTCTCGTCCTTGTGAAGCCCGATTTCCGGAACAGGCAACGTCGAGAAGATCAGGGCTGCATTGGCAGACGTAGTGCTCATGAGCTCGTTCAGAATTAGATATTGCGCCGTACTGCTCAGCTCGTTGAACGAGAACACCGACTCGTCGTAGGCCGTGGCTGCAAACGCGGGCGACGCGCTGCCCGACAGCGGGCCTGGCTCGGCGCCGTCCTGAACAAACATTATGGAGGGCTCGTTACCCTGTGCGTTTTCTAAAACTTGAGAATTGGGCATTGTGTCAGCAGAAAAAGTGGAAACTTTCTGGCGCAGCAGCGACGTGGACGACTTTAGGTTTCGCAGCATTGGCCGCCGCAGATGCTGCACGGACGACTTGTAGACGGGCACTGTGGGCGGATGGGGCTCGTGGCGTGATATCGACGACGCTGACGAGACAACCGACTCGGTGTCGGAAAACGAGTAGTCGTCCTCTGACGACGAGGCGTCTGCCAGCGTCTTGTGGAGATCGAGGTTCGCGATACCGTTGGAAACCATCGAGAACGCCACGCCGTTCTTGCGCATGTAGCTGCCCGAGTACCGCTTTTTGTTGCCCGCACGAAATTTCCTCACCACCTTGGAATTGATCTGAATATTGGCCACCGGCTTGGGTGCCGGCGCAGCTGAACTGCGCATCTCCAACACGGCCTGCCACCAATCGTCGTTCTCCAGACGAGAGTGCACCCTGTCCGCGTCAAACCCGTCTTTCTCGCCCTTGGCAATGTAATTGTACGTGCCAAAGTTGCCCGACTCCAAGCAAAGGACTACCGCCTCGGCATTGATTCGCAAAATCTCAAGCAACGACCGCAGCCGCTGCTTCTCCTCAGCAACGTCCCGCTTGTACTCCACAAACACCACCACACGCAGCCGGTGCGTCTTCTTCCAGCACGGCACCGTGTGCAGAATGGCGCCCAGCTGCAAAATCAAGGTGTACGTGTCAAAGTTGTTGGTCCTGATGCTCTTGCCCGATTTGTTGGTCACGTGACTAGACATCTGGATCGGGTACAGATCGATATAGCGTTGCTGAGAGTCCTGGAGCTGGTTCTCCAAGTTGCTTGGAATGTGCAGTCGCGGAAACCCCTTCGCGACGGCAATGTTGCTGTCCAGCAGCGACAGGTCTTCCAGCACCTGCACCCAGTTGCACAGACCTATATGGTCCTCCTGGATGCAAGTATCTGTGGGCAGTCCTGAGATGTTCACGTTCACTTGTTTTGAGAATTCCGGCGTTTTGGACTCGAACTTCATGCTCTTGGGCAGTTTCTGCGCCTTGTAGTTTGATAAGTCATAGAACCCGACTATGGTAATATTTGGTTTCATTCCGCCCAGTCCAGAGCCCAGAAACACGTTGCGCACTCCCCAGCAGAACGTCGGCGCGATGGCGATCTGCACAAACGCCTTCACCTTAGACACGTCGCGGAGCTTGATCCACGCGGAGCGCTGGCGGTTCAAATCGGCCACGCTGTCCTGGAAACTGTCCACCACCATGACGTGGCCGAGGATGTAAAGACCGCCTTTTTTCAGGTGGTTGCAGAAATTAATTAATTTCCAGCTCGTTCGCGGGTTGTCGACAAGCAGCAGAATCTGCGGACGCCAGTACTTGACGTTGTCCTGGCGCAATTTCAGGAGATACTTGCGCACCTGGTGGTAAATGAGAGACTGCGACACGTCTCCCCACTGTTTTGGGGGCGAGATGTAGTGGATGAACAGGACGAGGGCCATCAGCATGATGAAGATGAAAGACGCCGAAATGCCGTCGACGATGAACATGGCTGCTCCAGACGCCAGTGTGCCCATGAGGGCGGTGGTTGTGCCAAAATAGCGGAAGCTGGGCCTGAAATTGGGAGCAGAGCCGAGTTTCAAGAGGAAGCAGGCCACGTTGGTGACAATAAACGTCATGAGGAAGGCCATGGTGATGAGCGTGGCGATCTGGTTGACGTCGGCAAACAGAAACAGCTGGCACAGCAGCCACGTGAAGAGGATGCCGTAGACGGAGTCTGTGCCGAAAACGCGCAGCCCGGGCAGAATCTCGTCGATTGCGATCGCCTGGAGCAGTTTTGCCGCGCCCACAAGGCCGACAATGACCGAAAACACTGACGTCGATACCTCGCCGATGATTATCAGCGCGGGCGAGAGATTGACCGTCTGGAGCACTTGCACGTCTTTGTACAGCAGTTCGCGCGGGATGGAGCATCCCATGGAGATGATCACCAGAAGATAACACACAAACGTGATCAACAGCCCGCTCAGCGTTCCTAGCGGGATGGATTTGGACGGGTTTTTCAGGTCGCCGCTCATGGACGCGCCAGCAAAGATGCCTGCCGTAGCAGGGAAGAAAATGCCAAACACGTCTCTGAAATTCTCCTTGCGCGGCAGTTGCGAGCCCGCCGCACCTTGCGTAAAGTGCGGAAGCAGGTTTTCTGTGAAGGTGGCCCAGGAGATGCCCGTGTAGAAGGCGTCGTTTTCCTCCGAATAAAACGGAGCCACCACCAGCGACGACAGCGGCACCGACAGCGTCGACAGAATCAACAGAAAACACAGCAGCGACCCGGCTTTCGAAACTGTCTGCGAGCCAATGAGCGAGATCACCGTGCACAGAGCCAAAAACACAGTGCTGTACATAAACTGGAACCAGTAGTCTGTGGGCAGCAGTTTCCACACAACGCCGGTCTGGCTGTTGAAATTGTACAGCAGCGGCTCAATCAGGCCGGCCACGTTCAGTGCAGAGTTCAGCACCTGGCCAATGTAGAAGATGATGCCTATGGCGCCGCCAAATTCCACCCCCAGACTGCGACTGATCATATAGTACGCCCCGCCGCCCTTGACGGTCCCGTTGGTGGCGATGGCGCTCACCGACAGCGTTGTGAGAAGATCAATGCCGTAGCTCATAACCAGCAGCAGCAGCGTGCCCAGAATGCCCATCTGGCCCAGAACAAAGCCGAATCGCAAGAACATCAATATAGACAGCACGTTGAGGATCGTGGGAAGCGTGACCCCGTTCATCGTGTTGAGCTTGTGGGGCTTTTCTTCCGTGCCGGGGTCCGCGATCGACCCGTATTTGGGATGGAGGCTGCGGAAATTAGACATTAGGCGAGCAAAGCATATGAGCAAGGAAAATGCGATCAGAGGATAAAATAAATCAATAAAAAAAAAATACTTATTGTGAGCATGTTTCCTGATGCTGTAAGTAGCCCTGGAGTAACGGGCCAGCCATTAACCAGTGCAGAAGAGAAGCGACGCGCGCGGCTGGCAAAGCTAGCGGCGTGGAAGAAGAAGAAAGAGGCCGAGGCCGAGAAAAAGCCTGTCAAGTTCACGGCAAAGGCAAAAACGACGCCTAGAAAACCCACCCGTCTGGTGCGCAAAAACCTGCTGGACGGGCCGGCAGAACACACGCAGCAGACAAGCGAGGACGGCCCGCTGGACCTGGACACGCTGCTGGAAAACATGGAAAACAGCCAACACAAAGAAGGCTCTGCCGCGCTCTTTGAGAGCGACGACGAGGTCCCGTCAGAAACGGACGCCGACGCAGAAAACCTGGACCCGGCCAAACTGCTGCAGGCCATCAACGAGAAGAACAAGAAGTCGGTGCCCGAGCACCCTCCCAGCGAGCACCCGTACACCAGACGCCTCTACAAGGAGAGCGTGTTCATCAGCTCGCTGTCGCCGGACGAGGTGAACTCTTTGCGGCTGCGCGACGCGATCACCGTACGTGGCAAATCTGTTGCCCGGCCTATCATCACGTGGGACCATCTGGGACTGCCTCTTTCGCTACGGAGTGCGCTGGACTCGCTCGGTTTCGAGGCTCCCACGCCTATCCAGTGCGAGGCTCTCCCGAACGTGATGAGCGGCCACGATCTGATTGGAATTGCCAAGACTGGCTCTGGAAAAACCCTTGCGTTCCTGCTGCCTTTGTTTCGCCAGCTGCTTGCGAACCCAGCGGCGCCGTCTGTGCGTGCTCTGGTGATGACGCCAACCAGGGAGCTGGCTATGCAGATCTTCCACGAAAGCAGTGTTTTCCTCCAGGCGCTCAAGCTGCGTGGTTGCTGCTGCTACGGCGGACAGTCTATTAGTCAACAAATTGCGGAGATCAAGAAAGGCTGCGACCTGGTAGTCGGCACGCCGGGACGGATCATTGATCTGCTGTGCGCGAACAATGGCCGCGTTCTGCGGCTCAGCCATGTGACGTACCTCGTTCTGGACGAGGCCGACCGCATGTTTGACATGGGGTTCGAGCCACAGGTCATGAAGATCCTGAAGGTGACGAGGCCTGACCGGCAGACCGTTCTATTTTCGGCAACATTTCCTCCGCGGATGGAGGCTCTTGCAAGGCGGTGTTTGACGGACCCGGTCGAGGTGCTTGTAGGCGCCAAGAATCTGGTGAACGACAAGATCACGCAGCAGTTCGAGGTTCTGGACGAGGAGCAGAAATTCGGCCGTTTGGTGCAGGTTCTGGCCCGCTTCCAGAGCACCGACTCGGGAAAAATACTAATTTTCGTCGACAAGCAGGACAGCTGCGACAGTCTGGCTAATCAGCTCATCATCAGAGGGTATCCAGCGCTGTCGCTGCATGGCGGGAAAGAGCAGATCGACAGGGACGGCATCATTTCTGATTTCAAGAGCAACGTGATTGACATATTGGTTGCTACGTCTGTTGCGTCGCGCGGATTGGACGTGAAGGACCTGAATTTGGTGGTCAATTACGACTCGCCCAACCATATGGAGGACTATGTGCACCGCGTGGGGCGCACGGGGCGCGCAGGCCGCTCGGGAACGGCCATCACGTTTGTCACACGGCACCAAGAGCGCAGTGCCAGCGACATAGTGCGGTTGCTGGAGCTGTCGGGCACGCAGCCGCCTGCAGAGCTGGTGCAGATTGCGAGCCGGTTCCGCGAAAAGCTCAAGCGTGGCGAGGCGAAGTACGGGTCTGGGTTTGGTGGCCGCGGGCTGGAGAAGCTGGCCGAAATCAGGGAGCAGAAAAAGAAACTGGACCGGACGCTCTACGAGGGCGAAAACGGCTCCGAGACCAATGACGACGACGACGACGACGAAACGGCAGAGGTGCCGTCCAACAAGCTGAAGAATTTCCAGGTCGTGTTTGGCAGCATCAAGCGCGGTCCAGACTCCGCCATCCACCACGCCAAGATGAACATCAACGACTTGCCACAGAGCACGCGTTGGCACATGTCCAATAAGGACAACATTAATAAGGTCGTCGAGGCGACGGGCACGTCGATCACCACCAAGGGCCGCTACTACGGGCCGGGCAAGGAGCCTGGAGCCAAGGAAGACCCCAAGCTGTACCTGCTGATCGAGGGCGACAACGAGATGAGCGTGCGCCAGGCGGTGGAGATGTTCAAGCGGAGTCTGGTCGAAGGTCTGAAGGATTCTTTGGACGAGCGCAAGCGCAAGTTCACCATTGTGTAGTCTATATATTCTGTTGATAGAGCTGCCGGCTATGCGCCGACTTTCTCGAACGCAAACGCGAGGTAGAACGAGCACGCGTCTCTGTCCTCGCCGCTAACGCCGTACGAGCCGTCCTCGCGCCGCAGCGACTCCACAACGGGCGTGGGCAGCTTTCTGAAGTAGTTGGGGATCTCCTTGTTGAAGAGCTCAAAGAAATTCTTTTTGTACCGCAGCTCCAGATTGTACGACTCGCAAAGCGCACGGAACGTTTCGAACGGCACCACGTACTCCGGCACATTGTCAACGGCGTCCACAAGATAGTAGTTGTACACGTTGCCAAACGGATTCGCAAACTTGGCGTCCTTGGGTGGCTCCGACGGGAACTCCACCGAGTAGATCGAGTTGCCCCATTTGCGCTCGCCGGGGCCCAGTTTGTTGATTTTCCAGCGGATGAAGTCGGACGACGGAATCGTTCCAATGAACATGCCGCCCACCTTGAGCGAGCGGGCCACGTTCTGCAGCATGTTGCGCACCGTCAGCTCCGAGTCGAACGCGTAGTGCATGCAGAACTGCATCGACACGGTGTCGAACTGGAGATCGACCTGGTCGCGGAAGTCCTTGAGGATCTGTGGAACGGGCACGTTGAACGCATCTCCTGTGGCGAAAACCGCGTGGAAGTGGAACCGCGAGCGTTTGTAGCGCGTGACCGCCTCCTTGATCGAGAGGTCCGACAGATCGATGCCGACGTACGATTTTGTCTGCACAGCCTCCCATTTCGCCATGTCGCCTCCCTTGCCGCATCCCAGGTCCAGCACGTTGCCTCCCGGCCGCGCGTACTTGTGGATCAGGATATATTTGATGCAGTTGTTGAACGAACGCAGCTTGTAGATCTTGGACTCTGTGCGGCGCGTTTTGCGCGCGTGGTGCGTTTGCTGGTTGTATTTTTGCCGGATTATCTCGTCCTTCTCTTCCTGGTTCAGCCCGACAAGGCTCTGGGCCGCCGGCGACGGCGACGCCGTGCGCACGTCAGAAGGAGCAGGCTCGTCGCGCTTGTGTGTCGCCCTGAACTTCTTGACCCGTCGTTTCTTCTGGACCGGCTCCAGAGCGCCCATATCGGCGGTTTTGGCCTCGGTTTGCAAGCTGGGGCGCGGCCCTACGTCAATGGGCTCGTCTTTTGCCCGTGCACCTTGGGACATAAAAATTGCAAAAATATTATTTCCCTATTAATTTCTTTGTTTCTGTTATGTCTTCTCGCAGAACTAGACGACAGCCAGAGCCGCAAAAAGATTACGGCGACTCAGAAGAAAACCGCTCGTACGACGAGGAGTCGCTCGAGGAGGTCACTCGCTGCATCTGCGGCAACGACGAGCTGGTCATCCCGGCCGACGCAGGCCCCGAGTTCGAAGAGGTCGACACCGGTTTTTTCATCCAGTGCGAGTCGTGCTCGGTGTGGCAGCACGGATTCTGTGTGGGCATCACCGACGAGGACACGGCCCCCGAAAAGTACTGGTGCGAACAGTGCCAGCCGCAACACCACGATCTGTTCACAGATAAGTATGGGTTCCGCAGAAGCAGGTACAACCCGTACCAGGAGATGAAACGCCACCGGCGCCGCCAGCAGGCCCAAGATGCGGCTGAAGCCGCTGCGAGCGCTGGGTCCGGGTCTGGCTCGCCGCCTGCGTCGGCAGCAGAGACGGCGTCCAAGCCAGAAATCAAACGAGAGCGAGACAAGAGCGAGGAGGAGGGCGAGAAGCGCAAACGCGCACGTGGCACGCTCAATTCCAGAGACGCAGAGTACGAACAGATGCTCAAGCGGGTGCTGGAGGAATCGGCCAAGGAGAGCGGCGTGCAGCCGGACGACGTGAACCTGTCTTCTTCGAACGAGTCTGCGTCGCGGGAGACCCGGTCGCGCAAGAAGGTCAAGGACGACAACTCGCAGGAGGAGGACATCACGCAGCATAGCAACCTGAGCCAGCCGCAGAAAACCACGCCGCCGTCGTCGGCCTCGTCGTCGACGTCTAGCAGCACCAAAAAAAGCAAGAAGAAGAGAGAGGAGCCAGAGGACAAAAAGAAGCCCAAGATCGAAATCTCGGACGAAAAGCCGTTCAAGCCGAACCTGCCAAGCCAGAAAATTAGCATGAACGAGATGCGCAGACGGGTCTTTTCCATCATGGAGTTTGTTTCCAACATCCAGGCCGAGCTGTCGAACGAGGAAGACTTCAAGCGGAGTCTGCTCAACTACACAAGCGAGGATTCCACAGACGAGATTCTGCGGCTCCAAAAGTTGCTGATCGAGTGCTACAACGAGTCTGTCACGAAACTGGACTCTCTCACAGAAAAACTGAATGCCTGGGAAAAGTCGTACGGCTAGTTCATTTCAGCCCTATAAACGTGTCTGAGTCTAGTATGTGTGTTCCGCCAATCACAATTTTCAGGCCGGGGTTGAGCTGGTTGAGCTCGGCAACTAGCCGGGCCTCCTCATACGTCACGCCGCCCACAATGAAAATAACGAGTTCCTGGTCCGGGATCTTGTCGTTGCCCGCGTACGCCTCCAAGCCGTTGGGCTTGAGCAGCGCATAGTTCTTGGTGTTGAGCTTGTTTTTGAACAACTTCATCAGCACCTGTTTGAGCCGCGGACTGTGCTGCATGTACACGTTTCCGTCCGTGTTGTTCTTGAAGCTGATGCCGTTGACGGTGCCTCCCATCGTCGAGTTGGACACTTTCTCAAAGATCGACTCGCCGTCGTCGTGCAGGCGCTGTGACGTGCCGCTGGTCTGCAGCAGGTGTTTAATCAAGTCCAGCTTGTGGCTCGGGAACCCGAGCTGGTGCAGCTGTCTAGTCAGTCTGGAGAGCTGGTTGGACGGATGTGATTCGTATCGCAACGCGTACACTGCCAGGAGCTTTAGTTTGGTGTCTTCGGACAACGGAGCCGCAGGGGCGCCGTTCTGCAATTTTCTGTCAAATAGCAAGTCCTCGAGTTCTGCAAGATCGCCGCTACTGTTATCGTTTGTGGCGAGCGACTGCTGCAGCTCGCCCACCTCCCAAAGCCGCAGCTCGTTGATTTTCTTGTCGATCTCGGTGGAGAGCAGCATGTGTTTCGACAAATTGATGGACGTTTTCTTGAACTCGGGGTAGTTTTCCAGGAAAAACTTCATGTCTGTGATGGTGCTGATGTTGGAACTGGTTTTCGTTTTCGCCTTGTATGTCTCGATAAATCTCTTGAGACTCTCTGAGAGGTCTCCGAAATTAAGGTACATAGACTCTTTGTAGAACTGGTCTGTTTGTTCGTTGACCACCACCTCCTTGAGCTCTTCCGAGATGTTGTGGACGCGCGACATGTTGACGGTGTTGTTGTGGATTCCCAGCAGCTCATGGATCATCGCCTGGTACGTCCAGGGGAAGAGCAACGGGGTGATGGGGTCGTTTTTGCGGTCCAAGATAAGCAGCGACGGCGGCGAGTCTCTTAACGGCAGCTGGCCAAAAAGCATCTGGTTGGAGTTGATTTCGAAGTTCACCGCGTTGGCGAGCTTGGCGCACATTTTCGAGTTCGTTTCGTAGCGAATGACAGGCTTGTACTTGAGCGAGAGCAGCAGCGACATGACGCTCTGAAGAGACTGGTCGAACGCCGCCTGGTCCCAGGAGTCGCGGACGAGCGGGCCATACGGCGAGACGACGTTGGGCACGACAAAAAACGCCTTGTTCACAACGAGGTAGTCCATGAAAATCTCCACCACTTTGGAAATTGTCTCCAGGTCGTCCGACTCTGCCAGGCGTTCCAATTTGGAGTTCGACACCGAATTGTTAAAGAAAAGGTCGTATTTCTGGTAGTTTGGGTTGGCAATTTCGCGCGACAGATTGGCAATCGTCTCCATACTGGGCTCGAGAAAACAGATACACGACAGGTTGCGCAGACTGTCTCTCTGGAAGTTGTCGAGCTTGTCCACGAGAAACACGTCTTTCTTGAGCAATTCCGACTGTGTCGTGACCATTGAAATCACCGCAGACGTGGTTTTGTCTAACAGCAGAACGCGGATATTGTCGCTAGAGTCCTTTTCCAGTATGCGGTCCAAATAGTGCTGGGCAACGGCGTAGAGGTCCATGGGAAAAATTAAATAAATTAAATAAATAAAATAAATAAAATAGATTATTTTTATTATGTCTGTTCATCTCCCCCGGGGCAAGTCGTCCAACTCCCTAAAAGACGAGCCGAAAAAAAAGGCATTGAAGAAGTTCACCGCGGGCAAGGTGAGCCGCAATTCCTCGTACGGGGCACATCTCAACAAGCTCACGCGAATCAAGAGCAACGACTCCGGGGGTTCGTCCTCGAACGAGCCCGAACGACCCAACTTCCAGCGCTCTAAGTCGTCCGCAGACATGCTCAAGACCCTGTCGTACAACAAGCTGACCAACATGATTACTGCAAACGAGCGAACAAAGAGCATGACCAACCTCAAGATGCTCAACACAAAGCCTTCCAAGTACAAGCTGACGCTCGACGCCAGTGCAGACGACTCTGTTTCGTCCGAGGACGAGGAGGAGGTGGAATCCTTCGACGACAACGGGCAAGACGATGTGCCACCGTTGAAACATCCTCAAGACAAGAGTTATGTGCTGTCGCAGGTGTCAGGCCCGGAAAGACAGGCTAGCGAGAGCTCGAGGCCGTCGTCGTCGGAGCCGTCGCAGTGGTACAACGAGCCCAGCGTGCCTGAGACGCCTCCGAGCTCGACGCCCACCAAGACATCGGTCCAGACCCGAACGCAGCAGAAGCTCTGGCTGCAGCGAGAAAACCTGCACTCGCTGGCCGACATGGCCGACTCCAACAACGTCTTCGCATCGAACGTGACGCGGCTCGCGTTCGAGCAGCTCTCGCGCGAGTTCCTGTCGATCCGCAGATACAGCAACCCGACGATCAAGTCTCTGGCGCGGGTCAACGCCAGCTTGCTCAAGATGAAGAAAACAAGGGACCCGCAGCGGGCCGACATGTTTGCGGGCCGGCTCGCGGACTTTGGCGACGTGGTGGAGCGCATGTGGAAGAAAAACTGCACCGACTTCGAACAGCAGCACAAGCTGCACTACGACGCTCCCGAGCGCAAGAAGCCGGCCCAGCCCCAGCCCCAGCCCCAGCCGGTGCGGCAGTACGGCCACCCGCCGCCCACCACGCGCGCACAGCAGCAGGCCAAACGGTCCTCGCTCAACGTGGTCAACCTACAGAACTAGACCAGTGTATATTTATTAGCTCGACGGCACTCTGAACCGCGAGTACTGTCCTTCCAGATATATCCGCTGTAGCGTTTCCTCGAGCTCGCCCGACTGCTTGAGCTCCAGATACTTGCGGTACAGCCGCAGCGCCGAGTGCGCGTCCTCGATCGAGTCGTGGTTGCCCGTCTGGACTCTGTCGTTGAAGAGCTGGTAGATCAGGAACTTGAGTCCCAGTTTACGCTTCTCGCGCTTCAAATAGAACAGCTCTGCCGTGTCGCGCACCTGCTGCGGCGGAACCTGGATGTTTATGGCGCGAAAGTCGCCGCTGAGCGAGTGGCCCACAAACACGCACCCCAGGTTCAGCAGCAGCCAGATCTTGCGGTACGCCGTCTGCAGCGTGACAACCGTCTTGTTGGATTTCTCTGGCGTCAGGTCGCCCGGCTCGATGCCCGAGAACGACGTGATGTAATCGTTTATCTTCGACTCGTCGGTCAGAATGTAGTCGTCGATGAAGCACACGCCCTCCTTGGGGCCTTCGCCTCGAATCACAGAGACCCGCGCAAGAGACACTTTTTTCGGCCGCGCCAGCACTTTGGCCCCGTTGGAGCGGAAAATGTACTCCTCCGGAGCGAGCAGAACAAACTCTGCGTCGATAGCCACCAGCGTGCCCGGCTTTGGAGCCTCTTCTCGCGTCAGCAGCTCGTACTCGATGATCTTACCCTCACGAGTGCCCTGCGCGAAATGGTCCCGGTACAGGATCGAGTCGTCGATCACGTGCTTCCATCCGTCGTAGTCAAACTCGCGCTCGGAAAGGTCCTGATAAACTGCCAGCACCGGCCGCTTCCACCAGTACGTGAGGTTTAGGGCCTCGTCCTTGGATATTCTCGTGACCAGGAAATCGTTGAACAGGTACCACTCGCCCTCTGGCGTCCGTGTGAGCGTCACCAGGTGGTTTGTGTTGTCTCTAGAGGTGATCTGCGCCACATAGCCCACGAGCTCGTACCGCGTGCCTGCGTCCGCCACGGGGCCCGTGCGGAAGATCAGCCTGCCCGTGGCCGCAGTAGTGTAGAACTCGGGCACGAGCCAGTTCTGGAAACTGCGCACTTCGTTGAGCTGCTCGTTGTCCAGGGCTACGTGCAGCATCAGCACGCGCGGGAGCCGGCCGACGCGCAGCGTCGCGTCGATCGCATGGTAGCTCTTGCACACGTCGCAGAGGATGCTGTGCTGTAACGTCTTGTTGACGGCGGCCTCGAGGTAGTTGAGGATGGTGAACTCGGCCGGGATCAGCGGCGGCGGCGGCAGCACGTTCAGGTCCAGGGAATACACGTGCGCGGTGCTCACGTGCCGCAACGAGCAGAAGTACGAGTGCAGCGTTGTCTGGGCGACGATGCCGCAGAGCTCGTTCATGTGTTCCGGCACCGGCCGCCCGTACAGGTCTCTCTCGTCGCGCGCGAGCTGCTCGAGCAGGAACTTGTTGAACAGCTGAACGAGTTGGCGCTGGCCGTGGTCGTCACGTGCGCGGCCGTCGGCGCTGAGCAGTCCCAGCTGGCGTGGCTGCGGCAGCGAGCTGAACAGTTTCTGGAAGTTGGCGGCCACCACGTTGCGGCCGTTCGCCTTGACCAGCATATCCATCAGGTACCCCAGCTCGGCAAGAATGCAGTCGTCGTACTGCACGTCTTCCGCGAGCGTGCGCACGACAAAGTTGAAGATCGGCGGGGTGAAGCGGTACAGCTGCAGCACTGCGTTGGTGTACGAGTTGTCGACGTGTGACTCGAGGCCCGAAAACCGCGTCGAATTGTAGAACGTGAAGTCGAAGTCGTCGACGCCAAACTTGCTGTATAGGATGTCTGTCTTTTTGAACGCGTTGGGCACGTCGCTGCCTGTGGGCGTGTAAACAAACGCGTTGGCCATCATTTCGTGCTTTGCACGGATTTTGTCCTCGTTTTCGTCGTAGTCATCCTCGCGCTCGCTCAGAAACTTGGGAAACAGCGTGTCGGTGTCTCTGCGCGCGGTGAGCAGCTCGTGGCGCGCGGCCTGGTTGCGCGGGCCATACTTGTGCGGGTCGTAGCGCGCGATGGTGAACCCGTTGACGGTCTTGGCGTCGCGCAGGATCTCGGGCTCGATGGGCCGCGGCAGCTTGCCCACCTCGAACTTCATGTCGGCAGGCCACGCCGACAGCAGCATCGAGTCGTAACGCGGCAGCTTGAGCAAGTTGAACGGCGCGTCGGACTCGAACGAGAGCGCGTTTTCGCGCGGAACGGGCTCCACGTCCAGCGACGGCCGCACGGGTTCCTGGGAGAGCACGGCAAAGCTGGGCGGCCGCAGCAGCTGGTCGGTCCACAGATGCACCGTCTGCAGCGCGTCGACAAAGGCAAGACACTCGCCCGTCGACGAGATGTCAGACATCGTCACAAACGCGCTCAGGTCCGCCTGGTACAGCTGTATCCGGGAGGGGTCGAAGATATCGATGAAGTTGATCTGGCCCATGCTCGACAGGATCACCGCCACATTCGGCAGCTTCGGGTGCAGGTGCACCTGGAGAGCGCCCGCGGGGAACGCGATCGGCAGCCCGAGACTCAGTTTGCGCAGGTCAAACACGTTCACCAGCGGGTCCAGCACGTACTGGTCTTTGCGCACAGAGTAGCCGCACGTGACCAGCACGTTATCTCTGACGGCCATGGATGAGAGCGCTGCCGAGTGCGCCTTCCAGGACTTGAGAACCTGGCATGTTTTCGGGTCCATGACGTCCACCGCGCCGTCGGCACGCCCCAGCACCACGCACCGCAGGTTCGACTGCATGCACTGCACCGGGTGGGCGTACTCGAGGCGGCCGGACACCGTGCCGTTGGTGAGGTCGATGCGCAGCAGATTGCTGCTCGTTCCCACAAGCAGCTCTGTCTGCGTGTTGGATGTGTACGCCATGGAAGAGAACTGCACGTCTGCGGGCGCCGGAACGGTGTACTTTGTCAGGCCCTGTCTTGTGCCAAAGCGCACGCCGTCCGCTGCGAGCGACACAATGCCCCTCTTGTGGTTGAGAATTTGCAGCACAGGCAGCGTGTGCGCACGGAACGAGCAGTACAGTCCGAGTTTGAGGCCCTCGTACGAGTACACGTACCCGTGCGAGTCACCGAGCCAAAGCAGCTCGTGGGTGTCGTCGAACAGCAGCGCGGTGACGATCTTGTTGGCGTGCTCCTGCGGCGCGTATGGCAGGCTCTTGGGCACGCGGATGCCCGGGACGCAAATAAGCTGCGGTTAGGTTGCGGGACAGATACTTACTTCACGCCAGCCGTCCATAATTAAATAAACACCTCGAGCCGAAAATTTATAATTATATCGACAAAATTAATCAAAATTAATCGAAAATTCTTATATTTTAACATGCTTTCGAAACTGGCCCTTTTCAGAAACGCGCGGCCGCTGTTTGCAGACGTTGCCGGGTTTATCAGAACGTACAAAGTGCGCACATCGGTCAAGAAGTTCTGCTCGGAATGCTACATGGCCAGACGCAAAGGCAGACTATACGTCCTGTGCAAGGCCAACCCAAAACACAAACAGAGACAGCCGTGACTGTCCCTTGTCTACTCTGTTCATAGTAATATACGTTTGTCACATGTCTATTTGGAAAACCTCCAGCCCGGCTCCGCCGACAACTGCCAGACCCCCTGCCAGACACGCACACCCCGTGTCGGCGACCGTGGTGTACTGCTCTGTCTCCAGCTCTAGCTGCGGAACCCGCCACACACGCACCACCTGGTCCACAGATGTGGTCAGCACGCGGTTTGGCCCGCACAGCACCACGTCGGTGATCGTCGACGACGCCGTGCTGGCGACATAGGTGCTGGACAGTTCGACGGCCGCAAAGTCGAGCGTTGACACCGCCATGCCGTTGTCGTCGCCGCCGGTGACCACGAGCGCTGTGTGGCCTTCGACGGCAAGGTCGAACGACTTGATCGACGACTGGTGGATCTGCTGGTTGATCAGCAGCTGCTCCAGCTGGGGCACTTGTGCGGCCTGACGCGGCACCGCCACAAGGTCGATGGCACCGCCACAGACGTCGAACACACCTTGGCCGTCGCCCGCCCTGTACACAGCAAGATGGCCGTTGGTGGCTGCCAACACGACGTAGATCGCGTCCAGCACCACCAGCCGCACACGTAGCACGCAGCAGCTCGAGTAGACGTCCTCCACAACCAGCCGGAACGTGTTCAGCTCGTAGCTGTAGTACCACAGCCGCACGCTCGAGTCCGAATACACCGCAGCCAGCAAGAAGCCGGCGACGCGGCCGTGCTGGCACACCTCGAAGGCGTCGAAGTCCATGACCCTGGTCTCTGGGTTACTGCTGCGTGGCCGAATTGTGCGGTGCAGCCGGACGTACTTCTCGTCGCACAGTTTCCACAGATACACCTCTTCGCGGGCCGAGGAGGAGACAAAGTAGTCGCTGTTGACAAAATGGACGGCCTGGAGCCCGGAGCCGTGCTGGCGCTCGCACCAGAGCGGGACGACGCCGCCATCGACGGTCAGGCGCGATACCTGCACCGTAGTGTCCTCGGACCCGGTCACGAGCAGGTGCCCCGTGCTGGTTTTGCACGCGGCCACGGACCGGATTTCGCGCCCGTGCAACCCGGTGCGCAGGGTTTCCGGCGCGATGCGCGCGCCGGTTTGCCGGAAATGCACGCTCGAGCTTCGCGTGTAGAAAAGACGGTGGCCGCCGCCGCTTCCGGGGCGGAAACTCCACTGGCGATGGGGCCCACCGCACGTCTCACGCAGCAGCTCAAGCTGCTTCGTCTCGTTCCACAGGAAAAACGTATCGGAGCGGAATCCGTACAGCAACAAGTCGCCGTGCTCGAAATAGCCACCTTCGAGAAACCCGCGCTGGAGCCGGTTTGTTTGCAGTACTTCGAGCTCCCCCGCACACCGCACAATGCCATATTCGCGGTCCTTCATGACGACGAGCGTCTCGAGCGATGCAGAATCCAGAATTTCCACGCTCGAAACGGTGTCGCCTTTGAGGAAGTTGCGCCAGACTCGGGGCTCTGCGGGCTGTTCATCACCCGCAAAAACCGCCAGAGTTGCAAATCGCGACCCAACAACCACCACGCCGGACTCCACATCCACGTCAAACGCGCTCATCACAAACTTTCCCGCCGGCTTACTTAGTTTGCGCTCCGAAACAACCGCCATTTCGACAAGTTCCAGCAACACCAGCGGCGCTTCCAGCACGTTCTCCACCAGCACAAACTGCCGGCCGTTGCTCGTCGCTGTCAGCATGTTGCTCACGACGCCGCACTCCAACTTTATCCTATGCTCTGCTTTGCTACCATTCCCCAGAATCAGCAAGTCGCCCATCTTGTTTGCAATCAGCACAACGCCAGTGTCAAACCCACGCACCAACGAAAACTTTTCAAACCGCGGATCTGTCAGAACCAGCTCCCACAAGCCGTTCCGCAACCGCAACACCTTTCCGCAGCTGGTAGCTGCTACCAGCTCGGAACCCGTGTCGTAGTACTCCTTGACGATCTCGCCACGTGCAAATGTGGCGCCGGTCTGCTCTGCAATCTGCTCCAGCGTCCATGCTGCGTTGGCAGCCCCTTCGCGCTGATTCTCGGCTAGATCGCTGACTGTGATGGCACCGTCTGCACCGCCACTGAACCCCAGCCCCAGAGCATCGCAGACTGCGCCACTCCAGACGTTGCGACCGGTGTGCGTCTCAAACACGTCGACCGGCTCCAGCGCCGCGTTGCCCTGCTCAAACCGCCACGTGCGACAGGTCAGGTCTTCCGAGCCGCTCAGAACACTGAACCTGCCCTCTTCCTCGGCATAAATTCGCAACCACCAGATCCTGGAACCATGGCCCCAACCGGTAGCCACCTGCTCGCCCGAGCCCAGATTCCACACTCTGATCGATCGATCGTCCGAGCAGCTGACCAGCCAACGTCCGTCATTGCTAGTCCACAGACCGAAAATCGAGCCCATGTGTCCGTGCAGTCTGTGCTCAACCTGACAGTCGTCGTAGCTCCACACAAGAATGCCGTCCATAACGGTTCCTGCGCACACCAGCACCTTGTTGGGCAAAACTCGGAGACACCCCGTGTACAGAATGCTTTTCTCGCCGCAACTGCGCGTTTCCAGCAGCCGTTTCCGGGCCACGTCGACGGCAACCACAACGTTATGCGCATGCAGACAGTATACCACGGCGCCGTCCAGCGAAAATTGTGCATCTTTGATCCAGTCGCCAATCATAAGCTCATCAGGATCGCCTTCCAGCAGCTGCCGCCACGCCAATAATGCAAGCGATCGGCCGCCCCAGATACAGAGTTGAGCTGTGTGCAGATCTGAGCCAAAAACGCTGATTCCATGGATCTTATTGCGGGAAAAGACGGGCTGGCACACAATCCGCTCGCCGGTGGCTATTTCGTAGGCAACCAGGTTCGGTCCCTCGCCGGCAAATAGGTACCTGTCCATGAAAACGGTCAGGGCACACACGGGCCCGACCTGGTACACAGACTTCATTGAAAATAATTTTTCACGTATATTTTTTTCTGTTTTGCACAGCCCGAACATTTCCACCGAGCTGGCGCGGTGGAATAAATTTCCCCTTTCAGCAGGCGGCTCTTATCAGTAATCTATGACATTTCTACAGGCTGTCGATTGTTGAATATTGGCAAAGTATTTGGTCTTGTCTTGTGTTTGCAAGCAATGTCGTCTACCACTGAGAAGGCGAAACGACACAAGTCCAGAAACGGCTGCATCACGTGCAAGAAGAAGCGGCTCAAGTGCGGCGAGGAAAAGCCCGCGTGCGCCAACTGTATTCGCCGCAAGATCGTCTGTGGGGGTTACCAGACCCGCTTCAAATGGAAAGGTTTTACCCAGACTGCACCTTTCGAGTCGATGTCGCGCAACTCGCGCAAGAGCTCTGAGTCTTCCGACGGTCTGCCCGACACCAAGCCTGTCGACGAGCCGGCTCCGGCTCCCGAGCAGGACGCCGCCGGTAGCCGCCAGCTGCCCTCCGAGGTGATCCAAAAGGCACTTGAGGCTGCCACGTTGTCGATGACGGGCAAATCCACGCAGGAAATCGCCATAGCCAATGCTCTGATGGCGAGCGGGCGCAACCCGGACCTGGCCTCGTCGATCGCGTCCACTTTAACCGACCTTGCAGCCAGAACTCCGCCCGTGCACTCTGTGGACACGCCGGAGAAGCGCGAGGACGAGCCAGCCATCAAGCGAGAGGAGGAAAGCGTACTGTCTGACGCTCCGCTCAGTAATTCGCCGCTGCTGGCCGCTAGTCCCGCATTTAGCGACGCAGGACTCTCGCTCAGTCTCTACCACGACGCCTTACCCAGAGAATCGCGTTTCGTGCCGGGTAATGTACTCTACGACCTGCTCAACAGCGTCACAACACCAGAGGGCCGGGTCGACTCGCCCAAGCTGCTGGCACAGCTGGAAAAGAACCCGGCCGCCATGGAAGAGTACCAGCAGCTGGTGGCCAGCCCGACATACTCCTCGGCTTTCCGCACCGGAAACTCGCCGCTGGCACCCATGTCGCCGCTGACCTCGTTGGACGACGCGCGCACACCCGGGTCGCCCGTCTTCTCCAACATCGTGAGCGCGTTCACATGTCTCGACCGCTCGGAGCCATCAAGCCCCGACGGCCGCTCGGCGCTGGCGCCGCACCATATTCTCTCCAAAAGCCCGCCCAGCTCCATTCCGCGAGCCATCGAGATAAAGGACAAAACGTTCAAGATCCTCGGCGCATACGAAACGTACACCAGCGCCATCATGTCGATCAAAAACGGGCCCTCCGAGAACCCCTGGCGCACTTTGTTTTTGCCCATGACCCAAGAATACCCCGTGGTGTGCAACGCAGTGAGCGCTATGGCGTGCTTCCATCTCGCGCGCGGCGACCAGCAGCTGCGGTCGCAGGGCATGACGCACATGAAAAACGCCATCGTCGAGCTGGTGCACGGCCTCAGTGACAAGACCATCCCGCCCGACGTGGCGCTCGCCGCGTGTCTCGCGCTGGCCATGAGCGAGGCATGGGACCGTCACGTGACCACGGGGATCGGGCACCTGCGCGGAGCACGGACGATGATCACGCGGCTGCTGAGCGCGCAACAGGCGCCGCATCAGAGTGACCTCAAGTTCCTGTTCAACACGTGGATGTACTTTGACGTGCTGGCGCGAATGACGGCGACGGGCGACGCCGACGACGCCGACGACGGCGAGACTGTGGGCAAGAAAAAACCCACCGACTTCAACTCGCTCGTGGCGCGGTTCGAAGCGTCGCACGCACCTTCCGCGCAGGATATCGACCCGCTGCTCGGCGTGATGCAGAAGCTGTTCCCCGTGATTGGCAACGTGGCAACGTTGGTGCAGAAAGTCCGCAAGGAGTCGCGCAATTCATTAGGCGTCATTACACAGGCGGTGCAGCTGAAGCAGGAGCTGGAGCGCTGGCGGCCGCCGACTCTGCGCAACTACCAAGTCGAGGACCCGCTTTTCGACCTGGCGTCGACCGTCGCAACGGCGGAGGCGTACAGGTACTCGACGCTGCTGTATTTACACCAGGCTGTGCCGGAAATCCCGTCCAAATCGTCGCACAACCTGGCCAAGAAGGTGATGATGCTGCTGGCGTCGATTCCGACCTCGTCGCGTACCTGTGTGACGCACATTTTCCCGCTTCTCGTTGCGTCGTGCGAGGCAGAGCCCGGCGAGGAGCGCGAGTGGGTCAAAGCGCGCTGGGAGCTGCTGAGCTCCAAGATGTGGCTGGGCAGCATCGACCGCGCGCTGGAGGTGGTGAAGGAGGTGTGGACGCGCAAGGACATTTTGCGGCGTAAAAGAGCGCAGGCGCAGCAGTCACGCAACGACGGCACCGACGACGACGACGATGACTCGTTTGTGAGCCTGAGCCGCAAAATCAACGTGGTCGTCCACGGTGGCGACGGTCCGCCCGACGACGACGACGAGCGCGTTGGCAGCTGGTCGCACTGGAGCACCGTCATGAAAGAGTGGGACTGGGAGGTTCTGCTGGCCTGATGCATGTGTATTATATTCAATCTTATTCATCCTGGAAGTTGCATTTATCGTAAAACGACTCCCAAAGCTCGATCAGCTCTTTCTGGCTCTCGATCAGGCCCTCCCAGTAGATCTCGATGGTGCTTCGAAACTCGTCGACCTTCTCAAACTCGAACTTGTCGAGCTCGCGCTTGAAGTTCTTGTTGAACTCTGCTTTGAACTCCTCCTGCCGAGCAATCGTGTTCTCCATATTGGCCAGCTCATCCTCGTACTTCTTGATCTTGTCGAACTGGTTGTGGTTCTTAGATTTGAACTTGATCAGGTTCTTTTGTTTTTTCGAGTGCTGGCTCTGCAAGTTCACAATGTTGGTGCACAGCTTGAACCGCATCTCGAAACAGTTGCGGATCGACCCGATCGTCCGGATATACTCGTCGATCGTCGTCCCGAGCGTCAGGATCTGCTGCAAGTTTGTCCGTTCCAGCAACTCTTTCACCTTCGACTGCAATTCCTCGTAGTTTGCAAACAGCTCGCTCAGCTCTGCGTTGACCTCCAGATCGGCCAGCTCCTGGATTATCAGAATCAGCTCGTTCATCGATGTGATTACGTCCTCGCGCTTCTCGACGATCATGTCCAGCGTCCTCGATAGTGACCGAAGCTGCTGGTCCAGGCTCTCAATGTAGTTCTGCTTCTCGATGATGAACTGGTCGTTCTCCACATATTTCGGCGTGCTAATGCTGATCAGCGAGCTCAGAAACCCGCCGTTCGAGCCGCCCGTGGCCGTGTTGATGATGGATGAGGCCGAAAAGTCGTTCGCGCCGTCCTCACCCGCACTGATCGACTGGTCGTCTCCGCTGCTACCGCCGTGGTAGTACAGAAACTCCCGCTCCTTCGACTCGGCCGCAAACCGCTCGCTCTGCAAAAACACAATGAAGTCGTAGTCTTTCTGGAAAACGGACACGCGTGCGATCTTGTTGAGCATTTTTTCGAGCGCAAGCCGTCTGTTCTCAATGAACTTCTCGTCGAAACGGCCATACGCCTGCTTCTCCGGCGGCGGAGGAATAATGTAGCCCGGATGGTTGTTCATAAGCTGATTGTACAGCCAGAGAAAATCCCTGTATCGCCGAGTCACCGTCGTGGTCTCACTCTTGAGAAGACTCGACTTGGTTTTCGTCGTAATCGAGTACACGATGTGCGCGTTGGTGAGCTCGCCAACTTTGATCGGGTCGCCAACAATGATCTCGAAATGGTCTGCCGGCTCTGGCGTCGCAGGCGTCTTGATCGACGGCTTCACAGGGCTGGCGCCTCTTTTGATATCGAAAAGCGGCTTATCCACCGCCGCAATCAGATTCTCCTTCCTCGACTCCACAGACTCTGTCTGGGACTCTTCCGTCCTGGTAGACAGCGGATCACACGCATTGGCCGTGTCTGCGCTCTTCCGACGCGCCCTGCGTGGACGAAACACTCTGGTCTTCTTGTTTGGCGAGGTCACCGGCTCTGGCCTTGGCTGGTCATCGCTGATTTTTGGCGGCGATTGAGGAGCATCGAAGTCGAGAACGCCGTCCAACGGGCCCTCATTGCCCGCCGTGAACAGCCGCTCGTTCGCATTGGGCGTGTCAGACAGAATTGACTGCGCCCATGTGCTGTTTTCCTCCTCGCCGGCCACCAATGACGACAGCAGCTGCTTGTTCTTCTGCTTCGCCTGCTCTGTCTCGTCAATTGCATCCTCGATGGGCCCCTGCGCTGGCTGCGGCTCATCTCCGCTCTCTGTGCGCTGCGCGGTCTCTTCCAGCTCCTCCTTGCCGATATGGACCGAACGCATCGTGTCGGTGAGCTCGTTGTAGATGTTCGACTCTGTGCGGAAGTCAACCTCGTCCATGTCTGCGCCAGTGAGCTCGCTGGCGTAAGGGTTGTCGTCCGGACTAAACAGCACGCTCACGCTGTGGCCCGCGCCCGGCGTGGCGTCGTCGTTCCAGACGTTTTCCTCTTCGAAATGGTTCATGAATAAATAAAAAAAACTCGGTTTGCCACTTTTGGAGCAAGGTGTAATTGCACTTATTTTGCATGTTTGACCACACTCCTTTTTTCCTCAAGTGTGTGGCAATCTACGAGCAGGAGCTGCAACAGTCTGGCCCGCGGCCAGCGGTCAAACAGCCGCCGCGCCACAGCAAGCTGACGGCCGGGAACACGTTTGTTCAGGACTCGATCAAGCTCAACACCATGATCCTCCAGCTGGGATCGTTTATCAATGAGATCCAGACAGACTACCTGCTCAGCCACTCTAAAAAGCTGTCGGAGGCGGACAAGGACGAGATCGACACGAACTTCAAGGTGCAATTGGGCATCCTCAACAAAAAGCTAGAGAGCCTGCGAACGTACGCCGAGCTGCTCGACAAGCAGCTCGAAACCAGCAACCCCGTCGAGGAGCTCGGCCGAAACCTGCTCACGATGGGCGAGTATGGCCAGACCGCCACGATCGCCAACAATACAGTCATGGAAGTCCGTGCCAACATCCTCAAGTCGCTCGGGTTGCGGCTGACCAAGATCTCTGCGCATTTTGTTTCCATCAGCAGTCGGCGGATGGAGCGCAAAAAGGAGCTCGCAAGGTCAACGCTCAACGCCAGCACGTACCTGCAGCAGGCGTCGTACGAGCCACTCGAGCAAGAGGTCGCGGAAAAGGCCATTTCCAGCGAGTATGGCGAGCTGACTGCGGAGCTTGGCCAGCAGCAGTTGCAGCAGCTATCGCAGGAAAACGAGTCGCTTTTGCTGGAGATGAAGAACGCACAGATCGAGAGCGTCAGCCAGATCGAGCAGTCGATGCTCGAGATATCCTCGGTCATCAACGATATCAATCTACAGCTGCATCTGCAGAACGACGCCATCTCCGTGCTGAGCTCGCACCAGGACGACACCGTGGCCAACCTCAAGATGGGCAACACACAGCTTGTCAAGGCCAACGAGCGAGCGAAACGGTCCGGCCAGAACCTCAGCTACCTGATCCTAATTCTCAGCTTCCTGCTGCTGGTTATAGACTATATACTGTGACGAAATATTATGCCACCAGCTCGAGGATTTTCCCGGCGCCGATGCTCCGCCCGTCTTTACGGACCACCACGCGGCCCAGCTTGTGGTTCTGTGCGACTGTCAAAAGGGGCAGCTCTCGTTCGAGCAGCTCCACCACGACCACGGCGGTGTTGTTCGAGCTCAGGTGGCGCCGTTTTTTGCTCAGGCCGTCTTTAGTCACGATCGACTCGATCTCGCTCAGCCGCGACGGCACAGAGATCCCGTTCTTGAACAGCACGAACGGCGTGCCCACGAGAAGCGGCCGCTCGATGTTGAACAGGTTTAGCTCGCACTTGAATTTTTTCACAGGTTGCAGGACGTTCGACGCCAAAGTCACCACGTCTCCTATTTTGATGTTTTCACACGACGCCAGCTTCTTCAGCTTCAACTCCACAAACTCGCCCTCCTGCGCAAGTTTCTGCAGATCGTGCTTGATCACCGACGACCCAACGCTCGAGGCCGTGATCGAGATCGAGTCCACGACAGCCGTCTCCTGGCTCGGAGAAATGCTCACCGTCTCGCCGGGCTGGACGATTCCCGAGTTGATCCTCCCGCTGATCACCAGCTCGTCGTTCTTGCTGGACTCTCGGATATCGCTGATTACCATGACAAAAGGCCAAGTCTTGTCCACAACGTGACTGACCGCTCGATTTTCCTGCTCCAAAACTTGCAGCAGTGTAGGACCCGTGTACCACGACAGATTCTTGCTTGGCTTGACAACGTTGTCGCCGAGGAAACCCGACGTCGGCACAAAAACCAGGTTCGCCACGTCGTACGCCAGCTCGTCGACGAGAAACTGTCTAATCTGGTCGCAAATCGCGTCGTACACCGTCTGCGACCATTGCGTGACGTCCAGCTTGTTGATCGTCACCACACACCGCTCGATGCCGAGACTCTTGGCAATGGTCAAGTGCTCTTTGGTCTGGCCCTGGTTGCTGAACCCGCTCTCGAACGAGTTTGCGTCGATGTTCATGACCGCTAGGTCGGCCTGGCTCACTCCGTTGATCATCTGCGGAACGTAGTCTTGATGGCCCGGAGAGTCGATAATGGTAAACTTCTGCGTTGGCGTCTCGATCTGTGTCTGACAAATGTCGACCGTGACGCCTCGGGAACGCTCCTCCTGCGTCTGGTCCATAATCCAGGCGAGCGAGAACGACGACTTGCCCATCGCTTCGCTCTCTTTAGTGAGCTTGTGCAGCGTCTTGGAGTCGACAATTCCCAGATCGTATAGCAGCCGGCCGATCAGCGTGGACTTGCCCGAGTCGACGTGGCCGATCACGACAAACGACAAGTTTGGCTTGCTGTTTCTCTTGGCCAGCTCGGCGTCGATATCGATTTTCTGTTTCGGCTTCGATGCCACCGGCTTTGGCTCTTTTATCTTGATCTTGGCCACTTTCTCTGTGAGGTTCTCTACTTTGCGGTCGTCGGGTCCCGGCTTCGCAAAATTCGCAGCGGCTTTCTTCGCTAGATCGGTGTTAGTATACAGACTGATTTCGGGCAACGGAGACGGTGGCTCTGTGGGGCGCACAAAAAGAAGAGAAATTAGACTCGACGGAGCGGTAGTCAGTATGCTGAATGATGTAGTAGACGGAAGCGGAGGAAGTAGGGGGACGGGCTCGGCATCTTCCTGTTTCTGTATTTCCAGAACCCCCTGTTCTTCCTGTTTGGTCTCGGCCGGTTTTGGCCTTCTCAATCTCTCTCGTTTTGGCGTGTTCTTGACCTTCCCAAGAAGACCAGACAACCCCTCTCTGCCCTCGTTTCTGAGCCCGCGCAGGCCCGTGCGTTCTCTGCGTTGCTGTGCCAGCAGCTCCAGCTTCGACATTGGCCGTTCTACTTGTTAGAATCCAATTGGGACCACCCTCAGGGACCACCCATACGTACTCATCATACTCACGCTTGTAGTTCTGCTTCACCTCCTCAAAGGAGTCTTCTACGCTGAAATAGTTGCTCCATAGAATTTCTTTCAACGCCTTTTCGTCCACCTGGTAATTCTTCGCCAAGGCCTTGATTTTGGGAAGAGCGTCGTACAACTGGTCGTATTCGTCGTCGTTCAACGCGTCTTCGTCAAACCCCAAGTCCTCGTTTTCGTAATCGCGCAAGTCGTCGTCATCGAAGCCCCCCATAGGGAATAAATATTAAATAAATAATAAAAGGTATGCTAAAAAAACCAGTGTGTCGTACACACCCATAGCTGGTGTCTGGGTGAAAATTAAAATTGCTGGAGCGAGACCCGCGGCGTCATGATTTGTTCAGCAAGTCGCTGACGCGAGCTTTTATGCAGTAGGGACACATCATGTGGTTGCAGCGGTTGCAATCAAACCGATTAATGGTTTTCGCGAGCAGCTGGTCGGCCATGGAATTCCAGTAGTCGTCGTCCGAAATGTTGGGGCCCGCAGTTTTCAGCTGGCTGCGTTCCACGACAAAATGGTCTAAATCGCCGTAGCTCTTGCCACACTGGCAACAGTACCACTGTATGATCTTCATCTGGTTGAGGCCCTTGAGCTTGGCGACAGACAGCTGGCCCAGAACGTTGATGGCCTCGTCCTCCTCTTTGATAGAAGTCGGAATGGGCAGATCCTCGTGCACGTACTTGACGCCATGAATCTCTCGGATAAGTCGTTTGACCTGGTCGTGCGAAAACTTGTACTGGTTGGGCGCTGGCTCGCACGTTGGCGTGAGCGACTCCTCGGAAACCCTCGGCTTGTCATTCGGGTTGGGCTCGGAATGTCTATAAAGGTTGCTTCCGGGCGACGAAAGCGTGGTGAAGGATCTGTGCGGGCCGAATTCCGAAGACCACAGGCTGCCCAGGCTGATGGACTGGGTGGAGTCGCGTCGTAGAAAGCAATCGTAAATGTTGCTTCCGGCGTAGGTGAACTGCTCGTCCAGCGGGGTTCTCAAAGGCGAGTTTGCGGAGGTCGGTGTGTTGGACGGCGAGCCGAGAAAAAGGTTGGGGTTTTGTTCGAGGCTTGAATGTCGGAACTGGTCCTCTAGATCATGAATATGTACCGGATCGATCTCAAGTTTTGGTAGCTTTATCCGCTTTTTCGAGGGGCTTGAAGCGTATCGTCTGAGACTCAGTGGCTTGTGGTTCTCCCCTTGTGTGCTCATGGAAGGAACGGTGCTAATGAGGGTGTTATATGTGAAATGACATAAATGGCTCGGCTACCGGGAACAATGTGTTTTTTATAGATAAGTCGACTTCGTTGCTCTCTAGGGAAAAGATTCTATCATGTCGACTGTACCACGTCCAAATATTAAAAGGGACAAGTTTGCGCATCAGAGCGAGCGGCTCGATGCGGGCACGAGGAAATTATGGGTCGGTCTAGAAAGTTTTGTGTCGCGATCGGCTATTCTGGGCCGGGCCTAGACCCTTGCGGCAGCGGGGCTCCACATAAATGACACTTGTGTCAGAGCATTGTGTTTTTTTTTCCATCTCCGATTTACGACGTGGAATTGTTCGGCCAACAATGCGGTTCTCCAAAAGAGAAACACCAGCTATTATAGGAAAGAATTTGCTACGGTTTTCTGGAATTGGAATTCACCAAACTAGCTCAGGAAAATACAAATACGACTTAACAAACAATGTAAACTGGGATCCTCAGTAGCTCTTGGATTTGCGTTTCCAAGGCATCTCGCCGTGCTTTTTTTTCTCCAGCCTCCGTTCTCTTCTCAGTCTTCCCTGCATCAGATAGTAGCTTGCTCTTCTAATCACTATGGCCAAGGTCTCCTTGGAGTAGCCGTACTGGTACTTCATCTCCACCAGTTTCCACAGCCTCTCGATCAGAGCCTGCCTCTCTTCCGCAGGGGTGTCTCTAATCCATGTTTTTTCTCCCAACGGGAAATTAAGGTCCTTTTTGAAGATGTTCAAAATCTGCTTCTCCCGCTTTGCAGTCTCCTGGATATCGTTAGGAAGTTGCAGAACGTGCGACAACTGCGATAGCGACAGCCTCGAGTCGCTGATTTTCTTGTATTTATTATCCTTTTTGCGGTCGTCGTAGTCCAGAGAAAGGCTTTTCGGCGACTGAGCCTGTGGCTCGCCGGTGTCGCGGGTCTCGATTGTCTCGACCAGGTCCTCGTCCTTCTGCGATTTGAGGACAGGCGAGCTGCTGGCGTATTTCTGTGTGGCGAAGGGCTTGGTCAGCTCCACAGTGTTTATAGTCTCGACATTGTCGTATGTCCGGTGCGAGTGGAACATGTGCTCAATGTCTTGCGGTTTGACAGGCTCGTGGTACCCGCCAAACTTGTAGTCATCCATTTCAGTGAAGGTGAAATTGGGGAAGTGTGGAACGTCAAACACCGACGACGACGACGATGACGAGATTGGCGACTCCATTGAGAGCTGTGTGTCCTGCAGCTCAGCGTGGAAATCCGGCTGGGGCATCCTGACATCAGAGACCAGCTCTGGCATGAGCTCATATTGGATAGGGTCTATGAGCTCATGGGATGACGATAGGAAGGGTTCGAAATGGCGGTATTCCGAGCTGCCCTGGCGAGTGTCCAGTTCAGAACGATAGCTGTAGATGTTGGCCATTGCGAAAGACGAAGGTTGGTCCATGAAGTTCCTGGATAACTTTTTGGAAGGAAGGCTTATCGGAATGCTGATATACTGTCACCACAAAGGCAGATTAAGATTAATATAACCGATTGTCAAACAATAAATAGAGCGTTGAATGAAGTTCATTGGACGAACATACAATACCCATTATTGTCCCCCGCTATTGTTCCTCCCTATTTTTCTACCCAAGTCGTGCCCCCGTGCTAATTAATCTTGCAATAATTCTCCCTTATTACCTGTGCTTATCTGCTGTGGCTACTCAGGACATTTTTTTCCACGACTGTGTTATCCTAAAATGGAAATGTATATCTCCTTCAACAGCTGTGTCACTGTTAGCCAAACCCCGATAAGCTATTACTCTCTACGTACTGACTACCCACACTATGCTCGTTCCGCCCACTGCCGGTCCAGATGGTAGATTTTGATGAATTCCGAAAGCAATGGTACTATGTTGAACCGCGACCGAATGCCTCCCGAGAACTCGATCAGCTTGGAGTTTAGTATGCAGATTCTGCCAAGCTGTTTGGGAAACGTCACCTCATGCCAGTCTAGCTTGCAGTTGGTTAGACACAAATTCTCCAGATGTTTAGGTAAGCCCGTGTTGACAAGATCTGAGGCTGCGGTGGAAAACGTGCAATTGGAAAATGTTAGCACTTTCAGGTTTTCCAGCTTGCGGAATCCCATGCCGCTCTGCGTGAGCAGCACCCCGCTGATTGCGAGCGAGGTCAAATATCTGCTCTCCAGCCCTATCACATAGTTGCAGCTCTGGGCCTTATCTCCCACCACCTTGATCGACAAACTTTTCAGGCTGTGCATTTTGTTCAGCCAGGACAGGTCTGGATGCGAGGCGTCGAGCTCTTCTTTCAGCGACAGGTCCAGCTCGTATATGCTGTCAAGACCGATAGTCTGGATGGCCGAAAAAATGCTGTTGAAGATCGTCCGGCCCGAGCGCCCATTTGTTGCACCGAGCAGTGACCGATCCTTCATATTTATGCTGATGTGCTTTTTAATATTCATCTTGCTGACTGTCTGCAGGTACGCCGGCAGCGGCGTCGAAATGAGCGTGTCGATGCGCAACTTGACAGTTTTGATGTTTGGGTTGATGCGAATGATGCTGTCCACGATTCTCTCATATTCTCTGGAATGGTACATTGTGGAGCTCGTGCAGATGTCGATTTCTGATAGATGTGTTAATCGCGTCAGAAGGTTCTTGCTTGTGTTGAGTTTCGACAGCCCAAAACACAGTATGAGGCCCTTCAGTGACCGCACCTTGTCCAAATATTTGCCGTTGCGGAAAACATACAGCTCCTCTAAATACGAGCACCCGATTTTAATTCCTCCCGTATTTTCCAAAACAAACTCGATTTTTGACAAGTCCAGCTTCCAGTATATTTCCACATACAACAGACTCACTTTGTGTGCCTTGATGTACCGTTTCAACCGCGCATACTCCAAAGACCCACTCAAAACCGACATGTCCACCTTGCACATGTCGGATCGCTTGATCTCCTGGGGAACCAGCACGATCCCCTTTCTGAGCGCCTGGAATGCGGGATCGTGCAATCTCGGATGGTCGAGCAGCTGGATCAGGGCCTTTGAGCCCACGTACTCCAAAACAGCCTGCTGCAGCTCAAACGGGAGCTGAAGAAGTAGCTGCGACATAAAAGAAAGAATCTGGCGCGCACAAATATCTGGTCTGAGGATGACTATATATAGGGCGACTGGCTGTGCTACAGATGGGTCCGTGGGCCGGCTCGAGACGATGGATTTGGGCTCGCGCACTTGCCTTGTCGCGCACTAGCGTAGGCTCTTGTGGCTACCATCTTGGCTGGGGCCCCTTTTTGGTGCACGGATGTCCTTTATAAATATGATAGCACATCAAAAAAGTAGTCAACATGTCTTTGCAGTCTATTGTTGCGTCGATGATCGACGATGCACCTCCGGGCAACAATCTTAACCTTATCAATGACATAAAAATACTGCTCAACAAGGAAGACTCGCGCAGGATCATTGCTGAGAACCTGGAACAATTCTATCTCAACAAAGACTTCAAGCTCGTCAAGATAAACGACAGCGACTTCGCATTGGTTTCAAAATTCAACAAGAAGGGCGTCAAATTCTTCGACCCGGTGCTCAACATCACTTTTGACTACGATTTCGACGCGCTCAAGGTGATAGACGTCGAAGCCGGTCAGACTCCAGTTTCCGACGAGGTCGAAAGCTACAACAAGGAATTCGCCGAGTACTGCGCCAAACACTATCCGACTTTCTACAAGTCACTCGTGGTTGCCGACGAGAGCGACCCGGCTGTTTTCTACTTTGTGATTGTGGATGAAAATCTGAACGACGCAAACTTCTACAATGGAAGATGGCAATCGTTCTACAAGTACAACTCGAGCACGAAACAATTAACCGGGGAAATCAGCGTCAAGATCCACTATTACGAGGACGGAAACGTGATTCTCAACTCAGGAACCAAGATCAGCGAACAGGCCGGCTCCTCCGTGGTGGACACCATAGCCAAAGCAGAGACCGCTTTCGAGACCGCTGTGTTCAGCAAGTTCGCTAACCTGAACGAAGACCTCTTCAAGAACCTGAGAAGACAGCTGCCAATTAACCGGTCGAAAGTCAGATGGGGAGATGCCATTGGAAACTATAAACTTGGCCAGGACGTTGTTGGGGGAAGACATTGAAATAGCTTATTAGTCATATTAATTTCAATAATGTGTAAATGATGAAGAAACCTAACACTCCAACCACCACCATCCGGAACGTCTGCGGTTTGCTGGCAACCACGCGTCCCAGCTTGGACGATGTTGTTTTCACGTTCTCAAACAGTGCGCTCATGGCGTTGGACACGTTGGACAGCGTGGTGGAGTCTTCTTGCGCGTAGTTGTTGATATCGTTGGCTACATTCTTGAACGTAGAGATTTTGCTGGCCAGAAGATTGAACTGGGACTCGTTTTCCTGCTCGATACCAGCAGCACGGGACATGTTATTGCTTAAAAAATCAATCTGCTTAAGTAAGACGCTTACAATTATATAGGATTAACGACAGATCCCGATTGATCGATCTATTGCTCTATCCAAAATGCTCAGCACGAAAACAGCCAATTGGACGCCTAGGCGTTAGCACAATCTCAGTCAAGAAAGTTGTCGCATGGTATATAGACTCCCTATATGGAACTAGGCGTGTTCCGGGATGTCTATTTCTCAAACGCAAATTATCGGTCATCATAGTTGCACTTACCGTGTGCAAAGTCAGCCTGGCATCAATCGATGCGAGCACCGCTTGGAGATTACGACTGAGAAAATACAGGCTGAGGATTAGAGAAAGCTATGGATAATTTTTAGGAAAGAAAAGGGTACACGTGATCTCCAAGAGGGTTTTACCAGGCGACTCCTCACACCTCCCGGTGTTTTTTAAAAAATCGGCCGGGCAATTTCATGCAGCGTCCCAGGCGCTCCCTCCGCACACCTCAGTCTGCAAAGTTTTTGAAAAATTTGAAACAATTTTAATATTCACATAGTATACGTTACGATGTCTACTGAAACCAGCGTCAAGGCTTCCAACTGGAGACTCGTCCAAGTCGGCAGAGTCGTTCTCGTGAACAACAAGCTTGCCACCATCGTTGAGATCATCGACCAAAAGAGAGTCCTCATTGATGGCCCAGCTATCCAAAGACAATCTATCTCCCTCGGAAAGACCGTTTTGACCCCATTGGTCCTCGAAGGCCTTCCAAGAGGCGCAAGAACCGCCACCGTCTCTAAGAAATGGGCTGCTGCAGACATCGATGCCAAATGGGCCAAGACCTCCTGGGCTAAGAAGATCGCCCAAAGAGAAAGAAGATCGCAACTCACAGACTTTGAAAGATTCCAAGTCTTGGTGTTGAAGAAACAGAGAAACTACGCTGTGAAGAAGGCTATTGCCAAGGCCTAAGCCAGCATTATGTCGAAATAGAAACAAGCTTAAGCCTTGAAATCTTGGACAGGCTTTGATGTACAACGGTTTCATTAATTAAATAACTGAAGCAATTGGTATTGAGTATACAGGGTAGTTTACAGTATGGACAAAATGCGTGTGTATCCAGGCACGCAGTTTGGCTGTACAACAGTCGTAGAAACGGCCAGGCCGCACTGACCGCGCTTTCAGCAGGCGGCGCGTCACGTGATCAGGCTGCCAATCCGCTCAGGATCTGATCCAGGTTGGCTGCGGCCGCGCCTGAGGATGCTGCCGAGAGGTCTTTCCTTGCCACAAACACTGCAAACAGGCGCTCGCGGGCCCCGTGGAGGCTGGTCATGTTAAAGTGGCTGAAGTATTTTGGCAATCCCTCCTGCTGTGTTCTCGTAGTGTCCAATGCAACAAGATAGCTGTCCTTGATGTATGCGGGCTTGTAGGCAATGACTCCGTACTTGTTTCGTGAGTTGAAGTATTCCCAAAGTTTTCTGAACCGTGTCTGTGTCTGCTGGTTCTCGAATTCCGAGAGGTGTGGAGATGCAAATGGAACTAGTTCCACTAAATACAAGTCTCTAGTATTTATAATTTCCCAAAGGTAGCCAACCGCTTTCTGAGCGTCCAGTCGTCCCTCAATGTCAAGCCGGTTATTACGAGCAACGAAGTCGCTCACAATTTTGCGCGCCTTGGCAACTTTGTCCTCGGTGCTATCATACGTCGAAGCGGCGTGATATCTGATGGTCGTCTGCACATCGGTGACGGGAGCAAAGCTCAGGATACCGTTCCACAAGGTCTCGTCCACATCAAAATTGCGTGCCGGATCGTAGTCGTCTTCGTCGTCGTTGACAACGGCTTGGGATTCTGGCGGCGTAGGAACCACATCCTTTGTGCCATTCAGAATCTTGTCAAAATCGTCATCGTTGTCAAAAGTCTCCTCAGGCCTTTGTTCATGCTCTTCATCGTCAAAGTCGTTGGCAATTGTGGTCATGATATTGGCATTAAGATTGGCCGTAGGAGGAGGAGAGGCACTCGCCTCCTTCTCTTCATCCTGCAGTCTTTTCTCCTCCTGCAATTTTTCGATTTCGTTCCGACGAGATTCGTCGGCCGTTCTCGAGTCGATGTCGTCAAACTGGTAATCTTCCTCAATAATCTCCTCTCCCTTATGCGTTCGCTTGATCTTCACTTTCTCCAAGGTGTTTGTGATCACCGACTGGTTGATGCTCTGCTTTCTCACCGCATCAGCAAACTCCTTGTAATCGTCCCGCATCATCTCCTCAGGCGTCAGATGCACGATCTGCTCGTAAGTGTACTGTCCAGACAACACCTTATCACTCAGATTGGATTTATCGAGATTGAAAAGCAGCGTTCTGGACTTGCTGAGGTACTCTGGCGACATAGAATCGGAGCGCTTGTTTGGAGGCGGGAACGCTTCGAATAGCGCATTCTCCAGCCCGCTGGCTATATCCTCTGCCGCACTATTCACATCCATTTGTTCAAGCAATTTGTGGTCTTCGGGAATGTGTCCTTTGAGTTTCTTTGCAAATTGGCTCACCACAGACTGTCTCGTTTTATTTCTATCCACCTTTTTGCGAACTACCTTCTGTGGTCTCCGCACGGGCTTCTTGACCTTCTCTTCCGGCTCCTCAAGCTCCGCTGGCTCATCAAGATCGTCTGCTTCGTCACCTTCTTCCTCTTCATCCTCGTCTCCGTCCTCCTCATCTTTCTCGCCATTCCCTTCGTACTCCTCGTCGCTCTCCCCGTAAACAGCACCCGCGTCTTCAAAATCTTCCTCCTCCTGGTCGTCAATTTCGTCTATTCTGTCGGGGAATCGCTCTTTATAGTAATCATCCGGACTCAATGCAAGTTCCAAGTTTTGGTATTTGTCGTTTCCCGGGTCGCACAGGTTGCAAACGTAATTGTCCGGTATACTGTCCTCTCTGTCTGTTCCAAGCAGGCACTTTGCATGCTGCCACGTCTCGCACTTGTCGCATTGGATCATCACGCCGCGCTCGTCCTCGTCCTCGTTGTAATTCAGATCGTGGGACCCGCACGGCAGACAGCGCACCTCCTCTTTTTCTGGCACTTTCACTGCCCTCTTAAGCTGCTTCTTTTTCTGCCCATTAGCTTTCGAACTTGCTGTCCGTTTCTTTGGACGCGGAGTAGGCTCGCCTATCTTGTCAAGATCTTCAAGTCTGGAATTCACTCCCTTGGTCTTTCGAGAAGAGCGCCTTATTTCGGTAGACATGCTTCTGTTGATTATTTTTACGCTTGCCTTCAAAGAAATTTTTGTGCTTCGTGTGGCGCAGGAGGCGGTGAAGGAGATAAATAAATATAGATAAATAAACCATTCGTCGTGGTATGCCTTTCAACGAGCTTGCGCCCCAATACGAGCTAAATGTCCCGAGCTATCTTTCCATTGAGTACCCGCTGAATGTGAAGAATGTGCCAAAAGCAATTGGCATGGTGGGCGGGCGAGAGAAAATTGCACAGTGTTTTATCGAGCCAGAAATGAGACTCGAGCTTAAACTGCGGCCTGAGGATGTATATTCGCACCCTGTATCATCTGAGAAGTGTGATACCACTGAGAACATGCTGATGAGGCTGCGACTGCCCAAAAAAATGCTTCAAAAACACAACTACAACGTGCAGGCTGCGCTAAAAGAATGCGAGGAAAATAACATTACCTATGGCTCCAGCGTGGAAGGGATTCTCAACAAAACTTACAAATTCCGCCAGCTTGCCGACTTCCAGACTGTCCACAAGAACTCCCCGTTCACAAACCAGTTTTTAGACTCTGTCGGGAAAGCCGACCTCGAGAAAATCAAGCTTTTTGCGGATTACATTGAGAAAGACCATCAGGTGCAGTCCAAGTTCGAAAACAAAGATCTTGATTTGCCGCCGCTAGTCAGATATGCGCGTGTGGATATTCCTTATAACTACAGATATGTCGGAAACCTCTTAATTGACGAGAACGGTGAGCTCACTCGGGACAGTGTCAAGCTCCACACTATATTCGTGGACTGGGGAGAAAAAGTACCATCCTCGTACAATCCAGCACTCCAAAAAGAGCTTGACAGATGTGTTCAGGAGGTGGAAAGCTTGAAGGAACGCGGTTTGGAGCGTCTGGTGCCGGATTCGCCAGCCTTCAGTCTGCTGCGCTGCATCGAGATCCTGAAAAAGTTATTTGACATGAAACCAATTTGGCTACGAAGACACATTAGCTGGATGCTACCATCGCGCCTACGACCTCAACTGAGGTTTGCACTGCCCTATGTTGCTTTCACTACTAAGAAGGGCCCTTGGAGACAGTCGTACATTAAGCTGGGTTACGATCCAACGCTACATAAAGAAGCTGTTGATTATCAGGTGGAAGCATTCAGAATGAGCGGCAAGTCGTTTACAATGGCAGAGATGGAGCGAATGGTGGAGACGGGCGAGGAACCGCTCGTGGTGCCACCGACGCTGGCAAGCTACGAGGCCGAGTTTGAGGACCCTACGTCGGAAATCAGCCAGCTCGGTATAGGTAAAGTGCCCAAACAGCTGTTCTACGACGGAGTGAGCCCTACGTGTGCCGTTTCGTTCCAGATTGGAGACATGGCGGACAAAGACGTCAGGAAAATCCTGCAAGATGCCCATATCCAGGACCAGTGTCTGGAAGCCACGGGCTGGCTCGATTGGGTAACGGTGTGTCGAATCCGGGGAGTTATAAAATACAAGCTGGAATGTATTGATAAGGGAAAGGCATTTGATGTTGACAAAGTGCAGGCGATACTGACCCGGACCAGCTATCCATTGAACGATTACAAAGGCCTAGTGCCGCGCGAGGATGACGACAATGAGGAGGAAAACGAGCAACCGGAAGCCGTCGACACCAACATTGCCAAGGACGATCTGATCACACGGCTCAAGGTGTTCAACTCTCAGAACAGCCACATTTTGGACGAATTGACAGGCCTACTCAAGCAGGAATCGTTCATGGACGCTGGTAGACGGTAGGGATGGTCTTGGCTAAGGAATCTATAATGTTAAGCTTCTGTTTTCGCTGGTGTAGTGCTGCTGGCCTCGGGCGTTCCGTTGATGATGTACTTGATGGAGTCCACTGGCGAGTCTCCCAGCGTTCTTCTCCAGTTGTATAGTCGAATCACCTGGTATCCCGCGACCGTACCAAGCAGGAAATTAACGGATGCCAACAGCATATTTTGCGGGCGAATTACAAACGACCATCTCGTCCAGATGGCGCCCGTGGCCAACAGAGCAAGCTGCTGGCTTCCCGACACTTTCTCGACAGGTCTCACCATGTCATTGGCGCCTGCGAAAACCAAACTCCACTGTGGTGTTAGTAAGATGATCAGAAGGGCGAGAGTTACAAGAGTGTTGTTCTCGCATATCCACTTACTTTCATGACGGGGGCCTGTGGAATGTTAGTAACCTTGTGCGGTGAGCTCTACCTACCCAAAAATGGACTGTTTTAGGTCCCGTTTCGCTATTGAGAAATCTTCTGAATGCCGTGGCCATAGTAAACAAAATTCGGTCCTAAATAACGAAATTTTCGACTTCCTCCCCATTTTTTCTACACTGCCTGGGCACTTTTTTTCGGACACCTGAATCCGACTTGTTCAGATTGGTGCAGGGATGAATAGGATAAGGGTTGATGCATTATCAAGATACTAAAGCTCTAGTACTTCGCTAGGTTCATTGGGCTGGGTCGAAGCCCGAAGTGCTTCGATGCGGTCCTCAAGCTCCTCGATCTCTTTCAAGGTCTTGTCCAGGTCGGTTTTCTTCTGCTTCAGTTGGAAGTCCAGCTTCCGGATGGTTTCATTGAGAGCGAGCGCGGTCCTGTTGGCAGAGTTCACTTTCTTGCGAAGTGTTTCCATTTCCACCATCTTGGGGTCCCTGGGCACGGGCTGAGGCGTTCGTCGGCTTTCCAACTCTCTGATGTACTCTCTCATCCGGTGCATCTCGTCCTGCTTTTCCTTCGAGCTGGCTGGTTCTGCCTCCTCTGGTTCTTCGTCCTCGCTCACCTCTAACACTAGCTGGTCTACCCAGTCGTTTGTGTGGAACGGCTTTGTCTGGCGACGCTCTTGGAGAGGTATCTTCATTGTCTGGAAGATGCCTTCCAAAAACGCTCGATCGCACCCAGACTGTCTGAGAATGTCGTCAAACGCGTATCCCAACCGTCTCAGCTCGTTCACAGCCTCAAATACGGCGTGTCCACGGTGGTTTTCAAATAAATCCCCTTCATACTCACCTTCAGGTATTACTATATCCATGAAAAAATAAAATTGTGCGGAAAAATACATACAAGTACATGCCGTTGTAACGAAAACTGAACGTCTCGCGCCCAGTTCTGCCTGCTGGCTCTTTGTGTTTTGTAGCTCTGCGAAGGCGCTAGAACCGACAGCCCAAACAACATTTGCTCGATCCAACCAAGACTTCGGTGGCAGGTACTGGAGAGTGTGTCTATGTAAGATCTAAGTGTAGTCGTTGTTGTTGTCAGTTCCGCACTGTTGAATGAGTCTAATGTCTGTATCTCCTTCCGCACATGTCACAAGCCGTGGCGAGTCGAGTCAGTTAACTCCTCACACCCCAAATGATTCATATCCAAATATTTTAGACTCAGTCACATTTAGCATGTCCCAAGACTCTGTTATCCCGTTGGAGTCAAATCCCGAAATCTTCACTCAGTTCGGCCGCAAGCTCGGTCTTTCGCCACTGCTTTCGTTTTTCGATGTGTTCTCTCTCACAGATCCGGACCTGGTGTCTTTTCTTCCAAGACCAGTCTACGCGTTGATTCTCTTGTTTCCTTTGACGACACTGTATGAAAGTCTCAAACTAAGCGAGGAAAAAGGCAGAGACCAAGAGAAAGACGATAAATTTGAGCAAATCATCTGGTTCAAACAGCTTCTCAGAAACGGTTGCGGTCTCTACGGGTTGCTCCATGCCCTTTGCAATTTGCCCGAAGGGCTTTTGGTGAAAGACTCGCCAATCGAGGCGTTCATCCATAAAGTGAAACATCTGCCGGATGTTAACAACTCAAATAACCACGGTGAGAAAAGCAAGCTCGTCAAAGATCTCTCGCTCTCGCTGTACGAGACGTTTAGCAAACAGGGCCAGACAGAGGCACCCAGCTCAGAGGAGGAGGTCAACTTACATTTTATATGCTTTACAAAAGGCACCGACGGTCACTTCTACGAGTTGGACGGCCGCAGAAACGGCCCCGTCGATTTAGGACAAGCGGAGCCAGAATCGGATGCCATTAGCTCGCAGCTAGTTCTGCAACGGGTGCAGCGGTACATGTCCCTTGCAGACGAGGACAATAGTATGAACTTTGCAATGATCGCGCTTGGTCCAGATCTTGGCTAGACCTGTCCCTTGATATCTATTTTTCTATTCTGGCTTTTGAGGCGCTCTACCGTCGGTCTGCACTTGATGCAGTCCAGCATTCCCTGATCCACAAACTGGTCAAGTTCTGTTTGTGCAAGATACTGGCTCATCTCGGACTCAGAGAAATTGAGCAGTTGCTGCACCACAGCAATGGCCAATTTGCGGTACGATTTGCTGATTGTCGCCAATGAATTGATACGCACTTTAGAGATAATTGGCTGTAGCAGCTGCAAGAAAAAAAACCAGGCGGTGTGATTTAGCTTTAGTGCGTTTTTGTCTGTTAGTACGTTTACATGGGAGACGGGTTGCAGTGTTTTTAGCTCTTCCTGGTGTTTCTCCTGCAAAAGTTTGACTATACGGAAAAATTGGGTGTAGTCGTTGGCCATTGTGTACTCCAAGAGTTTGTATGCTGTGTCGAGGTAGTCGTCAAATTCGAGGTTTGCGTCCAGGAGCTGAGACTTGAGGTCGAATGCCTCGTTGAAATTGTTTGTTAGGATGTAGTAGAGAACACGGTACGAGTACAGTTCCGCTGAAGGGGTTCCCAGCTGGACGTAGAGAAGCTTGAGCTGGGACTGACATTGGTTGAACTCTCCGAGATCCTGGAACTGGATCGCTATTTTGCAGTGAAACTCGTAAACCTTTACCGTGAATGCGTTTTTAATATGCTGCACAGTCAGGTCTTGTCTCAAGGATTTGAACTGGTCACACAGGTAGTTGTAAGTAGCGTTCTGGAGATATTTATCGATCAGCAGCTGCAGTGTCTTTTTCAGAATTGGAAGTGGTCTGACGGTCGCTGGATTGGGCTGTGACGTTAGTCTTAGATACCGTTTTTCCAGTTCCTTGCATGTTCCTACAAGCGGAGTGTTCGGGTTAGTGTGCACTGGAGTGGGACTATGGTCTGGAGGCGGAGTGCTGAGTTCTTTTTCGAATCGCTGGCTTCGAAGCTCTTTGCGCTGCTGCGAAGTCAATGCATTTTCGTTGTTTTTTTGAGTCTTCTTCATTTTCTTGAGAGGAGGAAGTACAGACTGACTAGGTTGGACATCCGACTCATCGAAAACATTTTTGTTCTTGATCGTTTGTTTTACTGAACCCTGAACTGGCTCCTTATATACTTTTTGTTTCCGCGCCTGCTCCACCTGGTTGCAATAAAGATCCAGTTTTTGGGAGCCCCCTAGAGAAGGCAATGTTTGGCTTTCCCACGGATTTGTCTCGATCTTCCCCTGATCTATGGCCATGTTGATTAGTTCTTTGAGTTCGGCCTGAAACTGTTTCTTCTTGTCGGGAGTGAACTTCAGTTCCGACGCTTTTTTGAAAGACGAAGATATAAACCCATGTAGCGCTTTGGGCCATGTGGCAGGATCTTTGTAATTCTTCCTGAGCGTGGTGCGTGGGGTCACCTCATTGTATGGCATACTTACAGCTTCAGGATTTTTGAGTGTTTTTTTCTCAAGACATTGTTGATTATATAATAATAAATATTTCACTTTATATTGGGTATTAAATGGCCCAGTTATTCGAGTTTGACGACGAGCAGCTCGCATCAAAGATCGAAAAGTTAGATTTGAGAGAGTCAAATGAGCTAGATGTATCCAAACATGGAGACTTTGCTTCATCTGACGGGGTTGGAAGTCGGCTAGCAAAGTCCTATGAAGTGCCCATCGACCTGCCTTATCAGGCAGGAAAGCGCAAAAAGAAGGTGACAGATTTCCAACCAATCAAAGTACTGGGTAAGGGTAGCTATGGCAAAGTCATATTGGTCAAGGACAAGATTTCAGGCAAATTGTACGCACAAAAGCAGCTCCGCAAGGCTTCCATGATTGTGAACGCAAAAAATTACGAAAGAACGCTAACAGAAAGAACCATCTTGGAGCGCGTCAGACACCCAAACGTGGTGAAACTATTCTATGCTCTCCAGGATTTTGATAAATTGTATCTCATTCTAGAGTATCTAGAAGGTGGGGAGTTATTCCATCATTTGTCGCAAGAAAGGATCTTGTCTGAGAAAATTGCGTGTTTCTACGTAGCCGAGATAATTCTTGCTCTGCGGCACTTGCATCTGCATACCGGTGTGATTTATCGCGATCTAAAGCCAGAAAATTGCATGCTCAACCGACGTGGACATTTGGTTTTGACAGATTTTGGTCTCAGCAAAGTGTCCACTGAAAGTAGTTCACTTTTTGGAACCGCTCAGTACATTGCCCCAGAAGTTATCCAAGGTGAACGTTACGATAGTCAATGCGATTGGTGGTCTCTGGGAGCTGTTACGTTTGATCTGCTGACGGGGTCGCCGCCATTCACTGGTAACAACAACAAAAAAATCATGGACAAGATTCTCACGCAAAAAGTAAGGTACCCATTTTATCTTTCGCAGGACGCCAAAGACTTGCTGATTAAGCTTCTCAACAAGAATCCGCTAAAAAGGCTCAATTGCGACACGGAGTTCGACCAAAAAGTTCGATCCCATAGATTTTTCCGGTATATTAATTGGCAGCATGTTATAGACCAAAATGATGCAGAACAGCCACCCCCAATAGTGCCAGTCGTGACGAACCCCGAGCTGGCCGAGAATTTTGATGAGGAATTCACCTCGATGAAGATCACACCGCCAAGTTCGCCAATTGAACATTCCCTGCTCAAAGAAATAGAGGAAGAGTCGAGATCCACGAGCACGTCCTCGTACATTGCAATCAAAAAACCGACTGCAGACAACCAATTCGAGGAGTCCGTGTACTTCAATAATTTCTCGTACACCAATGAGGAATACCTGGTGGATCTGAAAGACCACGATTAGCGTTTTTCCTTTGCTTTCCGACTAGGTCTGGTGATAATCTTACCTTCCTTCACTTCATCCGGTGCATTCTTAAATTTCTCTTGCGATTCCAAATAAAACATAATATCATTAACTTGCTCCTGCAGCTCTGCATTCTGTGCTTTTAGCTCTTGGTTCTCTTTTGTGAGGTAGTCCACCTTCTCAGATAGTGCTTCGTTCAATGTGACTTCTTCTTTATACTTTTTCTCCAACACCAAATCTCTCTGCTTCTTACTGTTTTCTGTTTTCTCTGTCTTTACTTTTGCAAAACTCCGTTGGAGCTCGTGGAGCTGCTCCCTCATAGCATGTATGTTCTCGTTGGCCAATAACACTCGGTTACTAGCCTCCTCGAGCTTCATCTCGTAAAACTCACGTTGGGACTCCAACTGAGCAATCAGCATCTTTGAATACTCAAACCCAATCTTCTCAACCTTGTCCTCGTTTCCTGAGGAGCTGGAGTCGCGCTCTTTCCCACTGTGGATAGGCAACTCCACCAGCTTCCCATCCGCCTCATTTTGAACTAGGCGATGGACGTAGTTGTCGCCTGCGTAGTCCCAAACACGCTGCGATGTTGCCTCCATAGCAAAACAATGTGAAGTTTCATTGTAATGGTCGATAGCGTGGCCTAAATCGTACCTTCCACATCCTATGTTGCCACATATGAGACAGATCCATAAATTCTCACTGGTCCCGCAAACCAGACACCTTTCCTCCTGATCTGCCTGACGGTTCCTGCGCGCATCAAATTTTGCGGAATAGCGACACACAGGGCACGAGTCATCCTTCCACTTTGATAAGCATTGGCAATGAAAAGTATGCTGACATGGGATGGTAAGCAGCCCTGTGACGGACGAATCGAGACGCTCCAAACAAACGGGGCAAGAAGCAAGTTCTATCAGCTGTGATGAAGAGCTGGGAGCTGTGTTACTAGATGTAAATGGGTCGTCTAGAAGATATGGTATCGTGCTGAGGGTATCCGTATCGTGTTTGTTTGGTCGAAAGAGTATCTCCTTGATGAAGACAACCTGGCATGTTTCTGGCTCCATGGAGTTAAACGGCCGCCCGTTATAGCTATCAACAAAATCCCTTGCATGTGCTGCATCTTTGAACTTCATCAACACCATAAATCGATTAGGAGCTTGCGTCCGAATTAGTCTGAAGTGAGACACCTGATTTCTCACATTGGTATCAAAGAATCCCAGCAACAGGTCGCTGGCCGAAAAGTAGAACGGCACTCCTAATATAGCAACCATAGTTTCATCTCCAGTGGTCTTTGTTTCTTCTTCCTCGTTCTGGATATCATCACGGTCTCTGAAAAGCCTGATAACTCCATAGCCCAGAAGTTTGGCTTTCAAAGGCTCGTTTGCCTGCAAATCAATACTGTTCATATCCACAACCTCGACCTCAACTCTGGAAAAGCGGTAGTCAATTTTGTTGGTGTCGCGGAGCTTGAGTGCCTTGACTTTCTGCTCGATAAGAGTCTCACTGGGCGTAAGACTGTTCAATGAACTTATTAAATCACCTGAAGTAACGGACTTTTTCGGTAATTCAGTGAATATATCTTTGTTGGCAAATACAAGGTTAGTCCAGGGCTCTGCAAATAGATCCTCTCCAAAGTTGACCAGATGTTTCTTGTCCAGCACTCCTAAATACTCTGCAGCCTTGACACTGGATTCTCCGTGTAAAAAAACCTCTCCTATCAATTGATCTGGTTTGAAAAGGTCAAATAGTATTGTATATGAAGAGTAGAAATTACCATCCATCACAATCTGACCGAAACAGTTGGCATTACTATCAATTGATACTTACTTTTACCATAGCCAACTTACAAGGATATACACGAAAACACCTGTACACCAGAAAAGCGATCAAGCCATTAGCTGCAGTTCGTGATGAAGCTTTCGCGACGAGACCCAGCCTCTGTTAGGCACAAAGATGCGCCGAAAGGGCTTCCCATTTTCATCGGTCATCCTTAGATTTCTGATATCAATCGGACTGAGCGTTGTCTCATTTTCTGAACTAGACAGACTGGGCTTCTTCTGTTCGGGCTTTTTGTTGATGCTTTGGTGCACAAACGTCTTCCATTGGTCAAGGCCATCCTTTGTTGCTATGTTGAAGGTTTTGTTGCCAACTTTGATGGATTTGTCTTCTAGCAAAATATCCGACGCTTTGTGGGTCCGACAAATCGACCCGGATGCAATAGGGAAGGGGTCTGACGCATATGCAAATTGTTGGCTGGTCTCCTTGCAGGATTGCAAGAGGTGTTCAAGCCTCTTACTCAACGATCTCTCTGTTCCCGTGAAGTTGTTGGCGAAGAGCTCTAAATTACAGACTGCTTTTTCAAGGCCCAGTATCTTCTCTTTCAACCCGGATATGTCATTCTGCATATTATCAAGCTTTTCACCAACGTTTTTCATTGCAAGAGCGTCTTGGGTTTTAAGCGTTTTTTGATTCGATGCTCGGAAAAGTCCCACGAGCCATGTTATGGATAGCGCGATGACTGAAACATATGTTGACAAAAAGGTATTAAATGGAACTGTTTCTGTGTGAGTTTTCTGGAATGCAGAATTGAGCTTATCAGCTCTACTGAGACATGAGTGGACGCCCAGAAGCACATCAGCATCCGATTGGCCAATCTGGAGTCCATTCAGACAAAATTTCAACTCAGCGTGAACGACTGGTGTAAGTGTCGGGGCGAACTCTCGCAAAATATCGTTGTGGTATCGTTTGAGACAGTCAATGCTCTTGTAAGAGCTTGAACAGCCCATGAGTAAGTTCAGTGTCTTGGACGAGCTCAGTTGAGAGACAAAGTCGTTGTTCTGACAGGTCTGTCTTATGCTAGCGCTAACAAGTAAGATTGCGACCATGCCCAGTCCGAGCATCCAAGTGGTATTGAAATGTCTATAGGTTTTCCAAAACAGTGCAAAAGAAGACATTGTAGAGCGTGGAATATGTATTTGGCGATACAACAAATATAACAAATGACAATAAGGCTCTAAATTTTGGGGATTTTTTGGCCCTTTTTATTTTTTTAAAAATGTCACATATTAAAATAAAACTTCTATTAACACTCACTCTTTTCCGAGACCTTGTGCATATTCTACAGCTTTAGCTTTCACGTAATCGCAAGCCTTCTGGTCCTCCTGCTTCTCTTCAAACTCCAACCATTTTCCAAAGAAGAACTTGGCCTGTTTGCGAGTCAGCTTGCGCGTGACCACTCTCTCAAAAATGGCTTCCACCTTCTTCTTGTCACCAAACTTGATTTCCTGATCAATATAGACGTTCCACAGATCAATTCTCTTTGGAACGTCCGACAATAACCCTTCGAACAATGAACGTCCGTGCTCTGGGTCTCCCTTGCTGAACTCGAGCTGAGCAAACTTTTTAACCACCTCGACATGGTCGCGTTTGGACAGCACTTGCAAGGCTTTGGCCAGCACTTCACGGGCCCTTTCTCCATCCTGCTGCTGAAGAAGGAACGATCCATAAGCCACCCACACAGAGACATGCTGTGAGCCGAATTTCTTGCACATTGCCGTGTACAACTGGTCTACCTTGTCCACCTTCTCAGAGGCGATATAAATGGCAGCCAATTTTTGGTACATGACATACGGATCCATGTACTGGCACGAGCGCTTGAAAGTTGCTTCCAGTGACTCATCTGTGCCAAACATGTTCTCCAAGTTCAACAGAGCAATCCAAATGTTGAGTTTTTCCTGCTCCTCTCTGTAATTGATGGTTTTGAGGGCACGCTGGCCAATTTCACGGGCTTTGTCGATTTCGCTCAGTTGAATCTGGAAAGACATATAGTTCATCCACAAAATCGATGAGTCGGGGTTTCCGACAATAAGTCTCTCGAAGTCAGACACAGACTGTGGTACACGGGAGTTCAAGTCGGCAGTCTGATCCTCGGCAACCACCTTCCGCCTCTTTCTCTTTGGTTTGTCGATCTCGTCATCATCAGATACGTCTTCCTTGGCCTGGTCCAGAATTGAGGCAGTCCAGTCAAAGCCAGCGGAGAGACCACCGGTAGCAGGAGCATCGGAATCGTCAGAATAATCCGACTCAGCGTCCTTTTCGGACTCGTTTCCGAAAGCGGTGTCAATAATACTATCATCAGACATGATCTCGTCTTCTTCTTCCTCAACAGCCAGCTCTTCTGTCTCCCCAGTGAAATACGAAGCCTTCATACCAAGAGAAAGCTGTTTCTTTTCATGGTCAACGTCGAGGATCTTTACCTTCACACGGTCACCTTCGCTGAACAAAGACTCGATATTTGTGATCTGATTGTCTGCGATCTGAGAATGATGACACAGTCCACTGACATTTAATGTTCCGTCCAGGTTCACGAAAACACCAAAGTTGGTGACTCTTCTGACGCTTCCTTCATAGATCTCGTCCTTTTGAATTTGATCAAACCGTTTCAGAAGGCTGGAATCACTGTTGATCTCGCTTTGCTTTAAAGTCATGAGAATCTGGTTTTCACCCTCACTTTTGGTGATCTTACCTAAAACAGGCTGGTGCACTTTGAAATACTGCTTCCAGTCCTTTAAATACGAGTCCGACAGATCGCTCACACGAACAAGGGCATGAACTGTTCTTCCCAATGCAACATAGACACCGTTGTTGGCGACATTCTTGACAAATCCACGCACAACGGTGCCTGGAGACAAATCTTCATACGATGTGATCCTCTTGTCTTTCACGTCCTTGGTGCGCAGCGAAACGTAGACTTTTTTATTGGAGTGGTCCACTTCCAGCACCGTGGCAGCACAAATGTCGTTGGTGGAGAAAATGTCGTCAAGCTTGTCAGTGTAATCGTTCAAAGCGTCAGTGATGAAAGAGATACCAGAAACCTGTTTGCCCAATTCAACAACCACATAGCTCTCTCTGGTTTTCAGAACTCTAGCAGGAATCACAGAGCCCACTTCCAGGTCCTCCAATGAGGTAATCGCTTTGCTTCTAGCACTCAGACTCAGAATATTGTGTTCCGTGTCAAGATCAGTCACCGTAGCACGCACCACGGAACCGACCGGATATTCTTTTTCCAGATTTTCGAACTTCGAGGCGTCGTCAGACAGGTCCATCAAAGAAATGCGAGCTCTAAGGTTTGGAGAGATCGTCACCCACAAAAATCCTCTAGCAAAGTTGTTGATATATCCCGTACACTTGTCGCCAAGGTGGAAGTCTCCAATAGAAGCAGGGACCACTGGCTTGTGGCTCAAAATGCTGCTTTTCTTTGCGCTCAACTCTAAAACGGTCTGGTTAGTCTTTTTGTGGCTGATGGGCAGGAAGCGGTGGTTTCTAGAGTCGTGGAAACCAATGATCTTCACATCAAGCACCTCACCAACTTGGAACTGGGAAAGAGGCCTCTTGACGTCCTTGATCTCTGAAACGTTGTCAAAAAGCTCGCTCACGTCAATTCGTCCTTGCAGGTTATCTGCAAGTTGAACATTCAGCTGTGTCTGTTTGATGGATTTGACCTTGGCCTTGGTGTTCTTACCAACGGTGAAGTCATCCAGAGTCTTCATTTTGCTGTCAACAGGGTTTTCAGCCGGCTCAGATGCCGTACTACTCTCCTTTTTCATGGAGACAAGGAACCGCTTGTTCGCATCGTCCACCCTGATCACGTGACACGTCACAGACTGGTTGGTGAAGAACGCCTTTTGCAAGTCGTCGACAGGTTTTTCCACCGCGTGACGAGGCAGTGCAAGGCCCGTCAGGCCGTTGCCAAAGCTGACAAAGACTCCGTTCGGCGTCACAGACTTCACGAATCCGTGAAGCAGCTCATTGCTGACTTCGATGTCTCTGTATTGTAGTGGTAGCTTTACTTGCTGTGCATCTTTGATCAGTGATTGTTTAGCAGTCAGCTTCACCACACGGGACCGTACGTCTTTCTCTAGCACCAGGGTCTTGAGCTCGGCACCAATTTGCAGCTTTTTCAGTTGGGCACGAGACTGTTCATAGTTTCCATCACCAAGGTGGCCAGCATAGATAATTCCACGCAAACCAGATTCGGAGAGCTCCACGATGGCAGAGTCCTTTTCTTTCTCAACAACCTGGACGTCGACGATGGATCTACCTGGAACAATGGAAGACAGAGTCTTTTTTTGCAGATCTGACAACTCCCCCGACACTCTGCAGCTAACCTTGATTCGGTTATGTTCCCTGTCCACAGAAACGACGCGGACTTTCACCGTTTGTCCAACTTTGACGTGGTCTTCTGGACGTTTCACAAACGTCTCACTGATTTCCGAGTTGGGTAGGAAGGCCTTGACAAAACCAAAAAACCTCACAACACATCCGGTTGGAAGCATTTTGTCGATGGTTGCAAAAGTCTTCTTGCCTGCCTCAACGTCCTCGATGCTGGAAACGACATCATCGTTTTCTATGTTGACGAGCGACTTCTTCAAAGTCACATAGATCCTGGACTTGCCGCTCTGATTGGCAACGCGCAAAACTCGTCCCTTGATCTTGGACCCGATTTTGAATTTTCGCTCTGGATAAATCAATTTCACATCGCTCATATATGCAGGAGGAACAATTCCTTCAAAGTCTTCTTCGAACTTGACAACAATTCCCTTTTCGGCATCCACAGAACGGACCTCGCAATTGATGAGCTCACCAGCGGGAATGTCCTCGACTCGCAAGAATTTGCGCTCTATTTGCTGTTTGTCGAGTGTGAGAATATACAAGTTGTCGGTGGCAGAGTATCCCAGAACTCTCGCGCGGTGAGTGGAGCCGATTTTGAAGTCCATGTCCAAGTCTTTATTGCTGCTGACTCTTGTAATATGCACCTGTCCTATTGCATAATCGCTCCCCACATCCACGTATATATAGCTCGAGTCTTTCCCTTTGATAGTGACAGAGTCGAAAATGTGGCCGATTGGAAAGGCCTCCAGGGCAGAAGTCTCTCCAAAAACGTTGGCGTTCAAGGATTTGATATGCGGAAGAACAGATAGAAGGAACCTCTTGTCGCCAGCTCTGACATGAGAAACCATCACCCTGGCTTTGAGTTTGCTACCAACAGCAAAATTGTGTTTGAGCTCCGAGTATTCGTAAACCCCAAGATGAGAAAGCGGAATGCTAGCATTGCCGACGCCGAACAGTTTGCAAACGATACCTTCCTTAGTAACTTCCGTCACCAAGGCCTCCACACCCATACCTGGGAGAATTGCATCGATCGAGGAAATGGTCTGGACAGTACTGAGCTTATTAATAGGAGAGCAAATAAGTGTTCTGCCATCTTTCTTGGCGATGTTCAACAGAAGGACAGAGCCAATGTCCACCAGGGATTGGACGTCTTTTTTTGCTATGAAACCACCTAATTTTTCTTTCCCCACATCTAAAAGTAATCCGTGGTCTTCAATAGATTTGACGGAAGCCTGTACAATAGCGTTAGTGACCAAATCCTCGGTATCCATTGGTTCGTTTACTTTGGAAGGTTCGATGCTCAGCTCTATGCGTTTTTTCTTACTTTTACTGCTTTCCACAACAATAGCTCTTAGCCATTGTCCGACTTGAAATCTCGTGACTAGTTGTGGGAACGACTTCTTTTTCGAGGATATTATACCATTTGTTACAGTGTCTTCCTCATCGCCATAAGCTGGTTCTTCCTCAGATTCATCTTGCTCATCGTCAAATTCTTCAAGCTGACTGGTCAATGGGTCACTGATATTGGTGATTGGAATGAAACCCATCAGGTTATCAGTCAATGAAAGAACGATCTCCATGCGATTGACCTGTTTAATCTGGCCGAGAACCATGCTTCCTGGAAGAAGCGTCTTGAAGTTCACATGCTCAACTCCTATATGTTCAGTAGGCGTTTCGATAACTTTTTGTTTCTTGGATTTCTTGCTGCTCTTTGACTCTTTGGCTTCTGCTAGTGCATCGCTAACGGCCTCATTTGCAACCTCTTTAATCTCCAGCGGGGTCAACACCGACCCTCCTCCTCTAGGAAAAGAAATCTCGGCGCTCTTGGAGAGTAGCGACTTCTTATTGTCACCGGCCTCGTCTGTCTCTGTTCTCTTTCTCTTTTGCTTCTCAACCATGCCAGGCAACAATAAGATCTAAAATTTTTTTTGAAAAAATTTGAAGCTTTGTTTTTTTTTCACGGCTGTGTCAACACTAGTTTTTTTTACTGGCTCCTCCAACTTTCAAAGTGTTGAGACAAGTGCTGACCAAAAGTGGAATGAGGTTCCAGCTCGTAGTCACAAACCACCCGACGGCCGAAATAGCTCGTCCGTCGGTATTTGTGACCGACTCGGTGACCGGCAAACGGCATATCATAGGTCAAGTGCCCGAAGGTCTACAGAGACAATGCAATCAAATGGGCTTTCGAACCTCGAGATTAGATACTATGTTTCTTACGGGCATTACTGACTGGAAAGCGATCAGCGGGTTGCCTGGATTCATTCTCACGGTTGGAGATCAAGGGCTAAAAGAGCTTCAAGTGGTGCACAGTGGAAACAAAATTCTTCAGTATGTAGTCGCATCGTGGAGGTATTTTGTCTTCCGTTTCGGACTGAAGTTGAAAGTTGACGATTTGGATATATACAAAGCTGATGCATACCAAGTGAAAGCAGTGAATATCAAATCTGCCACCCCAGAACCCCAGAAGCCCTGCAAAGCTTTCGATCGCGTATCTGATTTAGTGCAGTACATTTTTCTCATTAAGACCGGAATGGGCAATAGTGGGCGCGCTCTGATGAATATTGAGATACCCTCCGACGTCCACAATCCAAAAGTCTCTGCAAATTACATCATGACGGGGAATCCTATCCGTGGAAGGTTTTTGGTTGAAAAAGCCAAAGAGTTGGGCTGTCCTAGACAAAAGTACAAGGATCTGTGCAACTTCCAGAGCGTGTGGCTTGAAGATGGGACTGAAATCAAGCCCGAACAAGTTCTAGAGCCGAAAAAGACATTTGATAGTATTTTATTCCTCGATATCCCTGGTCCCGAGTATTTGCGAAACACTATAGAGCACGACTGGAAGAGCGAGATAGCAGAAAGAAAATACTCAGCAGTCTACCATTTCATTGATGACTCAATAGTCGATGTGCTAGATCTTCCAGAATACCAGGACTTCATCAGATCGTTCGGACCCGATACCCACCACTTCATTTCTCACAGACAGTACGTTCCCGATACATTGAACTTTCTGGCATCTTATGTGACGTCTTTGAAATGGCACGTTTTGCTTCCAGATCTATTTCCGCTTTTCAGATGGAGCGACCAGCCCGAAAAACAGATACCAGAAGATTTACCCAACGTGCGGCCGATGCTATGTGGTCAAATTGTCGGTTTTGGGCCCAACGCGACCTCGATCATTAGAGCCGACAGTTGTACCAGCACAGACGAAGTGGTGCAGATTGTGCGGAACGCTTATGCAGAAGACATAGCTCCGTTGCAGCTTCCAAACTTTGTTTCTGAGGAGGAACTCGTCAAGCTAGCTACCACTGCTGCAACTAATAATCTGAAACAAGCTCCCGACAAATCTAAGCCATTGAAGGAACAAGTCGAAACCCTGGTTTTGGGGACGGGATCGGCGCTGCCATCTAAGCTTAGAAACGTGATTTCCAATGTTGTGAGAGTGCCGACCGAGACTGGCTACCGAACCATTTTCTTGGATGCTGGCGAGAACACTCTGGGCAGCATCAATAAACTGTACTCGCAAGAAGACGTTGCCATGCTTTTCAAAGAGCTGAAACTAGTATACTTGTCGCATCTGCATGCCGACCACCATATCGGAATAGTCTCACTACTGCAGAAATGGTGCCAGGTCAGAAACGAGCACGACAAACTGTATGTTGTGGCTCCATGGCAGTACGAGAAATTCCTCATAGAATTACAGCGGATTGACAGCACTCTGGATCTGGCTAATATTGTCTACCTGAGCTGTGACCAGTTCAACTCCGGCAAGCTTCTGCCCGAGTTCGACCAGATACCTATCGACAAAATCCCCAAGAACGAGACCCTCAAGGTGAGAGGTACGCAAAAAGAGCTGAAAAAAGATCTCCAGTTACAGAGCCAGCTGTACAGGGACGTCGGTCTGAATGCCATAAAAACGTGTTATGCCCACCATTGCGAATATTCGTACAGTTGCGTGCTAGACTTCGCTGTCGGCTCGGAGTCATTCAAAGTGGCGTACTCCGGAGACTCGAGGCCGCGACGACTTTTCGCGAAAATCGGCTACGACTGCGATCTGCTGGTGCACGAGTCTACGTTAGAGGACGACAAGTACCGAGATGCAATCGAAAAAAGACACAGCACGACATTGGAGGCCTTGCAGATGGCCATTTTGATGAAAACGAAAAAGTTGCTACTGACACATTTCAGCCAGCGTTATCGCTATTGTTCGAGTGCAACGAAGGTGTATGAGAAGCTGCAGAATCCATTGCACAGCAACAGTGAAATAGATGAGCTTTCGCCGATTTTCAAAGTGCCCCTGACTGCCGATATGATCGATAATGCACCCCAGATAGAAGCGATAATCGCCTTTGACAACATGCATATTCCCATGGACAAGTTTGGGCTCCAGAAAAAAGTGTTCCAGACTCTGGGAGACAAGCTTGAACGGCTCTTCAACTCTGATGCGGAGGAGGATATGCAAGAGGAAAAACCGCAAAATAAAAAACGCAGAGCTACTTAGTTTCCTGCGGGGGGTGATATTTTTTTTCATGGGCTGTGCAGATGATCCCTTCACAAGGATTGACGTCATAGGCATCTTATATATATTTGCTAGCCTGCAATAAATCGTTCCATGGTGGAAGGAAAAAATAGAGTTCATAAACTAGGCTCGTACTCATTTATCGAGAACATCGAAGATCACCCGGTGTTATCTTCGTCGGAAACGTCCACAGTGTCTTCCTCAGCTTCAAGCTGCGGGGCCCCAGGAATTGGCGAAAGCAAGGAGGGATCACAGACGGGTCAAGAGCGCACAGTTTCGCGAATGTTCTTTTCTGACGACATAAACGACCAGCATATTGAGGACGAGTACAATCATGTGCCGCTGGCTGACACATCCAGCGCCTCTTCCACGGTGGAGGAGCTTTCTGACGCTGCTCTTGCGCACGACCTGAGCTTTCTAAATATTTCCACATCCAGCTTAGTAAAGCAGGAAAAGGAGGAATACACAAACGAGATCCCTCATTTTTACCTTCCTGAGAAGATACATTACCCTTATAAATCTCCATACGACTTTTCGGACGCCGAGTTTGACAAGATGAATCACTTTGATTTTTTGCAGTCGCTCGGATTCAAAGAACCACCGCTTTTACCCCCTTATTTGAACTCCAACCTTTTGAACGACTCGCCCTCCCACAACTATCGCACATACCCATACCAGTACCAGTACTCGAACCATGTTTACATCAACGAACAGCACCATTACAACATCAATAATCTGAACCTGATGGACAAGTACAGCCGCCAGCCCCGCTCAAGGTCGATCAGAGAACAGCTCAAAAAAAGAGCTAGCGACCAGGGCATCCAGACCGTCTCTCAGCTACGACACTCGGACTACGTTGAGAACATTGATCACGAGGACATTCCAAACCACGTGATGCTCAACCACCTCATTACCTGCAACTCCAAGGTCGACAACGTTCTTGCGGGCTCCTGCATCCATAGATACGGCGGGAAATTCATTACTCAGATAGTATACTTTCCAATTGGCGAGAGCGTTCTGTGAGCATATCAACACTCACTTGTTGTTTCGTCGCTATCGAATTGGTCCACTCGTTGGAAATACGTCGCACGCTGCGCAGACCTCGTATTCTCGTTGGCCTGGAAAAGCCCGCCAAAGTCCGTTGACGATGACCCGTACAAGAGCAACAGATTGAAGTTGTTAGGCGTCAAGAGACTGAGCGGGTTTCGACTCCCCAAGCTGGGCTCGATGTTCTCGTGCCCAAAATCGTGACTCTGGAAGTTCATCTCAGGTGTCGACGTTTGTCGCATATTTGAGGGTATCAGCGGCGCACCAAGCACCCTACGTGGTGATGGAGTTTTGGGTGGAAGACTCTGCTGTTCAGGAGGAACATTTTCGCGCTGCTCGGACTCCAACTTGCGCTGCAGCACTTTTTTGGTATAAACCTTGCTGGAGTATTTTTTGCCAGGTTTGCTCACCATCACGGGTCCGGAACCAGGGGCGGTATTGAGAACCTTGAACATCTCTATAAGTATGTCGAGCTTGCGTCGGCTAAGTCTGCCTACTTTTGTGTGTTCTCCCTGGGCTATGCTGAAATCCCCTACAGACTCTGCCGTCACGATCAAATCTTTTGCTCGGAACCTAAAAGTCTTCACTATGCATACCAGCAGGTCAATTCGCTCTTCTTTGCGAAGGTGGTCTGGCTCCTTATGGCGACAAGTCTCCGGCCACCACAACGGCTTGGACCGATCCCCTAGCTTGTAAGGGTATCTGCTCTGTTTCTTAGGCTCTATGAGACGTATCCACGCTTTTGCCAGTAACTTGCATGGGATCTGCTGGAATTCATCGAAGCATTGAACAAGATACTCGTCAACTTCGCGTGAGTCTGAAGGGTCGATTTCAATCGTCTTAAAAGTCGACTCGATCACAGAAGTTTCATCCACAGAGGAGCCAGAAAGGTCAGCGTCTTTGGGAACATTATCTGACTCTGGTGGCAGCAAGGCGTCTTTAATGTCTGAGAGTGTGTACTCGCACTTGAGCCCAAAATCTCGATATAAGGCTTCTGTCAACTCCCGCAGTTCTCGTAACTTATCTTTTAGCTGTGTCATTACTGATGAGTACAATGGTATGGGTCATCTTGGTATATATAAGTGAGTAGGTAAACATTAATGGTAACCAAACTGTCGCAGTATCGACTCACATCTGCTGGTGGAGACAGGCTTGAAACAAGCTTGGACCCCAAACTTACGTAATCTAGCCGTATTTTTTATCAAAATCAGTCCTGAATGTCTGATGGGAGTCTGGAGGAGTCTTTGAAACACTTGACTCTGGAGTCTATCCAGCAGCATCCGACTAAGACCAAAGAAGATATTGCGCTGGAATTTTTTGAGCTAGGCAGCAACAAGGAACAGGCGGGCTCGTTGAGCGAAGCCATCGATTACTATCGGAAGGCGTACAAACTAGATGAAAAGGTGGATTTGCGCTACCGCGAGAACCTTGTGAAGAACCTGCCGGTGCCGGAAAAGCGCAAGGACGGCTCTGTGCACAACGGGTTTACGAAGCTGGATCTCAGCAAAATAAAAGTCAAGCCGTTGCTAGAGTCTTTTCACGATGCCGTTCTACATCCCATAGACGAGGACAAGCCCCTATGGCTGGAGATTTTGCCGGATGAGGTCATCATTAATATTCTAGAGATTCTAGTCGGCAGCGACACACCGTCGTGGTTCAATTTTGCCATGTCGTGCAGAAAGCTTGCCTGGCTAGGGTTCGGCCAGGCTGCCTGTTGGAGACGGCTGTGCATGCTGGTGTATCCGAAGCAGGTGTACGACGACTCAGAAAGGGTACTTAACGGCGTGACAGCGGATCAGTGGCAGATGGTGCAGGTCTGGGACCACAGCTGGCACAAGATGCTGAGTGAGCGGCCGTTCATCAAGTTTACCGGGCTATACATTAGTGTGGTGAACTATCAGCGCGAAGGCGGCAGGGCAGAATTTTCCAACCAGTGGAACCTGCCGTTCCGCATGATAACGTACTATCGCTACTACAGATTTTTCCCGGACGGGAGCTGCCAAAAATTGCTTACGATAATGCAACCCCAGGAAGTTGTGCCCAGGTTCTACAGAAACTGGAGACAGCTTTTTGGAACGAGCGAGTGGGAACGGGTGTACGAAGGAACATGGTCGATGACTATTGACGGCCATGTGCGATGCTATTGCAAAGGACCAGTGCCGATGTACACGTTTGTAGACGAGTTGCAGATCGTCAACGGTGGTAAGTACGCACGACACCACAAGCTGAATTGGAAGCGCATGGGTTTCGTCAACAAGGAGACTCTGGACGAGGGCGATCTGGATACCAGCAATGAGCGCAGTTTTGCGTTCAGCAGGGTCAAATCATACAGCGAGCACGAAACGCGTGACGTTATAGAAGATATACATAGTATTTAAACTAAATTTTTCCGGTTCCCCAGATCGGCCGCAAGGTTCATCGGGTCTCCGGAGAACCCCGAACCCGGCATTTTTTTCTCCCAGCGGCGCAACCATGTGGGATATAGGGTGAAAGGAATGGGATGACTCGCACGATATAAATACTCTCCTTGTGCACTGCATCCAATAATTCCCAAATGGCTCAAATCAACCCAACCACGCTGGATAACGTGAAAATTCTAGGCGAAGTCTCTGACAAGCCTCTGTTGTCAAAGGCCACTCCAAGAGATATTCTGACCAAGGATGCTTTGAAGTTCATTGTCCTGCTTCACAGAAGCTTCAACGAGACCCGGAAACAGCTCCTGGAGAACAGGCAAAAGGTCCAGGAAAGGCTGGATGCCGGCGAGTCGCTGCACTTCCTTGAGGAAACAAAGTACATTAGGGAAGATCCCAACTGGAAGTGTCTGCCTACCCATCCTAAATTGCAGTGCCGTAAGATTGAGATTACTGGTCCGCCAGACGCCAAGATGATCGTCAATGCCTTTAATACCGATGTGTTTACATACATGACGGACTTCGAGGACTCGTGTTCTCCTACCTGGAACAACATGATTTACGGCCAGGTCAATCTGTACGATGCAATCAGAGACAGAATTGATTTCACCAACGAGGCCACCGGAAAACGGTACAAAATTAACAGAGAGGGTAGAAGAGTGCCTGTGATGATTGTCAGACCAAGAGGCTGGCACATGGTGGACAAGCACATTTTGGTCGACGGAGAGCCTATTTCTGCCTCGATCATGGACTTTGGTCTGTTTTTCTTCCACAACGCAAAGTTCTTGCTTTCCCAGGGCCTTGCTCCGTTTTTCTATCTGCCAAAGATGGAACACTACAAAGAGGCCCAGTTGTGGAATGACATTTTCTGTGTTGCTCAGGACTGTCTCGAGATCCCTAGAGGAACCATCAAGGCCACTGTTCTGATCGAAACCCTGCCTATTTCGTATCAATTGGATGAAGTTCTGTACGCTCTCAGAGACCATTCTGCCGGATTGAACTGTGGAAGATGGGATTACATGTTCTCCACCATCAAGAGACTGAGAAACCAAAAACAACATATTCTGCCTGATAGGCACCAAGTCACCATGACCGTTCCCTTCATGACCAACTACGTTAAGCAGCTCATCAAAATCTGCCACAAGAGAGGTGTTCACGCCATGGGAGGTATGGCTGCCACCATTCCGATCAAGGACGATCCAGAAAAAAACGCTGCTGCCATGGAGGCTGTGAGACAGGACAAGCTCAGAGAGGTTCTTGCAGGCCACGATGGTACCTGGATTGCTCATCCTGGATTGCTTCCTACTGCCTTGTCCGTTTTCCAGGAGCACATGCCTACTCCTAACCAGATCCACGTCCAAAAGAACGTTGAGATTACAGAGGCAGATCTTGTCGATACTAACATTCCTGACGGCAAGATCACCATGAAGGGTGTGAGCGCCAACATTTATATCGGGCTCAACTACATGGAGAGCTGGCTCAGGGGTCTTGGTTGCGTGCCTATCAACAACTTGATGGAAGATGCTGCCACCGCAGAGGTCTCCAGATTGCAGTTGTATTCCTGGTGTAAACACGCAGTCAAGATGGACGATACGGGCAAGACCATTACTCCAGAGTTCATCAGCAAGCTGATTGACGAAGAGGCCGAGAGATGCGCTGCCAACAAGCCAAACAATAAGTTCAAGATCGCCGCAGACTGCCTGAAGAAGGAAATCAATGGTCACACCGAGGTGGCCGAGTTCCTGACCACCTTACTTTACGATGATATCGTCACCATTGGGCCAGAAGTTGATATCTCTTCTTTGAAATGAACTATATGGGTATTTATTCGATTGCATTGGTTTAAACTCGTATATTATTGTCCATACATACCGGTATCCACGGCGTCCAGCATTCCTTGTAGACAACGCTTGAGGTTTTTGACATTAGCGGGCGAAAATTTGCGAAGGTTTTGGGAAATAAGCAGCTCCCGACTCATGGGCTTCTCATTGTACAGAAGCTCGTGCAAGTTCAGCGCAAACTGCTCGTAGTAATCAAACGACTGTCTTAAGAAATGGAAGTAAGGACCAAAATTTTGGTAGCGAATGCCAAACGAGTGAAGCAGCTGTTTCATACAGTTTGCAAGTTCCACAAAGGTCATCGAGTCGATCTCGTCAAGCTTCAATAGTGCATAGTTTTTGAGATCTTCTTTTGTTAGTTGAGAGTTCAGATCTCCATGCTTGGCAGCATGTTTTTCATTCTCCAATTTGAGCGACTCAATGAGATACTCATAATCTTCCAGTCTTTTGTTTAGTTGCTGCTGTTCCTGCAGAAGCTGGTCTACATTGATTTGAGCGTCACGCAGTTCAGTCGAAAGGTCCTCCTTCTCCTTTTTTGCTTGCGTTTTGTAGGTTTCGAGCTGCTCAGAGACCTCAGATCTGAGTTTCTCAGAATTCAAGACCTTTTGCGTTTTTTCCTCTAATTCTAATTGCAGATTCTCCTTCTCTCTCTCTAGGGCTTGGTTCTGCTCGCGTTGGATGTTCAGCTCGCTCTTCACGTTCTCCAACTCTGCACTTACTGTGCGGAGCTCTGCGGCCTCGGTTTCGGCAGTTTCCTTTTCCACAGTCAATTTGGCCACTAAGTCTACCTGCTCCTTTAATTTCATCCCCAGCTCGGAGTTCTGCTTCTCATAATCGACTAATTTTGTCTTCTGGTCCTGGACAGTAGTTTTCAAGTTCGTGTTCTCTAACTCTAACGACTCCTTCGATTTTTGCAACGAGTCGAGATCCTTTTGTAATTCCTCCCTGCCTAAGATCATCTCCTTGAAAGAGTCCAGCTCTTTCTGGATGACACTTCGGCTGTCTATCAGGGAGTCTATTCTTTTGTGTAGGTCCTCGATCTCCTTGTTTTTAGTATCGAGGTCAATTAATAATTTTGTGTTTTGCGAGCTCATCTCTTCCACCTTAGTTTCAAGCTGGTCCTTTTCTGTCTGTAAAGATTTGAGTTTCTGAACGTAGTGATGGTTCTCTTTATCCTGAACTGTATCGTCAAACTTGACCACCAGCTTCTGAACCTGACTTGGTTCCGATTTGGCACTGTCAAGACGCTCATTCAGAACGTTTTTGCGGTGGCTCTGTAGTATCCCTACATTCTGGGGCGGAACCACTCTCGGAGTGGAAGATGCCAGAGAATTAGGTACTGGCGTTTGGAAGTCAAGAGATGGTTCATTATTTTCTTTATACTCTTTTTCACGTGCCTGCAAAGCTCGCCCGAACGCGCTCTCGTGGCCTCGATCTGATCTTCTGTTTAAAACCATATCTATGAACTCATTCTCGTTGAACGTGTCTTCAAAGCTTTTATTATCAAAATGAAGATGAAGCTCAGAAGTGTCTGCAAGATAGTCCACGTCCTCGGAAGTTGCAGAATTTGAGCGCTGGCGCATGGTGTTCAATTGGTAGCGCCGGTTGAACGAACGGTAAACAAACAAAATATAAACATGGACAATTTTCGCGGAGCGTTTTTCAAGACGCGTCGATCGACCTAAATAACGTACACTCATATCTCATTAACACACCCCTATTTATCCTATCAGCTGCCTAAGCCGTCTATTAACATCTTGGAGGCGATCGATTTCCTCTATCGAATGCATCATGACGTTGTATTTGGACATTGTTTTGCGCTTGCTCTTAGGTTTGCTGCCATTGCCTCTGGTTTGTCGCAGATAAACAGGAGACGAACTTATAAGATCGCATAGATCGTCAAAGGCATTCTTTATCATTGCGCGCCGTTTCTGCTCCGATGTCGAATGATTCAACTTCTTTTCTTCCTCCGTAAGCAACTTTTTAGAAAAAGAGTTGCTCCGTTGTCGCTTTAGGTAACTTGCCCGGGCCAACTTCTCCCCCTGAGTCGGCGGAGACGGCAGATGCTGGGCTGCATCATCGCGCTTGATGACCACTTCCAGTTCTGCCTCGGGGGTCTTTTTCAAATCCTTGATTGAGCTGGCCAGAGGGTCAATAGAATGCCAGTGTTTGGAAAGGTTGGACAAGCTTTGGTCGTTGGCGATCGAGTCCAAAAAGTTCTCCAGGGCAGACGTTTCTGACACGGAAAGAAGCTCTGATGACTGCTGTCGAGCCAGGCCCACCAAATTCGCAGAATAGGTCAAGTTGTTGAACGTTGTCAGCAAATTCCTTGTGTTAGGCGACACAGGCGAAGTGGCCTGAGCAGGACTCGACTCACCGAAATGAAACGAGGAGGACGACCGGGCAAGAAAGCTGTTTTTGTCATGAAGAAGTTTGTTGTTGTCCGGGGTTAAGGGTCGCGAAAGTTGTTCCTGGACTAGTTTCGGTGATCTATAAAAGGGCGACAGCCCCGTAGACACGACGTTTGTCATCGGCGGCGTCTGTGGGACGGTTGTCGAGTGGTCTGCAGGAATGGACCCAGACGTGGTTTGCGAGCCGGCGGAGAGTTTGTTCACGCCAGATAACCCGGCGCTAGAAGGAGTGCCCGCATCAAGTTCATTTGTCATTAGCATGTACGCAGTGTCAAAATCAAGATCGGTCGAGAAATAATCGGGCTCTTGTGTATTGTTGTGCCCGTTGGACTCAGTAGTGTCCCAGGCGGCGTTCATGTTGCTTTGGGCCGGAGCATTGGTGAATCCGGGAGAAAACAAGCCGGAGCTAGGGCTCTTCAAACTGCTGGGCGGAACTTCGAGAGACATTTCGAACGTCTTTAGAGATCAGAGACACGGATGTGAATTTCTGGTGCTGATCTTCTCTGGCAAAGAAAAATCACATGCTTACCCCGAAATTATTATTTTGTTACCGTACAAAAACATGACAGACACACTCTACTTTCCTAGCTGATGACTCCGGCATGCAGCTTCTGCAAAATCTGCTCGTCCGTTTCAGAAGCATCCTTCTGGACGACACCGGCAGTCTTTAGGACAGACTTGGTGCCGAGGATGTCCTTTTCAAAATCGACTTTCGTCACGTCGTCAGCAAACTTAACAGTCTTCTGCCACTCCTTGGCGTCCTCATACGAGTAGTCCAAATGGTCAGCAATGTACTTTGCAGCCTCATCCTTGTGGCTGTTGTAGTACTCGATACCCTGCTGCACAGCCTTCAAAAAGGATGACAAAGGCACTTGCTCTACATGTTTGCCTGAAACAATAACCCACGAAGACCACGGGGTGTAGATCTCGCCAATCTTTTTGATCTCACCGTTGTCGTAATATTTCTTGCTCGTGAAATGCTCCCACATAAACGCGTCCGAAGGCTCCACGTTGTCCTTTTTGTTGACCGAGTCTCTGAGGTTTTTGAAGTTGTCCAGGACGACAAACTTCTTGAAAAAGGGGCTTTTGAAGTGGTGCTGCAAACCCAAAACAAATGACATCACGTAAGAGCCTGAGCCAATGCGACTAACTCCAATTGATGCGTCTTGAAGTTGGGTCTCCGAAGTTGGGTCGGAACGCTGGGCACCGGTGGAAACAGCCCAGCAGAGAGGCGACTGCACATATGTGCCGGCAATCTGGTAGCTTTCATGATCGCCCTCGCAGAGACCCCTGACAAAAGCCTCTGTAAGTCCAATGGCGATGTCGATTTCTCGGCTCTTGAGAGACTGGATCAGGTGTCCTGAGCCCGACGGATACTCAATCAGCTCGCATTCAATGTCATTCTGCGCAAAATATCCTTTGGTTTTGGCAAATTGCAGAGGAGTAGAGAAATGCTCTGGGATAAATCCAACTTTCAGAACCATGACGTTAGTGGAAAGAATTAATATTACATATGGAATATTTTTTCTCTCAGAATCCTCGATTATCGTCTTTTATAAATACAAGGCTTTAATAGCCACTCTCCCTCAGGCCGTTTTTGCCTCTTGGTCTCAAGAGCTTCCAATTTGTTTTCTTTCTCAACAAACTTCCTCTTTTTGTCCTCCTTGGCCCTCCTTTCAGCCAGGATATCCTCTGGTGGCTTGAAGAATTCAAACCGAGTAAACATTTTGTTGGAGTCGTCGGTAGACTTGTGGAAAAACCCAAAACTCTTGAGTGCCTCTATAAATTCCGTGCCCTTCTCGTCGCTAAAACGGGATTTGATTTCCGCAATCCACAGCTCCCCTCTTGGAGCAAGCAGTCTGTATGCTTCTGCTATGAAGTCGAGGAAATTCGTACCCATCAGCGCTAAACAAAATACCACGATCGTGCAAGATGCGTCTGCAAGCGGAACATTCTTGATGTCAGCTACCGTCACAAAACTGTTGGCTTTCTTCAGGTCGAACGAGTGCACATCTATCTTTATTTTCTTCTTTTTTAGCGATGGCATGAACTTCTTTACGTCCTGCGCAAGTTGGGCCTCTCCGCAACCCATATCAGCAATCACTACCCTGCTGTTGGCCAGTCCGGGAAGACCTCCCGGTGCATTCACATGTCTGGTAGTAGCCCGAATCTTGATTTGATTAACGAAGACATCGACAGGATTCTCTGGCCACGACTGGACTTGTGATCGGAAACCCTCGTGGTACTCTTCAAATAGTTCTGGTTGCTCTTGTATCAGTTTTAAAGCCTCATCAGACTTGATTGTGTAGAGTTGTTCGTTGATCCATCTGAACCTCGATCCGGCCAGCTTGGCCATCATTTTGCGTTGAAGCGGAGTAAGTGACGAGTTGGTTGTGTCCTGGGCAACTTTGGAAGGCTTCTGTTGAGAATGCTTGGGTTTGGAATCATCAGCGCTTACTGCAGTCGAAATATCGTAGTCCTTCTGTTTGGCATGATGCACTTTGGAACCCTTTTTCTGGTTCTTCTGCTTCACTCTTTTCCCTTTCTTCTCTGTGACATTGTTCTCCTTGACCGGTTTGGGCTTGGGAACAGCCTCAGCAACCTTCTTGCCCTCTAGGCCCCATCCGTCAACTTCAAATAGCGACATAATTTTTTTCAAATAAAATTTTACACCTGACAAAATGGTATATTAGTATTAATACAAAATATAAAATTGGAACCTTATAAAATAATAGTCAAATCAACACAAAAACACTCAGTTCGACTCGGAACTCTTTTTGATGTAGGACTCTGAATGGTCAGACGCAGACGATTTTTGAGCGGAAGCAGAGTTGGCGTACCCAACGGACGAGGAAGGTGTGTTGGTGGACGCTAAAGATCCTTGAGAAGCATTGGGGTCTGCTGGAGGCTGGTTGGAGGCCACCTGAGGGATGTAGGCTTGCGAGTTGTAGTTTGCATACGAGTTTGCATAGTGCAATCCACCGGAAGGTTGGGGCTTGTACCCGTAAAAGTAGTCGGACTTGGCCTTGGGCTTCTCATAACTCGACTCCGCTGCCTTTGCCCTTTTTTCTTCATTTGCTTGGTCCGAAGAGCCATACTGCTGGGGCACGTAGTACGAATAGGGCGGGACTGAGGCCGTCTTGCTCATCTGGGTCGTCGGAGTTCCCTGCTGTATCACTTTCTTGATATCTTTGACAAACAGGGGATATAAAAGGTCAACGATCCCTTCTCTCTGAGCCATAGCAAGGGCTCTTTCAAAAGGAATCCACACCCCCTTGAGATGCATTGAGCCAATTTTGACAACCTGCCTGGTCTTCTCGGCCTTTAGGATACCATCTCTGCGGCCCCTGGTCATCTTGGCAACGTTCAGAAGCTTGGTTCCGTTAATCATGTCGTTATCTGCTCTTCGGACAACGGCAACGCCATTGGCTGCCACCTGGTAGCACAGTGTTTTCTCATCCTCCCACATGGTTGTTGTTATCTTGGGCCTCATTCCCGCAGGTTGCACAGGCGTCTCGGACGTGGCCGTGCTGCCGGGAGTATTGTAAACATACTGCATATGACCCTTGTATGACTGCCCGTATCCGGGATACTGTCCGTGTCTTGGGTAGAAGGTGGAAGGGTGGGGCTGCGGGTAATAGTAGCCCACCTGCTGTGGCTGCAGGGGTTGTTGTTGGGACTGGGTAGGAGGTTGTGCAGGATAGGAATACTGCGAATAATGGGAATGCGCTGTTGGATAGTACTGGTAAGACTGAGCGTCGTTTGCTGGCGGAGCGACTGCTCCGGGCTGTGATGCCTGCGCCGCAACAGAGTCTCCGGTAGGTGCAGCGGCGGTCTGGTACGGCTGGTAGTTGTAATTTTGTGCCACTGGTCCAGTGGGCATCACGCCCTGTTGATACGACGGGTAGCTCTGGTAAGGCTGGTAGCTTTGCTGGTACTGCGAGTACTGTTGGGACATTAACGAACGTATGTTTACTGCATCAATTGGTGAAGTTTCCTCAAGTACAAGCCCTTGCCAAAAAAAACTTTCATTACATACATAAACACTGTTCAAAAAGTTCACCATTACTTTGCAGCACTGCTGCGCGCCTGTAGCATGCCAGATTTGCTTCCCGCGTGGTGCATGCAGTCTGTTGTCCGTGGCAGGCGTGCGCGAAAAAAAAATTCGCCCGCGGAGCGCTAAGCGAGACCGCCCATGTCTCCGCACACACAATTTGCGATCCGCTTGCCCCCTGACAGAGAATCAATGAATTTATTCCTATTGCATATGCCGACTTGAATCAACGGACTTCTTTGCTCACCGCTTCAGCAGGGGGCGTACGGCGCTGCCAATATTGTGAATTCCCAATCTCTGTTTTCGTATTGTCGCTTGCGAGACTACATCAGGGCAGGGCACATACTCCCGCCGATCTTTGCACTTACCGATCTTGGTAAACCGTCCCGGAGAACTGCGCGTGCACGGATGTTTCTGATGTCTGATGTTGTGATTTTTCATCCATAAAAAAATTTCCATCTTCTCGACATCTCCACAAAATGTCTGGACAAACCAGCCCGTCTGCGTTTGTTGTTCTCCACATCACCACCACGGGCGACGACCTTAGCACCTCCAAAGACTCCAGCGAGATTCTCGAGATCGCCTGGTCCGTGGTCGACTCCCACTCACTCGCAGAAATCAAGACCAACTCGTCGCTCGTCAAGCCCCTTACCACCCCCGTCACGCCGCTGTGTACCTCCCAAACTTCCTTGACGTGGGAAAACGTCAAGAACGCGCCATCTTTGAAAGACTGCGTCCTGCTCTTGGAACAGGACATCGAGAAGCACCTAGTTTCCGCCAAAAGAGACTTCACGTTTGTGGTCTTCAACAGTTGGGACCTCAGAATGCGGCTTCCAAAGGAAAGCAGAGAAAAGAATATCCAGCTGCCGTCATATTTGGAGCACTCCCGGTACTTCGATCTCAGAAAGGAGTACCTCAAGTTCCAACAGTGCCAGTCTCACGAGTTAGATCATCCTGGCCCCCTTACCGTTTCGCACATAGTTTCCGCTCTCGATCTCGACGTTGCAGATATAAAGCCCGTGAACAAGTCATACGGAGACTCTCTGACGCTCGCTATGCCCCGCCGTGCGGCCGATGAAGTGCAGGTGCTGGTCAAGGTGATTGGCCATCTCCAGAAAACGTCTCCACAGGGCTCGAAAATCCTCGAAACACCGTACGACATGGCGTTGGACCTGGCGCAGTTTGCTTCCGAAAAGTCCAGAATTCTGTATATGAGCAACTTGCCTGCAGACACGACGCAAAGCGAGCTGGAGTCCTGGTTCACACAATATGGTGGCAGACCGGTGGCTTTCTGGACCGTCAAGATTCCGCCACTGCCAGAGTCGCAGAATAACAGCCGAACAGGGTCCAACACCAGCAACAGCAGCGGCAGCAACAGCATAAACTCACAGTCGTCAGGTACGAAGCCAGCTTGCTCCGGTTTTGCCGTGTTTGCTACTCACGAAGAAGCCCTGGACTCCTTAGCCATGACGGGGAGACTTCTCAACGACAGGATCATAGAGGTGCAACCCTCGTCTACTTCTGTGCTTGACAAGGCACATGACATCCTCACGCCGTTTCCCTCATCGAAAAATAGACCCAGGCCAGGCGACTGGACCTGTCCATCCTGCGGTTTTTCCAACTTCCAGCGAAGAACAGCATGTTTCCGCTGTTCTTTCCCTGCAGCCTCTGCTGCGGCTGTGCAGGAGTCAATCAGCACAGGTCAGTACTATCACAGACAGTCAAATACAAACAGCTCGTCCAACGTGCCTTTCAGAGCCGGCGACTGGAAATGTCCGAACGAGAGCTGCGCATATCATAATTTTGCCAAGAACGTTTGCTGCCTCAAATGTGGGACACCTAAACCGGCAGCAAATACCTACAACGGCTATTCGTACCATCAGGACGCCTACAACGCCAATATGGGCCAGCGCCGTTCCATAGCCACTCCGCAGTACCACCACCAACTTCGTTCCAACACCCCTGGCTCCGACACCTCTGCACCGGGAGCGGCTCCGGGCATCTACAATCTGTTTCAGTACCCGCTGTCGGGAGCAGCAAGCAAGCAATCCGGCCCGCTTTCTGATTCTGCCTCCACCACACCGTTGTTCCAGCCGATGCTTCCGCATGGTAGCACCCCGTCGTACTCTGGTAGTCTGGACGACTTCCAAGGCCTGTCCTCTCGCATCAATGGACTGACTCTCAACTCCCAGCCCCTACAACAAGCACATTCGGAACAAAGCTTATACCATTCTGGTCTGCCTTCCTTAAACCTGGACCTCGATCTCTCCAAATGATAGAATACTGTATAGATGATAGCATTATAATTTTTGCACCGCCACACGGCCGCCATTATCTGTCGCGCTAGTAGAAATATGTATTAGGACTAATTAATGTCACAAATCTGTCCCAATGCTGGAGAATTCAGATGAGCCTCCTCTTTTTGACCCTCGGCGCCAGACACAGACGCTGTTCAAGGTGCAGTTGTACTTCTGTTCCATCTTGGGTCTAGTGATTTTCCTCACTTTCTGTCTGGTCAGATACAAGTTTCCCCTGTTATATTCCGTGCGTCCGTATCGCAACAAGATGATACGCAGGCTCCCCAAAAGCTTTTTTGGCTGGATCAAGGTTCTCCATTCGATCTCAGGAGACGAAATAATCCAGGTTGCCGGGCTTGACGCTTACGTGTTTCTGTGTTTCTTTCGCATGGGAATACGGATTTTTTGTACCATGACTGTTGCCGGATTGCTGGTTCTGAGTCCCGTGAGGTATCTATTGACCGGTAAGTTTGATAAGGAAATGACCAAACTGCAGCTATTTTATGGCATAATGACGGGATCAGCCAAAACAGCTGCCAAACATGACGATTCAGAACCGACAGGATACCTGGTGGTGTGCACGATCTTCACGTACATCTTCACAATAACTGTTTTCTTTTTCCTTTTCAAAGAGACTCTGCACATCATCAAAACCAGGCAACGCTGTCTGGGCTCGCAACGGTCGGTTACGGACCGAACAATCGTGATCTCCCATATTCCTGACTCGCTGAAAAACGAAGAGGCCTTGAAATCGCATATCGAGACCTTGGGGGTCGGTAACGTTGAGAAAGTCACGCTTGTTTATGACTACACGAAATTGCGAATTTTGTTTGACCGTCGCGCAGAGATAGTGCACAAGCTGGAGCAGCTGTACTCAATTTATTATGGACTCGAGGTTCACATTTTCAAGGACGTGGAAACCCCGTCTGCGAAACTGAAGTCGGACCTGCTGAGCCAGGAGCTTGATCTGGATGCCTCTGTGCCGCTCCCTAAGGCTTACGACTCGAAGAAAAGAGAAAAGAAGTGGCCTACTGGCAGAATTGCTGCGTTTGGCCCCAAAATTGATCTCTTTGACTACTATTGCCAGGAACTCATCCAGATAGATCAAAACATTAAGGTGTTGCGCGAGAAGGGGGATTTTAAGCCCATTCCTTTGGCATTCGTGACAATGGACTCTGTCAGTGACGCCCAGATGGCTGCGCAAGCCGTCTTCTCGCCTAGAGCATTCCAGCTCATCACCTGCCTAGCACCGGCTCCTTTGGACGTCAACTGGGACAACTTACATCTCAGCTCGAAATCCGTATTCATTAGAAAGAATATCGTTGAACTAATCATCATCGCTTTTAGCATCTTGCTCATTATACCTATTCGGTATCTGTCTTCGCTGCTTAACGTTAACGCTATCAAAAGGATATGGCCCGAATTTGGTGATTATCTGATCAAGCATGAAATTCTCAGAACCATTGTGACCGGTATTTTGCCCACCTACTTGTTTACGCTGATCAACATCGCGCTCCCATACGTTATTTCCTTCCTCTCCAATTTGCAAGGTCTGGTTTCCAAAGGCGACGTTGATCTTTCAATAACCCGCAAGAACTTCATGTACATTTTCTTCAATTTGTTTCTAGTGTTCACTCTGTTTGGTACTCTGTCTAGCTACAAGGCTTTGTTATCCGATACTACGAAAATTGCGCCTTTGCTGGCGACCTCGATCAAAAGTCTCTCACTGTTCTACATTGATTTGATCCTGCTGCAGGGTCTGGTTATGTTTCCGGTCAAGCTGCTCCAGACAGGAGATCTCGTGTATATTTTTTGGGAGTACGTTTTGCGTCACTCGTGGCAGACTCCTAGAAGCTACAGAGACCTCTTTTACAAGCCCGCAATATTTGAGGTTGGGCTCATTTTGCCCCAGCATCTGCTCATTTTCATCATCACCATCATCTACTCTGTGATCTCTACGAAAATTCTCACCTCGGGCATGGTGTACTTTGTTATTGGATACTATGTCTACAAGTATCAGCTTGTGTACTCTATGGTCCATCCATATCACAGTACAGGGAAGTTGTGGCCCATAGTGTTCCACAGGGTGTGTCTGGGGATGTTATTTTTCCAGCTGCAAATGCTTGGCACCCTGGCATTGGAGCAGTCGTTTGTGCTTGCTGCGCTAGTCGTGCCTCTGCTACCGATGACGGTTGTGGTGGTTCTCTTCTTCAACCGCAATTACCTGCCGTTGCTCTTCTACATTGCTCTAGACGCGATAAAAACCTCGGGCGAGTCTGCAGAGACGGACGACTCCGATGAACTTGGCTCTTTTCTTAGCTCCTCCGACGGGGCTGGCGGCAAATCACGGTCCAGACGCAAGTCTGTGGTCATGCGCACTCCATCAGAATCTCCAAGTCCTTCGCATACAGATCCTGAAGCTCTTTCTGTACATGTGGTGCGCAAACGCAGGAGCACAATTGATGAGGCGCGCGAGGCATGTCAGAGCTACATATATCCATTGTTGAAGGAGCAGCTGGATGGTCCCTGGGTCGGGTTCGAGGGCGACGACATCGACGTTGTCAGGTACTACGCTACTGAGTCTCAGATCGTTTTGGACATTGTCAGACAGAAGGTGTCTTCTATTGAGTACGACTAAAGCCTTGGACGGCTGGAATATCTCCGAGATCTCGGTTTTGGATTTTCTTCTAGCATAGCCACGCGATCACGCTCGAAATTATTTTTAGAAATGGCGCAGCTGATACAAAATCATAATATAGAATATATCAATCTGTAACAAAGCTATCTCGCACCTTTTTACAGATATGGTTCAAAATGACAATCCGTTTCGATTAGATGACGATGACTCTGTTGAGGGACAGAGCTTGCATGATAACCCATTTGTCCAAATGGATGACGACGACATATACCAAACATCGAACCAGGCTCAAAGGAGTGTCTTTGATCTGAACGATTACCAGGACTCATACAACGAAACCGTTTCTTCTCCAGTGCGCCATTCCATCCTCCGCCCACCTTCGAATGTTTACGACGCGACGCAGTCCAGCTTCTCATCAGACAGCTCGTTTCTGGGTTCCGAAAAACTCCCGTCCAGCTCATACACCAGGCCAGTGATTTACCAGCCATCAGTGCCGCCAATGCCTTATCAGCAAAGTTTTCCCGTGTTTCAGTCCTTCACAAGGGATGTGGACGAGCCAGTGATTGAGGATCTATTTTTCGAAAAGACAGAGAACGACGGTATTGAGCCTCTCAATGTGGCTACCTCAGGTGACACCAAGGTTCAGTTGCTGGACGACAGGCACTACAGCTTTGATTTTCCGGTTCCCCAGCAGCTGATTGCACGCATCCCGTTTGAGGACGCCAAGAACCTGACGGAGTTCACGTATTTGAGGTACCATGCCATTACAGCAGACCCAAAGGACTTTACCAGCGGCGACCTCGAAAAAAGACGCGACATTGTGAACTACCCGTTGCGGCCGAACTTATATGGAGTGAGACGTGAAACAGAGCTCATGATCGTGTGTACCATGTACAACGAGGACGAAGTTCTGTTGGGTCGCACGCTCAAGGGTGTTTTCAAAAATATTAAAACCATGTACAACTTGCCCGAGAAGCGCTCTAGCGAGCATCCGTTTGGCAAAAACGCGTGGAAAAAAATCGTGGTGGTGATAGTCAGCGACGGGCGCTCCAAGATCCACGAGAGGTCCAAGGCTCTGCTCACTTTGTTGGGATGCTACCAGGAGGGTGTGATCCAGGAGAAAGTGAACGGCGAAGACGTCAACGCGCATTTGTTTGAGTACACCACCACATTTGGTATTGGACAGTTCGATTACCACCGTGGCGACGAGGGTAAAGGTTTTACTGTTCCGTTGGTCACGGAGCAGACTGTGCCTGTTCAAATGATGTTCTTGCTCAAGGAGCAGAACAAGCAAAAGATCAATTCGCACAGATGGGCGTTCAACTTCCTGTGTCCAAACCTCAACCCGAAAATTGTGTGTCTGCTGGACGTTGGCACAGAACCAGGCCCAGACTCGATCTATAAGCTTTGGCAGGCCTTCAAGGACCCGCAGGTTGGAGGAGCCTGTGGAGAAATCAGGGCCATGCTAGGGAAAAAAATGAGTCCGAACGATGAGGGCTCGCTGATGCAGAAATTAGGCCGCTGGGTCTTGCGGATCTCTTCTGACCTCAAATGCGTGGTGCTGAATCCACTTACTGCCGCACAGAATTTCGAGTACAAAATATCCAACATTCTTGACAAACCGATGGAGTCGGCATTTGGATTTGTCACGGTTCTTCCCGGTGCGTTCAGTGCATATAGATACGAGGCGTTGCAAGGAGACCCTTTGAAAGCGTATTTCCATGGAGAAGATATGAAAACCAACACAGAAAAGCCTGCCGGAACGCTGGAGTCCAACATGTACCTTGCAGAGGACAGAATCTTGTGTTTTGAGCTGGTGGCCAAGAAAGGAGCGTCCTACGTACTGCGGTATGTCCACGACGCGTTTGGCGTCACCGACGTCCCTGGAAACATTGCAGAGTTCATCAACCAGCGACGGAGATGGCTCAACGGCTCGTTCTTCGCTGCGCTCTACTCGGTGATGCATTTTTACCGGATTATCCGTTCCAAGCACAGCTTTGGCCGCAAGCTCGTCCTGCTGGTGGAGGTGGTGTACCAGACAGTCAATATTGGTCTTTCGTGGCTGTCCATCTCGTTTTATTTTCTGGTGTTCCGGATATTAACTTTGGGACTGGCGGACACATCGGTCGGGTTCAAGGCTGGCAACATACTGGCAGTGGTATTCTTGTGGCTCTACATTGCAGCTCTGGCGCTCACATTTATCATCTCGTTCGGCAACAAGCCCAAGGATGCCAAACGACTATACCAGCTCGCTTTCCTGCTCTTCTCCATAGTGATGGCCTACATGATCTTCTGTGTGATTATGCTGACGATCGCGTCGGTGCACACGATCCAAAGCGAAATAGCAGCCTCGACGAAAAGCAAGGTGCTGGCGTACTTGGAAAATTCCAAGTTCCGCGACCTGACCGTGGCACTGTCGTCCACATACGCACTGTACGTTTTAGGGTCGTTGCTGTTTTTCGAGTTCTTCCACCTGTTTGGTTGCAGTCTACAGTACATTTTTCTGAGCCCGGCGTACATCAACGTGTTGAGTGTTTTCGCGTTCTGCAACATCCATGATATTTCATGGGGAACCAAGGGAGCACTCAAGGTTGAGGAAGCGGGCAAGAAAGAGGCCAATAAGAGCGAGCGTTCGAACGAGCTGATTCTCTCAGAGGCCTTGCAGGACCCTGACGAGCTGTATCTTCTGGCTAACAACAATATTTCCAAGCCTGAGGCGGTGAAAAAGGAAAGCACTTTGAAAACCTCGGAAAGGAATTATGCCCTGGGCAGAACGTACACGGTGCTTGCATGGCTGGTGTCAAACTTCATAATTTTGGTTCTTGTGCTGCGGACAGGCGGACTGGACGACTACAATGATTACAAGGACTCGAACACCAGCTCCAGTACTGCCACCACCAGGGTGAAAAGAAACGTGGACAGCAAGAGCTCCAATACGTTCATGACGTTCGTGCTTTGGTGTGTGTGCTGTCTGGCGCTAGTTCGGGTGTTTGGCGTGCTGGTCTACAGACTGGACACTTTTTTCCGCAAACGTCGCTACCACAAACACCCGGTGATCTAAATAATAACTCGTATTTAATCCTGCAGTGCGAAGTTAATAAAAATAAGAGCAAAAATATTCGCGCATGCCGAACCGATCAGCTGACGTGAAACGGATTTTTTTTCGAGTAAATGTATCTATTGAATAATATAAGAGTGTGGAATCTCATAACTCGTAACTTCATCACATTAGTTTATACCAAGGAGCTCATCCTTTGGTATCGGGGAAACTAGCGCACCGTCGACAGAGTGTGATGTCTTCTTGTATGGATGAGGGTGCTGCGAGTACGAATGGTGGCTTCTATGTAACGTTCCGTGCTTTCTGTTTCCGCTATCCGTGGACCTTGTTGATGCAGATCTCTGCAGATTGCTTGGAGGATGTGCAGAATCGATGTAGGAATCTTCTCCAAAGTAGGACGAATACGAGCTGTCATTGCGCGAGAGGTTCATCGAAGCGGGAATGACCGTCTTGGAGTTGTACATGGAATCGGGCGAGGTAGCCAGTACCGATGCTGGGGAATTAAGATCGAAGTCAGACATCATGAAGCCGGAACCGGAGCCAGACGCATGCGAGCGGCCCAAGAGGCCATTGACGGCTGCAGCTGCTAAGCCCGCCCCGGATTTGAAACCGCTCATATCAAACTGTGCGGGGGTCATCGAACTGTAATTGTCGTAAGACTCGTTTTCCACAGGAGGTTGGACTGCGTCCATTATAAGGCTCGTAGGCATAGGACTCATCTGACCGAAGAGATCGTCGTTTTTTTCCTCCTTGATGTCGTCGAGACGCGTGGAATTTGTTTGTTGCTCAAACATAAATTCCGCGCTGAAATCGTTCTGGGGTAGAGGCGAAAACGGATCGTCCGATCTTGGTGTAAGCTAATCTGGCGATGAATATGGTAGGAAGTCTGCGGCGAGCTCCTCCTTCTTGGAAGCTGGCTGGGGAACAGTCGACTCCGAGGACTCCTCAAGAGCGCTGTCCTGAGACTCGGTATTGGGGATGCGGCTCTGCCATTGCTCGGGATTGGTCTCACTGTCAGAATGGTCTACAGCTTCCGACTTGTCAACGAGCAGCGAGATGGCCTGGTTGATCGAAATTGGAACACCCTCGTCGTATTCATTGTACGTGATATTCTGCGCAAATTGTTGCAACTCTGCAGTTTTATTGAGTTTTACCATTTCCGAGAGATTAATCAGAGCCTTGTTAACTATGCGCAGTCTCTTTTCGATCAGTTCCACGTAATCGTATGAGTAGCTTTTATCCCTGCTCTTCTTACGCTCGGTATAGATGCAGATCTTGTTATCAGCCTGACACTTCTCGCAAGGCTGTTTGCCAGAACACTTGGTCTTCTTGAGTCTGCAGGAATCGCAAGCCTTGCCGACTCTTTTCTTCTTCTGCTGCTGGGCTTTTCTGTCGCCGTACCGGTCAGGAGACGACAACGTGGACGATAGAGGCATGTTCAATTGTATCCGTGAAACCTTGTGTGCGTTTTTAAGGTGGGTTGTAGTGCATTTTGGACCATATTTATGTCTGACTAAAACCCCTCGGTCGGCTTACATAGAATATACCGAAACCGAGCAGATAAATTAATAATCGGATATAAGCTGCATAACAACGTAAAGAAAAGAAATCAGAATCTATGCATCTGTGCAGCGTACTACTAACTACTATTAGCTATGTTGCTAGAACGATCCATCAGTTGATGTGCGGCATTTACATCACTAAAATATGGAGGTTCCGTACTATCTCTATCAATAAGCGTTGTTTTTTTTTATTTATCCGAGCACTTAATATGTTCCCCCTATTTGTGAAGCTGGTTTGGAAGGAGAAGCCGGAGCGGACACAGAAGATTTCTAGTCCGATTTTCGCTTTTAGTAGCAACATGTAGCTTTTTAGAACTTGCAACTTTAGTGGCCTAGCATTTTCTCGTACGAGATTGCCTGCATCGTGTATCTTTTTGTGGCTACTTACCCACTCCACCTTATTTGTCGCTGAGCTCAGCCATTGGAGGTCGGTTTCTGCCCAGAGGTCACCAGTTACGCCATGCTCAAGTTGCTACCTGCCACAATCCGCGTATTTAACAATATCGGGCTGTGCTGCTTCTTGGCCAGAATCCACTACTCAGATGAAGGTACAGAAATTTATTGTACAACCTGATGGGCGCTGTCTTGAACGTGCTGCTGAACATCATAGCAGTCGCCATCCAGTTCCCCTTGTTGGTGCTGCACACTCTTGGCCTCGAAAGCGTGCTTGCGTCCGTTCAGTCGCCCTTCAGCAAACCCGATAACGTTTCGTCAACAGTACCGCGGAACTCCCCAGAAATCTCTCCTACAAGGAGAGTCAAAGGAGATTGTCGCTTCCACGACAGAATTCTCGATGCAGTAGATATCGTGCAGATAGTGCATGCCCATGGATACAAAGTGCACGAACATGTTGTCCAGACTAGAGACGGATATTTGCTGTCAATCCACAGAATAATAGCAAAGAACGCCCCGAAAAACGCGCCAGTTGTGCACATGCATCATGGTCTGCTCACTAACAGCGAGCTCTTTGTGCTGGGAGACACCACATCACGTTGTCTTCCGTTCCGCCTAGTGGAACTGGGCTATGACGTTTGGCTAGGCAACAATCGCGGGAATAAATATTCTCGTAAGCATCTCACGTTTTCTTCACGCGATGTCAGGTTTTGGGACTACTCGTTGGACGAGTTTGCTATGTTCGACATTCCAGACACCATAGACTACATTCTGTGCGCTACCAACCAGAAAGATCTCACCTACATTGGCTTCAGCCAGGGCTCTGCACAGTGTCTGGCTGCCTTATCACTGGATTGTTCGCTCAACTCCAAAATCAAACAATTCATAGGGCTCTCGCCGGCAATGATTCCTAAAACGCTCAGTCATCCACTGCTGAAGTTTTTTGTCAACTCTGCGCCAAACCTCATGTACAGACTCTTTGGACGTCGTGCGATTCTTCCGTCAGTTGTTTTTTGGCAGAAGCTGATGGGCCCGCAGTGGTACCAAGCCGTTGTGGACAGGTCTCTAGTCTTTCTTTTCAACTGGAAGTCGCATAATGTCACTGAATCCCAAAAGAAAGTCGGCTACGCGCATATGTTCTCACCTTCCAGTGTGAAAAGTGTGATCCACTGGTTTCAAATTATAAGCAGCGAAAGATTTCAGATGTATGACGAAGGAGGCGCTTCCGGCTCAAAGCTGGTGTACTTGAGCGGAGCTACTTCGAAAACCAATAGAGTCGCGCCATTCCCCACGCTGACCATTACCACCCCAATGTTGCTCGTTTACGGGATGTCAGATTCTCTTATCGATATCGACAAGACCGTCGACCAGCTCTCCTGTCCGGTACAGGTTGTGGGTATAGAAAATTACGAGCATATGGATACCCTTTGGGCCTCGGACGTGGAAGACAGAGTCTTCCTGCCTGTCATCAAGTTCCTGGCTGGTTATGAGTTAACAGTTCGCTAATAAACTACAAATATAGTATAATGTTGTGTCAATCCTTGCAGTCGACCCCATACGGATGCACGAAGGCGGGTCCTTAGAAGCTACATACAGCTTCAGATGGTCGACTGCACCCAAGATTGACACGTTGTTCTCCAGTACAAGCGTAAAGACCGAAGTCTGGCACCAGAATCCGTGATGTCCTGGGTCAGAGCGCTCCCGAAAGAGGCTCAACCTCGAAAGGATGCGATAGCAGTGCCTGCCTGTCTGTGGTTTTGCGTTGGAAAAAAAAATTATGGAAGATCGCCTTATATACCATTCTGCGGCCGGGTAATCGTTTCCCGGTCTCAACCACAATTTGCCCTGCGGTGGTGGTGATAAGATGATCAGCAACTGCCGCAGTGTGCACCGTCAGCTGGATATCAGCTTCTACAGTAATACGACGAAGCGAAGCACATATACTCCCTACTGTTGCTACTCGAGTACGCTTGACTCATGAAAAATTAAAGTTTGAAAAAAAAATCCCCATATTTTTCTTGATAAACTGTAAATGATATCCATCAGGGCGCCAAGGGTATTCTGGTCAAGAAAGCTGTTCTCCACAAGGGCTGTTTCGTTTTCAAATGTCAAGATCGAACCCGTGACCCAGTTAAAGCCGCGCCAGTTTCCCCAATATGCCCAGAACCCGCACTCCTTTTTCAGAAACCTCGTCTGGCAAGCACCCCCTTCGAATATTTTGGTGGTCAAAAAACCGCGCAAGGAGGATGTGACACTTGCCACGGCTCAGTTTATCTCACATATCCACTCATCCTATCCTAACTGCACGGTGATAGTTACTGAGGAAGTTGCTAGGGAGTTCAACGAAAATCCCCAAGTATTCAATAAGTCTGGCGAAAACGTCAAGCATGTTCTTTACACGGGAAAAAACGAAGAAATCGTCAGCAAGACCGACATGATTGTTTCATTTGGAGGAGATGGAACTATATTAAGAGGGGTCTCTCTTTTCTCAAACACTCAAGTACCACCGATATTGTCTTTTAGCTTGGGCACTTTGGGATTCTTGCTTCCCTTCGATTTCAAAGATTTTAAGGACGCTTTCAAACAAGTATTTGAAAGCAGAGCTTTGATGCTGCGCAGAGAGAGATTGGAATGCCACATTGTTAAGAAGAGTACAATTACAGACACGAATCCAAAATCGATGTACAAAAGCGGCTCGGACGAACTATCTCAGGTGCACGCCATGAACGACATAGTGCTCCATCGCGGGTCGCTGCCAAGCTTGATCAACCTGGATGTTTATGTGAACGGCCATTTCCTCACAACAACCACCGCAGATGGTTTGATTTTTGCCACGCCTACAGGATCAACCGCATATTCGCTTTCTGCTGGTGGGTCTATGGTCCACCCGGTGGTTCCATGTATCCTGCTCACTCCCGTGTGTCCCAGGTCTCTTTCTTTCAGGCCCTTGATTCTCCCTTCTATTTCGCACATTAAGGTAGTCGTCAGGAGCAAAGGTTTGAGCGGACATGATTGCTCCGCAAAGTTGTCAATCGATGGGATACCTCAGTTGAAACTCAGCGCAGACGACGAAATACACGTTATTTCAGAGTCGGGATCCTTACTGGACCCCTCGTGGAACCTCCCAGCCTCCATATCGCTGAAGAAAAAGACCACAACTGATGAAGCCAAAACAGGTCTTTGGTGTGTCGCGCGTACTAAAGGTGACTGGGTGACAGGCATTAACAATTTGCTGGGATTCAATTCCGGCTTCAAAAGCATAAACGACGCTCATCCATAATGATTCTAGTTATTTTCTTTCAGATGGTTGCCGTTTCCGTTGGAAGCAGGCGTTACAGTAGCTTCGTTGGACTCTTCGTTGTGTTCGTTCTTTTCGTCGCGTTCTAGCTCCCGCACCATATCCTCTGCAACCTCATTGTAGTAACTAGCGGGTATGATCGAAGGAGTTGGCTTCTTGTCGGCCTCGTTGTAGTCAATTGAGTCTTTAGCTCTAACTGCATCCTCGTCCTTATCATAGAACTCGTTTTCGGGAACGATTCGCTCGTCGCGCGCTTTTTGAGAGCCGCCTCTGGTGTCGATGGCCTCCTTAGTGTCCTCCTCAGGATCGTCGTCAAAGTCCACAAGGTCTGGTGGAACCTCTTGCATTTGAACCGAAGGAGCGTGCTTTGTGTTTTCGAGATTGGCAAAAACTTGAGTCAGGATTCTGTTCAGATACTCTGGAGAGTTGGCATTGTGCATGTTGGACGGTCTCACGTCCAGCTTATAATCAGGTCCGAAATACTCGTAGTAGTCGTTGAAGGGCAACTCGGGGTCCAACAATGTCTCGTTTAGCAAACCGGTTTCGAAAGCCCATGTTCTCGCCACATTTCTCATCGTGTATCCACCGCCACCAACAACCATCGTCGGCACGTTGAACGACTTGACAAAGTTCACGCAGTTGGCATGTCCGCGCATAGAAAGATTAAAACAACCAAGCTTGTCTCCGGAAAGCGAGTCTCCACCACACTGGAGAACAACAGCAGAAGGCTGATACCAGTCCATGATTCTCTGGATGACGGGCTCGAAAATAGACTTGTAGGTGGCATCGTCAATGCCGTCTCTTAAAGGAATGTTTACAGCGTGGTATTTTCCCTTGCCCACACCAATATCTCTGAGCTCACCGGTACCCGGGAAAAATTCTCCATATTTGTGAAACGAGCATGTCATAACACGATCCGTAGTGTAAAAAGCTTCCTCAACGCCGTCACCATGATGCACATCGATATCAATATACAGCACACGCGGATGGTATCTGAGCAGCTCAATGATGCCCAGTACAATGTCGTTCACGTAACAGAAACCCGAAGCCTCGGATTTCTTGGCGTGGTGCAAACCTCCAGCATAGTTGATGGCAATGTCACACTTTCCTCTATTTAATCTAGCGGCTCCCTCCATCGAGCCTCCTCCAGAAATACCACAGTACTCAAAAAGCCCGTCGAAGACAGGACAGTCGTCTCCCACGTTGAACTTGGCTTGTTCTTTGGTGAACATTTCTAGGTTGTCTGGAGTGGCTCTGGCGAGGAAGTCAATGTATTCGTCGGTGTGAAATTGACACATCTCCTGCTTAGTGGCCGGTTTGGCCCGGTAGATCTCCATCTTTTTATACAGTCCGTAGTTCATGATCAGTGAGTGCGCCATCCTTATTCTGTGTGGCTTCATTGGGTGTCCAGCACCGTAGGCGTAGTTGCCCACGTCGGAGTCATAAAAGTATGCAACCCGCTTCTTGCTGCTTGTGCCCACTTTCAGCTCGTCAAAAGGTTTTAGCTCGAAGATCATACTTTGGTGAGAGATAAAAAAAACACCAACTTTCTACAACTGAAGGGCAACATGGAAAATGTTGTTTTCGGTGCGAGGTGTATATATATTTTTTTTTTGGGACGTGAAGAGCTAACTATGCGGGAGGAAGTGCAGACTTGTTAATTTGTTTCTGCACCGCCCTATAGTTCGTGATCTCCTGAGACAATCTCTCCTGCAGCTGTGTTTCCTGTTGGAGCTTGCGGTACACCAAATCGTTCACTCGGAACGTGAGGCCAGATCCGTTCTCAGAAGAGGCACTGATTGGTAGCAGCCACTCCACCCAGGTGGCGCCCATGATGGCACACCAATTTTGCTTGTACCCGAGATCAAAAATGTTTCCTATTTCATGCGAGCTCCTGTTCGAGCGATATCCCTGAGTTTCGTACGATTCCAGCGTCGTTCTGTTTATCAGTAACTGGTATATCGTAAAAAGCGTGAACACGGAAACACATAGCCACATGACGGCTCCCAACGCAAAAACAAACATAGTGTGCAGCGAGAACTTGTCCAGAGAAACGCTCTGGAGGTAGTAGATCATGTATAGACAGTATCCTGAGATAAGGGTGGCCAGCCCTGTGTAAAATGACGTATAAATAAGAAATTGAACGAAAAACTTGTGGTTTTTGAACCCTATGCAATCAGCGAACCATGGACAATGATGGTCCATCCGGAGAATACATTGCTCACATGATGAGCAGTGGTGGCATCTGTCAGGCTTCCAAACTCTGCACTTGTTGCAATAGCGATAGCCTCCATCTCTTTTCACCATCACTGTGTTTGACTTGAGGAATTCTGGAGGCTCGGGACGGACGTCTGGGCCAGGCTCGAGACAGCGAAGCTCAGGAAATTCCATGGGCGAGCCCGGACCTACTGCCACCACCAGGTAATATGATATCAAACACAATGCCTCGAGTATAGTAATGATGACAAAAATGGCCAATCTGCTCGCTGACCCATCTATCACACTGAAAACCATTTTGAAAATTATGGCGTAGTAGGACCAGATAAGTAGTGCTGTGCACACAAACTTGGGGAAGGTTGATGCAACTGTGCAGCAAATTTGTGTGATAGTCACCATCGAGTCATAAGCAAAATATTGTTTTATTATTTTTTTACCACATTATTGAAGTAGAATATTTTATGGCAGTCTCTATACACTCTCCTTCACCTCATAAAACTTCTTGAAAATAAACGCCACCAAGTTATCTGTATCAAAGAGAACGCTGTCATCAAACAATTTGACTGTTTTCTTGTGTTCGTATTGTAGATTGAGAAAATCGTCCATGGTGATCCTTGCATGGCCACAAACACCAAGCGAGTTTTTGGAAATATCAAACGTAAACTCTCCCTGGCGCTCACAGCTGATGGTGAAATAAATTCGGCTCAAAGCAAAAGAGGTGAGGTTAGTATTGCAGAACTCAATCAGGATGTGGTGATCCATCAGATGCTTGGCAGAATGTTTGTAAGAACCAAATTTAGGAACGTATCCTTTCTTCTTCCTCAGCTCTCTTTCATGGTAATATTGCCTCGAGAAGTATTTAAGCAAAGGACCTTTTTTCTTGTGCACACTCTGGTGCTGCATACGCATCATCACCCTATCAATTTCCTTGATATAGTCAGAGTAAACCTTCGAGCAGGTTCTCTCTTTTTTCTTTAGCTTCGTCAGAGTGTCAATAACAAGCTTAAGCTGGCGCTCTCTCTCCTCCTTTTTTGATTTGCTCATCTTGATATCATGCGCTATCTCATTAAGAATTGCCTGGTAGCCGTCTTCGCGACTGATGTATCCATTATTCTCCAATTCAAGGAGAAGTTCAATGGCACGCTTCTTCAGCTGGGGGAACGTCGAATTGTGGATTTTGCGCACTGTTCGTCTTTCCATGCCAAATTCAGGTAAAGCACTGTTGGCCTTCTCCTCTTTGATTATCTCTTTGAACCGGAGCTCGTCAAGCGGAGTAATCTCGCTCAGCAGTAGATCCAGCAAATCAGCACCGTCTTGCACTTTGATAATGTATATTAGGTATTCCTTAACCTCCAACAAAGCCACCTTAGTGCCAACAACTTCCGGGTCGGTACTTTCGGCAATTGGCTGCAAATACAGCTCAACCAAACTGTTTTTGGTTTCGATCTTGTTGTGATAAGAAGAATACTCCTCAATTTCCATCAGCAAGAAATGCAAATAATCGTTTTTTTGCGTCACCAGGACATCCTGGTGGTCATAAACTATTTGCAACAACTCTGAAATGTCGTCCTTCAAAAGTTCCAACTTAGGCTTTTGGTTGGAAACCACATCATGGTATGCTGATTTCATTTGGTACGCTTCTTCGATTGTGCCCACATCAATGAGGTCTTTGAGAATATTTCTAACACCTTCCACGAACTCCTCGACGAATGGGTTCAATGGCTGCAAGTACACATTTTCAGTGTTGAACGGCCTCATCAAAACCAGTTGGTTCAACACTTTGGCGACTTGCAGAAGGTTGTCTCTAACCCTTGAAACATGAGACTCGTCATCGACAATATGATCTATACTGATTCCATAATTCTCCGGAGTGACGAGTATAGGAAGCACGTATGATTTCATGAATATTGAACCCGCAGCACTGAGGTAGAATCTCTCTGATTCTCCTGGATAGAGCTTCTTTATTTGATAATAAACCCCACGGCAGACTACCCTGATAAACACTGGCACTTTCTTGACGAGGTTACCTATTGTTTTCATCACATCGTAAGAAGCTTCTCTCAACTGTGTCAAATTTTTCACAAACTGTTTCCTAGTGTCATCATCATCAATCGGATCCATGTTGTCTAAGTCGTCCATTGATTTCAAAGTCATGCGGCCCTCCAATTCATCGCGCTCAATAATATCTCTATAAATGGCTGCAGGATCAGGTTCGTAAGATGCATCTTCGTCTGAAGTCACTTTCCAGACGCAGTCAGCCAAAATACTTTTCGCTAAAGATCTCTGCTGAGGCAAATTCACATAAGTCAAGAGAAGGGACTCCCAACTATTTGCGCTTCTGTTTGATACCGTCTGTCTGGATTTCATATAGTTCTTGAGCCGCGCAACGGAGCCCAGTTGTTTGAAGCATTCATTAGAAGCAAACAATATTAATTGCATGAGAAGAAATTCCTCACGCTTAGGAGCGTCTGATGCTGGCGCCGAGAAATTGCTGAAGTTGAAACACTTCAAAATCCAGTCCTCAATGGAGCCACTGCTCAAATCTAAACTAATGGTCTCATTGTCGACTAGAGTCAGCAGATGTCCCAAATAACATGGTTTGGTCTGCAGAAGATAGAAAAATTTCTCATATAACCTGGTCAGAGTTCGGATAGGCTTGATCAAAAGTTGGTCAGGGTTGGCTCCCAAACTCTTACTTAGACTCTCATTGAGGTTGTTGGAGTATCCAGTTAGGTTCATGTTTTCGTCCCTAAATTTGAGAAGCTCATCCAGAGAAACATTGTTCTTCTTCAGAAGCTGAATCTTGGCACCTAGCTGACTAAGATCCAACTCCCATTGCTCGATTCTTCTTGTCTCCTTTGCAATTTCATCCTTGTACTTCTGGATCTTTTTCTCGTCCTCGAGTTCAGATCCAGAGCCGTCAAGCAGATTGATGAAATTCTTTATAGCTTTCAGAGGAGGATTCTTCTCGTAGATCAAGGATTTGTAGTCATGTTTAGTGCGAGCAGCTCGGAACCAGTTTTGAAGCTTGATGATCTTTTCGAGATTTTCGGGTTTTCTGAACCATTCCTCTCTATCCCTAATACGTTTTCGCTGCAAGTAGCCTCTTATATCAGATTGAAGGCCTATTATCGAATCCTCAGCATCTTGTAGGTCATCCTGAAGAATCTCGATATAAAATCTCTGCAAGACGCCTCTGAATATTGTTTGCAGTTGTTTCACGGCAGACACTTGTTTGTAAAGCTGTTTACGTTTATGAGCAATATCGTCCCTAACCGCTTTTCCTCTGCAAATGGCTTGCAACTCAGTAAGTCTATAATCCTTTTCAAGGTAATGGGTGGAAAGGTGTTCTTCGCAGGAAACACTAATTGGAATACCTCTTGGAACCTTTCGTGTGCCATGAGCGAGTCTATGCTCTAAATAGCTCTTGTGCTCCCTAATCAAGTTTCCTCTGATACAGGCTTGTAATCTGATAATTGCACTTGTTTGTTTAAGAAGCGCTTTTCTAGCAGCATATTTCTTTTCTCTTATAAATCCACCTCTGATCAAACTCTGTAGCTGAACAACCGAAATTTCGTGTTGCAACAATTTGGATCTCGTTGCTGAATATTTATCTTCCCGTTTAGTATTTTTCAAAATGGCCTGGAGCACAGAAAGAGATCTCGAGTTTGCCATGAGCGAAAGATGAGTCGTTGTTTTTTGAGATCTTGCCAACGAACCCCTAATAAGAGATTGGAATTTTATGATGTCTGGCGTGAACACTTTTAGCATGAACCTGTTTATGAATAATTCATAGCGCAAAAGGGTGCCGCGTGCTATAGCTTGCAACTGGATGAGCTGGGCAACGTAACTCTCCTCCCCTGCAGGCTTCAAGCTTAAACCATTGTCGTGCTCAATCATTGAGGTGTATTTAGCATGAATCTCGTCGATGTCAACATCGAAATCGTCTTGCGTGCGTTTTTCTTTGAACAAGTGTCTAGCTTGCGCAGTCTCCTCTATAACTGAGCTTGTGTCAATGAATTGTGCATCCTTCGTTGAGGTAGTGTCCAGTTGAGTTTCTAGCTGTGCCTTGCTCTCTTCCTCGGATTCCCTCGTCGTAATCAAGCTGTCACCAAGGTTCACTCGGACTCCATCGTCAATGTTCTTGAAATTGGGCAGTTTGATGCCTCTAATTTTGATTTGAATCTTTTTGATGTCAGAATCCTTGATGTCGTATTTTTCTAAACGTCTCAATTGGGGAGCCTTCTTGGTAGCTGACATCATATAGCTCAGGGCGTGAAGACAGAAGATAACTTTGGGGATGTTCTTGGTCTCGAACAAATCCGCCGTCTCAAAAATAAACATCTCAGGAAGTTGTATGCTTCTAAGGAACTCAAGGAACACGACGATGTTCTCAGTAAACTTGAAGTACAAACCACTTTTGTTTTTGAAGTTTGTACCTGAGGCGTTGTTTTCTCCGTAGTAGATATTCTTGACTTTCGAGTACCCAAACTTCTGCGCAAGTTTCGCAACCAAAATACCATTTCTCAGGTACTCCTGAAATTCAGCAATTGAGTCGTCTTGCAAATCAATCTTGACGTTCAAACACTCTTCAATCCAAATTTTGATTTCCGCCACGCGACACAAAAACTCATAGGCCTGTAGTGACTTTCTATCGTGGTCCATCCAAGACCCAGATTTGGCAGGTTCTTCCTCGATTTGCGAAGGCACGTCAGCACCAACTGATGTCGGTTGAAATTTCTTAGAGACTGACTCAACACGAGACGTTTTGCGCAGCTTATTCTCGATTGTTCTCAGCTTGTTGAGGTTCTTGAGTGACGGAGAATTCGATATCGCGCTGCTAATTTGGCCCATAGTTTTGATTTCGCTCTTGGTTGGCTTATGGAGTGGCTCAGACCTCAGCTTATTAGAATTAAATGGAGCAGGAATGGGTATGAAGTCTGAGGCATTGTTCTCAATAGTGTCTTGCTCTTTCTGTTTGATCAGCCTCTTCACAGGAGAATCATTCTCCAGGAACGTTGATTTTTGAGGAGATTTGAATGGATTCTCATTCTCCTTAAGATTGGCAATCCCTCTTCTAGTTGGAGAGCTAGGACTGCCAGTGCTATATGAGTTTGTTGGTTTCAAGGGTGACAAGTGGGGCATGCTAATTGCCTCCAAATACTGGGAAGCCAGATTTTTCTTGCCATCCTTCCGAACAGATGTGTTCATCGACATGGCTGAAAGAAAAACGTCTGGATTGATTAATCGTAAACACACAACTGTAAACAAAAATCCGGGGTCTCAGGAGTACTTCAAAGTCTGGTGCAAGGATGTGTTGGATATTTGGAGAGAGGCTCGGATAAGCGAGATCAGATCTGCTAAATTGACGATGATGGGACAACCACGTAACGAGGGTGCTTTGATCCAACTCTGTCTCTGATGTAACGTCTAAAAGATACAGAATTTCTGTGCTTATTAGCTATGAACAAGGATCTGTGGAGCTTCCAGGAAGAAGCTCTCAACGAGAGACCTCCGTTAGGTCATCAGCTGAGATTCAGAGCGAACATCAGCATCATCAGGGTAGCTCTCAACACCTAGTCTCGAACATTCTCCTTGGGTCGATCGACCCGAAAGATTATAATTTTTCATTTTATCGTGGAACTTTCTAGACGAAAAACTTGGTCGACTTTGGAAAGAAAGGATATTGCAATGAGCAGCATATTTAAAGAAGCCTCTCGCCCCCCAAGTTGAATCGGGTTTTTTTTCTTGATAATTTGAAATCTACAAAAAGACATCATGTCGAACAAAACTGAATCATATGAGTTCCAGGCTGAGATCTCTCAGTTGATGTCCTTGTTCATCAACACTGTGTATTCGAACAAGGAGATCTTCCTTAGAGAATTGATCTCGAACGCCTCCGATGCGCTGGACAAGATCAGATACCAGGCCCTGTCTGATCCATCTGTGCTCGAGACCGAGCCGGAACTTTTCATCAGAATCACACCAAAGCCAGAACAAAAGATTCTCGAGATCAGAGATTCTGGTATTGGTATGACCAAAGCTGAGTTGGTCAAGAACCTGGGTACCATCGCCAAGTCCGGTACCAAGGCCTTCATGGAGGCCCTCTCTGCAGGTGCTGATGTGTCCATGATTGGACAATTCGGTGTTGGTTTCTACTCGCTATTTTTGGTTGCCGACCGCGTCCAAGTGATCTCGAAGAACAACGACGACGAGCAATATATTTGGGAATCCAACGCTGGTGGAAAGTTCACTGTTACTCTGGACGAGGAGAACGAGAGAATTGGCAGAGGTTCCATCATCAGATTGTTCCTGAAGGATGACCAACTCGAATACCTCGAGGAGAAGAGAATCAAGGAGGTTGTGAAGAGACATTCTGAGTTTGTTTCTTACCCAATCCAGTTGGTTGTCACCAAGGAGGTCGAGAAGGAGGTTCCTGAAGAAGAAGAGAAGAAGGAAGAAGAATCCAAAGACGAAGAGTCGAAGGAGGCTAAGGTCGAAGAAGTTAAGGACGAGGAGGAGAAGAAGGAGCCTAAGAAAGTCAAGGAACTTGTCACTGAGACCGAGGAGCTCAACAAGACCAAGCCATTGTGGACCAGAAACCCATCCGAAGTTACACAGGAAGAGTACAACGCTTTTTACAAGTCGATCTCCAACGACTGGGAAGACCCACTGGCTGTCAAGCACTTCTCTGTTGAAGGTCAACTGGAGTTCAAGGCTATCTTGTTTATTCCAAAGAGAGCTCCATTTGACTTGTTCGAATCCAAGAAGAAGAAGAACAACATCAAATTGTACGTTAGAAGAGTGTTCATCACTGATGAGGCTGAGGAGCTTATTCCAGAGTGGCTATCTTTCGTCAAGGGTGTTGTTGACTCTGAGGATTTGCCACTGAACTTGTCCAGAGAGATGTTGCAGCAAAACAAAATTTTGAAGGTCATCAGAAAGAACATTGTCAAGAAGCTTATTGAGACCTTCAACGAGATCGCTGAGGATCAAGAGCAATTCGACAAATTCTACACCGCCTTCTCGAAGAACATCAAGTTGGGTATCCACGAGGACCAACAGAACAGAGGTGCTTTGGCCAAGCTGTTGAGATTCAACTCTACCAAGTCTACTGATGAGTTGACTTCTTTGTCTGACTACGTCACCAGAATGCCAGAACACCAGAAGAATATCTACTACATCACTGGTGAGTCTATCAAGGCTGTTGAGAACTCTCCATTCCTGGACGCTCTGAAGGCCAAGAACTTTGAGGTGTTGTTCTTGGTTGACCCAATTGACGAGTACGCCATGACCCAATTGAAGGAGTTCGAAGACAAGAAGCTGGTGGATATCACTAAGGACTTCGAGCTTGAGGAGTCTGAAGAGGAGAAGAAGGAGAGAGAGGAGATCACCAAGGCATACGAGCCACTCACCAAGACCCTGAAGGACATCTTGGGAGACCAAGTGGAGAAGGTTGTTGTCTCCTTCAAGCTTGTTGACTCGCCAGCTGCTATTAGAACCGGACAATTCGGATGGTCTGCTAACATGGAGAGAATCATGAAGGCACAAGCCTTGAGAGATACCTCTATGTCTGCCTACATGGCCTCGAAGAAGATCTTTGAGATTTCTCCAAAATCTCCTATCATTAAGGCATTGAAGGCTAAGGTTGAGGAGAGCGGTCCTGAAGACAAGGTGGTCAAGAACTTGACCACCTTGTTGTTTGACACTGCTCTGTTGACTTCTGGATTCTCTTTGGACGAGCCAACCTCGTTCGCCAAGAGAATCAACTCTTTGATTGCAATCGGTCTCAATATTGACGAGGAGGCTGAGGCCCCTGCTGAACAGGCCACCGAGGCGCCATCTGAAGAGGCGGTTGCAGATTCCGCTATGGAGGAGGTTGACTAATTCACATGATCGATTTTTAACGGTGTCTTAATAGCTAATGGAAATGTAGATAAATTGAAACATTATTAATTAGTACGTAATAAAAAATACGGTTTTCCGCACATCATAATATTTCGCTATTTAGCAAGTTGGTGCAGAAAGGCTTTTTAACTTTCAATTGTTGCCGGAGGTTGTAAAAATTGAATATTATTTGGTTTCACTGGGCGCAGCTGGAGTTTGATGCCTCATCCAGTTGACCGTTTAATTCAATTCTACAACAAGCGTTTTGTCACAATACCCTATTCGCCACCGCCACAGAGACACTCCAAAGGACCCTTACTATATTTCTTGTTATTCAGCATCGGACTTTACGTACTATATCCCACTATATTCCCTTCCCACCAGTCCCACATGTTTTCGAAAAGACCAGATAAGCTCACTACTGGGCTCATCAACATGACTACCGACTGTTTTGCGAACGTTTGCTTGCAAGCTCTGGCTTCTCTTCCAGGGCTCAATGAGTATCTGAATGCGATGACCGAGTTTAGGAACTCTCTCATTGAGCAAGGAGCTAAGTTGCCGTCATTCCAACTTCACCAGGCGCTCATTCATCTTTTGTCTAAACTCCAAGAGACCGTGTATCGGCCCCGTGTGTTATCAGTTTGGGAATTTTTGCATGTTATTGAGAAAATTTACAACAGCAAGATATCTGTCAGCCAGCACGACGCGCACGAGCTTTTGCAGCTCATTTTGGAGACTTTGGAGAGAGAACATGTTCAGCTAAGAAAGACGGCCCCCACTGTTCCTGAATTCCCCTTCAAGGGGGAGGTTTCCTCACAGCTACGTTGCATGAGATGCGGCAAGAAGAGCTCGACCAATTACAACCCGATGATGATTCTCTCTCTCCCTGTTCCTCAAGAGTCGTCTATTGATTTGGAGAGTATGCTGAGAGGCAGCGAGAGTGATATCATTGATGACTACTCTTGCACACGGTGCAAAATAAATTATATTCTTAGCACTGCCAAGGAAAACAGCCCTACGTTGAACAAACTTAAGAAGAAGCTCAATGACGAGCTCCTGATAAATGACGACTTGGAGCCTGAACTAGACGAATTTGTTCAGAGTTACGAGGGTATCAAGTCTGCTAACGTGAAGTCGACGGTACACAAGGAGACCTCGATCATTCTTCCTCCCAAGCTGCTTGCCGTCCATCTTTCGAGATCCATTTATGACACACAGGCCAGACGCAACCAATGCAATGTGGAATTCAAGGAAATTTTGAAGCTGAACGTGGATACTGCCGAAATGGAGAAGTTCAAGAACGTTGACCAGGACCAATATGATGCGGCTGATGAGGAGCCTCCGCAGCTCACAAGAGCGATCTCGTCTATCCTAGAGGAGAAGCCGGGCACCGAGTTCTTGGAGGATTCAGGAGTTCATTCTGATGGAGACGACGAGAACCCAGACAACCAGGACGACGATGATGACGAGGAGCTGGAGGATGACGACGATGACGATCTGGCTGCGAAGATGGAGGACCACAACATCAGTTCGGACGCAGACGAGGGAATCAAGACCATCACCTATAAGTTGAATGCTGTGGTGCGGCACCAAGGTTCTCATTCGCTCGGGCACTACGAGTGCTACCGGCGAAAACCTGTGTTTTACAAAAACGCCGTGACAGGCGAGTACTACCAGAAGTTTCCAAAGCTAGAGGGCGTGGAAAACGAGGCCAAGGAGAACGAGGGTACCGCCGCCACAGACATGAAGAGACAGAGTTCAATGTCGAGACTGCGCTCGAGGGTGTCGTCGTTGGTGGGAGCCAGCAGACCAAGGTCGCCGTCGGTGTTTGAGAACGCGCAGCCTGTAATAGCACGCGACAAGAAGCTGGCGAGCTCGGTGAAAACCCCATTCTGGCGCATCAACGACTCCAAGATTACCGAGTGTTCGCTGTCCGACGTTATGGACGACTCTCGGGCTGTGTACATGTTATTTTACGAGAGAGTGGATTGAATAGAAGAGTTGCAAATTTGATTACTTTCACTGGATCACCGCCACAAGGTCGCCCGCCTCAACCATGTCTCCGTTGGTGTGTAGAATTTTGATCACTTTTCCTGCCCTCGGCGAACTCACCAGCATTTCCGTCTTCATGGCCTCGACAACGACCAGGCCCTGACCATCCTTCACCTCCTCGCCGACCTCGACCAGCGGCTTCCAGAACCGTCCAGAATACTCCGAATACACCATCTCGGCATCTTCCGGATAGCTTTCTTCCTTCTCCGCGGCGGCAGAGCCGGACTTTTGCAGCTCTGCGTTCGAGACCTGGATCAGTCTCTTGAACTCCTCGAGCTTCTCGCCGCCCTGTTTTTTCTGGAACTCCTCGATCGACTCGGAATTCTCCTGGATCCAGGACAGGTACTTTCCATGGTCAAACACAGACTCCAGCATCTCGACCTTGTAGTAGCCATGCTTCGAGTCCTCGGCCATCTGATCGAGTTCTTCCTCCGTCACAGGGAAAAATTCCACCTGGTCGAACGGAGTCAGCAACCAAGGATGACCCTCGTTGTGAGCAGCAGTGTGTGCTCCCAAGGACAGCTTATCCCAGATAGGAATTGTTCTTCCCACCAGTTGGTAGCCACCAGGCGACTCCATGGTGTAGATGCACATGTACATGCCTCCAATGCCAACGGTGCCGTTGGGCGTGAACGTTCTGGACGGATTGTACTTGGTGCCGAGGAACCGGTGACGAGGGTCCAGCGGCACGGCGCACGGAGCACCCAGAAACACGTCTCCCAGTCCAAGGACCAGGAACCGCGCCGTGTACAGCATGTCCTTGACGGCAGACCTCTCGATGCCGTTGATCTGCGCAATGAAGTCGACGTTGTTGGGCAGCCATGGCGCGCTGGATCTAATTGTCTCGGAGTACCTCTTCACGGCGTCCAGCGTCTTCTTGTCCTCGAACGCCATAGGCAGTCGCACAACACGTGACTTCACCGTCCACTTGTTGGTGAACGCCACCTCTCTCTCGTACGCAATAAGCGTCTCGACCAAGTCGCTCTGATGGATCTTGGTTCCGTCGAACTCGACCAGCACAGACCGCACGCCTTGCGACATTTCCACAATTCCAACGGTTTCATGTGTGTTCACCATCTCAATCAGCTTGTGCACTCTATACGACAAGTTCAAATTCATCACGTTCTCGCCGTACTCCACAAGCACGTAGCGGTCGCCGGCCTGTCTGTACGTGACGACGGGGGCCGTAGACGAGCCTCCAGGCTGGTATCTGGCCAGGACAGGGTCCTGGGGAGTAAGGAGACCGTACTCAATGGCAGGCATGGTGCCCTGCAACGTCTCGATGGCCCTGTCCTGGTCCACCTTCAATTTGAGAGCATCATCGAACGAAACCGGGTAGAACGTGATCAGATCGCCCGGCTTGACCTGGCCAATCTTCCACATCTCGGCCTGCGCAACAACAGCCTGACACACAAATCCTCCGAGCGAAGGGCCGTCGCAGGTCAAAATGACCGGCTCGTCTCCGGTGAAATTGATAGCTCCCAGCGAGTACACGTAGTCGTGTGCATTCGACGGGTGCAAGCCACCCTCTCCGCCATCCTCTCTGGCCCATTTCGGCTTAGGGCCAATCAGTCTCACTCCGAACCGATTGGAGTTGTAATGCACTTTCCAAGGGTTGGCAAAAAAGTCAAGGACAGATTCCTGCAGGAAGAAGTCTGGCGACCCGTGCGGGCCGCACGTGACAGCAACGCGCCATTCCTTGGCAGCTATTGGCGGAGCCAGCGACTTAGGAACGGGCTGCGGAGCGGACACGGGAGCAGGCAGCGTGCAAGCGGCCAGGTTGGGCTGGCCTAGGAATAGCACGTCTCCGAGCTTGAGCACTCTGCCGTTGTAGCCTCCAAGATTACCCAGGGCAAAGGTTGATCTCGAGCCAAGGTACTCGGTGACGTCGATTCCGCCCCTGATGGCCAAGTAGCTTCTGCAGCCAGACGTGAGTTTGCCAATCACCAGTTTGTCGCCTCTCTTGACAGTCAGCGGCTGGTACATAGCCACTGGCTGCCCGTTGAGGGTCAAAGGAACGTCTCCTCCAGTGACGCCGATCACAGCCTCGTGGTGGAACAGGATGGACGGCCCAGTGAGGGTGATTTCAATAGCGGGCGCTCTGTGGTGATTGCCAACGATCCGGTTTGCGAGTCTGAACGAATACGCGTCCATAGGGCCCGATGGAGGCACACCAATTCGCCAGTAGCCAGTTCTGCCAGGGTAGTCCTGCACCGTGGTGTAGGCGCCCGGAGACGTGATCTCAAACGCGTTGGCCTTGTACTCAAACGAGTCCAGAACCTTTGTGGCGACCCTGGCCTGCTCAAACATGTCCGAGTTGGCGATCGAACGCAGATAGTCGATGTTGGTGATACACCCGTACACCACCGTCTCGTCAAGGGCCTGTCTCAGTTTTTTAAGTGCGTCTGCTCTGTCCGTGCCATGGACAATGATTTTGGCCAGCGTCGGGTCGTACTCGGCAGAAACCACGGTTCCTGTCTTGACCCATGTGTCGACTCTTGCCCAGGATGGGAACTTGACTTCCGTGAGCTGGCCTGGCGAAGGCATGAAGTCCTTGACCGGGTTTTCGGCGTACAGTCTGGCTTCCATCGATGCACCGTTGCATTTGATCGGCTGGCTGAAGTCGGGGGCCATGTCGGCCGCAATGTAGAGCATCCACTCCACAAGATCCAGCCCGGTGACCTGCTCCGTGATCGGGTGTTCGACCTGCAACCGTGCGTTCACCTCAAGGAAGTAGAACTCGTCTCTTTTCTCGTCGTAGATGAATTCCACCGTACCAGCGCACTTGTAGTTCATTGAGGCTCCCAGCTGCTCGGCTGCCTTTCTCATCTTGGCTCTTGTAGAGTCTGGAAGGTTGGGAGCAGGGGTCTCCTCGATAATCTTCTGGTTTCTTCTCTGCAGCGAGCAGTCTCTCTCGCCCAGAGCAATGGCCTTGCCGTAACCGTCTCCAAACATCTGGATCTCCACGTGACGCGCGTTCTCGACAAACCGTTCCAGGAACACGCCTGCGTCTCCAAAGTACGCTTTGCCTTGGTGCTGCACCGTCTGGAAAACGCGCTCGATGTCGTCTGGCGAGTCCACCTTCTGCAATCCGATACCACCACCGCCCGCAGTGGACTTCACCATGACAGGATACTCCAGCTTTGCGGCTATCTCCTTGGCCTCCGCAGCAGTAGCCACGAGTCCGGACCCAGGAACCAATGGAACGCCAGCTTTCTCGGCAATTTCTCTGGCAGAATGCTTGAGACCCAATTTTCTAATAGCATCCCCGGATGGACCAACAAAAACAATGCCCTCGGCGGCCAGTCGGTCTGAAAAGTCTGCGTTCTCGGACAAAAATCCGTAGCCAGGTACAACGGCCTGTGCTCCGGAATCCTTACACGCCTTGACGATCTTGTCGATGTTTATGTACGTCTCGGCAGCAGAAACACCGTGCAACGGAATTGCAACGTCCGCAATCAGGCTGTGCTGGGCGTACTTGTCTGGGTCAGAGTAGACGGCGACCGACCTGATGCCGAGCTTTTTAAGCGTTTTGATGATTCTCACAGCGATTTCTCCTCTGTTAGCCACCAAAACCGTCTCAAAGGGTTTCTTCTTCTTTAAGACTTCTTTTTGCTTCAGATAATTTCTCCAACCACCGAGCGCAGTGATATCCTCGGCTCCTTTCTGAGAGTACCCGATCTCCTCGCATATGAAAGATTTCACCACCTCGCCTGACTTGGTCTCAACAGAGCCAATTCCCAGGGGCTCAGGAACCATCGAGATAAACTCGCCAAAGTTTTCTGTCGGAATGGCATATATCTCAATTTCAATCTCAGAACCCTGTTCGTCGTAGCTCACTCTGCGCAGGCCCGGCTTTGCAATAGGACCGCTCAATGGTAGCGCGTACAGCTTGTAATTTTTGGAAGTTGTGGTCTTTTCAACAAATGCAGCTTGCACCTTCTCCAGCTGCCAGTGGAGAGGTAGTCCCTGGAGATGGGCCCCCACAACTGCCAGCTTGACGGTGCTCCTTGGGTTAGGAGCAGGAAGCGTGTGGTCGAGCTCGTCGGCAAGTCCGACATCCACGTTTCTCAAGGCTCCCAAAAATCTGCCGTTCGGATACAGCGTCTTGAAAAACCTGCTTGCGAGATCCAACAGAGCGTAATCCTCAAACGCCTGACCCAGCAGTGTGACGCCGTTTGGCAAGCCGTCGGCCCTGAACCCAACAGGAACGGCCAGTGCAGATAAGTCGGCCAAGTTCACAAAGTTGGTCCACGTTCCCTGTCTGGAGTTGACCAAGATAGGTTCTTTCTGGACTTCCTCAATAGTGGGGTTCAGTGGACATGTAGGCACCAACATGACGTCTATGTCCTTGAAACTCTGATGGACGCGTTTCAGGATGCCCTGTCTTTTGTACTCGTAGCTGAACGCGGTAGCTGCGTCAGGGGCTTTTCCGCCCCTGATAATCTTGGCAACGGTCGAGTCTAGATCTTTCTCCGGCGGATTCGACTCAAAAAATTCTTTGGTGGCAGCCCATCTCTCTGCCACCCATGGACCTTCGTAAAGGCACTTGGCAAGATCCAGCAGTGGTGCAAAGTCGCAAGGAACAATTTCGGCTCCCATCTGTTTGAACGTCTCGACAGCCTTGTTGTAGATTTTTGGGTTTTCAGAGTCGCCGTACCAGAGGCCTGTGAAATCAATGGGCACGGCTACTTTCGGCTTTGCAGGATAGTGTCTTCTTGGGTTGGCTGGAAGGGCCCTAGAGTACTCGCAATTCGAAAAGTCGGCCTTTGCCATGATGTCAAAGCACAGCTGTGCATCGGCAAGGTTTGTAGCAAAAACAGACGGACAGTCCAAAGATTTACAGGCAGGCACGACACCAGCAGTGGAAAAAACGCCCTTCGTAGGCTTGAGGCCAATCAGGTTGTTCAAAGCGGCAGGCACTCTTCCCGAGCCGGCCGTATCAGTGCCAAGCGAAATGGGCACTATTCCTCTGGCAACAACCACCGCGGAACCAGCAGACGAACCACCGGAAACGTATTTGTTATTGAAAGAGTTTTTTGTTATGCCGTACGGAGACCGTGTGCCCACAAGGCCTGTTGCAAACTGATCAAGATTGGTCTTTCCCACAATTATGGCTCCTTGGTCTTTGAGAAGCGACACTATAGTTGCATCCTGCTCAGGCTCGTAGCTGAAAGAAGGACAGGCTGCCGTAGTAGCGAAACCCTTCACGTCAATGTTGTCCTTGACCGCAACAGGCACGCCGTAGAGCCGGAGCTGTTTTTTGTTTGACTTGGATTGGAGAATTCTCCATTGGTGCTTGAGATTTTCCTCAGAAGCAACAGAGATCCAGGCAGGCTCTTCAGGATACGTCTTGAGCGACTGCACCAGGTCCAGCAGAACCTGGAAAGAGTCCTCAGGCGTGGTGTCCTGGTGGAATTTAACCCACTTGGAGGCGGTCCAACCTATCGTGTTAACCATCGGAAATAAACAAATTGAAACTGAATTATTTCCGGTTTCTCTTATCGATGCGTCTCGCAGAACTTGCCGCTGCTTATATTTTTTTCGTCGTAATCGGCGGCCCGATGCCCTCGCGGAAACCCCCGTAACAATTCAATTTTAGGACGGCGAGCGCGGCCCGTAATTTTCGCCGCTGAGGCACTATTGGCCGATAAAGAGAAAAATGCTCCCGCAACAATAGAGATAACAAAAAAGCTGCGATTATCGATGCACGATAAACAATAATCCAAACTACATCATCAAGTTGGCATCGATTAGTACTTATAAATGGATAGTCAGCACGTCGTAGCTGCTGAACTGCTGGTTGCAGTTGGGACACTTTCTCATACGCGAACTCAATCTGTCGTTGATACAGTCGGCGCAAAAACAGTGACCACACACTTTTAGCGTGAGATTCTTGAAGTTTTTATTGCATAGTTGGCATTTCGTCATGGCCAGCAGAGCCTGGTTGATCTCTTCATCCTGCGCAGTTGCCGATGGGTTGTTTGCACGATATTTCATCAGTAGTGACTCTAGCGACTTGACCTTTGACGAAAGACCCTTGGTCTCCGCTTCCAGACCAGAGATGCGTCTCTGTTGCTCTGCCGATGACTCGTTCTTCTGATTCAGTCTCGCCTGTAGCTCCTGATTCATCTGCGTAGTGGATTTGAGTTTCAACTCGAGATCTTTGTTTTTATTCACTTGAAAGTTGAGATCATTTTTGAACACAATCTCCAAATTCTTGAGTTTCTCGTACAACTGTTGCTCGATCTCAAATTTTTTCATAAGATTCTTCTCGTTGCCTTTAAGAACTTCTATGAGCTCGTTCTGCTTGGCAAGATTTGAGTTCAGAATCCTATTCTGCGACGTCAACGAGTCTTTCGACCGCATCGCTTGGAAATATTTCTGGTCCGCCTTATTTTTCTCGACCGTGAGTTTGTTAATGTAGGAGTCGGAGTCGGCGTACTTCTGGAGCTTCGATTGCGCAATCTGCCGCGTCTGCTTGAACGCTTCCTCCATTTGCTTGAGCTCCATCGTGAGAATTGAGTTGTGTTTTTGCAGGGTGGCAATGTCCTCGCTGGACGTAGCCTCGGCCTCGTAGTCCCTGTTCACGCTCTTTTCGAGCTCCTCCAAACGTTTTTCCAAAACCTCGTTCAGCTTGCGGTACTCCTCGGTTAGCTCGCTCTTGCCCTTTTCGGCCTTCAACACGGAAATCTGAGCCTGCAACTCGTCTCTGTCGGCACGAATCCTAGAAAGATCGGTTTCCAACTTTTGAATGTAACCGTTGTTGCTCTTCATCTCTGTGCGCAGCTTCTCCTCAAGGCTAGACTGATTTTGCGTGATGCGCGACTCCAAAGCAAGATATTGAGCTTCAGTTTTCGAGCTTTCGTATTTGACTTTGCTCAATTCTGTATTGAGCTCGATATTCTTGGCAGAAAGGCTCTGAAAAAGCGAAGACTTCTGCAAATCTTCTTCAGAAGGATCCAGGAGTTTTACAGAGAGCTCTGAGATTTTGCTCTCCAGATCCTGTATCAGCTTCATCTTCTCTTCGAGCTGCTGCGAAATCACGTTATTTTTCGTCTTGAGCTCTTCCACCTCCACTTTCAAATTTTCGAACTCAGCAATGTTAGCGTCGCTCTCCGGTTTTTGCTCTCCATTTTCCTGCTTGATCTCGGGCGTCTGTTCTTTCACTATTGGCTCCTCAGCCTTCTTCACGTCGCTTATACGCTCCAAAGTCTTGGATTCTGCTCTATCCTTGTGACTAATGTAAACGTCGAGCTCCTGATTCAATTCTTCAATTTTGTCTCGCAAGAGCTTATTTTCGTCCTCCAGCTGGCTTTTAAACACGCTCAAGCCAGCCAAAGACTCCTGCAACGCCGTCAGCTTGTCATCATGTTCCGAAACCGGAAGAGATAACAAGGGCTGAATAAGGTTTATAAGTGCTAGTCTGGTCTCCTTCAATTTATCTGTGTCGGAATCCAAGCTTTCATCGACGGGAACTAGAACGTGCTCGTTGACGTCAGTTTTGATCTCAAACTTGTCGTGGGTTTTGAAATGCTCCACTATTTCGGACCACCAGGTGTTCAAAATGCAGTAGCATCGGTAGATTCGTGCATAATTATCTTCCAGGTCTTTTAGGCCCTTGGAGAGTCGCTTGTTTCGACTTCGGTAGAGATTCATCATCCTATATAGGGCCTCCTTCTGGTAGTAAACAACGTCCTCCTGGGTCAAAGGGCCAAACTCGCTGAGCTCATCTAGAGGCTCGGCAAACCTTTTGATTTTCTTGAGAATTTTGGAGGTGTCTGGCCCCGGCGACACTGACCGCTTAACATCCGACATGACAAACTAATATACAATATTTGCGAAATATGAGCGTAACCGGACCTGAGTATCTCCTTCACCAGCCAAAGCTATTAAAATATGTACAGATGCGTTTGTTTGGCACGCTGGTAAGCGATTAGCTGAATGTGGCGGAAACAAGAGGAATTCTATAGTTGAAGAGGTGTTTTTTTTCAACAAAGTTTACATCTTGGTATGACGGCCGGGTAAGTGCCTAGAGAGCCATCTCGCCTTAGGGGCAACGGATTGGCAACTGATGTTGGGAAACGGATGGATGTCGGCATGTATCAGGCGTGTCATGGCTACTGTGCAGTATGATCTGTGTTCAAGAGAACTGTTCAAATAATTCAGGGGCAAAATGATGGAAAAGGCAAATCGTAATCATTGGGGCCTTGACCACTTCTACCTCAGGCCAAACCATTAGGATCACTAGTCCTCTTTCCTGCAATAGAAAAGCAACTTACAAGCTCAAGAATGTCGCATATACCTAAAAATAAGACTCTCAGGTCCACGGCTCAAATTCGAAAAAGCTCCGAATTTTGCACAAATAATAAAGAGGAGAAATTTACTTTGGAAAAAAAACTTAGGCAAATATCCAACCTCATTGATTATAAATGCATTACAAGATGTTGAGACTCGCTTACAGTATGAGAAATGTCACTAAGGTTGCTAGAGCGGTGAGACCCGTTCCTGCTGCCAGAATGCAACCGGTCAGATTCATGAATGGTGTTAAGTTTTACTCCTCGACTTCTTCTTTGACCAAAGAGGATGTGCTTGCGAGATCGATTTCTGTGTTGAACTCGTTCGAGCTGAAAGTTCCTTCCAGTTCGATTGGTATGGAAACCGAGTTCATTAAGGATCTCGGCATGGACTCGCTAGACTACAATGACGTGCTTGTTGCCCTCGAGGAGGAGTTCGACGTGGTGTTTGATGACAACGTTGCCAACGAAATCAAGTCTGTGGGAGAATGTGTTGACTACATTCTGAAGAACTACACGCCTGCTGAGGAGTCCCTGGATCCCGAGATCCGTTGAGCCAATAGGAGCATTGTTTCGTCCCACACGAGGCGACCAAGTGCCTTTGTCTCTGGCTATAGGGTGTCCGGAGACTTCGTTATGTAGATAATCGTTGAATTATGGCTGTAATGAGTAGGCGTCTGGCCAAAGCGGTCTGTTGCGGTGCAGAGGTGTGGCTATGACATCAGTCCCACGAATTAATTGTTAGGCAAATAAAATACATTTTTTGATTAGAGCGCAATGAGTGACGAGAAGTTCGACAAAAATATCCAATCGGATGCAGAGATGGCAGAAATCATGTCATCAGATGACCAGGAAGCTCCAGAGCAGCGTGGAATGGCCCCTGACCAGGTGGAAGAGCTAGAGGAGAAGTTTGGAATGCAAACCATCGATGATCCAAATCCAGAAGTTCTGCCTTCAGACAAAGAGCTAACGGAAGCGCTTCCTGATGATGTGCAGTATATTGATCTAATTCAGTATAAAATTCGGGATCTTGACGCGTTGGGGCTGGAGAGATTCCATAGTTTGGAAAGCCTGGTTCTTAGAGACAACTTGCTGGACAGCGCAAACGGGCTCAAGAAGTTGCCAAACAAGGAAAAACTAGAAGAATTGGATCTCTACGACAACAGGATCAAGCACATCTCGAAACACATCAACGAATTCACCAACCTCACTACTCTGGACCTATCCTTTAATAATATCAAGAATATCAAGCATTTAGAAGCTCTCACGAAACTAGAAAACCTTTACTTTGTGCAAAACCGCATCAAGGAGATACGGAATTTGGAGACACTACAAAATCTCAAGAACCTCGAACTGGGTGGAAATCGGATCGAGGTGATCTCAGAAACAATGCTCCATCTGCCAAGCATTGAGCAACTTTGGCTTGGTAAAAACATGATCTCGAAGTTTGAAAATCTGCAAAATCTGAAACGGCTTCGGGTGCTATCCATTCAATCGAACAGGATAACCAAGATCGAGAACTTGGATCAGCTCGAGAGTTTGGAGGAGCTGTATCTGTCGCACAATAAATTGACAAAGCTTGAAGGTCTGGACAACCTGCACAAGCTAATGGTTCTGGACGTGACGGCCAACCAGATCAGCAAGCTTGAAAATCTCAGCCATCTCACAGAATTGACAGATTTTTGGTGCTCGTACAACAAGATCGACTCGTTTGATAACGTGAGAGAGCAATTGGGACACCTTCCGAAATTGGACACCGTGTATTTTGAGGGAAATCCTATTCAGTTGAATGCGCCAGCATTGTACAGAACCAAGCTTAAGCTGAATCTCGGCAAATCGCTTCAGAAGATTGATGCAATGTACATTAACCAGGCCTGATTGAAATACTTGATTATGTCATCCGGCACATATTTCCGTTTCTCCTGTGTTACAGCCGCTAGAGCTCTTGCCGGGTTTCTACGAAGTCAAAAAGCCGGTGTCGAATCGCCGGCCACAAGTAGCTGGTGTTCTCGTGCAAATAGCCTAAATACCGCTTATCAGCGACTATAATAAAGACTAAAGGCTTTTCTAACGGTTTTGAGATGAGAAGAGGGGAGCCGGTGCTATAAGTGACCCAGGAGGGGTATGACTCAAAAAAAAAAAATCAGCGGGTAACTTTAGATCCGTTCGTAGAAAATCCCCGGGACTCAGTATGGCTCAAGGGTGACTCCGGTAGGCCACGCAAACAAGCTTCGCATCACCGATACGGAGACTAGCCATTGCGCTATTTCTCAACAGTCAGCATTTGCACGGTGTATCGCGCCAATTGGCCAGTGCCAACTTTGCGGCTGCTCCCCGTCTCCGGTGTTTTCGTGCATGGAGAATGGAAAAATTGAATCATCTTGAAAATATATGCAGGGTGGGTGGGTGTATGAAGAGCAGTATAAATATGCACCAGGAGAACATTTAAACAGAATCTGAATTTGCACTAAAAATCAAAGCCATGTTGAGAGTTACAAGTTCAAGAGCCACTAAAGGACTGCAATTCTCGAAAGTCGCCTTCTTTGTCGCCAAGAGACAGGAGTCTGCTTGGGCCTCAGTCCAGGCTGCTCCAGCCGATAAAATTCTCGGTCTGACTGTGCTGTACAACAACGACACCAACCCATCCAAGATCAATCTTGGTGTTGGGGCTTATAGAGACAATGATGGAAAGCCATGGATTTTGCCCTCTGTGAAAGCTGCAGAGCAGGTTTTGGCTAAAACCGAAACCAATAAGGAGTACGTCCCAATCGTTGGATCGCCGAAATTCAACGAGCTCATCAAGAAAATGCTCTACAGCCACGACGAGGCCGGTAAGAAGCTTCTCGAGGACGGCCGCGTTCTCACTGCCCAAGGAATCTCCGGTACCGGTTCTCTAAGAGTTTTGGGAGAGTTTGTGAGAACATTCTATCCAAAGTCGAACAAAGTTCTTGTTCCAAACCCAACTTGGGCCAACCATGTCGCCATTCTCGAAAAAGCTGGTCTTACCACCGGCAAATACAGTTACTACGACTACAAGACTAACGCATTGGACGAAGCTGGATTGTTGAACGATCTGGCTTCTGCAGAGCCGGGCACCGTTATTCTTCTGCACGCATGCTGCCACAACCCTACTGGTGTCGACCCGGAGTTGGAGCAGTGGGATAAGATACTGGACGTTGTTTCTCAGAAACAGCTTTTGCCAATTCTGGACATGGCCTACCAGGGCTTCAGATCTGGCTCTCCAATCGACGACTTGGCCATTCTGTTCAAGTTCAACAAGGCGGTTGTTGATGGCAAGCTCTCCAACTTCCTTCTTTCGCAATCGTTTGCTAAGAACATGGGTCTCTACGGTGAAAGAGTCGGCTCGCTCTCTATCATCACTGCTGGTCCAGAAGAAACCACTAGAGTGAAGTCACAATTGGAGAAGGTCATCAGACCGCTCTATTCGTCTCCCCCATCTCATGGCTCCAAGCTAGTCGAGATCATCCTTTCTGACGACACAATTTACCAACAATGGCTGGAGGACGTGAGGGTGATGTCTGACAGACTCGTTGAGATGAGAAAACTGCTGCACGACAAACTGAAGAACACTTACAAGAACCCATTGAACTGGGACCATCTCTTGAACCAAAAGGGAATGTTCTGTTACACTGGCTTGAAGGAGGACCAGGTTAAGAAACTGATTGACAAGTCGGTCTACCTGACTTCCGATGGAAGAATCTCCATTGCCGGTATCTACCCTGCTAATGTCGACAACCTGGCCAAGGCGATTCACGAGGTCACCACCAACTAAATAAATACTCTTATAATTATAAGTATTCTGATCGGACTTGCACTGGTGCAATATGTAAGTGTACACGACACATGTGCTGAAATTTTATTCACGAAAAGTGATAAGCGTATTTTGTTTACCGACGAGAGGTCAGGAGCGAGAAATAGAGCAGGGAAGACCGGAAACGTACAGCATGGAGGCCCAGGAAGTGAAGTCTGTGATAAAGAGTCTCGACAAGGCGCAGGACACCAAAACAATTGTTGAGTTGTTGGAAGTGTTAAAAAAAGAAGTGGTAGCCACTGAAAAGTTTCTCAGAGAGACAAAGGTGGGAGTGGCGGTGAACAAGCTGCGCACACATGCGGACGTGGAGGTGAGCTCACTGGTGAAGAAAATAATCAAGCAATGGAAGGAGCAGGTGTCGAAGGAGAAGAAGTCAAGCAAGGCCCAACCTAAAGAGTCGTCGCCAGAGAGCCCCGCAGCAGCTACTTCGACATCGCCACCAGTGGAGAACAGAGAGAGCAAAACTTTTGTGACTTCCAAGCCGCGTAATCCTGCAAACGATGGTGTCAATATCAATGTTCACGAAAATACCACGAGAAACGGGTCGATCTCTGGTCTGTACACGGCATTGGCCATGACCTCCGACAAACTGCCTTCAGAAATTGTGTTAATAGCCCAGGAGATCGAGGCGGAGGCATTCAAACTGACGGATTTTAAAGTGTCGGACCAGTACCGCAACAAGATGAGATCATTAATTATGAATCTAAGAAATAAGAACAATCCCGAACTACGAGCACGGTTACTGAGCAGAGAACTCAAATCGTCGAAATTCGTCACCATGACCAACCAGGAGCTTGCACCTGAAGCCCTGAAAAAAGAGCTTGCCGACCTGCACCAAAAGAACCTCTTCGACGCCCAGGGCGCGGTGCAGAAGCGCGCTATCACAGACAGATTTGTGTGCGGAAAGTGCAACAAGAGAGAGGTCAGCTACTACCAGATGCAAACTAGATCTGCGGATGAGCCGCTTACAACCTTCTGTACATGTGAAAACTGCGGAAATAGATGGAAATTCAGTTAAATAAATAAGTAGTATATGTCGTCATATGTGATCATTCACAGCAATCGTTTGATTGTGCCCAGATATTGGATTACCAGTTTGACATCCTCTAGCTGGAAGTCGATGTCGTGTAGCGCGATAGAATCCAGAAATTGGTCAACAACCTCCTTATTCGGCTTGCGGAGTATCTCCCTCGTGAACAGCACGCTGAACATGAAACTTGTGATGGCCGAATATCTGTCAAAGAAGAATGAATTGGCACGCTTGTCTGCTACCGTGATCGCCTTGTCCACTACTTTGAATGCGTCGTATGCCTTGGTTCTAAGGTCCGGGTATGCGTGACATTGGAGCATCAGCTCCTCTAGTCTAAGGACACCCTGCCTGTCTGCTAGGGAGTAGTGGCGGAGAAGAGATGTAGATGGTTGTCTGAGGAGTCCCCTTGAACTTTCCTTGAGGGTACGGCCAGCTGCTAATTTGAACATGCCTACAAATTTTGCATTCCCAACACTCTCTCTATATATATCTCAGGTCACCCCACAATCATCATCATCATGCCTCCATGCTACTCCGCACTTACCCCAGCGAGTCGTGCGGATTATGTAATCACAAGGTTTCAAAAATATGCTTGTGTTGCCGCATCTCTTCAATTATGGCAGCCACTTGAGGCACTACCTGCTGGTGGAGTTGTTCCGCCTCCTGCGCACTAAATTTAGACAGCACGTACCTGGACACGGCGTCCGGATCTTTCTCTCTCTGGGAATCTCTTCCGATGCCGATTTGTATGGCGTTGTAGCCTTTGCCAATGTGCTGCTGGATAGATTTTAGGCCATTATGCCCGCGTGCCGAAGAGTTTTGCTTTCGCACGCGCACTTTCCCCAGGTCCAGATCCAGCTCGTCGTGGAGCACCACGAGCACCGGGTTCCACTGAGGCTGCGCCATGAGAGCCTTCCAGGGCTTGGCGAGGTTTTTCCCGCTTAGATTCATGAACCCCGGAGTCTCGTACAGGAGCACGTCTGGCTTGTTTGTGTTGCATCCGAACTTGAACCCATTTATCTGCTTCATCTGGGAAAAACCTTGAGACTCGCATAATTTTTTCAATATCAGATGACCAACCGAGTGACGGGTCCCGTGGTACTGGGTTTCGGGATTACCTATGGATGCCACCAGGATTAGCACAGGTTTATCGTTTGGGGCGGCTATTCTTGTTAGAGAGGATGCCTTTCTTGCAAAATGCAGAAACGAGAGCATCGTAAAAAGATTAGTCAGACAGGGTAAAATAATCTTTAATTTATTTTGTATCTTAAGCAATCGTTCTTTTGGCTCAGATGAATCCATTTTCCAGTGCCAAGATCGTTGCAGATGCTACGGAAGAGGCAGACATTTACGGGGTGGCGTACGGTATGCTGATCAAGTTCATACTCGCGTTTGTCGTAGTTTCCATCTTGTACATGGTGGCCGACAGAAAGATGGTGAAGGAGGACCACAAGAAGCAGGAGTAGAGTGTTTAGGATTTGTAAAGCAAACTCACAATTAATTCTTTTGAGTTGGTAAGACATGTAATCCAGTTCAATTTGTTCATTTTCCGGGGAACGAAAATATTTGGACCAACACTTTTATGAGATATTTCCATTTTCAATGAGTGTAAGCGACGACAATTCACAAGATGCTCAGCAAGGCCACGACGATAACTCTCGTTCGCACCAGTCGCCTGATGGAGGGACGTCTACTCCCGTGATAAAGCAGGAAAGCTCTGAGGAACGGATGGAAAATCAAGACTACTCCAAAATAACTGGTAACGGGCCACAAAGAAAACGCAAAAAAGTCAACGTGGCCTGTGTCTACTGCAGGAGGTCGCACATGATTTGCGATCAAGGCCGTCCCTGCCAGCGATGTCTGAAACGGAACATCGGCCACCTTTGCCATGACGAGCCCACTAATGGAGGCCGCAAAAGTAAAAGGTCGACAAGCGCCACAGTTGACCGGTCTTCTTCCTCTCCTGGGTACTCAAACTTGGAGGAAACCCGGGCAAACAGCTCTAGTGCAGAAAAATTGAGCCCTCTTGGAATATACCGTCATCAGCCCATCAACCCCGACATGGTGAACTTCGACGCGACGACACCTCAACAGGCCAACCCGCGCAGCTATCTGTCAACCAAGCCATCAGAAACTGCAATAAATCAACAGCCATTTTTCTACTCCGAACACGCAGGTTCTGAGTTCAACTCTCTTACGGAGTTCCTCTCGATGATCGACGATACAGATATGATAAACTCCATCAATTTGGACAACGATCCGCTGCTCAACAAACTCACAGGCCTGCCTGGAAACAGTTATCCATCCGCTAGCTTGAACCAGATGCCACCTTTCGAGCCTGCTTTTGAAAACAGTCTTTTTGCTAAAACGTCTAGCTCCCCAACTGTGGAAAAACAGAACCCAGCAATATCTGCCCAGGTCGCTCTGCCCAACAGCTCCGTTCGCGCCCCACAAAATCTTTACGAGCCCTACATTTCTCAACCACAAATAAACCCAAATGTGGCTCAGCCGTCCACGAAATCGTCCGGACAGCCCTTTGTATCTGATTCTGCTAGGGACAAGTTTTTCCTTACCGCAGCCGACCCGACCACCGAAATCTCGCCAGAAGAGCGACTCAAACAGGTGATCAATGCCAAACTCGAGGCCGGACTCCTAAAACCGTACAATTATGCAAAGGGATACCAAAGACTGCAAAACTACATGGACAACCACATGGCCGCATCATCGAGACAGAGAATTTTGAAACCATTGTCAATGTTTAGACCAGGTTTCCGGGCCATTGCCAAGGCTTTGAAAGATATAGACCTGATTATGGTGGAAGAGAACTTTGAGAGAATGCTTTTGGACTACGATCGTGTTTTTACCTCGATGGCCATCCCTGCTTGTCTTTGGAGAAGAACGGGCGAAATCTATCGAGGAAACAAAGAGTTCGCGTCTTTGGTCGAAGTTTCCATCGATGACCTCAAAAATGGCAAGCTCACCATCTATGAGCTGATGACAGAGGAGAGCAGTGTCAACTTCTGGGAGAAATATGGAGCCATTGCATTTGACAACACCCAGAAAGCTGTCATGACTAGCTGCAACCTGCGGAGCAAGGACGGGCGGAAAAAGAGGAACTGCTGCTTCAGTTTCACCATTCGCCGAGACAAGTACAATATCCCCAGCTGTATTGTGGGAAACTTCATTCCTATACAATAAACAGTCATCATTCGCTTAATAGTTCATCGGCTGTCTTGGTCGAAAATTTGGCCTGCAGATTGTTCAATTTTTGAGCATCCTGGAAGTATTTCTGGATGATCTTTGCAGTGGTGTCTCCGAAACTGATAAACTCAAACTCGTCATCCAACGCACTTATCGTTTCAAGACATTTAAGGAACTGAACCGGTTTTGAGGTCGCCTGGACAATATTTTTGACTTGTGTATTCACCTCTGCTACCATTTCACCATTTAAGTTGGACACCATCGGGACGCCCAAAGAATGTGCCATATAAAGGGTTTTTCCAAACAATTGTTCCAAGTCCCTCTCTATGGGCTGCAGTACAGGGTTGTGGAATGGAATTCTGACTCCGAGATCGATGCTATGGACTCGTGTTTTCCAGACTCCTGCTTTAGCAATCCTTGCCTTGAGCTGGTCAATCTTCTGACTCAACTCATGGTTTTCCCCACTAACAACAAGCTGTTGATAGTTGTTGTAGTTGCTGACTTGTACATCCATCTCTCCTAGAATTTGTGTAATGTATTTATAGTGAGTTGGTTGAAATAACAGTGCTTGCATTGAATAGGCCTTCCCTGATTTCTCCACTAACTTTTCCATTAACACACCCCTTTTGTATGCCAATTCGAGTCCGGCCGCAAAGGGGATTGAGTCTTGCGCAACCAAGGCACATATCTCACCCACAGAGTGACCCAGCAGGAAATCGGTGTTGTTGAGAATATTATCATTTTTCACGGCTCTGATAAGATGGTAAGTGATGTACGATGTTAGTATCAGTAGTGGTTGTTGGATAGACGTCAATTGAACGTTTTTCTTCGCCAAGGCGGTAGCGGGATCAGTGATAAACTCTGACAGTCGCAATGACGGCAGTGTTCTGTCAGTTTCTGCTAAGAGCGTTCGTACCACAGGCGCATTTTGGTACTTTGATAAAGTGGACAGCGAACTGACATCAAATCGACCCTGTCCTGGGAATACGAGCACTTTAGTGGACCTTAACCGACTGAATATCTTGCTCATAATAAAGAATGAATTAAACCTATACTGGTGTGGGGGTGTCAATTATTTAGAAGCCTTTGCCGTACTCGTCAGCCGTTTTGTACTCCTTGACAGAGTCATCAACAGTGATAAGACCCTGTTTTTCCTTGATCCGGAACTGGACCATCTTGAGAAGATGGTAGATCATTGAAAGGTGGGGCGCATCAATGCCGTTCTTCTCCGCAATCCTGAGCGGATTTCCAACAATGGTTTCCACTTCTATCATTCTATTCAGTCTTACGTCGACAAGCATCGACGGAGTATAGAATAAGCCATCGGAGATGTTCAGCATGGTTTCCTCCAATTCTGGAGGAAGTGTATACCCATCGGACTTTGCGATCGCATATATTTCCCTCATGACTGGTCTCCATACAGTTTCTTTGCAACCCGTCATTGCTGCCCTGCTACAATCCAGATTGGTCAGGGCAGTCGAAGTATTGACCGAAGCATTATACAGCAGCTTCTGCCATCTAGTTTGTCTAACATTTAGGTCTTTCTTGACTACGTTCTTGCCGTCCTTCATCCGGTAGATGGAAATGAACTTGTCCAGGATCTGCTCAGCTCTCGCGCGATCTTTCAAGGTTGGGTTTTCAAAGATACCTAGCTGAACGTTGTCTGGTGTCATCTGGCTCACCACACAGTCAATATTCGTGCATCCTATAAGCGAGACACAGCTCAGAATCACATGACCGGGGAATTTTTCTATTAGTGGCTTTTCAATATCGATACCGTTCTGGCACAATATCACGGCCGTATTTGGATTGGTCCTCATTGCGACCTCGATGATCTCTTCGCAAGGATTCGGCGAGTCTGGTAAGTTCTTGACAGACACGAATATGTAGTCGTACTGTTCGCCGTTGGCAACAGCTTCATGGACTGAACTTACGACCTTGGACGGCTTCCAATGGTCAATGTTACCGAATTGCACTGACTCGATTTTGTATCCTTCTGTTGAGGCTTTTTCGTAGCCAGATCTAACTACCACCGTCACCTCTGCACACCCATTGTACTCCAATGTATAAGCGGCTACAATCCCAAGAGCTCCGCTGCCAACCAGAAGAACTTTAGTTTTAGTCATGGCAATTAGATTTTTTGAATAGAGCTTACATAGCGTAGTGCACAGCCCTATATTACTTATATGGAATCGTAGTTGCGTATTGCCCAATTCAAGCAGTCCTCCAGCTCTCTGACGTCGTTGAGAGTCACATCCAAGACCGTAGAACCGGTCTGGTTTTGTAAGGTGAGGTTCATCACCGAATAAGCAGATGCAAATAGCGAGGTCAGTTTGACTCTTACAATTAGCGAGTTTGTAGCGAGTTCCAAAATTGAAGCAGGGGGAGTGCTGACGCGCGCAAAGGGGTCTTTCGAGCGTGCAGACGGCTCGTTGCAATGATTGATAATATTCAAATGCTCTGCTAAATGCTCTTTAGTTTTTGTTCTGTCATTCTCGAAGTGGTTTAAGATAATAGACTCCAGAACATCGCGCACCGATTTCAACGTGCGCTTGTGGCGATTGTAAACGATAATTGGGCGAATAAGCGACAAGAGTGATGTCTGGGGTGCACTTTGGGCCTCTGTGTCCAACGCTAAAGGCGGTATATTTCGTTGGTCCAAATTGCGTTTGTGCTCAGCATAGAGCATCAAGCGTAAGTATATCTGGATGAGATCTGCTCGTTCGTTTGATGGAAGGTCTGCAGGAGCATGGACTTCTTCAGGCGGCACCTCTGTGATCTCTATGATCTCATCGTGTAAATCGATCACAATTTTATCTTCCTCTGCGGATACCTGGAGAGATATCAGAGTTGCGGCTTCTCGGAGCAGTTGATAAAACAGCTCTTCTTCAAAGAGAAAGAATCGTGCCTTTGCGATATCGTTTATAACGCCTTTTTTTTCTTTAAAACTGTGTAATCTCTGCTCAACGTTGGACTCGCCAATCAAGTTGACGGTTTCTCCATTTTTCTCATATATCCGGACGTTGACTACTTTATCTTGTTTTTCTTCCTTAGCTGGAGCAGAGTTCTCGAAAAAGAGATCTCCGGTAGTTGTGTCTTTTTTCAAAATCCCTATTCCCTTATCGTAGTATGTTGATCCGGCATCCCCATACCCGTATTTGACACAGACCTCTTTGGAATTTTTTATGTTCATGCTTGTGATCACCTCGTTTGATTTTAACACCTCCACCATGCCTGACCAGAAATTTTTCTCTTTCTCCACCTCTTCTTTGAGTCTCAAACTAGAAGACTTCAGATTAGCTGCTGCGCGCTCCAAGCTTTCCAGCTTCCAGCCTCGACCGACTTTTGAGGTGTCGAATTGTAATTTTTCAGTATCTTCTGGAGGGTCAACCTTGTCGCTTGACAATGACCCAATTTTGATGTGTTGCTTCAGATGAGGAGACATGGATGACGATCCTGCAGCCGGACGAACACAGGAAATCAAGAGGGAAACGAAATCCAAAGATAATGACGACTCGTTCAGAGCTGAGTGAACAGAGTTTACGATTTCCTGTTTGACTTTCTTAAACTCCTCGTACGACCTGAGCTGCTCCCGAGTCAGTAATGGTTCGCCCTCCATTTCGACGTCGCCTTGATTGGACGCCGTGTCTTTGGATAATTGCTCGTTTTCAATTTCCTCTTTCAACCTGTCTTCGGAAATGTCCAAAAAAGACCCTCGCTGGGCAATAATTTTGGCTAATAACTGGGGCAATGGCAGCTTCTCATCCTCATTGGAATATTCAAGAGCAGAATCCTGGTCCAATAAGGGAGCAAAATCAAGAAACTCGTTATCCTTGTCGACAACCATGAAATGATTAATTTTGTGTTTTTTATTTTTTACATCTAACAAGTCTGGGCTAATAAAATCTCGTTTTAATAAATTAAAGCTCAATTCTCTCTGCGGTTTTTGCAAATGCCCCAAAAGCGCAGAAGTACAGCCAAAAAGTCGGGCAATTCTAAGGCAGACAATGGAGCGAAAACCTCCGCTCACGAAATAGGTGCTTCCGTACACAGTGTCCTTGACAATGAAAACAAGATCCTGGAAATCAGCGTACCCGCGACAGGCTCTCCAGATACCACGAAAACGACCGAAATCCGTGGAAGAGACAGGTCGAAGGCAAGGACCTTCTTGATGACGAAACGCTTTATGTTTGTTTTTGGTATATTTTTTGGTGTTGTTGTTGCTCTTTATTTTGGCTCGAAGTCCATGGTTGATAATGATATGCTGCCCGACTTCGACTCCATAATAAAATTCGAGACTCTCAGTGGCTACTTTGAGGATTGGAAAGATGTACTACCCGCTTCCCTGCAAAGTCTGTTGGAAGAGACCAGTACTGAAGATTTTCATGATCCTAGTGAGTCGTTTGCAATTGGTAAGTTGCTGAAAAAAGAAGGCTTCGAGGCAAAACACCCTGTCATCATGGTTCCAGGAGTCATCAGTACAGGAATAGAGAGTTGGGGGCTAGAAGGTACTGAGGATTGTCGAAGCGAGCCTCATTTTAGAAAGAGACTATGGGGATCATTTTATATGATCAGGACCATGTTTTTGGATAAAGCTTGCTGGCTTAAACATATAATGTTAGATCCCGAAACGGGACTTGACCCGCCAGGAATAAAATTGAGAGCGGCGCAAGGGTTTGAGGCAGCAGACTTTTTCATGGCCGGCTACTGGATATGGAACAAGATCCTTCAAAATTTGGCCGTGATAGGATATGGCCCTAATAATATGTTCAGTGCTGCTTACGACTGGAGACTGAGTTATCTGGACTTGGAGAGAAGAGATGGTTACTTTTCAAAACTCAAATCACAAATTGAGCTAAGCAAAAAGCTCAATGGCGAGAAGACTGTACTCTACGGCCACTCAATGGGTGCACAGGTGATATTTTATTTCTTGAAGTGGGTTGAAGCCCAGGGAGAACATTTTGGAAATGGTGGTCCTCAATGGGTAAACGACCACATCGAAGCGTTTGTTAATATTTCAGGGTGCTTATTGGGTACTCCCAAAGCGATTGTGGCGTTGCTCTCCGGGGAAATGAAAGATACAGTCCAACTGAACGCTCTTGCCGTCCAAGGCTTGGAAAGATTCTTTTCCCGCAGGGAAAGGTTGGACATGCTCAAATCGTTTGGAGGTATCGCGAGTATGATACCAAAGGGAGGAGATCTGATTTGGGGAAATCTTGAGTCTGCTCCAGATGATGCTTTTGAAGGCGATGGACAAAAAGCCAACGAAACAATGGGGAAGTTCATCCGCTTTGTTGAGGAAGTCGGAGAGTTTTCCAGACGAAACCTCACTGTTTCGCAATCTATTGACTTTTTGCTTGAGCAGGGCCCTGATTGGTTCACCCGCAGAACACTAGAGCACTATTCCAATGGTGTTGCCAAGTCGAAAAAAGAGCTTTTGCAAAATGAGAAGCAATTCAACAAATGGATTAATCCGCTGGAGGTACCACTACCTAATGCACCGGATATGAAGATCTACTGTTTTTATGGTGTTGGAAATCCTACAGAGCGCGCATACAATTACCGCGAGGAGCTGAACAAGGATGTCTCAAAGCTGAATGTGTCTATTGACACCGATAACAAGCAGAGCGTGCTTCTTTCCGACGGCGATGGCACGGTCTCGCTAATGACACACACAATGTGCCACAAGTGGTCACAGGAAGGAGATAACATGTACAATCCGGGAAATTCGAAGGTTACAATTGTGGAGATGAAGCACGAGCCCGATAGATTTGATATTCGAGGCGGTGCAAAAACGGCAGAGCATGTTGACATTCTTGGAAGTGCTGAACTAAACGAGATGGTTTTACGCGTCGCGAGCGGTAGAGGAGACACTATCAATTCCACTTATGTTACCAAGTTGCACGACGTGATAAATGAGCTTGACTTCTAGCTACAGCCATATACATATCAAGGCTCAGCTAAACAAAATAACCGTCGCGCGACTCGCTCGTTTATTTTTCGTGTACTCCATCGCGCATGGCTCACTATTATTTTTTTGGGTAGCGTAACTATTTCGGTAATTCCAAAACAAACACCCTCGGATCGAGTATTTTGTTTATTCAAGCGTGTGGCATAACTAAGAACAACTTCGCCGTTCTTTCGTTTACTAGCATTGGTGGTAGATATACTGGTCAACAAACAACCATGACTACTAGGACCACAGCAAGACCTCCTTTGGCAAGTTTGGACAACAATGCTCTGAGCATGCCAAACGTGAGCGGCAATAAACATGTCCTCTCGTTTGAAGGGTCCAAAGAAATGTCTCCCAAACTCCAAAGAGCACGGATGCTCAAGCTCAAGCTACAGCTGGCGTACTACAAGGTCACTACCAACCAAATGGACGTGCCTCTGACTAGTCTCAAAGTTCCGAGCAAAGAAAGGCAACACGGTTCTCCGATATCTAAGCGCCGTCGGTCCAACGCGCTAGATGATCTTCTAGCCTCCTCGACTCCTGTTTTGAACAGAAACCGCAGAATTGGGCCAATGAGGAGGAGAGGTGTCAGTTTTCTAGATGATGTTGTTAAAAAGAGAGCCACCAGTGCTAACCTGAAGCGGGCATCTTTGCAGTATAGAAAAGTTTCGAGCCTGAACAGCGTTGCCCAGACCTCCCCTTCGCGCTTTGTTACCACCTCCAAGGGTGCCAGCAAAGCCAAGCTTCCTCCTGTTCCTCGAAACGCGATCCATCATTCTGATTCCACGCTTTTGGACTCCGATTCGACTTTTATGACCCCTATTAAGCCCCCTCTTAACACCAGCATGACAGAGACATCCAAACTACTGTCGTCTATCTCCAGACCTAACCAATTAGATTTATCTCCCACAAGATTAATGTCCACTCCGTCCTCTATAGGAGCAGCTCGGTGCCTGTTGCAGTTGGCGCACCGATAGTTTTCCATTAGCATCGTGATGATTCAATTCTCCTGCTGGCCACAGAGCCAGAGTTTTGTGTATATGAGCATATCACTGTATTACTAGCAAAAAGTATACAACTTAATATAATACTTCTAATCTATCTTCTTTTGATGCGCAAACATTTTGTAGAAAGATTCCAAAAAGATCCCCACAAAGACAGTCAGCAGGCCAAACCACTGGCTCGCGTTCAATTGGTGGCCAAAAAGAAACACGCTGAGACACATCGAAAACATCTTGCGCGTCACTGTGATTGTGACTAGCAGCAGTGAGCCGAAGTTCTCCAGGGTCAAGAAAATGAAGATCTGGCCCAGAGATCCAAGCAATCCGAACATTAGGATATCCTGCACCACTTCCGGTCCATTGTCGACCACAAACTGTCTGAAATAGTCGAATTGTCGCGTAAACAAGACTGTGTATGAGAATGTGAAGACCGCGTTGAGCAGATTCAGGCCGGCCATGAGATGAGCTCCAGTGATGTTTTTTGACTGAGACTTCGAGAACAGTTGATCCTGGGTCGAGTTTGTCAGCCCATCCAATAGAAGAGACACAAAAAGATACGCAAACCCAAGAAGTATGCGGCCGTCATTGCTGGTGGCTTTGGCTTTGTTACTGATAGAAAATACCACGACGCCAAACGTCACTAGACCTGCTACCACATATTTGTAGGTTGCGAATTTGGAACCGTACAAAAGTCGATGAACCAACATGACAGGTATTAGTTTGCATGATTTTGCAAGCAAGTAAAACAGATAGTCCAGGTGGTTTAGCGATTGATAGGCAATTGGTGACGAAACAGCTTGACTCAATGCTATGAGCACAAAATTCCATAACATCTTTTTGTCTTGGAAGAGAAAGTAAGCTGGTATTTCAAGTCTCCGCGATTTAACCGACATATACGCTGTGCCCACAAGCATTGCAAAAAATGCTTGCACACTGTTGATAATCAGCGGTGCTTTGAAATACGCTTCATCATCCTCTGACGAGTAGTTCTTGGAAGATATTTTTTCTTGCAGGTATGACCAGGAAAGAAAGGATCCATATATTCCCGCAACGCATACCACCAGCATCGGCACTGATGGTGATTTGGATGCTGACGTTTGATTTCGTGAGGGTTTGTTGCTAACCATTACCTAGCATAAATTTAACAGAGTATAGTTTAACACAGCCTGAAAATATTGATTGACTTGATCGGTGCTAGAGTCACATTAAGTTGGCTCACAGGCAGTTGGTGTCGCAACCTAATCTTAACACCATTTGAGTCATTCCTCTAGTGCCTTGATGCCATCCACTACATGATTGAAAGCTTGATAATCGTTTGAGATCTCCTTACTACTACGACATATTTAATGTTGCAGTCCGATCCAAAATATTTATATACTGTATATTTAAAAAGTCCACATTTAAAAGACCAAGAACGTCCGGGTTGTAAGGAATGGTAAGCCTCGATATATTAATACTCTAACGTTTAGGTGCTGCCTCTTATTATCGGTGTGGGGGTCACGCTTGCCGCCCTGACGGCCAAGTCGGCCCTTTCCGCTTACTCAAAGTTGATCCGTCTGACACCCCAGCAGATTGCTATCTTGAATAACATCAAGGTCAAACCCATCGACTCGAAAGATCCATTTTGGATGTACAAAGGAGGGTTTTACGAAAAGATGAATGAGACGGAAGCCTTACTGATCCTCGAAATCCAGCCCGATGAGATACTTCATCTTACACATGATATTGTAAAGAAACGGCATCGGAAAATGATGCTTCTTAATCATCCCGATAAAGGCGGATCGGAGTATCTAGCACTGAAAATCAACCGCGCCAAGGAAGTGCTGGAGCAAAGCTACATGTTTACCAATTCCAAAGACTAGAAAAAGATAATATTATTTTCAAATTTATTCGGATGCAACGTTGTTTAGGTACAACGGCAAAGGGCGAGCGATGCAAAATCGTACTAAAGCAAGAAGCATATTGCAAATACCATAGAAATCATAAGGTTGATCCAAATGGCAAAGCTGGATACGTGTACATATTTACCCTGAGGCATCTAATTGATGGTTCACCCAAAAAGCAGACATGGCTACGCCAGGCAGGTCCCAATCCTGAAAACCAGATCAATTTTGCACAGACGTCAGTCTTTGATCCAAAACGACATATTCTTATCAAGGTGGGTTACACCACGCAACGGGTCAGGCGACGGCTTAGTCAGTGGAGAGAACGGTGCCAACAAGATTTCCAGCTCTTGACTCCGCAGACCGTTGACAGAGTGTTATCGTCGAACAGAGACAAATTGGCAGATTTTATTGAGAGGTTCAAGAGCCTGTCCTTACGCAGCTACAAAAATTATGACTCCAATGAACAAGCATTCAAGGCGTCAAATGCATTTAGATCTGAACAGCAGGTGCATGCGCAACTTAGAAGCTTATTTGGCAGTGGGAGATTATATTGTGATGGATGCAAAACGGCCAACTCTGGGGTGCATAAAGAGTGGTTTCTTGTTCCGCGAAAAGATGTGCGAAATATCATGAGGATGATAGATCGACTGGTAGATTGAATATTTAATCAATCCTGCTTCTTTTCACTTTTCTCGTTCTCGACGAGGTCAATGTAGTTCAGTCTTTCAAGCAGGTGAGGATGACTGTGGTTATAAGCCGAAAAGAGCCAGTCGACATCCAAAGAGCTCAGGTTCTCCTTGTGGAGCGTGATCAGTGCCACCTTGAGCTCCTCAGCATATCCTTGCTCCACTGCGTATCTGTCAGCCTGGTACTCGTACTTTCTGGAAAGCAAGTTCATGGCGAACTCCAGAATGGTGTCCACTGGCTTAAGAATGTCGCCAAACAACAAAAACCCAACAATAACCGGTTGCTCTTTGTAGAATCCAAAACTCTGGTACAGCGATTTGTTGTTGATGAATGCAGCAAACAAAGTGAAAATTCCAAAGATGTGGGCCTGGTTGATAAGCAACAGCTTGGTAGTGTGAGACAAGAACCAGTGGCCAATCTCATGACCAAGCACAGCGACGACCTCTTGCACTTCGGAGGAGGCAATCAGAGTATCATAGATGACAATTTGCTTGGAGCCCCATGGAAGACCCATGAAGTAGGCATTGGAGTGCGAGGATCTCTTCGAGCCATCAATGACGTACAGCTTGTCCAGAGGGAATTTGTTTCTTTCAGCCAATTGCTCAATCTTGGTTTTGAGCTCACCGTCTGCCAGAGGCTCGAGCTTATTGAACAGTGGCTGGATAAATTTAGGATAGATAATGATGAGGAAGATCTGGACGACAAAGAGAAAGACAGAGAGATAATACATGAACCGATCACCAAAATAGTCAACAATTTTCAGGAAACCAGCAAGAATTGGAGCACCGATGGTGAACAAGACAAGAATTTCTTTGATTGTGTCTGTGAGCCATAGCTTGACAGTCAGTTTGTTGAAACCGTATTTTTCTTCTATGACAAAATTGGAGTAGTAATCGATTGGCAAATTCAAAACAACACTGATCAGAGACATCTGACCCATGAAGAACAGGGACTTTGTGATTGTAGAGCCGACAAAGACTGCCGGAAGAATAGACGAAGACGCCAGATACGAGGCCCCCGACCACAACTTCGCCAGCAGGTCACACTGATAGAAAGCAATGTTTTGCACAAGAGAATAGAACGAAGCAACAAGCGAAAACTTGAGTTTGGCCAGGGAATACTTGGAAGATTTCAGAAGTGTCTCGCTGTCAATTTTGTCCTTGATTTGTGGAGAAACTTCTTTGGCATTTGCCACTTTTTGTATTTGTCTATACTTCAGGTAAGACTCGAAGACAAAACTGGCGGTAGAAAAGCCCAAAATGACGGCTTTCCAGTCGAAGCCAGGCCGATCAAAAAAGGTGCTAGCACTTTGTATAAGAGAGTTCATATTATAAAAATTCAAGTTATTTTTCAATTTTCGAACGCGGTTTTAAAACCTCGCGAGGATACTACCGAACAGTCTAAAATTTTCAGAATCATGTCTTTTCAGGTGGCTCATAGGCCTAAAACAGAAATTGTCTATACAATGACTTGTCAATTGATCTAGTTGGCCTCAGCAGCAATCTTCTCGGCCTTGGCAACGACATCCTCAATGCCACCAACCATGTAGAATGCGTTTTCAGGCAAGTGATCGTACTTACCTTCCAAGACAGCCTTGAAGGAAGCAATGGTGTCCTTCAATCTAACCAACTTACCCTCAATACCAGTGAAAACCTCGGCGACGGCAAATGGTTGAGACAGGAATCTTTGGATCTTTCTGGCTCTTTCGACAGTCAACTTGTCTTGCTCAGACAATTCGTCCATACCCAAAATAGCAATGATATCTTGGAGAGACTTGTAAGCTTGCAAGGTCTGTTGGACACCAGTGGCAACGTCATAGTGCTCCTGACCAACAACGGACACATCGAGCAATCTAGACTTGGAGTCCAGTGGGTCGACAGCTGGGTAGATACCCAACTCAGAGATACCTCTGGACAACACGGTGGTAGCATCCAAGTGAGCGAAAGTAGTAGCAGGAGCAGGATCAGTCAAGTCATCAGCTGGCACGTAGACGGCCTGAACGGAGGTAACGGAACCCTTTCTAGTGGTGGTAATTCTCTCTTGCAGCAAACCCATATCGGTGGCCAAGGTTGGTTGGTAACCGACGGCAGATGGAATACGACCCAACAAAGCAGACACTTCAGAACCAGCTTGAGTGAATCTGAAAATGTTGTCAACGAACAACAACACATCTTGACCTTCCTCATCTCTGAAGTACTCAGCGATGGTCAAACCAGTCAAAGCAACTCTTGCTCTAGCTCCAGGTGGCTCGTTCATTTGACCGAAGACCAAAGCGACCTTCGACTCGCCCTCCAAGTTGATGACACCAGTCTCCTTCATCTCACGGTACAAATCGTTACCTTCTCTGGTTCTCTCACCGACACCGGTGAAAACGGAGAAACCACCGTGAGCCTTGGCAATGTTGTTAATCAGCTCTTGGATGAAAACGGTTTTACCGACACCGGCACCACCGAACAATCCAATCTTACCACCTCTGGCGTATGGGGCGAGCAAGTCGACAACCTTGATACCGGTCTCCAAAACCTCAGCCTCGGTAGATTGCTCCACAAAGGAAGGTGGATCAGCGTGGATTGGGTTTCTTTGTTTGCATTCGATTGGGCCTCTCTCATCGATTGGCTCACCAACGACGTTGATGATTCTACCCAAAGTACCTCTTCCGACTGGGACAGAGATTGGAGCACCCGTGTCAACAACGGTTTGACCTCTCACAAGACCCTCGGTACCATCCATAGCAATAGCTCTAACGGCGTTCTCACCCAAGTGCTGGGCAACTTCCAAGACCAGTTTTTGGTTGTTACCTTGGTCAATGGTCAATGCATTCAAAATAGCAGGCAATTCACCTTGCTCGAACTGGACGTCGACAACGGCACCGATAACAGCTCTAAAATGTGTTAGTTTTGATGTCCACAGTTTTTGGTTACGCAGCCCTTGATGCTTCCGAAAAAATATTTCCAGACGAGCGAGCGAAAAAATGTCCTCCTCTGATTTGACGAGAGGTCGAAACCATCAGTTTCGCTCTCAATGACCCTTATGAAGTATGTCATGATCTCGCACGCGCCTGTACCGGTACGGAAACGTAGCATTGTAAACCAATTGACATCAACCAAGCTTGAAGAGGTCAGCATGACACCGACGACAGAAAACCATGCACTCCTACGCTCAACAATCCACGAGCATGCCATTTGCCAACCTCTTTGGCTTCAATTGACGCCATATAGAATGAACTTACCTGATCTTACCAGAAGCTGGGCCGGCAGTTGCCAAGCTTCTTTGAAGGGCCAAATTAGCTCTGGCAGCCTTCAAAGTAGCTCTCTTGGTGACGGAAAACAATCTAGCAACCATGTTTCTTGATTATCGAATCGATTTGATAACGACAAGTCAGAAAATAATCTCGAGTAAACAAGAGCTAAAGAAAAGAAGAAGGAAAATCGACAGCAGATGCTTCGTTGGTACAATTTTCTCGGCAGCTGCCATAAAAAAAACGTGTAACCCAGAGTCTGGCAACACAAAATATTATTGGTTGGATTTGGTAGCAGCCAAAAAAGCAGTTTGAGTAGCGAATTCCAATTATAAGTCCGTGCTGAAAGAAGCAGCCCTTTTCTGTAGGGAACCGTCTGTACTCTATATGCTAGCTTTTGTGCCAAACTACCTACAATTTATAGACATATTTTATCGGCATTAATTTTTTGGGGTCAGATCTACTGAAAAATTCAAATCTCAAATTTAGCACCCAATTGGTCAGTAAGGTAGTTTTCCAATTCCCTGACCTCATTTTCAAGAAACACGGCACCACAGTGCTTTAATTGCCCACGCTCGAAGTCGTCCAGACGTTGTTCGAGACAATTTAGACACATGTAGACCTTGCCATAGTTTGGAAACTGCTTTCTTCTTCTCTTTAAGCGTCTCAAAAGACTGAGATTGGCTTCGTATTCTAGCTTGGCTTCGTCAATTGGCTGGGAAACAGGCGACTCACTCTTTCTGGCTAATCTCCTCGATTTCCGCACAGGTGCTTCTTCGTCCGAACTAGTTGAGCGCCGTTTCGCCCCCGACTCATCGTCGTCGTCGTCTTGGACGATGATCACCCCATCCTCCTCTTTGAGAAATCTAGCCGCATGATCCTGCTTAGGGGTATGATTTGGTGTTGGCAAAAGCGACTCCTGGGATGTGGTGTACTTGTCGATATCCAATTGTACTTTCTTCAACATGTCCAACTCAAGCCATTTGAAATTTGGGTATGCCTTGCAGTTCATACAAATAATCTCATCGGCTTCCTCTTCAGTGCTCATTGTTCCCTTGCGGCCAGACATTCTATCTGCTCGGCGCGAAAGACGGTCTTCCATATGTGATTTTAGGTAATTCGGGTAATCAACAACTTCCAAGCCATCGAGAAGAGACTGAATATCTGTGTTGGAGATTTTGGCTTTGTAATTACGGACCGCAGTCAGATAATCGACAAAAGCTGTATTTTTCATGGAGGAGATGCTGGAAATCTCAAAGTTCGTCCACCAAACGTCTTGCATTCCTTGATTAGCCCGTAGATCATCCAAAATATTGCGCAATAGCTTAAAATGATTGAACACATTTTCCTTTTTCACCGGCTTGTATTCATCGATGGCCTGCTTTCCGTAGCGTAACCAGTACGGCATAGTAAAGTTGACCGCCTCATTCACATTGAAACCACAATTAAAGCCCGCGTGGTAAACCTTTGGGAAAGTGATGACAAACTCGTTGGGTTCCTGGTCGACAGAAAAGATGCGGATCTTTTGGCCAAATTTCTGTCTCACCAATTCTGCAATGCGATCAGGTGATAGCAGCGTCACCAACTGGTGTAGTAAGTCTGGCTGTTTCGAAAAATAGTCCGGACAAAGGTCGTGAAACACACTCTCGAACATCTCGCAATCGGCAGCGGGAATACCGTACCATTTCTTTGTGGCTCCCATATGGCAGTAATTGGCGCTCAGCGTGTAGTGGTCTTCTTTGTGCCAGCAGAATGTCGAAAACATGGAGCCGATGTACAGCCAGGGAACAGTCATTCCCGATATCTGTTCGCGGTTCTCTTTGATATAATTGAGAAGCGAGCCCTTGGCGAAAGGCAGGTTTGTCAAATTGAATGGATGATCAAGATACTTGCTATATTCCTCTTTGAATGGATGTGATCTGGTTGGAAAAGCAGAAATTTCACCAGGCCCGTCGTTGTGGATATCGGCGCCATATCGGACCTCAAAATCTTCCTCCTCTTCATCTTGCGTATCGACTAGTTTCCAAAACACACTCTCAATCGCATCCACTGAGGGATTCATATTTCCATCGAACATCTCGTTGCAATATCGTCTCTTCAGGTCGTCGCACTCACGAGCGAACTCTCGAATGGTGTATATCGACTCAAAATCCTCTTCAAATCCGTATTCAGCAGAGGAGCCTTTCAAACAGTCATCACAGAACCAGTCGGTATCAGGGACTTCTTCCAAAATTGGATTTAGACATCTCATATGGAAATTCCTATTGCAGTCATCGCAGATGAGAATCGTATCTGGCTCATCCAGCTTGCCGCACTTTTCACAAACGTTGCTTTTCTTCTTCTTGAACATATCCTTCATCTGAGAGCTGATGCTTCTTCTGGCAGGTGTCTCTTGTCCCTTGTTCTTCAGAAAACGGACATACTCCACAAAATCCTGGTAAACTGTTTCATCCTCGAATTTCCCCTTATAGAAAAAAGCTTCGTTTTCGACGTACAAGTCGTATAAATGGACTTCTTTTTTGGTCATTGTAGAGTCATGATGCTCTCCTATATGCCTCTTGAGGGTGGCATAACCGGTTTCAAGCTGTTCTTTTCCCTTCATCCTAAGATAGTTGTTAAATCCGTTAAGCCAGAAGATCCTCGACCGATTTGTCAGACTCAGCTCGCTGAGAGTTTGCAACCGGGTATGAAACTTGAAAGTGTCGGGATCCAGAGCAAAAGGGGGATTCCAACCTCTGGGAGGTTTGATCTTCAGAATTCCATATTGTTCACCTATACTGATAATATCTTTGGTATTGAGGTATCTGATTGGATCGGAGAACTCTTCTTCCGATGGGTACAACGTTGGAGCTTCCTGTGTTTGTATCATCAGCAAACTATCCACAAAACAGGTGAATCGAAATCGGTAAAGAAAAGGAAGCGTATGCTTTGCTCAGACAATTTTAGTCTCCGTTCCACCTCTACACCAAATTGTGCCCTGTACATCATTTAGCCAAATTGAAACGGCTGTTAGCGAAAAGAAAAACTGATAGCGCTTGGAGCGGTGTAGGGATGCAAGATAATTAGCTGGCTTTTATAAAAATTAAGCTAGGATTTGCACCTAGTTATGCAGAATTTTGACGACGAAAAGAGCCAAAAGAAGAAAAATAGGAGTCGCAACTGGCAGGAGTATGTCGTGAATCTATGGCAGCGTTTTAGGCTGAGTCTATACCGCCGGGATCGCTCAACAATTACTAGACTAGCAGTTCTTTTCGTTGTCGTCACCTTGTTCTGCTACTGGACTTCAGCTGGAGAAGGGACCGAGGGGTCTGACACCCCAACACAAAGGAAAGAGCGCAACTATTTCGACGCCTCCAAAAAAAGCTACCACGATTATCTCAATAGTAAGCTGGCGAACAATCATGAAAACATAGGATTTGGCCTCGCCACCAACAAGAAGACTCATAAGAAACCAGGAGTGCCGCCTAACCCATTGGTTCCAGGAGTATTTGCCACGGAGGAGGATCAGGTCCCTAGACGTAAGACGATGACCCAAAACGGTCCAAAAAAGTCATTATTACAGAAATTTGGGTTGTCAAAGCCAAAACGGAAAATATACCTAATTCTCGGACACTCTCCAGAAGTTGGCATCAAGCATCAAAAATCCAAAGAGTACTGGCTTATGGAAAAGTTGTCCTTGCTGAACAAGAAGCATTATTGCGAAAAACACGGTTATGAGCTAATAGTTGTCAACGCCCTAGACGACGACGTAGGACTTTATCAGAAAAGGTACCAACACGAATTTAGAGAAGGCTGGGAGAAATTCGATCTGCTCCGGAAGCTGATGAAACAGACCCCACAGGACGAGTCGTCACCTGTTGAACAGTGGTATTGGTATCTGGATATCCACACCATCATAATGGAACCACAATTATCTCTTGAAGAGGTGATATTCAAAAATATGGACTATCTCTATCGCGACCTCAAGTATTTCAACCCTAACAATTTGATCATAGACGAAGACTTGAACCAATTTACCATTGGCTCCTCATTGAAAGAGACCAACGACATCAACAGCGTGGACCTCATATTGACGCAGGACTGCAACGGCATCAACTTGAATTCATTCCTTATCAAAAAAAGTGAGTGGTCCAACTTGCTTTTGGACGTCATTTGGGATCCTGTATTCTACAAACAAATGCATGTCAAATGGGTGAAACACGGCACACAGAAAAAGTATGGATTTAGACTGAGCACGGATGAGTACGACTCCAATTCGTACAACAACGACGTGGAGGAAAGAAACTGTCTGGAGTATCTTTTCAATACACAATCTTGGATCAGATCTAAAATCGGATTTATGCCTACGAAGGCTTTCAATTCTCTTTCTGACGACTTTTGCAAAGCTGATCCGGACGAACTTGATGAAGATCTCGAGGCCCTGCTTTCCTCAGAACCTGAGGAGATAGCAAAGGCGGGGGCTGCCAGATCGCAACTTTTAAGAAATCAGCATTTCCATTACAGGCCTGAGGATCGGGACTTCCTAGTTAACTACATGAACTGCGAAAAACATCACACTTGCTGGGACCGATTCCAGGAATACACGGATGTTTATGAGGAGCTGCACAAGAGCTGGTTCCTCAAGTTGTTCCATTTGTAGTAATAGAATTTTTAATAGATCGAGCCCTGGTGTTGGGTGTATCAGATCGAGGGAAAAAACGCGGTATAATTTTAATTTGACCACTTTTACCATGGCGATTCTGTCCTCTAAACTCGTGAATTCTATCAGAGTTGCCTTCTATGCATTTGTGTCATATCTATTGATCACAGATCCCAAGTCAGTGCTTGAGTATGAAGGGTTGATTATCCTTGCCTCGTCCATGAATATGCCCCTTTTGTTAACGACAGAAGGATCGTCTATCTACGGGGCCCTGGCATTGCTCTTGTTCATGACCGCGCTGAGCGATTTAGTGCCTCTTCTGGATGGGAACCACGGTTATTTTGAGGCCACTATCCCAACGAGACTCCTCGTCCACTTTGCTCTAGTGTTCTACTCATACATGGGAGGAAACCCAATAATTTCCAATTCGTTGATCTTTGGCTACTGCTTTATGGAGATCTGGTTTTCTGTCTTGATTTTCAGCTCGTTGAGGGAAGAGAAAGTGGAAAGAGCCAAAAATGAGCAGAAGAGGGCTTTGGAGTTAAAAGATAAGTACGAACGAGGCGAGCTCAATGAGGAAGAGGAGGAAAAACTCAGCAAGGACCTACAGGAAATTGAAATGAAAAAGATTATGAGGGAGTTTGAAGACAAATAGATTACTTTTTACCCAATTGAGAGGCAATGTTGGTAGCCTCCTCGACCGCACGACTCACACCGCTCCTGACTCCCTTATCTTCCATCACCAACAAGCCGCCAATGGTACAGCCACCAGGGGTACAAGCGGCAAGTTTCAAGGCGCCTGGGTGCTGGCCAGTTTCTTTGACCATCTTGGCAGTACCTTCCATCACTTTAGCAGCACATTCTTGGGCAATAGCAGCCGGAATGCCCATTCTGATTCCTCCTTCTGTCAGAGCTTCCATGAATAGCAGAGAAAACGCGACACCCGATCCAACTAATGCGGTAGCGGCGTCTTGGTTTCTTTCGGGAAGCTTAATGGCGGTTCCAACCCCGCCGACAATCTTCAGCACGAAATCCTCGTGAGGAAGACACTCGTCGGAGAATGACACCACGGCCACACCACAGCCAAACTTAGCAGGAGTGTTAGTCATCACACGAGCAATTTTTCCGGCTTTAGGTGACCATATTCTCAATTGATCGATTGACCAGCCAGCCAGCAAAGAAATCACAAGCTGGTCTCCTGGTAGATGGGATTTGACTTGGTCGTACACTTGTTCACAGAGGAAAGGCTTACATCCCAGCATGAGGACCTCAGCTTCCCCGACGGCCTTGGCATTGTTAGCAGCACCGAAAGAAACTTCAATCTTGTCCCCATAGGTTTCTTTCAACTTAAGGGCGGACTTCTCAGAGTTAGTGCAGCAGATGATTTTCGCTGGGTAAGGTTCAAACTTGGTTTGCAGCATAGCAGCCAGCACAGCTGTCCCCATCGTTCCGCAACCAAGAATAGTGAGAGTATAATTTTCCAGCGGCATGTTGATAGTAGTGAGCAGCAGATCTTAGAAGAATGAAAACTAATTAGCGTTCGTTCAAAAACTCACTTGGTGCGAGGGTGGACCCCGTATTCATGATAAAGCTAAAATGTAATGGGATAATTTAATCTTATTTAAAGGCAACTGAAGGAATCTAGATTTTCTTGGTTGAGAAACAGGGCTGATATTAGCGCTTTACAATAACCTGGCTCACACCATACATTACATATTCGGAATCTAGTGATTATACAAATAAAGTGTTTTTATCATATACTCTACTTCCATCTTTAAGACATGACAGGTCTATACCTGAGATCCACTTTCAGCTCTTTAAGGGAGTATTTGACTCCGATCAGCCACAAATCCACGTTCACAGATACGGGAGAGATTACTCCCGAGGAGTTTGTCGCTGCAGGAGATTACCTTGTTTACAAGTTCCCCACATGGCAATGGTCACCTGCACCAGAGTCTAAGAAGCGCGATTTTCTCCCAAACGACAAGCAGTTCTTAGTGACGCGGCATGTTCCTTCTTATGTCAGGGCAGCAGACTACGAACACACGGAGAAAGAGGCCGAAATGATGGAAGAAGAAGATGGGTGGACCAGTACCAATGTGGACAGTGTGGCTCCTCAGCGGTGCAACACAGAGGACGAGCGGCGACATTCAATCAAGTACATTGAGATGACTGAAAGTGGCGCGTCCTCACCAGAAGAAGGAGTTGCCCAGCATGAGGGTTCCGGAAAACACGAAATAAATGACATTGACGAACTTATCGACGAGACAGCAGAGGAAAGTGATCTTGCGAACGATGCAGGACAGGGTGGCATCATCAACGACCCAAAGAAACGAAACTACGATCTCTACATCACCTACTCGACCTCTTATCGGGTTCCTAAAATGTACCTAGTTGGTTTCAACTCGAATGGTGTGCCATTATCACCAAACGAGATGTTTGAAGACATTGCCAGCGACTACAGACAGAAAACTGTGACGATCGAGAAAGCGCCATTTTTGTCCAACACAACTTCCGTGTCCATCCATCCTTGTCGTCATGCTAACGTGATGAGGGTTTTAATGAAGCGTGCTGCACATGCTGCGCAGGCGAAAAAGATAAGGGACAAAGATCTGGTGACGGGTGTGGCCAAGCTTGGTCTTGCAGATGGTAAGAATGCCGACGAAGAAGATGATTGGGAAAACGTTGAGCAAGGGGAGGAAGGCATTATTCGCGTGGACCAGTACTTGGTGATTTTCCTCAAGTTCATTGCTAGTGTAACACCTGGAATTGAGTACGACTATACCATGGATGCATTTTGAAGCAAGGGGTACATAATATATATAATTCAACACGGTTTAGCGGCAATAAGTCAGACGGCCTCATCCATCTGTCTCCAAATTTTAATGCTCTTGTCGACGTTTCCGGTTATCAACCGCAGACCACTCTGGTCGAACTTGGAGCACAAAATACCTGTTTCTCCGGCCAGCGACCCTGGCACGGCGACGTTCTGCCCCTTTTGGAAAATCTCGCCCGATTCCCAATCCCAGAAAGCAAACTTGCCGTCATCGCAGCCTCCGAACATGACCCCGTCAGAGTTGGAGGCCAGTGTGTTAATGATTGTGTTTCCCTCAGATATTTTGTTGGTGTCGAAGAACTCGAGATTTTGCAAATAGGTGCAGTCTGGAAGCTGGAACTTTTTGATTCCATCCGAGGAAGCAGACACCAGCTGCTGGTCGTTGGATCCAAGAGCAAATGAGCGCACAGATTTGGAGTGATATGTCAATGTTTTGTCGCATTTTCCAGCAATCAGGTCCCAGGTCTTGACGGTAGAGTCCATGGAAGAGCTGATAACCTGGGGATTCGTGGCTCGTGCCTTCACCATGTTGACGCTCGATTTGTGGCCTGTGAATGTATAAACTGCCACTTTTGTGCGAATATCCCAAACACGAACACTAGAGTCACGGCCAGCCGTCACGATTAAATCCAGCGTTGGGTGCAGGTCAATAGTATAGACAGAACTGAGATGTCCATGATAATCTCTAATCACAGCGTTCTTTTCCAGATCCCAGCACTTAACTGTTTTGTCCTCTGAGCAACTGAACATGTACGGATGTCTGTCTGAAACCACCAATCCTCGAACAGCCATAATATGACCCGTTAAAGTGAGGTCCAACCTGGAGGCTGCCAGGTTCCAGATTTTAATCGTGCTGTCGGCAGATCCAGTGACAAAGTATTTGTTGAACGGATCAAAGGTGACAGAGGTGACCTGGCCCGTGTGACCGAGCAGGACTTTGTGTAATTTCCAGTTGCTATGATGATATTTTTGGTGCCGTTTGTTCTCAAAAAGCGGAACCAATGCAGGGTTGGTGAGATCCTCCTTGGTAAGCACGTTGTTTGCAAGAACGAGAGCCGAGTCTGAGCTGGAATTGATGGGCTGGTTTCGAAGCTTGTCCAGGATGGACCGCTGCCCCAGCTTCGCCTCGATGTGTTTTGGCAGAGGAAAGGGGCCCAACTCATTGCGCTTTATCGTCCTTGCGTAAGCCCCATCCAGAGAAATGTCGATGGACTCTGGAAACAACTGGTCTCGCAGACGTTGTAACTCGCGATAAGATGAGGTCATAAAAGCAAAAAAAAAAAATTATCAAAATAATTTTTTTTTTCAAAATTAATTACTAATGGATAGCGAAGAGCCAGAATACGTTAACCTCCAGGAGGTTGAAGAGGTCGTTGAGGATACCGGCACGGAACAGTTCCACAGTGAGGACGAGATGGACGAAGATGATGAACCGTTAGAGGTCGACTTGAGCAATAATTCTCAGGGTTACTTCGATAATCACCAAGATTCCGTCTTTGTGGTGGCAACGCATCCTTCTGTGCCCTTGATCATGACGGGAGGAGGCGATAATGTTGCGTATCTATGGACATCACACACCAATCCGACGAAACAGGTTGCCAAACTCGATGGATATACGGAATCTGTGATCGCCGGAGGATTCACTGCTGACGGATCCTACCTTGTTACCGGAGACATGACAGGCAAAGTGCTAGTGCATAAGGCGTCCAAGAAGTTCCAGGTTTGGAATTTATATGGTACATTGGAGGATGTCGAGGAGATCACGTGGATCAAAGTGCACCCTAAACAGAAGGTTTTTGCATTTGGAGCAAGCGACGGCTCCGTGTGGGTCTACCAAATTGAGCCCACTTTAGAGGTGATATTTACAGGTTTTTCGCACTCAATGGAGTGCACCAATGGGCTGTTCATCAACGTGGACAACGTGGACGAGCTGAATCTGGTGACCATCTCGGAGGACGGCTCTATTATCGGATGGAACTGTTTCACACAGACACAAATCTACAAAATCGACGCCAACTCGGGACTCAAGGGGGTGGTAACTCCGTGGGTTTCGATGGAGGCCGACCCGAACGGAAAGGCGGTGGTTGTTGGCTCGAGGGACTCGCAAGTGGTGGTGATCAATAGCGAAACCGGTGCCATCCAGAATTCGTTCAAGGTTTTGGAGTTGCAGGAAGGCCAGGACGTTTTTGAGATTTCGATCGAGAGCATCAGCTGGTGTAGAGACCCTAACCTGTCAATTGCTGCTCTGGGCCTTGTTTCTGGAGACGTTTTCATATTTGACACCAAAACGTGGAAGGTGAGACGCACTCTCAAATGCTCGGATGCGGTGACTAAACTGCAATTCCTCGAAAATTCGCCGCTGCTCTTGGGAGCGTCTATGGACGGGAAGGTTTACAAATGGGACTCAAGAACAGGCGAGCAGCTATACACCTACGTGGGGCACCACATGGGCGTCCTGGATTTTGCGCTTGACAACTCCAAGATGAGACTGATTACAGCAGGAGACGAGGGTGTCTCCCTGGTGTTTGCCCTATAATTCATTGTTCATTATCTCTGCAATGCTTCTCTAACTTTTCTCTCCACAAGCTCCTCCAATATTCTTCCAAACGCGCTCTCCTTGTTCTGCAAAGAGACTTGGATCTGACGCTCGATCAGCTTGCCGGTCACATCGACCTCGATATTGACTTTATCACCAATCTTCTTTAGTGGCATGATCACCTTTGATTGTGTGTAAGACACCATCATAATTTTAAATCTGGCTTTCTCGTAGTTCACGTCAATCACAGTCAGACTGGTCCCGTCCACACAAATGAATCCTTTTGGCACAATGTAGTTGATAAACTCCTTGTCGCGCAACTCAAACTCAAACTGGATGCTATCTCCATCTGGCTCTCTTCCAACAATACTGGCAACGGTATCTACATGACCTTGCACCATATGGCCTCCGTATCTCACGTCGCCTGAAACTGCTCTCTCCAGATTCACTTTGTCGCCAACACTCAGCTCTCCCAAGTTTGTCTTGCGTAAAGTTTCTTGCGAAATACCAACCTTGAACTCTGAATCAGTGAACTCCGTGACCGTCAAACAAGTACCATTGACGGCGATCGAGTCGCCCATATGACAGTCGCCGAGGATTGACGAGGCGTTAGAAATGACAATATCAAGGTCGTCGTTGTCGCCCACCTTCTTAACCTCCTTGATGGTCCCAATGGTCTCAACGATACCGGTGAACATGACTAATTTTGATTATGTAACTTTGGATCATTAAAATAATTGCCAATTCGGTGACTTATTTATTTGCTTAGCTAAATATTACATGAGTCGAAAAGGGCCCCCGTTGGAAGTGGTTGACTATTTTTGTTGACCCCTAAATGCACTGACCGAACTTGATATCACAGGTGGGCTTTCTTCCAATAAGCATATCTGTACACCAGGATCTGCAGCCAGAGTTTGAATAAATATTCTTTTCAATTCTCTCCAAAGTCAGGGTTTGAGTCGCTGGTTTAACTAATTCCCAGACTTGTTGTCATTACTCCTACCACACCCAAAAGGAGAACTATGCATGACCTTGCACCCTCATATGGTGCCGAATTGATCCACAAACACTCCAGCCACCCACACCCTTACACCTACAACCGTTGTATTATCTGTGCGTCAGTTGCCGGTATTACATAAGCGCTGTAACACATAGGCCATGTTTCAATCGGGAATTGAAAAAGTTTGTTTTTCTTTGTTTCAAGCTTTGTCCCGTTAAGACGCAATGTGGCCATTGTTTTTTAGCGGAATAGGTTTGGGATATATCACCACACTCACCTGCGGCCAACAGGCCTGCTCTGTGGCGTGCTGTGGTAAACGAATCCCATATAGCGACTTGCAATTGCAGAGGCTAGATCTCGATGCCCACGAGCCCTGGCCTTTGAATATTGCACACATAAACACCAGAATAAAGCTAGTGCAAAAGCAGGTTGATAACCTGCCTCGCATGAGAGGTAAAATAAACTAGTAAATTTTTTTAAGTGGTGTATGGGTTTTATCTGCAAGTGCCAGCTGGCCAGTCACTAAATCTGGGCCCTATAGACGTCTAAAGAATGTCATACAAAAGTAAAACTTTCTTATTTGAACTGTAACCTTTCCGCTGCCCCAGGTATCAAACACCCGTTTCAAACCGTTTCAACAGACCAGGTTTGCTCTGTTGCCCATGCTCACAGAACGCGGTAGCCATGTCTGATCATATTTTTCTTCGAAGCAGTTCTCAAAGCGAAGGCCTACCGACAACTGCAAGCAAGCGCGTGCGCAAGGACAAGCTGAGGCCGAAATCAAGGAGCAGTAGTCGGACTAGCATATCCTCTGATGGCGATACTTATCTAGCAGGAAAGCAAAGAAAATCGTTCTGGATACTGGTGGGCCGATGGAGACGACACAGATACGTCAGAGTTGTGATTCCGTTGCTGTATCTGATAGCGTTCATCTTGGTTCTGAGCAAATTTCAGTCTAAGGGGGATTACAGTGTACATGAAACCTCGCAATCGTTTTCATTACGTTCTCTTGGACCAATGTTCAGAAGGAAACATTCCAAGCCAGATGCCAAGAACGAGCTAATGGAGGAGAACAAGCAGTCTCAAAACCGGCTTTTCGAGTTCCCCTACACCGCCGATGTGACAGTGCTACCCAACGCTCCTTACAAACATGCCAGAGAGACCTCGGATCTGCGTGCGACACGTGCAATTTATTATGAGGCGATCAAGCGGCATCTCGTCGAACTACAGCATAATCCCAAGGCGCCCATCCCAGAATTTGACTTCCATTGGAAAGACTGGATTGACATGCACGAGATTATTCCTCTGCTGGAACAAAAACCCAACTGCTTTGTTGCCGGAGTTTTAGGGTCCAACGTTCGAACTCCGTGGCCAGGCTGCATAGATGCGAAAAATAAGGACAGCAGCGAGCTGAACTTCTACTTTGACTCACCCGCCTCAGACTACGAGTCCGCATACCGCCTCAGTATAAGAGGCAAGACCTATTTGGTTGAAGTGGCACCACTGCCCAGAAAACTGATCTTCCTTGCAGGAGATCTTGCATTTGTAGTGAAAGTGGCTGAAAAAAAGGATGTTGTGAGGTCTGGACTCCTGGAGAGCTACATCAAGCTGCAGATGGCCCGGTACAACTACACGTACCAGGAGGTGATCAGCTCACCGATTTCTGTTTTCGATTCATTGGGAGAAATTAGCCAGATTCTGGGCAGAGACTTTGTGGATGCCACAGCGCAGGGATCAAACAAAACCGAGGTGTCGATCAACGATTTCGAATTTCCTGCAAACAAGAAGAAGACCAAGCTTGCCGGAGCCGCATTTCACTTCCAACAACTGCATTATCATGATATTTTACTGAGAAACAAGGACGGAGCCGTGAGCAGAGAAAAATACGATTGGCGCTTTTTCAGCAACCTCATCGTGGACGAGGCAGATAAACGCAGCGCATGGCACCAGCTTATCCGCGGATGGTTGCATTTCTCCTCGAATCTGGGCATCACCACCTGGCTGTCGCAGGAAGCACTCCTGGGGTGGCACAGAAACGGCCTGTTGAGCCCGTGGGAGGAGAGTGTCCATTTCGAGGTTCCTGCCAAGGACATGATCAGGCTAGCCGAGTCCCTGAACGGGTCGCTGGTGATTCAGGACCCAAAAGACGGCACAGGAGCTTTTTATCTCGATGTCAATCCATACTACATGGAACGCGCAAGAAATAATAACGGCAACGCGTCGCCCGAGTCGATCGACCTCAAGTTCATCGATATCCGCACCGGTCTGTATCTGGAGGTCACCGGGCTGATGATCAGCAACGACGGGCTATCAATCCCTGAGAATGCAATGGAGATGTTCGTCAACGAGGGGGATGTGCTCGAGGACCTCAAGGCCGACAGGACGGTGGACGGGTCAAAACGCAAAATCATTAATAGTGGAACCGGATTCTTCTATCACATTGACCAGATAAATCCGCTCCGACGCACGCTGTTCGAAGGAAGGCTTGCAAACGTGCCCAACCGCTTCATCTCAATTCTCGACATGCTTTACAAAGACATTATCAACACAAAAGAATTCTATGGCCACAAGTATGTGGACCATCTTCGACTGTGGGTCCGCAGCGACCAGTGCAACTATGTGCCGACAGAGGACATAGAGCTGTTCAGAAAGGGTGGAAGTAATTTCATAGGAGCATGCCACGATTACAGGATCTGGGGGGAGTATAATAGCACTAAAGCCGCAACGCTGTTCAAGCTCTTGGAGACCGAAAACGACTATAATATGGTCCTGAGCTCGATTGACGAGCTGCCATTGTTGTATGACGACTATTGGATCAACAAGCGTGAAAAGATCCTCAATTTGGTGTACAACATCCCGCTTCGACAGTAATCGGACATCTGTGTACGGGTTCGGCCCTCGTGAATAAAAAAAACCAAATTCGGATATATACCGTATATTTGATTATGCACGCACGGTTTTGAACCGAGCAAACGGAGCTCGTTTTTGATTTTGCCAGAAATATGACTTTTCTCCTTGCCGGCCACAGAGGGTAAGTGATTTGGGATGCCGTGCTAACCGTAGACTCAAGAAAACATGCCCGGAAAACACGATCCTCGCGTTTGAGGAGGCTGTCAAAAACGGGTGCTCTGTGATAGAGACAGATCTCCATATTTCTTCGGATGGCGAGGTAGTGATATGCCACGATATTGACACGAACCGCGTATTTGGGCAGGATTACGTTGTCACAAAGACCCCGTACAGAGGCGTTCTATCGGAGCTGCGCACGCTGCAGCCTCCCCATCTGCCGATTCCTACGTTGAAACAGGTATTGGAGTGGACCCTGAAGACCAACGAACCGCGTTCGGATCCTATCAAACTGATGCTGGATATCAAGGCCGATAACGATCCAAAGCGCATCGTGGACCTGATTTTACAGAATCTCGAGGCGGTTGGTGGAATAGAGTACTGGAAGGACAAGATCATCTACGGTCTGTGGGGCGCGGCCTACTACGACGAAAGAATTGCACAATTTGAAGTTCTCAACATTTCGGTGGACGTGCTCACCACCAAAAGAGTGGCCAACCAGATCAAGGAGAAAGGGGGCAGATTGGACTGTGTGTCTGTGGTTGTTGTTGCCAATGGTCTCGCGTATATGGTTGACGAGATTCTAGAGTTCTGCGAGAGGGAGAAAGTACGACTGTGGTTCTGGACAGTCAACAGTAAAGAGGATTTAGAGTTGGCCGTCTCCAAGTACGGATCGCGAAAGATAGATGGCCATCCGCTGCTGGAAGGTGTTGTCACAGACGACCCAGCAACGCTACTGTCGCCAGCCAAGCCTGCGTTGACATTTGGCTACAAAATGAGCCTTTTCCTCAAGACCAGAGTCTACCTTTTTCTTTTATTTTTCTACCGCAGAAACATTGGCCTGCGTCCTCTTCTTACTGTTCTCAGGAAAGTAGGATTTTTATAAATGGGCAGAGGATATAAAAAATGTTATTTAAATATTGATTCTTGATTTGAGCCCCATGAGGTACAGTACACTGGCGCTAATGTTCCTGACAGGAGGCTCTTTAGCGCGTGCGGGCGGGATATCGTTTTTCCCATCACTGCTCCAGCCACTTGTGCAGGAAAATAACCATTACTCAGACACACCCGCCATAGAAATCCACAACCGAACAATGGTGTACTCCTCCAACGGATCCAGATTTAATCCGCCCGAATTGGTCCCTATGCTGGACCAGAAAACAGTGCTGGATCTTGGCCGCAAGATGATACAATCCCAGCAGCAGGGATATTTTGTGGTCAAACTAGGCACGATTGCTAATTCAACATGGGACACACAGTTATATGAGGATTTCACCACGATAATAGACAACGCACATTTCTTCCCCACTCTCGTGGGATTTGTCATTGAGGCTTCTTTGGAAGAGCACAATCTACCCTTCTTCAAAGCTGCTGTGCGAGACATGAAGAAGTACCTTGTGCGCAATCGAATGAGATACATCCCCATCGGTCTGGAGCTTGATTCCCACCTCAATACAACTGTCGACCAGTATCTTGCGTGTAACACGCTATACCCCGTGGACTTCTACTTCTCCAACCACGGGCTAAGTTTCCCCAGCTCGCGATCGGACCCATGTCCTGAGGAAATGTCCATTTGCACCTCGTCTCTTCCACACACGCCAAGAGCCTCGAGATGCGACTGTATAATGTCGGCGCTTCGCTGCATGATAAACCCAAAGAAGGTGCACCAGGAATTCAACGAGCTGGAACGTCTTTGCGACACGGTTTATTGCGGGTCGATAGAGAACGACGTCAAACAAGGACGCTACGGCATCTTTGCCAGTTGCACAAGACTCCAAAGACACTCAATAGCTTTAAATTTGTACTACTCGTACAACGGCAACCAGGCTTCGTTCTGCCACGCGGGTGGCTTCGGCAAGCTGATCACACACAACTATTCCGTTGAAAATCACCAGTCGCTCTACGACTACAACGGCAAGTCATGCAGACAGGAAATCATGGACGATTGGAATCGATACTTAATTGGCAGAGAAAGAAAAAAGATCACGTCAGGCGAAAGAGACATGGTCAACGAGGACATTGACAATGAATTCGAGACTACGTTTGTGAACTCTGCTGGAAGGACAAGTTCTACAGGTGTTCTGAATATGTTGCTGATATTGGTCATAATGTCTATTTGACAGGATTGCTAAGCTCGTTACCATTCACTCTTTTTTATTTCCCCATTTCACTCCAAGGAATCCCGACTCGTTCATCAGACCCAGTCTTTTGTTCACGAGGCTGGATTTTGGGCCTCCAACCAAATAGAACCGTTTCTCTCCTTTCACGTCCATCGCCACGTACACAAGCTGCTGCTCAACAAAATTCTCCTCAATGGCTTCCAATTGAACAACGGCAATTTTGTAGTCGCTCTCAACGAAAAATTTCATCAACATGTGCTCCTTGTTGTCCTTGGCTAGGTACTTGGTAGCCTGAATTGGTCTGTTTCTGGTCCACTTGTCTCCGGCCGCGTAACCGTATGCTTTGAGTCTGATGTGTTTGCCGCTTTCAATCTCTTCTTTCGAGTACCCAAGCAACTTCAGCGCCTCTTCATTTTTCTCAATCATCGAAACTACTCTGTTAAAGGTTGACGTCTCACCAGATGGAGAGAAAAGCTCGCTGAACACCAGATACAGCGACACAGACGAAACTCCGAGAGCAAGAAGCACGATGGATGACGAAACCAGAAACTTCGATCCCCGCACAAAATTGCTCAGCAGCGAGAATCCCGACTTCTTGGTCTGTTGGGCCTGCTGCTGGGTGCCGGAAGTATGAGTATGTGAATGGCTATGGGAGTGTGTGTGATCCTGATGGCTATGCGAATGGTGCCTAATTGCAATTGAGAACGTTGGAGATGTCAACTGAGAACAAACATGCCTCCGCACAGAATGGGGTATGCCAAGGGTTGAATGGCGAGACAACATTGGCTGGGAGGGTATACTTGAGTTTAACTGAGAAAATCGACCAATTTTTTTTAGCCATTTTTTCAACTCCAGAATACATTTGGTGCAGAGGTGTTGGCTCTGGAAACAGGCTCTCGACTCGGTACCTCATATTTGTAAAAGGATGAGGTGGTTTTCAGGTACTTGATTACATAAGTGCACGTACAATGTCTGACAAAAGTCGAAATGCAGCTGAAGAAAAGGCTGAGCGTAGGGCGGTCACATTTCTTATTCTAACGCACGCGAGCTAAAAAAGAAGCGGCTCGCTCAATACCATCCAGTTTGCGCTGTCCTGACATGACCAGGTCGGCATTTTGCACAGGGAATTAGACCACCTGATGTATGATTTCTTAACCAGTAAGGCCAGTTGCTGACACTTAAAGTGCTGGATATGGAGGCAATAGGACCAAAAATGGTACTATTTTGGGCCCGTGGTGTAATGGTTATCACGTCATCTTCCGGAGGTGCATGGTTGCGGGTTCGAGTCCCGCCGGGCCCTCGGTTTTTATTTTTCTTTTTGCTTGTATTGCCCTCTTTTTTGCCTTTTGCTACGTCATACGCGCTAAGGCGCATGCATCTACATAATCTCACATGAATGTCGGAAAAAGCTTTGTGAGCCATAGTGAAAAACGTGTCATGGTGGAAGGAAAACATTGTCTCACTGTGTCGCGCTGGGATTCTTTGTTGGGAATTTGTCTATGTAAACTGGCTTGGTGCAGCCGTCGAGGCCACCGAACGTATTAATTGCACGGAACGGGTGCGCATTTTTCTGCAGGAGAGTACAGACCGTTGGGATGAAACATGCATTAATGCTTAACTTTCTCGTCCGTGCTAGTTGGATTCAAAGTTTGCCAAATCACTAAGGTCGTCTTTCTTTTGGAATTTCAACAAGTTTATATCGTTACAATCATTCGGTGCTGTACTCTTAGACCATGTCTGTCGATTCAGAGATCACGAGGTCACCCCCGAGTGATAGCGATGGCACGAGAAAACGAAAGAGGGCTTTGAAGGCTTGTGTCATTTGCCATCAACGCAAAATTAAATGTGACCTCGACTTCAAGGAAGTAGGGCAGCGATGCACAAATTGTGAGGAGCTAAATCTGGAATGCGAGCTGTACAAGCGCAAGAAGAGAATTAAAAAGTTTCAGATCCACAAGAACCTGTCCGATCTCCTGGAAAAAACCAAGATCGAAACTCTGAATGCGGTTCGAATAGACCCTGCCGAGTTGATGCAGAAACTGAAGAAAACACGCCATCATGAATACATTTACAAGAGTTACTCGGATGCGGAAAATAGGCTTGTGACGAGGCTGTTCGACGAGTACACCAAAGAACAGCAGTTCCAGGACGTCAGCGATGCGAGCATCCGCAATTTGAACTTGCTAGGCTGTTTCAATTTGCCTGAGAAGGCGGTTTGCCAAACCTACGTGGACTCCTATTTCCAAAATGTGCATCCCTTGATTCCAATCTTGAACAAGGAGACATTTCTGGCCGAGAACAGCAAATTTATGAACCCCACTTCTTTGTTGTTGCTGCAGAGCGTTCTCTTCGTCGGCTCCAAGTTTATAACGTGCGAGACCGAGGAAAGCAAGCTCACACAGTCCAAGATTACTAATATACTGTACGGCCGAGCCAAAGCTCTTTTTGACCATGATTTTGAAGGCAACGCGGTCAATTTGCTGGCAGCAATGGCCCTGTTGGGCCTGGGTCTCGAGGACCACTATTTTCACACCAAGTCGCTCTACTCGTGGCTCCAGGTGTCTATTTCTGTGGCCAATTCGCACGGCTTTTTTCAAAACGATCTCTCCGAGTACACCGAAAGAGAACAATGTCAAATTCGGAAACTAACCTGGTACCTCATATCCAAAGACACTGTGGTATCGGTAATTCTCGGCAAACCGCGCTTGATAGACGTTTCCACCGTTCCGTCGGAAAAGCTATCGCTTAAGGACTTTAGGTTCGATACCGACATCACGGACACTATAAAATTATATGCCATCGAACATTTGCGGCTGGCCGAAGCTTTGGCTGCCGTCGACCAAACAGTGGTAAAAGGAAGCGCAGGTTTACCTTCCAGCGAACAGGACACGCTGTTGGGTATGTGGTTCGAGACCGTTCCTAACGAGCTCAAACTGGGCACCCACACGCAAAAAAACCCAAATTACCACAGCTTAATTATCTGCTGCAATTACTTCTGTACTCTTATCACGTTACATCATGCAAGCATTGTCCACGCAATTGCGACCAAACCCCCGTCAGACAATCTGGCAGACAGCCATAGACCTTCGTGGGAAGTGATCTTTCAATGCTGCGTAACGGTCGACACGATACTCAAAGAGCTGAAAAACACTGCGGCCCTCTCCATTTTCGGCACGGAGATCATCATCTGGATTTTCTTGCTAGGCAAGGTGTTGACGTATTTCCTCAGGGCCTCGGACCAGAGCGTCGCGAAAAGGGGACGCGAAATCGCAGACAACCTACTAGACATTCTTGAAAACGGTATTGACAACTGGAATCTGACGCAGAAGTTCCACCATGTACTTAGCAAACTATTCAACGACGAAAACATCCAGGACGAGCTGCTGCGCATCTATGTCGGGCCGAGCCACACGGGCTCGGAGGTGCAATTTTCGCAGCCAGACGTGCCTGTCAAACAGGAGAAATCTGAGACCGATGCTAGCTTCGAACGGGCTATTTTCGAAGACCCCGTAAAGAGTTGTGATCCGCAGGCGAGTCCGGCGCAACGGCTCAAGAAAATCTCCATTGCATCTCTCATCTCACCCCCATACGCTGCTGAGTCTGCCAACGTTCAGAATAGTGCCACTGGTTTATGGAATTACGCTGATCATCAATAGCATATTTTTGTATTTCTCTGAATTTAGTTAGTCATTGTTATGCAAAAACTGGGACCCAGTTCAAATATTTGAACCACACAGGTTCCACCAAAACACAGTAGCCGTCCGCAACCTTGATCGGAGACCGTTCCAGAGTTTTGACAGTGCCCGTGATAACGCACTTGCGGCCGCGAAATTCCTGCACCTGTGCCTCGAGAACCACGGTCGACTCGGGAGGGGCTTTTTGGAAGAAGTCCAGTTTGAGCTGTGCGGTGACTCCTCTCTTGGAAGGCAGCTTTGAAAACCCACACAAACATAGACCCTCGTCGATGATCGTAGCGATAATGCCGTTGTGGATCTTTCGATCCGTTCCCACCGTCTGGGCTCCAAGATGAGCTATGCAGTACATCTTTCCCTGGTCGCGGTTGAGAAAGATGATCGGGTCGGTGGTCATGTGATTAGGCGAGTTGAGAAGGCCCTGGCCCACATGGTACTGTCTGTGGGCCTCTGGGATGAGCTGGGAGCCCGAGAGCAGCTCGAAAGATTTATCTGCTGCCAATTGTTTGTACAATGTGGAGTTCTTGATAAAATCGAGCGATTGCAACGACCGCTCGTTGGCGAGCTGTTTATCCTTTTCGTTGAGCACAGGCCACGCACGGCCAAACACATACACACCGGCACCAAATGACACCATAGACACACCAGTAACACCGGCAAAACGTAGGAACCCTTTCGCAAACGCCATGATGATGGATATTGTGAAATAATTATGTTTCGGGATATTGAGTCGATCGTCGCGGAAGCTCTCTTTGCAATTGCCAAAAAATAAAAAACTCCACAATAAACAAAAGTTTAACTTTTTGTTGCGCATTGAAACTTGAACACTGGCGCGCTAGTCGGGTCGTACTACAGTCTGGAACAACAAAGTTGACCACTACAACAATAAAGTATATTTCCAATGGAGGAAAAACAAAGATTGTCGTCAAGTCCCGGGCGAAATGAACAAGGCGTTGGACTGGACCACAACGAGACTAATGCACAACAAAGCGTCGATGGGGTTGAACAAGTTGCAGACGAGATTAGCCATGAAGACTCAGAAGTTGGAGTGAATGAAGAAGACGAGCAGGAAGCTGAAGACGATGGGACATCAAACAACGTAGACACGAACATAATATCCGAGTCTGTGGAACAAGAACATATTGGCGATGAGGCCCGGAAAACAACAGGTAGTCTGAGCGAGGTTAAACAAGAGCCCGGTGCCGAGGGTATTCCGTTGCCTCAGGAAAGAAGCGCGAAAATGGAAGAAAACAAGGCCACAATGGGCCCCCAGGAGCAGGTTTCCAGTGACTACATGTTCACCTCGAGACCGCAAATGGAAAGCACAATCAGCATGTCGTCGTTACAGAAGCAAACTCACACGATTGTTTTACCGTCTTACAGTGCATGGTTCGACATGAAGAAAATCCATAAAATCGAAAAGGAGTCACTTCCAGAGTTCTTCAATGGAAGCAACAAAAACAAAACCCCTCAGATATATGCTCGGTACCGGAACTTTATGGTAAACACGTACAGACTCAACCCCAACGAGTACTTGTCCTTCACTGCCGTCAGGAGAAACCTTGTTGGAGATGCTGGCACATTGCTCCGACTACACAAGTTCCTGGACAAATGGGGAATAATCAACTACCAAGTTAACCCAGAAACGCGGCCTGTGCCGTTAGAGCCTCCGTACACGGGAGACTTCACAGTTGACTTCGACACTCCACGGGGACTCTTTCCTTTTGAGAGCTACAAACCTCCTGTGGAGCTTCCTGACATGTCGAAAGTGAAACAGCTTTTGAATTCGAGCAACGACGGCAGCGCAATATCGAATGGAGAACCAAACAAACGGCGGAAAATCATAAAACCAGACATCAACAAAGGCTGGTCTCAGGCTGACCTGGAGAAGCTGGTGGAAGGAGTCAGGCAGTTTACTAACGAATGGCACAAGATTGCAGAGCATGTTGGCAACAAGAGCCCAGAGCAATGTATTATACGCTTTTTGCAGTTCCCGATCGAGGACGAATTTTTGGAGAAAAACAGAGAACATCTTGGCCCATTGAAGTATGTGCCAAATTTATCGTTTTCGCCCAACGATAACCCTATAATGTCAACTTTGGCCTTTTTGACGTCCATCGTGGACACAGATGCGGCTGTTGCTGCTGCCGATCGGGCAAAGAAGGTGATGAATGATAAATTGACCCAATTGCTCGACAGGCCAGGCCAGAGCGAGGAGACGAAGCAGGTAAAGGATGAGCCTCAGGAAGACTCAAACGGGGAGCCTGACAGCAAGGAGGCGGAAGACCCTCTCACAGACGTGAAAGATGCGGCAAACACGTCGTTTGGGCTTGCGGCAGCGCGGTCGCACGTTTTCGCCAACTACGAGGAGAGAGAGATGAACAAAGCTATGACCGCTATTGTGAACAATGAGTTGAAGCTGGTGGAGCTGAAGCTGGAAAAGCTGAGCAAGCTGGACAAGCTCTTTGAGTACCAGAAGAAACAGCTCTCAAAGAAGAACGACGAGCTGTTCCTGGACCGTCTATCGTTCTTCAAGACTGCCAACACTGTGTCGTCGAAACTGATGCAGGCCATCGAGCTGTTGCAAGACAAGAGCGAAGGCGGAGAGAAAGTGAAGAAGTTAGTGTTGGACGCTAGAGAGCTGATCATGAAGCCTCCAAAGAAGAGCCTCAATGTGCTCGGGTTTGAGTCGAAGGACGAAGAGCGCAGCCTTGGAGAAAAGGAGGTGAAGCCGGTGAGCTACGAGGCTCCTCAACTGTATAGATATTGGTCAGGATAATGTAATCTTATCATACTTAGGATCGTATCTAGTGAACAGCAGCTTGCAGAGCTTCCAGGACCTCGATTTCGATGGCAGCCTCGGCAGCAACGGTCTCATCTGCAGAAGAGGCGTTTTTCTGGGCTTCGGCCAGAAGCGATTTGATGTTTTCGGAAGAAAAGGCATCCAATGGGTGGGCCTCAACGGTGGAGATACTGAGCTTCGAGCCTGGCAGGATGCTAGCGAACCCACCGGACACAAAGTATTTGGAGGAGGTGCCGGACGACTCGATCACCTCGACGACTCCTGGAGCCAATTCTTCAACAGTTGGCACGTGGTTGGCCAAAACACCCATTTCTCCAGAGCTGGCTGGTAGATTGACCTGGCTGACCTCTTTGTTTGTGAAAATGGCCTGGCATGTTAGAAACTAGATATCGGACACACTTACCTGGTGAGGGGCGACAAGCGAGACCTTGAGAACGTCTGGGTTGACGGCCTCGGCGTAAGTTCTGACACCGATGGTGCCAGTTCTTGCTGTTCTGGCAATGGATCTGAGGGATTGTCTGAACATTATTGGTGAGGAAGAGAGATATTTTTTTTCCAATTCGTGGCATCTGAGAAATAACATTTGATTGGTCCGCACTACCGTCGCGTCGGTCGTCTGCCCAAACGAAACAAAGTAAACGTCAATCTACTTAGTATGTCTTCGGTGCTTCGGGACTCTGCCAACAACATCTTCATCACGACAGCGACGATTCTGGACAAGCTGACGTACAAGCTGAGTGGCAGGGCCACAGGGACGGTGGTTCCGCACAACAACGACTCGTTGGTGAAGCCGTTGTCGCAGACGTTGAAACAGGATTTTGACCGCTACAACCAGATTCTCGACGAGCACAACATGAATTTGCGCGAGGCTGAGCAAATATTGCGATATTTGAAGGTAAAATCCGTGAAGGACGAGGAAATGAAGAAAATCAAGCAGGAGGAGGCCGAGATGAAGAAGAAGATCGAGGGGGAGGCGTCCAGGAAGAAGCTGGAGTTGGAGCAGCGGCGGACCGAGCAACAGCCGAGTGGCGATGCAAACGACATGTTTGGATCAACAGACGACCTGATGAACCTGGATTTGGACAATTTCCGCACAGATTTCTTGGACTTTGGCGAGACCAGCGAGCGGCCGCAGAACGACGATATGATGAAAGATATCTTTGAGATGAAGACAGCAGATAACAGCGAGCCGTCTGCGATGGACTCGCTCACAGATCTGAACCTCGACTTTCTGGATCAGCCCGCCCAGGCCGGCCCTGAGCCCGCTGCTCCTGCGCAGGAGGATGACGCCGGGCTGATGCCTACAGACCAGATGGAAAACCTATTTTCGCAGTTCGACGAGCTCGTCAATAGTGGAGATTACTAGATTGTCGTGTACTATATACTTATTTACCGCAACAAGAGCCTTCAAAGGCAAGTCTCGAGGTTTTGTCCTTGGTCTCCTTGTGCACGGCCCTCTTGGCCTCGGAGGTGGTCATGGCGTAGGAAGGCTGGATGTCCAGGCCCGGGTTCTCGGTGAAGAAGTGCCGAGGTCTAAGCATCAAGGTGATAGGCTCGGCAGGCATCAATGGGAAGTCCTCAGGAGCTGGGAAATGGGTGATACCGAAAGTATGGAAGAACAGGATGTCGGTGTTGTCAATATTCTCTGAGCCGTCACCGATCCACTCTCTCATACCGCGCACACCGTCTCCGGACCACTGGGGAACGTGGTCACCCGATGGGTACAGTCTGTTGTCTTTGTAGGGCACGACGTTGACCGAGTGGGAAGCCCATGGTGCTCTCTTGGCCACCAACGATCCCTCCTTGGCCAGCAAAGGTGGACATTGGGTGGACACCAGCTTGTAGGAAGGAGGCTTGCCCGAGTACGGGTTAACCTTGTTAGGGTTGAAGATGTCCCAGGATCTGCCGGTGGCAGACTCGTAGTTGGTGAGCGAGTCCTTGACCGTCTTGAAGGTGGTTTTTTCCGAGTAGAACGCGTTGCCGTACATGTTTTCGGGCGAGCCAAGTGGGTAAGGCGAAGATTTGGCGTCGCAGGCAGCAGCAGAGTTGCCATCACCGTCAATTCTAGGGTCAATCCTCAAGGAGAAGAGGTGCTGGTGGTTGTGAGCGTTCACGTTCGGGTACACTCTCGTTCCCCATGGACCAGCCTCCTCGTCGTCGCCCAGAATGTACGTGTTCAGAATACCGGTGAGTCTGATGTCGAGTCTGATGGCTCCGTCCTGCATAAACACCCAGTACAGACAGTACTCGTAATTGGCAGCAGTAAATATCTGCGACACGACCAACTTGGTGGCTCTCGTGACGAGCGAGGTGGCAAAGTTGTCTCTGAAGTCAGAGTGCTTGAAAAGCAGCCCGTCGTCCTCCTCGTGGATACACACAGCATTCTTCACAGTGATAGGGTCTCCTGCTCTGTCTGAGAAGTGGGCATCCAAGTAGTGGATCACACCTTTGCAGTCACAGCCGAGCGACAGCGGGTTCGTCATGTAGCCGGCACCATACTCGCCAATGTCCAAAGCGTGTTTTCTCTGGTGAGGAAACTCTGGCGAGCCGTAAGGAACAATCATCTCGGACAGGGAGATTCTGTGGAAGATCGGTCTCACATTGCCGTGGTCGTTGTACGACACGTCCGACAGAACAATACCTTCTCTGTAGTTGAAACCGATGTGGAATTTGAAGTTGGACCATTCCATGACATTGCCCGTCATCTTGAACGAAACTCCCTCTGGTTGGGTCACATTGATAGGAGGCGCCTCTGGTCTCATAGCACCAACCTTCTCGATCATGTGTTTAGGATAGAAGTTGGCATGTTTGTGCTTGGACACTTTTCTTCTTCTGTTTGGGATGTCGATGAAAATCACCTTCTTCTCCTCCGTGTCGACGATCGGACAGAAGTCGAGCGGGTGCGAGTACTGCGAGTCGTCCTCGTCGGATCTGTAGTACACAAGAGCCTGCTGCAGTCTCTTGCCCGTTCCCCATCTTTCGTCGTAGCCAATGGTCCATGGATCGCAGTAAACCTTGTGCATCTCGTTAGCAGGGATTCCCGACAGAACACACTGCTCGATGACCGCAGGGTCATTTCTGATGACTTCCTCGGTGGAACACAGGTCCTCGACGGTCAAAATGGGCTGGACAGTCTCCAAAGCTCTGGTCTCGATGACAGACAAGGAGGCCAGGTCAACAAGACCCTCTTTCACGCCGGGCTTGCCGGCCTCCAAAATCACGTAGTACGCAAGTCTAGGAGGCAGTGGGCCACCCTGCTCCTTCCATTGGATGTAGGCCTTTCTGGCAGGTTCCCTCAGAGTGACGGTGTTGAAGCTGATTTTTTTACCGGCAAAGTAGCTCTTGACGGTGTTGGTGGCAGCCTTGATCTCGGCGGTGGACAGAGGGTCCAGCGGGTGTGCTGGCCTGGCTGGGGCGGCCGAGGCAGCGGTGGCTTGGGTGGCAATCTGGCGCAGTCTTTCCATGCTGTACGATATGAAGGACAAGAGCGAAGCTTGCGTGCTTATATAGTGCGAGGGGTTAATTTCCACTGATAACAGACCTGCCCGATTGGGAAATTAAGTCCACCGCTATTTTACCTACTGTTTTCGGCAACTTAGTCCTAAGAAATGCTGGATACAGTGCAAACAGAGGTGATTTTCTGCATGTCGGGCCTGGGGAGGGTTTTGGTGCAAACGGTCCATCTCGCATGGTGGCCACTTGGGCTATCTTATCGAGCTTCTCTCCATCGACGCGTCGCACTTGCGTCGGCGAGAAAAAAAACATTTCCGCAAAGTGAAAATTTTCCTCAAACATGCCAGAACCCATCGCTTTTGACGAATCCCAGGTCGACATCTCATCGATCGATTTCTCGGATCTCGAGGCAAAATATCACGTGCCCGAACCAGAGCACTCGTACGAGCACTTTGTGATCTGCGACGGCGCCCCCATCGCGCCTGAGGCAAAGGCTCCTGTTTTGAAGAAGGTGCTCACCAAGCTGTTTTCCCAATGCGGCAAGGTTGTCGACATGTTCATGCCCCTGGAAAACGGCCAGACCAAGGGCTTTCTGATTATAGAGCTTGATAGCGCCGCCGCAGCAGACAAGGCTGTCAAGCAGCTGAACGGCAAGAAGCTAGACGTCAAGCACAGACTGGCCGTCAACAAGCTGCCAGACATGGAAAAGTACGCCCTCAACGACAACATCTCCGAGGAGTTCCGTGAGCCTGCCATCCCCGAGTTCCGCTCGCACGGCTACCTCAAGTCGTGGCTTCTGGACCCCAACGGCCGCGAGCAGTTCATGCTCCACCACCACGACACCGTGGGCGTCTACTGGTACAAGAAGAATATCCAACCCGAGGAGGTGATTGAGCCAAGAGCCCACTGGACGTCTGCGTCAATGAAGTTCTCGCCAAAGGGCACGTATCTGTTCTCTTTCTTCCCTGGCGGAGTGCAGGCGTGGGGCGGTGAAAAATTCGACAGGATCCGCAGGTTTGTGCATCCAGGCGTGCAGCTTCTGGACTTTTCGCCAACAGAGAAGTTCTTGGTGACGCTGTCGCCGGAGCCAATCACCATCCCGCCGGAAAACCACCCGGCCCGTGCTCAATGTCTATTCAGTGCAGACAGCGCCGGCCACAAGCTAGTCATTTGGGACCTGCAGACGGGGCTGCCAGTGCGGACGTTTGCGCTGCCACCAAACCTCGAAAAGCAACAGTCGATGCCATGGCCGCTGATCAAATGGTCTTTTGACGACAGGTACTGTGCCAGAATGGGACCTGACGCGCTGGCCATCTATGACACCACACAGGAGTTTGCTCTGCTGGACAAGAAGCTGTACAAGGCCGAGGGTATCATGGACTTTGAGTTTGCTCCGGCCGGCGTGAGACTGGCCACCACCAGGAAAAACGACCCGCCAGAGACTGTGTTCTCGTTCTGGACGCCAGAGACACCTAACCAATCGGCCCGTGTTTCGGTGGTGCAGCTGCCGTCGCGCCAGGTGCTGAGAACGGTGAACTTGTTCAACGTGTCGGACGTGAAGCTGTGCTGGCAGGACGAGGCCAAGCTACTGTGTTGCAAGGTCGACAGACACACCAAGTCGAAGAAAACCACGTTCACAAACCTGGAGCTGCTGTCGCTGGGCGAAAAAGACATTCCTGTCGAAAAGGTCGAGCTCAAGGAGGTGGTGAGCTCGTTCCAGTGGGAGCCACACGGAGAACGGTTTGTGACCGTGTCGAAGCTGGACACCCCGAACCCGAATATTGCCATTCCAGATAACGTTGTGTCGTTCTATGATGTGGAGGAGGCCAAGGTTGCAAAACAGGTGATCAAGAAATGGCTGTGCTACAAGACGGTGACCAAGACGCACGCAAACCAGATCAGATGGTCGCCAAAGGGTCGGTTTGTCGTGGTGGCTACCATCACCGGCGCGAACGGCGAGCTCGACTTCTATGACACAGATTACGACGGCGAGAAGGAAAAAGAGCAGTCTGACAAGGTGAAGTCGAACCTGAAGTTGCTGAACCACCACGAGTACAAGGGCCTGACCGACCTGGCGTGGGACCCATCTGGAAGATATGTTGCCGGTTGGTCGTCCGCCTGGAGACACAAGATCGAGAACGGCTACCGGATCTACGATCTGGTTGGTATTTTGCGCAAAGAAGAGCTGATCGACGGATTCAGAGAGTTCGAGTGGAGACCAAGACCGCCATCGATGTTGAGCTCGAACGACAAAAAGAAGGTCAGAAAGAGCTTGAAGGAGTACGCTGCACAGTTCGAGGAGGCCGATGCGATGGAGGCCGATGCCGAGTTGAGAGAGCTCATCCTCAAGAGAAAGAGACTGTTGCAAGAATGGTACACCTGGAGAAAGGAGGTCATTGCCAAGTTGAAGGAGCTGCATCTTACCGAGGAGCAGGCAGAAACCAGAGAAGAGGTGATTGAAGAGGTCAAGGAGGAGATCTTGGAGGAGAAGGAAGAGGTGATAGAGTAGGTGTAATTGAATAAATATTATATTTACAGTACTTTATTTATTTTTTGGCTTTGGTTTTAAGCTGCAGCCCGTGCCACTTGGCGATTTCATCCTTCAGCAGCTCGTTGACCAGCCGATGCTGCTTGATCATGGGGAGTCCCTTGAACTTCGGGCTCTCTATATTGATGGCGAACATGGACCCGCAGCCTCCAGAAATGTCTCTCACCGAGAGGTTGGATGGCTCGAGCTCCTGCGCCAGTTTTTTGTAGATCATCGACTCATACTCGTCCATCTCGGAGGACACAAACCGACGACCAAGCCGCGCGCGGGGCAGTTTTCTGGCCAATGATCTGAACATGAATTAGTAATAATTTTAATTTAATTTATTTTATTTTTCCCAATTTTTTCCCTGGAAATAAGCATGTTATATAGTATGTATTGGATATCAAAAGTGGATATATGCCCTACAGCAAAATAAACGAAACAGCTTAACAGCTTAAGAAGTGAAACCCCAGAACTGCTCAACACCGTTCGAGCCTGGGCTCTTCCACAGGTCATCGAAGGCAGTGAACAGAATGACGTCGTCGCCGACAACGCTCTTAAGAGACTTAATGGCCTTGGCCTGGTTCTCTTGAGATGGAACAGCAACACCGTAGGCGGAACCCTCATGTGGCCAGCCGGACTCAGTGCACATGACGCTCTTCTTACCTCCGCAAGCGGACCAGACTCTTTGCATTTGCAGAAGAAGCCAGTCACCAGCTTGGTCTGGGTAGACGGTTCCGTCCCAGAAAGCGTGGGCATTGAAGGCAATGTAGTCAGACAGGTCACACAGACCTGGGTTGTTGATGATAGCAACGTGGGTGTCGACGGAAACAATGGAGCCCTTGAAGCCAGTGCTCTTGAGAGCAGACTTAGCCTCCTCGATGTAGGATTTGATCTGAGAAACATCAGCAGAGCCAGAGTTGACCAGCTCGTTACCCACAGAGATGGTGTCGATGTCATCCCAAGAACCGTAGCTGGAGACAGCGTCGCTGATCTGGGAAACTGCGGCAGAGATCTGGTCAACGTAGTAGATGCCCAAGAACAGCTTCTGGTTGTCAGCCTTGGCTTGCAGGACGTTTTCGACCTGGTTGCAGTCGACACCGTACAGTCTGATGAACTCGTAGCCAGTCAACTTCTCAAGGTCACTCTTGACCTCGGAGAGAGACTTGCAGGCACCGGTGGAAGCGTAAGGAGAGTAGGTGATACCCTTGGATCCACCGTTGAAGCTGCTGTCAGAGGTGGAGGTTGGGGTGGCAGTGGACGAGGTGGAGGAGGTCGAGTGGGTGGCGGATTCAGTGGACGATGGGGTGTAGGAGGTGGTCTCTGTTGGAGCAACCTGAAGGCTGTTGTCGTGGGAAGAGACAGAAACGGCAGTTGGGTCGGCGTGGACGTATTCGACAGTACTGGTTTGGGCACCAGCATAGACAACGACGGTCTCGGTGACAACCACAACGTCTCTCTTCTCATGTTGGTGGTGGAGGTGGCCGATTGGCTGGGCCAAGCCAGTGGTGGCCAGAGCGGACAGGGCAAGAGCCTTGATGATCGTGTTAGCTAGCATTGGAAGGAGCGAAAATAACCAAGTTAGGGATGAGTACTAAAGGAATGACTATAAGTTGGTTATTGGACAACTGAGAAAAAAGGATAAACAGCAGCAAGGCCTTTATAAGAGAGAGAATGAAAACAAACCCTTTTCTCGTTGGATTTCGTTTACGGAAGTAAATAATGGACACTGGAAAACTTTTTCCCATTGTTTGGTTGTTTACATTTTGCTTCAAGTGTAAGAGAATCGGGCAGATAGGACACGACCTTGCCCGAACAGGGAATCTCCACTAGATCTGACTTCCCGATTGGGACGGCGTCCCAAGTTACGGTACCGTACGGTCCAAGGTTTGCGATGTCTGGCCCAATTACACCGATACTACCTGTATTGGGTAAATTGGATGCTCCACCCCTGAGACAGGTGATTGTTTCATTATTGCGAATTATCCAGGTATTCCCTGCTTCTGCGCCAAACAGCCTGCAGCAGCTTTTTCCTGGGTAGTAGATTTGGGAAGATCACCACTATTTGTAACTGATCGTCCTGGGGGCCGTCTCCGACCATGAGAGCCAGGTAAAAAATGACCTGGAAGTTCTTGAAGCCCTCCACTATCGCCAGATCACGCACGTCTTCCATAGGGAAAAACTGTCTGTTGAGCGTCTTTGCAGCGGGCACATGTCTGCTTAATTCCGATTTCCCCAAGACTCTGCTAAGCAGCAGAAGCACCGATGCAGACCCGCTTTTTCGCACCCTGTACGACTCGATCTGTACGCCCAGATTTGGAATAATTATCAGGCTTTCTTCCGTCTGTGCCCGGAATGAGCCGTATGCCCAGTTCACCATGCGGTAGCAGACAAGAAACACAAACGCTCGAACCGTTCGCGCAATCCAAACGTCGTTCAACCCGGTCTTTTCAAGCTGCGCCCGTCGTAGTATTCTGTCTAGTATCTGTCCGTTGCAAATGGCAACATATAATGCACAAACTGCTGCAGCAAGCAAAACAAGCTGCACCACAAGAGTCAAGGTCCCGTCCTGCTGCCGCGCGGACCGCACCGTAAATTTTATGTACTTTTGCGGCCTGGTCTCGCTGGCGTCCGTGCCTTGGGTCTGCTTGCTGTCGTCCTGATAGATCACGTCGGGACACTTGGTGTCCGAGCTCTTGACCTCCAGAACGTAGTCTTTTCTCATACCAATAGTTTGCAAACGTCCCAGATCTGTATCTTTGTCGCACTTTTATTTACTCATTTTTATTTATTTTTCCTAGCTGCGCCTTGATAATTATTTCCTGTCGATAAATCCAACCACCTCCTCGTCTTTGCGGAATGCCAACAATCTTTCTCTCCGCGACCGCGACGTCAATCTCGTCGTCTCCAGCTCGTTGGTACTGTTCAGGTCCTCCAGACGAGCACGCTCCTTCATCGCCTTCATCTCTTTCATCTCGTTCTCGTGCTTCGTCTGCAGTGCCTTGATCTCGGCCTCGTACTCCTCCAGAGTCTTGAAATCCTTGCCCGTCTTGGCCGCATACTCGGCAATGTCGACGGGCAGCCTGCGTAGCAGCGCCAGCTCGACAAAATGCGGATTGCGTCGCTCCTCAGACGAGAACTTCGCCTTCACTTGCCGCCGCGTGCGGTACGGGAACAGCTGCGCAATCAGCCCAAAATCGGTACCCCAAGTCGAAAGCGCCTTGTAGAACTCCGCCGTCTCCTCGGAAGTCCATTTGTCCACATACTTCTTCTTCGAGTACGAGCCAGACGTGATCAGATTCTGGAACGGATTCTCGTCCACCACCTCTCTAGCAGAGTCGGCAGGCCCGCTGTGGCGATCGATCACCGTTGACTCCGGGTCCAGAATCAACTTCTGGTTCTCATCCAGCTGTAGCTGTGGCTGCCGCTTGTTTCTGCGCAGACTGTCAGCGTCACCGGAATCCAATATCTTCTTTGCTTTCTGCTGTCGCTCTTTCTCCAGCTTCTCTTCCTCTTCTCCTTCCAGCTGGTTCAAAGGCACCCGCATTTCGCGCGCGAGCTTTCGCCGCTTACAACGCAGCTCCCGCTGCGCCATCCGCCGCTTGTCCCCCTCAATCGCCAGCTCGTAGTTTTTCGACACTTTTCCAAACGGTATCACTGGCTTGCACAGCTCTTCCAGCGTGACCTTGCCGTCGTTAATGACAAAGTTCTCCAGCAAATCGGCGTCCTCAGAATTGCGCACCTTGTTCAACGCCTTGATCTCATCGATCACCACCGAGTTCGGCAGATTCCGCATCTTTTGGTACTCGTCGATACTCACTTTTGTCAACACCTGTTTTTCGGGATCGATGATGAACTTGACCTGTTTTTCGCGCTCCGCCTTTGTCAACATCACTTCCTGGGGTTTCCCCTGTTTTAGAGGGTCGACGTTATCATCCGTCGCAACATTGCCGGCTCGCGGACCGATTTTCTTGAACTCGACTCCAACCTCGCCGTTGCTCGACTGCCCCGAGCTGCGTCTCCGGCCCAAACTGCCCGCCATTTCGGGAATGCCGATCTTCATGGGCTGCGCGTCCCCCTCTTCAGAAGAACGCCGTCTCTCAGAAATGCCTCCAACACTGCCCTGCCGGCTGCGCAGCCCCAAAGGCCCAGCAGCGGCACCGGGTCCCAAGGAAGAAAGGCGTCTCTGGCTGCTCTCGGGCGTCTTCAATCCCGTCACAGACGGCCGTCTGAGGTTACCCAGCGAGACTACAGACGCTCTGCGTGGCTTTGCAAACACGTCTGAGTTCCGCTCGCCGTTGTCGTCGCTCTGGTCGTCAATAGCAGATGTCTCCTGTGTTGTGCTTTTAGCTGTGTCCTGCGGCCTCTTCTGCGTCGACACGGGAGTCGGAAGTTGCTGTTTGCTTGTACTAACGGATCGCGACCGGCTTCGCTGCGTCAGCTTTGGCGTGAACCGCGTTCCCGATTTGTTGACGGTACTCATGTGGATTGGATTTATCTAAAAAAAAAAATAAAAAAATATTTTACATAAGCATGGAAGCATGCCCACTACAACCCAAGTTGCCAGAATGAATACTTAAGTGAATAAGTACACAGTTGTTTGCCAGAATCACCCCCTTGTAGGAGCGAGGTTGACACGGAACCCCCCAGTTTGACGTGTCAATGTTCAGCTCCCTAGACACCGTTAAGAACCAGCCTACGGTAGCCACCGTTGCATTTGCAGTGTTCCTGATGAATGCCCATTAATCTCTGGGCCTCCTCAGGGTCATTGACCTCCTGAGGCTCGCTCCAGGAAAGGAACTCGTTGGTGTAGTTTGGCTGGAAGTCTTGCGGAAGAACCAATAGTCTCTTGCCGTAGTTGTTGACCTTCTGCCAGTCCCGCTTAACGTTGTAGCAGGAGTCGCTCAAGTAGGCGAAACATCTCTCAAAGATCTTGGTGTTCAGGTCGTTGCTCAGCTGCGGCTTGAGTCTGCACAGCTCCTCGAAGGCATCGAGAGGATGAGCAATGACGTAGTCGGTAGCCTTCTTGATGGCCTTCATGAACTTTCTGATCTTGTCAGGGTTAGCCTCGATGAACTTGTCGTTGGCAATGTACAGGACTGTGCAGAAACAGCAGCAGCCGAGCTCGGCTAGTCTGTCAATTCTGAGCATGCCAACGTCGTTGACATCGCTGCCTTGGGCCCTGAGATACTCCTCCAACTCGACCTGCTGGACACACTCAATGCCGATGCCGGCGTCGATGTTGCCCTCGATGATCTCCTTGGCGACGTTCATGCCGCAACGAACAGCAGTGTAGTCGTCTGGAGTCATACCGTAGTGGCGGGTCAGCTCGTCGATCTGAATCTTGCCGAACTCGCCGACGTACCCGATCCTCTTGCCTCTGAGCGACTCGAAGTCGTCAGTGACGCCGTTGGGCCTATTCTTGAGATAGAGCACACCGGTGAACGGTTCGTCCAGAAGCGAGCCGATCGACGTGACGTTCCAGCCCCTGGCCTTGGCGGCAAGCGTGTGGATCATCGCCTTGAGGCCCATGTCGACCTTGCCCGAGCCAATCAGCTCAGTGACGTCCGAAGGGTTTGAGGGCTCGAGAATGGCAACGTCAAGCCCTTGTTCCTTGAAGTAGCCTTTGCTCTGGGCCAGGAACACAGGGATGTGGTATGGCTCAGGAGTCCAGTTGAGACAGAAGGTGATTTTGTTGGAGGTCATTGTGGGAGTAAATTCCGGCAATAAGGGGTGATTCGAAAGCTAGCATCTCGCTTCCTTATATATTAGTGTCGTGTGCCGCACATAAAAGTATGAGTCACTACACGTCCGGGAGCGATTGTGGCAGAGGCAGCGTAGCCTATGGCATTGAGTAACGAGACCGGCTCTCTGTCCAAGATAATACAGTCACTAACTTCAAAATATTTGGTCATCGCTGACTATCGTACATAAGTAAGTACACTAGTACGAAGCTCCGCGGATAACTTCCTTGAAGTTGCCGTGGAAGATGTTGTAGAAGTCCCTCTTCGCGCACTTGAGGTTAATGCCAACGAGCGTGAGAGTCGGCTTGGAAAAGAGATCGTCGATCTCCTCGAGCGTCCGGCCCTTGGTCTCGACCACAAACAGCAGCTGGTAGATCCAGCCAAGAGCTGCAATGCCCCCGTAAAAGCCCAGCGTGAGCCCTGTGTTGGTGAAGGCATTCCACATGTCGGTGAAATTGTATGTGATGATGAAGGTCCAGAGGTAGAGCATGGTGCTGGAGGCGGTGATTCCGTAGGAACGCAGGTACGTAGGGTACACCTCAGAGGGCGTGACCCAGGTGAGACAGGCATAGGAGCCGAAAAAGCCCATGTAGAGGACGATACCGGTGAGGTACAGGCCGAGAGCGGCGGATCCAGTGACAGGCAGCTGGTAGGAGATTCCAACAAAGACAAGACCGATGAAGAAGCCAGGAAGCATGGAATTAGCCCAGAAGCGGCGGCCGCAGTAGTTCATGTACAAGATGGCCGGGATGGTGCCGAGCAGCAGTGCTCCGCCGCCGACAAGCGACATGAAGACGGAGTTTTTCTCGTCGAAGCCGATCGACGCCATGAGCGTCGACATGTAGTACATGATGGCGTTGACACCTGTGAACTGACCAAGGAAGATCATAATGTTGGCATAGACCAGCGACCGGCGGGCACGTGGGTTGGTGATAAAGTCCATCCACTTGTGCTTTGTCGAGAGATGTGCGTCATCGAGCTTCTCCTGCTCGAGCGACTGGATCATGTCCAGAAACTCCACTTTGTTGGACACATCGTTGATGTCTCTGAGCCGTTTCCAGATCGTGTACGCCGCGCCAACCTTGTTCTTGTGAACGAGATATCTAGGCGACTCAGGCAGGAAAAACATACCGACAAAGAGGAGCGTCGAGAAAAACAGCGACGAGCCCAAAATGTATCTCCATGCGCCATCGAGTGAGTAGAACATAGCTGCTATGGCGTAGCCAAACACCTCGCCGAGCGCAATGTTGAACTGGTACAGCGACACAAGGTTGCCTCGGAGCTCCGACGGAGCGCATTCAGAAACGTAGCCAGGGATGATGGATTCCAAGCCGACACCAAAACCAATAAAAAAGCGGCCCGCGTACAGGCCCTCCACGTTCGGCGTGGCGGCACACAGAATGCCACCGATCGTGTACGAGATGCACGCCACCATGATGGACAATCTTCTGCCCAGCAACTCATTGAGCGGCGACAGGAAAATACAACCACCCATGGCTCCCACCGGCATCAGCGCACTCACCAGCGACTGCTCGTGCGAAGTGAGCGACAAGGAGGGAACAAGAGACACCTTGGCACCAGAAATGAGCGACTGGTCAACACCAGAAAGCATGCCACCCAACGACGCGAAACACGCCAGCATGCGCACCATATGCTTTTTCTCCTTGAACTGGAACGTGTAGCCGGATCTCAGCACGAGTCTGTCCCACAGAGTGTTGTGGGTCTTGGCCTCCTCGGCCAGAATCTCGTACTGCTCGAAGCGGGCCTCCAGCTCCTCACCCTGAGGTCCAAGAGTGTCGAGCTTGTCGACGTGACTGAGCTCGTCGATCGAGCGGGCGTCTTTTGATTCTTCCATTGAGTTGGATTAAAAAAGCGGGGGGCGTGGCTGCCCTTTATATAGCAACCGGAGTAACCTGTGCGACGCGAATGGGTGTCCCCCAGACGGGGGTGCCTGCAGCCAAAAACAATAGTGGTCTTCCCGTCGAGAGGAAGCTATGCACAGTGGCATCTGCAGAGCGGGGCTGACAAAGGACTCGGATATTTTTTGGGATGATTGTGCGTCATGTTCGTGTACGGCTTAGCATACATCGTCGATCGCGGAAAATCTTTGCGACCATTGCTGCGGATGGCGGGGACGGCACATTGGCGATGCCTGCTTTTTCCGGCGCCGACGGCTGCCGCAGCAGTGCCCATACGCTGGCCGACCCCTGGTGTGCTCCCGCAGCCAGCTGTCAATCCGCGCAGCCTGTGTCACCTTGTGGCCGGATAAAATGCCCGACTTCCCTCAGTGTGCATTGTTTTTCTCCACGGGACAAAACACAGCTTTGTGGAGGACATCTACAAGACCCACCTCGCACCAGACCCATTGCACCACGCATGATGTCACAAAGCGCATTCTTGTGGGGAAAGAACGAAAAAAATACTCCCAAAAGAGTGTACATGATCTTGTACGATGACAATGGATGCCACTAAACAGCACTCGTGCAACGAATGTCGCCGGCGCAAGCTGCGCTGCTCGCGCGACCTGCCCACGTGTGTCTCGTGTTCCAAGTTCAAGAGACACTGTCTCTACAATAGACACAGTAATAGCCCGCTCACTCGCAAGCATCTGACTCAGGTGGAGGAGGAGTTGCGGGTCGCCACAGAGCTTCTGCGCGCGCTGTCGCCGGAGCTGGACATCCACTCCATCTTGGCCAACGTCAAGAACGGGTTTTCCGTCTGGGAGATCCCGGAACTCGGTCGGTTGAGACAAAACCGACAGGACCCTATTGCGTCGGACAGAAACTTCCAGGTGCCGCAACTTTTGCCCGTTGCTGTCAGTGAGGACTACAAAAGCACGAGCGAGAACCCGAGACCTGTTTACTCGTGGGATGAGCGGGATCACAAGGCAATAGACGGCATGGCCATCACCGATAGAAGCGGGTACTTGGGATCACACTCGAGCGTGGCGGTGATCAGCCTTGTGTTTGGGGGCTACTCGTGGGGCGGCACGCTGCATAGCCCGGTTCGGCGGGACAACGCGTCTGTTTCCGGCGCCAAGATCGAGCACTATCTGAACCGCTACTTTGAGACCTATCACGTGTCGTATCCGATCGTTTACCGGCCCATGTTCTGGGCGCAGTATAACCAGATCGTGCCGCGGCCGGAGATCGGCTGGGACAGTCTGATGTACACGATGGCGGCGATCGGCGCGTTCATGGGCGCCACCGACCCCGACAACCAGGACGACCTCGTGCTGATCGACAAGGCCAAGTCGCACCTGAATTTCGAGCTGCTCGAAACCGGCAGCATCAGCCTGGTGCAGACGCTCGCGCTACTCTCGAATTACCTCCAGAAAAGAGATAAGCCCAACTCCGGATACAACTATCTGGGCCTGGCAGTACGGATGGCCATGGGCCTCGGATTGCACAAACAAACCGACAGCTCGGACAATCTGCTGGAACAGGAGATCGGCCGGCGCATCTGGTGGTGCATCTATGTGTTTGACTGTGGCCAGACCATCACGTTTGGTCGTCCGCTGGGGATCCCCTGTGCGGGTATCGACGCACGGCTGCCGTTGAATATCAGCGACACAGAGCTGACTGCGGCGTCTGAGTGCTTGCCCGGCGAGGTGCAGGAACCGACAATCTACACGAGCGTGCGGCTGCAGAGTCTGTTCCACCTGCTCACCAACTGCATCTACGAGCGCATCACCTCCGACCCATTCCCGTCCGCCAAAGAGCTGCTCGAGTGGGACACGCGGTTCATAGGGCGGTGGAAGAGCCTGGTCCCGGACTACTTCCAGCAGGACAAGGAGGTTTTGCAGCCGTTCACGCTTGCACACCACGTTCTGCATTGGAGACGGAAAAACTTGCAGATCATCATGTACAGGACAAGTCTACTGAAAAAGGTGTTCCGCCGTCCAGACGATGAGCCGCTATGCCAGGAGGAAGAGGAGGCCGCGGAAAAGTGTCTGCGCAAGTGCTCCTCGACGATCCAGAGCATGGCAGCGTTGTGGCAGCGCAAAGAAACCACCAGCAGGATGGAGGCGTGGTACACGGTTTTCTTCCTTGTTCCCGCTTTGATCATGCCTCTTGTGTGTCTGCGGAATGACCCGCTATCTGCACAGGCACAGCAATGGAAACAGGACATTTTGACCGCCGAGCAGGTTCTCCAGAGACTGCTGCACATCTGTCCGATAGCTACCAAAATCTTGGAGCTCAGCAAGTCTCTCGGGGCCGATTACGTTGCCTCTGCTGACGCGGCAGCTGACTTGCTTGCCAGTGCGGGAACGGACGAGAGCCCGATGTCGCAGCTCACACACCTGCATTCGGTGCTGTGGCCGTTGTCGTTTGACATCGAGCAGCAGTTTCTGTAGCAGGATTACGTAATTTACGATAAAAATTTTATGGTGCTGAGCCCATACAAAGTAATAATTTTTGGTGAATATTTTTGTTTGCGATACTCTCATCATGTCTTCCACTGGCATTGAGGTGCACGGGTCGGACCTGTTTGATGAGCACGACCAGAAGCTCATGCAGCGGATCAAGTCGCAGTCCGAGCTGAACAGCGACGCGTCGCTGGAAGAGCGTGTGCTGGAGCGGTTTGACCGGTTTCTGGCCAAGCTGGAGTCGCGGATCGAGGATTTCGAAAAGTACTTTACCAACTCCGCCTACAAATCGAATCGGACCCACTACACATTCTTTGAGGCGTTGAAGTCCATCAAGGCCGCCGTGATTCAGAACCAGCAGCACAATCTGCAGGCGTTCGGACAGATCTTGGACAGGTATTATGGCAGTCTGCTGGACGAGAAAAAAGAGTACGACTCGACGGACATGTACGCAAAAATATCGACCGGGCTGCAGTTTCTGGACGAGAAAATTGACCTGTTTGAGAAGACCTTCAACATCCCGCTAAGCCCGCAAGAACACCTTGGAAAATTGAAGGAGAAACTGTACAATTTCGATAAGGCCGTGGCTGCCGGCTCGAAGCGACTTCTTCATTTCTACGAGCTGCCTTTCCAATGGCGAGAAAACAAGTACATTATTTACGGCTACCGGTTCAACTCGGGCCATCTCTCGGCTCTGAAGAGCGTTTTCCAGCTCCACAACGAAACTGCCAATATTTGGACACACATATTGGGATCTCTGCTACTCCTGTACATTATGCTCAAACACTATCCGGCAACCGAGATTTATGCCCGTTCCAGCTTTGGCGACAAGCTGGTGACCAACTGCTTCTTCCTTGCCTCCATCAAGTGTCTCATGTCGTCTGTCGTCTGGCACACCTACGACTGCATCTCGCAACTCAAGCTGCGCAAAAGATTCGCGTGTATCGACTACACAGGTATCACAGTGTTGATCACGGCGTCCATCATCACCACCGAACACATCGCGCTCAAGGAGTTCCCTGCCGCAGAGCTCGGCTTCATCTCGTTTTCTACCATCGCCGGCATCGTCGGGGTGCTCTTCACGTGGTCCGAGTTCTTCGACAAGCCAGAGTCGCGGCCCGTCAGAATCCTCTTTTTCATCTCACTCTCGGCACTCGGCGTCGCCGCCTTCTGCTCCAGTGCTGTGCTCAAGGGCCTGGAATACTCGTTCCATCTGTACGCCCCGCTGTTGAAAAGCTTTGTGTGGTACCTGACCGGAGTCCAGTTTTACGGCACATTGGTGCCCGAAAGATGGAGAAACGACGTCATTGTCGACAAGCTGGACATCTGCGACGAGGCAATCAGCGAGCTAGAGAAATCGGACAAACTGGACGAATACCTCAACAAAACCCCGGACGAAACTCCGATGCGCAAGAGCTGGTTTTCCATGTGGTGGGTCGACTACGTCTTCAGCTCGCACCATATCTGGCATATATTTGTGTTGCTGGGCGTTCTGGGCCACTACTCGGCTATTTTGGAAATGTTTTCTCTCGTTAACTAGATCAAACAATGATGCATTGTGCTGTCACGACTGGTCCACGTCGATCGGTCTTGAGGACGAGTGTGTAGAGTAGTAGTTCGAGTACGACTCGGGTTCGTTGTGCGGCGGCGGGCTTGACTGCGTGCGGGTTTCCAGACGTTCGTGCGGGCGCAGCAGGGGAGCCGTTTCGCCAGGCTCCGGCGCCTGCTTGCCAACAGAGCACACCAAACAACACGACGCCCCGATTGCCAGTAGCAGCATGCCAATCACGACGCCGATCAGCAGAGCCACAAACGGCAAGTGCAGGTGGATCGGGCCCTTCGAGTCGCTGAGCCAGTCCGGGTTGATCGACCGGTCCACAAGCAAGATGCCTGTGGCGTAGCAGCTGTTAATCGCGAGCCCTTGGCGCAAAATGCGCACCTCGTGGTCGTTACCCTCGCGTACGCGCAACATCGAGATGCCCGACGTAAGCTCGCGACACGAGAGATGCACGTTTTCCAGCAGCGTCGGAATGGTGTCGTTGCACTCGATAATTTTTTGCATGCCTCCGGCAGGCAGAATGTGCAACCGAACAAATTTCTCGAGTCTGGCGAGGTTGTGTAGCTCTGACGTGAAGTTCTCCAGTTTCATCGAGCGTGAGCTCGGCACAATGAACGAATAATCCTCGTAGAGAAGATGATCAAGCTGCAAAAGTTTAAGCACCTTGAGGAACTCGTCGCCGTCGACAGTGGAAAGCAGCTCTGGCACGCCAATCTGCACGGTGGCAGGAAACACGAGACTGTCTATTGGATGGGCCACTCCTTTGTCAAAGAGCACCTCGGACTCAATCGACACATCCACTGCTGTACCGTTTATGTAGAGTTTATCTGAATCTGTCTCTATCTCAAGCGGTTTGTCCAGCAACGTAGTCAGGGTAGCTGAGTCCTGGAAGTCGTCGTAGATCAGGCCGTTTACCACAAGGTTTCCCAAAATCTCCAGCATGACGTCGCGGTTCGCGTAGAGATAGTCCAGCACGAGATCAAGGCCATGCCATGCGTCTGCGTTGGGAAGAAAAACCGTGTATCCCAAACCGCCATTGTTGTGGAACTTGAGCAGGCCAAACTCGTGCAACAGCTTGATGCTCTTGGCACACCGCAAGAACGGCGAGACCGCGTGCTGAAACGGAAGCGGCAGCGAGAGATCCTCGTCAACGTAGTAAATATATGTGTTACCGACAGCGATTTTGGGAGATGTGACAAAGACATTGTTGTTGAGAGACACTTGGTCGCCGCGTTTTATGACCTTGAGCTTCTGGCAATGGCCCAAGACAGAGCTGGCGCAGTACTTTGTGGTGAGCAGCTCGTCGCGCTCGAAATCCACCTTGCCATCGATAAAATGGTACAGCAGCGAGCTTTTCGATTCCGTCGACTCGGCATTCTCCATCACAAATATCGTCTGGTTGATCTCACGGTCGTCGATGAGACTGGAGAGTTTATGGAAGTCCAGCTGGTCCACCAGAGAGGCGAGACCCAGTCCCAGAAGGTACTTGCGCGGTGTGAAGACTGGAAAAGAGTTTTCTAGGAGAATCGAATCGTACAGGTGCACAATGCCGTCGGAAAGCAGGTAATTGGCAAACGTGGAGGATTTATTCTGCACTTGGATGCTGCTTCCTTCTGAGTCGGAAGAAAGACGGAGTTCTTGGTTAGCCAGAGTTCTAATGGTGACTGGTTCTAGCTGGCCCCCCCAGATGCCAGCAACAGTGTGCGATTCAAGAAGCCTGATTTTATCTTCCAAACCTTCGTTTGTGTTCAGGTAGTTTAACTCTATCTCGTTAAGGTTCACGCTGGCGTCAGAGGGGACCAAAAAAGTGACATTGGTGATCCTCCTAGTGGCACAAAAATCGTTATCGGAAAATAATCGTCCTATGCTCTGGTACTGTGCGAAAACAGGATCTGCGTGCGCAATGCCCGCGAAAAACTCACACGCAGACTTGAGGGGCTCTAAAAACGAGGAGATGCCAAAGACAGCCGAGTTGCTCGACCTCGCGTCATACTGCTCGGTGACGATCGCGTTATCTGCCAGAAACAAGTCGTCTCTATTGTCGAGCAGGATTGGCTGCTGAACGCCGTCGGCCACCAACGATGTGTTGTAAAGCAGTGTCCGGTACACTCCCAAACCGCACACGTCGTTCGCATCAACTGGCTGATCGATCATATGTCGCGAGACGTCGTTTTTAACCAGGTTCAGGTACAATTTGTCCTCGGCGAAGGCCAGATTCAATGGCGCGAGAAAAGTGACATTCTCCAGCTCGTTGACGTAATCGACCAGGTCACTGCGCTGCAGACTGAGCAGGATTTTGCTGAAGTTGGCGTTGCTCGAGAGAACGTCTATGATGGTAGTAGTGGGAGGTATGTCATCGTCGGGGCTGTCGCTGCGCGCCCCTAAGGTTAATAACATCCCCAGAATCAATATTCCAGAGAGCAGATCCCACATGGCTGACACGGGGCCGGGATATAGCAAAGCGGAGATAACAAAGAGGTTGCTAATTAATTAAATAGACAGAATTAAAAGACTCCCTGCACCGTCAAAATATAGAAAAAAAAAATAATGTCTGAGCCCGGCATGTCGCAGAGTGAGCCATCTAATAGCGGCGAAAATACACAGCAAACGGAGGAGGAACGGCTGGCGGCACTGAAGGCAAAAGTTCAAGAGATGGAGCAGGAGACTGCGAAATTGCGCGAGCTCCAGCAGCAGATTAGCGAGGAGGGTACAGACCCCAACGTGTCGATGGAGGACGCGGACTCGCATCTGGACTTTGCAGAGCGCGAGGCAATTGACTCGCGCTCGATATATGTGGGCAGTGTGGACTACGCGGCGACGCCAGAGGAGCTGCATAGCCATTTCCAGGACGTTGGCAGTATCAATAGAATCACGATTCTCACAGATAAATACACAGGCAACCCGAAAGGGTTTGCGTACATTGAGTTTTCGGAGCCTGCACTAGTGCAGAAGGCGATTGATGAGAAGAACAGGTCGCTTTTCAGAGGCCGAGAGCTCAAGATCAGTCCCAAGAGAACAAACCTACCTGGAATGGGCAGCAGAGGCAGGGGCCGCGGGCGAGGCGGGCCCAGAGGCAGAGGCGCGTTTAGAGGCAGAGGCAGAGGGTTCCGGGCCAGGGGCAGAGGCGGTTTCAGACCGTATTGAGATGTAAAACAGTGTACAATACAGTGACATTTATTAGCGTATCAAGTATCTATAACTTGCCACGATTAATCGCCTTGATTATTTTCTCCGTTTCCCTGATAGCCGTCATCCATGCGCCGTGCGCGCACCCGTTTCCTTCCTCGATTAATGCCTCGCCCACAAACCTGACTCTGCCCTTGCCGTCGAAAACGTCCTTGGCCTCGGAAAACGCGTCGATCGCCTCGTCGATCAGGTCGCCGACCGCACAACCCAGATACGAGCCTCTCGCGAACGGGTCCGCCGACCAGTTGGACGTGACCACGTTGGTGGGCCGCGGGATGCACGAATCCGGCAGATTCGCAATGTTGGCGAGCGCCGGTCTGAAAACGGGCCAGAAGTCGTCGATTTCGTGCGACTCGACGTACCTGGTGAGTGGACTCGACGTGAGCGCGAGCAACACCGGTCTTCCGGTACCTCTGTAGATGTTGAGGAACAGGATTGGCTGCGTCCACGGTTTAGGCGAGTTGTCCAAGACGGGGTCTTGCTTGAGGTTCTCGAACTTGGTGACCGTGTTGGTCTCGATGCACTTGGTGATCTCGTGGTCGAACTCCGGGATGCAGAAAAACCTGTCGGCGTTGGTTGGCCAGAACACGTGATCAAACTCAAAGAACACTTTGCCGAGTTGCGAGTACGTGATTCCCTGGAGCTTATTTGTGAGCGAGACCGGCAATGGCGGACTCCATTCGATGTGGCCCTGTTCATTTTTGTCTTCCAGCTGGAGCACGCTTAAAGGCACGGAGCACACAATATATTCGCAGAAAAACGTCTCGATCTTGCCGTCGTAGTCCCTCGTGTGGACGGCGATCTCCTTGGTGCGGTCGTTGAACTCGATCTTGAACACCACCTTCTGCAGCAAAATCTGCGATCCGACCAAGTCGCGACGGCCCATGATCTCGTACAGCTCCTCAAGCTCGTTGTCGTACACGGTGCGGTAGCCGTTGGTCACCATCGCGTCGCGACCCTGGTGTTTGTCGCCGGCAATGAGACGCGCACTCAGCATGTTCCACGACGATCCGATCCACATCTCGTAGTATCTGAGCAGCTGCGGAGCAAGTTTGATCTGGCACTCCGTCAGAGTGTTTTTTTTGTCCTTGAGGTATCTAAGCGCGGCGTTTTTGACGCTTATATCGTCGGATTGCGCCATCTGAGCACACACGTACTGCAAATAGTCCGACATCTCGTCGACAACAGGCCGGAGTTTGTAGTTGTCGTCGACAAGTCCGACATCCTTATCATGGACATTGAGCCTGCCGTTGTCGAAATAGATCTCGACATTGCCCTTCTCCAATGACTTCTTCAAGAGTGGATTGTACAGACAATCATGGAACCAGGATGCTCCCAGATCCACCTTAAGCCCCGACTCGGTGGTGACAGTGTGGAGACGTCCTCCAAGTCTGTCGCGGGCCTCGAGCATCAGCGTGTCGATCCCGTTCTTGCTGAGTTCAATACACGATTTGAGGCCCGAGATGCCGGCGCCTATCACGATGGCCGTGTGTTTGTTGTTTGTCATGGCGAAATTACACAAATATTCCAAAGAAAATTGGTCTTTTAAATAAATCGTAAAAAATCGGCCGATAAGTTTTTCTTCAGCTACATAATCGCATGAAAATTAAATTTATCCGAAACCAGCCCATTCAACAGAGAAGCATACGGTTCTGGTTTCCCGATTCAACACCTGCAACGCTAATTTTTTTCGAGTCCCAGGACCCTTTTCTCCGGCCAGTAACCACATCTTTTTCGTTCCGGTAGCCAGTCGGCCGCCCTTCACCAGCTGCACCAGGTCCAGCCTGTCGCTGTAGAAGTCTTTGGTATTTATGATGAAATGCGAGTGATATCGCAGCGGGTCGCCGGGATACGACACAAACTTGCCGCCAAACCGCAGTCCAGGAAGCGTAAAATGGCCTTTTTCCTTCACTGTTTTGAAAATGCAATATGTCCGATAAAGCTCGTCAAGATCCCGTTTTTGTCCACAAACGTACTTTGTGAGGACAAGCTCCTGATCCGGCATCGGGGCTGATTCCGCTGCGTCGGGCGTCTGAAAAAATGAATCATTGCGGCTTTCCAAACTAGTGCCCGGCCCAAGCGGCGAAACAAATTCAACGGCCTTGTGCTCGTAAAGATACAGCACTTCCTCGACAGATAGCCGCAAAGGAACACCCAGCAACAAGCTCTGCTGCGGGGCGCTGGGAAGAGTTCCTGTCAGTACGCCCGTGATGCCATGCTCCTTGCGCAAGATGACACAGTCGGACGGATCGAAAACCAGCGCCGTGCCCCCAATGACAGACACCTTAATCGTCATATCATCAAAAAAAAAAAGGTAGTCTGAAAAATAAATGCACTGCCCTAATACACCGTAATAATTTACACTACATATCGAAATATACACGACGGGAAATTTTCCCGTCCAAATCACTCCTCCTCGGAGCTCTCGTCCTCATCGTCGTCATCGTCCTCGTCAGAGCTCTCGTCCGCCTCGGCGTTCTCGAACTGCGCGAGCTTCTTCTTCAAACTCTCAATCTTCTTCTCCTCGCTATTACCACCCTTCTTCTTCTTGCGCTGGGATTTGGAACTCTTGCCCTTGACAATGTAGTTGTACAGTTTCAACAAGGTCTCATTGTTCAGCTGGTCCATGTCCAACTCGATCTCCTCGTCGTCAGCAAGATCTGGAATACCCTCCTTGATGATAGCAATCACGTTCTTGAGCATCTTTTCGTTGATAGATCCCATGGCCTCGCTGATCTCTTTCTTCATCTCATAAGTCACATGCGTAGGATAAATACCATTAGGCTGCGAGACTGACTCCTTCCTCTTCTTGGTGCCTTTCTTGGTGCCCTTCTTATTCTTGCGCTTCTTCAACCACTCTTTCCTCATCTGCTCGTACTTCTCCTGTCTCATCTTCTTGAGGTCCTGGGTCATACGCTCAATGTTGGCCACCAAAAACTCGATCGTTGGGTCCGTGATCGAGTCGATGTCCACGTTGAAGTCGTCGTCGTCGTCGTAGTCCGAATCAAAATCAGAAATATTTGCAGGAGACACCGGCGTCGTCGGACGATTTGCCCACTTCTCATTGAATACACTTTCCAATCTGTGCCCCATGATGTTGACGGCCGTTCCCTCCGGGTTAAACAGGTAGCAGTTATGGAAAACCAGTCTCACGTCCTTCTCAAACTCATCAGCGTTCTCATACTCGCCGTTCTGCAATTTGCTGTGAATAGTTCCCAAATCCATGGGCTCCTTTACAACATCGAAATACGTTGGACAATCAAGAGCCACAGGATCAACGGGCACCAGAAACGGATACGAAATCGAATCGTACTTCTTCGACATCAGCTCCTTAATCACCTGCTGACAAAAGCGTAGTTCGGCCTGAAATTTCTTTTTTCTTGGACGAATGTCGTATGGCATGTCCTTCGGCTTTGGCGGATGAATCTCCCGCTTCGGTCTGCCGTTATCCAACGCGCTGTCTCTTCTGAGCTGCGGAACTTCCAGTCCCGCATTTGTCTTTCTTCTGGTACCCTTTGTGGCGGAAACTTGCATTCCTGGTGGCAAATCCTTGGGTGGCATATTAAGCATGTGTTTCTCGAAGCTTGCCTGTATATTTCTAGCCATCTGGGAAATCGCAGAGTCCTTACCGTTGAACGTGATACAGTTGTCGACCATCAAATTGAAATCTTCCACAACTTGCTCCGGCGTCTCATAGGCGTCCACATTCAATTTTCTCTCGATCGTCGACAAATCCATAGGCCGTTTGATAAAATTATAGTAAAATGGGATGTTGAGCTTAACTGTGTCTACCGGCGTCAAGAACGGACCAGCATCCTTCAGCCGCCGCACGGCCTTTATAGAGGTGATGGCATGCTTCTTCTGATGTGCTGGTAAGGGATGCTCGGGGAGGTTGTTCATATCAGGCTCGGGAGGAGGTTTGGGAGCAGGCTCCATGTTGGCAGGAACAAGCGCAGGAGCCCCAGTATCTGGAGTGGCTTCCACCTTGGGCTCTTCAGGTTGCTGCTCAGGCTGCTGTTCGGGAGCCCCCGTGGTAGCAGTCTGATCGGGCTGTGCAGGGGGTTGCTCATCTGCGTCCAGTTTCTGCTTCTTCACGTCGGAGCCGTCTGGAGACTCCGGATCAAGGGCGTGTTTTCCCGAGACCTCCAGCTCAGACTTGCCATTAACCGGGATGTCAGAAATAGAAGAAGTCTGTATGGAAGCACTTGGTTCTTCTAATGACATCACCACTAAACAATTAACTGCACTTATCCAGATTGGCAGAAAAAGAAAATTTTGTGAAACACGGCCGCGAATGAATAATCGGGGGATCGCGACATTTAAATAGCAGAAATTTTTTTTTTCGCCAACGAGACAAAATTTCGCCAAATGAAAAAGTTCAAAGGCATCTTTTGTGTGACACACGACCATAAGTCTCGCCGAGAGGAACGCCACTTGGGGGGTAAACAAAGCCTGTAAACAATAATACTTTTATTAGAGCTTGAGTATACCAAAAACAATGAAGGTCGCCCTTTCGCGACCGAACCCCTATCGCACCACTTGTACTGCTCGTGTTGCTAAGCAGGGCACGTTAGGTAAGCCGAATTAAAAGATCTTTCCGCAAGATTGTTGATTATGTCATGCAGAGGTTTCCTGCTACCACGGGAGCTCACCGTGGACAGCGTCACCATCTATCCGCAACTTTTAAAAAGGGGATGCCTGCGGATGTCGCCGTTTGAGCTCTCGGTCGCCGCGTTTCCAAGCCCGAAGCTCCCGCATGTTTAGTTCGCCGAAACAGGAGTCCGTGCAATTTTGGAGCATGTTATTTACTTCTCGCTGGTGGAGCTTGAAGATCTCGTTCAGCCCCAGCACGCTGCCTGCGGACATGGGCTTCCAATTGATGTCGTCACCCACCTTGCGTCTCTTGTTGGAGAGTTCCACGGTCTGATCGAAAGAGTTTGGGTTCTGGTGTAATTTCGCCACCAGATCGCAATCGTTCAAAAGATAATTGATGAGTTTTTGCGAGGTTTTTTCTAGCTGTTTCACAGTCTGGACAAAAGGCACTGTGAAATCTGGCGGAGCGTTTTCTTCACACGGCACAGGGAGGAACCTGTTGACATTAGACCAATATTCCGCGTCGAACATGCAAGAATCGGACCGTTCCTTCATTGTGACTTTCGGAAAAGCAGGGCCCTGATTTTTAGCTCCGAAGACCGGCTCGGAAACTGTTCTTTTGTGCCACGGGCGATAATGCGGGTCAGTTGGAGCAAATGACATAGAGTGGCGGGTCTCGGGGACAAACGATTGCCTTTTGAAGTCCGGAAGGTCTTGGTGGTGGTTCATTGCTGGCTGCTCGGTTATGGGCTCGTGAAGCCACAGGACAGGCTGTTTAAAAGAATCTAAAGAGACAGTTGACTTTGAATACGGCACATGGGCAACTTTGAGAGGCTCGGTGAACCGCGGAGGACAGAGTTCTTCCTCGTGGCTGAGGAGGTGGTAATTGTGGTCGTGGTAAACCTCGTGGACGGGGGAGTGGTTTCCAGCGGGGGCTGCCTCATTTTCAGATTGCGTCTCCTTGACGATCAGTAACGGGTTGATGGAGTGCTGGGCGGCGGAGTGCGGGTCGTATGTGGTCCAGGCCGGGTGAGCGATGGTGGCAGATTGGTCTGGGGGCATCTTGGGCCAATAGTATGCTGCGAAGCTGTCGTGGGATGATAGCTCTGAGTTAAACTCCATGATTCATAGCAGCGAGACAAGATGAGAAGGAGTTTGGTTGGCGGGCCTGGTTAAAGTATATTTCTGGGAGAATTGCCATAAGCATATTTTTCTGTACATATGTCATTTTGGGTTCGGGGTTCTTCAGGATGAGCTGCATGTGTGCGACTATTGGAAATAACCGAATGTGGCTGCCATAATAACTCAAACAATTCACTGCCGCTTCGGAAAACGCTGTCATGGCTGGATCCAGGAAACTCCAACAATACCACTGCTGTCAGCGAGCGACTTTTTAGTGCAGATAGTCTGCCACCTGCATGCATCTGTAACAAGATTGAAGCTATACGTCGGTAAGCCCCGTATATCGAGAGCTTTGCATGTGGCTAAAATATTGGCGTGCGTCTCGTGTTGTCGCTGGGCTGTTACAACAAGGCTAGAAGCTAACGCAACAATACCGGTTTCGGAAATAAAGATTCTGGCTCGAGCAGCGCCATAGAATTTAGTTTGCTGCCTGCTGCAGTCGACGGCGTCGCGTCGACTTTCGCAGGAACCAAAATTTCTTTGATTCCAAAATAAATATAACCCTTATACCACAAACGAATGCTACTAAACACCGGGCTCTGCGTCCGGCACGCCTCCAGACCACAGCTGTGGACATCCTCCAGGCTTGCTCTATTCTATAAGCGGCCATTGGCTTTTGCTGCTGCCCCTGCCCGTCCGCAATCTCCCATCCGAGATGTGCGAGCCACATCTCTGCAATGGCACTCTGTCAAGTGGTTCCACGTATCGCGGACGATTCTCCAGGAGAAAAAACCTTCTGCCGTGGTTAAGGAGGATCGCCACTCGCAGATCCGCATCCTCAAAGACTTGCTGTCGTACATCTGGCCCAGAAACAACCCGTGGGCCAAGTTCCGGGTGGTGGTGGCATTGGGAATGTTGATCGCGGCCAAAGTACTCAACGTCCAGGTGCCGTTTTTTTTCAAGTCGATAATTGACTCGATGAACATCGATTGGGTCTCGCAAGCTGGGCTTCTGACCACCTCGATCGGAGCCATCATCCTGGCGTACGGTGTGACCCGTTTCGGAGCCGTGTTGTTTGGCGAGCTGAGAAATGCAATTTTTGCCAGAGTCGCCCAGAACGCCATCATGAAGGTGGCGCACAACACGTTTGTCCATCTGCTCAACCTGGACCTCAATTTCCATCTTGCAAGACAGACGGGCGGTCTCACACGAGCCATCGATAGAGGAACCAAAGGTATCTCGTACGTGCTCACGGCGATGGTATTCCACATTCTGCCAATCACGTTTGAGATATCCGTGGTTTGCGGTATCCTCACATACAACTACGGCCCCTCGTTTGCTGCCGTCACGCTGATGACCATGCTGGCGTACTCCATCTTCACCATAAGAACCACTGCGTGGCGAACCGGGTTCCGCAGACAGGCCAACAAGGCCGACCAGAAGGCTGCCAGCGTGGCGCTTGACTCGCTGATCAACTACGAGTCGGTCAAATACTTCAACAACGAGGGCTTCCAGTCGCAGAAGTACGACTCTGCGCTCAACAACTACAAAAACGCGTCCGTCAAGGTGGCCACGTCGCTGGCGTTTCTGAACTCGGGCCAGAATCTCATTTTCACGACTGCGCTGACCGCAATGATGTACATGGCCTGTCAAGGTGTGGCTGCGGGCTCCTTAACCGTTGGTGACCTGGTGCTGATCAACCAGCTCGTGTTCCAGCTGTCCGTGCCGCTCAATTTCTTAGGATCCGTGTATCGCGAGCTGAAACAGTCGCTGCTTGACATGGAGTCGCTGTTCAGTCTTCAGAAGGTGGAGGTGAAGATAAAGTCCAAGCCCAACGCTCCTCCGTTGCAGCTCAAGGGAGGAGAAATCAAGTTTGAAAATGTCACCTTTGGCTACCATCCAGACCGGCCAATTTTGAAAAACTGCTCGTTCACGATTCCCGCGGGCCAGAAAGTGGCCATTGTTGGTCCGTCCGGAAGCGGGAAATCTACGATTCTGAGATTGGTGTTTCGATTCTACGACGTCACCAGCGGAAGAATTTTAATTGACGGCCAGGACATCAGAGACGTCGACCTCGACAATTTGCGCAGACACATCGGCGTGGTCCCGCAGGACACCCCGCTTTTCAATGACACTATTTTGGAGAACCTCAGATACGGAAATCTGGCTGCCACCGACGAGGAAGTAGACGCAGTGATCAAAAAGGTCAAGCTGGACACCTTGGTGCACGACATGCCTGATGGAATGCGCACGATCGTTGGTGAGCGTGGAATGATGATCTCTGGTGGAGAAAAACAGAGGCTGGCGATCGGTAGACTGCTGTTAAAAGATGCTCCAATTACGTTCTTTGACGAGGCGACGTCTGCCTTGGACACGCACACAGAGCAGGCTTTGCTGAAGACAATCCGGGCCGTGTTCAAGGAGAGCAACAAGACAAATGTCAGTATTGCTCATCGTTTAAGAACAATTGCCGATGCCGACAAGATCATTGTTCTTCGCAACGGAGAAGTTCTGGAGGAAGGGACTCACTACGAGCTTCTGGGACGTGAGCAGTCATTCTACAAGGAATTGTGGCATATTCAAGAGAACCTGAATCTGGAAGAAGAGCTTGCCGAGGAAGACAAGAAGGAAGAGGCCGAGATAGAAGGAAAAGCATGAACTAACGGATTTTAGTTTACTAACCGAAAAATGAATAATGTAGAAAAAATAAGTGCAATAAAATAAATATATAAAGCTGAAAAAAAAAAAAAAAAGTCATGGTCGACTACCGCGCAAAGCTCGTTCTGGCCCCGATGGTCCGTATAGGTGAGCTTCCAACCCGTCTTCTGGCTCTCAAATATGGTGCGGATCTTGTTTGGGGACCAGAAATCATTGACAAACGGCTCGTTCGCGCTGAACGGGTCTACAATCCAATTCTTAATACGGTTGACTTCATTCAAAAAGATGGCAACAAAAAGGTGCCAGGAACCACAGACCTTGTTTTCAGAACGTACAGAAAGCTGGAGCAGGGAAAGTTGATTTTCCAGCTCGGCACCGCAAGCCCAGAACTAGCTGTGCAGGCTGCCAAAATCGTGGCCGCCGACGTCGACGGCATAGACATCAACGCAGGCTGCCCGAAACACTTTTCTGTTCATTCGGGTATGGGGGCAGCTTTGCTCAAAACCCCAGACGTTCTATGCTCTATTTTGTCGTCTCTCGTGGAGCAAGTCGGTAAACCTTTCGAAAAACCAATAAGCGTAAAGATCAGACTCCTGCCAGAACAAGAGCAGACCCTGGACCTTGTGCGCAAACTGGTCAAGACAGGAATTGCGAATCTAACTGTTCATTGCCGCACGCGAGAAATGAGAAATGGCCAGCCCCCAATCAGAGATTATATTCACAAAATCAAAGAGATCTGTGTTGAGGCAGACGTGAGCTTGATAATCAACGGCGGGATCAAGAGCTACCAGGAGTTCAAGGAAATGCAGGAAAAGTACGGAAGTGATATCAGCTGCATGATTGCTTCCAAAGCAGAGACCAATCCAACTGTGTTCAATCCTGAAGGTCCGCTTCCATGGCCTAAGCTTGCCAAAGAGTATGTCAGATTTGCAAAGCAATTCAACAACTCGCGAACTAACTCGAAGTATTGTCTTGCAGTCATGATGCCTAACACCAGGGGGAAGAACGTGATATGCAGGCTCGTGAGTCAGGCTAAGGAGAACGATGAGATCTATGACGCTGTGCTCAACAAGATGGATGACGAGGGTAAGTACATTGGTGACGAGATCCAGTACAATGATGCAGAGGTCGAAGATAGACAGGAGTTAAAGCGCAAGCTGGATTTGGAAGAGGCAGAAAGCCTCAAGCGCATAAGAGTGTAGATAAATACATCCTCCCATTGACTATCTTCACGTAGTTTTGTTGGCGTTCCTGTAAACCTGCAACACTTTGTACGCTCTTCCCATGTCCTGTGGAGCAGATCCAGTGAGGCGTTGGTAGAGCGTCTCGAATCGCTGCTGTTGTTCCTTCGTGCTTGATGCAAGTCCGCCCAAGATGAGGGGCAGTCCGGAAGAGTTGAGAAATTGGCTCTGTGTTTCTATTGTTGTCTTCAGCCTCTGCGACTCAAACAGACGGCTAAGCCCCAAAAAGTCAACGTCCACAGAGAGGTCAATTTTGCCAGGCTCCCAAAACGGGTCCACAAATTTATGGTCCTTGATGCCTCGCAGCGAATTAATCGGGATTGTATCCTTTGGGCCGTAGTCTATGATCACTGCTCCACCCACGTCACCTGAGTTGATTATTCTGGCAAATTGCGACGCATACATGTGGGCATCCGCTGAGATCTCCACGTTGGCCCCGACGGCCAATTTATTGTAGCGGTCGTCGGTTGCCGGAATGAACGAGCCCGGCGTGGCATGGGGAGCTACCACAAGCCCAAACTTCCCTCGTCTGTCTGCTTCTGGCTCCCGCACATCTACCAAGTACTCTCGCCATCCGTGTTGGGTCTTGATGTATCGGTCGATGGGCAGGGCGTCGAAGAATTCGTGAGCAACAACAAAGTTCATGTACTTGGAGTCCAGATCCATATCAACAAGGTCGTTTTTCTGCCATGCGATCGGCTGCCCCCATTCTGTTATACTTTCGAAGTTGTAATCGTCGACCTGTTCGAGCCTTTGAAACTTGCATAGCAGTTTGTGCTGCTCCCTGATGAGAATATCAGATTTCTCCACCATGACAATCTCCACAGGGTTGTCTATTATATACTGCTTGAAAACCATGGCCAGTCCCCTCATCATGGAGCCCTTGCCCGGGCCAAATTCAACTACACGGAAAATCTTGTCTTTGACCTTGAAATCAGGATTGTGTCGACTCTGGTATTGCAATTGGGCCAGAAACATTCGCACAAAGGCCAGTCCGCAGGTCATCCCATACGCGACAGATATCTCCGGCGCGGTAATGAAGTCGCCGCTATTTTTATCTAAAGGGTCTTTGTGTATGTAATAGCCGTGTTCAGGGTGCGTTAGACATGTCCTCATGAACTTTGACAGGCTGATGGGTCCAATGGTTTTAATGGTGTCCTCTATGATCGTTTCTAAAGGCGTGGATCCAGATACTGTGGCTATGAATCGTCTTGCAGAGAACGGTAGCAACCGGCAGGCCGCTCTGTGTCTGGCTCTTGTGAACATGGCCCTAAAAGGTATCCCCTCAAATAATATAATTTATTTTTATCACCTTTGCACCGTCCTCCGACACCCGAATCCACCGGGGTAGTTAGATAGTTACTATAAAAAGACACGTTTGTCTCGCGCTGTAAAAATTTTATAAGGGACCCAAAATAGTGGCACCATAAACAAAGGGCTAGATTCAGCTGAGAAGCGTGTTCGTGGCTGAATTCGGTTGTAAATACACACCCACACCTCATTTGTTGATACTGCGTCTTTTATGGAACCCATAGGTTTCCGTGCATCAGATCGTCAAGCAAGGCACGAAGACCCGTTCCAGGATTATATCGGCCTTGAGAGCATAACAGGAACATCCGAATATTCTAACTTTGAGCCGAACAACTCATCAGATTCTTTTTTCCCAGAAAACGACAACGACGACGACTCCCCAAAAATGGATTCCAAACAAGCCAAGGTGATTCTTGTTTTGAAGAGATTTGTGAAGTTTATAGGACCAGGCCTGATGGTGTCTGTGTCTTACATGGACCCTGGAAATTTCAGCAGTTCCATTTCCTCTGCGCAATTCCAGTACAAGCTCCTGTTCTCGCTCATTGTGTCCAACATGATGGCTGGGTTCATGCAGATCCTGGCCAGCAAGCTTGGAATCTGTACTGGCCAGGACCTGGCAGCCAACTGCCGCCAGCACCTGCCGAAATACGTTAACTTTGTCATCTACATTTTTGCCGAATTGGCAGTTGCAGCCACAGACATGGCTGAAATCATTGGTACTGCCATCGCCTTTAACATTCTCTTTGGTCTGCCATTGCTGGGCGGTGTCATGCTGACGACTCTTGATGTTCTTTTTGTTTTGCTTGCCTATAGGCCCAATGGGCCACTTGTCGTGGTCCAGATTTTCGAGGCTGCCGTCGGGTGTCTGGTTTTAGGCACAGTCGTCTGTTTCATCGTCGAGCTCGTGAACGTTTCTCCTACAACCAACTGGGGCAGCGTTTTCCGCGGGTTCCTGCCTTCCAAAGAGGTCTTCACTAATACAAAAGGTCTCTACCTCACCGCTGCGTTGCTGGGAAGTAACTTGATGCCGCACTCGTTGTATCTGGGTTCAGGAGTTGTCCAGGCAAGGATGAAGGCTTTCGACATCAAGCGTGGCCTATACACCCCGCCAATGGCGAAGCAGAAGAAAAAGAATCTACTTTGCAACACCATCGAGGGAGATTCTCAGGATCTGAGATACATTCCGTCGATGGAGGCGATCAACGGGACCATGTCGTACATCATTTCCGAGATGGTGATTTCGCTGATTACTGTTGCTCTGTTTGTCAACTCTTCCATTCTGATTGTCGCCGGTACGGCGCTGTCGCAGCCAATGGATGACGACGGAGACGGAGACTTGGAAAATGCCGATCTGTTCACCTTGCACTATCTTCTCTCGAGTCAGCTGTCAAAAGCTGCAGGCACAGTTTTTGCGCTGGCTTTATTGTGTTCTGGTCTGTGTGGCGGTACCGTGGTCACCATTGCCAGCCAGCAAATCATGGAGGGACATGTGCGCATCTCCATGCATCCTGCACTCAAGCGTATCATCACACGTATCATTGCCATCACTCCATGCATTGCCGTTGTTACAACTCAGGGAAGAGAGGGTCTGAGTAAAGTTTTGAACGCAACCCAGGTTGTTTTGTCGCTGCTGCTGCCGTTCATCAGTGCGCCGCTGGTGTACTTGACCTGCAAAAAAAGCATCATGCGCGTTCTGATCAGCGGAACGGAACCCACGCAGGAAGCAGAAGAAAACATCGCTATGGATTATGTCTCCAGCCGCAACAACAGCGCGATTGACCTGCTCTCCGACAGCGAGAACGCGATGACGTCAGACCGCTCGCTGCGCTCGCACGAGGTCCGCGACCTCGAGGACTCGTCGCAGCTGGACGACACCACAGACCTGCCGAAGTACAAGGACATGAGCAACAACATAGTCACCGCTGTGGCGGGTGTTATTGTGTGGTTGGTGATCTCGCTCATGAACTTCTGGCTGCTCATCAGCATGGCCATGGGCAAGGACGTGGACTAGAGATATAGACTGACGTAAGCAATTAGCTAATCCTTTTTTTTACCCTCGAGAGTATATTTTCTCCAGCTACGCGATCAGACTTTTTTGCAAAGCCTTTCTTTTATGCAACTTGCGAGTCTTTTTGTTCTTCTCGGGTCGGCGATGGCGGTCGACCTCGACATCAGCAGTCACAGCTCCATCCAGGCCGCTACGGCGCTGATTGCAGACGGTTTGATGGACTACTACTGGGGATACAAGTACGGAGGAACCATTGGAATGTTCACGAATCCCTACTACTGGTGGGAGGCCGGAGGAGCCTGGGGGTCGATGATCGATTACTGGTATTTTCTGCAAAACGACACATTTGAGGAAACCATCAAGGAGGCGCTGTTGTACCAGACAGGAGACAACTGGGATTACATCCCTTTGAATCAATCCACCACCGAGGGAAACGATGATCAGGCGTTCTGGGGCATTGCTGCGATCCAGGCGGCGGAGCGGAACTTCACAAACCCTGCGTCCGACCAGCCTCAGTGGCTGTATCTTGCGCAGGCGGTGTTCAACACGATGGCCTGGAGATGGGACACGGAGCACTGTGCTGGAGGACTCAGATGGCAGATTTTCCAGTGGAACTCGGGCTACGACTACAAGAACACGGTCTCGAACGCAGGCTTGTTCCACATTGGCGCGCGGCTCGCGAGATTCACCGCCAACGACACCTACGTCGACTGGGCCGAAAAAATCTACGACTGGCTTCTCGGCGTGGAATTTATCACCGAGGGAGACACGTACAATTTTGCCTACGACGGCGGAAGCATCAACGACAACTGCTCGTCTGTGGTGAAGTACCAGTGGTCGTACAACGCCGGGATGATGCTTTCGGGCTGTGCTTATCTGTACAACTACACGGAGGACGACATCTGGAGAGAGCGGACACTCAAGTTTCTGAACGGGCTGGTTGTCTTCACGCCCAACAGCGCGCAGGACGATGTGTATGTGCTGCAGGAGACCGCGTGCGTGGGGTCGGACTCGTGTAACAACGACCAGCGCTCGTTCAGAGCATATCTGATCCGGTTCATGGGGCTAACGGCCTTGATGGTGCCGGAAACACAGGACACCATCAACAAGTACATTCAGCAGTCGGCGCAGGCGGCCGCGCAGTCGTGCTCGGGAGGCACGGACGGCCACACGTGCGGGCTGAACTGGACGCACAGCGGCTGGGACGGGTACTACGGGCTGGGAGAGCAGATGTGTGCTCTGGAGGCTATCCAGAACGTGCTTATCTACGACAGACCAGCTCCGTACACGTCGTCGAACGGAGGCTCGTCTACAGGAGACGGCGCAGCCGGATCGGAGAGCACGCAATTGACGGACCAGCCGCTGAAGCTGGACCGCGGCGACACTGCCGGAGCAGCCATTATTACGGTGCTGATTGGGGTGAGTATTATCGCACTGGCGTGCTGGTTATTAGTGTAATGTACATGGGTCATTTCTGTCTGTTGGTCTCCAAAACCTCCCGCAGGTACGCGTCTTCGCCACTCTCTTTGTGGTTCAGGTGGTGGTTCTCCTCATACACGCTCAGGCCGATCGACCCCAGAAGCAGGGCCACCGTGATGAACTGCGCGTACATTCTCGCCTGCACGAATTTCTGCGTCTTGGTCAGCAGTGGGTCTCTGTTGACGTACATCCAGGACCCGACCATGGACGCTGCCCAAAGACCGGTGATGATCTTGTACTTGTTGTTCGACAGAGACTCGACCACCTTCTCTGTTGGGGACAGCCTGGCCCATCTTCTGTGCTCTTCGAGCACCTTGCGCTGGTGGAACTCGGACGAGTACATGTCGGAGTCGAACCTGGTGGACGCCAACTCGGCGTTGACGGCAGTGGTAAACGCTGGCGGAATGATGGCGGTGGCCGTCTTGATGGACCACGGCATCTTGAGCAGCTTGGGATAGTATCTAGGAGCCATGGCGTACACTCCGACGGACACAAGGGTTCCCAAGCAGAACCCGTTGAAACCTCCGGTGATGGTGGCCCACGAATGGGCGTCGATCTCTTCTTGGCTGACAATCTTCATATTAGTTGCGTGCAGGTAGTTTGCGAATTTTACTCTTTAAATACTTTTTTTTTACCCGGAACTAGACGACGGATCAGGAGGCAGTAGCAGATTGGCCAGAAGGGAATCCGGCTATTTGGTGCTGGCGTGCGTGCAGACGGCAGCCCGTGGGCGCCGGAGATGTGGCGTGCGCATTTCCTATTGGCGCATGTCGCCAGATCAGCCGACCGCAAACCAACCAAACCCCGAGCTACCCAGCCAAATACCGCCAACGGTGAGACGATGGTGCTGACGTCAGCATCGCAAGGGGAGATGAATCACAGTGAAAAATAAGGTAAAAAAAAATATTTGCTACATGCGAAAGGCGGCACAACTGAGACTCGCCAACACCGTCCAGCGACTGTATTCCTCGGCGGCCGATATCTGTCGCCGGTTTCCGGACCTCAGGCCGGCGGACGTGCTTCCCAACGGCCGCCCCGACTACGTCAAGATGATCCTCACGTCACGTGTGTACGACGTCATCGACGAGTCTCCGATCTCCAACGCTGTTTCGCTGTCGCAGAAAACCAACTCCACGGTGATGCTGAAGCGTGAGGACCTGTTGCCTGTTTTTTCGTTCAAGCTGAGAGGCGCGTACAACATGATTGCCCATTTGTCGGACGAGCGTAAGTCCAAGGGTGTTATAGCGTGTTCGGCGGGCAACCACGCGCAGGGCGTGGCGTATTCTGCCAAGGAGATGGGCATTCCGGCCACAATTGTGATGCCTGTGGCCACGCCATCCATCAAGTTCAAGAATGTCAGCAGGCTGGGCTCGCGGGTGGTGCTCTTTGGCAACGACTTTGACTCTGCCAAAGCGGAGTGCGAGAGACTCACCATCGAGCAGGGACTCACAAATATTCCTCCCTTTGACCACCCGTATGTCATTGCGGGCCAGGGAACCATTGCCATGGAGCTGCTTCGCCAGGTGAAGAGCAACAAGCTGAGTGCTGTGTTCGTGGCTGTGGGTGGTGGCGGGCTGCTTTCTGGCATCACGGCGTACCTGAAGCGGCTGGCCCCGCACGTGAAGATTATTGGTGTGGAGACGTTTGACGCGGACGCGTTGAAACGCTCTTTGGAAAAGGGCGAAAGAGTGACGCTGGACTCTGTTGGCGGGTTTGCGGACGGAACAGCGGTGCGGATCGTGGGAGAGGAGACGTTTGCTGTGTTGCAGGAGTTTGGCGTTGACGAGGTGGTGCGTGTGACAACAGACGAGATTTGTGCTGCGATCAAGGACGTGTTCGAGGACACAAGATCGTTGATGGAGCCGTCTGGAGCCATGACGGTGGCCGGTCTCAAGAGATACGTTGAGCTACATCCGGAGATCGACCATTCCACCAAAACATACGTCCCTATCTTGTCTGGAGCAAACATGAACTTCGACAGACTGAGGTTTGTCAGCGAAAGAGCCGTGCTGGGTGAGGGCAAGGAGGTGTTTCTCACGGTGCAGATCCCAGACAAGCCAGGCACGTTTGCCCGGCTGAACCACATTATAGACCCGAGAAACGTGACCGAGTTTTCGTACAGGATCTCTGCCGACTCGAAGGAGACGGGCCTGGCCAATATTTTCACGTCGTTCTCTGTGATTGACAGAAACAAAGAGCTGGGCAAGGTGATGAAGGACCTGGAGCAAGCCGGGTTCAAGGCGCACGATTTGACCGACAACGAGATGGCCAAGAGCCACGGTAGATACCTCGTGGGGGGTAAGGTGCACGTTCCGGGCGAGAGGATAGTTTCGTTTGAGTTTCCCGACCGGCCCGGTGCTCTGACACGGTTCCTGTCGTCGATGGAGATGAACTGGAACCTGACCTTGTTCCACTACAGAAACCACGGCGACGACGTTGGCAAGGTGCTGGCGGGGATCTGTGTTCCGCCCGAGGACAATGCGAAATTCGACAAATTTCTGCAAAATTTGGGGTACAAGTACAACGAGGAGACTGATAATTTGGTCTTCAAAACGTTTCTTACTAGATAGAAAAAAAATAAAAATAAATAAATAGTCATGATCCGGGCTCTTTGCTGGGCGCAGAGGCCGTTGTTTAGGTTTTACCACAACATTCCAAAGACCGCGAGAATGGCTGTGGACCAGCAACGCGGCCCAGACGACGGTCTGCCAGATAGTGCACTGAACCCTGCAGATTACAGTTCTGTGGTCAAAACGATCCCCGACAACTCGCCAGACACAAGAGTGCTCTACACGCTGTCGGCGCGATCTTTCCCACTCAATCTAAAGGTTTCAATTTTCGACACGCTCAAGTCCAAGTCGATTCCGGCCAGAAACGTACTTTTCGTGATCACGTTTGCGGACCAGGTCCTGGACAAGCCTCTCGAGCGCGACGCCGACTTGCAGACTTTGCGCGAAAGCTACTGGCGCTCGCTGAACAGCTACCTGTCCCTCTACAGCTCGCAAACGATAGATCGCGAAAATGTCATGGTGACCAGCACAAAGTATCCCCGGTCGATTACCAAGGTGTTTGAGAAACTCATACACTCGGATCACAAGACGTACTACGTGATTGGCCAGACAAACACAGGCAAGAGCTCCTTAGTGCAGCGGCTCATCGTCGAAAGCAACGATTACCAGTCGGTCCCTGTGGTACCCAAGGTTTCTGCAAAGCCGTGTTCGACTCGCCGCAACGGGACCTTTGTTTGTCCCTATTTTGGACTCACTCTCGTGGACACGCCCGGAATGCTTCCGAAAACACACAGCATTTACGCCGTGCTGCGTCCCCAGCTTCGGCAGAGCGTGCTATCCTGGGGAGCTACCAATTCCATTAGGACCCGTGTATTCACGTTTAGAGATATAGAGCAGGTGCTGGGGCTGGGTCCATGTATGGCACTACGCTCACGTGGTCACACAGGACCGCTATCGTTGAGACAGTATTTCTGGGGCCCTACAAAATTATTTCGAGACCTGGCAGAGTGGCAAGCCTGGCTGGCTGATCGCAGGTACGTTTGCGGGTCGCGATGGACGGCATACAAACTGCACGCTTCTGCCGGCTTGTGCGACGTAATTATCAGCAACCTCGGGTTCGTAAGGTTCGAAAACGGGTGCCCTCCATTGACAGTCTACATGCCTTCGTGTCTTCGTGCTGTTCAACGATTCTATGCAGATGAGGACCATTATAAAGAGCTGGAATTACAGGCTAACGCGACTTTTGGGCGGTCTGAGTCAGCTTGCGCTTCATGTACCAACTGAAGAAGAACAGACAGAAGGGAAGCAGGATATTGTTGAGAGCGATCCACGCCACTAAAATGCCAAAGTTGCGCCCCAAATTTCCACGGTAGGTATCGAAAAGAAGCACCTTCATGAGCTCGTACGAGTTTTTGATCGGCATGGCGTACGTGAACCGGTAGAACTCCGGACACACCTCAATAGGCGAAAAAGTGGCCGAGATGTTGCACACAACAAAAAACACTAGCCAGAATCCCATAAGCGGCGGCAGCACAGCAAAACACAGCAGCGCAATGTTCTCGTTGGCACCTCCCACAGCCGACATAGTCAGGTACGAGATCATCCAGTGGACGCCAAAGCCGCCCTTCCAAGCGTTGTTGAGCTTGATCTGGAACGCGGCGTTCACACAGCTGTATCCGAGAGAGCTCAGCAGGAAGTTTACCTGCGCACTCACCATCCGATAAATTATATAGCTTCCTGGCTTGAGCGTTTCGGCGGCCTGCTGATTGATCTTCTGGAACCACATGACCTGGAAAAACGTGACAATAATAATATAAATAAGGCCAACCTGGAGTGGTGCCATAACCGTGTAATCGGACACCGGAATGCCATCTATCATGGTGATGTCTGGCACGTGGGATAACGTGGTGATGTTTTGCAGGCTGGTAAACTGCTCTGACGACAGTTGGGACAGGAGCCGTGGATACACCTCCTGCTGCATTATGTCGGTAAAGGCGGCTCCAAATTTGAGCATTCCCGGCTCAACGAAAGAGTCCACCCCATTAGGGTCTCTGCCGGTCTCGTAGTAGCCCTTGACGAGCATGGAAGTGTTCAGATCCTGTCCGTTTTGGAGAGCCTGCACCAGCTGCTGCGAAACGTTGTTGCTGGTGACGTAGAGCGCGCCCCAATATTTCTGTTTCCAGACTTCGTTGATGACCCAGTCCTCGTCTGCGTAAGCATGACGAGTCCAGCCCAGCAGCGGCTTCACCGCCGGCGACTCGGCCACCTGGAGCAACGCTTGCGACACCGGGTAGTCGCTGTTGTCAATGCTTGCGCCTTCCTCAACAATCAGGAGGATTTTCAGATTGATCAAACGGCTGCCACGTTGGTACATAGCACCCCAATAGATAGAAAACACGCTCAGAATAAACATCCAGAGAATGACAATAATAGTCGCGTATTGCTTGAGGAACTTTCCTCTGTGCTGAGAGAACTTGTTGGACCAAAAGCCCGCTTTGACGGGTCCCTGCTGCTCTTTCGCCATTTCCTCGTCTCTCTCGCGCTCCAGTCTCTCGACGCTCTCCTCGTTGGGGTGAGAAACAGAGTACTCGGTGTATTGAGTCACCGCCCGCATGAGGGAGTTGGAGTTGTCCTGACAGTACTCCTGAGGTTCTCTCTGGTTTGCGTCATCAGTAGTGTCCTTTCCAAAAGACGTTTCGGAAGAAGTCATGCTGAATTTAAGAGTAAAAGCAAATGCGTGTCTCAATTTATATGTTTGCACACTGCAAATATTTTTTTAAACCCGTGAAAACAGCGAGTTTTAATTAGGATTACAAATTGAGACAATTGCTAATTCCGAGGAAAAACAATGCAAACTCGGACGTCGGTTTAGTGTTATCTGCTCCTTGCATGTGTACGTCGGCCCAAGAGAGTCATATCCATCTATATGCGGACATAAAGAGCAACCTTGCCGTCTACTAACGTTCAGAGGCGTCGAACCTTCTATGCTGGCTGCGACTGCAGCACAGTCTTGACCAAGGCCACCAATTCAACAAGCAGCTCGTGGTCCTCGTCTGCAGGCCCGGATTTAGCGAAGAATTTCCCACTCGTGTTGAGTATAGTGTTCTTGGAGATGCACTGGCCTATCTGGCCTGCCAGAACTTGCGTCTTGAGGTTGCCTCCAATCAGCACCGTAGGCACCTGTATCCCGGACCCTTCCACCGCGAGGGGACGGGTCTGCAGATCGTACGTCACATCCAGCTCTCCGTCGCGCGACAGAGAGATGATCTGCTTGTCGGCAAAATCAAGCACGCTACACTTCACCTCGTGGCCGTCCACCTGTGCTGTCTTTTCGCGATACGAGGTTGAAAACATGGTTGAGAAAAAATAAAAAGTGTACTTTTATTTATTTATTTTCTTGCTGGGCTGTGTAAGTTTTTTTATGCCCTCGCGATCTCTTCTTGCTAACGAGCAACAGCCGGAGCCGCTGGAGAGCAAAAAACACAACATCCTGCTCGGTTATGTGTCCATAATCGTGTCGTACGTGTGCTGTCTCTTCTTTCTCGGCGTGCTCATGTTTTTCGCTGTTGTGTCCAATGTTTACAAATTCCATATTAAAAAGGAACACATGTACACACCCTCCAAGAAGCGCGCGTATTCCATAGATTCCCCAAAAAGAAGTCCGCATTTGCGCTACTATGTCCAGCTCATGGGGCTGGAGCTGTTCGAGTACCGCATCATCACCAGAGATGGTTTTGTGATCACACTCCAACGAATAGTCGATCCCAACGTGCCGCCCAGCGGACCGCCCGTTCTGCTGCTTCATGGACTGCTCCAGTCGTCCGCCTCGTTTGTGACGAGCGGCTACAAAAGCCTGAGCTATCTGCTGATCAGAAACGGCTACGACGTGTGGCTCGGCAACAATCGATGCGGATTCCATCCCCAGCACACGTCTCTCAACCCGAACGACCCCAAGATGTGGGACTGGGACCTCACCGAAATGACGCGCTACGACGTTCCCTGTATGATAGATGAGATTTTACACTCCACGGGCAAGTCGAAAGTCACGCTGATCGGCCACTCCCAGGGAACTGCCCAGATAGTCATGCTGCTGTCGAGCGAGTTCGAGATGGGCTACGAGGACAAGATTTCAAAATGCGTGCTCTTGGCGCCCGCGATTTTTGGTGGTTCGCTGTTGAACTCCAAGGGGTTTATCCGTTTTATCAAATTGCTGCCCAACTGGCTCTACGACTCGTTTTTCGGAATCAACTCGTTCATGCCGATCATGATGGCTCTCCGCAGAATCATTGTCACCACGCCGATGTTCGGGTTTCTGAGTTACGCAATGTTCAGCTTCCTGTTCGATTGGAACGACTATCTCTGGGACAGAAGCCTGAGGCCCTACCATTTTATCTTTTCTCCAGTGTACATTTCAGCGAAACTGATGAAATGGTGGCTCAGTAAGTACCACGGACAGGGTTTCCAGATGGGTGAGTCGATTCTGAAAAAAGATCGGGAGTGGTTCTCAAGGAAGACGCCGCCCCTGTTCCTGGTGATTGGAGATCAAGATAGACTGGTGGACGGCAATCTTTTTGTTCGACATCTGGAGCTCAATGAGCCCGAAATGCGCGGCCGATTCAACTACACCAAAGTCAAACACTACAGCCATCTAGACGTCCTCTGGTCGGACGATCTCATAGAGGTGTTAAGAGAGCCTCTTCTGAATTTCCTGGCCACTATGTAACCTAATACCTACAAATTCGACTCCCCCTCGGCGATGACAGCCATGTCTAAAACTTCAACAGACCCCTTTTTCGACTTGACCAGCTCGGTGAGCTCTTTGTAGTACTCAGGCTCGATCAGACACATAATTTCTGTTTCTGAGTCCACTTTCTCCTCGTCTTGCACGGTAGCTATTATCTTTTTGACCTCTGTCTCTATTTTGGTGTATTCTTTGGTGTTGAGAGAAATTCTGAGCTTCATGTGAGCTCTCGAGATCGGGATTATCTGTTTTTCCACCAGTAGTTTGATTGCCTCCAAGGCTTTAGCTTTGGCGTTCTTCGCATTTACAGAGTTGAACTTGAGTTCCTTAAGAGCCTTGTCGATCATGGTCGGTGGGTATCGTTTCTTAGTTTTGGGATTAATGCATTTTGTAGATATGATGGTTAGGATCTCGTTGTGCAATTTCTCGTTCTGCGCCGACCTCTCTTTCTCGCTCAGCTGTATTTCTCCTTTTTTCAGAATCTCCAAGATAATCTCGTCTGTGTTGGTGGACCCAAACGCTTTTTTGAGGTCGTCGTTTGAAGCCACCTGTCCCTTCGAGACGTTGATGAACACTTGCGGAATCTGAAGAACCTCGTCCAGGTCCTTCTCCACACCGGCGCGGTAGTCCTGGACCTTATTCTGGTAGCACGCTATTTCAAACCGCTTCTTGCCCTTTTTCATTCTCACCAACGAGACGTTGGTGAGTCTGATCTGCGAAGATGGCTGATTGATGACAGCCATTGATATATTTATTTTTTTTTATTTTTATTTTTCGTAAAATTCCACATGTATAAGTCCGTCTGTGTAATTGGCGGTGGGGCGTGCGGATTGGCTACCGTGCGAGGTTTTCTTGAGGAAGGCGGGTTTGAAAAGGTTGTAGGGTTTGAACAAAGACCCTCGTTTGGCGGCATCTGGAACTACCACGAGCTCGCCGACCAGAACCTCAGTATCCCCTCCGTGGATCCGCTGGCCGTGGTTAACCCCATAAAAACGGAAACCGGCTACGTCTGGCCAAACGCAGTGTACGATGCACTCGAAACAAACACGCCCTACCCGCTGATGGAGTTCAGAGACTTCAAATTCCCAGAATCGACTCCTCTTTTTCCTCACAGATCTGTGGTTCTTGATTACATCAGCAGGTACGGGGAAGATCTACGGCAATACTACCGGTTCAATACCAGAATTGTGGAGGTGAGGCGCCGACATAAATGGATAGTGCGGTCGCGAACGGTGTGCGACGCCACTGCAGGCGGATTTAAGGAGTCCGCCAGCGTGCCCGATACGGTGGAGGAGTACGACGCTGTGATGGTGGCCACGGGAGTTTACGATCTGCCGTTCATTCCAGAGCTCAAGGGACTCAGGCAGTGGCACAAAAAGTACCCCAACACAATCCTCCACTCGAAAACGTTCCGCAGTCCTCGCGAATTGGCTGGTGTCGAGGGAAACATCCTGGTGATTGGAAACTCTGCCTCGGGGAATGACATTTGCTACCAGTTTGCGAGATATACCGGCAGAAATATATACAAAAGCGCGCGCTCAGCGAGCCGAGTTCCGGGCGGAACTAGCGATTTGGTGATCGAGATGCCGGACATCAGCCATCTGGACCCGAACACGGCCTCTGTTTTTTTCGCCGAGAGTAAAAGGTTGGAAAATGTTGGATGCATAATTTTTGCTACCGGATTTCTGCGGTCGCTGCCATTTTTTGCCGAAATAAACAGGTCCGAAAAACCTCTCATCTCAGACGGAAGCAGAATCCACGGGCTCTATCGCCACTGCTGGAGCTACGAGCATCCCGGACTGGCGTTTATTGCGATCTCGCGATACGTGCTGCCGTTTCACGTTGCAGAGATTCAGGGGATCTGGTTGGCTAAAATCCTGCGAAATAAAATATTTTTGCCAAGCTTTGCGGCAATAGCCAGCCAAGAACGCCATTTGCTAAGCCTGCGTGGCAACCTGCCATGCTTTCACGACTTACTGTATCCGGACGATATCGAATATATGGATCTGCTTATGAAGGACATCAGAATGGCATCGGATAGTGGACGCTTGCCTAAGGAATGGACAGAGTTGGAGATTGCACTGAGAAAGAATACAAAACTTCTCAAGGCCAAATGTCTGCAGCATTTCGAGAGAACCGGCAAACGTTTAACGCTCCATGAGGCATTGTCATGGATATAATAGACACAAGGCAGCCATTAGTCAAAGCTTGCATTAATTTCATTTGCCGAAACATTATTGGCTGTACGGTGTTAACGGACTACATTATGTAGCTCGGTTATTAAGCTGGCTGTTGGCGAACGAGGAACGAAAATGGCCGACTAGACACGAAACCCATGGCGTGGGGCTATCTGCACTCAAGAAACTAAGCCTTTCTTGGTTCTTGTGAAGGCCATCAACCTTACGGTGCCAAATTATTTGACTAAACAATAGTGCGTCTATAGCAGGCGCCAAGTTTTTTTTTACTTTTCTCCTTTGGGGAAGAAGCTGCATTTATGCAAATTATTTTTATTGTGCACGAAAAAAAAGTCCCTGGAGTTTTTCTCTGGCTATAAATAAAGAACATCTTTCGGGGCATTTTATCTATAACATCACCAATCAATCTCACAGCGATGAGTGTGTTTCAAAAATTGAGAAACAGAAAGACGGAGCAAGCGCTTTCGGAAGCCATCCTGGGCACCAACGAGGAGCCCGAAACCTTTCTTTCGGAGCCCGAAAAGAATAAAGAAGCAAACGAGGTGGTCGACGGGTCTAGCGTTATCAGCTCCGACGCCCCAGAGGGTTTGCAAGCCATAGAGGCTGCCACCATGGTGTGGCCAAACTGGGCCGTGTACACCACCTATGCATGGATCTGGGTGTGCTTTTTCATGATTGCGTTGCAGCAGACCATCGGAACAACCATGATGCCGTACGCGTATGCCGATTTCGCCAAAGCTCCGGAAATCAGTACGGCCGGAATTCTGGCAACCATTGTGGGAGGAGTGTTGAAGCTGCCTATCGGTAAGACTCTGAACATCTGGGGCCGTGCGGAGGGCTTTCTTGTGTTTGTGTGTGTCTACCTGCTGGGCCTGGTTATTCTTGCTGCGTGCAACAACGCACATGCCTACGCTGCCGGTTATGTTCTGTTCTGGATCGGTTATGACGCCATCTACCTGATCATGGATGTGTTCCTTGCCGACACGTGTGGCCTCAGAAACAGAGCTTTCGCTTTCGCTTTTGCTTCCACTCCGTTCATCTGCACCGCCTTCACCGGTCCGCTTGCTGCTCAGTCGATTCTCGAGATGGCAACTTGGAGATGGGGATACGGTATCTTTGCCATTGTCATGCCGTTTGTGTTCTTACCTCTCGTGTTCGTGTTCAAGTTCTACCAGTTGAAGGCCATCAAGATGGGCGTTCTCAAGAAACGTAACTCAGGAAGAACCAAATGGCAGTCGCTTGTCCACTATTTCCACGAATTCGACATCGTGGGAGCATTTCTTCTGATGGCTGCCTTCACGCTGTTCCTGCTCCCATTCTCGCTCCAAACCTACGGAAGGACCACTTACAAGTCGGCTACGTTCATTGTGATGATCATAATTGGTGCGCTACTGTTCCCTGTGTTTGCTATCTGGGAAAAATGGTTTGCCAGAACGCACTTTATCAGATACGAGCTGTTCAGAAACAGAACCATTTTGGGCGCCTGTGCGTTCGCTGCGCTCAGCAACTTCAGCTTCTACTGCTGGGACCTTTACTACTACAGTTTTGTCCTTGTGGTTTATAACCTGAGCGTCAAGGACGCCGGTTATATGACCGAGATTTACAACGTTGGTTCATGCTTTTGGTCGCCGCTCTTTGGTATCTACGTGCGTCTCACCAAACATTTCAAATACGCTTGCTTGTGCTTTGGTCTGCCTTTGCTATTCCTCGGCGCCGGTCTTATGATTCGCTTCCGTGGTCAAGACTCCAACATCGGCTACATCGTCATGTGCCAGATCTTCATTGCTTTCGGCGGTGGTATGTGCGTCATTGGCCGTGACATGGCAGTTATGGCCGCCTCAGACCAGGAAGGTGTGCCAATGATGCTGTCGATCCTCTCTCTGTTCGGCTCTGTGGGTGGATCTATTGGCTACGCTGTCGCTGCTGCCATCTACGACAACACTTTCTACGACGCTTTAGTCAAAAAGTTGCCTGCCTCCGAGGCTGCTAACGCGCTCACAATATACATGGGCGGTGTCGCGACCCAAATGTCCTATCCTGTTGGATCCGCAGTCAGAGACGCCATTAATTACGCCTGGGGACAGAGCCAGAGAAACGGTGCAATCGCAGCCACCTGTATTCTCGTTCTCGCCTTCCCATCTGTTTTCATCTGGAAGAACTACAACGTCGATGTCAAGAAAAACAAGGGACACGTTTTGTAGTTCTGTTAATATTGGGTACATCAGTAAAGTGTTGCTGTTACGGGATAATTTATTAATTTAGTAATTTTTTTTTTATCTTATCAATGCAATTCAACTCCAGACGTTCCACTGTTTACTCCCCACGGGGAATTGTTTCCTCGTCCCAGCCGCTCGCCAATGAGGCTGGTGTAAAAATCTTGCGCGCAGGCGGCAATTGCGTGGACGCCTGCGTCGCCGTGGCCGCCGTGCTGTGTCTCGTCGAGCCAATGTCAACAGGAATTGGCGGCGACGCGTTCGGACTGTTTTACGACGCAAAAACAGGTAAAGTGTCCGGCATGAACGCAACAGGCCTCTCGGCAGCGGCTTTGAGCATCGACTGGCTGCGGAAATACCACCCTGACCACATATTGTCCACGATGCGTCTACAAGAAGACTCCGTCTTCGCTGTCCAGGTGCCAGGAATGGTGGCCGGCTGGTGCGACGCCGTGGAGCGCTGGGGCAGCGGTAAAGTCTCGCTGGCCGAGATCCTGGCACCAGCCATCGACCTGGCCGAAAACGGCTTTGTTATTTCCCAGGTGTGTGCCGATATGTGGCTGGAGGAGGAGTCGAGACTGCAAAGACTCAACAAGCACGACGAAGACCTCCGTATTTTCCTGCCAAACGAAAACTTCACGGCCCCACACAAGGGCCAGCTGCTCACCAATACACTGTTTGCTGCCACGCTGCGCCGCATAGCCCATCAGGGCAAACGTGGCTTCTACGAGGGCCCCGTCGCAGAGGCCATTGTGCGTGAGCTCCGGTCACGTGACCACGTGATGACGACAGCGGATCTGGCGGCGCACGAGACGCTGTTTGTGGAGCCCATTTGCGTTAATGTGCTGGGCCACAAGATCTGGGAGATCCCACCCAACGGGTCGGGCATTATCGCTCTGCTGGCGCTTGGGTATATCAGCCAGCTGGACAAGGACGGAGTTATAAACCTGCGCGCCATGCAGCATAACTCGGCCGAGTACCTGCATGTGGTGATCGAGTGTCTCAAGCTTGCGTTCAAGGACTCGGACGAGCACGTCCACGACTACGAGCATTATCGACGCGCCACGGGGGTCGATCTTGCTGGCCAGCTCAAAAACCTGTTGCACCCTTCTTTTTTCAAGCAGCGCACAGCACAGTTTTCCAAGGACTCGGTGCTGGATAACAGGACGATTAAGCACGGGGTTCCCGATCCGGCGAGGCGGTCCGATACGGTCTATTTCACGGTCACCGACAGCGACGGCAACGCGTTCTCCTTTATAAATTCCATCTACAGCCATTTTGGCAGTGCCATTGTGGTACCCGGGCACGGCTTTATCCTGCAGAACCGCGGAGAAAACTTTAGTCTAAACCCGGAGTCGAAAAATTGTCTCGCCGGGAGCAAGAGAACGTACCACACAATCATCCCTAGCATGATCACCACACCTGCTGGATCGCGGGACGAGCTCTATGCCAGTTTTGGCATTATGGGCGGTTTCAACCAGCCGCAGGCCCATGTCCAGGTGTACTTGAACATGGTGCTGTTTGGGATGGATCCGCAGCAGGCTCTGGACGCGCCTCGGTTTTGCATGACGCCCCACGAGGATTACAAACACACGGACTTGGGGCTGGGATCTAATGGGCCTGTGAGCGCTCACGTTACCACAGTAAACATCGAGGAAGGAGTGCCCGAGGAAAATATTAGTCAGCTCCGAAAATTGGGGCACGATATTATAGTGCTGCGGGACGAAAAACGAACGCTTTGCGGCCGGGGTCAGGTGATTCGGCGCGAGCAGAGCGCGGGAAAGCTTGTGTATGCTGGGGGCAGCGACCCACGCGGCGACGGCGCCTCTGTACCGTTCTACTGATTGTGCTGCAAACTCAACACCGAACCCCGATGTCGGACTTCGGACTTGATGATTATTAACTTGACATCGAATCCAGCAGAGTGGAATAGTTGCTAACCAGAGTATATAAGATGACGGCATCAGCAGTCTGTCCCGGATGAGCATTAGAGATTCGGTGACAATGTTTATGAAAACTGCACGCCACGTGGAGCACCAAAAAAGCGAATTGGTACTGCTTATCGTGCTGGTCGGCTGCGCTTTTGACCTGGTCAACGTGACAGCCACTATCTCGAGCATGTCCGAAATACAACGCCATTTCAACACCACGTACTCCCAAGCGTCGTGGATTTTGTCTGCGTACGCTGTGGCATTCTCGGGGTTCATCGCCGTTTCGGGCCGCATTGGGGACATTATTGGCCACGCTGACTTATACATCTGGAGCTCTGTTTTGTTTGCGCTCTTTTCGCTGCTTTGCGGTGCTGTGGACAGTCTGACCGCACTGATAGTGTTTAGAACGTTGCAAGGAGTGGCTGCCGCTGCTCTCGTGCCGTCCGGATACGCAATTGTGGCGCGCTCGTTCCCGCCCGAAAAACTGGGCTCCCGCTTCTCTATTTTGGCCGCTGGCTTCAGTCTTTCGTTTGGCGTTGGCTATATAGTGGGCGGAGCGTTTGACCTGACATCTGTGGGGTACAAAGGCATCTACTATGTGTCCGGCGGCGTGATGTTTGTGGACGCCGCGCTGGGTTTCTTCTTCATCAAGCATATACCGCCTACGGGCGAGAAGGTGGCCAATCTGGACGCCGTTGGCTCATTACTGCTGATCGGTGCTACTACCCTCGTTGTGGTTGGCTTCACGGAGGCAGGTGAAGTGTGGAACTCGCCGAAAACGTATCTCCCGTTGCTTATGGGAGGAATTTTCTACGTGGTGTTTTATTTCTGGAACACGGAGATTTTGGCACGCATCCAACAAAGCGGCCGGCGTTTCAAGCAGACAGTTCCGCTAATGCCCAGATCGCTGCTGACGACGCTGGTACCGGTGTGTGTTTTGGTGGCTGTCTTCATGAATTACTGCACGCTGTTTGCAATCATCTCGCTGTCGGCGGAGTATTTCCAGTACGTGGAGCAAAACTCGCCGATATTAGCCGCAGTCAAGCTGGCCCCAAACCTGATCGGCATGTTCGTCGTGACGATATTGTTGTCCCTGAAAAACGACATTCTGTCGCCATACACCTCGTTCATGCTGGGCTACTCGGGGATCGTGGCCGCGGCAGCATTATGTGCGACGTGGAATAGTAACCACAGCCACTTCTACTGGCGGTGGATTGTGCCCATGCAGGTGCTCTCGTCCGCGGGCAGCAGCTTTTTCTTCCCGCACTCCCTCAACGTGCTGATCGGCGCAGCGGACCCCGACGTGCGCGGCCTTGTGTCGGGCGTGATGCAGACATTTGGCCAGGTCGGCGTGAGTCTGTGTTTTGCGGTGGTCACGTCGGTGCTGGGCAACGGCGCCAAGACAGACGATAAATTCCGCATCTGCGGCTACGTGCTAATCGCGGTGGCCTCTGTGGGCTGGCTGTGCTGTCTTGCGGTGTATATACGGGGCCACAAGACAAGAGAAAAAACCCCCGACGCATAGTCACTCTTCCTTGGAATAGAACATCTGGAAGAAAAACGGGTCGTCGTGGACAAAGCTGGAGTGGTTTTCGATCGGTAGCGGCGCAACAGAATGCCGGCTCTGCGACATTGCAAGCTCGTGCAGCGTGCCCAAAATCTGTTTGAGCGGCTCGTCCGTGTCGAGAAAGTCGGCAAACGCATGCAGCCGCTCGCTCATCAGCAGGAACGACTGGAACAGCCGCGGCTCCAGAACATGTAGGTCTTTTTTAATACAAGCAATCACAATCGCGAGGGTCTGGAAAGTATGGCAGGACACGAACGGGAACGACTCACGCAACTTGACGTAGGGCACGGGCGCGTTCTCCGTGGCAAACCGCACAAAATCCACAAACTCGTACGAAAACGCGCACAGCAGCACGTTCAACTGGTACTGCGAAAACCTGTGCTTACGTAAGAACGGGTAGTGGAGTTTGATCTGGTTGGTGAGGATCAGGAGCCGGTAGCTGCGAACGAGGAGCTGGTCTGTGTCGGATTTGCGTTCAAGCACGGCGGACATGCGGCTGTCTAGCGGGAGGATCTGGGCCTCGTACAGCGTCGGGTCCTTGCCGTAGGCCTGGAACGCGCGGTTGGTGTCGCGGTAGAGGTGGATCAATTCGCACAGCAAGGACGTGGCCGGGTCCAGAATACACGAGGTGGCGTTTGGGCGGCCGTTTGTGGACCCGATGAGGCAGTCGTAGAAGACGATGGTGCGCCAGAGCACGAGTTTGCGCTCGTCGGCGTGGTCACCTGACTCTCGCACGTGATAGCCCAGCGCGTACGCGGTGCACACGATGCTGAAGAGCAGCGACCACGTGGCCTCTATCTTGAGCGAGTACACGTAGTGCTCGAGCAACAGCACGCGCGCCTGGATCAGTTCCATGCAGTCCTCCGTGAAGAGCCCGACGCGCGAGAACTCGCGGTGGAGCACGTCGTAGATCTCGAGCGAGCATTCTGGGTTGTAGCAGGTCCCAACGAGCAGCACGCCGAGCAGCTGGCAGAGTGTGCGGCACGGGAACGAGAGCGTGTCGAGGAACAGCTCGACGGTGTGTGTGAGCTCGTAGATGTCCAGAAACTGCTCGTGCGAGCAAAACCCGGCAGTTTCGGCGTACAGCCGGAGTCCCTGGGCTATGAAGTGCTGCGTTTTGGTCTTGTCGTCGAAGAGCAGCGGAAAATCGAGATATTCCTCCTTCATGGGCTGTTCACGGCTCGGCAGCTGGCTGCCGGCCACCTCGACCACGCGACTGGCGGACGTGATGCCGAAGTAGCGCTGCGAGGGCGATTTAGTCGACACGGAGTTGGCGAGTCCTGGCGTGCGAATCGGGACGTTTCTGAAGGTGGACGGGTACTTGCAGGGGACGCCACGCCTTGCGCAGGTGGAGCACGTGGGGTGGACCTTGTCGCACCTGGTTTTTCGCTGTTTGCACGCGATGCACGAGAGACGGGTTACCATCAAGTCCGAAATATAAAAAAATAATAAATTAGCATATGCACGTACGTCTGAATCTTGTAGCCGTGGATAATATAAGGGGCCATTAGGGACGACGGCTTGAAGACAGACGTGTTGGCGAATTTTTATCACGGCTGAGCATAGGACCGCACAACCGACTCTAGCAGCCGCCGATAGATCGACGCAAACTGGTTGTAGTAGACAATTTTGTGCTCGAAAGCGCGGCAGATCTCGGCTGTCGCCAGCACGGGGCCGTTCTTGCCGTGCTGCGCGAGGTTCAGCGCGGCAAACATCATGAAGAACTTGAGCAGGTCGCTGCTTTTCACCAGCAGCATGATATCTGTGTCCTTGAAAATATCAATCAACTTCTCGCACTCTGTGTCCAGGTCCTGGATCAATTTCGGATCCAGCGTCGTCAGGTACGCTCTGCGGTACAGCATCACCTTGGAGAAGCGGTAGGTGATCACGATCACCGGGCCGACGGTGTCCTGCTCGAGAAGATGCTTCCAGTCGTTGAACGACGACTTGAGGTCCTTGAGCGATGTTTCGAGCGGCTCCTTGAACTGCAGCGCGTTGTACAGGGTGAGCAGGATAGAGAGCTGGCTGACGATGCGGCCGTCGAAGCTGGAGGCCGACGGGATATCCAGGATGTTCCGGCACTGGTCGAGCCGCAAAGTGTCGATCAGACACGGCCGGCCAGATAGTAGGCAGTAGCACAGATGCGTGAGCGCGAGCTGGTTCCAGAGCCGGAAACTCTCGATGCGGTCCGGGTGCATCTTGAACCGGTCCGACAACAGGTTGAGGTCCATCTCGCGCGTGATGTAGTGGAGCAGCGCGTAGCCGGACAGAAACCAGCCGTCGAAGTAGAAAGCCTGGTAGGACAGCGAGATGGAAAAAAGCGCAATCAGCAGAAACGCCTGGATCTGGTACTTTGTCTGCGGCACAACGAGGATCGACGCGGAGAGCAGCCGCTGGATCGTCTGGAGCAGCGAGCGGGCAAGTGCGTCCATGTTCTGGGGCAAAAGCCCGCGATAGAAGCGCAGTCCTAGCAGACACAGCACGGCGAGCAGCAACGGACACTGCGTGCGCAGCTCGTTGACGTAGTTGTGGGGCGCCGCGTAGATGTCGCCCCAGAGGCCGTAGAAGTCGATAGCGAGCCGCACGAGCTCGTTGGCGAGCGACTCCGACAGCAGGCCGCTGGCTACGACGTCGGCGTCGGCGGGGTGGGCGAGCACGAGCGGCCAGATTCCGTGGGCCAATTCCTTGCTGAAGGGGATCTGCGTCATATCGCCCGCGCGTCGGACGTCCCGGAACGGCGTCACGTCGAAATACAGCTTGTCAAGCAGGTTTGACGCCTCGGGCTGGTTATCGAGCTCCTGGTCGACCATCTCGGCGGCGCGGCGCACGCCCAGCAGCAAGTCGACCTTGCTGAGCACCTCGTCGAGTTTCTGAGAGATGGAGGCGTTTTCCGTCGAGGAAATCGCGTTTTGCGAGATGAGCGAGTCTGTCAGGTTGACGTCAGCAAGCGAGCACCTTATGCCCAGATTGGTGCACCGGAAACACGTCTGGCCGTTGTTGAGGTAGTGGCAACGTGTTTTGGAGCGACGGCACTGCGAGCAGGCGAGGGCTGCTCGCCGCACGTGGAACTTGGGCGTCCTGTTTGGAGAGCTCTTTTTCATACGAGTACAGAATTTTTAATATTTGGTAAAACCGTCGGTCAATATGGCGAGATATTTTTCACCGTCCACACTGGCCACGGCGTCGATTTGCGGCAGGTCCTGCCACTTGAAGTTTTTGCGGCGGTCCACCACGATCTGGCCTAGCGCAATGTCCGACTTGGTCTCCACCAGACAGTCAACCTTTTCGGTTTTCATGATGGACTCGTCGATGGCGTATGCCACCGCCAGCGAGTCTATAAGGGCGCAGTAGTCGCCGAAGCCGCGGCGTCTGAGCCACGCAAGCACGCCAAGCACGAATGTCGCCGCCGGAGACTTCGACTTGGCCAGCTTTTCCTGGTACTTCTGCGTCATCGCGATGCAGGGCTGACAGAAGATATCCATGCCTATGGCTGTAAGGTTGAACTTGGCCCCCCACACTAACTCGGCTGCCTCCGGGTCCACATAGATGTTCCACTCGCTCACCGGGTTGTCGCCCGTCGCGTGCAGCGCCTCCGACGGCGAAAATCCAAAAGAGCCCCCGATAATGATCACTTTCTCCACCTTCCGGGGCAACTCCGGGTCCTTGATCAGGGCAAGCGCTAGGTTCGTCAGTGGACCCAGGCAAACGATGCTGATGTCGCCCGCATGCTTGTTGACGGTGTCGACGATCAGGTCGCTCGCCACAGCGACAGTGTTCCCGGTAGCGTCCCACGGCTCTGTGGACAGCTCTGGCATGCCCAGGTCGCCCAGGCCGTCGGAGCCGTGCGAAAACGGGTCGCGCGGGTATTTGCGAACGAGAGGCTTTTCAGGACCTTGTCCGATGGGCACATCCAGCCGGTTGATCATGGATAGCACTTTCTTGAGGTTTTGGGTGCAGGAGCTGGCCCTAAGGTTGCCCGACACGGTGGTGATGGCCCTGACGTCCAGGTTTCCCGGCGCCAGAGCCAGCAGCAGCGCACTGGCGTCGTCGATGCCCGGGTCGCAGTCGATTACAACCTTTCTCATAAAAACAGAGATAAATGTTTAGCAGTCTAAATTCTTGTATTTCCCGTGTGGCTATCCGACGGAGATACCGACGGCCACCTTTTTTTGTTCCCGTAAAAAATTTTTATCGCATCATTTTTCATTGCTTTGTTTTTTTAGACAATGTGTCAAAGATAATAGGCACCAAGAACGTCAATAGTGCCAAGCTCATGGCCATCGCACTCGCGTGCGCCATCATCAACGGTTGCACCATGGGAGTGGACCAGAGCATGATGACCAACCTTAACATGATCGACCAGTATCTGGAGTTTTTCAACCTAGACTCCAGCATGGAGGGGCTTTTTTCCGCCGCCATCAACATCGGGTCTGTTTTCGGAGGTTTTTTTGCTGCTCAGCTGATTGATATTCGCCGCGTGGGGCGCAAGGGAGGCATGTTTATTGCTGCGGTGCTGACGTTTCTGGGCGTGGGTTTGCAGACCGGTGCCCGCAACAGAGCCATGTTCATCGTCGGCCGGATTATCATCGGCGTGGCCGTCACCATCAACGCGGTCAGCGCCCCAACATACGTCGCCGAGATGGTCAAACCGCAGCACCGCGGCTTCTTTGCTGGCATTTACATGGCCAGCTGGTACTTGGCGGCAATAATCACCACGGGCATCTCGCTCGGCACTTACACGGAAAAATCCAGCTGGGCATGGAGAGGCATTTCCCTGTGGCAGATCGCGCCTTCCGTGCTGTGTCTGCCGCTGCTCGCCTTCATTCCAGAGACTCCGCGGTTCCTCGTGTACACCGACCGCGAAGACGAGGCCCTGCAAATTCTGAAAAATTACCACGGCAATGGCCACGAGACGCCGCTTGTGGCTCTCGAGTTTGAGGAAATCAAGCAGGTCTTGCACTACGAGAAGGAAAACAAAATCGGCTGGATCAGCATGCTGCAGACCAGGGGCAACCGCTGGAGACTGTGGATCATTTTCTGGATGGGCGTGGCCTCGCAGCTGACGGGAAGTAACATCGTGGGCACTTACTTGGGCCTGTTTCTGGAGAACGCCGGCTACACATCAACGAGACGACAAATCGTGCTGAACCTCGGTCTGCAGATCTCGAACCTGTTCTTTGCATCTGCCGGCTCGTATTTGACCGAGGGCCTTGGCCGTGTGTTCATCCTGCTGTGGTCCACAGTGCTCATGGGTCTGTGTCTGTTTATCATGGGAGCGGTCCAGATGTACTACTCCGATGGCACCAATGTCAACGCCACCAACGCCCTGATCTTCATGGTGTTCCTGTTCAGCGGCACATATTCCTTCAGCTATACGCCGCTGTGTGTGTCGTATCCCGTGGAAATCGTCAATTACAGTATTCGGACCAAGGGCATGGCCTTCTCACAGGTCGTCACGTTCGGCTTCGGCTTCTTCAACCAGTACGTGATTCCGATTGCGCTCGACCACATCTCTTGGAAATACTACATGATCAACGGTGTGTACAATCTTGTGCAGGCGGTGATTATCTGGTGGACATTTGTCGAGGTCAAGGGCCTGACGCTGGAGGAGATTGACAAAAAATTCGACGGCGAGGTGCACTACCATCTGGACGACACGATCACCGAGGTCACGCAGCTCGAGAGACTCGACACAGAGAAAAACTGAACGAGAGCCCTGGTGGCCCGTTGCTATTAATTCTGCTTTTTTATGGACTTTTCCTGATAACGTTTACTTCCTCGAATAAAATGTAGGTGCGAGGTGTAGTCGAGTGGTGCGACCCATGGCGCCTTCCGCAACGCCCACTGTGGCGTTGCTGCACAACCCTGATCGCCAAACCGGACGGCCCTGCCGTAATCCGGCATCAGATCGCGATACAGGGCTTATCTTTAGGGTCCAGAAAAGCCACCCATATGTAATAATTTTCTACGCTGCTAATTTTGGGCAATGGCGCGATGCAAAGCTCGCTACTGATGAGCCCCCGTCGCTGAGACTTCCCAAATTTTGGCAAAGAAAATTTTTGCGCAGCGTCGACTCCTGCACGCCAGGCATGACAGATTCGTTAAATGCCGTAGTTGTTATCAGACCCAAAGGTGTTATCTGCAGGTCTTATCTCTCAGCGCATTTTATATATCCTTGATCAAAATGCATATATACCACCGTTTCGCTTTCCCTTTGACAACCAACCAATGTCTGAAGTCCCGGAAAAAAACAGCCCTGTGGCTAGCAAGTCCAACTACCTCTTCACCGAGGAGGTGGTGTCCGAGAAAGAGCAGCTAACCGAGGTCCACCGTGGTCTCAAGAGCAGACACGTCCAACTGATCGCGCTCGGAGGAGCTATCGGAACAGGTATTTTTGTCGGTACCGGGTCGACGCTGTCGTCGTGCGGACCCGCAGGCCTGTTGGTCGGCTACCTGATCTTGTCCTTCTTCGTCTGGTGCATTATGAACCAGCTCGGCGAAATGGTGTCGTATATCCCCGTTTCCGGCCAGTCCACCATGCACGCTCTGTGTGAGCGCTACACGGGCAACAAGTCGTTTGCGTTTGCTGCCGGCGTGAACCTCTATTACGCCCAGGCGCTGATTGCGCCTTCCGAAATGACTGCCGCCGCTTTTGTGATCCAGTACTGGACCGATGCCAACGTGGCCATCTTTATTTCTATCTTCTGGGTCTCGTGTGTGGCGCTCAATTTCTGCGCGGTGAAATTCTTCGGCGAGGTCGAGTTCTGGATCTCCTCCATCAAGATCATCACCATCGTTGGTCTTATCATTGTTGGAATTATCATCTTCTTCGGCGGAGCACCTGCATCTGACGGTGTGCTCGGCTTCCACTACTGGAAACACCCAGGAGCCTTTGTTGAGCACCTTGTCCCAGGAAACACCGGCAAATTCCTTGCGTGCTGGACCGGAATCGTCAAGAGTGCGTTTGCTTTCGTTCTCAGCCCGGAGCTCATCACCGCCTGTGCTGCCGAGGCTGAGGCCCCAAGATCGAATCTGCCAAAAGCCTGCAAGAGATTCATCTACAGGCTCGCCTTCTTCTATATCGTGGGTGTCATCGTTGTCGGAGTGATTGTTGGCTCGAACGACCCTCGGCTCATGGACGCCGTCAACTCGGGAGCCAGCACTGCTGCCGGCTCGCCATACGTGATCGGAATCCAGAACGCCGGTATCAAGGTGCTCAACCACATCGTCAATGCCGCCATCCTCACTTCGGCATACTCGTGCGGTAACTCGCAATTTTTCGCCGCCACCAGAAGCTTGCACTCGATGGCCTGCAACGGAGAAGTGCCGGCCATTTTTGCCCGCTGCACCAGAAACGGTGTGCCAATCTACTCGGTCGCCCTTACAGGAGCCATTGCCTTGCTCGCTTTCCTCAACTGCTCCAACTCGTCCGCCAAGGTGTTCACCTGGCTCACCAACATCTGCACGATTTCCGGCTTCATCTCGTGGATTTTCGTGTCGCTCACATACCTCCGTTTCAGAAAGGCGATTTCGTACCACGGCCTCGACGACAGAATCGTGTTCAGACCACCGTTACAAAAAGCGGGTGCCTACCTGAGCGCCGGCTTCTTTATTGTCATCACCATCACCAATGGTTACGGTGTGTTTTTCGATTTCAATGTTGCCGACTTTTTCGCCGCATACATCACGCTGCCTATTGTGTTTGCCCTCTATGTGGGACATATGCTGTGGTTCAGAAACTTCCACCTCTTCGCTCCACCGGAGGAGATCGACTGTATTTCTGGTCTTGAGCAGATCGAGAAGGAGGCCGCCGAATACGTGCCGCCAAAGCCAAAGAACTTTGTGGAGAGAATCTGGTTCTATATCGCGTAAATATGTTATCTTCAATTTACGGCAGTTGCCGCGACTATTTTCTGTGCATATGATTATGTAATGTTGCGTCTTGAGCCAACTCAAGCACAACTAGGTCGTCCCAGCTAGTGGCGGTCTCTGCCGCACTGGATTCAATCTCAAACTCTTCAAAGGCAAACTTTTCGGTGCGATGCCTTGCCCAGTATTTGAGCGTGCCCAATTCGGCCAGCCTGACCAGGTCCTTGGCCTCGTCTCTGGTGTACATCGTTTTTAACCGGACAGTGAGATTTTCAAATCTGAGGTCAATTGGCATGATAGTCCGTGGTTGGGACAGGTCGCCCTCGGTGACAAATCTACTCTTGTAGGCCAAAAATTTGAGCCATGGTAGCAGCTAGATGCTTCGGTGTAGACAGCTCAAGCCGGTGATCTATAATTGCGGGCCGAAGGGCTTTCGCTAAACGTATGTGACAGCTCGGGCCAAGGACTCCCTAAGAGGCCGCCGTAATGGACAGGAGACAAGCTAGACTCGGCAATGTCTCTGGCTATTCCGCTAGCGTCGCGAGTTAAATAATCAACCAATTTTTCAATAACTTGTGCCCCACGCAAAGCTGGTCGCATTAGCTGCGAAAACGAGGTCAGCGCGGCCACAAGCTGTCGTGCCACCCCAACAGTTTTCTCCCGTGCATAAATGGCGTGCTCGTTGAGAAATGCGTCCACCAGGAGAAATGACATTGCCGATACCGTCATATCAGCCAGAAACCACGGCTTTTTGTATGATGTTGGGGTATCGTCTGAGAGGTAGATCTTGACAATCTGGTCGGCATGTGCAAAGGAGCGACGGTGGTATTTTTGGAGCCACTCAGACCTGGATAGGCAGGAGGCGATTTTGCAATAGATGGTGAGTTTCTCGTACAGCAGAATGAATTTGATAAGAAATTTAATTTGGAGCGAGCACGGCATGCTAGAAGAAAATTGCTCCAGGTCAGATGCCTGCTCCATTTCAAGCTCGTGCAGCTCTGCCTCTGCAGTTATAAGTTGGTCTAGCGATGGGGATGGGTTATAGTAATACCGTTTCTTGATAAGTGCAACCCGCGCGTTGAAGAAATGGTAATAGGTGTGCTCGTTGATTTTCTTAGCCAGTGCATATTTACAAGGCAATGGCGTCGAAAAGCTATTCAGCTGGATGGAGGAGTAGCGAAAGTCGGAGTCGTGCCAATCGATAATAACCAGCGACCACCAACACAAAATTTTGATACTGTCATCTGAAGCAGATAACTTGTCGAGGTCCAGCAGTCGTGCGTGGTAGCACATCACTTCTAGCAAACAATTCTGCAAGTTGTAACCGCCCAGCATCGGAGAACATAATCTCAAAAGACAGAGGCACTGCACCGACATCACATCAGGATAGGTGAGAATCCGTCCACGCATCAAGCACTGGAAAGCACATGAAAAAAACACCTTGGGGTATAACTCCCACTCCTCGCTAGAATACCCTATTTCCTGCTGGAAACAATCGTCCGAGTAGTATAACCCGATGCATAGTAACAAGTAATACTGGCACATAAAGAGATACTTCCGTTTGTCTTTGGAGTAGAATGGTGCAATATGTCGTTCTGTCTCTGTTTCCCAGTGTTTGTTATATTCCGTCCAGAACTGGTTCCAGTCTATCACGTTATACAAAAATGAAACATTACGTGCTTCCAGGAGTATTTTGTCCGAAACGTGCTTTTGTAGACCTTTGACCTTTTCGTAGTAGTAGCACCACACATCTTCATTTTCCACCGCCGGGACCTCGTAATCCGCAAGCAGCCAGTCCTCCGTGTCTGCTAGACCTGTTTCCTCACTTAACCATCCCAGACACATCTGTTTGGCAGACGCAATTGCGTGAACGTAATAACTCCAGTTATTATCCTCGATTTGCTCGATTTCAAGATCCTGCGTGCTTCCATCGCTGTCTTGGTGGTTTCTAAGCTGCAAAATAAGTTCCTCTAGCTCATCCACTTTGTTCTTGAGTATTTGGTTCTCCTGTATAACGTCTAACTCTTGATCCACCTGCTCCATTTCCGCGTCCGGCTCTCGAGTGCACAGGCTTGCTCGGTTGCGATCTATGCAGCGGCTACACGGGATCTCAAAATTACACTTTACCCTTCGCTTTCTGCAACTTATACACGCTCTGGACTCCTTCTTCCGCCGTTTGTAACTCTCATGGCTCCCTCCCGTAGACATATCTGGGGAGTTATTTTTGTTATCTATTTTTTCATGCATATGTTTTCCGAATCAAGTATATTTTCGAGGATCCTCAAACTACGCCTGCGAGGCAGACTACAGTGTAGAGGATGTGCAAGATAGACTCATAAACCACAAGTGGTTATTTTTTAAAAGCAAAATTATCATTTAAAAACCACGGCCGCCGCCGCTTGTGATAGCCGAAGATAACGATTTTCAGAGATAACAGTTTGCAATGAAAATTAAGCATCAATTTACAAAAATAAAAGCTTTTCATGACTCCAAATAGGCAATTCCTTAGGTCCCCCATGGAGCATGTAGAGAGTTCAATCTCGAAAGACACATACGTGTCTTCTTCGCCCACGCTACTTACAGGAGAGCGGCTAACGCAAACTGTTCCCGTACCCAAGCCTCGTATTCTTGCAGAAATGATTCCCGAAACTGAGTTATTCCAAAAACCAGATGGGGGCACAACTATAACTCCACATTTGTCTAGAGCAAAAAGGTCCAGGGATGCAGAAATGGTGACTGCAATGCGTAAGTTTGAAAACGACCAGGACTATTTCTACACAAAGTTGAAACAGATCATGGAGCCTCCGTCGCAACAGGGGTCACCGCTACCTGAGTTATCACAGATTATGGATAGTCAAGGAAACTATCTACTGGACCAAATTTATAGATCGCTAGATTTATCCGGAAGTCCCTCAAGCTGTACCGATGATGTGACGATCGTGAAGCATTTTTTCACCCGGTTATTGCCATCAGTATCTTCAAGTTATACTCCATTGTGGCCAGGAGCTGCTATTCAGTACTGCGACAAAAGTATTGTTCGGAGTTGCTTTGTGTCTCTCGGAGCGCTCCATCTTGCCGGCTGGGTCACCGACACCGACGCCAAACGCAAACTACTGGAGAAAGGCGCCCTAAATATCAACAATACCCTCGATTATCTTCTACGCTTCATACAGGACAATAACATCCATAACTCTCTCATGAACAGCAACTTCCAACCCAACGACACATCCACAAACATCCTCAGCTCCAAAAAATCGGTTTTCTTCGTGTGCTTCATGCTCTACGTTCAGGTACTATATGGTATCCTTGAGAATGGCCGTTCTGGGTTATCTAGGGTGTTTTTCAAGTTATTTTCTCAGCTGGTAGAACATAGCACATTCAACATAGCACAGGAACTTGGCCAGGCCAACAAGACTCTTTGTGTAAGCATGGCCTGGTGGGACACAGTGTCCGCTCTTGTTTCACCGGATTGTCGCACACCATACTGTAATCCTCGCTGGTATAACTTGGATAGGGACATAGAGGAACAGTCTGGGTGTCCGGGGCAGTTATTTGTGTGCATGTCAAAGTTATGCCATCTTCGCAATGGGATAAAGCACAACAAGCTCCTAGGCACTGAAATCAAAAAATTGTATTGCGAGCTGCGCACAGAGTTGTCTGATTACAGAATGTACGTTTCCTATAACTTGCAACCGCCAAAGCCAAGCAAATATTCCGATAAAGGCTATTATCTGATGAGACTCAAAATTGCACAATGCTGGTCATTGGCCATATTGACCAAACTCCTAAGCACCGTGAGACCACACAAGGAACACCAGTCCATTATAGAGCATATTGGATGGGAATTCGCAGACGTGTACTCCTCGCTCGACAAATCGTTGCCATTGGTGGCACACATGATATGGCCAGTTATGCAGATTGCCTGCGAACACAAAGATTTCATATCGTATCTGAAAGGAATCGAAGGAGTTTTCAACTCGTCCAGCTTCTCCATGGTTGTGAACCTGGCGAACGCTGTCTGGTCCAGCGGGGAGTCACTGGATGAAATACTAGCAGGAAAAACATGGTTTGCAGCTGGTATAGATCTGCTACCTTTATAGTTGGTTATAGGTCTTACAAATATCACCCCAGAGCTTGATACCCTCCACTATGGCGGCCTTGGATAAGAAACTGATCGATAGACGTGCTGCCTGTGCCCCCCATTCACGAGAGTCTCCCACAACTTCAAAGTGGTCTCCGTTCGCCAGTATGAGTCCCCGTTTAGCTGCCATTTCACATATAACTCGGCAGTCATAACCATCCGGTAAAGTTATCCAAACAAAGTAGCCACCATCGCCACCATCCATTCTGGTGCCCCTTGGCAAGTATTTCTCAACAGCCTCTTTCAAAGCCACCGCCCTCTCTGAGTAAACTTTGCAAAGATTGTTGACAATATTATCCATTGCTCCCGTCTTGATCATTTCACCGATTATAACGCTGTTTGTGTGAGACGGAGCTCCACCGGAAATATTTGCTCCACCATAGTGTATCTGTGTTACCAACTTTGGAGACACAGTTTCCTGCCAACCAACACGAAGCCCCGGGCCGGCCAGTTTTGAGAAAGTTGCGTTGGAGATGGTGTTGCCGTACGCTTCAGTGTCCGGCAGGGTCTGCTTGTCGCAGTAGACAAGACGAGGAATCAGTTTTTCACCCTTATAATTGAGAAGATCGTACACGTCGTCGCAAATAATCAAAACATCGTGTTTTCTTGCCAACTCAATTAGTTTGTGTCTTGTAGCGAGTGTCAGAGTGCCTCCTCTTGGGTTTGAAAAGGTGGGAGTCAAATAAAGAACGTATCTGTAAACCTTTTTTTGCACTTTTGATGGATGCTGGATGGCCTGTAAATCTTCTGGTTTTGGCGGCTTTATTTCTTCAAGCGAGTCATAGTAATGCAGCTTGCTGGCAAACTCTTCCAAGTCCAGCTGGCCATCAGAAAGCTCCTCAATACCCGTTAGCTTGCCCCCAAAACCGGCATCGATGAAGGTCGAGTTGATAAGGAAATATGTGGGTGTAACCAAAAATGCTCTCCTGGTTATACCGTTATGCGGTGAGGTTGTCTGTGCAAGAATATTCATAACTCCATAACTGGCACCATTACTCAGGTTGATGCAATTTGCCTCAGAGCGAACATCCATCTCGAAGCAGCGGTTATTCCAGTCTGCTATAGCCTGTCTCACCTCCTCGTTTCCCAGTCCAAGACCATATTGCAATGGGTGTCTGTTGAATACGTCATCGTAGCAGTTTTCATTCTCTATGACACGGTTATAAACTTCCGTCGTGGCGTCCAGCACCTCCTTTGTTGGTAGCAGGTACGGAGAAGGGTGACCCCTGAAAAAGTTATACTTGGGTGGCATTATAGGTGAAGATGCCATGGGACTGATACTCAAATATATACTTTTGCAGCGTCCAAATCAGGAAACAGGAATACTAGAGCCGAATTACCCTGAATCGATAAAGTTTCGATAACATAACTATCCATATTTAAAAGGTGTGCTTATCTCTACCACTTATACCGAAAGTGGATGTTTTGCAAATCCGTGAGGTCCTTGAAGTCGGTATCGTTATGGTCCTCCACTTTCAGGGCGCCCGGATCTTTTTGCTCACGCCTGCAGTTATCACGATAACACAGGAACATGTAAATCAGCAGCGAGAAAATGCTCAAAGCGTACGCCCCGAAAATAGAACCAATTCCCAGCGAATAAGAAGGAGCTTGATCTGCTTTGAAGAACTGCGGGCCAATGATGTTGGACACAGAGTACGCAATAAAGTAAATAGCATTGCACGTGACTTTCTTCGTATAGCCAGCGGTGTTGGCCTGGATCAGCGTCAAAGAGGCGATATAAGGGCCCAAATAAAAGAATGAAAAATAGAGCGAAATAAGCCGGCCTCTGTAGTTGGTGTATGGAAGCTTGTACAGCAATATGGCGGAGATCAAGGCGGGGATGAGGTAGCCGATCATGACAAAGCCTCTGGACTTGGCATTAGGCCATTTCTTTTCGATGAAGAATATCGTGAATGTGGTGAACCAAGAGGAAGCTGTCTGCATAACTCCGTTGACAGTTCCCAGCAGCGCGGAATAACGTGACGACCATCCGAGGCCTTTCACGATCAACGGTGAAAAGTTGGTGAGCCCACCGTTTGGAATCGAGATAAAGATCTGGAAGAAAAACATGACCCAGACTTTTGGATCCAAAAGTGCCTCTCTGAACTGCTCCCACTTCCACTTCTTAGACTTGATACCTGTTTGGTTCTTCTTGACCTGGTGGATGATTATGGCTTTCTCCTTTTCAGATAACCAAAAGCAGTTTGCGGGTGAACTTGGTAGCAGGAAATAAATGATAACTCCCCATCCGATGGACATGGCACCTGTTATCCAGTAGAAAGCTCTCCATGGCGAGTAGGAGACATTGGTATAACCTCCAACCGCGTAACCGATCGGCCCTGTAAACAGCGTCGATAACCCAGTGTACATCAGACCGGTTCTCAATGGCTGGTCCTCACGGGTATAAAATGAAGAAATAACCAGCAGTGTCATGGCCACGACTGGAGATTCAAGAACTCCAAGCAGCACACGACTCACAATCATTGGCACAAATGCCTTTGCAAAACCAGAACCAATCAGAATGGCTCCCCATAAGATGAAGCACACCGAGCCCACAGTTATGATAGGAAATCTCTGCAACAACCAGCCAGCTGGGAAACAAAAAAGAAGATAACCAAAGTAAAACGAGGAGCCAATCCAGCTGTACTCATCTCCTTTCAAGTTGAGGTCGGTCTTGAGACCGTACAAAGCGGCCGTAGCGGAGGTCACTTTGTCCATGGCAGCGATGGAGACGTTGAGCCATAGAAATGGCACAAGATTGAGGTCGACCTTCCACCTGGCCTTCCGCAACTCTTTTTTCGTATAACCGTCCTTAATTAGATGGACATACTTGGCACCAATGTCGTCGCCCTCTTCCACCACCACCGAGGGGGCCTCCTCGACAGAAGCCATACTGATATCCTTGACACTCAGGTTTCCTGCTAATTTCTCTGCCATCGTTGCAGATCCAAGGGTGGTGCCATGTGCTTTTATAGGCTCCGACGGCCCCTCTTCGTTCCACCCTTACTACCTGGATATCTGCGACCCCAACATTGGCGATAACTGATAAGCTTTGGAGGACACATCCGAAATTACCCCTTTGGGAAGTGGGCCTATCTCAACGGTGGTTATAAATGTTTGGGGCCGAAGCCATGTTGAGTTATCATGACAGTGGCAACTAGAGATAACAGGCTCCAGGCGGAAGTCGACAAGATCGAGAAATGGTGGAAATCTGAAAAACAAAGCAGGCTTCAGCGGCCTTACTCGGCCCTCGATGTGGCCAGAATGAGAAACTCCATTGAACTAAACCATCATGTGTCCTCACAGCAAGCCATCAAGTTGTGGAAGTTATTCGAGGAGAAAGTTGCCAAGCAAGAGCCCTTGCTCACTTACGGTGCTGTTGACCCAATTCTGCTGTCCCAGCTATCCAAGGCAGGACTTGAGGTCGGTTATGTCAGTGGGGCCGTGTGCGGTTTTTCCAACGTAGCAGAGCCGTCAATGGATACGGCCGACTACCCCTGGGACACGGTTCCCAACACAGTGCAAAAACTTGTCAACTCGCAGTTATGGCATGACCGGCGCCAGAACCATTTGAGGTCATTGATGACCCCTGAGGAACTTGCTGTTACACCAGAAATTGACTATTTAGTGCCACTCATTGCCGATGGCGATATGGGTTTTGGCAGCACCACGGGGATCATGAAACTCACCAAGAAGTTTGTGGAGGCAGGCGTGGCTATGTTCCATCTTGACGACCTGGCCATCGGAATGAAGCGGTTCACGATCGGCGAAGGCAGAACTGTTGTGCCTACGTGCGAGTATCTTAAAAGGCTTACGGCCGCGCGGTTCCAGCTGGACCTCATGGGCGCAGAGACGTTGCTCATGGGCCGTGCCGACTCGCTGCACGCCGAGTACATTACCTCGGTTATTGATCCACGTGACCATGGTTATGTACAAGGTGTGACAAATCCTGAGTGCGAGCCTCTGTTGGAGGCAATGGTGAAGGCACAGCGGGAAGGCCGCGACTACAAAAGCACGCGCAAAGCGTGGCTGGAAAAGGCGGGTCTGATGACTTTTGACGAGGCGGTCCAGCAGGTCGCCACGCCAGAGGAGTATGAAGCATACATGGCTCTGTTCAAGAATTCCAAGTTCAAGAGTATAACCGAGAGAAGGGCCCATGCTGCAAAGACTGTTTCCAAGCCAGTCTTCTTTGACTGGGAAGCTGCTCGGTCCTCGGACGGCCAATACTTCTTCAAGCACACGCTGGAACACGTTATTGACCGTGCCATTGCCGCATTACCTGTGACAGACACCACCTGGGCTCGCATGGACGCTCCAAAATGGAGCGAGATTGTTGAGTTCCACGAGAAATTGCGGGCAATTGATAACCGTAGAGCATACGGGTTTGGTTATACTGGTCGTTATGACTACTATGCGGCAGGCTTCACTGAGGAGCAGTTCAAAAACTTGCACTGGGAGCTTGCCAAGTTGGGCATTGTATTCCAGACGCAGCCAATCTACGCGTGCCAGGGTCTGAACATGGTGAGCCTTGAGTTTGGCAAGATGTTCAAGCAGGAGGGAATCTATGGTTACGACCGTGACATAATTCAGTTCTGCAAGAAAAACAACACCGACGGATTTGAGACTTCGTGGTGCGGCGCCAAACTGTCGGATGACCAGATGTTTGCAGCCGACTCGCTGGACGTGACTTTGCCGTTCTGAGTCCTGATTTGGAGGGTGATAGGAACAGCACTTCCTCCTGCCTCTTTAGGAAATAGAGATAACACACATATAACTAGAGTTTATCGGCCTCTTTTGTAGCAACATGAGTAACCTAATTGCGCAGTTTGAGACCGACGTGTCCGAGATAAAGCAGTTCTGGCAGTCGGACCGCCAAAAACACCTCAAGAGACCGTACTCGGCAGAAAAAGTTGCCGCTATGCGCAGCTCCGTGCACATCGACTATGTCTCGTCTGTGCAAGGCAACAAGCTGTGGCAGCTGCTTAACAAGCATCGCAAGGAAGGCACGCCTCTACTCACGTTTGGCTGTGTCGACCCGGCCACCGCGTCGCAGATGTCCCGTGCCGGAATCGAGGCCGTGTACGTTTCAGGTGGTGTGTCTGCTCTGCAAGTGGCAGACGAAATTGGCCGTGACCACGCGGACTATCCGAGCGACACGGTGCCGAAAGTTGTGGCGCGGCTTTTTAAAAGTCAGTTATTTCACGATCGCAGACAAAAGTCCTACTATCTCGGCCGCTCTCCCGCCGAGCAGGCAGAGATCCCCATCTACGACTATCTGCTGCCAATGGTGGCCGACGGCGACATGGGCTTTGGCAGCGTCACGGCTATAATGAAACAGACCAAGATGTTTGCGGAGGCCGGCACGGCAATGGTGCACTATGATGACCTGGCCATCGGGCTCAAGAAATTCACCGAGAAAGTGGGCCGTACTGTCGTCCCGCTAAGCGAGTACCTACGCCGGCTGACCGCGGCACGGTTCCAGCTGGATGTGCTAGGATCCGAGATGCTGCTCATGTCACGCGTAGACTGCTACCACGCCGAGTTCATTACGTCCGTGGTGGACACGCGGGACCACAAGTACGTGCGCGGGGCCACGGTAGCAGGGGTCGAGCCATTTATCCGCGCCATGAACCGTGCTCTCGAACGGGGCGAGGATGCTGCTGAGGCGCGTTCTCGGTGGCTCCAACAGGCCAAAGTTATGACGTTCCCGGAGGCTGTCAAGCAAGTGGCCACGGCAGAGGAGTATGCAGCCTTCTGCCGCCTTTTTGAATCCCGTCCTGCGCCAAGCTTGAACGAGATGCGCACTTTTGCCGAAAAAACGGTGGCCACCAAAATTTACTTCGACTGGGACGTGGCCCGCACCAGCGTCGGACAGTACCTGTACAAAGCGTGCCCACAAGCAGTTATAGAGCGCGCTGTGGCTGCCATGCCGCTCACAGACACCACGTGGGCGCGCATGGACACTCCGGTCTGGCGCGATATCGTCGAGATCCATACGGCTCTGCGCGCCGTCGACAGCGAGCGCTGTTTTGGGTTCGGCTTCACGGGAAGTTTCGATTACGAAGCGGCAGGCTACACATGGCAGGAGGTATGTGAGCTGCCCGTGAAACTTGCCAAAATGGGTATTGTGTTCCAGACACAGCCGATTTTTGCGCTCCAGGGCGTCAACATGTACGTGTACGAGTTTGCACGGATGTTCAAGAAGGAAGGTATTGCAGGTTATGTACGTGACGTCCAGCGGCCGTCGCTGGCGGGTGGTCACGACCACAGCGGCACCCCGTGGGGCGGAAACTACTTTGCCGACGAGTGTCTGAACGTGGCCAATAGTATGGATATAACTATGAATAACTAAATCACCCTAAGGTTATTTTTTTATTTGATAAGATAAGCACTTTTTTTTCTTTATGGTGCTCAACAAAGAGACTCGCCAGATCAAGTTTTCCATTCAAAAACCCAAAAAGTCGCCCATAAAACGCAGCGGCCAGCCAGCGTGTGTACGCTGTCGCCGTCGCCACGCCAAGTGCGACGGAAACGGGGGGCCTTGCTCCCAGTGCGCGGCCGCGCGCAAGAAGTGCGAGTACCAGCAGGCCGAGCGCAAGGTGCTTCTCAAGGAGTCCGTCGTGGCGGAAATGCGCGACCACGCGGCACAGCTCGCGGCCGAAAATGCACGGCTGCGCGCACTGCTCGATGACGCGGCGCCATCCAAGGGACATACTCTTGTCGACACCGAGCTACACAGCTCGCTTTTGCAAGATAACCCGGCAGCCATAACCAGTATGACCGTTGTTGTGTCTAAGATCGGCCACATCTGCAACGTCGCCGTCGGCACGGCTGCCGCGCAGGTGTTTTTGCCCTTCTACAACGACGCGCTCGCCGCCATCGACACGTTTGAAGCGTACACCGCGGGCTACTACTTTCTCAACGGCGGCGTGCTCAAACAAAAATTGTACGAGTTATACGACGCCGACGAGATCGACAGCCTGCCCTCGCACGCCAGCGCCCTCGCCCTCTGCCAGCTCGAGCTTGTCCTCGCCCTTTCCGAGCTGTTCCAACGCCCAGGACCGTGTGCCACTCCAATCCGGCTGTCCGGGCTGCTCCTGGCCTCCGGAGTAGTTCACAACGTCGCAAGCATAGATGGCCTCGAGACCCTGCTGCTGTACAGCTATTTCCTCCTACAGACGCGCGGTCTCGACGCCGCCAGTTATACTTTGCAGGCCGCTCGTCTCGCACTCACACGCCAGTACCACTGCGACGCAGAACAGGACCACTCCGCCGCCACAGAGCACCGCCGCCGGCTGCTCTGGACAATATACGTCCAGGAACGCGTGATCGCCGCCGCCCAGGGCTCGCCGGTGCTGCTGCACGACCATATTCTCCGGTGCGAGCTTCCTGGCACTGCCCGCTTCGAACACCAGCATCCGTTCGTGTTCCCAGACCCGGAACCGCAACTCGAACTCGTTGCCGTGACCAAACTCAACTGTATGGTCTTACGTAAGCTGCACCCGGCACCCGCCAACTGCATCGCCACGGTGCGCGAGATGGTGGTGGGTCTGCTGCGCTGGAAGCGCGCTGTGCACGAGAGCGTCGACTGCGACTATAGTCTCAAGGAGGTGCACAACTCGCGCGCCACGGCCAATATCATGCTCGAGTACTTCCAGGGCCTGAATCTCGCCGTGCGCCCGCTGCTGCTCGAGCACTCTGTCGCCCAGCGCGGCCGCGGCTTCATGAGCCTGCAAGACTGCCCAAGCACAGAGCTCTCGCTGCTCAACGCGTCGTTCCAGGCCTCCATGAACACCGTGCGGTGTCTCTGGAGCCTGTGGGAGACCAACCAATTTGTGCAGGGCGGCCGCTCCGATTTGGAGTATCTGTACAGCGCGGTGGCGACGCTCGTGCTGTTCAACGTGACATTCGGAGTGCACGAGACCACGCGATTCCACATAGACCACGCGCTCGCGGTGATGCACAGCCTGGCGCAGTGCGACGGAGCGCGGCTCGGCAGGCTCTTCCTGGCACAGACGCTGGCGCTGCTGGAGGCCCTGGACGGCATCGAGCAGCCACTGCTGGCACGTTACCGCACAGACGACCCTGCAACCACACACCAGGGCTTTGCGGCCAACGTGTCGGTCGACGAGATGCTCTCTGCTCTTCTGGTCACGTGACGTGCGAGCGAGCCGAAAAATGTCGCTCCCAAAAAGGCAGGCGCGATATGGGTCCGAAATAAATAGAATATAAAGATAAGATTCTGGCCCCGGGGAAGTCAATGGAGGACACTTTTGTGGCGATACTGGTGTGCGACACGCAAATCGACACACTCCGCGAGTTCGGCGATTTTGGCGACCAGGCAATAGCGCTCTTTCGTGCAGCAGGCATGTCAGACACATTGTTCCGCAAGTACGACGTGATCAGCAAAATGGAGTATCCGACGGCCGACGAGCTGCAGCGCTGTCAGGGCCTGTACCTGACGGGTTCTCGCTCGGACGCGTTTGCTAGCTCCCCGTGGATCGACCGGCTGCGCGAGTTTGTGAGCATGTGTCTGCACGAGTACCAGTTTCCAATCACAGCGTCTTGTTTTGGACACCAGCTTGTTGCGACGGCTCTGGGGCTCACAGTGGGACGCAGTCCACGCGGCTGGGAAATGGGGCTCACACAGGTACAAATGAACTCGGCGATAAATCTCCGTCCCCTGATTAGTAATTCTGGAGAAAATATTTTCACCGTGATGGAGATGCACCAGGACGAGGTGCTGACTAACCCGGCAAATCTTCCGCCGGGCTACGTGAACGTGGGCTCGTCTGCTGCGTGCGGGTGCCAGGGCTTGTACAAGAAGCACCGAGTGCTCACGTTCCAGGGCCATCCCGAGTTCACCACCGCGTGTGGCGAGCTGCTAGTCGAATCGCGGCGCAGAGCAGGCAAGGTGGACGCTGCGCTGTACAACGACGCAAAGAGCCGAAACGCGAGCCTGTCCAACGACGGCATCGAAATTGGGAGGTGCATGGTGGAACTTTTTCGTGGAAGGCTGTAGACACACAATCTGCATTGTTTTTTGGGCTTTAGCCTTATTATTTCCGTCTTTTCTCGGAGACAAGAAATTGCCAGGCACTCGTTGTTGCCTGTTGTGCAGTAATGTGGCAAACGGATTTGTCATATACTATCTGCGGCTCTCAACCCAGACAGCTATATAAGTCTCGCTAATTCCATTGAGAACCGGCAATGAAGTTCCTCAGCTCTATTACCGCTTCGCTGCTCAGAGTGCGCAACCTTGTCGATGACAAGTACCGGACCAAGGAGCTCTCGTATGCCTTCATCCTGATAGGCACCAGCATGGACAACCTCAACGTGGCCGCCGCGTTCAGCATGACCGAGAGTCTGCAAAAAGAGATGGGGGCCAGCTCCGCCGACGCGTCTTGGGTGGTTTCTGCGTACGCCCTCACGCTGGGAGCGTTCATCTTGCTGTTTGGCAAGCTGGGCGACGTCCACGGCCTGCACAAGGTGTTCACGCTCGGGCTGTTTGTGATGTCCATCATGAACCTCATCTGCGCCGTCATCACCAGCAACATCATCCCGCTGATTGTGTTTCGTGCGTTCCAGGGCATATCCGGCGCCGCGCTCATTCCGAGCGCCGTGGGCATTTGCGGCAACTACTTCCAGGGCCCCAAGCTCAGCACCGCCATCAACGCCTTGATGCTGGCTCTATGCGCATCGCTCGGGGTCGGAGTCGTGCTTGGCGGTGCATTCTCGCTCACCAGCATCGGATACCGCGCATTTTTCTACTTCACGTTTGCCATTAGCTTCTTGACCTCCATTGTGCTCTTTTTCATTGTCGTTCCCGTGGAAAAAACCGAAGAACACCACAAGCTGAGCTCCAAGTACCTCAACTATGGCGGCGCCATCTTTCTTGTTGGCGGCCTGCTACTCATCATCTGCGGACTCACAGAGGCGGGCAACCGCTGGAAGTCGCCGAAAGTGTATGTTACCATTCCGGTCGGCTTCGTCATGGTGCTGAGCGTCCTCCTATACGAAAATGTCTACGTCAGACCGTACCAGAAGAGACACCCGACGCTGGAAACATACAGGGCCAAGCTGGTCGTGCTGTTCCCGGCAGAAGTGGTGAAAATCACCAATTTTGTGCCCTTCCTAGTCGGCCTCACGGCCAATTACGCCGGGTTCACCTCGCTAATGACATCGCTGCTGCTATATCACGAGTTTGTCGACGGCAACTCTCCCTTGCTCTCGGCAGGAAAGGTGTTTTGCACATCTGCAGGTATCATCGTCGGCGCACTGATCTACAGACCGTGGTTGCAGCAGAAAATTGGTAGCAAGCTGCTGCTCATTTGGTCTGCCACCGTGTGTCTCGGCACGTCCATTTGGGTCACCAGAATCGACCACACCAACAAGAACTCGTTCTGGATCTACGAGTTTGTGCCCCAGCTGCTGTACGGCTATGGTACTAACCTGTTTTACCAGGTGTACCTGCTTGCTCTGCTCTCCGAAACTCCGCTGCACCTCCAAGGAAACGTGACTGGCATTTTCCAGACCATTGGCCAGATCGGCATTTGTCTCGGCACAGCTATTGCCTCGTCCATCATCGGCGCACTTGACTCCACACAAACCTACACCAAGGATTACGTGCAGACCAAATGTGTCAACGCATTGTGGTTCACTGTGGCTTGCTTCGTGCTTGAGCTGGTGATGATGGTGTTCTCCAAGAACACAAGACCGGTTGCAGCCTCGCAAGAGGAGAACACAGTGGAAGACTCGGAGGATAAATCAGACGACGCGTGTGAGGACAAGGTCTAGCTTTTCTGGGCCCGTACATAGTAACCTTAATGAATTCGCCATATCACATGTACCCTGCAGCATCCGTTGAAAAAAAATTTAAAAAGCCACAGTTCTTTTTCGCTAAAGCCGTTGCCAGACCTGCAGGTATAAATAGGCAGTCTGGTCGGGTTTGTTCAATCCCAAATGCCTGTTGGATCTTTGGTGCTGGACCCGCTCAAGCGTTTGAAGTGGGGGTTTCTCCCTGTCGAAAGACATGTCATTGATAAAGTCGACGCGACCGATTCGGAGCAGGAATCGCTCCCCAAGCTAGCAGAGGCCGAGGAGTCGTACGAGATTCCTGAAATCGAGTACAGAGACGAGTCTAACAGGAAATGGTACAAGTTCTTCGACGAGTATGAGTACCGCCAGAACAAGAACCGCCGTGGAAACCACAAATGGTACCATTGGTTCAACAAGGACGACACCCCTGCTGAGAGAAAACTCGTGATCAAGCTTGACATCCTTCTTTGCTTCTACTCGCTCATGGCATACTGGGTCAAATATCTCGACCAGACGAATCTCAACAACGCCTATGTTAGTGGCATGAAGGAGTCGATCGACATGAAAGGCAACGATCTCGTGCACACCCAGGCCGTTTTCACCGTCGGAACCATCGTGTTCCAAATTCCCTTCATGTACATTTTGTACAAGGCCCCACTGAACTATGTCCTACCTTCTTTGGACCTTTGTTGGAGTCTGTTCACCCTGGGAGCCTACCGTGCAAACAACGTAGGCCATTTAGAGGCCATGAGGTTTTTCATCGGATGTTTCGAGGCCCCTGCTTACCTCGCATACATGTATCTGTTTGGCAGTTGGTATAAAGTTGACGAGATTGTGCGCCGTTCCATGGTGTATTATATCGGTCAGTACTTGGGTGTCTTGACCTCCGGTCTTTTGCAAGGAGCCATTTTCGACGGCATGAACATGAAAGACGGTTTGGAAGGCTGGAGATGGATGTTCATCATTGACGCGGTCATCTCGATCGTGGTGGGTATCATTGGCTTCTACGCCATTCCAGGGACGCCTCAGAAATGCTACTCGATTTTCCTCACCGACGAGGAAATCCTGCTCGCAAGGAAAAGACTCAAGGACAACAGCACATCGTATATGGTTCCCGTTGACCGAGCATTTTTTGACCGTAAGCTGTGGAGAAAAATTCTCACTTCGTGGCACATCTACGTCCTCTCGCTGTGGAACATTTTCTGCTGGAACAACAACAACGGAACGTCCGGTGCTTACTTGCTCTGGATCAAGTCTCTGAACAGATACAGCGTCGCCAAAGTCAATCAGCTGGGTGCAATCAGTCCTGCAATCGGTATTCTTTGGCTTATTCTCACTGGCTGCTATGCAGACTTCTTCCATTCGCGTTGGCAAGCCATCGTGCTCTCACAGATCCTCAACATTACTGGAAACGTCATTCTGGCGGCCTGGGATGTGCCCGAAGGCGCTAAATGGTTTGCTTTCATGCTGCAGTATACCGGTTGGGCCATGGCTCCGGTGCTATATGGCTGGATGAACGATATATGTCGTCATGATCCGCAATACAGGGCTGTTATTTTGGTCACAATGAACATGCTGGCGCAGACTTCGACGGCCTGGATTTCAGTTCTTGTTTGGAAGACTGTGGAAGCACCGCGTTATCTGAAAGGTTTCACGTTCACTGCGTGTAGCGCATTCTGTCTTGTGCTATGGACGTTCGTTGTTTTGTGGTTCTATAAGAGACAGGAGAGACAGCAAAGTGAACTAAATGGCATTGTGATCATCGACAAGGAGATGGATTCGATTAAAGCTTGATGATAATTATAATATGAATAGACCCGGAAATTGGTACCTGGTTATGATGCTGAGCGATTCGTTGGATCGCCATAAGTGACGCAGAAGCTCTTGATAGCGATTAATAAATGGAAACCTTAGGCGACTATGGATCGCACTTAGACGATCTAGGATGTAATTTTGGTCTTTTACTGTGGTAGCTGCGGTTCCTGCAATGACTAGAGGGAAGAGTAGCTGGCATTCGCATAGGGTCTGTACTGCCTTGATGTTATCCAAGAGAGCATTGAGACAGGCCCCCATTGAAAGATTTGAGCCCGGTTTGAGTTGGTAAAGCTGGAGATAGCATGCAGACTGTATGGCAGCACCTAAGTGACTCATGCATGAAGTAGTTTGAATTTTCGTTTCTATCAGCGATGCAAATTGCGAGAACTCATTTGAAGACAGCGATGTTTGGTCTTTTAGTTTTTCAAGAGTGCGGATTTGCGAGAGAGTTTGCAGCGTGGGTTGGTCGAGGCCAAAAGCCAACTTGAATGAGCTGCCCCTAATATCGCCATTCCTGTTCCCAAAGCTGTAACCGAGCAACGATTGGTAGTAGAAAAACAAGTCTGACATGATCTGGTGCAGGTCGGAATCTTGTCTCGCTACCCACGAACAAACGGGACTTATTGTTTTCTGAATTTCCTCCAGATACGTGGTGGCATCCATCCCGTCGCCCATTAATATCTCCATAAGTACCACGAGTAGCATGGATAGGGTCCCTATGTCCTGCAACACAGTGTCTCTCCGGCCCAACTTCGCCAGCGACCGATATCTCTGGGTCTCCCTAAAGGCTGAGAAATGCGATCCTGACGCCGCGGCAATGGCAAGAATTGGATACTTGATGCAATTGAACGAGAAGACCAGTGGCACCACTGCTTGCAAGAACCTGTTTGCGTCGCTTCCAAACAAATCAGTGGCGCCTGTGTCGACGAACTGCTCCAAAACCGCCTTTTCTTTATGGTCAAAGTTGAAATGGTAGCTCAGCTGCTGTTTCAAAACTACCGTGCCATATTTACAGCAGTCGTTTGTGTCCTCAACACTCGTATTTGAGCCGTCAGACAGAACCACGCTTTTTTCGCCCGTTGAATATGTCTCTTCCTCCACGGGGGCAGGGATATGTTTGGACGGACGGCCGAATTTCTTAAGCGGTCGATTCAGCGTGCAATTCAGCCGCCTGCGCTGGCAGAACGTGCAGGGCACGCCTGAGCAGGATCGTTTTGCCTTGTGGCACTTGTCGCAGGCTCTCTTTCTCATGTCTTGTGAGGGGGCCAAAAACAAGTGGGAAAAAAAAAGGGATAATAAAATAAATGTATTTTATTGATAATATTTATTTTCTTACGGTTTGTCGCGGTTCATGGCCGTTATATACTCTGATTCCCTATGGACAAGACTGTCGTGGAGCTAATGGGTGGTGCCAAACTAGGACTCAAACAAGGAATTTCCTCTGCAAGACTTTTTTCCGTCGCAAACTTGGGAAAGCCTGACAAGGTCGCTCGATCCAGTCTTTTGTCTTTGATTACGCCTGGCTCCAGCTTGGCACCCCACATGAACTTCTGCTGGCTCTCACAGTACGACCTGAACGGCTTGATGTTGGTCATTGAAGACAGGTTTTTCTAGTCCATGTCTCGAGGCTGTTAATGTTGAACTTTTCGCTGAACCCACTCAGCCACTTGAACGCCTCCTGCTGGTACCGCTGAAAATGGCCGTATGGTACAGCGTTCTTTGCCACGGCGTAGTCGTTGTTCACGCTTGGAGACAAAGACAGCCGGTTTTAAAGTCACGGTTTATGGCGCACCAATTGGAACAGCTGTCACGGTAGCCGTCGATATGTCACAAAAAATGGTGGAAATCACGAAAATACAGAAGCTCCGTACCATTTTACCTATCAGATACTATTATTGTATACATGCATCGGAGAATGGGCCCTTATACTACACATTTACGGGCTCTTTCCAAAACCGCCCCCACCAGGAGTGTTTATCTGGACCCTGTCACCCGGCTGGACCTGGATGATCTCCTTTCCGCCCATCTTGGTCACCACAAACTCGCCGTCGGCCTGTTTCCTGAACCAGAAATTTTCGCCACGTGACCCAGGTTCACCGCCAGCCATACCGTATGGGTGGTATATTCTCCGCTCGGACAAGATCGACACGCGCAGCGGCACACGCGCCTCAATCTCGCGCGTAGCTCCGTCTCCACCGCGCCATTTGCCTGCTCCTCCAGAACCACGCCGGATACACCATTTGGTGACAACAACTGGCGTACGTGCCTCCACAATCTCGATATCGGTGGTCTTGGTGTTGGTGCAATGGACATTGCAGGCTGAGGCTCCGTGATATCCCTCCATGGCGCCGACACCGCCTCCAAGAGCCTCGCCGGTAGCAAAACCGGGCGAAACTTTTCCCGTGTACACGTCTTTGCCTCCACGACCCCAGCCAAACGAGTTTGCGCAGCCCTGGGAAGCTGCGCACACGCCGAAGCACTTGAGAATCACGTCGGTGATGCGCTGTCCCGAGATAGTGGATCCGCAGATGGCCACAAAGTCGCTTGGGTTGAGGATTGTGTTTTTGGGGATGTCGATGTGGCATGGCGCGAGACAGCCCTGGTTGAGCGGGATGTTGAGGTCTATGAGGCACCGCAAAACGTAAATCACACACGAGTGTGTGATTGAGGCCGGGGTGTTCATCGGTCCATAAGTTTCCGGGCCTGTTCCGCTGAAGTCGAAGTATCCCTCGCCCTTTTCGCCATCGATGGTGATTTTGCACTTGACGGGTGTTCCGTCGTCAAAGTAGTCGATGGCCTCCAAAGGTTTGCCGCCGTGTTGGCGGTAAATCTTGCGGAAGAACTGTCTGACTGCCTGCTCTGCGTTGAAACAAATGGCACGCATATAAAACTGCACAAATTCTTTGCCGTACTCCTCGAAAAGAGCCTCCATCAGCAAAATCCCGTTCTGGTTGGCACTCACCTGCGCACGTAGGTCACTCAGGTTGTCCTTGATTTTTCTGGTGGCCGAGCAGCCAGGGAATTCACCGGCCTTGTTGAACAGCTCCACTATACCGTCCTCGTCAAATCTGCCCTCACTGACAAGCTTGAATGACTTTATCGAGACTCCTTCCTGCCACAGTTCCTTGGAATTTGGAGACATCGCTGTGATTCCTGCTCCGCCAATGTCTGCGTGGTGGCCTCTTGAAGCCACATAGAAAACAATCTCGCCCTGGTGGAAAACAGGCGTGATCACCGTGATGTCGGGGAGATGCGTGCCTCCTGCCTCCGGGTGATTGGAAACAAGCACATCGCCTTTTTTCAATTTTCCCTTCCAGAGCTCGTGCTGGTACTGGATGGCGTACTGCATGGAGCCAAGATGCACAGGGATGTGTGGCGCGTTGGCCACCAAACGGCCGTCTGGCCCGAAGATCGCGCACGAAAAGTCCAGTCGTTCCTTGATCGACGACGAGACAGACGTGCGCTGCAGCGTGCGGCCCATAGTTTCTGCTATGCCCATGAATCTGTGGCCAAACACAGTCAGCAGAATCGGGTCGGCCTTGCTGAGCGGCGTGTTCTCATCGACACCGCCGATCTCAACAAACCCGCTGTCCTTTGCCTTCTGGATGTCGATCACCACGTAGGAGTCCAAAATGGTGGCCACCGAGAACTTTTCCACGAGAATAGTCTGCGTGGAGTCGATCAGCAGCGCAGGGCCGTTGATCTTGTCGCCCGGACGCAGATGTGGTAGCTTGAACACCTTGGTTTCCACCGGACCGTCCTCGAAGTGCACTGTCTGCGTGCTGTCAAAAGATTCTGGCCAGCTGTCGACGCTCGCATATTTTTCAAGCTGCTCGTCGATGGTGACCTTGGTCTGTTTTTTTTCCACGCTGATTCCCTTGACAGAAACAGTGGACGTGAATATCGGCGAGCTGTCAGGAAGCACAAATCCAAACTCTCTTCTGTGAGTCTTGAGGAACTGCTCGCGAATGTCGTCGCTGTCGTAATCGACCTCGAAAATCGTGTTGGACGACTTGTACTTCATGCCAAAAGTGACCTTGAACTCAATCTGATCCTTGGCCACGCCCTGGCTCTCAGCAAGCTCGGCCACAATCCGCTGCTTCATATTTTCCACCAATGGCTCGGCATCGCGCTTTATCGAAGGAACATACAGCTTCACAAACGGGGCCTTGAGCTCACGTGACACTCGCGCACGTGCTATGCCATACGCAGACAGAATCGAAGAGTACTTATGGATGAGCACTCTCGAGATCCCCAAATTGCGTGCCACCGCAGAGCAGTTCTGCGAGCCGGCTCCTCCAAAAGAAACCAAGTTGTGGTTCTTGGCCACAAAGCCGCGAGACTCGGTGATTTCTCTGATCGAGTTGGCCATCTTGACGTTGGCAATCTGTAGGAATCCCAGTGCCACCTCGTACGGCGTGAGGTTCTTTCCGGTGTCTTTGGCAATCTGCTCTGTGAGCTCCTCAAATTTGCGTGTCGTGACTTCCAAATCCAGCGGCTGGTCTCCAGACGGACCAAAGATGTGTGGGAACTGCGAGATCACGAGTCTTCCTAAAAACAAGTTTGCGTCCGTGACGGTGAGGGGGCCTCCCTTACGGTAGCATGCGGCTCCCGGATCAGAGCCGGCACTTTCAGGTCCAACGTGGAACAGGCCGTTCTCCCACTTCAGGATTGAGCCTCCGCCGGCAGCAACTGTGTGGATCTGCAGCTGGCCAACAGAAATCTCTAGGCCTGCAGTGTTGTTATCAAAGGAAACGTCAAACGACGACCCGTCGATCCGCGACACATCCGTCGACGTTCCTCCCATGTCAAAACCGACCAGAGGCTTGTTCTGGTAACAAGTTTCGGCGACGCCAACCACTCCGCCGGCAGGCCCCGACAAAATGGCGTTTATTCCTCTGAAAAGCTTTGCATCCGTCAGGCCTCCGTCACTTTGCATGAACTCCACTTTTGGCACCGTGCTAAAAGCGCTCACAAATTTGCGGATATAATTCTGGACATGGGGGGTCAAGTACGCATCAATACAGGTCGAATTACCGCGCTGGAGATAATTCACCGTGCGCGACACCTCCGATGATATGCTCACAAATTGGAACCCGATTTTGCGCGCAAGTTCAGCGGCGATCAGCTCGTGCTCGTCATACAGATATGAATGCGCAAAACAAATGGCAATGGTACGGTATCCCTGCTCGTAGGCACGGCCCAGCTTTGCCTCCAGGTCTGGTACATTCAACGGCTTCAACACACGCACGTAAGTGCCCGACGGCGTCAGTTTTACATGGGGGTTTGCCTCGTCAATGACAACCTCGTTCGGATCGTCAGACGACGTCTCGACGGTGATCCGCTCTTCCGCCTCAATGACAGTGTCGTACAGAGTCTCTGGTTTCTTGACCTTGAGGTTAAACAATTCCGGTCTTGCCTGAGTGCCGATTTCAAGCACGTCCTGGAAGCCCTCGGTAGTGAGGTAGACGAACTTCTCGCCTTTGCGTTCGAGAAGCGCGTTGGTAGCCACAGTTGTGCCCATGCGGACGTACTCAATGAGGCTTCCATCAAGTTTTTCGCCACGGGCGATTTTCTGGCCAGTGAACTTCTCCAGCACAATCCTAATACCTTCTGCAGGAGCATCTGGATAATTCTGCGGGTCTTCAGAGAGAATTTTGAACACAGTCTCCCCTTGGCCGGGAATATTTGCCCAAACGTCACAGAACGTTCCTCCACGGTCTATTTGTTAGTTTGCAAGGCTGGGAAATTTAAACCTACCTATGGCGATCTGAACTTTCTTTACCATTTCTCAGCACAATTATCACAGATATTGAATCGATCTTATATATGCACCGCCACGGCGGACATTTTTCATGCAGGTTGTGGACTTTTTTTTGTGGCGGATGAATTATGTTGACTACAACGTCCAATTCGCATCAATGGCAACTGAGCAGTTTCTCGAGGTGAATGGGGCCCAGCTGGCTTACTTCACCAAAGGGGAAGGACCCCTGGTGATCACTTTGCACGGAGGCCGTGGTTTTGGCAGCAAAACGGGCGATTTTAGAGTATATTCAAAATTAGCGGATTACGGTTACAAGGTGGTCAGCTTCGATTTCAGGGGTCACGGACATTCCTCTTTCACTCCACCATTTACGTTCGCGCAGATAGTGGACGACATTGAGGCCGTTAGAGAGCATTTTGTGGGGAAAGAGGGCAAGGTTATCATCATAGGCGGCAGTTTTGGCGGGTTTCTGGCACAGCAGTACGCAATCACTTACCCCTCCACCCTCAGTTATCTTGTTCTCCGTGGTACGGCAGCTTCCCACCACCACGAGTCGGACGCTTTCGAGGTCCTTCGTGAGCGGTTGCCTCACTACCCGTGTGTTTCGCTCGACATGCTCAAGAAAGTGTTCGGCCGATTTGAGAGCGACCTGGAGATGCAGCTGGTTATGTTTGCATTAGGACCATTGTATTCAGAGTCGTATAATCCAAATGTGGGTTTAACGACATGCCTGAACACCGTTTATCGGGCTCAGAGCCACAACGATTTATATGCAGAGTCGGAGAAATTTTTTGACTACAGAGACAAGCTGCCATTGTTACAAACTCCGACGCTGGTGATTGTCGGAGAAAAGGACTGGATTTGCCCGCCCTCGCAGAGCAAGATTATCTGCAGCCTCATTCCAAACTCCAAACTGGTTGTTGTCCCAAAAGCAAATCACAGCGTGCACCAGGAGAAGCCACAACATGTTATCGCTGAAATATTAAGTTTCATATCGAGTAAATAGAACTATATAATTAATTAGAGCATCTCAAACTCCTTCTCTGGAACTGGCTCTTCCTCTACCTTCGCTTGTTTCTCTTCTTTTCTGGAACTCCATTTCTCCAAAGCAGGAATAACAAATCCGGTCCACACAAGCAGGGCACACGTAAATCCGATACTGTAGTAGAATCCATGCGTCGATCCGTACACAGGAGCCTCGCCCGATGGGAACAGGTGCTGCTGGAATGGAGTCACCACGGCTTGACCCACCACAATCATCGAAGGAATGGTGACTGCACGCAAAATTGGGTTCTTTCCGCATGCAACATTACACCAACCAGTGAGGATTGGTGTGTAACAACCGTACACTCCGCTCAAAATGTAGCCAGCCTTACGAAGTGGTATGTTGTCGAGGGGACCTTTGGCGGTGATCAAGAATGAGGCCAGAAGAATGAGACCAACTCCCGCACACACCCAGCTTCTGTTTCCGGTCAAATCGCAGATAACACCGGTCGAAAACATTGTCACCAAGTTGACAGCGGAGATGATGGTTGGGAAGTTATTGATATAACTGACAGAGTAGATCTTGAGCCACTTGAGGTACAATTCGAAAAATTGCAACATGTAGGATCCTGCAGTAAGCGTCCAGAAACAGTAGCCAATACAGAAAGCCCATAATTGCCAAGAAAGGAGCACAGGCTTGATTTCTTTCAAAGAGAACGTGATTCTCTTAGACACTCTGCCGTCCTCGACCAATCTTTCTTTTGCACGAGTTCTTTCCCAATCGTTGAGGTAGAAAGCGGTAGTGTTGTGAGGATAGTCAGGCAAGAAAAGGTATCCATATATGATGACCGGAGCTCCGATAAGAGCATCGATGATGAACATCCATTGCCAAGCAGCTAGACCACGCTTACCATCCATCGAGGACTGCAGACCCGACTGGATGTAGGAAGAAGTGGCCTGGCCAATGATACCAGCCAGAACGAAAAAGTTCGACCGCCTCATAATCTCACGCTTTTTGTACCAGCATCCAATCATGTAGTGCGTTCCTGGGTTACAGGATGACTCAAACAGACCGATCAAAAATCTCAGCGCGTATATCGTTTCTGCGTTTTTGGCCAGGTAAATAAACAGGACACAGAGAGACCACAACAGGTCGAGCGTGGGGAGATAAATTCTAGGGCGGAAATAACCAGCAAGCAAAACGGCTGGAATGGAGCCGATACAAAGTCCGATATTGTAGTAGGTGTTGAACCACGAAAGCTCATTCTTCGTGAAGCCCAGATCTTCCTGCATTCCAGAGATGTAGGTGTTGGATATGTTGGTTTGATCAAGGTACTTCAAGAAATACGCCATCATGGAGTACGAGAGAATGAAGAAATCCAGTTTCCATATCAGAATCTTCTCTCTACGGTCTGTGCCTGGTTCAAACCAGTGGTACCATCTGGTGGGTTTCGTTGAGACTGATGATGACATGGTTGGAGGAGGAATGATTGTTGGGGTATTCCTGTTTCTTCCCTTAATATAACTTTTTTTTTTTTCTTGGCCTGATTAGCCACATGCAATGCATGGCGGAGTTTTGATGCAAAATCTGCCAACTGTGGCGTCTGGATAAGGCGACATCGCTACTGATAAAAAAGATATCGCACGTGACCCAACCTTGTTTGTCTACCAGTATCGCCATTGAGGAAGGGCTGAACAGCCGACGGCTGCCTCAATTTCGTTTCTATTATGCAGGCGACAAAGTTTCTCCGACGTTATTGTGGTAATCTCCGTCAGTAGCCCCACACCTTTGCCTCCCAGCGTAGTCTTGAAGGTCTCAAACCCAGCCTGATTATACTTTTCCTCCAGCTGCCGCAATTTTTCGGGCGTCGCTGCATCATCGTCAATTAGCGTGATCGCACAACCGCCCCCGCCAGCTCCCGTGAGCTTTGTTTGTCCGATCTGTAGCTCGTCACTCCACAATTTGACTCTCTCCAAGTTCGGGTGCGACACGCCTAGAGACACCAAAAGCCCGTGATTCAGGCGGATAAGCTCCATCAGTCTGTTCTTGGACTGTTTGTCCAGGAAAGGGCGCAACATCAGTGTGTATGCCTCTCTTGCGATGGCCTCCATTGTTTCCAGAATTAGTCCAGATGGTTTAGGGAACTCGGTCACTGTTTTCGAGACGTTGGCAACCAAAGCAGCGGTGCTGCGGGGGGTTTTGGTGTTGGTGAGCAGCAAGTTCAGAGGCGGCAAGTTGCGCATCGAGGTGCGGATACTCGGCACAGACGATTCCATTCTCTGGAACATCACGGCTCCTCCGTGCGTGGCCACAGCGTTGTCAATCCCGCTCGGGTTGCCATGGCTGCATTTTTCTCCCATTAGAGCCCACGCGTCAATGAACAGACACTGCTCGGAGTCCTTGACGGTGACGTCGTCTGCCTTCAATGTAGGCTCCTGAATGTGGCCCCCCAGATAGCAGAACGCGCTCGCAAAGCAAACAGACACCGATGCAGACGATCCCAGTCCGGCCCCCACGGGCAGCGTAGACCGGACTGTGAACGTGAGTCCTGCCACGTCTTTCTCTTCGCACAGCGACACCAGCAGGTACAAGAACATGAAAGCCGCGCTGTACTGGATGGGCGAGTCGATCTTAGACAGCAGCGAGTTCAGTGCATTCACCAGCTCAGGATTGAGCTCCTCGTCAGCCGAGGGCTGTCTTTTGTGTGCGTGTTCGCCAAACAGGTGCCATGGCAGGTCGCTGGTCGCCCATTTGTAGCTGAACTGGATATCTGGGAATTCCAGAAACAGTGTATTGGTGTCGTCACTATCTCTGGACGCGAGAAGATACGTTCTAAGCGACACGGCGGCGGCAATGGCGGGCTGGAGTTAGTACGATCTGACTGAGCGCCGAGAAAATGGCCCGATCCGGCCTGGACCTACCTTGTAATACACGGCAGAGTGTTCGCCAAAAATAATAACCTTTCCGGGTGCAGACGTGAGAAACGGGACGGTAACCATGTCTGCTCAGGAAGAAGAGATGGAAGGAAAAGAATTCTTGTACAATATTGAGTTTCTCTGGTCCAGTTTCCCACTGCGGTTCGAGTTTCGTGCACGACCTGCGGCTTAAAAAAATTAATTTTAAAAAAATCTGAAAAAAAAAAACTTATTTTATGGCTTCGCAGATAAAGGTCCGCTTTTTCACGAGAGACGAGGATGAGTCGCTCCACTGTCCCGGCAACCCTGTGGTTGTGCCAATATCGCTCAAAAGGTACGGTCTGTCGGAGATCGTGAACCATCTAGTCGGCCTGGAGCAGCCGGTCCCATTCGACTTCCTGATCGACGGTACTCTTCTGAAAGGCAGTGTCGAGGACTATTTAGTGGCCAATGGGCTATCGAGCGAGCATTTTTTGGACATTGAATACACGCGTGCCGTGTTGCCACCACAGTTTCTTGCCAGCTTCAACAACGATGACTGGGTCTCTGCGATAGACTCTGTCGGGTCCATGAGTCTTGCTGGCCCTGAAGGTGAGGTGCGCACCGCGCCAAAAATCCTGACGGGCTCGTACGACGGCGTCGTGCGGATCTACAACGCTTCCGGCAAAGTCGAAACCCAGCTGGTGGGCCATCAAGCCGCCGTCAAAGCCGTCAAGTTCATCAGCCCGTCGCGCTTTGTTTCCGCCGGCATGGATCGCTCGCTGCGGCTGTGGAAGGCCAGCGTCGTTGGCGACGAGGAAGTCGACAAGGAGACCCAGAACGGGCGCACCAACGCCATTCTGGAGTACCACAAGGACGTGGTAGCAGCGCTTGCCGTGCGCAACACGCGCATTTTGTCGGCCTCGTACGACCGCAGCCTGGCCCTGTGGTCTACCAACGCCAAGGAGATGCACACCACCCAGCCGATGGAGCAGGGAGCAGAGAACAACTTGTCGTCGGCGTCGCGCAAGCGTCTCAAACTCGCCGTCGGCGACGCGTCGATCCGACGCAAAGCACCACTGGCGATTTTGGAGGCACACCAGGGTCCCGTCGAGGCCGTCTGTTTCGATGAAGACGACACCGTGGCGTACTCGGCGTCGCAGGACCACACAGTGAGAACATGGGACCTCGTCACGGCGCGCTGCATCGACACGAGACACACGAACTTCGCGCTGCTCAGCCTGGTGGCTCTGCCGCGTGTCGGGCTGCTTGCCACGGGCTCCGCCGCCAGACACATCAATCTACACGACCCACGCGCAGAGAAAGTCACCACCACGCAGTTGGTGGGCCATAAGAACTTTGTTGTGTCCTTGGCCACCACAGACAACGAGTACACTTTGGTGTCCGGGTCGCACGATGGCACCGCCAAGATCTGGGACATCCGCGCCAACAAGAGCATCTATACCATCGACAGAGAGAGCGGCGATCACGCCAAGGTGCTGGCCGTCGACTGGAACGCAGAAATCGGCTTGCTTTCGGGCGGAACCGACAAAAAGCTGCAGATCAACGAGCTCAAGTCAGATAAGCTGCATAAATAGATACACAGATGTTGTTGATTATTTACATAATTTCGGGGGCACGCTTGCACGTCCACATCTTCACACCGTAGTAGCCCTGCCACAGGCCCTCCGTGTCGGTCAGGTAGCCAAGAATCTCCGGGTCAGGACGCTCGTCCACGAGCTGCCACCCGCAAACACGGCGCAGCTTGCAGATCTCCTCGTGCGACAGCTCGGCTTTGGCTGCCGTGCCGTACTTGAGCGGCCCCACGTTGATCCACAGCACGTCGCCGCGCGCCGCGTCCGCCACGCGCGTCACAGCGTCAAAATAGTCCATCAGGTTCTCCGCCGTGTCGAGGAAGAAGCACGTGACTATAGCCACGTGGTGCGGCTCGTGCCGAAGCCGTGCTGCCGTGAAGCTGGTGAAGTCGCCCTGTTGCACATTGAGGTTGGCCGGTCTGGCGCGCTGCCGCAGCTCAACTGCGCGGAACTGGTTCTGTGTCGCCACGTGGTTGGAGTAGTTGTGCACGTACGGGTACACCTGGTAGCGTCTAGGTTTGTCTGCGTAGACAAACTCGTTCAGCAGCAGCATGTACCAAGAGTACTCCACGGAGACGACCTCCTTGGCGCCCAGCTCTGCAATTTCGTGCGCAACGCGGCCGAGTCCCGAGCCAGGCACCACCACCGTGGTTTTGGCAAGGTCCAGCCGCGCGAGCTGTGTCCTGATATAGTCGATAATGGGCACGACCTCGCGGTCGAACGCAGGCGACCAATCACGTGCAAAGTGGCAGAGGCCCTCTATGACTCTGTGGTGATCTGTCTGCGGGCTGAGTCTGGCCTGGTCGGCGGCGAGTTTGAGCTCGAGCGTCGAGATGTTGTGCTCGCGCACTGTCCGGGTAACACAATCCTGAATCAGCCTGTAATTTTCGGCCAGCGTCGCGTCGACCTTGTTCATCTTGGCCTGGTAGCCCGTCTGCGCAATGATCTTTTGCTGTCTCCAGGACATGGTTTTGTACAGTTGGCGCTTCTTCTCATTCCAGGCCTTGCCGCGCGCAAGGTACTGGCGCATCTCATTGACAGCACGTAGCAGCTGCGAGCGAGAACTGTCATGGGACACGGCGGCCGGACCAGCGGCCAGCGAGGTAAGACGCTGTCTCAGACGCAGAAACATGGAGGATTGCGAGATCGCAGAGCTCGCAAGAACAGCGCTCACAATAGTCGGCACGCGGCTGTATGGCAGGAGCGTGCTCAAAAGGTAATGTGCGATGACTACCGTGCAAAGTCTGGAAAAAAGAACGGCAGTTTCCTGGCGCATGAAAAAAAAACAATTTTTCTCACTATATATTTTATGAGTGTCATTTCCGTAGGCACAGACCTGCACCGAGTGGGGCGGTTTGCGGCCATTCTAGCCCGCCACGGCCTCACATCGCCGCATGTGCACAGACTGGCCGCTCGCGTGCTCCACCCAGACCGCGAGTTGCCCGAGTTTGTGCGCGCTTCTAAACAGAGCCAGCTCGACACGTGCACGCGCGCACTCGCACACTCGTGGTGCGTCAAGGAGGCGCTTTACAAGACGCTCGACACGCCCGACCAAGCGGCCTTTGCCATGCGCCACTGGTACAAGTACAATCTCGCGAACGGCCGGCCGCACGTGGCTAGCGACTCCTACACTAAGCACGAACGCTTTCTTGTGTCTCTGTCCCACGACGGCGATTACGTCAGCAGCGTCGTTGTGCGCGCAAAGTGTACGAACGAGGGATGAATTGATATGTACTTGCTCGTCTCTACTCCCACTCGACCGTGGCCGGCGGCTTGGAGGTGATGTCGTACGTGACTCTGGCGACGCCGTCGACCTCGTTGACGATTCTCGACGCGACGTTCTTGAGAAACTTGGCGTCGAACACGTACCAGTCGGCCGTCATGAAGTCGGTCGTCTCGATAGCCCGCAGCGCAATCACCTGCTCGTACGTTCTCTGGTCGCCCATCACGCCGACAGACTTCACTGGCAGCAGAGCTGCAAACGCCTGCGAGATATTTCTGTATAGCCCAGCCTTTTTGATCTCCTCGATGAAGATGTAGTCGGCCTCTCTAGCGATCTTCACCTGTTCCGGCGTCACCTCGCCCAGAACTCTGATGCCGAGACCCGGGCCCGGGAATGGGTGTCTCCAGACGAGGTCTTCCGGGATGCCCATGAGCTGGCCCAGGTCTCTGACCTCATCTTTGAACAGCTCCCTAAGCGGCTCGATGAGCTTGAGTTTCATGTCTTCCAGCAGACCGCCCACGTTGTGGTGAGTTTTGATGGTCTGCGAAGGGCCTTTGAACGAGATCGACTCGATAACGTCTGGATAGAGCGTTCCCTGTAGCAGATACTCGATCTGGGAGCCGTCTTTGGGCTTAATTTCGGAAGCCACTTTTTCAAAGACGTGGATAAAGGTGTTTCCGATGATTTTTCTCTTCTTTTCCGGGTCCGTGACGCCCTTGAGCTTGTCGAGGAACTGCTTGGACGCGTCGACAACGGTCAGGTTGATGCCCAAGCCCTCGTCCAGCGTCTTTTTCACCTGGACCGTCTCGTTCTTTCTCATGAGTCCGTTGTCGACGTAGATGGCATGGAATCTGTCGCCAATGGTCTCCTTCATTATCTTGGCACCGACAGTCGAGTCCACACCGCCGGAAACAGCGCCAATGACCTCGGCCGAAGGACCAACCAACGTCCGGATGCGCTTGATCTCCGTATCGATGAAGTTGGCCATCGTCCAGTTCTGCGACGCCTTGCAGATCTTGACGGCAAAGTTCTTGAGCAGAGTTTTGCCCTGTACAGAGTGTGTCACTTCAGGGTGGAACTGGATACCATAGATTGGTTTTTCCTCGTGCGCGATGCCCGCGAACGGAGAGTTGCCCGACGTAGCCACGGTCTTGAACCCGGTCGGCAGCGAGTGCAATTTGTCGTGGTGCGACATCCACACCTGCGAGTGGTCCACTCCCTCAAACAGCGGACAGGTGGCGTCCACCACCGTCAAAGTTGCCGGACCATACTCTCTTTTCTCGCCGCGACCCACGCCCTTGCCGTTGATCCAGGCCAGCTCCTGCATTCCGTAGCAGATTCCCAAGATTGGCACGTTCAGCTTAAACACGTCGTGGTCGACGTGCGGCGCACCGTCCTCGTACACGGAAAACGGACCGCCAGACAAAATCACACCAACAGGCTTGAAAGGCAGCTCGCTGATCTTCTGGGTGCACGGCAGCATCTCGGCGTACACATTGAACTCTCTAAGACGTCTAATAATCAAGTGCGAATATTGCGAGCCAAAGTCCAACACGAGAATCGTGTTGAACACCTCACTGACCTGTTCAACTGTGGGAGCCATGAAATAAAATAATTAATTGTAAAATATTTATTTCATTAAAAAAATTTTCCGGCTCTGTACTCGGTGTGCCCAAAAGGGCAAGAGTCTAGAGATAAGCCAGGAGCAGCGCACTTTTCAGTAAATTCCGTGGCCGGTCCTGTTCGTGTACGGCTTCTGCTGCGCCAGCATGTGCAGCTCCTTCAGCACTGCCTTCAACCCGTCCACAGCCTCTCGCGTGTTCTGGAAACTGAACGCGATGCGCAACGACGAAACCTTGACGTTGTGTTTCTGGCCCACCTCGCGGATCCACTGCGGGTCGATCATGTTCTTTACGGGGTCCAAGAACACAAAGTTCGTGTGCACGGGGATCTGCAGCACGAGACCCAGTTCCTCCGCGTAGCTGCCCACCTCGGCGGCGTACTCGTGCGCAATCCTCAACTTGCTAAAGTTGTGAGTCAGTGCGTACGAGCCCATGCGTGCCAGCGGTCCTGCCTGGCGAATTCCGCCCCCGTTCTGTTTTTTGAAATGGTTTGCAACCCGAATCAGACTCTCAGAGCCGACCAGAACGCTGCCGATCGGCGCACCCAACGTCTTCGACAGACACAGCGAGATCGAGTCAAACAGCTCCCCGTACTCTGCCAGCGACACGCCGCTTACGACTGCCGCGTCCCAGATCCGTGCCCCGTCGCAGTGGATCGCAATGTTGTTGTCACGACACCATTTGCTGATGCGGCGGATCTCGTCTATAGGGAACACCAGGCCGTGCAGCGTGTTCTCGAGCGACACAACGCGGGTCGGAGCGCTGTGGATGTTGCCATTGTCTGGGATATAGTGGCGCTGAATGTCCTCCAGTGTCAGATGCAGCCCATTGGCAGGGATAACCGTCGTCACCATCGCCTGTGACAGTGTGGCAAGTCCGGCGGCCTCGTGGACGAAGATGTGCGACCGATAGTCGCACAAAACCGAGTGCGGGGGACGGTTGAGGTGGCTCCGGATGGCTATCTGGTTTGATAGCGTTCCAGAAACACAGTAGAGTCCGGCTTCGTGGCCCGTGAGCTCACATACTTGTTTCTGCAAAGCAAGCGTATCCTCGTCCTCGTCGTAGACGGAATCCCCCGTGGACGCATGGACGACCGTCTCGAGCATTTCTGGTGACGGCGTGGTGAAGGTGTCGCTTCTGAATTCGTTCCAATTGGACGGTGTTGCAGCCATGGCTCGGAGGATAAATATTAAGAGGGTAACATTTTTTTTATATTATTTAATTTCTCTTGTTCATGACGTCCTACGAGTACGCTCCGCGAATGAAATCTCAGCGACTCGTCGACCGCGCCAACCGAGACAGACATGAGGCAGAGTTGGTGAGGCTACAACAGCAGAAGCCTATCAGCAAGCCACAGGTGGCGGATATATGTCCTGGACTGAACGAGATAACGGACGCCCTAGAAGCGTTTCCATGCGACCTGATACGGTATTTCACGCTTCTGCGGGAGATAGACGCCAAATGCGTGCACACCATCCCGTACCTGAAGGCCTACATCACACGGTTTCTCCAAATGAAAAGAACGCATCCGAAAAGAGAGCTTCTGTTGGAAAGAATCAAGGATCTGATCAAAGACCTGATGCCGTGTCTCGAGGAGAAAATGCATGTCGCCACGATAGCGTGCGACACGGTCGCAAAACATGTCAATAGGATAAATCAGAACTACGAAATTGTGCTGGAAAACGAGATTCCTGAGAGAGTCAGAATCGGGCCGTTGATCCATCCGTGCATGAAGGTGACGGAACACAAGAGCGCACAATCGCAGCGCAGCGAGAGCCGCAGAGAGGCCCTTGCTGCCAAGAAGGCATCGCGCACGGAGACAGAGGCGGAAGACGACAGCGCAAGGAACACGCCTGTTCCCTCGAACGGGACGCCGTCGTACGCGAACCCGTCGAAAAAGGTGAAGAAGGACAGAAAGGATGGCGACCAGTTGGACTCAGCAGCCGCACAAGCGCTTGCCTCGAAGAAACGGAAACCGTTGCCCGGCTCGGTCGACGAGTCCAGACGGGTGAAAACATCAAAACCGAAAAAGGAAAAGCGGGTCAAGGACGAATACACAAATACCACCGGCGGTTCGACGCCGACGCCTGTGCCTACGCCGGTGTCTGCTGCCAAGTCTGAGTCTGCAGCCACGTCTCCGTATGACTCAGAGCCTGTCTATTGCTACTGTCAACAAGTCTCATACGGAGAGATGGTGGGGTGCGATGGTGAGAGCTGCGAGCGCGAGTGGTTCCATCTGCCGTGTACGGGCCTGAAAGAGCTGCCGCGGGGCGAGTGGTATTGCGATGACTGCAAAGCGAAACTGAGGAAACGCTAGTAAAATCTTTACACCAGGCAGGCACTAAGGACCGTCCGAATCCGGTAATAGATAAACATAGGTCGTCGTCGTCTGCGGTTTCAAAAAATGTAACGTCGAATTTAAAAACAAGGATAATAAATTAGTAAACAAGGCCAAAACTGTTTATTTTTTAGTCAACAAAGAATTTGAGAAACACCTGCTAGCTGAAGAGTGTTCAATTGGACTTTGACTATTAAACTTTCTACTGTGACAGCCCCATATCCTTATTCAATTTATAGTCACAATCATGAGTTTATTGAACAAAAAGACAAAGGCCCAGCTTGAGGAAATTGCCAGAGACCTAGACGTCAACATCAAGTCGTGCAAGGTGAAACAGGCGCTTGTTGACAGGCTGACCGACCATTTCCTGGAGAATGCTGACAAGTTTGACAAGGACCACGAATACTACGACTACGTTGTCAGTGTCAAGCAGGAGGCCCAAAATGAAAACGACGACGACGATGACGACGAATCTGACGAAGCTGAAATTATAGATGTGGAGGATTCCGACGCCTACGACTCTGATGACGATTTCGATTTGGAACCATCCACTCTCGACAAGATTCTCGATTACATCGACAACGATACTCTGTACGAAGTAGCCGACTACATCGCCGAGAAGAACTACGAGCTCAGAGACTACCTGAGCGACCCATTCACCATCAATGATTTCACCGTCGTGGGAGAGTTCATTTACTTGTATCTGCACTTTGCCAAGTCCATTGCTCTTGGCGATATTCGCTTTGTGCCGCAAGTGGTGAAGAGCAACCTTCCAGCAGCAGTGCTCAAGACTCCAGTCACTGATCTTACGCACTTCCTTGATGCCAACTTCTGGTCGACCGTCCTTTTGTGGCTTCTTGTTTCCTACGGTGCTCCCAAACTCACCTCGTATTACGTCAACTTCACTTACAACTTTGAGTACGACCCATTCATTTTCGCACTTGCCAAGTTGCTGTTTGGTCTGATACTCTTCAAGACCGACGTCACCAGACACGACATCAAGGATGAGCTTGTGTTCCAGTTCTCTTTCAAGCACTACTCTGTTGATTATGCTGCCAAGCTTTTCAAGCACTACCTGCTTACGAGCACTCTTCTTCTGAGAAATTACTTTGGCAACTGGGCCCTCATCGGTGACTTCTTCACCACCTTTGTTGCTCTTTACGCCAACTTGTCCTTCATATAAAGTGGCTCCATCAGTGCTGCTCCTGATGTGTTTTTTTATTGTGTATTATCTGACAGACTTTTGCGTTTATAAGATTGATTAAAGTTTTTATTCGAGCTTAATGAACTTCTGCAATTCTTTCCGCTCTTTTTTTGCTACCACCTCGTATTCGGCCCATATAAGCTCCTCCACTTCTTCTATGCTTTTGTTGTCCACGTGAATCGGCTTCCAGTTATCCTCGTTCTGAAATTTTTCAAATTGGGTCTTTACTCTCTGCTGAAACTCTGCAACCTCGTAACGTTCCTCCCCAAAGCCCTCTCTAGTGACATTCTCTTCATTTTTGAATTTCATAAAAAGCACGAGATCTGGCTTCGGAAGCCCCACGTCTGGACTTAAACACCAATCGAACGGCAGTCCTTTCGCTGAAGAGTATGCCACTCCCGAGTAGACGTATCTATCCAAAACCACAGTTCTTCCCTCTTCCAGCAGATTTTTGATTTTCTCGGCGAGTTCCCATCTATTTGCGCTAAATAAGAGATGTGCAGACTGGTCGCTAAGCTCAAACGCCTTATCTGTGAGATATGTGTTGATTATTTTTCCAATTGGAGTTGTCCGTTCGGGAAACTTGATCAGCGTTGCATCCACACCACTCTTGGCAAGTCTATCTAGCAGACGCGACGTTTGCGTAGTCTTGCCAGTACGATCCAGCCCTTCAATGGCAATCAGAACACCACGCGTCATGAAGAAAAATATTTTGATCTATCGACCAGGAAAAAAAAAATTCGACAGCAACAGGATTTGAACCTGTGCGGACAAAGTCCATTTGATGGCACGAACAGGAATTCGAGTCAAACGCCTTAACCACTCGGCCATACTGTCGGTACGCTCTATTTTGCTGAGCTGGCCGTATACTAACGGACTGTGATACTTGATCTCTTGTTTATATTACACCTCTATATATCTCACTAACCTTGCGTAGTCCTCAATGACGCCTGATTTGTCTTTGTCAACTATCTTGTGCATCATAGACTGAAACACAATACTGTGGCTGTCAATATCCATTTGATCCGGTTTGAAGTGTACATCAAATCTGCCGTGGTAAATAAAGTAGTGGATAAAGTAGATGAAGCCAGATAAAACATGGTACAACTTCGAACCCTGGACTGAGTATTTATCCATATTGATCTTGTTCACCATTCTGCGGTTATGCCAGCCATAAAGTTCAATCAGACGCCGCACTGCAAAGGGCTTACACACATCTTTTGCTCCCCGTGACTTAAATGAGATTTCAAGCACGTTGACCACCAGTTGGTCTTCAGTCCGGTCTGCGTTAATCAAGTAGCTAGAGCCATTTTCCAGGACAAGTGGAAACACCTGGCTTCGATGGTCTGCGCTCAAAAGAACCTCCTGAAACTCCTCCTCGTCGAATTCAATCTTGCTTCTTGAATTATAGCATCCGACTGTAATTTCTCGGAAAAGCATGCTCCAGTTGTCAAAACCAGTATGATTCTCCACGTGGCACCAGCCCTCGATCATTTCTACCACCTCGTCAAAAACGTCGGCATCTTCCGGCAGCTGGTCGGCTTGTGCGTTGATGCTCTCCAAAAAATGCTGGGCCGTCTTGACAGGGAAATACTTGCTGAAGTCGGCAGTTTTTGGATCAAATTTCGAAATAATTACAGGGTCCAGTTCTGGCTTTGTCTTGCTCTTCTCCACCAGCCTGTTCATAAGCGAGTTTCCCAATATTTGTCTGGCATTGCCGAAACGATCAAAGTTTTTGATCTCATCGTAAAACTCAGACACATCAAAGGTTCGAAGCTCGGGGTTTGGCGAAGTGAACATTTCTTTGAGGTGTGTAGGCGAGACGCAGAACGTGAATACAAGTGAGAGCAGGTTGATTGCGTTGATTGGACACAGGGGCTCAATAAAGTTCGTCACTCTGTATGGTTTCTTCAGGGTGGACTTGTTGACCTTGTGCCCAAAATAGATCACAAAATCCTCTATTTTCAATACTGATCGAAGCGGAAACCCCACATCAGACTCTGGTTGCAATTCAGAACAGTTTACCAATACTATTTTCTGGCTTTCGTGGAACCCAATTGCTAGGTGCCAGTCGCCTGCCCACAGAAAGGGGTGGAATGTGAGCTCGGGATGTCTAGTTTTTGGGCCATAGCTGTCGCGTGATCTAAAGAGCACAAATCGCGTTCCCGTATTGTACTCGTCAAATAGCAGGTTCATGTAGTAGAAAACCATTTCTGGTGACCACACCTTCTCCCGATGGGAATCGTCAGAGAATTTCAGTCGGCTCTTCATCCCCGTAGTCTTGTGGCTGATGATCTCTTCTGGAGCCAAAGAATGGTATTCTCTAGACAGCAGACTGTGGGTTAGCATACAAGCTCGTCAACTTACATCGAATCTACCATTTTGTCCAGCTGTTTGCTTGACATGTCTTCTAAGAAAAAAAATAGGGAAGGGGCAGAAAAGGCAGACTTTCCGCGACATGTTTGTAGTAGTACAGAATTCGGACAATAATTATATTTGCAGCCAGGACCGGATAAGAAAGGTCCCATATCTCCTTTGATAGCACGCATTGTGGTGGGGCATGCAACAGCAGTTTCCAAGTCTTTCTCTACATTCTCCAGCACTGACTGAAATATTTAATACGCCTTTTTATTAATTCCACAACTGTGTGGCAGCTGGTAAGATATCTTGCTCTATGTGCTACATTATTTGCAACAATCACTCCTCCAGGAAATCGCCAGCATATCCAAGGTCACCAGGCAGTTGAGAATGTTATAGCCGTCTTGTCTCTTGGCTGCTCGCTACACCCTCGTTTTATTGTTGAATATTTTTGTCTTTCCCAAAATGGATAACTAATGATCTGGAGGCTGGTTGTCTAAATTATTCTTCTGCCCAACTTTCGTTCCTGCGCAGCGCTAAGCATGACCCTTCCTCCCCCACCGTTCAAAGCCAAGGCCATTTGGAGTTGGGGTGGCAACAACAAGGAGAAGGATCTCGGGTTTATAGAGGGAGATATCATCGAGGTGTCCAAAACTTCCTCTGACGGCCAATGGTGCTATGGCGTTTCACTCAGAAGTAAACTTGCTGGAAGGTTTCCGACCAAGTTCATCCAGGTGCTACAGATCAAGGAGTCTGGGTCGCGAAAGAGCTTGCTGGAGCTGAAGGAGTCGAGCTCCTCCAAGTCTCTCAGACTCACCCCGTCTGCCTCGTCCAGCAGCCTGAAACTAGGCTCTTCCGTATCTGTTCCCACAGACGTCACGAACTACGACGAGATCCCTCCTCCGCCGCCAAAACACCAGTACTCCACATACAACAAACTGTTCACATCGTCATACACGCAGCGGATCCTGGACTCGTCCACCTTATCAACAGACACGGAACGGTCCTCATATTTTGGTCATTCGGACTTTTCTGCCACGTCGGCAGGCTCGTTGACGCGCCACAAGGAAGCAAAATTGCAGGCCAGCATGTCTGAGAGTGACAGAAAGGACCTAGTGAGCTCGATATTAGAGAAGGGACCCAATGCCAAACACCCAAAATTTTTCAGAAGGTTTCTGGGTCAAAAACCCGTTGAACCTTCGCTGGACGACCAGATTTTCAGCACGAGTCTCAATAGGCTCGAGGATCTCACGTTAAAAGAGACAGATGCTGACGACAACCTTGCGAGAACGCGAACTCTCACCGGCCGTGACAGAGCCAACAGGAAATCCCGTGTTGTTCAGGAAGAACCCGACCTGATTTTGCAGCCTCAAAAGGCTATCTCGAGTCTAAATGTCGACGAGAAGCTGTCTTACTCCTCTCCGTCTATAATCGACGAGATCGACTTAGACCACGTTGACGAGTCCGTGGCAGAGCTGCCGGATGATCGGTTCGTAGGGCCCAGAGAAATTGTGAAAAACCGCATAATTCCACGATTTCCGAGTCCCCTGGAGCAACTCAAAGCCATTTACGTCTATCTCACAACCAGGTTCGAGATTATAGAGAAACAAGAAAAAATCAGCGCCAAGGTGTCACCATCAGAGGCGCTGTTCTCAGACATAATCCACAGAAAAAGATGCACCGGTCACCAGCTTACATGGATGTTCTATATCATGGCATCGCATCTGGACTTCGAAATGGAAATCATACTGGGAAAATTTAAAAAGCCGCTGCAGCTGCTCGACAGCAACCTTGTGCTCAACCATACATGGATCTCAGTGCTGGTGGAAGGAGAGTACCGTTTTATTGACGTTGCTCTTGGAAACCACACCAATCCAATAAATGACGAGCTAAATCTAATCGAGCCGCTGTCGCTCCAGAAAAATTCAGACTTCTACTTCCTCACTAAGCCTTTGGACCTGCTCTACACCCACGTTCCGATGCACGCAGACCAACAGCATGTTGTGCCACCCCTGGATCCTTTAGTCCAGATGGCGTTGCCCCCATTATATTCAGGCTTCTTGCATCACAAGCTGAGTCTTTACAAGTTCAACCATGCACTGTTCAGACTGACGGATTTAGAGCTCATCGAGTTCGACCTTGAAGTCCCAAAAAAGATTGACATCCGCGCCATCGTCAGGTCTTATGATAATGATGCCCAAGGGGAAGCACTGGTACAGATTTACATGAAAAAAGACAAAAGGCTGGCGAAGATCAAGACAGCAATGCCTCCGAGGTGCTCTTTGGGCTTCATCTGCGTCTATGCTCGCTCAACTACGCATCCAGGAGCAGATTTCTCGATGGTTCTTTCGTTGCCTTGCTCTCACAAGGGAAAATACAAGCCTATCGAATGGGTGAAGAAAAATGACAACAATGTTCATCTAGACTTCGATCTGTACATCAAACAGCCACAGACTTTTAATTTGATTAGAAATCTGCCCTACAAATTTCAGGTGCTTTCCACTAACAGCACAATCAACTGCAACCTAATTTCTCCCTCAGGCAATTTCCATCTTTTGCAATATCAAGACGATGCTTTTGAGCTCACCAAGCGTCTGGATGAACCAGGATTATGGAGACTTGTAGTTCTCAACAACGATTGCTGGCACGTCTACGCTGAATGGTCATGCTCTTGATAAATATCGTTAATATAGATTGTATAAATGCATGCATCACTTATCGAGACACTTCATCGTATAAAGGAGGGCTATCAGGGACATTCTCCTGCTCCGATGGCATATTTTCCGAACGTTCGTCTTCTCCTAAAGTATGTAGTGTAATGTTTTCTTCGACGTCGTTGAACTCACAAGAACCATCCACAGCGTCCCAGAAATCCGGTGGAAAATCGCCGTTTCGCAAACTGAGATCGTTGAGGTCCAAGTCACTGCTCTCTAATAACACATCCTTGTTGAATTTTGTGTATAGCGGCGGAGGAATCTCGTTGCCTTCGAGTGGACCAAATCCCCATTTCTTAACATTTGCCTCAATGAAAACATATCCTGCCTGTCCAACGTTCACATGAAGCGCGCACCTGTTGTTCGAACCAACTGTAGGGTATAGTTGTAGGTTTTTTGGGAGCTTAATATGACCTCCTATTTTCGACTCCGACAGTTTTTTGCCGTTCCGCGTCCAGAAAACAGTCCTCGACGCTATTTTGATGCCACACCCAATCACATCTCCGTGTTCGAGAGCGGGGAATATTGTGGCTTCGAGTGGGAAAGGATCATTATAGCGTCTGTGGCCTGTTGAATCGTAAGATGCCGAGATTCGGTTGCGGCCAGGGAGGCGGAAGTATGGGTATGGGGAGGTGGCAATTCCAATGGATATTAAGGTATTTTCTGGATTAGGAAGGTCGTAAATCTTGGTCTCAAAATAGTACACTTCGTTTTCCTTTGGAATGGGAAAGTTCGTTTGAATGGAGAGCTCTTGGCCAGTGTTCGAGAATTCAATCTCAGTCTTGTCTATCACACGAATAAACTCTTGGCATTCAACATGAGGTCGAAACTCCCATGCTGACACTCCTTTTTCCTGTATGATTAAATTCTGTGATAAGGTCAGCTCCTGGTTGTTCATCGGATTCAATTTTAGAAAGTCTTTGGCCTGAAAGTATAGCTCCTGCTCATTGGGAGGAAGCTCATCTAGCGCGCGTCTGTCTTCCTCAGCTTCCTGAGCAGCATCGTCCAAGGATCCCGGGAACTCATGGGTCAATCGTATGCCTCTTCGCAACAACTTCTGTAGGCAATAGACAATCAGGGATATGATGAATACCCCCAAAAACCCAATCATCATTCCTAGCAGGACAACGAGATCTGAAGGTATCTTATGTGGCTGGTCTTCGAAAATTACCGGAGCGCCCTGAGCCCCGTAGCTAAGCAAGCTAAGTAGGACCAGGAAACACTGCCGTTGGTTCATAAATGACATGGTGTACTGTACACTGGGTCAAAAAGCACTTGGGTTCAGGATAAGGCGAAACCTGACGTTTTTGGCAAATAATTTGTACGATTAATAACTTCGACGACGACGGCTGGGAAGAAATGATAATATTATCTAGATTTTTTTTTAATTTTTTTCTTCATATAGATTTATGTAATTTTCATTAATTCTGCCCTCAATGTCTACGGCGTATACCAAAGAAAAAAAGGTAGGAGAAGGTACATATGCCGTTGTTTACTTGGGGAAACAGATTGCTACCGGTCGAAATATAGCCATCAAAGAAATCAAAACTGGTGCTTTCAAAGATGGGCTTGATATGTCTGCTATCAGAGAGATGAAGTATCTGCAGGAGTTGAAGCACCAAAACATCATTGAACTGGTGGACGTTTTTGCAGACAGGGAGAAAAACCTCAATCTGATTCTGGAGTTTCTCCCCTCGGATCTCGAGATGATCATCAACGATAAAAAGCTGATGATTGTGCCTGCTGACATAAAATCCTGGATGCTGATGACCTTGCGAGGGTTGCACCATTGCCACAGAAACGGAATACTCCATCGCGATTTGAAGCCAAACAACTTACTAATCTCGCCCGAAGGATACGTGAAAATAGCCGATTTTGGTCTTGCGAGGTCTCTTGGAATGCCCAATGAGAAACTCACCTCTAACGTGGTCACCAGATGGTACAGAGGGCCAGAGCTTCTCTTTGGAGCTCAACATTACTCCCCAGCAGTGGACATCTGGGCTGTTGGGATCATCTTTGCCGAATTGATGCTGAGAACACCGTATTTACCTGGGAAGGATGACGCAGACCAGCTAGTTGTCACTTTCCAGGCCCTAGGAACTCCAACCGAAGAAAAATGGCCGGGTGTGTCTCACCTTCCGAACTATAACAATCTCACAGTCTATCCAGAGCCTTCACGGCAGGAACTGAGAAACAGATTCCCGGCCGCTACAGAGTCCGCGCTAGACCTGATGTGCGGTATGCTAGCACTAAACCCAAACAACAGACTCGATGCAGAGGCTTGTCTTTTACATGGCTATTTCACAGAGTTGCCTGAGCCGACTGAGCCAGAAAATCTACCGAAAAAATCCTAACTCTATCCAATCATGTTGAACACATGTTTTCCAATTGCCATACTGGCAGTAAGTCCTGGACTCTCTATTCCGACGAGATTAACAAAACCAGGGAATGTCTCCTCAATCACAAAGTCGTGGAGACTCTTGGTTCCTGGAGGAATCAGTTTTGGACGGATGCCGCTGTAACTAGCACTTAAATTTTCACGCTTCACCCCGGGGAAATATTTGGACACTTCCTCGTAGACTGAGTCGAGATTTGCCTCGTTCGGCTTGAAATCGTCTGGCTCGTCGACCCATTCCAAGTCTGGGCCAAATTTGAGCTGTCCTGCCAGATCTAAAGTCAAATGAGTGCCCAAGGTAGCAATATTTGGGGTTGGACAGGGATACACAAGTCTGTGAATTCCAGGGTTATGAGAGTATGCAAAATAGTTTCCCTTTGCATAGTACGGAGTATACTGTTTCTTCTTAGGAAGCAAAAGGTTGGCGATTCTCGGAGAATACAGTCCTGCACTATTAATCACCACATCCGCTCTGATTGGAAATTCCTCGTCCCCAGAAATCGTGGTCAGCTTGTACTCGCCATCTTTGACTATGCCAGTCACCTCAGTTGACGTCATCAGCATGCCCCCGAGGTTTTCCAGCTCCGCAAGAAGATAGTTCATCAACGAATGTGCAGAAACAATTCCAGTCGTCGGAGAGTACAGAACACCAGCCTTCGCACGAATCAATGGTTCTTGTTGTCTGGCTTTTTCCGGCGACACCAACTCTGTTGGAACGCCGATTTTCTTGGACTTCTTGTGCAACTGATGAAGATACTCTAATTGAGCCTCGTCTTGAGCCACAACCCACTTGCCACACTTCAAAGACTCAACTCCGAATCTCGCAGCGTCATATATCATCTCTTTGCCCTCTATACATAATTTTGTCTTCAGAGACTCCTCAGGATAGTACAGACCCGCATGGATCACCTCCGAGTTCCGGGAAGAAGTCTCTTGTCCGTGGTGTGCATGCTTTTCCACCACTAGCACATTATTTGACTCTCTTTTGGCCAATTCGGCACCCACTGCCAAACCAACGACGCCGGCACCGATAACCACATGGGTGAAATCGGACATGATCGTGGCCGACCGATGAAAGCGCCTAATTCCTCTTATAGATTTTATCAATCTAGTCATTCACAGATCACTACATAAATTTCTGCCGAATTATTCTGGGGGGTGGTATTGCTTAGGTAATGCATTATGGCAGCCACTGTAAGTTCAGATTGCCGTCTCGAAGGGATCAGCCCTGATTTATCCTCGGAACGGTACATTCGCGCATCGAGATGAATTGTTAAACGAGCATTTGTATGCTTAGGTACTAAAATTTATGTCATTTTCACGTTGGTTTGACCATATCGACATCTGCACTGTAAGCGCGTGCAAGGGTGTCATCGCCTAGCGAGCTTTTGACGCGTTCCGCCAGCATGATTGGATTTGAGTAGCCTCGAGTGACTGGTGCCCTGGAGCCTTTGAATGCTGTCTCTCTCAACTCCTTTTTTGGCCGCACCTCATCAAACCAGGCATGTTTGGACGCTTTCGAGACCTCGAGTCTCTTGGTAGCGTCCACCACCAGAAGTCGAGAGATCAAGTCAAGGGCAGAGTCCTCTATCTCATCCCAGTATGGCGAATAAAAAGCGTACTTACCCTCGATGATCTGCTGGCGCATCGATGGTGGCCCTAACTCCTCACTGAAGGGAGGAAAACCGCATAGACACACGTATATCAGTACCCCAACGGACCACATATCAACAGTCTTGGTATATTTGCGTTCAGTAGAGTTCACCAGCACCTCAGGCGCAACGTATGCCGGCGTTCCACAGAGCGTGTTGGTGAATTTTGTTGCTCCGATGAACTTGGCAAGACCAAAATCTGCTATCTTCACCTTGACATCCAGCTCGTGAGCGTCCCAAGGCCCCGTCTGCTTGTCGGAGTCAGAATTTCTGAGTGTTATGTCCAAGAGAATGTTCTCCGGCTTCAGGTCTCTGTGTGCAATGTCAAGAGAGTGAAGGTACTTGAGTCCGCTCATCAGTTGGCTCATAAGTGCTTTAGTCTCGTTCTGCCGAAGCTTGCCCTTGGACACGATTCTGTTGAAAAGCTCGCCACCATTCACTTTCTCTAACACCAAATATGTGGTCATAGTATTGGCGTCATACGGTTCCACAAACGTTTCGTAGGATCGGACAATGTTCGGATGGTCGATCTTCATTAGAATGTTCAGCTCCCTATTAAGAGAGGTGGCCCAATTGGCATCTTTGCGAGTTGGATTGAAGATCTTGACCGCACAACACTCTCCTGTACTTCTTCGAACACATTCTTTGACCTGCGCATAATGTCCACATCCTAGCAACTCACCAATCACATAGCTGTCGTAAAAAGACCCAGTTCCAGGCCTACGTGGGCTCTTGAGAGTGAAACTTGCCTGATATTTCATGACATAGTGGCATTCAGCAGCAAAAGAAATTTTGTCTCCAGATCGTATCAGACATGTATTGTCCTTACCAACGAGAAGTCCGTTCACAAAGGTACCGTTTGAGCTGAGGTCCTTCAGATAAATTATGTCCTTACCATTCAGATAGCTCACGCCGATTTCGCAATGATACGTTGAACAGTCCGCAGGAGTGAGAATGATATCATTTTTCTTGGAACGACCCACCCGAAGGCAGACTTTTCTCCGAAGCTCGATTTGCTGGGGACCAGTAGCAGCGGGATCCAGGTTGTACAGCGAGGCGACAGCAGGGAAGGGCAACTTTTTAGGCTCGGAAGAGGAGTGCGGAGGGTCCGAGAGCTTTCTCTTGCGGCTCAATGACACACCCGAAAGCATGACGGCAAGACAAAATTGGAGAGAAATCTTGATTTTCGCGTACTAATTTTCTTAAATACATACACACGGCTGTGCTACCAAAACATAATATATCGTATATTGTAAAAAGCTCCACCGTCGATTTATAATCTGATTTTTAGGACACTCACTAAAATGGCCGTCGGAGGATTGGGAGAAGTCGATCAAAAGTACAACGGCAGAGGTATCCGTGTCGGAATTGTTCATGCCCGTTGGAACAAAAAAATCATTGATAATCTCGTTCTTGGTGCCAAGAACAAGCTTCTCGAGTTCGGTGTCGTGGAGGGAGACATAATCATCGAGTCTGTGCCAGGCGCTTATGAGCTTCCATTGGCTACCGTGGGAATGTTCAAAAAGCACAATGTCGACGTTGTCATTCCAATTGGATGTCTGATTAAAGGTTCCACCATGCACTTCGAGTATATTTGCGATTCGGTGTCACATGCTCTTATGGACCTCCAATTTAAAATCGGAAAGCCTGTGATCTTCGGCGTTTTGACATGCCTAACGGAGGAACAGGCAGAGGCTCGTGCTGGCTTGATCCCAGGGTTTATGCACAACCACGGCGAAGATTGGGGTGCTTGCGCTGTTGAGATGGTCGTCAAATTTGGTGGGTTGTCAGACCTCAAGATATCATAGCACAGATTTCACTAAATTTTTTTTTTATTTTTGAAAAAGCGAATAGTAGTTCGTAGCCATGGTTAAACGAGGGCTTTCTGATAGCGAAAGCGAAAACGAGGACGATTGGAGAAACAGAGATACAGACATAGAGAGTAGCGACTCCTCTGATGAAAACGAGGACAACGATGAGCAAAATCATAGTGATTCTAATGATTATCCCAGAAATCATAAAAAGGTAATAAAAGATCGATTCCAGGCCAGTGACAGTGAAGAAGATGACGATTATGACGCCGAGTTTGAAAAACATGTACAGGAGGCACGAAGGGAAATGGAACAGAGCGCCAAGAAGCTCAAGCAACTGACTCCAGAACAATTAGCCAAAGAGCAGAAGAAGATCAAACGCAGCGGGGTGGTATATCTTTCGACTATTCCCCCATACATGAAACCTGCAAAACTCAGACACGTATTGCAACGGTTTGGAAAAGTGGGTAGGCTATATCTCAAGCCTGAGGATCCCAAGGTTTACAAGGCAAGGGTGAAGACGGGAGGAAACAAGAAAAAAAAGTTTGTGGAGGGTTGGTGTGAGTTTGAAAACAAGAACGACGCCAAACTTGCAGCAGAAACCTTGAACGGGAACAAGCTTGGAGGAAAGAAGGGCAATTTTTACTATGATGACATTATGAACATCAAATATCTCAAGGGCTTCAAGTGGCATGATCTGACGGAAGCTATGAATAGAGAGATCGAAATCAGAGAGAGCAAGATGCAATCTGAGCTTTCTCAGGCGCACAAAATAAACAAGAATTTCATCAAGAATGTGGAAACCTCCAAGATGATCGAAAACATCAAGAAACGGAAAAAGAACGTTGAGCCCACTGTTCAGCGCGTGTATGCCCAGCGATCTGTTACTACTAACAGAGCGGGAGCCGATGCATCACAGAAGGATACCAAAAACACAGAGAGTGGCAAGCTGAAAAAGGTGCTTGAAAATATTTTCTGATTTATGTCATGTAGTAAATTAATCAAGATATTTTTTCGATATTTTTTTAGTATTTTTCATGTTACGATATTCATCAAGGTTGCCTTCACGGCTGCTGTTTGCTGGGATAGGGCAACTGCGATGGCGAAGCGCGGGATCCAAGAGAACAAATAATAGGAGTCCTCGTTTGCAGGTAGTCAAAACCCCCGAGGAACTGCTACAGGAATATAGAAATGTGGACATCGACAACTTGCGCGAACAGTACGAAAACTTAAACAACGTAAGGTTCTGCGAGCCTAACAGGCAATGGATTTCCGCTATGTTTGGGCTAGAAAGTGTTCCCAAAGACTTCAATTTTTTAGATACTCCAGAATCCCGGGTCATAGTTCGCAAGCTTCTAAAAGAAAGATACGGCAAGATGTCTTCTTCGATTTCTTTTGACCAGCTGTATTTTACGGACATAAACGTTGGCGATGTGGTTGATTTATCGCTTTCTCTGGACAGCAATAATCTTGCCGTTGTTGCTGAACTTCCGCAGGATATCAAAGACCCCCGTTACACTTTGATCAACAAGTACGGAGATCTCGAGTTTGTGAGTAAAAAACGATTCCGTTTCAGACTACCTTCTATTTTTCCACCGGAGTGGTTTAACGGCTCGGTGATGAACGAGCAAACAATTTTGACAGACCTTGGGCGCTCTGCCCAGCCCGTTGGTAAAGTGAAATATAAGCTCGAAGAAAACCCAGATCGTGCTCGTATGTTTGACGAGATAATCTCGCAGGATATCAATGATACAGAAGAACTGACCACCTATATTGTTCCCTCTCTTCTCTCTGGAATACTGAGCGAGGAGCTATCGAAGCTGAACAATAGGGCCTGGAGTTTGCTGCCTGACGTGAACTTAAAGCTGGAAACTCTTCACAACGTTCTTCAGAGTTCCAATGGGCCGGTTCAGCTTAATTTCTGTGAGATTTTCCGCGCTTGCAGCTTGGTGGATTTAGAGCAGGTTGCAAAGGTGATGCGTTCGAGAGATCCGCAGATGATACAGAAAAGCAATAAAAGATTACACAATTTGCTGGCACGGATGCTTGCTATTGGAAACCAGTACGACTGGGTGACTTTGGGTAAGAATCCTTTTGGAAAAGCTAGCAACACAGAGAAGATGAGTCCGGAGGCAGTTTATGCTCTCATGTTAGGTTTGCGCAAAAATAACCAAACATATGTTCACGATACAAAAAACATATTGCCAAAACATGTGACTGTTGTTCCTCTGGAGACGATTGTCGAGCACAATAAAGTTGTGGAGGATTACGAGGCAAACGAGCAACTGCACGGCCAGCTCACCGAGTACATCATGCAGAGACTCGAGGAAAAGTCTTCTACAACAAAACCCCAGCATTACGAGCGGATTATGGACATGTATCGACTTTACATTGCCGGCTCTGTGAGCAGTCCTAGTTGTGAGTCTTTCCTAGTGAAGGTTGTGCGAAGACTTCCCAGCCACAACCATCTTGAGATCACCAGAGACGTCATTTACGAGCTGCTTTTGAGATTGAAGGAAATTGCACCTAACGAGAACCCGATTAAATGGTGGATAAATTTTCCTGCTCCAGGAAGTGGACTGTCTTTAAAAGCGGACCTGGAGCAGGAGTTTTATGAGAAAATCACCAAAGACACACTGAATAGTTTCTTCTTCGTTGACGAGGAAATGTTCAACCACCCGCGGCCGCGGTTTTCTGATGTGGTTTACTGTATTGACTCGATCGACGCCAAGGAGATTGACGACGGTGTCAGTGTTCACCAGCTAGACGAGAACAAGTTCCTGGTTGGCGTGTTTGTTGCGGATCCGGCTTCCTATGTGCACCCAAAATCCACGGTTGCAGACATTGCGTACGAACGTGCTTCCACGCTCTATTTGCCAGACGTCGGGGCTGCCAGCAATGGAATATCGATGATGCCGGAGGTTCTGACGAAACATATTCAGCTGGGTGTCCACGGATTTCCACAGAGAGTGCTCAAGGTGAGCTACGTGGTGGATATTTCCAATGGAACAGCAGAGCTGGCGTCAGAAGGTGTGAAGTTTGGCGTTGCTGACCAGTTCCTGAGCACGGATTACGACTCGGTCCATAAAATTCTGGAGAACGCCAGCGACGCAGATAAGATCTTGAACGAAATGTCCGCGCGCACAAAGATACCAGAATCGAAAATATCAGCCGATCTTAAAGCGCTGTACACGGCGGCAGACGCGCTCCGCCAGAGAGCTGAGGAAACTGGAAGAGTCACCGTGTTTAATAATTTCTCCATGGGCCGCAGGGTGGACACCATCAAGGAGGACGCAGAGGACATTCTCATCAGTTTCAAGGAAAACCGCAGAAACCAGCAGCTGAGATCCGAAGTGCTTGTTTCGGAGCTGATGGTCAACGCAAACAGACTGATGGGAGAATTTTTCAAAAAGAACAAAATACCAGGCTTGTTCAAGATCCAGAACAAACAGCCAACGACTCCAGAGGTGGCGTTGCAATTACGAGAATTGCAACAGAAAAAGGGCACTGTGAGTACCAATGAATTCTTTTTGCTCAGCGAGTTCCTGAATAAATCCCACGTTGCTCCGTTCCCTACAAGACACGATTCTCTTGCAGTCGATGCTTATGCAACTGTCACCTCGCCACTGCGGAGGTTTGCCGATCTGATGAACCATTGGCAACTGCACCGTTATCTTGCCGAAGGCTCGCCCGCCTTCAGACAGGAACACGTCAACGCAATGGCATACCATCTCGAGATGCGTGCCGACATCGATAAACGTGTTTCCTCGAAAATCATGACATTCTACATGTTCAAGCACCTCAAGTATCTACAAAAATCCTCTAAAGAGCCGATCCGCGTCGAGTGTGTTGTTTGCAGACCGGCTTCTGACGATGGTATTTTGGATGTTGTTCTGCCTGACTACGGCGTGTATGGTGTCCTGGAAACTAGCCAATCGGACAGAAGCAGGGAACTATTGAGCGACGTTGAAGTGGGCGACGTGATAAAGGATGCTGTGATTGTGGACATGGACCTTTTAGAAGGTCTGCTTGTACTCAAAAGTGACAGCTACTAAACTGTACATAGAAAATAAAATAAATAAAGGCGAAAAATAATGCTTAATATTTTTTCGATATCTCCATGGCAAAGAAAGGCAAGAAGCAAGAGGTCGAAGAGGCTCCAGGAAGCGACAGCGACTATGAAGACACCGGCAAGAAGCCAAGCAAGAAACAGCTAGAAAAACAGGCTAAAAAGCAAGCGGATGCAGACAAGAAGAAAGAGCGCGAGGCCTTGCTCGCAATGGAGGAAGAAGCCTTGACAAAGTCCAAGGGTGGCAAGGGGAAAAAGGGCAAGAAGGGCGGCAACTCTGACCTGGACGATGCATTGAACTCATTCGGCCCTAAGGGAACTATCGATGCCCACGGTGTCGAAGATTCTCTCGCCGCCTTGTCTCTTCTTAAGAACGATGTCGTTCCCGCAAAGGAGATTGACAGACACCCTGAAAGACGTTTCAAGGCTGCATTGGCTGCATACACAGAACGTAGACTGCCAGAAATGAAGAAAGAGAACCCGGGATTACGGAAACAGCAACTAGAACAGCTCATCTACAAGGAGTTCCAGAAGAGTGATGAAAACCCAATGAACAAAGAAACCAACATCAGCTACAATGCCAAAACTGATGACGTGCGTAAGGTGAAAGAAATGATCCGTGAAAAACGTACCAAGAAGTACGAGAAATAGTCTTTGTATGTTAATTCCTAAATCTCTATATTACACTACTCGAACAAGTCGTCTAGCTTAATTTCCTCAGTTTTCGACTTTTTTATCTCCCCTTCGTTTTCGTCTCCGTCTTCAGCCTTGCGCTTCTTATCTTCGTCCTCGCTTTCTTCGTCGAAAAGGTCGACATCGCTCTTGTCGTCTTCGCTTTCCTCTTTGTTAGGTTCCTCCTCCTCATCCTCACTCTCAACAACAAACTCCTTCTTCTTCTTACGCCCGCCGCGTTTCTTCTTTGGTTTTTCCTCGGAAGTCACGTCCAACTCGTCTCTGTTGTCCTTGTCTTCCTCAAGACGCTGCTGATTCCATTCCTTGGCAGCCTCCTCAAGTCGCTTTCTCTCCTCAGCACGCTTCTCTTCCAGTTTGCGCTGTTCCTCCAATTCTTTTTCCCTCTGCTCCTGCTTCCTCTGCTCCTCGAGTATCTTCTGCTTCTTTGCGGTACGGATCTTGTTTTCAACCTCACCCTCGTAATCCTTCTGCTCGGCAATTGCTTTCTCGAGTTGCTTGATAAGAGTATTTCCCATATTTGCTCTCAATTTCAACTCTTCAGCAGGGAAAGGAGGATGTTTCTCGTCGGTGGCCAGCTCATTCAACGACTTAATAGCCTGAACAAGTCCAACCATGGATTCCTCTAAGTCGGCAACGGTTCTCTTGGTAGGGGGCTGCTTTCTCAGAAATTCCGCAAGCTGGAAATGAACAAACGCAATATTGAACTTGATCGAGGGCAACCCATTGATCTTATAGGCCTTCTCTGCGAACTGAAGCGCTGTCTTGTAATACTCGATCACTTTCTCTGCCATTGCCCTGTACAGCCAAGCCCTGCTGATGAAATTGTAGATATTGGCATCCTGTCCATTTGTGTACCGAGTAAGAGCTAGTTGGTAGCTTTCTATACTCTTCGCATATTGCTTGGCTTCTAGGAAGCAGTGGCCCAGATTTATGTAAACAGAAATATCCTGCAACGACTCTCTCACCTTTCTAAATATCTCAAGAGCAATACCTACCTGCTTTTTGTCTGCAAAGATAATGGCAACGCCTTGCGCAGCATATGCATCCTTTGGATCAATGGACAAGACCTTTTGATAGAGTTGGGCTGCACGAATGTAGTACTGTTCCTTTTTTTGCACGTCCTTGGACTCCCTGGCAAGAGTACAGTAAACATTACCCAGCGATGTCAGAGCATAACAGTCATGGGAGGTGTGGTTAACTAGGGTTTCTCTGTGATGTTCACTCTCAATGTCCTTTCCCTTCGTAGCCATGTACTTCTTACCAAACTTTTTGACGTACCATCCGTAGAATGATCTAACTTCAAGATCGTCAGGAGATTCCGCTAACAGTTCAGCAAGTTCTTCGTGAATGTCTTCCTTGTCAGACAAACAAGTTAGAAGAAGCCATCTGAGTTTGGCGCTGTTGTAACCAGGACATTTTTGCAGAATCTTCTGATACATGTTCTTGGCGGTTTCGACTTCGTTTTGGGACTCCTTGCAGCGAGCAACGTTGTATTCGAGAATGAGTTTGATGGCATCTCTTGGAGTTCCTTCCTCTTTTTGAGAGTCCAATGCTTTGAGAGCGTTTTCAAAGTACGACAGAGAGTCACCTTCATTCTTCAATAGTCCTAGCACTCCAATATTATTAAGTAGTGCATAAGACAAGTCCGACTCTGTTTTCCCAGATGAGAGTTCCTGATCTTTCAGCATCATAAGGTATTTCAAAGACTGCGAAATATCTTTATCCTCGTATATTCTAGCCAACGTGATAAGGGCTGCGGAGTTCAATGGCTCTTTGTGTTCTTTTGCAAGAGAAACATACTTCTCCAAAAATGTTGTAGCCTTATCGGTTTGTTTTGAGTTCCTGCTGTAAAGCATACCAAGCGCGAGAGTGACCTCCAATACACGAGAGTGAGATTCCTGCAGTTTCTCAAACTCTCTGATGGCGTCGTTGATTTGATTTCTCACAATCAAACACTGACCATAACCGTACCTGGAAAGCAAATTATTCTCATTATATTTGATGGAGCTGCTGAATAGCTTTTGAGCCTCCAAAACGTCATTTTGCGCAAATTTGCACCTGGCGAGCCAAAGAAAAGCGTCACTTTTGATCCGATTAGAAAACCTTGTGTCCCTGGAAACTTTGTCACAAATTTTCTGAACTAATGCATAATCTTGTTTGGAGAAATAGAATGAGGCCAAGATCAACAAAATCACACCGTTTGTCGGGTCGTCAATCAGTGAAGCCTTGGTAAACTCCAAGGCCAAAGCGTACTTCTCTTTGAAATCGGCATCAGAAACAGAGTTGGTAAAACAATCGTCAAATTTGGCAATTGAAATAAGAATCTTGGCCTCGAGATTCTTTTCGGGGTTCACCTGAATAGAGTTTTGCCAGGCTTGGTTGGCAAGCTTCTTCCTTCCCAGCATCCAGTAACACATGCCAATACCAATTCTGGGATCAGGCCTGAGAAGGGGGTTAAGCAGAAGACATCTTTGGAAAACTTTGAGCGCAGCCACATAGTTTTCCTTGTAAAAGAAGATTTTGGCCTTGGCCATCAAGGCAAAACAATTCTTCGGGTTTTTCTTCAGTAAGCTGTCCAACAGTCTTGACTCCTTCTCGAAGTTCGTCTGTTTGCCTTTCTGCTTGTCAGAAGAGAGAAGCAGCAAGGCTTGGGACATGAGTGTGAGCTCGTTGGTTGGATCTAGTGACAAGGCAGTTTCAGTTTCTTTCGTAGCCAATTCGTGGGAAATCAACCCGCTGTTCTTGCCCTCTCTGGTAAGATATAGCCATGCCAGAAATCCATGCAATGTGGACTGGACGTCTCCGGTAGCGTCCATGATCGGAGGCGAGTCGAGAGCATTTTTGATGACATTAAGCGACTCATCAATTTTTCCTTGACTGGCATACGCTTTGGCAACAACCAGCCAATGTTTCGTGCTAGACTCCTCATTGGTCAACAGAGCACATAATTCACTGGAGTCCTCCGGAAGATCGCTGATAGTGTCAATAACAACCTCCTCGCCTTCTTCCTTCAATGGAATGGTGATATTCTTCGATACATAAGCCTCCTTGTGCTTCTCATCCAGGTGGCCCAAATAGTAGTCGGCATTCAAAGGAACCGACTCCTCACTTGCCAAGTTCAAATCTTCCTGGACTGGCATTTTGAGAACAAAAGAACGTATATCTTTTGAAGTTTTTCCAGGAGCCAAAAAGTGTCAATTACCCGGGCGAAAAAAAAAAATAGATTTAGTATATAATCCTTGGTGTGCAGGATCAACTCTCATAATGGCAGAAGATAAGCGGCGAATATACGTAGGATCGATGTCCAAGTTGCTTGCAGAAAATCCGCGTGATCTGGAACAGCGATTTGAGAGGTTCGGGAAAATAGTGCGTGGTTTTGAAATCCACCATAAAGAAGTGCTAGACTACTACTATGGATACATTACATTGCAAATACCCGAGGATCAGCTCAAAAAGCTTAAGCGTACATTTAATGGTGTCACATACAAGGGATCAAAGCTTGCCATACAGGAAGCTAAACCGGATTACAAAGAAAGATGGCTCAAGGACAGTCGCAGACAAGATACCAAGATCAAAGATAGACAAATCAGAGAGCGCATAGCCCAATGCCGACTAGAGAGAATTGCTCAAAAAGATATGAATCCCTTTGAGCTTTCAAAGACAGAGAAAGGAAGAATGAGACGGACACCCAGAAAGACAAGTTTAGCCAAATTGTCCATGAGAGCGAACATCAAGGGCAAGCTCAAGATTGTGAGGGCCCGCAAAACTAAGGTATGGGGATACAACAAGAACAAGCATCCTGTGGACCTTGTTTGGAGATACATTGACGGGGAATGGAGAGATGGTAATGATCATACCGTGGAGAAAGTAAAGACAGATTTCACCATGGGAGAGACAGAGAAGGAGATCGTAGAGGAGAAAGAGCGCACAACCAAGATGTTGGAGTCCTGGATGGACTCTTTTGACTTTAATAAGCCGGTTGATCTTAGTGACGACGAAGAGCTTGAACACGTGCCTGTTTCCAGACACCGTGAAGACCAGGCTGTTACCGAGGCCACTGACAAAGAGCCGGCAGTGGTCGTTTTCGAGGAAGAGAATACAGTCCAACCAGCCTCGAACGTGCAGAAAGAGGAGGAGGATGATGTAGATACCGAGTTTTTACCATCCTTCTTGCAAAAAGCGAAGCCAGTTGAACAGAAGGAAGAGCCATCTGCTTCCAACAAAACCACCGAAGTTCTGAGAACATTGCTGAACCCGACAGAGCCGATCAAAGAGCGTGAATACATGGAGTCCGAGATGGCAGCTCCCGTTACTAGTTCCAAAAAATACGGGCTTTTTTTCTCGCACTCAAAGTCACCGTTCCTGAGTGCTCAGACGCAACTGGCTACTTTGAAGACGGTCGAGATCGGCGAAGAATATGACAGTTGGTTTTGGGAGAATCGTGGAGACTTGAACAGGTATTTCAGGAGACGGCGCAGGGACGTTCTTCGGCAGGCAAAGAAAGGAGGCCGCGTACCACTTATTTAATTCAGAATCTGCACTGCCTTGCATATATAAAGAGCATTGACGAATATATTAGGCATGAACGCTGGGAGCTGGGCCAGGTTAAGAGCTTTGGATATAGAAACTGATTGCGGACCTGAAAAGGAGCCCTTGTAGACTGCAGCATTCAGCCCGAGCGTGTCTTTCAGTCTGATGATAATAGTCGTGTACACAATAATGACCATTTTTCGTCGAAAAATATTCTTTTTATACTCTCGTCATGGAGGCTAAACCGATAGTTCTCGAGAACACGAGCCGGCGTGATGCCCTCATCGCTGTTGAGAAGAAGTACAAGCAAGTCTGGAAGGAAGAAAAAGTGTTTGAAGTGAGCGCTCCAACCAACGAGGAAGTGCCATACGGCACTTCTTGGGAGGAGCTTCACGCAAAACACCCTAAATTTCTCACCACGATGGCATATCCCTACATGAACGGTGTTCTTCATGCCGGACACAGTTTCACGCTTTCGAAGAGTGAATTTACATCCTCTTTCGAGAGACTGAAGGGCGTGAAGGTGATTTTCCCTCTTGGATTCCACTGTACAGGAATGCCTATCTGTGCTGCTGCCGACAAGCTCAAGAGAGAGATCGAGATGTTTGGTGAGGACTTTTCGAAGGTGCCGGCAGAAAACGAACAGCCCGACGACGAGGCAAAGACAGCCACCAAGAAGGAAGATGTGACCAAATTCAATGCCAAGAAGTCCAAGGTTCAAGCCAAGCAGGGCCGTGGAAAATACCAGTTTGAGATCATGGAGCAGCTTGGGATTCCGAGATCCGAGATCTCGAAATTTGCTGACCCTTACTACTGGGTCACTTTTTTCCCTCCTCTTGTTGAGAAAGATGTCACGGCTTTTGGAGGTAAGGTTGATTGGAGAAGATCGATGGTCACGACTGATTTCAACAGCTACTACGATTCGTTTGTTAGATGGCAGATGAACAGGTTGAGAGAGCAGAGCAAAATCAAGTTCGGTGAAAGATACACCATTTACTCCGTCAAAGACGGCCAGCCATGTATGGATCACGACAGACAGTCGGGAGAGGCTGTTCTGCCTCAAGAGTACACTGGATTGAAGATTAGGATCACCGAGTTTGCTGGAAAAGCACAAGAGGTTTTTGAAAACGAGAAGTTTGATCCTGCTGGCAAAAAGGTGTTTCTGGTGGCAGCCACTCTGAGACCGGAAACCATGTACGGCCAGACGTGCTGTTTCGTTTCTCCAAAAATCAACTATGGTCTGTTTGACGCCGGAAACGGGAACTACTACATTTGCACCGAGAGAGCGTTCAAGAACATGAGCTACCAGAAGCTGACTCCTAGGAGAGGAGACTTCAAGCCAATTTTGAAGATCAACGGTGCTTCTCTGATAGGTTCCAAGATTGATGCTCCACTCACAGTGTTCAAGAACTTGAGAGTGCTTCCTATGGAGACCGTCCTAGAGTCCAAGGGAACGGGCGTGGTTACGTGTGTTCCGTCCGACTCTCCAGACGATTATGCTACGACTAGAGACTTGCACAATAAGGCCGACTTCTACGGAATTAATAAGGATTGGGTCATCACCGACATCCTCCCGGTCATCAGGACAGAAAAGTACGGTGACAAATGCGCAGAATATCTTGTCAAGGAGCTGAAGATTAACTCGTCCAAAGACACCGTTCCTCTGGCCACGGCTAAGGAATTGGCCTACAAGGAGGGTTTCTACAATGGTACCATGATCGTTGGCAAATATGCTGGTCAAAAGGTCCAGGATGCCAAGGAGAAGGTTAAGAAAGACTTGATTGCCTCGGGCGATGCCTTTGCCTACAGCGAGCCTGAGTCACTGGTCATTTCTAGATCGGGAGACGAGTGTATTGTTTCTCTCGAAGACCAATGGTATCTGGACTATGGTGAAGAGAATTGGAAAGAACAGGCATTGGAATGTCTTTCTCAAATGAACGTTTACAGTCCAGAGGTCAAAAATGCCTTTGAAGGTGTTCTGAATTGGCTGAAAAACTGGGCTGTTTCCAGAAGTTACGGTTTGGGCACAAGGATTCCATGGGATCCAAAGTATCTTGTTGAGTCTCTGTCGGACTCCACTGTCTACCATGCCTACTACACAGTGGCTCATCTGTTGCACGAAGATTTCTATGGTAAAGTTACTGGTCCTCTTGGTATCAAGCCAGAACAGATGACCGACGAGGTCTGGGATTATATTTTCTGCAACTCTGACAAGGTCGACAGCAGCATTCCTCAAGAGCATCTGGACCTGATGAGAAGAGAGTTTGAGTACTTCTACCCAACAGACATGTCTGTGTCTGGGAAAGACCTGATTCCAAATCACTTGACTTTCTTCATCTACTGCCATACTGCCCTGTTCAAGAAGCAGTTCTGGCCCAAAGGGATTAGATGCAATGGACACTTGATGCTGAATAATGCCAAGATGTCGAAGTCTACCGGTAATTTCATGACCTTGGAGCAAATGGTGGAGAAATTTGGAGCCGACGCTACGAGAATTGCTCTCGCAGATGCAGGTGACAGCGTTGAAGACGCCAATTTCGAGGAGAGCAACGCCAATGCAGCCATTCTGAGAATGTACACATTGAGGGAATGGGCTGATGAAACGATCAAAACCATTAGCTCTTTCAGAACCGGCGAGTACAATTTCTTTGATAAGGCCTTTGATAATGAGATGAACTCTTTGATCAACGAGACTTACAGACAGTTCGATGCAACTCATTTCAAGGGTGGTTTGAAGAGTGGCCTATTCGACTATCAAACGGCCAGAGACTACTACAGAGAAGTCAGCAACATCGGCCCGGGTATGCATAGGGACCTGGTCCTCAAATACCTTGAAACACAGGCCCTTTTGGTGTCGCCAATTGCTCCACATTTTGCGGAGTATTTATATAGAGACGTCCTGGGTCACAAAGAATCCATTTTGAACGCCAGATGGCCAACTCCAAAGGAACCGATCTCGACTCCGTTGACGGATGCTTTGACATATATCAGGACTCTGGCTAGATCCATCAGAGAGACCGAAGGACAGCTTCTAAAGAAGAAGAAGGGTAAGCCTGCAGATTTGGACAAGGACAAACCTTGTGTCTTGACATTGTACATTTCAGCAAGCTTCCCTGAGTGGCAGAAAAATTACGTCGAGCTTGTTAGAAGACTCTTCGAGGAGCACAAACTTGACGACAACAACGAGATCAAAGCTAACATTGACGGAAAAGATATGAAGAAGGCCATGCCATTTGTCTCTTCTTTGAAGAAAAGACTTGCTACCGAGTCTCCCGAGTCCGTGTTCAATAGGGAGCTGTCTTTCAGCGAGCTTGACACTGTGAAAGTGGCTAAGGATGTCATCAGGAAAGCTGCTGCCATTTGCAATGTTGTGGACGTCAAGGCCGTCCCAATTGATAGCAAGAGCACATCCGGTCAAGACATCTTCACCGGTAAGACTGTTGAGATTCCTACAGGAAAGATTTTGGAAAGTTCCGTTCCAGGACAGCCAGCGATCTCCATCAAGAATGTTTAGTAAATACAGCGGTGAATAAATACATTATTAGCGAATCGAATGGAATTGCGAATATCAGATTTTGATGCCTCTCTTTTCTAACTCTGCCACTGTCCAAGCCCAATTATTTGCGGCGTAGTAAGAGCTTTTTGCAAGATAGCTAGGTTGGTGTTCTTTCCCATAGGAAACAAAGAATTTTTCGTTATCTTTCTGTGGGGTCAATTCGTCACTCAGCGCACATTTTAGTGTTGCATATGATCCTTCCTCATTTGAAATACCGAAAAAGTAGCCAAAAATCTGGAAAAAAACCCAGAATAGCAATCCGATAAATGGTAATCGCGTAAAGTGGCTGAAGAGATTTGTGTTCATGACGAAACCAGGGTGCACAGAGACACAAAGTATTTGCGGGTGAATTTTTGCAACCCTGTTGATAAACTGCATCCCAGCAGTCTTAGCCAGACCGTATCTGAACCACGTGAAAATGATATTAGGACGATAGTTGAACTGGTAATCCATCTTGAAGGGGAAGAAAGTGAACCAGTGGCCGACAGAACTTATGTAGATAATTCTGGGATCTTGGACAAGAGATGGGTTTAGCATCAATGGAAGCAACCTATTGGTGATGAGAAAATGCGAGATGTAGTTTGTTTGTAGTTGAATTTCAAAGTTATCCTTGGTAAGCGAAAAGGGTACCGCCATGATGCCAGCGTTGTTGATGAGCAGATGAAGGGTCTTCTCCCTTGTTTTGAATTCTGCCATTGCTTTCTCAACAGAACTGAGGTTGAGAAGATCGATTTCCAGAAAGTAGAGCTCGCCAAGAGCATGAAGTGGATCTTTTCTGCGTGTCAACGCCTCCTGCTTCAGCGATTGTATCGCGGTTTCCACGCGGTTCTTGTTACGGCCACCTAGATACACCACGTAGCCGTGCAAGTACAAGTGGAGAACCGTGTAATAACCTATGCCGCTGTTGCCTCCAGAGATGAAGCAAACGCGTCGCTTTGTATGGGGATCGAAGTGTGGAAGGTCATCAGGCGAAAACATAAGGCTAAAAATTAAGTATCTTTCAATTACAGGAAGAGAAAAATTTAGATAACAGGTATTATTATAGCCACAGCCTTAATTCGTCAGGTCTTTCGTTAGCTTAGTACAAATATTTAATGTAGGGATTCAGGTCTCCCTTCATTATGCGAGTTCTTTCGTCGTATGATTCCCACTTTGCAAGCGAGGCTGCCGTCATCTTATTGCGGTTACGGTGCACCAAAATTGCGAAGTAGGCGAGGATGAACAACATAGCAAGACCAGTGAATCCGATACAAATGCCTAATCCTTTTTTGTAATCTGGAGCTTCGCTGTCAGGGAAGATAAACGACGAGATGATTCCTCCAATGTTACCAAATCCAATCACAAATGCAGTTCCCACGGATTTTCGTATGTGTCCTGAGAAATTGAGACTGATCCAGCACACGACAATAGGCATACAGGTGTAAAGGCCCGATGCAACCAGGAAACAGCCGCCGTATTTGACGTGCAGATGTTCTCCGCCGCCCAGAATCATAGCCTCACCCGCGATGGCCACAGATGCCGCGAGAATGGCATACGGCAACCTGATTCCGTGGAAATCGGAAACGAAGGCCAAAATGATCGAGAAACCGAGTGATGTGAGCCACGGATAGATGGAGTGGGCCTGCGCATTCATCGCGGTGTATCCAAGTAATTTGATGATGGATGGAGCGAAGTAAGCGTACGAATAGGACGGAACAATAAGACAGAAATAGATCAAAGCACCGACATAAAGCATTGGATCCTTGAAAACCTCCAAAACGTCCTTAACAGTTTGCTTAATCTCGAAGCCCGAATTTCCAGAGTACACCTCTAGCTTTTTCTTGAGGAAAGTTGTTTCGTTTTTGGTCAAATATTTGGCATCCTCAGGGAAGTCTGTGATCAAAAAGAACAGGAGAATTCCGAGACCTGCACTGATGGTACCCTCGACAATGTAGATCCATTGCCAAGCTGAAAGACCGTGAACACCGTTCAAATCGTATAGTCTATAAGCAATAGCTCCACCACAGCCACCAGCGACCGACGTGCAACTGAAAAAAATACTGAATCTTCGCTGGGCTTCCCGCTTGGTGTAGAAGTTTGCAAGGATGTAGAAAATGCCTGGGAAACTTCCAGCCTCAAAAATACCAAGGAGAACTCTCGTGGCCACCAAACCTCCAAAAGTCTTGACAAATGCGGTTCCAATGGTAACCACACCGAACAACACAATCATGGTACTCATCCAGGCGTGAGGCTTCACAATTTTGAGGCAATAGTTGGATATCACTTCGAAGACAATATAGGGAACGAAAAACACGGTTAAAGCTGTGTTGAACTGCTGCTTCTGCAAATTCAGGGCATCTTGCATTCCGTAAATCTTGGCGTTCGAGATGTTAACTCTGTCCAAGAAAGCCAAGAAGTAAAGCAGACAGAATGGAGGAATAACACAAAGATCGATCTTCCACATTAGTTTTTTGTGTTTGATGTTGTGCTCCTCAGCGAGAAGCTTCACCTTTTGGTCCATCTCGGACTCAGAGAGCACGGAGTCGTGAGACTGCTTTTCATCCGAGACTATATTCTCGTCGAGCTCGTACTTCTTCTCTAAGCTGGGAATAGAAGACATGACTAAAGAGAAGAATTTCAACAGGATGTGGGGACGGCCGATTTTATTTTATCTGCGAGAAAATTCAAAATTTTGTCACAGGTCCTCGCTAACAGGATTTCAGACGACCCAAGAAATAGGGCCCGCTCTTTTTTGTGTGACAAACAAATTCACAAAAGCAGCCTGCAGAACAATCAACCACTTCCCTAGACCGTCTATGCTAAGCCTGTTGCCGATCACTGCCCTATCGTGAGCCAAGAACAGGTTTTGTTGGGGCTCGATAGTATGCCCGGTACAGGCCCGTTCTCACTCTCTTTTCCGGATAGATGACTAAACAGGTAAAAATTTTCCCGCAAGCGTGCCGGTGGTGAGTCAGAGGACGCCGGACCACCGAGCATCCAGTAAACGCTATATTAGAAGCGACTCAGTTCATTTTCGGTGTATATGTGCTGATCCTACAATTCAAGTAAAATTCCGGGGTTTATCTTATATAAAAGCCGTCCCTCCAGCTACAGCCTTAAATGTTAACCTTGAATACCCGAGTGGGCTCTGAAACTAATTCTTTGCGCTATCTGTCGGCTAATCGTTAACGGTGTACGGGTGTTCGGCCAAAATATCCACAATCTAAATCAACTATACTATTATACAACATCTATCAGAGCTGCTGGCGCGAGCAGCAGATCTGGAAGCCGGGTAGGCTTCTTGCACAGCGTTTAATGGTTCGTTTTGAGTTCCAGCTCCCGTTTGTCCTTCAGCACCTTCCGGAATACAACTTTCCGTGGGCCGTTCTGTATCCCGCTGGGAATCGGCTTCTGTAGATCTAGTTGGCTCAACCACTTGGGCGAGCGTTTGTCGGACAGCCGTTTCGAAAACTTCGTCGATCTGATATTTTGTCTTGGCGCTGCACTCCAGAAACGCTGATAAGCCGAGTTCACGGGCAAGTTGCAACCCTGAAGACGAGGACACTTGGCGGCAGTTCTCGAGATCAGCCTTCGATCCCACCAAAATGATAGGCACATGTCTTCCTTCAAGAATGGAGCGAACGTGAACAACTCGCATAAGAACCGAATTAAAAGAGGTTTCGCTCACGACAGAATACACCATGAGGATGACCTGTGACTCCCGTAGCATATTTTCTGTTTTGAGGTCAAGTCCATAGTCAGTATCGACGATATCCAGGATGTTCAGCTGGTAATGCTGGCCATCTATTACAACCTCCTTTTTGTACAGATCCTGAACGTTCGAATCAATCTCCTCAACAAATTGCGACTGCACATATTGCAAAACTAGAGTACTTTTGCCGCTTCCCAGCTGCCCCATCACGCTGATTCTGACGGGTTTGCTTTCCTAACCGTTAGTAATGCTATGTATTTCGGATCCACGCACCATAAACATATTTTAGTTATACGCTAAATTTTAGTTTTTGTAAACGGTTTTTTGTTGATCTTGTCAACCTACCTATCTTGCAGAAAAACCGTTTCGTGACAATTTATTTCTTTTTCTCAACGTTTAGGTGGCAGGTTGCAAGTATAATTTTGAGTTGTAAGTCTTCTTATATAGTCAACTCCAGATCGCGTATAATCTGCTCCACCATCGAAGCCGAAAGCTTGAACATTTTCGTGGACCCCGAGTTCTTCATCAGTCTAACAACACACCCTGAAAACCCGTATTCGTAACCGTCTTGTCGTTCTGTCTCCACAGTCACGTTGAGGCTGTTTTTTTTACAGTCTCCCACATACTCCACATTCAAAGTAGTCGACATTCGACCCGGACGAAGCTTGATTGAGTTCTGGTGATCCAGCTTTACGCACAGACCCTCAATCACCTGCTCGCAAGAGAGAACGTCTGTCTCAATGATATGCTGTTTTTTCCAAAATTGAGAGCTCTTAAATCTGGTAGCCTGTCTTCTCACATGCGGACTATCAACCTGTTTCTCGATGGTGCCCAGTAGTCGTTTGAACCAATTTGGCCGCTTCTGGGGACTCACAGAAAATGTCTGGGCTTGGCGTTCTCTTATCTCCCTTCCTTTGAAATCGGGATCCACAGGGGAGTTTTCAATTTGGAAAATTGGCGCGGATTCTCGTTTTGAGATAAGAGAAGAAAGTCTAGCTTTAACTTGGGATCTCGTGGTTCTTCTTTCTTTTGTTCTAGTTAGATCGATAGGATACGGACGCAAAGACTTCCGTTTTTCTGTAGTCTCGTCGTCGAAAATCGTTGTCTCGTCCCTCACAACGAGTGGCAGCTCCACCTCAGGATCAGCAAAAACAGAAGCCCTCGCAGGCTCTTCAACGACAGTCTCAATCTTCTTCGTTTTTTCAGGAGTGAGAGTCATCCGCTTTCTTTGATGAGCCTCCTCAGGAGGCATGTCGTAATTGGAATTGGCCAGCAAAGAGCATCGAATCGTTGGGAAAGGTTGTTGAACAAACTTGTTCAATTGAGAGTCCTGAGAAGTTGCTGATTCGACTTTGCGATGTGTTTTGATGATGGAACAATTCGACTGCGAGGAAACGAACTTTGCATTTTTCTCCGAGTCTGCGTCAGCAAATTTGTCCTGTTCCAGAGGCTGTATCTTAAATTCTTCCTCTTGAGGAGTGAGAATAGGAATTTGTATCGCTGAATGTAGACTATACGAATTGTCGTATGATATTAGGGACTCATCCACAGAAACATCGGCTTTATGCGTTTTCGCCTCTGCTGTTGTGAGATGTGGTGGCAGTTTCCTTGATGGAGGTTTCTCTTTTTTGCTGCGCTTGTTGTAGTCATTCAAACTAATATCATTCTGAGGATCCAAATAAGACGACAAATTCCTAATTGACGAGTGCGAGCTTTCAATCGATGATTTTCTCGGCGGAGCTTTTGAAAAGCTTTTATGTTCATTGTTTTCCACAAAATCGAGATCATCGAGTCTGCTCATACGCACTCCAAATTTCTGTAGGACATTGCTCGTCTTACGAATAGAAGCCGAGTTTGAATCTTTAAGCGGAGGACGTCTCTTCTTGGGGTCGAGAGAATGCACATTCCTTTCCTTCACAGTAGTGTTTTCACCTAAAGTCTCCCTAGCATCGGGTTTCCGAGGGGAATCATTCAGGGAACCTTTTTTTCCTGGAATAGGGTCGGTTTTATCTTCGAATATTTCAAATTTCAAGTCAATGTCAAGCTTTTCTTCTGTAAAGACGGCGTCAACCAAATAGGTGAAGTCACTAAGGTCAACCTCTGGTAATTTGGGCAAGTCTTTTGGATTGACGGTAAGTTTCTTCGATCGCGCAGGTGAATCTGAACGAGACGGCTTGGATTCATCTTTCGGCAACTTCTGACTGTTATTTCTGCGAAATGAAACAGATCTTCGAGATGAAGAAGAGACTATCATTGCAGAAGCTTTGCTCTTGTTAATACTTGTGGACCTTGCCGGTCTTCTTTGGAGAACTTTGTTGGTTGTTGAAGGAATTTCTCTAGTAGACATCTTGAGCACCTCGCCATGCTCATCTTGGATAATGGTACGAATACTAGTCGATTTAGGGATTCCTAGCTTTGCGGACTTTGCAGGAGATGGCGGGCGCTTCCGCGTTTTCGAGTGTATTTGTTCTTCATCAGAATCTTGAGCATGACATTCCTTATACTTTTCCAGCAAGTAGTAAAACATTTTCTCGGAATTCTGGTCCTCGCTTTGAAGATTTCTCACAAGCTCATTGATTGGAATACCATGCCATAAGGTTTGAAGGTTATACAGTATGTCGGGGTCAATATTAAGGATAGGTTTGGTCATTTTCAGGTCAGCCTCCTGGGCTATGAAGACCTCATCGCCTTTATCTGGATACTTTTTGAGCAAAGGGTGGTTCAAGATGTCATGAATAGATATTCTATCGCGCGGATCGACCCTTAACATAGACCAAATTAAATCCTTAGCTTCGCTGCTCAAATTGACTGGCATATGAAACTTTCCAGTCTGAACTTTCAGTAGCAATTTGCGAATGTTGGAGTCATCAAAAGGTAAATGACCAGTAAGTAATGCAAAGAAGATAATTCCACATGACCATACGTCACTTGGGGAACCATGATATGTCCTGCCGGCAACAATCTCCGGAGAAGCATAGTGAGGGGATCCGCACGATGTCTCAAGCAGCTTATGTTTGGTTTCTAAAGCGGCCATACCAAAATCAGCAATCTTGATGTTATGATTTTTGTCCAACAGTATATTTTCTGGCTTCAAATCACGATGACAGATGTCAAATTTGTGGCAATACTCAACTGCTTTGATGATTTGCTTGAAATATCCCACAGCCTCTTGTTCCGTAAGACGGCCGTGATTTATTAGAAAATCAAACAATTCACCTCCTTCCACATATTCTAAAACCAAATAAAGCTCGTTGTCATTCTCCCAAACATCATAAAGTGCCATGATATTCGGATGCGATATAAGCTTCATGATAATAATTTCCCGTTCTATGCCGTACGGCAAACCGTTTGCATCAATTTTAGGACCCTTACCATTCTTGTAGTGCGTGACTGTACCTGGGGCCGCCTTGGGGACAATTTTGACAGCAGATAGCTGACCAGTAACACAGTGTTTAGCCAGTCTGACCCTTCCGGTGGAGCCTCGTCCTAATGTCCGGCCCAGTTTCCAGGGACCAATTCTATTTTCAGCTTTCCGTTTGCTGTTGGATGTGGTGGACGTCTGAGAAAGCCTTTTATTAGCATTGGCCACACTTTCCACAACGCGATCTATCTGCCTTTCTGAGCCAGTCAGAGCTCTGTTAGTCTTATTATAGCCCGTGGCTGCAACGGCAGCCTTAGATGCAAACGAGGAAACTCTCTGCGGTGCCACGGATGTCATCAAATGAGTGAATCAAAACAATGCCTATAAGTGTCTAATTGATGCAAAGAAAGAGAGCTCGTGTCTATTTGGAATAGAGCTGTTCTGCGTCCGCGAAATCGTACCCAAGTTTGATTTAATGTGGATTCAAAGGAGAATTATGAAATTTAATTTCTTGCTCCTTCCATTCACACAAATTCTCTTGGAAAAATGAATATTTTTTTGTATATGCACCGCACCGTGTTCCGTGTTCGATATTAAAAACATAAATAATCGCGCTTATATAAGCCAAGCATAAAAATTATACCCATATACCATCCATTAGCTACCCCACAACCTCTTGTTTCTGGGAGGAGCTGTAGCCTTGAACCAATTGCAGAGCGTCCTTTCTAGGAAGAAGAATCTTTTTCTCAAACTCTGCTTTGACAGAGCTTAGTTCTTTCAAAAGCACCTCGAGTTTTTTGAAAAAGTCCATCTGAGTGCTCACTATTCTGCATCCCTCTTCTTCCATATCAAGCGTTAATTCTGGAGATGAGAAGTACTTTTTGATCGCGGTATTGATCCTAGAGTAAATTTGCAAATATTTGTACTCGATTAAAGAAAGGTCCATCACGATCTGCAGGTACTTGAAAGCCAGGAAGCTATTCGTCTTTTGATTCGTCAGGTCCTTGTCTAGATCATCTGGAAGGTCCAAGCGTTGTATCAATGACAAGGTTTTTTCCTTCAAGGAAGATTGGCTGGAAAAATCGGCATCGTTCACTTTGAAGGACGATAATTTGAGATCGTCCATATTGTCAATAGCATCGAGCTCATTTATGGTCTCTGGATCAACGGAGACATCCTCATCGCGAGCGTGCTCAAGTATCCTCCGTACGTTGTGTTCAGCATTTTTAGTCAAACACCAATTTGGTAGTTCCGTGACTTCTGGATTGGAACAGAGCTGTCTGATTAGTTTGTTATAGAGTCTGTAACTGTTGACATAAGCGTCCTTCTTCTTTCCCAGAGACTCCTTGGACGGGCAGTCATCACAGTTAGAGACTTGAAGATCCGGGTGAACAACGAAAAGCTGAACCATGAGCAACCAAAAATATTATATTATTTCTAGAATAATGCAAATTTATCCCTTTTTGATTCCCCTACTTGCAGCAAGCAAAGCAGTAAAAAATTGGGGTTTATCGGCAAATTTCAGTGAGGGGCCGAAATTTTACGACATGAAAATAAAATCTCCCCACGGAGCAGCAACCTCGTGAATATCACCCGGTTACTTCAAAAAAGGGTAGCGACTGTGCGGGCACAAATTTACCCCACAAAAAAAATGGCAATGAAAAAGTGGGCAGGTAATAAATTTTCAGCCAGGCTAGCTGCTTGACATTTGTATGCACGACCACAAATCGTTTTTCAATTTTTCAATGAACTTCATATTTAAGAAGCTCAGCTCGGTTTGCGTTCTCTCTGTGAAGTTATCTGACTTCTCAGACATTGACATTTCACTCGGTTCTCTGAAACCTTCGTAAATTTCGGCTCCTTGCAGCTTTTCAACGAAATTGAAAAGCAATTTAAGGTTCCACAAATCTTCCATGTTTTGCGGACGTTTTACCAGTCTTTCGACCTCAAGCTTAAAGTCCAAAACCGTAGAGCTCTTTGCGTGATCTTTGTTTTTGTTGTCCACCATTGTTGCTTTCTCGAAACGTGTCAAGCTATTGAATATGTTAAGATTTTCCAGCTCTTTCATGCAATCAACATCATCGCTTACATGTTGATCTGTCTCAATCTGCTTGACTATATCGTCAAAGGAAAGCCTCAGATTTTGGTAGTCCCTTTTCCGATACACAAATATATTCAAGTGAGCCTGCTTGAATAAGTCTAATGTTCCTGACTCCCTGAAATCGAGCGTCACTGGAAAATAAATCTTTTCCGAATTGACAACAGAAATTCTTGCAATGGTATCAAGCTCTGGAATCAAACAAGGTGTCTGGAGATTGATCAGCAATCCAAGGTTTGTTTCTATCTGCACGTCGAGTTTGATGGGCTGTTTTGTATTCACATCTCGCACGTTAAGGCACCTGTTTTCCACTGCCAGTGCCCAAAAGTGTCTCAATGCTTGCAAATGGATTTCTGAACATTCACTGCCATTGTTGTAATTGTTGGTTCCATAAACAGGGTAGATAGCGGTGACAAGAGCAGCAATTCCAAAATTACTCTTCTGGAAAGCTTTTTGACCGCCACCTAAAAACAGAAAACCAAGCGCAGAATTAATTGCCATGTAATTCCCATAATTCATTGACTCGTCAACCACGCCTTGCAAAAACCTCAAACGTCTGAAAATGCACAAGTCTCCACTTCCAGCACATATTATTGAAAGCCCGAGAATCACAACATCCATGATATTTCGGGCACCAATCAATGCCACACGTTCATCGTAGTTCCTAGGCTCTAAAGCACATATGTTCATTAATCTGTCAAAGTAGTAGAGAAGCGTATCTTTGGCCTCAGTATTTCCAGATGATGCGTGCTTCAACGAGATCGAAAGCAATATTCCCCCTAAAATGTTTAGATAAGGAAGGAAATCGCTATCAAGATCGCGTATCGTTTCAACATTGTATGTTTCAGACACACAAAGAGGAATTTGTGCCTCAACCCATTCTCTGTGATCTCTAATTTGATCCCACATGATCAAATTTGCCCCAAGACACCTTAGCATCAGAAAATCTGGTCTAATGTAATCCAGCATTTGCATTGTTTGTGGTATAGCAAGCTTTGAGGCAACTTCACTATTACCGGTTTTCAGGAACATGAATGTAAGTGCCAAGATGGCACCCCCACACGATTTATCATATTCTTCGATGGTCTGTATATCCCTCACCGAGACAGCCATTGTAAACAATTCATCAATGACATGAGTATCATTAGAAGCTTTGAGACTTTCGCCTTGTCCCAAATTGACATAGCCTAGTGCTATGCCGGCCGCAAGTCGATATCCTTCGCTGACATGTTCTCTTTCATTATAAGTAAGGGTTGCATTGATCTGAGAGAGCAGGACTTCGGTCATCCTTCTGTGCTGTGTCTCCAAATAAAGCAAACCTATTCCAATCAAGCCTGCTGTTTGAACTGGTAACTGGACATTCAAATTCGTTGATCCTGGAGGCAATAATGCAACAACGTGCACCGATAGTACTTTTGTTAATTTGATATCCATAGTTCCTTTGAGACTAGCAGCCATTCCAAGAAGTAAGCCGACGCTTGTAAAGTTGTGTTTGGGTCCCAGATAATTATAAATGTGCCATTCCTCTAATTTCTTCAAATGGCCATTGAGGCCAAGTCCGAGAAGGAATCCTGCATGTTGTGCATTCAAAGTAGGTGGACGATTGAATACAATCCAACTTCCATTGATTTGCGTAGATTCCCTAGAAATTGTCAGTCCTGAGGACGCACCATTGTGGAAGAATCCCCAGTTGTACATTTCTTGGTCTATTGAATCTTTCTCTAAGCTGACGTTGATCATGTCCGGCAGAATCAAAGCATTAAAATTCATCTTAGGTATAGGAAACCTTTCCGTCATCAAAGGTTTTCTACTTGAAATGAAGACAGCGCCCCTGCCCAGAGGCATGGTCAATGTTCGCAAAGCCACCTTTGCTCCTAGAGCACGCTGTCTGACAAGCTTTTCATGCTCATCCATTTTGTCGTCAGCTCTCAGCGTTGCAGTTTGTACACGAGATGTCTGTAAAAGCTTTGTTAGCTCGTAAAATCTGCGATCCTCATGATATATCAATTTAGTGACCTGGAATCTATCAGCCTCTGCTTGACCATCCCAGGCACTTATTGCTTCATGGTCATTGACGAACTTGAGTATCTGCATCATATCTTTTTGTGGAACGTTTGTGTAGTCATGTCTTGTACTTGAAGTTTCTTTGGCTATATTTTGAGTGAATGCAAGGAGATCCTTCCGTCCTATCAGTTCAAGCTCATTGACACCGGTGTTCCAATGCAAAGCGGACTCGCTGCAATTGATTATAGCATTTTTCAATGGCAGATAAACACCTGGCGGTAATGACTCTAGCATAGCAGCATCAATATTATAGTCCACCATCATATTGACAACATCCGCGGGTTGAAACTCCGGGGAGATGAGTGCCTCAAATAATCGCAAAATGTAAAATGTGCGTGGAGTTACTAACTCGTCGATCGTCTCATCTTCTTCGGCAATCTGAGAGAAAGTCACATACGGGACAATAGAGCTTGAAAACAAGCTAGCCAGCGATTGAAAAAGGTTAGGTGGTGACACCAATGGTTGAGCCGTCAAAAACTTGGTTGTGCGATCAATGGTTCTAGGGTCCTGCATGTAGTATTTGAACCAGTTGTCGGTCCACCCCATCCAGCTACAGAGCTGAGCTAGAAGAACTGAAAGCTGTTCGATTTTCTCTGTTGCCAGTATATTGAGCTTGAGCTCCTCTCTAATGAGATGAAGCGATAAGAATATTGAGGGCAACAAATCTGTAAGCATGTATGCTCCTCTGGAATGGGATACTGTGGATATATTTTCGATATTCTGTTTTGCTAACTGCGCGTAAGGTAGTAGGGAGCACACCAGGTTTCTCTCATAAAGGTCGCTGCCCAGCTCAAAGTCATCTGGCAGTGCAAGTGAAAGTAAAGTCACAATGAATGTTTTCCAGTCATTGTTTTGGGGTATGTCCAGTGAGCAATTGGCGCACCATTGAAGCCAAAAATATTCATAGGTGTAAGAATTAGCAAGGTATTTGAGTAGCTCAATGAAAGTCTCAACAAGCTTGTCTTGTGGTTGTAAAACCAATTGGATCGTATAGTGTTTGTCATTCACGCACCGTACAGAAAGGCTTGGACCGAAACAGTCGTCGAGAAGCCGAATAGGAGGTAGATGCGAAGATAGGTCCATCGTTGATGACAAAAGTCCCAGAAATGGGTTAACTAGGATAACATGCGATAGATCGTATAGCAATAAAATGTACCCCGAGTGTTTGGAGACAGTAGATAAAGATACAGCATCCAATCCTTTGACGGAATATGTTGACTTTAGCGAAGGCAAGCTGACTGGGGTCCCCGGATTGCTGAAAATAAGGAATTCGATTGTGTGTGATTTCTGATTGCACACCACAAGGGCTTCTTTGTCAGTGTACGAAATGTTGAATATCTTCAAATATTCAGTTTCATCCGTGAACTCTATGGACGTCAGCTTGGTGAATATTATATCTTTCCGCAAGCGGGCCGCTTCTATTTGCTGATGATTTGTTGACATGAAAAAGCTGCTTGAGTCGTTATTGAACTCGCTTCCGGATGCCATTCTATCGTAGGACATAGCGTCAGAGGTCGATCGTGTTTGTCTAGTGTCAAGAGTCTGATCGTCAAGAATTCCGGGGCCATTCGATGCCGTATTTGGCCCAGAAGTACCAACGGTAGCGGACCCAGAAGCGTTGATAGTTGAGGGGTTGGTTTGAGATTTGCTGACATAAACTTTCTTGCTTGATCTCCTGTTAAGACTCTGATATGATAACGAGTTCATTTTTGAGCTCCTACTTCTGTGCAAGAACCTTGTGTGGTAAACTGTGATTGACTTCTCAACAGGATTGTATGTTGTAGCTATGGAATGAACTGAAGTTGATGGAAATGAAACGATTTCTTCTTTCAAGGAAAAAGACGTGGTAGACGACGATACTATAGATCCTAGCTCACCCAAGGTGTCAAGTAGGGTAAGGAAATTGCTCTCGTTTGATCCCGCTGTACTGGAGGCAGCTGACATTGGGGGAATGCCGCTGGCATAAAGGAGAGGTGATGAGGAAGATTGATTTGGGTCGCTTGAAACCATCACGGGACTTTCATATTCTTTGCTAATGATGAGTCCGTTCTCAAAGCCAAATGCTTTGCGAATATGAAATGGGAAACTCACAATTTGGGAGCGTCCTCCTCTTTCATAAACACAAATTTGCTCTTTCAAAACTACGACCAAAACTCTTTCGGATCGAATGTTAGCACGATCTCCATTTAGTCTGGTAAAAAAGCAATTGATCACCTGAGAGTCGAATTTCAGTTTCCTTGTTACGATCCCTCCTTTCAGCCAAAGAACAGCTCTCTCGCCAGAGAGAAGACTTTCATTGTCCCCTGTCAAGTAAACGTCGTAGTTATCGAATTCTCGCACCAAGCAGGCATCACTGAAATCTGTATGAAGATTGAACGCCGGAACCCGCCTTGAGTCAAGATCTAAGTCCGACTTCGCCAGGTTGACCATTTGTTATTGTTAATCAAACCTTTTGATCTGTTCGTAGTAGATGCGCGTTTCAAAAATTACCCGGAGTTGAATCAAAATATGTCTACACTGATCAAAAACAATCCAGTTCCAAACAAATATGTCGTTTTTCAGCACCATCAAGTAAGTAGAGGAGTCGTTAAGGTCTTCTAACAATAAGGGGTTTTACGAGAAGTTCGAAGAAGAAAAACCAAAATAAGCTAGGTAACAATTATAACGAACTTTACTTGAACAACGACTCATCGACATCGCTCAATTACAACCAAAACACGCAGGCGTCACTATATTCAAATAATAATGGATCCTCGCTTTCCCTAAGAAGGACACATTCACCATCCAAGCAATCTGTCAGATCGCTTAAATCTGTCAACCAGACTCGCCAGCAACAAAGCAAACAGGCACCAAAGCCGCTTTTCATTTGTGAGCCATTTGTAAAAATTGCGCTTGTCAAAGGTTCATATAAAACCATCGTTCAACTACCGAAATATGTGGATTATCATGAGTGGTTAGCCCTAAACACTTTTGAATTATTTAACCATCTGAACAAATTCTATGGAGTGATAGCTGAATACGTGACTCCTGACCGCTACCCAATCATGACCGCAGATCCGAAAACTGAATACGTCTGGATGATGCCAAACGGCAAAACCGTCTCTCTTCCTGCGAATCAATATATTGATCATGCCTTGACATGGATTAACAATAAGATCAACGACCAGACGATATTTCCAACAAAATCAGGAATGGCATTTCCTCCTTCGTTCTTGAAGGAAATAAAGGGAATATACATTCAAATGTTTAGAATCATCGCGCACATCTTTCACAATCACTTTGACAAGTTTGTTCATCTATCACTAGAAGCACATTGGAACTCGTACTTTGCTCATTTCATTTCTTTTGTCATTGAATTTGACTTAATCGATAAGCATGAACTTGAACCTCTAAGAATGCTAATTGACAACCTGGAAACGCAGGGGAAAATCATACCATTTAGTAAGAATACTCTCTAGGACATCCCACATACCATGATCGAACCCACGAACACTAGGCTATATTTTAATATAGTCTAATATATATCCTTCGTCATATATGTACATATATATACAAGGCGTACATGTATCAAGAAAAGAAATATGGGCTATCTCTCACCACATTCACGTCGAACTCGCCCTTCAGAGGGATAGGTGGTAAGTCAAAAGGCACTAGAATCGAGGTGGCATTCTTACCCTCAAATCCAAGGGCGTTTTTATAGTTGCATTTTTCAGCGATGGTCACCGGCGTGACCATTTTTTGCGCTCTTTCAATATCATCCTTATTACCAGACTGCAGTAATAACTGTCTCTTTCTTTCCGTCATTGCTTCGTCGATCAGAGTCGGGCTTCTCTTGAGCTTTGAAAGCAATCCCTGGCGGAACTTTTTATACTCCATAGCGAGATCGCTGGCACTATTAACCTCCACGACCATCAGATTCTTACCATATCTCATTCTAAGTTCTTTATCCAGTTTCTCAATCAGGTTATTCGTGTGCAAATGGATGAATTGCTCTCTAAGGATTTTGTTCATGACTGAGACATCTGACGCATGAGTCCAATAAGAATCATGAACTGAAGCAAATACAAGTCCTGCTTCTGAACATTTGTTGGCGGATAATACCATATGAGTGGCATCTAAGGAGTGAATAAAGTTTGGAGGGAACCCACTAGCCTGCTTACGACCATCGACACGTTTCACTTGATAAGGATCAACAATTGTGATTGTTTGCATCGTAGTCTGGACTGGCCTTCCCTTGTACTCTCTGTAAGGCTGAACAACAGGCAATCCCATGGGAGTCGTCCAGATAACAGAGCACATGTAATCAGTATCTTGAGGAATGTCGATGTCTGTTCTAACAGATTTGCTAATCCTCTTTGCGGCAATTATGAGCCAGTCTTGGATCGCATGGGCGTTGTCAAACAGCTCTCTGATAGCCTTGAAAACTTTTTGTGTCAAGTATTTTGAAGACATAGACATATACTTTTCATCAAATTCAATGTCCTTCAGTCTCTTCGTAATCTGTGCACGCGCTCCAACGTAGGTAACACCATAAACACTGGTCATCACAGTTTGCTTAACCAGTTTTCTGCTAATGACATCCTTCACTAATTTGGCCTCCTCCAATCCAGCCTCAAGATCTTCTTGAACAGACTTTTCCACCAGATGAGCAACATGGGTGTAAACATCAGATGGTTTGTCAGCAGGCACCAAATTGACTTGTCTGGCACCTTCAATATCACCACCAAGCGCAGCGTAGTGTTGAAGGCCATTACAAGTTCCATCCTGATGCACAGGTTGATGAGAAATGAACTTGGTAGGATCCGGTAATCTGAAAGCTTGCTCCAGCTCCATTGCAGAAGCCAAAAATTGCCAAGGCTTGTCTGCCTTCACCCACATTCTAGAGCCACCCAGAGGATCTCTGGCTGACTCAAAAATCTCGTCCAGGTGATCATCAACATACTTCACTCTGTCATCCAGCGATAACTTATCAAATCCCATAAGATTGCAAACATGGATTTTGAGCCACCTCAAACCTTCCTCACCCAGCTGTTTTCCATTCCAAAACTTCAGTAACCCTCTCGACAAATCATTTCCGAGATGGTTAAAGTATGGAGGCATCGGATAAGCTCTGCCTCTAAAATCGAGGGAATGAGGAAAGTAAATTCGTTCACCAACATATGCCCTCGCAATTTCCAATTTATAATTGGTATCACATCTCATCGAGCGATCTTTCGAAAACTCTCGACAAATAGCCTGGCACTTTCTCTTGTGTTTGAAAAATTCTTCGAGACTGGCATCTGTCGAAGGCTGAGGAGGCAGGTTTAATGTTTCCCGGAACTTAGGTATATCCAAAAATTCCTCTCCTGTATTCCACACCTGAATCATGACCTTGAGCACCTCCTTGTTCACCGTCCATGCAGTAGATCCCAAATTGTTTAGGGCTTGAAGGACTGTATCCATTTTACCTTTGATAGCGGCTGTACGCGCATAGGCGGCTTGTTCTGGCGAATTTTTAGCCTTCAACACCGCAGATTTCTTCAGGTAATAGCCACCATCATTATGGGTGGTCCATGGACGTGGTTTTGCAATCATTGGCATGAAATGAGGCTGGAGAGTGTTGTCCACTCTTTCCGTGCCTAGCTTGGAAGCAAACTTGGTATTCAATTTGATGACACCCACTTTACTTCCATTTTGGTAATCATAAGTGTGATAGAATGCAGGGGCTAAAGCGGTCTTGGTATCGCCTGTGATTGGATCGGTTCCTTCCACATCGACTTTGGCGACCTGTAGAAGTAGAGAAAGCATAACAGATCCGACACGGCACCGGCTATCTGTATCCCAGCTGACAAAAGCAATCGATTGCCCAGCAGAAGACTCAGCTCGTTTTTCAGCTTCGCGAATCAGCTGAGAGGCTTTTGTGCCCCTGACAAATTTCTTGAATTCAGGAGTCTTCCTTATGGCCCTGAAATTCTTATTAACATCGATATCCGCAGCAAGTAATCTTTGAGCTTTGAATTCCAATTCCATAGCACGACCGATTGCCATAACGACTTTGGAAACCGGGGCCCCATGAGCCAGATCTGAAGAAACGCAGGTTTTGATGACCTCTAATATAGTCGTGATCGCAGACTTTGAAGGTTTTAACAACGTTAAATATGGACCATGCTTCAATTTTTCCAAATACCTTTCTTTATCAAAACTCGACGTGTCCTCGAGCTGATTTTCTTTCTCAAGCTTCCGTGCAACCCAATATTCTTCAATCTCTTGCTCAATCAAAGGCTGCATGTTGGTAAGCCAGTCATGCAAATATGATCCTATGGATGCTGGCATGCTCTTGTCTTTTATATTTTCAAATTCATGTTCCCATTTTAGTCTCGCAGCTTCAACACTATTTGACTCGACTTTCTTCTGGCGCTCTTCAGAAACAATGTCTAGAATGAGATCAAATTTCTCGTGTTGCTCTAATGGTAATGCGCATTTCATTTCAAAGAAATCAACCTTCGTTTCTAAGTTTTCGTATTTCTCATAATTGATGTCTAGCTTCTCCTGCTTGGCGAGAGCAAAAAACTTATCTAAAAATTGACCATCCCCATTGTAGGAATCCACTAATCCTAAAAGTGTATGTCTTATTGCTTTCAAATTGAATGAAGAAACGGGTATGAGCTCCTCCATTTGATTGTCCACTATTGCTGGTGCTCTGCCTTCTTCTGCGTCCTTTTGAGGGGATCTTTTGTGCTGATGATTCTCTATATGATCATTATCTGCTTCTGCTAATGATTCCAAATTTGTGTCAATTGTGTGGTCTTCAAGAACAGTACTTCCATCTTCATTATCCTTCCCCATCAATAAGCCAAAGAACTTTTCATATTCTGAGGGAAGCTCGCTGACCAAGGTCGGATCTGCAGCAAGTAGTGTCCTGATGTTGTTGACACCAATGACGTCAACGAATCTCAAAATATCAGCCCTTTTGTTGCGAAACTTCCTCAAGTTGTATTGATCAAATTCTTCAAAGATGTCAGCAAGGGAAGCGTTCTTTTCAAACTTCAGCTTTATGATCCAAGCGATTATTCTAGGTTCGTTTTTTAATGATGAGTCAAAGGCAGTAAATGTGTTTAGCCAACACTCCACATCCGCCATTGACACATCTTCACTGCGGCCCCATGTAGCAAGAAACTCACATATTCCATCGTAAAAATATTTGTGCGGATTGTTCGGATCTGAAGCGTTATTCAAGGATGCAAGACTCTGCAATATCAAATCGGCTCTTTCATAATCTTTAGAGAACAAACAGGCTTCAAAAAGACTCCAAGATTTGAAAAACTCACTAGAGCTAGGTGTAAGCACATTATCAACTGACGATGAAAGGAGGATTTCTTCAAGGTCTGATTTCTGGTCGTGAAAAACCTTTTTAGAATTTAAGATGGCGGTTGTCTGGTGTGAGCCCTTCCCGAGGGCCTGGCTTGCGTATGATGTCGCCTTCCGTGATTTTGTAGCACCCACAAATCTTCTACCCGTTGAAGCAAATACTGATAACCGCTTGGCTTGTTGGCGAGCAATTATGAAATTCATAGTGACTTTCTATTGCTATGAGAATGCTCGGGGAAGAACTGAAGCAAATACTTTCTTTTACAGTTTTTCGATATTGCAGTTTTAAAAAAAAAAATTCAAGGATAAAAAATTTTCGTTGAGCCGCACATTATAAAACAAAATCATAGATAATTCAGGTATAGGTGCTGTTTGTATGTGATATGTATCGCCTCAGATGGCTTTCGTTTCGTTTCAAATCATAGCACTGGAAGATGAGGGTGATGAAAATCAAAGATGATTGTCATCAATTGTAAGCAAATTCATTGGCTCATGGGACTTTTCAGGATCAAGATAGTACGTCGTATGCCATAATGTCATCCGCGAGATAATTCCTGCGAGAACAAAGCAGCTATCTTCTTTTTCGTCTTGAGCATCCTCCGTTAAGAAAAAAGCGAAAGGCCATGAATGTATCCCGCCTTTCATTTTCCACAACTTCGTGCTGCCGGCCATCGCCAAGGTATTGCCAAAATCTTGGATTTCATCATTCAGAAGCTCTTCTGCTCCCCAAGTCAAAATGATACCTTTCTCAGGAAAGCTTCTTTCCCAGGTGTTTGGATTATTGCAAAATCCAGGACTATGAATGATACCTAGTTCTGGAAGATGTGACGGTATGTAACGTTGCGAGATCCGGTTGATGAAATTTGTTGTCAAGAAGTCGGGACAAGTATCTTCAGATGTCCTTTTCGATATTCCTTTGTATTTTAATAAAGGCGATATTAATAGAGCGCCGAAAGGTTTAGAAATTGGCTCGTTGACTTCTTGAGAACTCTGTTCAATATCCTCATTTCCCTCGATGCTCTCTTTGTCTCTTTTGAAAATACTATAATCGGGATTGGTTCTGAATAGTAAAAAGCTGAGGGCAAGACTTGCCCCAGCCGAATCACCTGCAATTATCCACTTGGCTTTTTCATACTTGGTTGTAATTTCTTGCCAATTCTGTATGACAGTGAATAGGTGATCAGGTAGCTCACATTTATGCACAGTTTTTAATTGGGGAACAAAAATTAGGGGATTTTTGAATCCCTGCAGTAACAGTAGCGAATGCAATGTAGTCAAATATTCAGTATAAAAATGTGGAGTGTTTGACATGATTAAGATGTTTGGAATATAATATATCACTAGATCAGGCTCCAATGAAGTCTCGGCTTGACATTGAACTTTTTTGATCCAATTACCTTTCAAGTTGTTTTCCCTGACTTCCTCGTAGAAGCTTAGTTCAATCCCATTCCAAGCTTGGACAATTGATCGATAATTATAGAAACGTTTCCAGACAAGGTTTGCCACCAACGAGTAGCTAGGATTATTCTCATCCGTGATATCTGGTAAGAAGTGTTTGACAACTTTTAGTAACACATATTGATTCAAGGTCCCTTGTCTGTGGACTTTGTTCTTTTGATTCAGTGGTTCTATGAAGCCGTACACGACTATCTCAATAACCAAGTTGAAAACTTCGGATTAGAATTTGGAGGTTTTGATTTACTTACAAAAGTTGTAATGGTCAACCAAAAACCTTACTGTACTCCCAAGAGTATAATTTGATGACATATAGATGAAGGCCAAAGTTAAAAAGACAAGTATATCTGACAACGTGTATTCCCTCATCTTTTGAAACTGAAATAATACGGATATAAAATTAACTAGGATGGCGCTTGAGGGATACTTCCCTTTTTTTTAAATCGTAACCAAATAAAAGCACGACCTATTTCCAGTTCTCGATATATATATATATATGTGATCACAAAGTTGCAAGAACTTTTTGGAGGATATCCACCAGGATTTGTGCATGCTTCTTTTCAAAGACCAATGTTGGTCTGAGTCTCACACCAACTTCTGCACAGCCACCGATATTAACACCTGAGATGCGCATCTTGTTCAAGAACTCCGTCCTTTTTTCTGAGGAAGGCATGTCAAAAGCGATGAAACAAGCCTTCCCCTTCCCTCTTAAGTTCTTCAGGAAATCAGGGTATTGTTTTTGAAGATCCTCAAGCTTTTGGTACAGAAAATCGCCAGTTTCTTTGATTGAAGTCAGTAAATTCTTTTCTTGTATTTCTTTGCAGATAGCAGCAGCCAGCATGACTAGCTTTTCATCACCGCACCAGGTGTTAAATTGTCTATAAGGCATATTTGGAATGAGTTTTTGGTCGTTGAAGAAGTATCCTGCAGATTGCATTTTCTTGGAGAAAGTAACAAGGTCTGGAGGAGGAGTGATATTGTATCTCTCGTGTTCCCACATGATACCTGTAGCACCACATCCTGTTTGGACTTCATCAATAATCAGCTTAGCGCCATACTTCAATGTGATGTCTCGCAAACCCTGGAAAAACACAGCAGACGCATGATTGTCACCACCTTCAGATTGGATAGGTTCGACAATAACACCGGCTATAGGGCAGTGCCATGTTTTGAAATACTCCTCAACAATGGACAAGCATCTTTCATCTTCCTTTTTATTGAACTCCTCGTTGGCTTCTAGTGGATACTTGTACGAAGGGAATTCTGCTTTTGGCCATTTGAAAGATGGCATATCCATTTTGTGAACTGGCTTCGATCTGGTCACTGATCCAGAAGCAAATAGTCTACCATGAAAAGCCCTTCCGAAAGATAGGATTGCGAGCTCAGGGTTACCTGGTGCTTGGTTCTCCATACATGACTGTTCCTCTTCGGCAGAAAATGGCTTCTCGAACCCTCTCTTCGTGGACTGGTAATTGAAGAAAACAGCTTTGAATGCCAGTTCGTTGGCATCTGCTCCTGAAAGAGCATTCCACACATACTTTTGACCCTTTGGTGCATATTTCAAAAGGCTTCGTTGGATATTTTCAAACTCAACTCCTGTGAAGTTTCCCAATGCTGCTCTGTTGACAATAGCAGAAACCATTTCGTCAGATTTAGCAACCTTAATGAGCTCAGGGTTATTATATCCAAGTGGAATGGAGGCGATCTGGGCGTAGCAGTCCAACAAAGTGTTGCCATCTGCGTCCACGATGTAGTTCCCGATGGACTTCCTGTAATCAGCTAAGAAGTACACGCATCTAGCATCAAATACCTCATTAAGTGATTTGATTGCATTTTGACCCTTTGGACCAGGAATGCTATCTGTTACAATCTTTGGGGCAGACGGTTCTTCAGGGAAGAACTTCTCTGTGTATGACATTGCCAACTTTCAAATGCGTCTACTGGTTTCGAAAGGTCAGAATATATATATATATATATAGCTAGATCTAAAATAGCGGCATTACCAGAATGCGGCTATGGTCCAACTTGGATTTAAGCGGCATGATAAAATAGGAAGGACCTGGAGCCGCTATTTTTTTAATGAATCAGGGTAACTCTAGAGTATGAGAATATGAGAATGAGAATATGAGAATTAGTGCTTCTAGTCGCGGAAAAGAGATCCAGACAATTTAAGTATCAAGGACAAACCTCGTATTCCTTCCAAACGTCGATGTCGTAACTTTTTTTATACAGGTAGCGTTTATCAACGCCTCCTGTGAGTTCCACGAGATCCACAGCCTTCACAAACATGCACACCACAACAAAGTTTTCCTGGCCCGATGATGTTCCATCAACACCCCTATTGATAGAGTCAAGCAGTGTATACTTTTCGCTTGTTAGCAACGACCCTGGTGGAGGTCTTTTGAAAGATCTCTTAAGACTTCTCGAGAGATCATTCCAGCATCTCTGTCTTTCCGCTTTCCATTCCTCTTCAGTCGGAGCATGAATCGGTACGTTGAGGTCAGCCAGTGATAATGTACTCGCATTCATGTTTTGTGTCTGCGAAGGGGATACTATTTTGTACATTAAAGGTTCATCAATCCCGACTTTGCCAAGCCCAATGGAGTAAAAATCGTTTTCTTGTTCCACAACAAGATCAACGTCGTTTAACTTGACCTCTGGCTTACAAAGTTTATCTTCAGAATTCGATATCGTAGATAAAATGCTCAAATCTATGATGGGGTATCTTTCATTTGTTATCACCCTAGCCGCACCACTGAATCTGAATTGCTTGCGGGCCTTATGGAAATAAAAACATGCCTCAAAATTGGAATTTTTGATGAGGTCTTTAAACTTTGCCGATCTCTTGTCGCATGTGAATAGAAGAACATTAGTTCTGGTATCGTTGAAAAGGAACCCCCTGAATACACAAGTTCTGGTGTGAGGGATTCCATGATCACCTACATTGGAAAATGAAAATGGAACAAATGGTTCCGACTCTAATTCAGAAGCCACCGCACTGGTAAATGCTGAATTCCACGGTGCTAGCGATGGTAGCATGATTATTGTACAGTGAGCAGAGCTTGATGGTATCTAATTTCTAATTGAAAATATTCTCTCTTGATTTTTCCGGGATTCGTCCTTTTCGCCTGCTTATAAAAATCGAAGTTGCACTGCCTATTAGGTATATAATTTGAAACTTTCAGATAGTGTGTAGTTGGTTTGAAAAGGAATTGAGATGAGACCTACTTAATTTTCTATTCTACCAATGCCTTGTCCCATCAGCACCTGCTGATTTTCCTGGAGATCAAACTGGAAATTTGGAGGCGCTTCAAAGACCAATACGATCGTAGATCCAAGTTTAAAGCCGCCCATTTCCTCTCCTCGAAATAATGGAATTCCATGAAGTATCTTTGAGGCATTCGCATAAGTCGCTTCATAACAGGTATCCCTCTTCAACTTCTTGCGCTCCTGGACCTTGTATTTTTCGGTTAACGCTTGGTTTAATTTGTCTTTAAAATATATTTCATGTTCGTAAACTTCATTCGTTGCAAGATGGGTGTCAAAATTCAACTTTATGGAGCCAACATTTGTCGCCCCGACAGGAGTCATACTGAAAAAGCCATATTTCCAGTAACCAAGAATTGCAACTCTTTCGTTTAATATAAATAGGTTTTGTAAAGTCCTTTGAAAGTATGGTGCAACTGAATATAATTGACCAACAAAATGTCTCCTCAATGTTGCCACCCATTCCACGGGCGAGTGAAATCTATGGTAGTCACCGGGTGCTAGGTATATAACTGCGTAAAACAATCTATTGGATTCTTTGTGCCCTTCAGCGCCGACAAGTGTTCTTGAAACAGACAAAATACGAGAAGTCGACGGATGAACAAAAGACTGGTCGCCCTCCTTTTTATATGTCAGGGTCTTGACATCTCCATGTAAGTCAATAAAATGGGCCTCTTTTCGTGTCCTTTCTAGATCGAACTGTTGAGGAGGAGCTTCGACTTTTGGCGCATCGTGTGTGCCAAGCAAAGCATCAACTTTGTACGTTATTCCTTTCACCTGCTCTATCCCACCATCTTCTTCGACGATACCAAACTTTAAAACCTTGCCATCACATGGAGCACAGAGCGTTGCAGAGGTGTCGACAGGTCTTTTTTCTGGTTTAATCGGACGACAGAAAAATTCGGCTAGATTTTTGTAATGTGTGAGATCAGGATCTGCCATTTCTTCCAGATTAACGCCAAAAATTAATGAATAGAGCTTGAAGCTGGGGCTCCTCAACCATACAGGAAGGTCAATGCTATTCAGTTGTCCCCAAAGCCTGGAAAGCGAATTCAAGGGAAGTCTTGAGTATATATAAAGGGGCCATGATCCTATGCTGTGAGATCTCTTTACTTGTGACTCCTTGACTTCTCGAGTGTCGTCATCATCAATGAAGTTTCTGGATACAACACCAAAAAAAATGAGAGAAACTGAAGTCAACGTGAACCACGAGCGGAACTTGACGCGTTTTAGTCGTGATGAAAATCTAGCTTTAGTTGAGAATTGACGTTTTTTGAGCAGTTCTCTAGTGCCAGCTATAAGGTTGGCATTTCTTAATCCATGGTATGTGCTGAATGAGCGCGGTAGCGATACCTTAATTGTGGCAGCTGCAAATATTGACGTTTTCGCGTAGTGTACGTTCTGATGAGGACGGGGGATTTTAGCAAATCTATGATTGAAGCCCTTCTGCTGTTGATTGTATGCATTCAATGAAGCGCGCGTCAGTGGCTTGTTCAAGATCTTGTGCTTGTCAGTCAATGCTCTAGATTTTATAAACATTTTAGCCATCGTGGATATCAAAAGCTAACAAAACCCCCTAAGGAATTTTTCGTTTGTTGAATAAATCTGCATGTGCGTTTGATTCTCGTGGTCCCCGGAAGTTTTTCTGCTATATTTCTCTAAGTTTGGAAGATGCGTAGTTGTAAGTCCTGATAAGTGACATTCTGAGCCAATGGCATTTTGGCCAGGCGTATCCTTATAGGTTGTCATATACGTTAGGACAGCGCCGTTAAGCCAGCATTCCGTGGTTTTTGGTGGTGTAAAGATGTTTATAATAAGAGTAAGCTTTGCCACCAGTTTTCGTTCAGACAAAAATATACCATCCCATAACTGATGTCCCCTATTTCGTCTTCAAGTTCGGCCAATTTGCTTTCGACCACAGTGTCTGTAGCACCCTTGGTTCTGTTGTCTGTGGTGGACCATTATGAAAGAGTAATGAAATCCTCGGCATCTTCAATATCGGGGTCAACAAAAAGAGTTGTGGGTGTTATTCTGGGAGATAATACACAAAGGCATTCTTTAAAGGTCACAAATTCATTTGCCATACCATTCGAGGAGGATGAGAAGAACCCCGATATCTGGTTTTTGGATCACAATTTCATTGAAAACATGCTTGAGATGTTTAAAAAGATCAATGCCAAGGAGAAGTTGATCGGATGGTATCATTCAGGTCCCAAACTCAAGAGCTGCGATCTCAAAATAAACGAGATTTTCAAGAAATTTACACCTTATCCCCTCTTGCTGATTGTAGATGTTAACTCGACCGACAAGATTGACATTCCTACTGACTGCTACACATCGATTGAGGAGATCAAGGAGGACGGATCATCAAGTGAAAAAACCTTTATACATTTGCCTTCAACTATTCTAGCTGAGGAAGCAGAGGAGATAGGAGTTGAGCATCTACTGAGAGATATCAGAGATCAGGCTTGTGGAAATTTATCAATCAGGCTCACAAATAATTTCAAGTCGCTCTCTTCACTCAAGGAACGGCTTCTCACCATTGTTGGTTATCTGAGCAAAATAATAATGGGAGAGTTACCTGTGAATCATGTTATTTTAGGTAAATTGCAAGACATATTCAATCTTCTGCCAAACATCAGCGCATTTTCTGCAGACCTCTTGGATCAGGAATCTGGTGATTCAGAGAATAAGCACCTCACTACTGCTTTCAATGTGAAAACGAATGACGAGCTTATGATTTTGTATGTAAGCAGCTTAGTCAGATCAATCATAGCGTTTAATGATCTGATCGACAACAAGATTCAAAATAAGAAATCAAATGAAGCAAATCTAAAAGATTCCAGCTTACCTGAGGTTAATGACGTCGATGACAATGCGATGGAAGGGGTTCAGACCGAGAGATCTTGAAATTAAATAGAAATGAAACATCATTGCTCTTGCTTGTGTAATCGTAATCTTGTCGCGTTACCCGTCTAAGAAAACCTGGAAAAAATGCATATCTTGCAAAACTTAGAACAGGCCTAACTTTGATTGTCCTTCGGCACGCTTCAGCCTCTGCGATCAAAAAGATGTGGAAGATGCAAATTCCGGGGATACCTTTGTTCTCAAATCCTAACGTATGTTGGGTTCCGATTACTGTGTTCCACTCGACGGTGAAAACCCCATTTACCAAAATATCACGAAGATTTTATTATTACTCAAACGAACAGTTGAATAACGTTGCTATAAATTTCGACCGTAACGATGTCCAGAGCAAAACCAAAAAGAAACTCAACTTACAGTTTGATCCAAACTACAAGCTGTTAAATTTGCCGTATACATCGAAGTCAATCCCGAATAAGGCTTCTGAGAATTCTACGAATGTCATCAAATCAGTCGCAAAATCAGCTTTGGCCTGCCATCCTCGCCCTGATATATCACATATTCCATTTGAGGTCAAACCCAAAACTGAAAATGCAAAGAAGTCTTCAGTTCTACAGCGCGTGTTACAAGACGAGAGTCCCAATCTGAAACAACTCTGCGCTCCGTATTTGGCACTCACAAAACCTCAACTGACATTCCTTATCATGTTATCATCCATATGTTCGTATGCTTTAGCTCCTAATTCTACAAGTTTGTCAGAGTTTGTTTGCTTAACTCTAGGGACGCTAATGGCTTCTGGAAGCGCTAATGCGATCAACATGGCAAGAGAACCTGAATTCGATAGGCTGATGATAAGAACGCAAGCTCGTCCTGTTGTCAATGGATCTGTCACACCTAATGAGGCCTTCATATTTGCATCGATGACTGGCTTGCTTGGTTGTACAATTTTATACTATGGAGTTAATCCGATAGTCGCTGCATTGGGACTCGTCAATATTGTCCTCTACTCATGGATATACACGTCTTTGAAAAGAGTGTCAATCCTCAATACTTGGGTTGGTGCAGTTGTGGGGGCTATCCCGCCCTTAATGGGTTGGGCTGCATGTTCAAGTTTAAGTGACCCTGGCGCATGGTGTTTGGCTTTACTGTTGTATGCATGGCAATTTCCGCACTTCAACTCCCTGAGTCATAACATTCGTGATGAATATAAGCGTGCAGGTTATGTCATGACCGCTTATGAGAATCCGAAATTGAACGCTAGAGTATCCTTGAGGTACTCAATACTGATGTTTCTGATTTGTTTTGGGTTGTGCTACTACAACGTGACCGATCCATTTTTTATGCTTGACTCTAGTGTTTTGAATGGATGGATGGCATACATGTCCTTCAGATTTTGGTGGCAACAGCGTTTGAACTACTCGCGTAAAGTTCAAGAAAGCGGCGGCCCATCTCAAAAAGCTATCGATTTAGCCAACTACTATGCTAAGAAGACTTTTTGGAGCTCTATATGGCAACTGCCTGTGGTATTAGTCTTGGCAATGCTCCACAAAAAAGGACAGTGGGATAGATTTTTTCAAAGCGAAGAAAGACATTTAACAGCTTGACTTGTGCAAAGATGTTTAGTTTCGCTCATGTAAATAGACCCTCAAAAAAATAAGATGTCTGAATATTGTGGTCCTTTTTGAGCGCCTGCTCAAGTGTTGATCATTTCGGCTTCTTCATTTATGTTTTTACCAGATCTCATTCCCCGTGATGCGCATCATTTATGGATGCTGGAGTCTAACACAAGACAATCTACGAAATCACAGGAGAGAGGATCCGATATCAATGCAAGCCGATTTCCCCCTCTATCCTCGTATTCACCTGCATTGCCGACCCCAATCAGAACATCAGACGCGTCCAGGGGGTTGATGTTATTACCATCAGAACAAGCAAGTAATACTACGTTAGAGTATTTGGCGACTTCCATATGCCAAGATCTGACATATCTTAGCGACCTCAGCAAAGTTGGCTATAGTTACCTGAAACCGATGGGACTTGAAAAAAGCATGAAGCAAATATCTGAGGAAGAAGAATACGATGATGATCCTATTAATTTCGAAGGTGGGGATGCGTTCACAGCTGCAGATGAAGACGAAGATGTGGACAACATAGTTGGTAATAGTGTTGAGGAGCTTACTCATTCCCTTCATTTGAACAATGATACGGAAGCCGATCTTGATGCTGATATTCCTAACAATGATGCCTACTCTCTGGACTTCAACACTGATGGTGATGGTGATGATGATGGTGATGATGATGATAGTGACGGCGGCGATGGCATTATGCGTGATGACAACGCTGTCGTTAATGATGCGGAAGCATTCATGGTCCCTGAGGAATATCAAGATGATCATAGCATTTCGATTAATGGCCCAACTGAGATTGATTCAAACCCCCCAATCGCAGATGTTGTGACTGAAAATGTATTGCTCCATTCTGGGCCTCTTACGTCAACAACTGAGACTACTGAAACGTCTGCATCAAACCATGTAAGAACTGGTTTTGCTGGTCGAGAAGGAGATGAGACTGCAACAGGTGATACCTCTCCACAAACTCCATATATGCATTCGCATGATAATGCCGATTTACGAGACAGCCCCTGTTTAAGGTCCCCCGGGCTGAGAATAGATGTTCATGCAAACACCACCAGGTCATCTGATTATGACATGACTATAGAATAATTATCGATCCGTCAAGGAAGCAAAAGGATCCCGTACAAGCGATTCACATTTGCCCTGGCTTATTTCATCAACCTTAGCTTTCTGCAAGTGAATTGCTGGGACCATCCATTTTCCACAGCTACACCGAGAGCCTCTCCATGAATACCCTCCCACTTTGGCCTTACATTTGGGGCACAGAAATTTACCCTCCAATTCACTTTGTGATAATTCTGGTTGCATCCACTGAAGCGGCTCGACAAAGTAATGTGTACACTCATTTGCGCCCCTTTGAGTGCTCCTAATTCTTTTTGATTTGTAAGCGTTTTTAACGAAAAACGCTTGCTTATCTTTGTCACTTGATGGTGGTTCATGAGGTATGAATGATGTTGAATTTGCAAGCACACCCCTACATCTTCTGCACCTCAAAACACTCGGTGCGTTGAAATCAGTAGAATCGTCTCGATATAAGTCGTCAGATTTAACTAAAGCCGCATGATTATCGCAGCCAAGTTCCAATACCATTTGTTTATATGTTGCAATACCCTCCAGTATTTTCGTACTATCCTGACACCCCAGCTCTTCGTATAGTTTCAGCTGATAAATAAAGGTATCATTGGGGCAAACGTCTGACTTAACTCGCTTCATTGCATAGAGAGCAACCTTGAGACTCATCTGATAGTATTTCATTAAAAAAGCTGCCAAGATTGTTGGAGACCTAGAACACCCAGCATTGCAATGTATTAGAATGTTAGATTTATGCTTGGCTACTTTTGCAGTATTGGGTGTCTGGTCTGGATTTCCATAAAGGGCAAAGCAAATGAAACGATTCGTCTGTTCAAAAAAACCTATGATATTAGACTTTTCATCATCGTCCACGGAAATTTGAAGGTGACGATAAGGATCCTTAGTATAAAAATCAGGTATACTTTGTTTTTGTACCGAGATAATATACTCTATTCCGTGCTCTTTTCTTATGTCCAAACCTTTGTAAAGGGGCTCAACCGAGCTTATGTAAATGCCCCCCAATATTCTGTACACAGACATTGTATAAGTAAGTAGGTCTCAAAAAATCAAAAAAATTAGTTTTTCCTCTAAAAGGCAAAGGGTTTTTATTGGAGACTTAGTTACTGCTTACTTACTACAACGCTCTGATGAAGATCATACTCTGTGCGCTAGTTTCCCATACAAGCGCTCTGCTTTAAGTCACATGATCCCTGGATGCTTTTCAATACTTGTAACCATTTCCGCCCCTAGCGTTCATTTGTGGCTGGGTGTTGTAGTGGTTCCTTGAGTTTCGATGCCCTTGCTGTCTCATTGATACCGGCATAGCACCACTCGCAAAATTCTGGTTTTGGGGAATTCCATAGGGCATCTGTGGGACGCTTGGGGGCGGCTGGTAAAATGGAATGAATTGAGGTTGTTGAAATTGAGGAACCACAAATGTCGGCTGGGGCATGTGCATATTGTGAGGATCCATCTGCATAGGCTGAGCCATCATTACAGGCTGAGGCACTGGCGGATGCTGTTGAGGTGGAGGAGCCATGATCGGGAAAGGTTGAGCTGAGACTTGATACATCCTTTTTTGCATCGGTGGTATTGTAGCTGGGGACCCCATCCACTCAGGCTGTTTCGAAAATGCCATTTTGTATGATTCCTCAACGGTTGATGGCCAGGTTGGAGGCGTCGCAAAAGGTTTTTCGATATTAATTATAAGAACATTCTTCGTTTCGTTCTTTTCCTCATACTCGATTCGCGCCTTGATAAGCACGTTAAATTTGGTGTTGAAAATACTTCCACAGGTACTATGAATTGCCAACTCCTTTGGTGATTTACCTGGAGGGAAAAAAGATGCTGTTTCTTTCTTGTTGCGCTGCTGTGGAGATTGTACCATCTCGCCGGAGTTTAAAGCTGGAGAGTTTCTTGAAGATGAAAAGCTTGGCGAAAAAGGAACTGAATTTGGATTCATTTTGAATGTGGGAGCAGTTCTCGGGTCCATCTTTTTTTTACTCAAAATAGGGGTAGGGGTCTTGGAATCGATATTGATGTCCGCAGTTCTCGAGTGATCTTCCTCTTCGTCCTCTTCTTTTTCTTTTTCTTCTTCTTTTTCTTCTTCTTCTTTTTCTGCTTCCTCTTCTTCTTCTTCTTCTTCTTCTTCTTCTTCTTCTTCTTCTTCTTCTCTTTCACTTTTTTGCACAGTTTCGCTGTCTTTTGTTCCAGACTTTTTCATTATCTCGTTCTGTTTTTCTTTATCTTTCGAAAGTATAGGAAGTAAATCTGGAGGAATCTTTGATGGCACTTTGAAAGTTGCCGAGAATTCTCGTAAGGAATTGATTTCATTCTTGTGATTGAGCTTCCTGCTTTCAGTTGTTGTGTTTCTCAGGCGCTCAGAGTGAGAAGCTTGTGTCTGGTGGTCACTAGAGCCGTGATCATGTGAATCCAAGCCAACCGATGACTCGAAAGTAGAATCTTTTTTGTGTTCAGTGGCTGAGCTGGTAACTATGGCAGGATCACCATGAAAGTTGGCACCACGATTTCTAGGAGGTACGTACTTGCCTGTGGCAGCCGATCTCAATTCAGTCTTATGAACTTTGGTATTAGCCTTCAACATTCCTAATAGTAATGCATCACCCTCGTTCTGAGAGACAGGCTCTCTGGCAACACGTGAATATTTGTCTTCTTCGTCAACTCCGCTATCATCTACTATAATTCCTCTCTCCTCAGCAAGGTGTATATTACCATTGTGGCCTTGAGACTCAATTTCCCTTGCTATTTTCTCAGCTTCCTTCAACCTTTGTTCGTAGTCTGGCGCATCTTTAGAGATTTTTGTGGTGTACAAATCCTCGTCGTAAGTGGACTGGATACCAAATTTACGTTCGTTCACTTCGAATTGATCCCAATGGACGTTTGAGTCAACATCCTCCAAACCATCAGTCAACCTTGCATCAGTATCTTCATCCGGGACCCATTTCTGCAATTCCCTCTCGTGGAATGCAGAGTTAGCGGATATATCGATGTCTGTCCTAAAACTTCTGCCTGAGGTATTCAATCTCGGTTTTCCAGGTTGCTGAATAGGTTCGAAATCGACATCCTCGAATTCCATCTTCAATATATCCTTTTCAGAAAAAATTAGCGTCTCTTGAAGCTCAGCTTTATTATTGACCTCTTCTGATGGAGTAAACGAGCCTTTTTTCAGTTGCGGGTATTTCAAAATTAAGCCAACTCCTGAATTCGTGATGTCACCAGTAGTGTATAAAATCCCATCATAAGTAGCTCCGGAGCTGGTAGTTATTTTACTCTTACAACCAATACTCCGGATAAGTCCAAACAATAATCGATCGTTCATATGCCTCAACGATGCTTCTTGGTCCTGAGCTGAGTTCGCCAGATGATACGCAGGTTGATTACCCTGCGTTGTGCTCACCTGAGCGGCGCTATTTGCCTTTCTTCCATTGGCCGCGAAAGTGGACGCACTGGAATTGGGTGCTGAAGATACATTGACATGTGACCAATTTTTCGAGCCTGTACGACGGTGCTGACTCCCTCCAATGAATTTGGATCCAGATGGGTTATTCGACTGGCTGCCTCTTGAAGTCATCTACAGTTGAAATAAGCCAAAATATGAATCCAATCGAACAATGGTGGTCCTAAAATGAAACTTAACAGGACTACCACGGACCCCTTATCCCCAATTTTCGGCTCATTGAATCTTGGCACGTAATGAGGTTATGAGCACTGTAATAGACGCGTCTAATATGGTTCGACCTCAAAGCACCTTAACGGAGCTCATAACCAAAAAAATAAGACTAACTAAAATTTGCTGATTGGTCGGTCCTTCAGTAAAGTTGAATTGTGCAATAATAAACTGATTTGTTTTTTTCATCAGCAACACATAAGCGACTTTAAGTAGCATTGAAGTGACACAAGAATGAGACCAACCAATCCAACATTCAACGCTGCCGTAAGTACACCTCTCAAATTTATCAATGGACTAACGTATCCAGAAATCGAGCTCCTTTATCAAAAGTATTCCAGTTGAATTATATCCGCTGTTCGCAGCCTGCGGAATGGCATGCGTTTCCGCCATCTACTTCTCCTCCAAGAAATTGAGAACGGACAAGACGTTGAAGCTGGGGAGAGAGGTCCCCAAGTTTGATGACAAGCTGGAGGAAGTTATCAGCAAACAAGAGTGAAATATTGTAAGCAAACGTTTTTATACATCAGAATCAATGCTATATCAAGGTGTCCTAGATATGTGCCAATCTAGGTCAGTATAGATTAGCAAACGTCAATGGCTCTTCTCATCTTTCAAATTCGTATAAACCTGTGTAACGTCGTCAAGATCTTCTATACTTGCGATAAATTTCTCGTAAACGGTTCTAGTCTCTCCATCGGTAATGCAAACTGCCATTTCGGCTTTTGGTATGAAACCAATCTGCATCTCCTTAATCTTGTAATCATTTTTCAGTTCATTTGCAATCCTTCCGAATTCTGCGGGATCAGTAATAACTTCTACGAGGTTACTTTCTTCATCAACCTCCTGTATATCCTCGGCTCCGAGCTCTAAAATCTTCTCGAAAACAGCATCAAAATCCGAGTTCTCTATATCAATCAAAATCATTCCCTTCTTATCAAACATATAGCTTGTAGGAGTCATGCTCAAACCGTATTTGTTAAAACAGGGCCTCAGGAACCCCAATGTTCTATTTTTGTTATCTGTTATTGCTTCGACAACTATTGCTACACCACCAGGTGCCATACCTTCATACAGTACCGTCTCCATTTTATCTTGCGATTTGAGCTCTCCGGTTCCTCTCTTTATGGCTGTCTCAATCACTCTTTTTGGTATGTTCATGGACTTCGCTTGATCAATTGCATTGCTGAGCTGAATATTTTTCGACAAGTCTGCTCCGCCTACTTTGGCAAGCATTGTCAGTTTCGATGACATCTTGAAGGATATAGCTGCTTTAGCGGCATCATTTGCTGCCTTTTTATGCTTTATGTTTGCCCATTTACTATGCCCAGCCAATGGATACATCGATAAGTGGAATCCTCGAGTCTTGCTAGTCTCAGCAAGCCTCTTGTAGACTTTGGAAGATAAATGAAACATCAGACTTACAACTGTAATTACGAGAGAAGTTATAAAAAAAAAAAAATATGGCTGCCAAATTTGTCGGATAGCGTTGTTCATAACGTAAGGTCACAGCATTCGCTATGGAGGCAAATAAAAAGAGAACGTTGATCGCCGTCATGGGTGATGAGGACACCATCACCGGCATGTTGCTTGCAGGGATCGGACAAGTGTCAAACGAACCGAACAAAGAAAAAAACTTCCTGGTTTGCACTGATAACACAAAAGAAGAAGAACTCCAATTATACTTCAACCAATTTGTTCAGAGAGATGATATTGCTATCCTTCTGATTAACCAGCATATTGCGGAGAGGATCAGATTACTCATAGATATGTTTACAAATCCTTTTCCAGCCATACTTGAAATACCTTCCAAGGATCATCCATATGACCCCGAAAAAGACTCAGTCTTGAGAAGAGTGAGAAGATTATTTGGTGAATAGAACCAATGTTATCTGTATCAAATATACGTAAGACTCCAATAGCTGAGAGTTACTCGCGAAAACTTAAATCTGTACTGTAGGTCATGACCTATTCACCTTCTCTTTTTGTTTTTCTTCCTCTTTCCGCCTATGTTCTTATTCTCTGACAGGACATTGGATGAATCTTGCGGTTCATTTTCTTTTAATGGCTTTTGATCAAGTTCTGTAGGCGAAGACCCTAAACCACTGCTTTGTAGGTTGGTAATCTGTGCATCGGACGAAAACTCGTGCTTTTCAACAGCGCACTGTTCGGAAGCAGATTCAACAGACTCAGTATTTTTTCCCTCAAGATTATCTGAAACGCCATTTTGATTGTTAGAGACAGCGGCCTCTGGAACTTCTGATATATTATTCAGTAAAGTCTGACTCATATCTTGTGAGTCTACTTCAGTTTTGTCATCTTGTATGCATTGATTCACGCCTTCATTTCGTAACTCTTTTAGAGAGGAGTCGTCCCGCTTCATCGTCTCTTCAGAAAATTCGCCGGCATCATGAGATTTGTCCTTTTCCTGAGCTTCTTCAGTTTCCTGTTGATTTGAGCCGTTATCATTGTCACTTGGAGAGCCTGGTTCAGTGAGATTTGATGCGTGCATGTTCTCCTTTTCTTCTGTTAGAGCTTCTGCCTCCACTAAAGTCCCCTCAACGTCTACTTTTGAACTAGTTGGTTCTCTTTCCTCATTGAGCCGTTCCTCAAACATCTCCTTAGGATCAATTGTGCTCTTTCCATTCCTGTTTCTTGGATCTTGATTGATTTCACTGGTGCTGTCAATCCTCACCTCATTTTGGCTTTGATCTACCTCAGATCCAGTTGAGTCCCAAAACTCTTTCTCCTTCCAAATAGGATTTTCAGAGTCTAGATAAAATTTGCTGACACCGACAATCCGACGTTCGAGTTCACAAGCCTTCAGCCACTCGGGGCGTACGATTGGAATGTTGAGGGATTTCGCTTTTTCATACTCAGGGCCTGTTTTGCGAGTACATATAAATTGCGTGGTATCAATTTTCACCTCCCTCGATATCGGCCTTGCTCCAATTTTGTTGAGTGATTCTTCTATGTCTTGCAATGTGAACGGTTCACTATCAAAATCAATCACCCCAATGCAAACGGTTATGCCGCTCAAATCTGTCATCTTGTGAGTTCTCAATTCGATAATGTTCGAGAGATAGCTGCCAGCACTGGTCTCGAGCTTTAAATGAAATTTATACTGAGTATCGACTGGCAGTCCACTTAACTTGATATTTTTTTTTGACAAAGGGCTCCTTATTTGCCCTATCTTTGTTCCATTCTTGTACAGTGTGAGAGATTTCAACTCAGCTGTGCCGAGCTCCAACGACTCCCATTCAAGAACGCAGGATGTTTGGGTAACGTTGACAATTTTGAGCTTAGGACATTTTGGTTCGTTTTTACCAAAAGTGTTGAAAATCTCTTCCTGCAGCCTATCAAAGGCCGAATCCTCAGCTTCCTCTTGCTTGAGATCTCTTTCGCAGTGGATCTTAACGATAGATCCAGCCGATATTCCATCTGGCAGGAGAATAGTAGGGAACTCGATCAGATGATGATCCTGTGTAAGTAATAATGCAAGCGATGCATCAAGTTTTCCTACAGTCAGAGAAACCTCGACCATTGTTCTGCCGCGTTACAAGAGTGAAAGTTTCTAAACACCTTAATTAACTTTGAACACATCAGAGCTGTCAAATTTAATCATGGGCAAGAAAGTGTATTATTTTGATCAAATAATAATACTCAGTACCTTAAACAAAAATGTCTCTCAACTATTCCGATTTCCCTGAGAACCTTGCTACAAGTTATGCGTTTGAGAAAACTCCACGACTAGATCCTCAAGTAGAAGATGCAAATGTCCATATCCACTTTGCAAAAGTTTTGAAAGACTTTAGAGTAAATTTCGGTCACCGTCTTGTTAACGAATTAATCAAAGATTTCCGAAAGTTCTCGGCTCAGGAACTTCTGAGTTGCTACGAACAGAATGCAGATCAAAGCATAATCGAAAACTGGATTTTGGAAAGTCAATTTTGGGACTTGGTAGAAACAGTTTTTCAAGACAGATTTGTCAAGGATTTATCTAATCGTGATAAGGAGGTTCAGAGGATGAAAAAGATCAACAAATTTACATCTAGATCCATTATGTCAGACAATGCTCTGATGCAGAATTCTGAGCTGTCCCGAATTTACCTCCTGATGAATTGGCTTTCGAAAAGTTTCAAACTTGATCTTATTAATAACGACGACAAAATTGATGTGAGCTCGTTGCCCGCAACCAAATGGCTTAATACGAAAATGCGAATTCAATCCAACAATCTAAGAGATGCACATGGGTATCTTGACGACGATTTTTATCTGCGCAATTCCAGCGATGGTTTACATGATGATGATAGACGTGAGAATGATAATTTTTTCAAAGCTTGCTTCTACTTGCTTCTTTCCGGAGAGACAGAACAGCTATTTCAACTGTGTGAGAATACAAATAACTGGGGTTTCTCGCTCATATTGACAGCTTTGCAGGATTATATTGACCCTAGAGTTGAACTGGATGACGATGCTGCAAAGCCTGTAGGCGTGAAGAATACAATCTTGTGGAGACGCTCTTTATACAGGTTATGTCAGGCCAAAAATCTCTCTAAATACGAGAAAGCGTGCTACGGATATCTCTGTGGAGATGTTGACTCGTGCCAACAGCAGGCTCGCTCCTGGGAATCTAAATTGCTGATTTACCTCAATAATATTTTCCTTTATGAGCTAGAACAAGGAATGGTTGCATCAGAGTATCCCTTAAGCTCAAATTTAACATCTGATTGGTGTGCTTTTCGACTTTCCCGACCACCAAAGGTTGCGGAAACCATTACTGATGCGTTGAATATGATAGCATCTTCTTCAGATCAAATTATCAAAGATCAGAGTCAGCATCCTCTTCGTGTTCTTATGGGGTCTGTAATGTCCGATAACGTTGAGACTCTCATGAGAAATTGTTTGGATTCACTTCAAAGTTTATTACTACGGTCTGCAGGAGAATTCGACTCGTTTGAACTCACCAGTGACGCTTATCTATTAAGGGTCCTTGTCCATTTTGCGATAGTTTTGGAACTGATTTTCGGTGATCAATTGATATCAAATACCGAATACACTGAGTTGCTGAGATCCTATATTTCAAGGCTAATTTTATACAAGCATTATGACTTGATTCCAATTTATATTTCCTTCATCCCCAAGGATGAAGATTTAGTGGATTTATATTCACATCTGATTTCGCATTATCAATTTGAGAAGAGCGAGCGGGTCAAACAGCTCAAACTTATTAGACAGCTCAATTTGCCATTAGAATCAATACTGAGAAAAAGTGCCACGACACTATTCAATTCCACCAAGCACATGTATATTCACGATCAAGAAATCTGTCTAACCTCGGACGTGGCCGACTGTGATCGCAAATTGTTTAGTACAGTTTATTGGTTCCATGATGCTGGTATGCTGTGCGACTGCATTGAATCTATGGTTTCCCTTTTTAGAAGGCTATTATTATGTGGAAAGGTTCAAGCTACTATTGAGATGATTGAGTCGTTTAACGTATCTGATGTTATTCGCGATTACAAATACAAGGTCGAATCATTGGAGGGGATCGACGAACTTCCAAATGAATTTTCGAATGGACTGTTTGTGATTCCAGCTTTCAAACTTGATGAGTTGATGCAGTATCAGATATTTGCGGAAAATTTCAAGAGTTTGAATGAATTTCAACGGAACAGTCTCTGCATGAAGTCTGAAGCTCTTATTGAAAATGTGCTGATAACTTCATCTTCTATAGAACAACTCATTAAGTCGTTTTTGTTTGATCTTTCAAACGACCAGTTCATTGACCTGGAGGATCGCAAAATCTATTGTGAGCTGAGACAGCTATACATACCTGCTTTATTCGACATGACGTTCAACTTGTTGATCTCCTTCGAAAAGCATTCAAGTGATTTGCTGGTTAGAAAAGCAATGGAACTTGTTCACTTATTAAGCTCAAATGAGTTCAGACTCTATGAGGTGTTCAGAGCAGCTAAGAAACTCAAATCATTTCTGAAAAAGTTTGCTGCTTTAAGCAGTGAGAATTACATATTCTGATTATTAGAAGAGTAGCACTGATGTATTATAGTTTTAATCTAAAAGAGAAGCTTTTTCATAAAGCAGATCAACAACATTGGACATAGTTCTGATAACGTTCAAATTCAAATCATACATCTCGTCCTTGAGAGGCTCCTCATAAATTATAAGCCAACCATTTCCCTGATCAAGGACTCCATAAAACACTTTATCCAATATCATGTTACTCAGTTTGCTTTCGATAATGTTCTTAGGAAGCCCTATCATCGAACTTATGTGAGATATTTCAATGCAAGCATAAGGTTCGATCAATTTCAACAGGTTTTTTTGAAATAGGGAGTCATAAAGATCTGCTAGGTGTGACCTTATAATCGGATCTTGGGTTAATTCAGTCACATACGATTTCAAACAATCCTCAAGTTCCTTCAAAGATCTATTTGAATGTGCCAATGAGACAGACTTCATTGCTTCTATGTCTTTTCCTTGAGCATATTTCGACACATTCTTATTATTGAGAAGAGAGTTGACGTCATCAATGGAGTTCAACATGATTTTGCATAACAGCATATATTTTAGCACCTTTATCGTCTTCTTTTCGTCTGTATGAATCTGATAATTTTCGAATGCTTCATAAAAATATGAAAATGCTGTACTAAAATCCTTGTCTTCTGCATGCAAAATTCCACTCATCAAATCCAGCTCTGCCTGTAATTGTGACGGGCAGTAAATCGCGTTGGCTGAGGTTCTGGCCGAGGTTATTGCTGCTTTCGACTTGGCATGATTTTTTAGCTGGAAATGATTCTTTGACTCCAGAAGTTGAACCTCAACCAACGAAGATTTGTCATCCAATTTTTTGAACTCCCTTAACAAAGGGGATATCTCCGACAGAGATTTCATGTACTCTTTATTCTTGTAAAAAAGAGAAGCTAGACGAATCTGTAATGCCTGTCTCAAAAAGGTACGCTTTTCATCAATTGCCCAATCAATGCATTCCTTAGTTGTTTTGATGGTTACAGAAAGTGCATCACTGAAATTAGAATGCTCGATTAAGTCAATTAAATTCTTAATGATTTTTGCTGTCTTTGATTTTGCAAACGCACCCATGGTATAACGAGCTTTTGAAACCAGTTCCACTAACTTCTCTTCATTGTTGTTATCACGATAGAGCTCACCGAGTTCTTGGATGCCTTTCTCTTGCATATCAATGAGTTTTTCATTCCTGTGGTAAGTATCAGCAGACTTCAATTCAAGTATCTCGGTATATATTTGCTCTGCTTTACGAATGTCTCCGTTTCTTGCTGCTTTGCGAGCATCCTCAAGCCTTGGAAGTGTCATTATACCGTAATTCCTGATTATTCTCAAATCGACAACTTATATTTTTAAGTGTTTTTGTTCAAAAAAAAACTATTCGCCACCCATCTCTGCACAGCCACCTTATTACTATCCATATCTATCGTCTTATCTTACCTTGTTAATGATAAATAATAATATCTATATACATTGTAACGAGGGGTCAGTCTCCATTGTGGATAGAAGTCCAGCTATTCGGTCATTAGTTTCCTTTCTAGCTACATTATCGATCACTTCACCGAGGCGTTCTCCTGACAAACAACCCTCAAGGTCATAAAGTGTAAAATTGCATCGATGATCAGTGACACGGCTTTGAGGAAAATTATATGTTCTAATTTTATCGCTTCTATCGACAGAAGAAACCTGTTCATTTCGTTGTTCTCTTTCCCTAGCCATTCGGCGTCTCATTTCGAGGTCTGCAAGCCTGGCCCTCAAAATTTGCATTGCTTTCTCTTTGTTTCGCAGCTGTGATCTTTCGTCCTGTATGTGAACAGATATGCCAGTCGGCAAGTGGGTGATGCGAACTGCAGATTCCGTTGTGTTAACATGTTGACCTCCTGAGCCGCTAGCTCTCATTACGTCGATCCGTAATTCATCGTTTTTGAACGTTCTATACTCAGGATCACTTTTGTCGGCCTCTATCTTGGGCAAAACAATCACAGCGGCTGCCGATGTATGAACTCTTCCCTTGTTCTCTGTCTCCGGCACGCGCTGCACTCTGTGGACGCCGGCTTCGTGCCTCATCCTATCAAAAGATCCCTTCTCATTTATCATCAGAGTTGCCTCCACAATCCCTCTGCCTGAAATATGCTCATTCTTGGACACGATTTCAAACGACCAACGGTTGATCTGACAAAATCTGATGTACATCTCCAAAAGGTCGTTTGTGAATATATTTGCTTCATGCCCACCGGCGCCTGGGCGGAGCTCTATCAAACACGGACGATCAGCATATAAAACTGGTGGTAGCAGTTTTGCTTTAAGCATATTAGATGTATGTATCATTTGTTCGTAACTCGATTTGAGTTCGAGTTCAGCCTCCTCTTTCAAAGTTTCATCCAGATCTGGTTCACTCAAAATTTCCTTTAGTCCGGAGATATTTTCGGACTGTTTCATGAATTGATCATATAGTTCAACCACTTGTGTAATCCTCGTAAGCTTCTTTGATTCGCTGCTGTTGAAAGCCGCACTGACGGACATTTTATCTTCAATTTGTTTTAGTTCGGTTCTAAACAAATCGGCCCGCTTTAACAATAATGGATGGATGAAAGTCTGCTCTTGGGTATTTCCCGTTGAAACATATCTATGGATCGATATGACTTTTAGCCTAACATTGGAATTAATCAGCCCTCGAACTTCGTTATAGAGTCGTTTCATCGTGATCCAGAAGTTGGACGGGAGAAAAAAAAAATCTTTAGAACTCTCGCTCTTTTAACGGTAATACGCTTAATATGAGATCAATAAAATATTGATTGGTGGCCATCAACAGACCCTTTATCTCTTTGTGAATTTGTAACCAATTCTGTTTGAAACTACAACTGATAGAGATGTTGTTCTCCTTTAGTAGGTAGTCTCTTATTGAGATTTGATTTTAGTAGTAGGTGATTGGAAGTCCTACTGTATTAGAGTGTAATTAATTACAGAACAGAATACCGCTTCTATAGTTCAAAAGGTTCTCCTTTCCTTCTCTTTAATAATAACAAGCTATCTTTGTTCCTTATTGGCGAGTGAAGCCACTTTACAAAAGGCTTTTCTTCTTCATACAATTGATGAGCCACCATAGCTGCACTCCTCCAGATAGCATGAGAATGAGTACTATAAGAATACCAAATAATGAAAAGTTGCTCAGTATTGCTTCATTCAAATTTCTTAGCTTACTTTCGTCTGACAACATTTGTCTAATTTGTGTGATTATCTGATCCACTTCATTTTCTATTTTAAACAGCTTTGACTTCACTGTCAGTAGCTCTTTCGAGTTTTCTTCGTATGTTTTCAGTATTTCCGGTACACCAAATTTCAACGTGATATAAGCTTCAATGTCTTTCGGGGATGATTTCCATGATTGATCAATCTTGATATTCTCAAAACAGAGATCTAGATATTCTACTTTGTAGTCATTCCTGTGATCATAAAGAGGGAAATCGACTACCATCTGTATGTTCTGGTCTTGCAGGTTATTCTTGCGCCTCAATGTGTTTCCGTGTCGATCGATGACATTTAGGTTGAGTTGCTGAATTTTAGCATCTATCGGTTCATTGATATGGATATCTAACGAGATCAAAATATTGCTCATTTCAAACTGTTTGTCGCCTTCCATGCTTATCTCAAGATGATCTTTTAAATAATAGCGTAGGCAGGTATTGCTGGATATATAGTTAGTTATGGCAGTTTCGAATCGCTCCGTTAAAAGCTGCCTTTCTTTATTATTTAACTTGTTCATTGCATTTATGCGCGATTGGTAATCATTGACGGTCCTGAATAAATCTATTGCGTTTCCTGCACTGGGTTGAATACAGACTCCGAATCGAAGCGCGCTGACGGGGCCTATAAATAGTAATAGCAGGCACAAGTACATTGCCCATCTCATTGGAACACGAGAAAAGGCGCTTGAGTCGTGGCAACTGCGCGGTTCAATTATGTGACATCGTCTGATACCATTTGTAGCTCTAAACGGTTTGACATCACAAAACTTCTCTGTAATAGTCTGATAATATTCAAATGAGGTCCCTTTTTTTCTCCTGAAACCAAGATACCCACTCAGTAAACCGCTCATTTTGGCTAGAAATGAAGAAGCGTAATGTGGACTTGCAAGTGTCCTCTATAAATACTGTAATTCTCGAGAAATTGTCCTGTCGTGTTCCCTCTAATTTACAGGGAAAAAAAAATATACAATAAAAAACACGGTACACTATTTCAGAATCAACGTTTTAATTAGTCAGTTTATCGCCAAAGATGAAGAAAGCTTTTTTTAAAAAAAGCTCCGAGACCGGGAATTGAACCCGGGTCTCCCGCGTGACAAGCGAGAATTCTAACCACTAAACTATCTCGGACTTTTCTGCCTCTGTTAACCCGGCGCAAATTATCAGGATTAGTCCAGTGATGTTAGAATGCTGGAATTTGCAATTTGTCTGTGTGTAATCAACTTCAAACCTGGGTGCATATTTTTTTGTATTTTTTGGTGGTCTAAACAGCTGCCATTGAGTCTTGCTTTTTTTGTTTGCATGACATCAGCTTCTGCCGTGAGTACAAATTACCAGTTTGGCAAGCTTGCTGTGATTGGAATATATTTAGCACTAGAACACTCACTTAGTGGTTGAACCCCTTCCATTGACTGTTTGATGTGAGAACGACATAACGTTGCAGATTTGAATACCTCGATAACAATTTATTTTGACTTCTATTATGTATGGTACGATTTTCAAATCCGATACGCGGTTACATTTATTGGGCTGCAGCCGTTTCGAGATTCAAAACTGCTATACTATCTTTGGTTCCAAATGCGCTTAAGTGTGTTAGTCTCTTCCTATTAACTAGCGAACATCAAAAAATTCAGGTGAAACTGCAGAAGTGAGTGAGGATTTCGAGGAGTATAGCAAAGAATCTGCACAGTTGGTTGAGATTGAAGATCGACTATAAATATACACCACACTCAGGTAAATATGAGACTTAATTTATAGACACAAAAGCTGCAAAACCGTAATCCTCAACTATATGATAACGCTCTTGAAAGTACTTTATGCGCACCACATAATTTGGAAGAAAGAAGTACAACTAATTAAGTTTCCTAAAATACAAGTTATCAAAAATAAATTTGTAAGGTTTTAAAATAAATCTGAGAGCCATCAGAAGCAAAGTTTGAGCAACGTCTTTGATCATTGAACTGGCAATAGTATGATGATGGCCTCGTGAGGCGTTGCTTACAGAGAGCTATATCTGTTATACAAGTTCTGATATTTTGCTTGGATAGCTAAGTTGTGGATCTTCAAATAGAAGAATTATTTCCGAGATAGTTTAGTGGTTAGAATTCTCGCTTGTCACGCGGGAGACCCGGGTTCAATTCCCGGTCTCGGAGATTTTTTTTTGATGTTTTGAGAGTTTAACATAATATACTTGACATTAACCCTCCTCTAAAAGTGCTCAGAAAGTTGTTGGATACTGTTTTGACACATGTTTAGATGAACCAGATGTTTGATTCAACCGAGTCGTAAAGCTTAAGGACCTAGTTATGATAAGTTGAAGCAGTTCGACAAGCTGCTGACGTCGGATATTGTACATAAGCCTGGAAGCCTCACCATTTTAGAAATCTCTGAGTCTATAATAGAAGTTTGCAGATGTACTGAGTCTTCAACCGTTGGCCCTTCTTCTTCGAAAGCCAATTTTAACCCCATTACAACTTGCTATGGGCATGACCAGTTTAAATCAACCACTAGACAAGAGTGGTTTAGCTATACAGCAGTTCGTATCTTTCTTACACTTCATTGACTACCAATTCTATCATGAATCATATGATAGAAACTCAACTAAGAGTGCACTTCTCCATAACACTGGCCATTTTTTCTAATTTTCATGAACCAAATACAATATCTACCTTCAACCAACTTTCTGGGGATTACGTCTTGATACGCCTGTTCTTTTTTTTATCGCACCCACAGAACGGAAGCTTTTGAAGCAGAATATATTACCCGTGAAGAACAAAGATATGAAATTTCTTGGATGCCCTCTGCAGAGAAGTCTGATCAGTTCAAGTTTATTGTGGCTAGGAAAGTACGTGCTTCAAGATCTAACATTAGGAAGCGAGTCCCAAATACATGAACTACCATCTAAGCTTCAAAGGTCATACATACGCTGTTATAACTAAACTTGTAAAGTAAGACCATAAATCTGAAAGCATCCCCACGAAGAGATCTGACTCTAATCAGTACGACTCTAATCAAAGACTTAAGAATAGAGATCAAAAACAGAAAGCTTTGAAAATATTTCTGAACAAGTAACTGGTCACTAGTTAAGTATTATTACCCTGGGCTTTATCAAAAAGGTTTTTTTGTTTCGAATCCGGTTACTTGTGTTGAGATGTTAGTCGAGACTTTGTCATGTGATTATATGCATGATAATGCAAATGGACATGTATATATGCAGACGTGAGTGTTTTGTATCAATGTTGTCTCAGAAGTGTTACAGATTCTACTATAAGTACTGGAGAACTTCTCACCTTGATACTCGAATAATTGTCTGATCTGAAGTCTACCATATATACCAACTAACACAAATTCACTTAGTATTATTAAGAAACACGTCCACTGAAGAGCAAGTTATGTTACAATACAACAACTTGCCCGTATAAATCTATGCAGTACTATTGCGTACTCTGTACACCTCTGATATCGGGTATGTAAAAACTTCGATCTCTGTAACGTCGACCAATATGTTTTGATGAAATCAGAATAAACAACTGGTGCCGACCAGTTGACCCAGGACAGGGCTCTGTCAGGGATTATCGAATCAGCTATTTTCACCAGTTCCATAAAAAATCAGTTCTCATACCCCAGAATAGCTTTAGTTCTGTCAAAAACCATATTGTTTTCTTTGGAGCGATATATTCAAGCTGTGGATAAAGCGTCGTTGAAACAAACATGCTCCTATCCAAGTCTACATCTTGTCTGTGAAAGTTGCCTGTCTTCAATTCACATCTATTTTATATTGATAATCCACCAAAGCATAGCTTTCAAGCTGATGAACTACCATCTATTGTAATTACTACGAGAGGCAAGACTCTATGAATTAAGATGATATTGGGATTTCTGTGCTTCTAACAAAATCATCAAATAATCTCCAAGTAGAATGAAGACCTGTATAAACCTAATACTGACTCTGGACACCAATAAAAATGCTACTAGCAGGTGCTTTTTCATTTTTTGCTTTTTTGGTTTCCAGTACCAGCGTATATGGTTTTCCACCACCACGCAAAATATCTTATATCTTAGTCCCGGTTGTATACGGTGGTGTTTCAGATTGGTCTTATAATTAATTTAGACACACACCCTTCACTTCGGGATGAAATCCATGATTGTATTATTTCAGCATTTAATGATGAAATCTACTTTCCTGGAGAAAAGCATCTTCAAACTTGGGGGTGGGGAATCACTTGTATATATATGATCTTCCATTGAATGTGTGAAAGTATTGAAAATATGTTTATTACGGTTAGCTGGGCAATTATGTTGAGATGCTAGTCCAGACTATGTCATGTGATTACATGCATGATAATGCAGATGATAACATATATATGCACAATTGAGTATCTTGTATCAAGGGTGAGAAGTGTTTTAGACTCTACCATTAGTACTGGGGAATTTTTCACCTTGATACTTGAACAAATTATCTGATTTGAAGTCTACCATATAAACCAACTAACATGAATTTAATTGGATCATTAAGAAACATATCTACTGAAGAGCAAGCTATGCAACAACTACAGCAGATTCTGCAAAATTTACAGATAGGGGCATAAACCAAACCTTACATATTTTGCTGCTTGGGTTTGTGCCACACGAAAAATATAATCTCATTCCTATACACAACAACATGTAGATCTGTATTTGTCAATTAATTTTTTTTTGAGATTCAAATTAAAATTTCTATTGCAATATCTAACTTCCAAAAGATAACAATTTTAGAGTAGTATAACTCAATTAGGTTTTGTACTATGTTGACTTATAATCATACATCAGCAAACAATTTTTTTATTTGGTTCAATAGCTTATATAAAACGGTAGTCAACTAGCTAGCTACCGCTGATCAAAAATCAAGAAATATTTGCAAATGAAATTATCCGGAAAATTGATATGACTCCATTTTAAGTTGCACGTGCCGACACATATTCTTTCTCTTAAAGCATTTTGCACATATACAAAGTATGTGGATAAGAGGCAGAGATCAATATGAGTAAAGTATATTTTCCGATTACCATGAACAGCCGCCAAACTGCTTTCTTGGATGTTATTCTAGGAAAGAATTATCCTCGAAGATTCTCGACTAATATAGTACAGTAAAGGCTTGATGTTTTTTCACATGCAATAAGAGAGGAAGCGAAATCAAATACTGTTTGGGACATTCTTATTGACGATTGGTGACCTCAATCTAGTACCCTCACAACAATTATTGGCATGATGTACTTCAAAATTCATCCCCCATGTTGTTGGAATGCTAACTTTAACTGATCTGAAGTTGTCATCTTTTGGATAATTTAATATACCTTTCACTACCTTATATCAGTAGTTGTATAAGCTTATATTTATAAGATTTATATGTAAATCTTACCAATTGAATGTTCACTTAAGATGAGGTAGAATCTAACTGTATTTATAGTAGATTCTAATACCACTCTAAATCTTTAGTGTGCTTTCTGAAACTTATCTTTAATCCTCACTGATTAGGATTTGTTTCACATATCATTTATGCAGGAGATGCATATCTCTGCATAGTCACGTGACATATTATAGACTAATATCTCAACACTTCTGACAACCTTTCAGTAGACCTCTTGTAGCTAAAGTACAGAAGCATCGTACGTACATGTTTAGTTATGTAGAAGCAAGTTTTTAATCCTGTCACTCAATGTTTTGGCCTCATATTAGATGTGATGTTCACAGAAAGTATGGATTCCTTTCTGATGAAAGGTCTCTCCAAAGTTTTCAGACCAAGTCTTAGATTTGGCGAGAGATAATTTATTACTCTCGGCTCATTCTAGGTATGAAAACGAATGTCTGATCTTTCAACACAGGCAAGAGATGATAACACCTATCATGCAAAAAAGCAAATAGCAGTCAGACACGAGCACCTTT